ATAAATATATCCTAAATAAATAACTACCTACTATAGTTAAAGATAGTTACTTAGATAATAATACTTTCGATATTAAAGCCTTTATTAATTGCTATATTATGCTTACTAGGATTATTCGATATTTAGTAAAGTAGCGAATATATAGTTATAAAAACAACTTATAATATAATATTAATTGTCTTTCCAACGCTTAAAACCTAGTATAGGCCTATAATCTATAATACCTATTCTCTAATATAAAGATAAAATATATTATATTAAGAAAAGATAAAGCTTATCTATAATATAGGTTATATTATATTAATTTTATTAACTTTTAACCTAATATCGCTTATAATAATGCCTACGCTAGCCTAAACTAGAGTGATTATAATAATAGACCTAGGAAAGGTTAACCTAAATCTAAAAATACTACTATTACTATTGTCCTAAGTAATTGCCCTAGCGCCCTTTTTGTTGTTGTTCCTATTGTTGCTTCTAAAACGCCTTTACTATTACAAGCTATTTATTATTCTACTAGAACGCCCTCACTAGTGCAGGTTGTTTATTGTTCTAGTTATTTAAAGATTAAGGCAAAGAAAGCTAAGGGCAATAAGTAATAAGGTTTTTATTATATAATATAATAGCATAATACCCTATATATATTAGTTACTATTAGCAAGAGCGCTACCCTTTTTTTCTTTTTAGCAAGCACCTATTACAGATATAGCTTTAGAGGGAGGCTTAGCAGCCTTATATATAGTTTCTACTTAATAACCCTATATATAGTTTCTGCGCAAATAGGAGGGGATCTTCCCTTCATCTATATAACTTACTATATAATTAAGGAATATCTCCTCTACTACATATATCTCCTCTCCTAGTTGCTACTTTCCGCTATAGCTATAGCTATATATAACTTTTTCTAGTATTAACTTTTTAAGTTTTTTTTATTATTTCTTTTATTTAGCCCTTTTTAATTACTAGTTTAAATATTTCTTTATTTATTAATAAGTTTATTATATTTTTACTAAGTATTTAAAGTATTATTTAAATTATTATTATAATTATAATTATATATTATATATAGTTCGCTATATTGCTAATATTTAATATTCCTTTTAAGCTTATAATTTAATTCTTTTTACTTAATTTAAATAATAATATATTTATAAGTTATAATATTTATTTCTATAGCTTTAAGTTATTAAATAACTATTTCTATATTAAGCCTATAAGAGATATAAAAATAATAAATTATTATTTTATAGTTTTTATTATATTTAAATACTTTAATAATAGCAATTCTAATTATAATAGTACCCTACTTATCTTCTAAGCTAATCTCCCTAATTTAATTATTTAATTATTTAACTTTAAATATTATTATATTTATAGATTCTTTAGGTTTAGCTTTTATTACTAGTATTTATTATATTAATAAAATAAATCTAGTTATTACTAATAAATTATAGACTTTATACTATATATACTAGATTACTTTTAATAAAATATTAATAAAGAGATATAATTTCTATATAAATTCTATAGTATTTTTTAGAAATAGCTTTATAAAAGTATTATATTTTTTTAATTAATATACTTAATACTAAATATTAGCCTTTATATATATTTAAATATATAGCTCTATAGTTATATAAATATAAAAAAATCTTTTATTTTTATTAATTACTTTAACTAATTAATAGTATTTAATTTTATTATTTTATAAAATACTTTATTTATTATATCTTTATTAAAAATTCTAAGATTAAAAGTATTTATAAACTATTCTTAAGCTTATTATCTAAAAGCTAAATTAATAGTAAATAAAGAATTTTTTAATAAATTTATATAAATAGCTATATTAAAGCCTATTTGCCTTTATTGCTATATAGTATAAATATTATTATCTATAGTAATATTTTTATAGTTATTAAATATAGTTAATAAAATAAAAAAATAAAGCTAGCTTATTTAAGCTTAGAACTTATTATAATTATATAATATAAAATAGAATAATTATTATCTAAAGTAATTTATAAATCTTTATATATTAAAAGAATAACTATTAATTAATAATAACTAGTCTATATATATATAGCTTAATATATTTTATAAATATATAGCTAATTAATTTTTAATAATTATTACTAAGTTTTATATCCGTATAGTAGCAATTTGCTTCAGTGGCAAACTGGTAGCAAAGTACGCTAGCTGCTTATTGCCGAGGCCCAGATTGCACGATCGCAACAATCTAAGCTCGTTAGCGTAGTTCTTATCCTGAGCGCGCATCTTTGTAATTGCTCCCCGCTACGCCCTTTAGGCCTTATTAGGCTAGAAGCATCCGATTTAGGGGTGGCCTCCTCTAGTCGTAACTCTAATCACTAGCTGTCAAAGGGGGCTACAACATCGTGAATTCTAGGAGGAATCTATCGTTTCCTCCGGTCTTGACTCTTATATTCCCTTGGCTGAAGTAGTCTACTTCTTTCATCAATATTCTACCCACTATGAAGACCAACCTCCGTTGTATACCTAAGCAGTATCAGCAATGCAAGCCTTGGCTTAGGCCCAATATTGAACAACATCAGTGATTCTTGCCATACTCTCAGCCTTACTTAATTATCATCGAATATCTGTTTATTTCCATTGCATCTTCTTCTCTACGAGATCTCTCTCCTTAATGTCGATCACTAGAAGTCTCGCCCATTTTTGCGTTGACTTCTACGACAGGGAGGGACTGACTGTTCATTTGTACCTCGCGAGAAATCAATGCATATGTGCAGATGTTCAATACAGCGTGCAAAACCATGTTCTGTGAATTCTCTTGCCTCTCTCCTGATTTTATTTTCGGTAGGCTTTGTCTATGAATTGGAAGAAGATTGTGTAGGGCTTTACCGAGCTTTCGAGCTCCCGTGATCGATCATAACAACTTGCCCCAAATCCATGAAATCTTTGAGCATTAAATTGTGATCAGTGCAGGAATTCAGGTTTCTCAGGAAGACTGAACGGGCCTCGTCAACTGCGGGTTTAAAAAAGGGCCACTTCATCTACATAAAAATTAAGAGGAATTTTGCCTTTGTGCTGACAACAAGGTGAGGCAAGTCACCGTTCATAGGCTTTTGTATAAAGTTCTGAGTGCTGAGACACCTATATCACTGCCTTGACTCGCCATCTAGCAATTTAAGCTTCATATCTCATAAGCCACAGAACGCAAAACAATGCCTATCAAACATTTGCGCTTCATAGCGCTGCAGCCAATCCTTTTTTCATACTTCAATTTTGGCATATATCGCCATTGACTTCGAAGAACTGTCGTTGTTCAGATGGATTTAGAGATTCCGATTATGCGGAACTTGGCAGCAGGAGTCATCTGTGCATTAAGAGCCATGCCGCGATCATGATCTTTCAGTCCAATTGGAGCTTCTCTTGGGGCGAGGGCAGCAGGCACATTAATAAATCAGAACTCGAAACTCATCTTGCTTCTCGGATCTCACATCCGATCCCCTCACAAACACCAGCGGGCCTCCTTCACGCACAGCGGACATTTTTGTTTCGGCTCCGAAGCTCAAGAACCAATCCCCGGTCTCCGGAACATCCCCATGTCTGTGCGTTATGCAAACTTCTTCGTCTCACCTGTCAGCATTTTGTACTTCTCATCCCCCCTTTTGCTACAACGCTATTCCCCAACCCCGCCCCGTTACCATGTTGAGCCCACTCTTCAACCTTCCTCTACTTTTAACTTTATCCTATCATATTCCTCCTTCCCCTCACCATCACATATAATTTCCGGCACCATCAGCTCCCCATGCTTCACCAAGAATAAGTCCACAGGCATTTCCCGCCCCTGATGACGTGGACACTCACCTTCTAACCCTCCATAAATCGTGTTTCCGGTTCTGTAGCCGCAGATTGTCTGTATTTTATGCGCGAGGGAACAGGGTTGTAAGGAGGGCAGGTGGATGTAGATGCAGCCACAGAGGAGGTAGGCGTGGTGCGTGTGGTGGCACATGATTTTCGAGGGGTGGGTGGATGGGTGAAGGGGGGATTAGTAAGGAGGGGAAATTGGTGAAGAGGAAATTAGGAAAGGGTGGGAATGGTGGGGAGGGTGGGGAGAGGTGTTAGCTACGGGGTGTTGAGATCGCATTGTTCGTGTGATGCCTTGGTTAATTGGGGATTGGGTGATATGGTACGACGTGAGCCGAGAGTAATGAGCTGGTTCGTGCCAAGGTGTAATATGCAATTTTCTGGCTAGTAAGTATGGACAGCGTGATCAGTTCTCAAATGTACGTAAATCCCGATTCAGGTATGATTGTGTGTGTTGGTGTAGACTCTGACATATTTCCATGTCTTTCCGTGACGTCTGGAACATTCGCATTTAATGGTAGACTCACATGATGAATGAAAGGAGTTTTCTGTGAGTTCACCAGGTAGATTTCCATTTGCGAATGCCTATTTCCTGTTGTTCTTACTTCGTTGTGACTCTTTCGACTATTGCGGCTCGTTAACAACGGCTTTCCATTCGCTTTTGCAGTCCAATGAGGTTCTCCCAAAGCTGATCCATGTGTTACAAGAGTCACAACATGTCTTTCGGATGAAGTTGCAATCTCTTCCGAGAAAATGAAGTCTTTCGATTCAAGTTCTGTGTCCAGGATTCCTGTCGTGCGGCAGGTTGGAATGATATGGGACTGTCATTTTTTCTTCGGGATCAAGCTTTTACATAGAAGATTTCATTGTTTTCTCAGCAATCTAATATTGATTGAATAGGTATGCAGGGCAAGCAGTAGTCGAGCATTAAAGTCTGTCTGATTACCTCAAGTACTTTCTCGCTCGCATGCAAGACTGTGAGTCATTAAATACTATTTCGCCTCCATGGATAACCTCAACTAACGGAGGACATAATTTCCCGTCTTGCAAAGCTGACGCCACGTGCAAAGCTGATGCCACTGAAGATCGATGGCGACCCTGGAGGTTGTAATCTTGATTTTCCACGTCCATATCCCGCTTCAAGACACACCCTTTCATACATTTGAGCCCTTCGACTGCACTCTGTCCAGATTGACCCAGGACTGTGAGTTTTCGTCGGTAGTATGCGAATTTTGTCCGGCCCTGCCCCAGACATGATCCTTCCCTACCGCTTTTCTGTCTTTCCGGCTTGGAAAATTCGACTCCTTACCCAGCATAATTCTTCCAGGATGCACAACGTTGAAGAGAGCGAGCGCTATGAGCATGGCTGTTGAATCGAAGACATACTGATAAGCCTCGTGCGCCGAGATACCGGTATCGAGGCCCCCAGAGTACTCGACCAGACGGAAGATGATACGAACAGTTACCAGTGCTAGTGCAGAGTAGACCACATAGAGAAGAGTAAGCGGTCGCGGTCGCGAAGCTTTAGGCAGGTCCCGGTTCATCTCCCTGTGAAAGAGAATAGCTAGACCAAAGAAGATGATGATGAAAAGTTGTTGAAGGCCGACTCCACCCATGTAGACATGGAGACCCCTCATGATGGCGGTGTGTGACTTGTTACTGCCAGAGGCTGAAGCAGCTCCGATGACCTGCACAATGAAGGCAACAATGTCGAGCCCTACAAAGGTAAGACCGAAGCGCCAGGCTTTGACGCCAAGTATTTTGGCACTCTTGGTGTAATTGTAGACCATGCGACCAAGAACCATGTAGACATAGGCGTTAATCCAAAGCGGGGCAAGCAGGATGAGAATGAACCATGCGGAATACCACGACGTCTTTGTTGGGTTCTTGATGCTGACGATGCGAAAGGCGTAGGCGAGGAATTGCCAGAGGGCACTCATTGCCACTACCCATGAGTATCCTTTGCGATAGATGATGGATTGGGTGATGTGGGCAATCAGTGTGAGGGCGAACAGTATGCAGTAGAGGTAGGCGGCAGCAGTTGATGGGCAGAAGTTGGGCCACTTGCTGTCCGGGTCGTCCCTCGCTGCACAGTACGACGGTGCCATTATGACGGGTTTTTTGAAGTTCAGAAGAGCTTTGATTGAATGGGCTTGATGGCTCTTCTTCGCTCAAGATGAGGTTTTACTGATAGGACATAGGAAGAAGGTAGTGTTTGGGAGGTCTGAGGAAGATAAAGGGAAGCAAACAGTGGCAGGGCAGGCGACAGTGCATGGAACGCGACATGGGATTCCCCTATTTGCTTGCGTGGCCTATGTTTGTGGCGGGAACGCAGTGAAGCAAGGGAGCTGACAAAGCGAGGGAACGCGACAACAGTGTTGAGTACGACAGCATGGGGGCAACGAGGGCACGCAACAAGTCGGCATCAAGGGCAAAGGGGTGCGACAACTGCGCGTGTCGCTGCAAATGATAGGTATGGAAAAGGGGATGGGTCAGCGTCTTTTATGATACCGACAGGATAAGCCGGCTGTGTGCAGTTGGACGTGATATGTGGTTCTCAGGGCAGCTAGTGATTGTTGTACGAGCAGACCAATCAGACCAGAGGGCCTGGCGTACCACGCCAAGAGACCAGGGTTTTAGTGGAGCTCCAAAATATTCGGACTCTTGGCAGAATCCTCACAGCCCCTTGCCAAGACCGGCAGCAGGAAGTCCCTAATCTGCACTGAGCTAAAATCATATCCTCAAGCCGGCTCTCTGCATCATTTCACATGCACAGGGCGAAGCTGCACGTCCCCATCATTGACCATTCATATGTGCAGTCGGTCTATACACGGCTCGGACAATTACTTAGCCTATCGAGCCTTGCTGGGGAGCCAAGATGCGTGTCTCACGGCGTTATATTGCCCCCAAAGCAATGCCATCTTGCCAGATAATGACTTGATCAATGCAACGAGAGGGCGTGTCGTATCATCTTCGCGCCCATTCAAGTCCTTCGCGGAGACTCACTCGCCCGAGTCCTCCTTTTCTGTCACTGGGTCATTCGTATATCGCGAGGGAAGGCCACTATGCAAGACAACCTAAAAGTAGCTATACCTCGCCGCCCGAAAGCTCAGAATGCCTCCCCTCCAGATATCCAGCGATCTAATGCGCGAGAGCTAAACGGCGCATCTAAGAGGACGAGGAAGTGGGCTACCAAGGTCAAATCGGGCTGTCAAACCTGCAAGTATGCCTCCTGGCCCACCCTCTAAGTGTCCCCCCAGTCTCCGTTGGCCATCCGCACAGTAGCAGCATTGGTTCTTTGCGAAGCGCTGCTTCGAGAAGCGAGTCTCAATTCATTCTTGCGAGCGTCTAAATTTAGTCTTTGCGATGTTCATACTAATTTCGGACTCTTGTAGAAGTAAGTTGTCCGCCAACTCCAAGCAAAGGGGAATGGAAGGATTGAATACGACCCAGTTAGGAGAGTAAAATGTGATGAGACGAAACCTTTCTGCCAGCGCTGCACAAGCACGGGCCGCAAGGTGAGCTTGCTCGCTAACATCTTGACTCTACCAAACCAATCAGAGATGGTTGACTTCTGAAAGTGCGATGGCTACCCGCAGGAGACCAGCCTCGAGCTATCTTCAGGGCACAACTTAGACTCACCTGCCTATAGTCTACTGGGACTCACTCTATTATCACCAGGCCAGCCTTTTCGAGATGGCGAGCAACGAAGCTTTGAGTATTTTCGGGCGAAAACGGCACCTCAACTCTTCTGTCTATTTAGCAGCACATTCTGGGAAGCGACAATTCCTCAAGTCTTCTACCATGAACCTGTCATCAAGCATGCTGTTCTTGCCCTATCTTCATTGCACGAGCGATTTAGGCAGTCTGATCCAAAATTAAAAAAGCAGGTATGGACACTTGAGGAAGGTAGCTTTGCCTTACATCATTACAACAAAGCTATACGCCACTTAATACAAGGCAACGATGGTGGTCGACCTACCACTGAGGTTTTCCTGGTTGCTTGCCTTTTGTTTTCTTCTTTCGAAGTTAGGCTAGCCCTGACCCACTCGTGACTACCACTGAATTTGATAAGGCTTTGAGAGGGCACCAAGGATCATCACTTATGCACATACAGAGCGGCATCAAATTATTGGCGGAAGTCTCTGAGCAGGAAACTAGAAAGCGCGATGGTGGGACGCTATTGCGTTCGTCCCAGTCATTCATCCCACTAGCAGACCTGGAGATCTATTTCAACCGCCTTGACATGCAAGCTGCTGGGGTACATCCCATCGTTGGAAATTATTTCTAACGTACTGGCTGACATATTTCTAGCTGGTGGGAACCCGGCCTATGGAGCTCAGCAAACATGGAGAAGCAAGCCTTCCCGGATTCTGTGCCTCCATTCCACCAGCATTTACGACATTAGAAGAGGCTGGAAACAGCCTCGACTATCACTGGAACCACTGTCTTCAACTTCTCACCGATGCCGACAAGTTACACGAAGGCTTCAAGCAGCGTGGCGAATACTTAGATATACTCACATCATGGAAATTTGCTCTCGACGCCTTTGTCTCCTCAACCGTCCTGGACCGACGAGGAACGCAATTGTACAGAGTCCTTCGGCTCTGCCAAATGTTCTATTACATCTCCATACATGCATCACCCGACAAGACAGATTTCCCAGAGACAAATTTCGACCCCTATTATGAGCAGCACAAGCAAATTGTCGTCTGGGCGCAAGAGTTTTTGAGGTGTCACGCTCATCACTGTCACAACGGTGTCTTGGAGCCCTATTTCTGCCTCGGCATGAACCTGATCGCCCCGCTCTATAGTGTCGCTCACCATTGTCGGGACCCGCTTGTACGACGTGAGGCTGTGCAGCTGCTTAAGACCACCCCCAGACAAGAAGGCGTGTGGGACAGTATACTCACAGGCAATGTAGCGGAGAGCCTGATTGAGATGGAAGAACGGGGACTACCTCAAGTCACGTCACGGTACGATATACCGGAATCTGCAAGAGTAAGGGGCGTCAAACTCGAGTTCGACACGGAAGGAAAAGTCTGCGAGGTCAAGTTCGCAAGGATGGCGGACATTACGAAGTCAACTGAGCCAGGGCCGGGCTGGATTTGGTCGGATGGTAAAGGCGAGACAGTAAAATGGGATTAAGGCACCTCGACAATGGTTTGACGCTGTTGCTGCATTTTGAACCGCTATTATGCAACCTCATTCAAACGCAATTTTCATTCCTTACATACGCTCTGCTCTTGCCCTAAAATTCAGCTTCCATGAATCTTTCGACACAAATGAGAAGAACGTTTCTTTCTTTGTTGCAAGAGGCAAGTTTCAAGTCTGCAAACGTCCTCTCCTTTATCCATATACCTTCAGCCTTCGTTTCTTTCATCATGTTTAGAAGTATATTCCTCCCAATGTCTTCAGCATCCAAGGACACATTCCTGGTGCCTGCAAGGACCCGACACTTGATTAATAAGCAACACAACGTCCTCTCAATGCCGACAACCCATCACTGTATGGTCTGCAAGAATGTCGGATTCTGCCGAAACCACCAACAATGGTGCACCGAGCATCCAAAAGTCTGCTTCTACAAGCCAGATACTACAGGAAAGCCTCGTCGATGTGATTACTGCTTTAACGGGTGGGACTATCCAAACAAGCGAGCAGCTAAGCGTCGTTAATACCACGCTGCTCGCTTCTGGAGGTTATAATTATGTTTGGCTTGTTAAAGTGAAGGCTCCCGTAAGTACGCCTTTATAAAATATTCCACTCTGTTTCTGAACAGTGAACAGGGCCACGATGGTGAAGGCAAACGAATCCATCAATTCGTCTATCGTATACCCAAAGCCGACGCACTGCTACCAGACCAGCTCGAAAATGAGGTCGCATGGCTGACCTACGTATCTCAACACACCTCTATTCCAGTGCCAAAAGTATACGCATACTCATCAAAACAGCCGCATTCGTTCGTTGCCCTCGAATACATAGACGGCCAGCCCCTAGGCTCAGCCTACAAAGACTGCACCGCAGATCAGCAAGAAACGCTCTGCACCGAAATCGCCAACATCATAGTCCAGATGGCCGAGCTCCGGTTCGACAAGATCGGTGGCCTCTTACCATCTCATGAGCTGGGACCGACTGTGGAAGGAGTGAAACTATTCAAGGGACGGGTATGTCTTTCGCTTCCCCCATCTCCTATTTCACACCTATTCACACAGGCCGGGCGAGCAGCGACTAAAGCGAAAGGTGTAGGACAAGTTCCACTCGCACGCGCACTACAATATCGGTCCATACTCCACCACCAAGGACTACATCCTCGCCTACTACGACAAGGAAATATGCTACTATTCCCACGCATCCAATGATGATATCGACTGGAGTCTTTTCTACCCCGCTGACGTGGAAACTGTAAGTAGAGATCTTGAGGACGCGGGAGATGAGCGGCAGGCGTTATTTGAGAGGAAGGAGGCGTTTGTGGAGGAGTTGAATAGGGAGAGGGAGAAGGTGGCTCAGGATGAAGAGGGGTTTGGGAAGGAGATGCCGTTTGTGCTTTGCCATGGGGATTTTGAGGGGAGGAACGTTTTGGTTAGGGAGGGGAGGGTTGTTGGTGAGTTTGCTGTTTGCTTTCCCAGCGCCCCTATTTTGAACTCTTCGATTTCCTGGTGGTGAAAGATGATTTTGAGATGGTCACTTATTGCCATCGTGTGTGTAGCTGTCATCGATTGGGAGTTCGCGGGCAGTTTTCCGCTTTGCGAAATGTTGGCTGGTAAACCCCTGACGATTGTGGAGTATACGGATCGCTGTGAGGAAGATGAGGAGGCGGAGAAGGATGCTGAGTGGTGTAATAAGATCATCGATAAGGTTGAGGAGTTTGCGATAGAGAGGGAGTGGAGTACGGAGAATATTGACTTGTTGTTGGGACAAGGGAATGAGATATTGGATAGAGCTAGAGAGGAGATGTTTCCGACGATTTGATGGATTTTGTAGGTAAGTCTACTGTGGATGAGCGTTTAATCAAGGATGGCGGACATTGCAAAGTCAACAGAACCAGGATTTCGCCGGATGGTAAGGGCGAGACAACAAGTCGGGATTGAAGGTCGCTGGCAGAGTCTACTTGACCCCTTGTTGCTCTCCAATGGTAATGCATACTACAGCGATCTCTTTTCCTCTCATCCATTATCCACCCACAGCTTCAGTGGTGGCCTTTCTCACTCGTTCCTTTGTCACAAAATCCAAACCTGTCTCTCTACAAGCACACGTACATCCTGTTATTCCCCCTCTTCCACGAACACTTCCATTGAGACTATCAAACACATATCAACTACCCCATCTCTGGCCATGATTCCCACATTCCCCATTCCTGCAGCGACCCGATGCTTGCTGACTAATCCCCCTTTTGCCTACCTCAGCCCTTTCTTTTCTGGAATGCCTACCACCCACAAATGCATGGTCTGCAAAAATGTCGGCGGAGATGGAAAACACCTTGTCAAATGCAAGCTCCACGCGGGAGTCTGGCACTATAAGCTCGGCAGTGGTAGATATCCTGAAAAATGTAGCTATTGCCGGGATGGATACCCCGCTGATATTGGTGGAGAAAAAGGAGGGGGAGGGAAAGGAGGAAAGGGGGGAAAGGGGGAGGGAAAGAAATGTAAGACGTAGTAGGCTGCTGGCGAGTGGGGGATATAATGATGTTTGGCTTGTTGAGATGGGGTTTGCGGTGAGTTGAAATGAGTGGATTTAAGGGTCTGGGTAGATGACGTGCTGAACTTGTTCTCTCAGGATGGCGAAGGCGGTGGTGAGGAGGAGTCGAAAAACATTGTTGTTCGCCAGCCTAACAGCGATGCACTTATGCCGAATCAGCTGGAAAATGAGGTTGCTTGGTTGACGTATGTAGCCGAGCACACTAGCATACGTGTACCAAAGGTGTACTCGTGGTCATCGGCAGATCCGCCTTATGTTACTATGGAGTATGTCGAAGGTAGACCTATGTGTGATGTCTGGAAGGATTGTGACGAGGATGAAAAGGAGTTGCTTGTGAAGGAGATAGCGCGTATGGTTGTTGAGCTTGGTGAGATTGGATTTGACAAGATTGGTGGTCTGAGTCCGGAGCATCAATTGGCACCTACCGTTGAGGGTATGAAGTTGTTCAAAGGCAGGGTGAGCTTCCAAAATGGACTTGGTCGATAAGCTGCATTGACAAGACATGTAGGACAAGATTCACTCCGATGAGCACTATGAGATCGGGCCATATTCAACAGTCAAGAAATATGCTTTAGCGTGTTATGATAAGGAGATCTACTACTATTCGAAAGCACCATTCGAGGATATCGTGTGGCGTTTGTTCGAAAAGGACGAGGAACTGACAGATGATGATCAGTATAATTGCCTTCCCGACGATGGTCCAAGGCGAGAGACCTTGTTAGAGAATAAAGCAGCATTTGTGGAGGAGCTGAAAGAAGCCCGCAAAGAATGTCTTCAAGACGAAGAGACGTTTTCGCAGGAGCCGTTTGTCCTGTGTCACAATGACCTCAATGGGCGGAATATCATGGTGCGAGACAAGCATATCGTGGGTAAGCACAACGTAGCATGCCTTTTCGATGACAAAGTGCATCGTTATCTGACTTCAGATAGGTATCATAGACTGGGAATTTGCAGGTAGCTATCCATTAAGCGAGCTCCTGAGTGGAGGCAGCATAGATGTCATCGAATATCTGTCGGAAGAGGATCAAGAGGAGAATTTCAAATGGCACGTCAAGATTCGCGACGCCATTCAAGAAGCAACTGAGAGCAGAGGATGGTCGAATGCCGATAAGGATCTACTCTTCAACGATGGGACTGGGTTGTTGCCAGGCTTGCGAACGGAGATGATTCCTAATTACCTGTATGATGAGGATGAGGGTGATGACGTGTCTGATCATAGTTCAGACGTATTAGGAAACAGTGATTGAATTTGAAAAGGTTTTTGGTATTGCCGTCCCGACTTACATTTCATGATGGAGTAGATGTTCAATTACCTCGTTCATTACTGCTATCCTAACTCGCTCAATATCTTGAGCAACTGTAATTCAGCCGACCTCTAGGCTTCAACATATTTCTAACGCTTTGTCCAAAGCTCCCGTCTGACGATTGGCAGATGACACTTCAGAGTCTTGCAAGTGCGCCCAATTGCTATTGGTCTTGAGTGACCTTTGTGGATTACATCCTCAATGCTGTTATTACAGCAGACGTACAGTATCTCTCATCGCGATATTTCGAGATGTCAATTGTGCCATCAATGTGGCCTGCAGCTTTATGTCTTCGTTCACCGTCGGCAAATCGTCTACAAGTCTCTTTGATAACATCTTCATTTATCCGTAGGCCGCCTTGGTCTCGTTGCTTCCAGAATAGCTCTTCATGTATCATGATCACTCCGATTATCATTTTGAGTAATGCTTTAGTTATGGAGGGCGCAGTCATTGGACCAAGTACATTGAAACTCATGGCAAATTTGACGCCGGTTGTGCCGGCCGTCGAGAGTCTTAGACAAGCTCCAAAAATACGTTTTCTGGCGACTGGCTTTTGCAAGGCATGATATGGATCAATGAGACTGTACTGCGTGCTCACAGCGCTATAGATGTCATTGAAAGATGTACGAAAGACAGTTCCACCCAGGAACGGGATCAGCGGCACTGAGTTCGTAATTGTGACCTTGTTGAAATGTGCCATTGCAGCCGTCACAGATTCTAGGTCAAAGTCAGATTGAATATTTCCACACTTTGGATTGAAATACCACTGCGTTTCAGGTCAGCAGACTGCTGTTGAGCAGATATCCAAAGGCGACGAAGGCCGTAGCTCGTCAACATCTCTAGAGTAGTGCCTACTAATTCCTTCACTCCTTCCGCAACTGGAACGTCATCTGAGATGCAATATTAGCAAGGCTCATCTACAGGCTCGACAGGGCTTTTCGAACCGCCGGCAACATATGGACTTTCATCTGGCATCGAAACGCGTTGGATATTAACCCCTGAGTGAGGTCCTAGTATCTTCTCTAAATTGGCTCTGTAGATCTCGTCGTAATCTCGCACCGCATACGCATGGGCTCTGGTAGTCAAATCCTCTGGCAAGACGGTACGTGGACCATGCTGTCGCCGATATCCTCTTATCAAAGCCATCTCATGTTCCTCTTCAACTTTGTCGAAATGAGTGAAGACGGCAACTACTGGAATATTTCCAAGATCGAACTTTTTGAAGAAGGTCTCTTCAGCGGACTGAATGTGCCGATGACCCAGCAGTGGAATGCAATACCTTGCAGATCTATCAGCCAATGACTACAGCCTCACTACTGCCCGCCTTACCAGATGCAGTGAAGCCTGTCAGCGAGGGTTGTCTTCGTCAAACGATCTTTGATAAACTTTCGAATCTCCTCAAGTCCCGAAACGTCACCTGCTTCAAAGCCTCCAGAATCATGAAGAATGATGTTTTCATTCTGCCCAGGAAAGGTGATCTCTTTCCATACTTGATGATACTCTGTCCCTCGGCTGTGTTTTGATATTCCAAACTATCAAGCTCTTAGTACGTCCCGAGACTATCGTTCGATTCGACGCTTCAGCTTACATCGACGGGGCCGCCCACTTTTCCTTGGCCCTTTCCGACGCCAAAGACTTTGCTACACAAGGTAGACTTGCCACTACCCGTTTGCCCAACAACCAGAATTCGGAATTTGGGGCACTCGTCAAGGATATCAGAAGGATAGAAACTTGTGTGCTCCTCAAATTTGTTGACCGCGTCCTCGAAGTCCTTCTCATCCATATCGACAATGATGTTGATGTGGTTAAAGGTTCAAATTAGTTGCGTCGTCGCAAAGTAAAGAGGCTGAGTCTCAGCTGTGCTCGTCAGGCTGAGAAGGATTCTAGGCCTTCTTGATCGTCCGCTAGCCACCCACGCCAAAATTCAAGCTTGATGGTGTGCAGCGAACCTGCCCCCACATTTAGATCATTTTGGCATATTGGTACCAGTCCATCATAGCTTAAAGGAGTCGCAGAGCTGGGACTCCGCGTCTGTATATTAAGTGTATGCCCCCCGTTGATGCCACGTCTAGAATGACTCATCTAATAGGAATCGCAGGCACCATAAAAGTGGCCAGCACATCATGCAGACTTGATCCTGTCTAACGAGTTTCATCCGTCTTAGTGCTTACATACATCGTGGCCTGTCCAAGCAGATCTCGTCTTGCTTCACCAGGCTGAAGAAGGCTGAGAGGCCACGTGACTACTCTTATGAAGCAAGCTGATTTCAGTGCCAAATCCCCCATGCTGTATCACGGAAACCTGTCCGTAACCATACACCGCACACGACAAGTCTCAAGTCATCATGACTCTCGGATTCTCGGTTGGCGAGTTCCTAAAACTCGGCAAGGAGACTTGGAAACTCTACCAGGCATGTTTCAATGCACCGGAGGTTTTCAGCAGCGCTGCAGACCAATGCTTTGGTATACATGCTGCCATCGAGCAAACTCAGAGATATCTTTACAAGCTGAATACGAACTATGACCATGATCATCAGGACCGGGAAATCTATGTGAAGCTTGCGATGATGACCGCAAATTGTCGTCGCACCTTATCTCGATTGGAGAAGATTCTGAAGAAATCGAAGGGTATCGGAGCCTCCGGACATAATGTCTGGGATACCACCATGTTTGCATTGCGAGGCACGAAGGAAGACTTGGCGGAGATTAGGTCCGAGCTTTCTTCTCACATGGCTGCTATCTCACTTTTTCTTCAGAGCGTTCACTACCAGAGAGATGAAGGGACACCGATGAAAGGATTACCAGGAAAGTCGGAGGAGATCCAGGCTCGTCCTAGCAATTTTCAGTCTGACGGACATGGAACGCAATCCCCACATGTGCCATATTCTTCCGCCTCTTTGAATAGTGCATTGCAAGCGAGAAAGAAAATTTTGCAAGAAAGCTTCTCCTTGGATCAAGATTGGCGAAATCAAATCCGCCTCTTAACCGCTGCGGAGCAATCTAGCCGTGTAGCGATGAACTCAGATGCAACATACAGTGGTGAAGAAGAGTGGTTGAGCAAGCTCCCGGAAGGCTGGCAACGAATCTGGCTCAACGCGGTGGAATACCAGTATCGCTACCTATTTCGTCCCAGGTCTCACATCGCTAGCCGGGCATATAATGCCCTTGTCCCTTTCGAAACGTTCGTTGAACTGAACCTTGAGAATTTACCACCGGGGTGGGTGGAGAAAACGAATAAGTTTGGCTCAAAACACTATTTTCAGCCGTCCACCGGAAATATACAATTGATCAGGCCCACGGGAAGATTCGAAGAGCTTTCGAGTGGTCACTTCGTAGGGTAAGAATTAGAGTTGCGCTTCTGAGTCTTTCAATGACAGTTGATAGGTGGCAATGCCATGACGGATTACCAATAGATCTGAATGACGGCATTTCTAGAGAACTGGCTCATGCAAGGTACCTTGACGAGCGTATACCTGCAGACGATATAGAATCTTCTTTACCCAAAGGGTGGCGCTGGTCGTGCGATGCAGATGGTCACCCCACATATACCTCCCCGGGCACGGGTCAGGGGTCAGAAGCGTGGCAAAGCACTGTTCATCCAACTTTTCTCCCTTCTCATAGTTGTCGCTTACCACCAGGTTGGGATTACCGCCTTGATAGCTGGGGTACACTGTTTTATGTGGACCATCATACTGGGACGGCCCAAAGGGTCAACCCAACAGATGACGGCGTTACCAATACTGAGACTGGCTTACCAAAGGGATGGACAAAGATGAAAGACCAGAGCGGAGCTGATTATTATTTGGAAGAGGCGTCATTAATTGCAACTTACAAAGGGAAGGTTATGAAGTCCAACGACGACGAGCAGAAGATTGCTCTTTCAAGTAATCCGAAAAATGGCGACGTCCTACCAAGGATCGTAGACAATCCAGCAGGAGGGCGAGAGGGCTGGCCAGGACATCGCTCCGCTGGTGACAACGCAAAGTCTTCATGGAACGTACTCGACATTTTCAAGTCTTGAACAGGAGCAGTGCTACCAGCCTTTGAACACCACCATTTCGCATTGCGGGAGCTTACGTCGCTCCACCTTTGCTGTGAATTGGACTGTCAAGGCTGTATATGTGGGTCAATGGGTCATATACGAATCTGCGATTGTCCTGGAAGGCTCATCACTAGTAGCTTGTGACAGGATCCCATGCGTCAGGCAGATTTGAAACTCAGGGCACAGTATCATTTTCTTCCCTTAGCTGAACAGGCCCCTAGCCTAGGAGCCCGTTCTGCGGCTCTCTTTTGCCAGAAACTGCCTTAGACCGATGCCAAAGTTTTCTCTGTCTTCTTCAAATTCGATCCACCCTCGACTGTGACCTCGTAAGCCTGCAAGGGTTCTCCTCCTGCAGGGTTGTTTTCGACAATACTTTGGTAGCGCCCCATCTCAACCATCACGCCTTCCACTGGATGCTCTGGAGCACTTTGATGGTGTCTAGACCGTGGCGTTCTATTGCTGAGGGCGCTGATACTGAGTCTTGGCAGGACCCGAATGAAGAACGGTCGAAAGGCTGGCATGCAGCTACACACGAGACCGATGTTGATTTCCATGATACTGCAGACGCGAATTAATTCATTTATCAGCTGCGTAACAGTGAGGAGAACACACCTCCATATGAAATACTGAGCGTTAGCCGCATTCTGTTGGACGATGTATGCATATCGTACGATCGCCACAATGCAGGTTCTAGCGGTGAGATATGAGATTGATACAACATTAATGAGGGGTAGTGGACTTACATAGCACCGCTCATGAATATAACAGAGACACCAACTTTCTCCCTCGTTGACAGCTTCAACTGCCAAATGATTGGAAGCGGCAAAATGAATATGAGTAGGTCAGAAATAATGTTCATCGACCCATATGCAAGTCCTGCCTTTGTGTAATTTATACAGTGCCCTGGAATATCGGAGTCCCAATATTTTGTACGAGGCGTACACCCGAATATTTGAGTCAAGAGATTAGAGATTAGGTATCCACAGACGAAGAACATTGTCAACCAGGTAAGATATCGAAATAATGTGTTGACATAGAACAAACGCAGATAAAGAATCAGTATCGACAACTTGTATCCGAGTAAGGTCGTAATATAGATCATGTCGGCATCGTTTATAAACTGAGGCAGCATCAGATCTCCACTCGGCAGACGTGTGCATTACAAGTTTAGCTCTCACCTTGACGTAAGCCTCATCGTTGACTGGGACAATCTGTCGATTGGTTGCTACACCACGTTAACGAAAGACTCTCGCATAACGCCATAAAGAGATTGAAAGTGACCCACATAAACCTATAAGAACGCTATATATAATGCAGAGAAACTGGAATCACGAATGAGCATTACATTCATCGCTTGCAAGGACTCACCGACCAACACGAGAATCGCAGTGTCTGCCAATGTCAATGCATTGTATTTGAAGTATCAGGAACACTTACAATCATCCCAACCTAAAGCATGCAGTAGAAAGACTCTTGACCAGATACGAAACACCATGAAGATCAAAGAAATGACGGGAAGGATGATGCATGCTGCTACGATGGCATGAGATTGGTATGAATCTCCCACATCGACAGCCATTGTTTCAGCGAGAATTGAGCATTCATGTGAATGTGAAGAAGTAATGATACTTAAAGTCTCGACGATATATCCGTCGACAAAGTGATAGGAAAAGCATGAGAGATTCAAAGAGGGCGTGACAACTTGCTTGATGACTTCAGGAAAGGGGCGAGGCAAGACAAAAGCAAAGGTTGAAATACTCCTTGAGCCGGATCATCGTATGCATGACACACGTGAAGGCTTGAAATTAGCGGCAGAGGGTTGGAAAAGGCTTCGTGTAACTGGCCACCCTCATTGTAGTTGTACCTGGAACTATCAAATGTCAAGGTCGCCCGACGGCATGGAGTAAGTGTTATCTGTCCATGAGGTTTTCTTCTGCCTTACGCTACGCACGGCGGCGCAGATGACTTCTGGTGATTCGCTCGGGTGGTGCCCCTGCTGCAAGAAGCAACTGACATGCATGCATGCATGCGCTTACCTGCATGTGGGCTGACTGAGACGCCCCTAACTTTTGAAAGCTTCCTGAGCTCTCTCGAGGCATTGAAAGCTTCCTCAAATGTTACACTGCAGGGCATTTCAAGGATTGCAATCATTTCATTGCCGCGGCTCTGAAGATTCTTTGAATTCGAGGTCAAATCCAAATGTCGGAGTGCATTGCCAAGCAGGTGGAGATGTCATGCGTTAGGCGGATTCGAGCAGCTCCTTGCAGTATGATTCGTCTTCGGATCGCGTGGTCCGATCGATACTGAGACTCTAGGCCCATGTATGTCTCCTCCGCGAAATGGCGGCCGTTAGACTCCGCGAGTTAGAGTTATCAATCCTGAATCGGATATCGTCGCCATTGGAGGTGGCGTGCAGACTGCATTAGGGGCCGTTAACAAGAGCCTCCACTCCGAAGCAGCGCGGATATAGCTCTGCGTTTTCAAAGGACCGCCTGTCTTTGCTGTGTGTACTTGGAGCAGGCAAGGTACGCGCACCTCTTGTCTGCACTCCGGTCCCAATTAATGAAGAGCTTTGGCGAGCCGAATTTGAATATGCAAAAGTAAATCTGAATTTCGTGAACAGCGTTAAACAACATATATGAATGACGGAGATTGCATGGTTGCGTACTGAAACATACAGTAGCAACGGAACGATTGATATCGTAAGCGACTTTTGAGGCTGCCTTCGAAGAGAAAGAAGGCGCTGCGGATGGCCTATGCGAGCATAGACAGGTTTAAAGGACTGAAGCAATGACTAGTTGCAGTGCTCTCAATGAACTGCTGTCAACAAGTACCAATCAAGTGAGCTGAATGCTACAGAACAGACAATTTTCCCCGAAGAAAGCCTCGTATGTAATATCCGATAGTCTAGTTTAGCGCTACTTTACCATACCCAAGACAACCTCATTTCCAATTTGTGTGAAGGGCAACTGCATGAGATTGCGGAGGTGAGTCATGCAGCTTTCCTTTACCCATTGCAAACCCCACTACATGATGACATCAAAATTTGCTCTGCCTAGAGAAACGATTCACTTCGTCTTTCGGTGCTGGCATGATTTCTCATAGACTACAACGGTATCTGAACATACACAAAAAACGCTCAATCAGACAAACATGAACTAATGGAGTGTTTCGGAAGCTGACAGCTTTCTATAGTCTCTTCGCTCTGCTCCAGTCATTATTGTACAATGCAACCATTCTTACATCATGTCAACGACAGTATTGAGGCCCAGGCCCAATCCGTCGAAGACGGGTCGCCCAAACTACAACCAAATCCATAGATATCCTTTACCTCTTGAGACCTTCCCGCTTCCACCACTGATCCCGCATAATCCGCTATCTCTTGTCCAAATAGCCTTCGTCTACCTTTCTCAATTACTATCACCCCCCTCTTCTCACCGCTCAAATTTCGTTCAGGGTATCTTCTGCCCTGATTCAAACTCCGTGCACGTCACGGACCACGCACAAGCGCGCTTGCTATGGGAACGAGGTTTCTTCGGAAAGGGAAGTTTGAGTCGGAGTGAGCCAACATGGCTGGACCGAGAAAACAAGAGACTAGGTTTGGCGGAGAAAGATACGAGTGAGGAGTACAGGCAGCAGAGGAGACAGGAGAGACAGACGATGAAAATGGAAAGGGCGCGGCAGCAACAAGAAGCAATTGATGCAAAACGCGCTGAGGAAGGACAAGGTGGGTTGGAGACCAACCATACCCCTTTGTCGTTGGGCATTGTACAGGGTGTCAACGGACAAGACGCGTCCGAAGAGCAATCGAACATTATTGGTGTTGCCTCAAGGCAGCCAAGTCTTCTTGAGCATATTGCCGAACAGCCTGAAGAAGTCCCCGCACAATATCTTTCTCAATCACAAGATCAGCCACAAACGAGTTTCGCCGCACTACCAATAGCTGAAGATATTGAGGTCCAGGAGCATTTGCAGTTGAGCGCGGAGGAGGCCTTCTTTCTGATCTATGCTCTCGGTGTTCTCACCATCTATGATCCTATCACTCAAACTCCAATGCCGACAGAGGATCTATTTACTTCATTCCGTTCGCACTCCCATTTTCCGCCGACTTCTCCAAATGACCTGACACCCTACGATCCCTTTCTCCAATCCTATACTGTCTATCACCACTTTCGTTCATTAGGCTGGGTGGTGCGCCAAGGCATCAAATTTGGTGTCGATTGGCTTCTCTATCTACGTGGACCCCCATTTCATCATGCAGAGTTCGCTGTTGTGGTTCTACCAGCTTTCAAAGATGATTACTGGTGGGAGAACGGCAGAAAGGAGCAGACAGTGAAGCGTGAGAAGAAAGATTGGTGGTGGCTACATTGTGTGCAGAGAGTGCAGGCGCAGGTCAAGAAAGGATTGGTGGTGTGCTATGTGGAGATTCCTCGACCAATTGATGATTGTGTTTCGTCACTATCGGTTCGCGAAGACATGCCTGCCAAAGCGAAAGGCATTGAAACATCAGGCACGATTGATATTGGAAAAACATTGGAAAAATACAAAGTCAGAGAGTTCGTGATCAAGCGATGGATACCCAATAGAAGTCGGGACTGACAAGACATGATGTTATGACTAATGACAGATCGGATAGACTAGATACCCCCCCTGAAAAGGCACAATACTCTTCATCAATCTCCCAACCTTTGCTTCCAGAAATCCCACCAAGGCACTAAACCCCGAGATCCGTGCGTCAACCCACACAAATTGACGTCACATAAGCGAATGACAAAATGAAGGAGCAACTGCCTCTATCAAGATACATGCAGTCAGACCTTTCCTCTAATAAGATAGTCCAAGACTTGCCTTTGAAGACAGAATGAACTACGGAGCATTCCTCCTCCGAACCAGCTGACTCTTACGCCGTCACAATTCCCCACTTGTCCCTTCGTCTCGCGCCCTCATATCGAAAATGGCGGCCTCACCACCACCAACAAAACGCCAAAAGACCTCTTCCTCTGCACCCTACGAACTCATCTACTGGCCCACTATTCCTGGCCGCGGTGAGCCCATCCGCCTTTGCTTCGAAGCAACCAAAACGCCCTATGTCGACGTCAGCAACAGTACAAAAGCCGGTGTCAAAGCCGTCATGGAGCAAATTAGCGAGGAGAATAAAGGCCACGGATACAATCTCCCTCACCTTGCCCCTCCAATATTCCGCCATGGCGACCTCATCATCTCTCAGCTGCCGAACATCCTTCTGTACATAGCTCCAAAACTTGGGCTCGCAGGCGATGAGGAGGATGAGCATGCTATATACCGGATAAATCAGCTGGCGCTCACGGTGCTGGATGGATTCAGTAACGAGGTGCATGATACGCATCATCCGATGGCTGTCTCTGAGGTCTATGAGGATCAGAAGGACGAGGCGGAGAAAAAAGCAAAGAATTACATTGAGAACCGCTTGCCGAAATTTTTGGGATATTTTGAGAGAGCTTTGGAGTCCGGGGCGAGCGGAGGAGGGGAATGGCTGTACGGAAACCGGCTTACGTATGCTGATTTGGTGCTCTGGCATGGCTTGGATGGGACTAGCTTTGCTTTCCCAAAAGCGGTAGTCAGGACGAGGGAGAGTGGACACTATGAGAAAGTTTGGGCATTGTATGAGCGGGTGAAAGAGTTGGATGCAATCAAGAGCTATCTAGGAAGTGAGAGGAGACTAGGTTACACCAAGGGGATATACAGGTACTATCCAGAATTGGATATCGAGGCTGAGTAGGGTATGTGAGCAGACTTGAATGAATTATACAAAGACAGCCGCTTTCATTGGGCGTGCAGATAGCCAATTACCAGTATCGGTCTCCTAAAAGCAACTGAATGAAGTTCTCACGGAAAGCCAGCTCCAAAGAGAGAGTAAATGACTAACCCAAATAGGCTTAGTCAGGGGTACTCTATTTGAGCCAGACTAGTGATCTCAGACAGACAGACGTGAGAGTCGACGTGAGTGATGTCTCCGGATCACCACACTGGCGTTACATGGAGCACATGTAGCATAAATAGTAGTGAAAGGTGTTTCCCTCTGGTCAGCCATCACTCGCGACATTAGCGCGGTAATCTATGTATCAAAAACCGTATTACGTCATCTCAACTTTTGAAGCTCAACCCAACTTCAACATTATGCCCGTTGAACCCCAAAAACCCTATGCAACGGGCTCCAAAGGATTCGACCCAGATGATTTTTTAGCACAATGGCCAAAGAAGGCGCAAGCCCTCTCAAAACACGACTTCCGCTCCTCGATCATCGACAACTTCAACCTTCCTCATAATGATTCCTATGTCTACCACGCAATCGCGAGCGTCACACTCTCTCAAGTCCAAGAAGCCACCAACCATGGCCGAGAAGCCAATTTACACGCCTGGTACCTCGATGAAAACAACAAGCCCGTACATCCCCCTCTCCACACGAACCACAAAACCAAAGTTCTGATGACCTAACCTCAGCTGCCCTAGCTCGAGCTCCCCCACAAGCAGACACAGAAGCCTACACCACCCTCTTCTCGCCAACCACAACCCCCCAAAAAGCCCTCAAAGCCTTCGCCTCCAATGCGCGCAAATATTCCCTCCGCGCCTCCTCGGCCACCTACCTCCACTCCCAACGTCTTCTCCCCTCCCACATCACCATTCCCCGCAGCAAAGCGCACATAAACCCCGCCTACGACGTCTGGGCCCTCACCTGCAAGACCCTCGAATGGTGCGGTCCCACACCCTCCACGCACCGCGTCAGGTCCGCGCACCACATCCTGCCCGTGATGATGCACCATTTCGGGTGCGTGGTGCCCAGCTACGAGGCGCTCGAGATCATCAAGCAGCTCTCTTCTGGCCGGACAGTCCTGGATGTGGGTTCCGGAAATGGATATTGGACGTACATGCTGCGCCGGCATGGCGTGGAGACTGTTGCTGTTGATAACAAGCAGTCGGAGTGGCGGGTGATGTGGATCGGCGACACGATTTCTACCGACGGGGTGGAGTTTTTGAGGAAGAGGGATGGGGGAAAGGGGGAGGTGCTATTGTTGGTGTATCCGGTTGTAGGAGGCGAGTTTACTGAGAGGATGGTGAGGGCGTATGAGGGGGATATGGTGGTTGTGGCGGCGACGCAGAATCGGAGTGGGTATACCGCGTTTAAGGACCGGAGAGTTGATGAGTGGATGGTGGAGAAGGTTGGGGGATGGGAGAAGGTGGTGCAGGTGGCCCTGCCGAGTTTCGCGGGGAAGGATGAGGGATTGTTCGTTTTTGAGAGGAGGAAGGGAAGACAGTCAGTACATGAAGCAAATGATTTGGATAATTAGCGATGCCATTTAATTACTAGCGTTGCTGAAGAAATTCTTGGAAATGGGCCTTGAGCAATTCGCAAAGCACATCGTAGGACAGAATGGAAAATTGTGATAATTGAATTGCTCATTCCTTCGTAATAGTCATGTTATGCTAATTCATGCTCAGTCACCACGCTTTTGGGGTATCATAGAAACACTTTTTCGAAAGACCTTCCCAACCGTTTAAACACAAAAAGCAAGACAGGAGATAGCTCAACCCAGCCGAAACAGCGAAACGAACGCAGTAATCCCTGAATAGTCCGGGGTCTCCTGCAGTAATCAGAGATTACCACAGTCCCTCAGACAACTCTAGGCCTCCTGAACGTCCATCTCAAGCCATCCCAGCCAGGGAGACACATCTCCCGTCCCGGAACTCCCCAACGCCCGAACATCTTTTCCTTTCATCTAAGATCGACCCTTCGCGTACTTGTATCGGTACGCCTGCTTCTCTCCTTTCTTCGTCCCAACTTCCTCTCTTCCCCAGCTATGTAGCAGCGCTTTGCTCATCCGGTCTCGCTCCTTGAATAGTAGCTGTGCTCTCCGGTGCCATTCTTGCTCTCTAGCCTCCATCTTCTCTAGGAGGCGAGCCTCAAGCTCAGCATTAACGTCGTTATTGGCTTCCTCTATGGACGCGGCGTATTGCCGGGATTCCTCAGCTTCGGCGCGGGCGGCTTTGGTAGCGGTGTTTGCCTTTGTAAGCTTATTGGATAGGACGCGTATGGCAGAGCGAAGCTCATCTTCGGCGCTATGCGTTGATGGTTCCTGTTGCATGTGAAGCTGCTGCTCAAGGCTCGTGACGCGCTGTTGTAGAGTTGTAAATTGTTCCGTATGGGCTTTCATCGTCTCTTCTTCTGCTCTTTTACGTGATTGAACCGTCTTCTGTACCAAGGAACGAAGAGTGTCAGTTGCCTTAGCATGTTGTGTTTTCAGTGAAGCGATCGTTTCCTCGTGATTCTTGGATAGATTATGGAGCTCGATCGCATGTGCGCCTGTATCCTCTTGCGGCCCATAGTCTTGCGTCTCTCTGAGCTCCTCGATAGTTTTGTGAGCAGCTTCTAAATCTTCGCACTTGTCGTGAAGCTCCATTCGAACGAGCCGAAGCTTTTCATTTTGAGACTTGTAGTTCTCTGCCAACTGGTCATGGTCCTTCTCTACCTCTCCGAGGATTCGCCTTGTATCCTGAAGTTGCTCACGGCTTTGATCAAGCTCGGCGCTGATCGACCCTCCGTCTCTTCTCAATGATTGAATGATGCCATTTGTTTCATGTGCTTCGTCTTCTAATCGCCTTATGGACTGCTCATGTCGTTCTTTTTCTTCAGCAAGCTGAGCTGCCTCTTGGGCAATAGCGAGGGACTTATTGCTCTCTTCTCGCACTTCATCTTCTAGACGTGCGATCTCACTCAAGCTATCTTCTTTAAATGCATCGAGTTCTGCTTCCAGGCCATCGCCTTTGATCTGTTCCTCCCGCAGTTGTTGCGTGAGATCTTTGATTCTCTCATTTGCTTTTACTACTTCGATCTTGAGTGAAGTGTCGCTGGATCTCCTTGTGTGTCCTCTCGAATCCGACTTTTGCTGTAAATGTTCGAGCTCCGCAATGCGCCGTTGAGCCTGTTCATTCTCTGATCTGAATTTTGCGTTCTCTCGTTCCAAGTCCTGCTGCCTAGCCAAACGCGCCTCTTCTTCTTCCCGCATTTTCTCCACCTCGGCATGTAAAGCTGATAGTCTGGCGAAGGTTTCCTCATTTGCCGGATTTTCTGAGACGTTCCGGGCTGGCGAGAAAGGGACAGGGGCGTCTTGTAAAGGTTGCTTTGCATCACTACTTCTTCGCGACGGCGGCGTTGATTCAGCATCGGGCTCGCCGAGGCTAAAGTCCTCATCAAAAATGTCTAGCCGAGGCCTCTGCCATTGTTTCTCGCCATTCATGTACTGGTCCAGATGTAAGGTGAAGTCATCAGGGCCATTAGTCTTGCTTACGGCATCCAGATTAATGGCAGAGAAACGCATGTCCGAAGGCGTCTCAGGCCGCTGAGATGCAGCCATGACTTAGTCCTGTAATTTGGGCAGGTAAGAAGAAGTCTAGCAAGGCACACACAAGTGGAAAGGGAACCAATCAAAGCGGCCGGATATTCACAACAAAGCAGACTTGATGATGACAAATAAAGTTGCTCGTGAATTGTGAATATTGAAGCACGAATGAGAAATCAATTGCGGTGTTGAATTGGAGGATGATATCAGGAAATTGTGGGCGCGTTGTTTACTTTCTCCGTATATATTACGGCGCTAGTGCTAGCGTCACTGTGTCTTTGGCTTTTTGGTCACAGCCATCAGAACGTCATCATCTGCAATCCTCTTCTTTTTGCGGACGAGTCCTGCACTGAGTAGGTTCGTCACCTGTTCGCCTGTGGCAGCTTGCGGTAAATTTGGGGCTATTGGTCGCTCGCCAGATATTACTCTACCCCAGGTTAACAAATCGGCTCTGTGAGCGATCTCACCCATCCACTTGCTGGTTGAAGCTTTCGCCTTCTCCTTATTGCCATAGTCTAGATCCAGGAGGAACTTAAACACCTCATCATACTCTTGTTGTTGGAGCACGGCCTCGCCCCGACTTGTCTTTGGCCAATAGTAATTACCAGTAACTTCAGACCTTTGTGCAAGGCCATCGAAATTTGGTTCATCGTTTGGCGGAGGGATCGAAGACTCCGATAGAACCTGCGACAGTGGTTGGGTAGGTATCGATGCGCTTGGCTCGCCGTTGGGAGAACCTGGAGCTGTCGTCTCAGGGGCAGTCTCAACTTTAGTATCATCATGTGACCACCTATTAGGTATGAACACAGCCCAGAGGAAGCCTACAAGCCGACCGGATGAGCATTCCTGCCTGAAGGACATCGCCTCCCAGAATTGATCCAAAGACCCGATGCTTCTCCATTTCCCGCTGTGGGCCAGCTTTGTGGTATCTTGAGATTCTGCCTGAGAATCTGTTGGCCTTTCTTCCGGTATCTCCTCGTCCAGCGAATCAACGAATCGCCCTTTGGGATCATCAGGAAATCGTGGTATCAAACATCTCTCCGGCACGTCAGAAGACTCTGCCAATTCGCGCAATGGGTCTTCAACGGTCCAAGAGCCATTCACATTGACCCTCCCCGTGGCATCCCTAGGGAAAAAAGCCTTGGTCTCGTGTACATCATATCCAGGGACTCGCAAATATGCCTTGGGTTGCTCCCCTTTTTGGGTCATACGTCTGAGATTGGTTACCATTGGTGAGCTGCTGTTGTGATATTCTCGCCGCGATCACTCCGTCTATCACGCGACACCACCATTTGATTAGCCCTCGATCATCCAAGATGTGCTTTTGGCTGTTTTCGACGCTCGCTGGGAAAAGGTATTGGTTCTGAGACCTTGCGAATAGCGAGAGAACGATTCTGCGGTCTGAACGCGAGTGTTCTTTTATCAGGAACTCTATGAAGGCTGTAGCTAATGATCTTAACGGCGAAGGTGTCCCCGTTGGAAGTCGAAGTAAATGCAGGTAGCCAGTCGAGTCGGCCTTTGATACAAAGAGCGTAGTCAATTGCTTAGTAGTGTATATCAGTACCTCGACTGCGAAGACTTGTAGAACAGAGCCATCGGAATCAATTGAAACACTGAAGAAGTGAGTCTCGCAATGAGTCTCCTCTGGTTTTTGGCCAGGTGCTGCAGCAACAATCGGTGAGCAATGCGTTGGCGGGGTTGAGACGTGGTGCAAGATGAATTTGTAGCCAAGCGGAAGCGCTGTAGCAAGGGATTTTTCCAGAGAATTGCGACTCATTATAATGCCATACTAAAACCGAACTCCAAAGCAACCCGTCAAAGCAAAGTGATTGGACGAGTTGAGTCGTATAACTGAAGTGAAGATTCGGTGTCCACTCTGCCGCGTTTTTTGGAGAGACCCTGCAATCCCGCCTCCGCAAATTCTCCGCAAGACTTTTGAACATTTGAATTCTTCCCTACCAGAAAATCGTCCAAAAGCCAGCATTGGTGATCCTGATGGCAAAGGCGCCCTCTAGACACTCCCTACACAGACTCTCTCACCAGAATTGTACCACCCAGCCGTGCTTTCGCCCCTTTCTTCGGCAGCATTCTGGCAAAACTTGTCGCCGACGACATTTCCAAACAGCATCCTCGGTTCAGGCTGAATACGTCTCACAGCAGCCCAGATACCCTCAAGAAGAGCCAAGATGGAAGCAAACGCCGCCACTCATGACTGCTCCTTATCGATCCAAGCCCCCTGTGAACGATAATGACTACGAAGTCAACCAGGATCCAACCCGTTTGAACAGAGTCTACAACAACATACTCGGTGGAAATGGGGACAGAACTATTACGGAGGAAGTGAAGTGGCTGGCCGTAACACATAAAAGTTTTGACCATGGGAGGAGAGGCTTCAATGACCGATTATCATTAATAGGTACAGCCCAGGAATAGCTTGAGGAGACCGTCAAGCACTTGTTAGCTGATGATATATAATACAGGAAGGAGAATCGTGGAGCTACAAGCCTCTCTGTCACTACTTCATGGCCGCTCCGCTACGTCCGTAAAGCTACCAGATGACGGCTACGATCGTGAACCATTCCAGCATCCAGCATTAGAAAGATTAGAGAGCATCACACTGCAGAGGCAATTTGAGCTGCTCGAGAAGGACCGCATGGCAGGCTTAGGGAAAAGATACGGACTGGATGGGGTGGTACGGTGGAAGCCCAAGAATGTAAGCTTCTATGCGACCCTTTATATCTATGCACTGGGCACTAACAGGACGCCCACAGGCCAGGGATTTATGGAAAGCATCTGGGTTTCCACTCATCATTCAGCAGGCGTTATATGCAGTTATAGGGGCAGTAGCATTACAGCGGGGTGGACAAGTCGCGAATGAGACCGTCAGAGATAGGATTTTGAGTCCTTTAGGAGCATATCACAGGACGTGAGGGCTTATAGAACTGTACAAAATGCATTGTAACGTACTGCATAGCGCTCGAAGAGGGAAATTGGAGTATCAAAGTCTTGTGTGATCTCCTAAACTGCATACTACCACACCATTGATACGTGCTTCGACCTCGCCCATAGTCATGAGACACTATTCAAAAAGCTTGTTTTATATGTTTCTTGTCTGGCTCCTCTGACACCGCCCATGCAACCAGTAGCTTTCCAGCCATACATGGCCAGTTCTTAATGGACCCAAGTCGCTCTGCGCATTCACAAATCACGACTAAAACACGATTAAAAATGCGGAAGCGACAAAATGCCAGCTATACCACAATGTCACGTCGTACTGTCCTAGAGTGCGTAGTGTGAAGGGAAAAAAGCAAGCTTTTGGAGAAAATATATTTGTAGTGCGCCCGCCGCGCTAGTCCGTTTTAGCATGAGTCTCAATATCTGTGCTCGAAAAGAGGCTGCCTATTTCGTCAATTGCAAACGAGTCAGTCTCCAAAAGACGAGATACATTCTTCCGACTACAGTTAAACCTTCAATGCAGTACGATCGATAGTCTTACGTTCAGCCGGCAAGCCGTCTTAAGCAACTCAACATGGCTTCCGCGCTTTTCTTCTTGGACCTTAAGGGCAAGGTATAATTCTGGCCTGAGGACATTAAACAGCATTTGATGGCTAGCTGACCATTATGTATCTACATAGACCCTTCTTGCCCGCAACTACAGAGGTGACATTCCCATGTCTGCAGTCGAAAAGTTCCCAATACTCCTATCCGAAGCCGAAGAAGAGTCATCCGCCGTTCCCCCTTGTTTCTCAGACGAAGGCATCAATGTATGCTGCGAACTGTTGGCACAGTGCTCTACTAAAGCCTCTCTCAGTACCTCTACATTCGGCACTCCAATCTCTACCTTCTCGCCCTCACCAAACGCAACACTAACGCCGCCGAAATCCTCCTCTTCCTCCATAAAATCGTCGAAGTCTTCACCGAGTACTTCAAAGAACTCGAAGAAGAATCCATTCGCGACAATTTCGTCATCATTTACGAACTGCTGGACGAAATGATGGATTTCGGCTACCCGCAGACTACAGAGAGCAAGATCTTACAGGAATACATTACGCAAGAGTCGCATAAATTGGAGATACAAGCGCGGCCGCCGATAGCGGTCACGAATGCTGTCAGTTGGCGCAGCGAGGGTATACGGTATAGGAAAAATGAGGTGTTCTTGGATGTGATTGAGAGTTTGAATTTGCTCGTGAGTTCGACGGGCAACGTGCTGCGCTCGGAGATTTTAGGGGCGGTGAAGTTGAAATGTTATTTGAGTGGGATGCCGGAATTGAGGCTGGGTTTGAATGATAAAGTGATGTTCGAGTCAACGGGGAGGGCGACGAGGGGGAAGTCCGTGGAGATGGAGGATGTGAAGTTTCATCAGTGTGTGCGGCTGTCGCGATTCGAGAATGATAGGACGATCAGCTTCATTCCCCCAGATGGCGAGTTTGAGCTAATGAGTTATCGATTGAATACTCAGGTCAAGCCGCTGATTTGGGTGGAGAGTGACGTGAGGATTCACTCTGCGTCGAGGATCGAGTTCACGTTGAAGGTGCGTCTTTTGCGGCTCTGCGATATCTCCAAGAAAGTCTCCGTTGGTGATCTGCAAAGTATCAGTATTTCCATGGGATCTGCAAGCTATCATTGAGATGATCAATCGCTAACGACAACGGAAACGGCAGGCTCGCGCGCAATTCAAACGACGGTCGACGGCCAACAATGTAGAGATCCTTGTCCCCGTCCCGGAAGACGCGGATTCGCCTCGCTTCCGTACCAACATTGGTAGCGTGCATTACGCGCCGGAGAAATCAGCTATAATATGGAAGATCAAGCAGTTTGGTGGGGGTAAGGAGTTCCTTATGCGCGCCGAGCTGGGCCTTCCGTCCGTGAAAGGAGATGATGAGCAGGGAGGGGGAATGATGGGTGGCTTTGGGGGGAGCATGGGAGGCGTTGGAGGCGCCGGGGGAGGCAAATCGAAACGACCGATCAACGTCAAGTTTGAGATTCCGTACTTCACGACGAGTGGTATCCAGGTCCGGTACCTGAAAATAATAGAACCGAAGGTACGTCTGATTTTCCTCTTTTGGTGACACCCGGCGCGGTGTAACGTCGGGATGAGTTGCGTGAATCGAAAGTGACGATGGGAATCACCGAGTTGAGCCTCATCTGGTGGCAATAGCTCACGCTATCAGCTGCCGGTACCGCGTGCTAATCGACGCCTCATTGAGCGGCACGGTGCGAGGGGCCGGAAGCTCATGTCCCCAGATGAATTGAGCTCTTCAATTGGTTGATCTGGGTAGTGCTGACATCTGATCCGGTTTAGCTTCAATATCCGTCCTTGCCCTGGGTGAGGTACATTACCCAATCCGGCGACATCGCAGTGCGGCTACCCGACGTGCAGTAAGAGAAAGTCTGTTTGAAGTTGCATTAGTGCCTCGTGGGGATGCGGGTATCATGCATGGTTCTCTCGCTGCAAGCGCTTGACTTCAGAACGGCAGATATGATGTTCAATAATGGAAATATTCTCCAAGATAACCACTTCATATACCTTCGTCTCAGTGTTTCTTGATCATAATATCGTCGTGACACATAAACAGTACTAACCCTCTTGAAGACGGTCGTATGACAACGAAACATTTTGACAGACATCCAATGTAAACCTAGTGTGCGTGCAACGCCTTAATATGTGCGAAGACTGATGTCTTATATGTCGATGATACTTCCAGGAGAGAATGGATAACACTGGTGCTTCATCGATAGAATGCGCCGAACTCAGTTCCTTCGAGCTTCTCCAACAGAATCTTGGAGGACCCCCCAGGATTCTTGGGGTCATTGTACACGGTGACAACAGCGCCACGATATTCTTGTTCTGCGGAACTCGTTAGCGCTTGTTGCATCAACAAACCTAATTTCTCACTTCGACCATTGGTAGATCTGATATTGCCTACCCACTGATGCGGTTTGACACAAGAAGGCAGGACCGTCTCAACATGCTCACTTTTACCAGCCAATACGGCGAGGGAGAGGAGCAATGGCAGAGGACCGACAAGGCCTTTGTTGATCCGGTTCGGTTCTTCAGATTCATAATGTTGTGGTAACAGGTCAGGTAACCAACCGCTCGAGGCTGACGCAGCCAGGTTCGCTTTTCCTCCATATTGACTAATCCTGGAGTAGTATTGATTGTCTAGGTTCCTGAACTTGATCTTGTCAAAGCATATTGGCCTCCAGATATTATTGCCAGTCGCATTCGTCTCCGTTGCGTCGCGCGTCATAGCGTTGAGGACATCTGCGCGGTGATTCTGGACGAAGATGGTGCCAGCATTCAAGACCTCGAGCTTCTTGCCATCAGGCACTGCTAAGGTAGGAGGGTTCGACATGTTCACATTCTTCTCCAGCAGCTCCACGTTTCCACCGGCCCATCGGTATAGAGAGATGGATTCTACTGTGTATGCATCTTTACTTGTTGGTGGCTTCCAATCTTGGGTAGTTCCTTGCCTCCTCTCCCTTCTAAAGTTGGGTACGAGAGTCTTGACAGTGAACAGGAAGCTGAGTGATCCAAAAGTTGCAACTGGCATACTGAAGTCTTAGCTTCTCGTGGCGCTGAAGTCGAATGGCGCGTCAAGAGTCGGGTGGTGAGACGGGCCTTTTTCCCTACGAAATGAGTACGGAGGAGTTGGGACTCCACCAATGCTAGGACGGCAGCGTTTTTGAGAGCCTTCTGAATAATATTTGGGCAGAGGGCTGATTTCTGTCTGAGTTCAAGATGAACAGACGCTTTTTCAGGGCTCGAAGTGTGATACATTTCGGCTCTTGCTCGCCCCTTTTATCAAGATCTGTATAGTTTGTTCCGGAGCATTGCTGCCAGAAAGGGCACTAAACAGCAGAGCCGCATCTTGGCTCATCAGGTGACGGCCGAAATCACAATTATGCATTGATTGACGATGGGCCGTGTGCTAGATACCACGCTTTGAGCTGGCGAAAGTTAACGGGGTTTGCTGGCAACGACCCATTGGTCTTATAGGTCCGAGTGACGGTCTGAACGAGAATTCGCTGATATACTGCGAATATGAATTCTCGTCATGGCTCAGGTGCTCGTATACTGGATGGAAAGAGCGGGTGGAAATGTGTGGCCCATGATTGCAGGCCCCTCCCGAACGAGGGGAGGGTGAGAGATAAGTGGCTCCACGATCTTGACTGCACAAAGTTGGGGGAAATCGCCATCTGGCTGCGTGGGAGGGATCCGTTAGCTCGAGACATGGTTGGTACCACTGGATCCTGTTCCTCCAGTGATGATTCTTCCCGAAACTAGGAGATGCTGTGCTCGACTGTTCATCATCTGACCATGACTCGAGTTTTTCCGCGCTCGCTCTTTGGCAAGTTCATACCCATATGGATGACTGTATACGCTGTAGAACGAAAAACTGCAACAAAGAGAGCCTTGGCGACGGCTTTGATCGGAAAGGGGTTCTTTGTATGTTGAATCTAGGCCGTGGTTTGCGGCGCTTGCGCCTGGACGTGTAGTTGGTTAGAGCTTCTAGGCACTAAGGTAGACTTGGAGACTGTACTCGCCCCTTAAAATCTTCGCAGAATCATGTAGAAAATCTGCATCCTCTCACAAGCATGACGAGTAGTTGAGAGAAGGCGTCAAAAGAGCAGAAGAGGAGGCTTTTAAATACCAGTGCCCCAAGGCTGAGCACCTTTGCTCTGCCTCATTCCAGCGCTCTGTTCATACTCACATCCACGACGATTCGATCTGCATGAACGAACCCGGTTGCGGTTACATTTAAGGGTCTCTGTCCATGTTCTGGACTTTTGAATGTAACCTATCAGTCATTCTTCTCGACCCGTCAGAGATCGAGAGAGTAACCCTCGGATCAAGCAGAGGCAAGTCTAGATCAGAGCTTACACAAGAACAAGCTTTGATCCAAAGTCGTTGTTCGTTGACTTCTCGTGCAGGGGCTCTCTGTTGCGCGAGCTCCAGTACATGCTTGGTACCCTTATCAGCGCGGTTGTCCATGTATCATTGAAGATGGCCTGAGCGGCGGAATCGAACGATCAATCTTCGACAGTCGGTCTTGAGTCGTCAATCCTCGAGAAATACATGTCACGGTTCCACGGCTGACCCGACCTTGCCGGCCTGGAGCATGTGCTTCCCGTAATTTGTGGTGTGCGCACATGGCTTTTATCTTCGCAGAAAACAGCTAACAACGGTTGACAGGCACGCACCGTTACAACCTCTAAGCCTTAACCTTCACGAAGCCAATAACTGTGCAGGGTCGCTACTTTGCATCGAGGAATGTGTCTAATTCCACCTCGAAAGCCTGGGGCCAAGGCAAACAAAGCTGCAGTTCAGGTGGAAGGAGCCATAGCTTGGAGCGATATTCTGCGTAGAGCAACACCTCAACACCATAAGTGAAGGTTCCTTGCCCGAGGGCAGACTGAATGGTGATAATCGTTTGCAAAACACGCGAAGCAAATTCAGAAGGGCAGAGGAAAGAGCTACCGTAGCCCTCATGGAACAGGTGGGACGCACAGCCCTTGGCAACATGTCAAATTGCCCAAGCTCTTGCCCCACAGAAGCTATGCCTTTCCTGCAGGCATACTCTTCAGGATTCACTCGGCCAGAACTTTTGCCGAGACTTCGACAATAAAAATTCTATCATTCGGTGCTCAATCTGCTGCGATCCAAAGTGATGCCCGAGGCACACAGGATGCCGTACAAGCTTGACATCAGACATCGAAGCATACAAGCGCGGCACCCGATATCTATCCGCTAGGCCAAGTCTGACCGCTGAATGTTGAGTTTGGTGCTCGTATGGCAAGCGAGACGAGACTGCGCGTGGAGATAAGGCTGTCCTGAGCCTTCAAGGCGAATACAAGTCTCGTTCCGAAGGCAGATCTAGGCCTGAAACCATCCGAGCCTAAGATTCAATTGTCCACAGGATATCGACTTGTCTTTGTCGTCTCTGCGCTACGCGCTGCCACGCATATAGACGGCACAAGCGATCTGATAAGATCGGCTGCCAACTTACGTACACCCTTTCAGCCCTGCCGTCGCAGAAGGAGTACGGCAAAGTCCTGCGGCGAAGGTAATAAAACCGCTATCTCACAGACGTTGATCAAGATGAACAGTTATCGCCAGACGATAAGGTTGTACTCGGCCATGTGATTCTGAGAGGCCTTGAACGTCAATTTGCAGATCGAGCATGCTGACGAACATTCGCAGCAGACGCATGAGGCAGGACATGCTCTTGGATGAAGGATCAGACGTTTGGAAGCCGGTCATATGCCCGAGGAAGCATAGTGGCGTCCTCCTAGGCCGAATCAGAGACCAGGCTGCTCGTCAGCAGTGGATTTTAAACCAAAGGGGCGAAAATTGATATGGTTTGAGTACCGCCACTAGTTCTAGTGGCCAAAAATACGCGCACTATGTATCATTCAATACTGAATTTGCAAATTTGAAGGCAAGCTTGATACATCTAGACATAGCTACGGCAAGCGAGAGAATGTTTGACTCAATCATATTAGATGCAGGCCCGGTCTTAAAGAACACACCTGCTGTAGATACGCTTTTGTCTAAGGCTAAGACGCTACTTACTGTCCCGGCCGTCATTTCCGAAATTAGAGATCAGAATGCGAGACGACGGGTTGAAACGCTTTTACTCCCTTTTCTTACCGTAAAAAAGCCACAATCGAAATATCTTGAATTTGTCATTGCTTTCGCGAAGAAGTCGGGAGACTACTCCGTTCTGTCTAGGACAGACCTCGAGGTTTTAGCACTCACATATGAAGTGGAATGCCAACGAAATGGACTCTCCCATCTGCGCGAGTTCCCTGGGCAAAAGCGTTCGACGACGATGCCTCCAGTGAAAGCAGAAAGCGAGCAATTGGGTCCAAGCGGTTCCAAAGATTCTACAGTAGTCGTCTCAGATCAGCCTAGGCCGATTTGGGCTGACGATGCACCCCGTGAAGCTCAAAATACGAGAGGAGATTTGCAAACGACGAATGATTTGGATGGCCCACAGCTATCAACGGGCCTGGGAGATTTGCGTATCTCAGAGACCTTAAAGCGGGGGTTGAATATGATGAAACCAAAATTCAGACAACCCCTGAGGTGATCGTTCCGCCAAACACAGATCCGGACCGTTCTGATTCAGAAGGCTCAGAAGGCTGGATAACACCGTCAAACTTGAAAAAACATCAGGCCGAGGACCTCAATGGTTCCATCAGAGGTAAAACTGATGAGTCACCCACCTCAGTCGCTTGTATTACGACCGACTTCGCCATGCAAAATGTTCTACTACAAATAGGCTTGAGCCTACTCTCACCATCTCTCCAACGTATTCGCAACATCAAAACACACATTATGCGTTGCCACGCCTGCTTTCAACACGTAAAAGACACATCAAAGCAATTTTGCCCACGGTGTGGCAATCCAACTCTGACTCGTGTATCGTGTTCTACAGATAAAAAAGGTGAGTTCAGGATTCACCTCAAGAAAAACATGGAATGGCATCACCAAGGGGAGCGATACAGCCTGCCCAAGCCGATGTCGGGGAGCTCCAGCGGTAAGGCGTCGAAAATGAAAGGGGGAGGTAAGGGCGGATGGGGTCAGGAGATCATCCTCTCGGAAGACCAGAAGGAGTATCAGCGGGCAGTCAGTGGGATGGGCAGTGTGAAAACTAAGGATCTCATGGATGAGGACTATTTGCCAAGCATCCTGACAGGGGAGAGAGGCGAGTGGGTGGCAGGCCGAAGATTGGGGCGGGGAGGAACGTCAATGCGAAGAAACGCGCAAACAAATAGACAATAAAAAAGCGGGGCATGTCGAAAGAATATCTTGAGCCTTGCAAAACTCCTCCATCTCATATTGAGAGCCTTTCTGGATATCATCGTCCACTTATCACCTCAGGTATCTTTTCCCCCACATACTCCAATTCCATAGCCAGTCATGTCGCCACAGAGCGTCAAAGACGAGCCACTCTCCACAGATTGTATGACCTTTCACGTCCCCAGCACCTTGACAGCCTCTGCAATCTTGGTCAGCACTCCGATTCCGTCAGGATCTCAGCAAGCACTCACTGTCCTGCGTCAACAACAAATTGTATCTCTTCTTCAGCGTGACACGATGCCTAAATTCGGACGCAGTTGTCAGCAAGAGCCTGACAAATTAACACCAGTCTCATCTGTCTTTCCCCCAGCCTCCCACTATTTTAACCACCGGCCCCCAAACTCTTCTTGAAACTCGCTGGGCGTGGCCTTTTACCCTTTTTCTTTACACCGAGGGGCAGACAGAACATACCTCGAGTATCTATCGTCAGGCGAGAACCGCGCTGGATGCGCTGACTTTGTAACTTCGCCCGCCTGGACCTTTTTTAGGGTATAGATCCGGGTGCCCTTGGCATCTAGGGTGTACATGAGATGCATGCTATAGCCAATTATCAGTGCATGGGACGTTAGACTAGGAAAATGGCGGTAAAGCGTACTTTGCGGGCGTGAGAGCTTCTTGTCGCTGCGCAGAGGAATTTCGACTTCAAACTTACTGTGGAGTCGGGTGTGCAAGTTCTTGGCAACCTTGGCGTGCTAAGAACTCCCGTCTTGTCCCAAAAAGGGGAGAATTCCATTAAGACCGGGCTAAAGTAGCCCTACCAAGACTACGTATTGAAAAACGCGCTAGCCCAAGCCCTACAGGACGCGACTTCCTATTGACACCAATGACAGCTGTGCTCAGTCATACAGGTTCCACTGGGTGCAAAGTAATACTGATCAACAGAATAGCCCGACCAGACCAATGGCTCTTGTGCCTGTTACATCATGAGCACTCTCATCTTGCCAATGTCGTCGCCTACGTCGCTGAAGCGGAGCTACGACGATGCTGCTTTAGAGCCTCTGGCGACGAGCGAACCCACCCAATTCATATCACATACCTCACTACAGCAACCATTACAGTCACAGCATCACCCTACTACAGGGACCAGTGAGCAATTCTCAAATCCATCGCCTCAAGCCTCATCAACTCTCCTCCCCAATGCCTCTACCAACACGCAGGAGAAACCCACCAAGAAAGCCAAGTTGACGTCTGCAGAGAAAGAAGTAAGGGAAATAGAACGGAAGTTTAAGGAACAACAGAAAGCGGAAGAGCGTGCAAAGAAGGAGGAGGATCGGGTACGAAAAGAACATGAGAAAGCCGAAAAGGACGCCGAGAAGGCTCACAAAGCCGAGGAGCGAAAATCAAAAGATGAAGCGCGACAGAAAGCGAAGGAAGAGCGCGAACGGCTAAAAGAGGAAGAGAAAGCCAAGAAGGAGGAAGAGAGGCAGAAGAAGGAGGAAGAAAAGAACAAGAAAGAGAGGGTAAGATTTCGCCCCTAATATCCTATGGGGTCATCAAGGTACTGATGATGAGCTGTAGGCTCAACTAAAGTTGAATGCTTTCTTCGGCCAATCATCAGGTACACGAAGTTCCACAGCTTCTCCTGCACCCGACGCCCAATCGCAGTCCTCCAGTCGCCGTAATTCTACCGTAGGGGAAAATCCTCCCAATTCGACACCGAGAAAGTCCCAGGCTTCAGATTTTGAGCAGGCATTTCCGCCATTCTTTGTGCATGCAAACGTGTGTCTTGCCCCGTGCAACCGTTTCTCAAGGGACGAAGAGGCCTTGGCCTTTGTACAAAGAAATCTGGATGCTTCTTTCACATCGTCTAAGGAATCAACTGAGACTTTAAAGGGGCTTCGACTCAGGGATTCCTTGAGCTTGCCGCCTCAAAGAAAGCACGAATGCCATAAGCTAAGACCAAGCGTGAAGCAAATTGTGGCAAACATCGAAGGCGGTGCTCAGAACCCAATTATTTTAAGTGAAAAAGGTCATGCTATTTCAAAGCCAGCGGATGCACTCGATTCTATTCCTATCAAGTATCTCAAGTTCAAGGAGGATGTGAGGCCTCCTTACATTGGCACATTCTCCAGAATCATAGAAACGCCAACCGCGACCAAATTGTCAAGAAAGCCTTGCTCACGAAATCTTCCGAAAGTCAACTACGATTATGATTCCGAAGCTGAATGGGAGGACCCAGGTGAAGGCGAGGATCTCATGTCTGAAGGTGAAGAAGAGCCAGACGATGAAGATGACGGTGATATGGAAGGCTTTCTTGATGACGAGGACACCGTGGATGGGAAGAACGCAAAACGTCGACCTTTGCTTGGTGCTCTCGAACCTTTGTCTACTGGCTTGTGCTGGATCGAGAGAGTCGACGGACCTGACCTCTCGCATTACAGGATGGACATGCTTACAGGTTGGTTCGCTGTCTTTGAAGAATGAAAAGCCTGACTGACGCGTACTACAGAAGAACCACGATTTCCTATTGATCCTTATTCTACTGCCTACTGGCAACAACCTACGCCAAGCAAACCAGTATCATCTACGACAAGCGATAGATCAACAGTAATGCAACCACCCCGTGTTCCTCTCAATCCCATCACTGGACAGTCCATGAACAAATCTACTACCACTCATACTAGCGTTAAGATACCCAAACGATTGGTACCTAATGAGCTCATGGACGATTTCAGATCCGCCGTCACTGGCAGTGATCTAACGAAATTGGGGCTGGTTGAGCAGCTTAAAAAGAAATTTCCCAAACAGAGCAAGGATGTCATCAAAGACACCCTTGATGCCATCGCCGAGAGAGTAGGCAGCAAATTGGCGGACAGGAAGTGGGTCCTGAAGCCGGTAGAGTGAGATTGTTGTGAGGATGCCGACACCTTCAAAGGTGTTGTCTGAAGGAACAATTAATCAATCGGAGACTTCGATACCACATTTTCGGCTTACATGTATATCAGTATCATCTCTTGCTTCTGTGAGCGCATTTTATGCCAAGTCAACATTGTGGGAGGTTTCTTGTCAAGGCTATAAAAGCAAGTGTTATGACCGGAGTTGCTTTACAGCCAATGCTTTGCTCGAACGGAGAAGCATTTTCTACGAGTAGCCATGCTTCCACGATTCAGAGGTCGATATACAGACTATCTTGTGATGTGCTAACTGCAAAGCTAATTTGGAGTGTCTTGTAAAATATTCGGCATGTAGCTAGAGCTATATTACAATATACTTACCAGATTAGCTACTCATTAGGCACTTGTTTTTGATGTTCCAGTGCATAATCCTATGCTTCTTGCTGTAGACCGCTCTATATGGCACAAAGCGATTGTCATAAAACTTTGCTCTTTCCCTTCTCCTCCAACGAAACATCTTTTTCTCCCTCAACAATTTCTCTCACTCTCATATCAACACCGACCCTGAATCTCCGTCCCCTCCACACAACACTTACCCCTCCAAAGAAAGCCCACGCCCAGATTGGGAACGCCAAAACTTCCCTCCCCAACCATCCGATAGACCATCTCAACTTTCTCTTTCCCCCAATTACATCTGCGAACGGCGCCCTCTCGCCCTCCCTCGACGATACAGATTGCAGCATCCCATACACCCACCAGTCGATCGCACACCATGCCCCCATACTGATAACCCAGAACAGCCAGAATGCAGACCACGTGTGCGGCACACCCCTATCGCGGAGATAACCAAGGCTAGTGAAACCATAAGCCCCATACAGCGAGCACAAAACGCTCTCAGTTCCAGGCTCCACCAGCGTAGCAAGCGTGACCGTAAACTTCCTCACCCTCAGCCATCGCACCCGCCGCGAAAGGTACGACTGCAAACTCATCTGTCCCGCCGTCGGCTGCACAGCTATATTCGTCGGATGCGGCGGCAGCAGCACATGGTTTCCCCAATTCCCGCCCATTCGTTCCCGGCCCTCATCTTCTGCCTCCGCGACGTACGCGAGCACGGAATCCGGGACCGGATTCTTCCAGAGTAAGTCGCCGATGAGGTGGTCTTCGCAGATGTTCGAGGAGAAGTAGTCGATCCCCAGTTGTGCGAGCTGAGCTTGAGGCACACTGGCTGTTGTGGTTTTCGCGGCGGAGGGGCTGGAGGTTAAGGCGTTGAGGTGCGAGCGTCGGAACATGTTGCTTTTCCCTACGATGCAGGGTGCGATGGCGACGGTGTTTATCGCGGTATAGAATTTTGCGTGAGAGGTGCTTAAGAAGGTTTCTTCGAGGAGGCCACCGAGGTTAGTAAGGGTCGGAAGCTCGGCTTGTGTTGTGGAATGTGTTGGGGTGTCGATGACGAGAGGGAGTTGGTGGACGAATTTGTATTTTCGTGGTTGGGGGTTTGAATCGTTGGGGGTGGAGGGGGCGTAGCCGCAGAGGAGGTCAACCATTCGACTGGCGACGTCTGGGCCGACCCAGACGTTGCAGTCTATGATCCAGACGATGTCGCCTTCTCCTTCTCTGTACGCGCGACTCATGTTGCGTATTTTGGGGTTAGGCCCAAGGTTGTTGGCGTTACCATTGCGGCCTGAGAGTCTTGAATCCTCATCTTCGATTGTGATGATCGCGTTGTGGGAAGGAAAGTTTGCGAGAAGTCGCTCAAGGGTTGGCAATGCCGGGTCATTGCGACTTGGTATACAGAGGTAGGTCGTGATTTTGTCATTAGGGTATTTTTGCCGGAACGTCGCGGCTAGGCATTCGTAAAGGTAGGGCTCGTCTCCTTGGATCGGCCTTATGATGGTGATATCAGGGCATTTAGAAGCGAATGCAGACACCGAGACGGCAGCCCTAGGTGAAGAAGCATGGTAGCGTCTTCTGCCCGTCTGTCAGCCATCGTCGCTGGTGGATGCTAGAGTATGGGGTTAGTGTACATTTGAGAGACGCCAATGGCGATGACAACTAAAATGAAGAGATACCAACCCAAGCATACAATTGCGACCCAGTCCTTTATCATTGTGAGCGGCTCTTTTCGATAACTTTTGTGGTGACTTGTGATTGACATTGTTTGGGTGACTTAAATTACATACAATACATTAATAGCGGTTTCACTGGTCCGTAACCACGGAAGCCATGAGACCCCTTTTCTTCAAATTACTGGCTGAATCAATATATAAATGCACGAGGAAACACGATGCTCGGATCATGCCAGACTTCTAATGACCTCTCATCTTTGGTTGGGGCCAATGTGAAAAGCTTTTGTCGGACGAATACCAGGATATTGAGAAAATGGTCATCAATTAGTTCTCATAAAAAAGCTAGAACTGCCTCATGCCTCTTGACTCAAATCCTTATCAGCTTCTTCCTCTTCTTCCGTCAGATCGTCCATATGTTGCCTCGCCCATGGACTTCGCAGTCTCAAGCTTCTGCCCTTGTGGGCGAGTATGAACGGTATCGGAATCATCAATAAAGCTAGAAATGCCAGAGTTGAGGCAGCCCATTGATTGCCCAAGTTTTGAAACATTTGTTTGCCAAAAAGCGGAAAGCCCGCTCCAGCAACATTACGCACCAACCCCAAGCCAGCCAAAGCAGAAGCGGAGAAGACTTTATAGGAGTCTTCTGTATACATGTACGTCATCAAGATCAAAGTGTAGAAGGACCAGCCCCATAAAGCCGAGGCGATGATGGGTACGATCCAGTGGACGCTGGTGAACGACGTCCAAGCAAACCAAAACAGGGATATAGGAAATGTGATGCCGGCTAGTTGTGACATTTGCACTCGAGCTTCTGGTTCGTCCTTGCTACCCTTCCTTGCAATGCGTTTCTGGTAGTATCGCTCCTGCCAAAGGTTTGTGATAGGCCCAATGCTGATGCCTACCATGATGCCAAGAAATGACATTCCAATTTTGCTGATCTTGAACCCATGTCCTGCCGGGCCAAACACAATAGGGAACGCAGTGTTGAATAAGAAGCTTAGACCGTACAAGTAACCGTTGTAAAGCGCCCCAAAGACAATGATCGCTTCAGTAAAAAGGAAACGGAATGGCCTTGATAGTGCTACTTGGAACAATTGTTTGACACCGCGCTGCTTCATCGAATCCGGGACTTCGATGGCATGAGTGCCTCGCTCCTTCCGCTCCTTTGCTGCCCGTCTGATCAATATGATGCTGTGGCGTGTCTCCTTGAGGGTGATAGTCATGATCAACCAGAATCCGCCACAGATGCCTAGTAGAGCCCAGAATATGTCTCGCCAAGGCTTGTACTGAGCAATCCAAGAGAACAGAAAGTAGCCCGATGGACTTCCAAATGTTGCAGCCCAAAGGAAGAAGCTCATTGGTATTCCCGTCTCGTGTGGCTCAAAAAGATCCGCGATGGTTCCCCCAAAGTTAGCAATGGTGACACTCGAGAACAAGCCAGATAGTATTCGCAATGCTAAGAAACCTCCAAGATTATCTACCAATGCAGTACCCACCAGCATGAAAAGAAACACTCCATAAGAGAGTATATAGATGGGACTTCGGCCGTAGTACTCCGAAAGCGGTGCGAGTGTCATTGGTCCAAAGGCCAGTCCAAGCACGTAAATACTCAGTCCCAACGTTCCTATCTCACTGCCGACACCGAAATCCTTCTCGAACTTCTCTACGCCTGGCGAGAAGCCCGAGGCACCCCATGAGACTGTGAGATCGATTGGAATGATGACAGCAACAATGGACCATTTTCGCCACAATGGCCAATTTCTGGGGTTGCTTTCGTCACCTGGTGGAAATGTCACGAGCTCGACTTCTGTGCCATCTTCCTTCCGCACAACTTGGCGGGGGGCGACGCCAGGGTAGGAAGCGGTATCTTGGGCGTGTACGCCAGTCGGTTGAGATGTGGGAGGTACTGGAGAATGGGCAAAGGGAGCAGTACTATCGAGGGATGACATGGTATTACACTTCAGTTTCAGTGCCACGGCCAGGTTCTCTTATCAGAACTTGCAATGTCTTTATTCTTGTGTTGATTACGACTGGATATCATCCTCAGACCGCCGGTCGTTCTGAGAACTTGCGATCACATGGACATTGTCAGTCGAATTTCCCTGTGGTAGAGTTTCGTTAAATAGCATCATGCATATGCAAAAGCTTCGCACTCTCGATTCATGTCGAAAGCGCTCAACCGAGGAGTGCCGACAAGCGTGTTTACATACGTCATTGCGAAGCGGACGGCTTCCGCATAGAATACTGAACTAGCTTTTATTACCCAAAAGACTGTAATATAATAGTCCATACGCAGAAAAAAACCCTTTCGAAGTCCGGAACATTTGCCTAGTCGCTGGTAGCGACCCTGTATTACTATGGGAATATATCAAGTACCTACGGCACAGTACATGATCTGAAGAGAAGCCTTCGAAATTCATGAAACTGTGCTGAACTGAGGTGTTCTTCGCTCTTGCTGGACCTCATCCTTGGTTCAAGGATTTCGCTTTGGCTGGCAGACCAATGATCAGTCTTAACTTTGGGCTGAAAAGCCTGGGTAAAGCTGCATATCATTCACTGCTAACAACGTCGACTAAGCAGCTTTCCTAATCCAACAGAGCGAAGTCCGGGTATTACAAGGCAGCGACTTCTTTTCAGCCTCGAGCATCGTCTGACGGCGATTAGCTGATCGTGGGCCAAATATGCTAGAGCCAAGGGTGTTCTTTTATTGCATAATTCTACTCACAGTACTGTGGCATTTGGCCTTGATGCACTTGTCAGACGAAGGCTGCTTGCCCATTGATGATCTATATGCACTGCAATGTCTGTTCCGTACGAGGGTATAGAACTGTAAAGCAGGGACCCGCAATGTCTTGCTTTAGCAGAGACTTAAGATTCGATGCAGGCGCCCGCGTTTTCCAGCTTGGATGAATGGGTCCTGCTCGTGCCTTGTAATGACTTCACTGCCGTCTGAACCCCCTCCATTCTGATGCAATCTGATCCTTGTAAGACAATCCGGCTTTAGACTCTGGGCGGTTTCGCACCGTCACCGCCCAGTGCAAGACCTTCTGGACGGGAGGCTTGATGACAGCTGGTACCTGCGCTGGTCCAAAGTCAAAAGCTCCTTGAACGAGGTGCCGCGCGTATGATCAATCGAGGTCAATTGCGCTGGGAATAGACAGCATCACTCCAACTTTCAATCAACTCGCACATGCTTTTCTTCATATACTGGAGCTTATGAGATTGATGTAGAAGCGAATGGGTCCTACTAGAGACTTTCGTGAAGGGCTGGGTACTAGGCGCTCAGCGGACTGCGGACGACAAATGGGAAATGACGTCGCAAGTCGAGCGCAAGGCTCGACTTTCGGTCGCACATCCTCTTCACACAACACATAATCCTTCACTCATTTGAAAGCTGCTGGTGACACAAAATCTACTGTTCATAGACTCATGAGCTTGTCGCATCTCTCGAAACCCTCGTTCATCATGCATCGCAGGCGGTTACCTCTATAACCCTCTAGGAGGCAAGTGTCGCTGACTATTGAGCGTTCTAGACTGACAAGATCCGGCAGTCAGCTGGTAAAGACCATATGAATATACATATATATATATATATATACATACGAACTGCATTGAGACATATTACGGTCCTGATATACTTCATTCAAAGCAAGGCTTCGCATCCTCAATAGAGCAATCAAACCTGGCATGCATGGATTGCTCTCGCCATCCATCACAATCTTTTGATCTGTTATGGAACAGCTAGACGACCCTGCCAGCAGTCCTCAGCCATATATCGAGGCATCAAGGGAAGACAGCCATGTCGTCTCGGCTGAAGTCAAACACCGCTCCGTCATGCGAGGCTTCTTAGAATCTGGAGCGGAATTCAACTGGCCGCCAGAAGTGGGCTCGATGAAAGATAACAACTGCCATATTCACCGACACGTCAATCGTGTTCCTTTGATCCACAAGCGCAATATCTCGAGTAAAAAGGCTATCATTGACGAATTCAATATAGACCCAGTCTACCCATACAGATTCACACTGCCATTCATTGTAAAGGAGGCCAGGTCAGACAAAGGAGGAACACACAGAGAAGAGGCCGCCAAGGAGATAAATAATATGAGAGACCTTCGTCATCCCCACATTGCCGCGTTGCTGGGAACCTATGAATACCAGGCTCGCCTTTGCATATTGATCTTTCCCGTCGCAAGCTGCGATTTAGATCAATTCATGCGCTCCATTTCGGTTGATATTCGCGGGGACCCTTTGCCGGCGCAAGAATATGGTCGGATACTCTGTCGATGGGATAGCACCAGCTCCTCGGCCGCTTCTGTCAGCGCTGCGGGAGACCTTGCCAGCCAGCAGGGCGATAGATCCTCACAAGGCGGCAAATTAGATTATTGGCCATTAGATGTCCCTTTGGCTGAGAAGAAGGCTTACTTACGTCGTTACTTTGTTTGTCTTAGTGGGGCTTTGAAATATCTACATGAGTCTGGAGTACGCCACAAAGACGTCAAACCCGCCAATATATTGATCGACAGATCGGGGTCTGCGATCTTGACGGATTTTGGTATATCTAAGCGATTTACTAAGAATGAATCCCACGTCACGAGTACTGAGCGGGCTTTCACTAAGAAATATGGTTCACCAGAAATGATGAACAGCCGCCCCACTCCAAGAGGCGATCAATCCGATGTCTTCTCTCTGGGGTGTGTCTTTCTTGAGATGGCTACTCTGTTGTTTCACCACGATCATACGCTACTGCAGAAACATTGTTCTCACATTGTCAACGATACCGCAGTCGAGGATGCCTACCATCTGAATTTGCCGAAAGCTTATTCTTGGTTAGACCACATGAAAAGCTCTCAAAGTACACAAATCGGCAACATAGGTACCTTGCTAGAGTCGAGCTCCGAATCATTTGATGAATCAGGTGATTCAGGTGAATCTACTAGAGCTTTGATTACTTCCCTTCCCAACATTCGGAAAATGTTAGATGAAGACCCTCCGAAACGGCCAAAATCGGACGAGTTATGTGTGCTTTTTCAATCCATCAGCTCTGAACAATGCGAAGATTGTGACCCTCGGCGCCCGAATGATATTTGGAAACCCTCTACCCAGCAGAGAGAGAATTTGGCGACTGGTCGTCAACGTCGTGACGCTCGGTCCAACGAAAAGCAGCCTGTCTCGGAACTAAGACTAAGGCGAAGCTCTTTAGCACCCGAAGAGTCGCAAGAGACTCAGCAGCACAAACGAAGACGTCCTCGGTCGTACCCACCTGCGATTTCACCCAAGACAGTCATAGTGCCAGAGGTACCTGCGATTACACATCGCCATGAGTTGTTCGGCTATTCGAGACCGTCAACACCAAAGGCAGAGGACAGAAAGCAATGGAAGGAAGGGACACAATCACCCCATCGTCCAGTATTAAACACTCTAGAGAATCAGATCCCGGATATCAAAGAGAACGTGACCGAAGATGAGCTGAGAGCGACTGACGACCGTGACACCAAAACAAAGGACGTAACGATAGACGAATCTAAGATAAACGACTTACATACGGATGAATCATCAACGTATGACTCTGCACCAGATGAGAATGGTGGAACTTTCATAGGTGAATCTTTGTCATTCCAAATGTCGAAGCCTGACTGAGTTTCTTCCAGCGACACCGAGAACGCCGTCCCCGAAAAAGATCTCTGCACATACCCCTGTAGTAGCGTACAATTTTGTAAACAAAAACGTATTCCAGATCCCCTTTTGCGCACTACCAAGTAAGTGGTCCGTTCTTCTACCAATCTCTTGCCTTTTCAAATGACTTGTTAAAATTCATCTAACCGGCCGGTGTGAAGCTGATTACAGAATTTTCGATCTTCCACGATGGGATCAGCACATTCGGATCGTGCTAGATATCAAAAAGCCTCTCATCCTGAATATAGACCTTGGTCCTTTAGGCACAGTGACTCGTCTACGAAGGCTTCTTTGGGGTTCCTTTGATAAAATTTATATTCTTTATTACGACGCATAATGACAAGGTTAGAGCTGACAGATAGGATAATTTTCTTGATGTGATGACTTAAGGGTTTTGCAGGTGACTTTGCTCGAGCTCATTTATCAACTTTCAGCCAATTGACTTTTGAGTCGGGTTTCCATATTACTTTTGAACAAGCAATTTCCTAGGTCTTCTGGTCAAAAGGAGTGTCGCCTTGATATGTTGTCTGAATTACAGGCCCTTCAAACATGTATTTCCTGATACAAAAGCAGAGCCCAAAATTGTAAAATTAGCCATACTGGCTCTGCTTCGTAATACAATACTTTGATTGTCATGTTGTCCCGACAAAGTCATTAAGTCGTCTACTGTTTGAATAAAAGTCGTTCATGATACCAGAGTTCAGATGTCTTGACTGACTTAGAACTCTCATCTCTCTCTGGAAAATATCTCACCAACATGTCGTTCATCATGTCCTTGTCAAGCAATATTCTATTGTTGCATCACATTTGATAGCTACAGCTTGCGACCAGCCTCGTGGACTAGCTAGAATCATTACTGGAATCAGAGTCTGTCCTTCCTTTCTCTATCAAAGTTTGTATTTCCTCGTAGTGGTTTGAATCTGGAGGGGCCATGTGATGTTCAATGCGCAGATGATCTTTGAGCGCATTTCGGTGCAAATAAATGGTGTCCCGTCGCTTTGAGCATTCAGGGAGCGGACACCGATAACGCGTGCCAGTGGCAAAACACTCCCATCGCATGGTCTGCGACCTCAAGATCCTTTTCTCCGCCAGCTGCTCCGCCAGAGTCGCACACAACGACTTGACGTTCGCCTGTTGCAAATATTCATATGTTGCCTTTTTGATTCTCTCGAGAGTGAATTTTCCACTGTCTTTTGGCTTCCATTCATCGAGTCGTACGGTGCTCAACATTTCATCGACTTCTAACCGATAATAATTCGATCCCTGCAGCTTACTTTCCATCGTGACCCTCTTGTGCACGTAATTGGAGTAGCTTGTGCGGCCTTCAAGCAGAGCACTCTTCGGCGCCGACAATTTTCTTCTCTTTTCTCTTGAATTACCGTTCCCAATACTCAATAATGTATCAACCACTTTTCGCGAGCCTTTGCCCAGATGAGTGACCTCGTTGAGCAACTGCAAAGTTGGGTTGTTGAGTGTCCCACCATCATAATACAACTCGTCCTTCAAAGCTATGGGCTTGAAAAATGACGAAGCAGCCGATGTGGCACGTGCAACTTCCCAAATTGCAAAATTCTCACGAGCCGAAGGATTTCTTGCTATCCGAGCCATTTTTGGTGAAGTCGTCTTTTGGTAGTCGTATGATCGAAACAAATAAGGAGACTGACAATCTTCATCGTCCCTATTGCGTCGGATCGAGCAAACAATCGTTCTGCATCTCTCGGGGTCTGATCTGAATTGCGGTTGTGTTTCTGGGGGTCAAATTGCGAAGCTAGTTTTTCAAACCGAGCCTTCAATCTTTCTGTCCTCCTCCCACTGTCGTATTTGCGCAACACTCTTTGGATTCGAGATGACGGCTTCTCGAAGACGCTCTTTGACAACTCCACATATTCATCAATGCATTGGTCCACGCTCATTCTTAGCCTTCCCAGCATTATGGCTACCAATCCTCCAGTACTCGTGCCCGCTATGTAGTCGAAGTAGTGGCAAGGAAGGTAGTTGGCTGAAGGCTTTCTATCTTCGTCGAGACCAGGCGAGCTCTCGCTGGCTGATGCGTCGAAGAGTGGAGAGTATGCGCTACCTTTTGCATGCTCAAATCTTGTTTGTTCCAGTCGGCCAACCTCTTGCATGATGATCTGCAAGAAGAGAAGCGAGGAAAGGCCTCGCACTCCTCCTCCATCGAGGCTCAACAAGAACTTGCCATCCCAAGGACTATTCTCGTCAATGGAGACGATGGACTGTTTCTTTTTCGGCACATTCTCTTTTGGCAATAGCGTGCCTGCAGCTGTTTCATGACCTGATGGAATGGGCGACTTTCGTTCGTGCTTTAGCGGACTGCTCGCAGCAGCAATTGGAGGGTCTCTCGGGGAATTTGAAGGGCTTGATGGATACTGTCTCAATGGCAAAGGACATTGCAAAGCACCCGAAAAGGCTTGATTGACTTGCCTTTGATAGCGACAAGTTCACTACCTTTCTCAAACGGCTGACTAAACTTACCGATAGTCTACACGGTATGATGCTTGACGAACAGATTCGTAAAATTCAGGTGGCTACAGAGAGAATGGACTTAGAAATGGTACAATACCGGAGTACTGTTGAAGGTCTCAAGAATCTCATGGCCGCCGCCGTATTTTTACAAAGCATCCCAACTGCTATTGTATTACAGCGGAACGAATCAGGATCTTCAGAAGCCTTGCGAAGTAAATAGTCTCACAAAACTCATTTGGTCGCCCTGGCGGAAGTGAAGGCTCTTAAGGTCGGGAGTGAGGAAATAGGCGGCCACACGCCTCTGTCATACAGCAAGGTGACAACTTTGACGCAGCTACGATCCTCGCAAGTTGAATACTCTAGCTTAGTAATCGATGAGCACACCTTGACCATTCGATCTCGCACTATGGTTAGGTACAAAGAAAATGATCAAAGCGAGCTTGAGGCGTGGGTTGAATGGAAACCCTATAAAGTTAGGTATAGTCGCAGCAGAAATATTAAATCATTGAGAAGCCTGGGTGCGATAGTATTCACCGGAAATGGTATTGGGCATGGCCTTCGTTTCTAAGACAACTGTCTTGAGATGGAAGTAGTATGCTGGACCTAGCAGACCAAGAGCCTAATGCATAGTATAGACACTAGCCATTCGCTGTCTCAGGATCTCTAGTCGGCACATTTCGACGCATCGGCAGCTGGTTCCCGCTGTCACTCGCCGTCAGTTCGCACAGGAACAACTTCATTTCCCAAAAAATTGCAATTGTGGCCCGAAGCGGTTGGCTTTTTATACGCCAAAAATTCAAGCTTCCAATGCCCGAAAAGTGCCCATCTTTTCTACTGTGCCTGGTTTGATATGTGGCTGCTCCACACTTCGACCCATGAGCTAAAAGAATTCATCAGTGTCGAGGTTGCTCCATCTTACGCTCCCCTGTCTCATACATGGGGCAAGGATGAGGTCGCGTTCCAGGACATTATGTTCTCTTCTAAATCGTCGCGGCTGAAAGGAAAGGCAGGCTGTCACATGATCAGGAACCTCTGCCAGGAAGCTTCTTCTCACAAGCACGATTGTGTCTGGGTTGATACATGTTGCATTGACAAGAAGAGTAGCGCAGACCTGTCAGAGGCGATCAACTCTATGTATCGATGGTACCAACTAGCCATCGTGTGCTACGCCTGACTTGCTGATGTCTCTTCGACAGCCGAAAAAGTAGTCGGAATTTCCTCGAGCCGATGGTTCACTAGAGGGTGGACGTTGTAGGAGCTCTTAGCGCCGCGTTCCGTCAGATTTTATGATAGAGATTGGCAGTTTTTGGGCTTCACCGATCTGGCCAATTCCAACAAATAGTTTGCAAACCAACAAGGACAAAAGTAAGCCACATGAAGAATCCTACTGATGCCTCTATCGCCACGAAGATGTCTTGGGTCTCCACAAGAGGAACTACGAGGCTCGAGGATATTGCCTATTGCCTCATAGGTCTATTATGTGTGAACATGCCAATACTTTATGGTGAAGGTGAAAAGGCCTTTCAGAGGCTGCAACACGAGACCTTGAAGACATCCCGTGACGAATTCATATTCGCATGGGAAGACTCCGATGCGAACGACACAGACACAATTGGGCTATTAGCAACTTTTCCGAAACTTTTCTTCAAATCAATAGGTATAAAGCATTGTGCACTCCCAAGAGCACGTCCTATACCTACTACAGCAACGATATGCATTATCGTCATGTAATTCAACAAATGACACCACTTTCTTTCGGATGATGACGACAGACGATCAGCTCTATCAGTCTATTACTTTTTCACATGTTGAGAGTATTTGAAAGTATTAACTCTCTCACATGACGACATTACTTGATTGACGAGCTGGCTTCGCACCTTTGAGATCCATTCTAGTTAGCATGAAAACCAGCAGGATTCGGAAAGCAATACCGAACGTTGCCAAGGCCGTATCTTAGACTTTGCGGCTTACGAGCGCCCCGAGCCGGCTCAATACGGTCCACCATAAGGTGCCAACGGTCTTTACCTCGGTGCTGTACGTAACTTTTTATTGGCGCATGCGAGATACGAAAGGCCCTAGCAAAAACTCTAGAGATCACGAATACGCGGCCGAGGAGGCCAACGCTCAGCTAGTCCCTAGGCAGACGGTCCATATCATTGCAGCAGTCCTGTCTGCTTTGCAACGCCGTCCTCATGTATTTCCCAATGCCGCCATAGACAATCCTCATACACCCCCGCAATGCTCTTCCTCCGCCAGATATGGGCGCTCACCTGGAAGAACATACTCCTCATCCTCTACCGCCATCCATTCACCACTCCACTGCGTGCCTTCCTCCTACCTGTCATCTTCGTCGGCTTCCTTTCCTACGCTCGCAATCTTTTTCTTCCGCCATCGCGGTACGGCATTGGCACGGCTGAGCCTATCAGATCTTTCCATGATGCTTTGGGCATCAGCGATGGCAGTAGAGAGACTGTTGCATTCGTGAACAATGGCTTCACAGGTGGCAATATACAAAAGATCATAGATGAGGTCGCTGGCATCGCGAGGACCTCTGGGAAGACTGTACAAGTACTGGGTGCAGAGACCGACTTGCTCACAACATGTCGAAGCTCAATTCGTGGCGTATCAACTTGCTTTGCAGCAGCAGTGTTCTATGCCTCGCCAGATGAGGGGCCTGGTGGGATGTGGAACTACAGTCTTCGAGCAGATGGAGGCCTGGGGTCGAAGATTGATGTCAAGAAGTCGACGAACGACGCCGAGATATATGTCCTACCTCTCCAACATGAGATCGACTTTGCTATTGCACGACAAAATTCTACCATCGACCAATCTGCCTTGCCTCAAGAAGTCTTCCAATATCCTTTCACGAACCTCAATCAGGACGAGCGTGATGACCAGATCCGGACGCGGTACATGAGTGGTATTGTTCAGGTGCTTGCAGTCGCATACTTCATTGGCATGGTGGGGGTCGTATATCAACTCGTTGGACTCATAGCTTCCGAAAGAGAGCTGGGAATGACACAAATAATCGAGGCCTCGATGCCAAATAGAAGGAGATGGGAACCACGAATCATACGGTACATCTCCTATCACTTGGCCTTTGATATCATGTTCGCGGCAGGCTGGGTGGTCATTGCCTTGGTCCTAGGCTTCGGTATATTCCAGAAGACATCGAAGGCCATACTCATCATCTTTCACTTGCTTGCAGGTTTCTCACTGTCCTCCTTCTCCATTTTCGGGGGTGCTTTCTTTCACAAAGCACAGCTCAGCGGTATCTCAACGACCATAACGGCTTTGCTACTTGCTGTAGTCGCGCAAGTGGCAGCGAAAGCAAGTACTGGTGCAGTGGCCGTCCTCAGCCTACTGTTCCCACCTATGAACTATACATACTTTACTATCTTGATGGCTCGTTGGGAACGCCAAGACAAAGGGGTCAATCTCGTCAAGGCGGCACCTGAAAACCCATCGACGCTGCCAGGTATCGTCTTCTGGGTCCTTCTCGTCGTGCAGATTGTCGTATTCCCAATACTCGCATACTTCATTGAAGGCGGCCTTTACGGTACCGCTTCAAAGGGGCGCATGCTCATGAGCCATTCCGAAGATCAAGGAGCAGCTGTCCGTATGTCAAGCTTTGTCAAGCGATATAAACCTTCTTGGTGGGCTCGTAATGTTGCTAGTCGACTTGGCAAGACTAAAGAGACTGTCGTCGCGGTCAATGAGCTTGATTTAGATATAGCTCAAGGTCAAATCATGGTCTTACTTGGCGCGAACGGATCCGGGAAATCGACCACATTGGAGGCCATAGCTGGGCTGAATCCCGTTACCTCCGGCACCATTGAAGTTGATGGCCAAGGTGGAATCGGTATTTGCCCCCAAAGAAATGTTCTTTGGGATCGCCTCACCACTTTAGAGCATGTGCAGGTTTTTAACAGACTGAAATCCACCGGCGCTATCTCCACAAAAGAAGAAATGCAGGCTTTGATACAAGACTGTGACCTTGACCGAAAAATCAACTCTCAAGCGCGTCATCTCTCGGGCGGTCAGAAACGTAAGTTACAACTGAGTATGATGTTCACCGGCGGGAGCAAAGTCTGCTGCGTTGATGAATGCTCAAGTGGTGTCGACGCTCTTGCTCGTCAAAAGCTGTGGAACATTCTTTTGAATGAGCGGGGGAAGCGAACATTCATCTTCACGACTCATTTTCTAGATGAAGCCGATCTACTGTCCGATCAGATTGCTATTTTGTCAAAAGGACGTCTCAAGGCTCAAGGTTCGGCCGTCGAGCTGAAGCACAGACTAGGCGGTGGATATCGTATCCATATCCTCAAAACGCCTGGCGAGAAATTGGTTCTACCTGCTTTTGAAGGGTTTCACAAACAAGAGACATGGGATCGGGTCACCTACACCCTGCCTGACTCAAAACAGACCGCTGATTGCGTGCGGCAGCTGGAAGAGATGAGTATTAAGAAGTACGAGATTAGTTCGCCTACCATCGAGGAGATCTTTTTCAATGTTGCCGAAGACCTGCAAGAAGTTGTCCGCTCGGCACCCAATCTTCAGCGTCTAGCTTCGAACACTGGGGACACGAAGACTGAAGCCGTCGCACTGACTGAATCAAAAGCCAGCAGAGACGGTGCTGGTCTCCAGCTTCAGACTGGAGCTCAGATCGGTGTCTTTAGCCAAGCATTTGTTCTCTTCAGAAAGCGATTTACTGTCTTCCAGCGAAACTACCTGCCATATGCTGCAGCACTTTTTATACCTATTGTGGCTGCTGGCCTAGTGACCCTCTTCTTGAAAAACTTCACGCTACCTGGCTGCTCGCCCACGGACCAGGTCTATAATCAGGACATATTCTCTTTATTATCACAAGATCAGTACGAAATTCCTGTTGGACCAACATCCAGACTCGCACCGGATTCAGCGAGTCGAATTGAGTCATCTCTGCCTGGAGGTAATCGCACTAGTGGTGGGAACGACGGCTCTAGCGCTTTTAATTCTGCCCTGAAACCCATAGAGGGCTTGGACGCCTTCAACGAGAACATCGCGCAAAGATACAAGAATGTCACACCAGGGGGCCTCTTTCTTGGGGATGGCACCGCTCCGCCTACCTTCGCAGTGAAGGGTAATACTGGTGGGGGTTCCGAAGACATCGCGAAGGCTGCTATCACACAGAATCTCTTTGACACCTTGATCACAAACATAACCATCAGCAGCCAGTATGCATCTTTCGATGTGGCGTGGGCGCCAGGAACGGGCAAGACCTTGCAACTCATCACTTACTTTGGACTTGCCATGGCGGCTTACCCGGCCTTCTTCGCCCTTTATCCAACGCTCGAACGCCTCAGAAGTGTGAGGCAGCTTCATTACAGCAATGGCGTTCGATCTGTTACCCTGTGGTCTGCCTATGTCACCTTCGACTTCATGATTGTCCTCGCGGCAAGCGTGATCTGCATTGCTATCTTCCGCGGTGTGAGTGACCAGTGGTACGCACCAGGATATCTATTTATCGTCCTCTTCCTATACGGCTTAGCTTCCACGCTTTTATCCTACGTAATATCCCTCTTCGCGAAATCACAGCTCTCTTCTTTCGCCTTTGCAGCAGGCTATCAAGCCGTAATGTTCCTCCTCTACTTTATCGCCTACCTCAGCGTGCTCACCTATATACCTCCAGACAAAGTCAGTGACGCCCTCCTGACCACTCACTTCACCATCGCTCTCATCACACCCTCTGGAAATCTGATTCGAGCCCTCTTTGTCGCGCTCAACGTCTTTGCTACCTCCTGCCAAGACAAACCTCACATCGCGTCCTACCCCGGCCAAATTGCCCTTTATGGCGGACCCATTCTCTACCTCATCGGGCAATCAATCTTCTTCTTCCTAATCCTCCTGTGGTGGGATAGTGCCTCCCTATATGCTCGCATCCGCCACAAATCTCGGGCGCCCAAATCCCTCACTGATCCGGAATCCACCACGGCCCTCGACGCCGACGTGGCAGCTGAAGCGTCTCGCGTCGCCTCCTCGGGTACAACAGACGGTCTTCGCGTCCAGCACATCTCCAAATCCTATGGTCGTAGTAATCTCGCCGTTGACGACATAAGCTTCGGTGTGAAGCGCGGCGAAGTGTTCGCCTTGCTCGGCCCCAATGGGGCAGGGAAATCCACCACCATCTCCCTGATTCGTGGAGACATCCTCCCCTCTCACTCCTCCGGTGAAATATATGTCGAGAACGTACCCATCAGTAAGCGTCGTGACCTCGCTCGCACACATATCGGTGTATGCCCACAGGTCGACGCCTGCGATCAGATGACCGTGCTCGAGCACTTACGCTTCTATGCGCGCGTCAGAGGGGTAAGGGATGTCGAACACAACGTCCAGTCCACTATCCTCGCCGTAGGGCTTGAGCCCTTCCAGCACAGAATGGCAGCCGCCCTCTCCGGCGGCAACAAGCGCAAGCTCTCCCTTGCCATCGCGCTCATGGGCAACCCTTCGGTCCTGCTCCTCGACGAACCATCCTCAGGCATGGACGTCTGCGCGAAACGCGTTATGTGGCGTACCCTGTCCTCCGTGCTCCCCGGTCGAAGCCTCTTGCTCACAACGCACAGTATGGAGGAAGCGGACGCGCTGGCAGATAGGGCGGGCATCATGGGGAGGAAGATGCTGGCGATTGGGACCAGCGAGGGCTTGAGGAGGAAGTTTGGAGATCGGTATCATGTCCATCTCATCATGAGGGGGGCACCGCATACGCCCGATGCGGAGATGGAGAGGATCAAGAGCTGGGTGGGCAGCGAGTTGTTGGGTGCGGAAGTGGAAGAGAAGACGTTCCATGGACAGCTGCGTTTTAGTGTTCCTGCTCACTCTGACTCTCGGGCTGCAAGCTCTGAGCAGGAGAGTGAGAAGGGCAATGACGAAAAGATCCGGCCAGAAGGGAGTGTGAAGGAGAGTGGGGGGATAGGTCCTCTGTTCACTCTCCTCGAAGCTCACAAGGAAGAGTTGGGTTTTGAATACTACTCGGTCAGTCAGACGACGCTAGATCAGGTGTTTCTAGCTATCGTGGGGAAGCATAAGATTGAGGAGGAGAATTATGGCAGCGCTAATGATAGGAAGAAGAAGGCGGGTCTATGGGGTAGATTTGCAAGTGCTAGGGGATCAAATTAATGTGGTGAGGGAGTGTATATGATACCACGGCGCAACGAGCTGTTTGTATATGCATAGCGTTTGGCTGTATACATAGCGGTCATAAAGGTGGGGGGGCGCAAGATGCTTGGATTGCATATAGGAGCTCTAATGTCTGAATGAATTAATACTAGCATACTTGACAGAATGGAAATCTACAGCAAAGATACCTCAAGCACCATCATTGAAGCCATGAATGCAAGGTATTCCTAACGACGGAAAAGAGAGCGCTGTCAGGGCAGGCACGCGCGTTTATGGCGACCTTTAACCTTGTGTCTCCCTTCTTCTTTTAACGACATCTCATCATGCACTTGTTGCCGTCCAAGTAAAGGCGAACAACATCCATGGATAATTATAGCAACAGAATGGAATACTATTCGAGCCCACAGATCCTACTACGAAACACCAGGGAGAGGTGCGGGCTGTGCACGCCGCCAATCCTTCGCCCCATTCCCGAAACGACATCTGCCCACCACTCCCACTCATTCACTCATCAAGCTCGCTCTTTCACACAAGGCTGAGGGATCCGAGAGCCTACGGATGCCTTTCGATTGCGTTAGCTGCTTGCCGGTGCCCAATGCGACATCACGAACATGCACTTTCATGCACGTCAACCCCAGACCGCGTTGTCTCAGCCTCATCGCCAGCGAGAGATCCTCGCGCCTACAGGCTGGAGGTCGTACTGCAAGGGCTGTGCTAGATAGGCAGAGTGAATAACGGGATGATAAGTATTCCTTCGATCCCACACTCAACGTGTTGCCTTTTCTCCGATTCTTGCTTTTCCCATCACGCTTTCCTTGTCCTCTCGCTGGCGATAGCGCTCGTACAGATTTCGCTCGCACCTTCTATTTCACGATATCTCATTCCGGTTCTCTTCACCATCCGAACCCTGTCGTCTTAACCTCATATTCCCAAGACGAAGAATTAAACTATGCCGTCTCTCTCTTCCCCAAAGTCCCTCTACTTTACTCGCCTAACCCAGCTTCTCTTCGCAATCGGCTTCCTCATCATAGTCTCCTGGTGCGGCACTCATAGAGCATGGTGGGACAACATCAACGGGCCCCTCGCTGTCGGAAGTGCGTACCCCTCCTCCCCCTCCACCTCCCCCTTCCACCCGCCTTCAACAACTAATCCAACCGCAGTACTCGCCACAATCCTAACCCTCTTCACAACAGCTTACTACATCACGACCTCGCACCTAAAATCAAACCCTTTCTCCAATCCCTCCGCCATCTGGCTCACCTCCCTCAAATTCTTCCTCGAAGGCCTCATCCTCGCGCTCTGGATCGTCAGTATCGTGTTAATGCTACGCGGGAAAGCGGGGTGCGATCCCCACCGTGGTCAGCGTGGTGAGGGCAAGGATAAAGATATTTGTTTTCCGGATGGTGATCATAGTGGGTCTTCCCCTTCCCTCCCCTTCCCTCCCCTTCCCTTCCCTCCCCTTCCCCCCCCTTCCCTCCCCTTCACATAACCCCTCTTTGCCTCACTCAAACCCTTTTCTACCCTACACCCCCCTTTCCCCACATCGCACAAACACAAAGAAATCACAATCCTCCCCACCCCATCCTGCTCCACATAACAGAAGTATTAACACCGAACCCCCATCACTAACGCATCAACGTCCCACACAGGCGGAAAAGACAGAGACGATCGCTTCTTCCCACACAATGACCAGCCGCTCTGGCAGTGGGACCTCGGCGTCGGCTTTGCGGTCGTGGAGGCCGTGGGGTGGGTGGTCAGTCTGGTGCTGATGTTCAGGGAGGGGAGGGGGAAGGGAGCCGCTATTGGGGTTGGGGGTGGGGGAAGCTATGCCTGAGGAAGGGGGTGGATTTTTGTGGATGAGGTGAAAGGAGAGGTGGAAGGGGAAGGGGTTAGGGGCGAAGGAGGTGCTTCTGGAACGATGATGGGGGTTTGTGGTGGCCCGGGAGGGGATGGCATGGTGGAGGATGGGGTGCTGGAGGGGATAAAAAGGGGTTTCCCTCTTAAGAAAACGGATATCAAGGGCATCAAAATCAAGACCAATTTCATGTGTAGAAGACGAGAATAGCCAATCATGCGGATCGTGAGATCTGGTGCGCATCAAAGCAAAGGCGAGCATGCAGAAATATTGTGTTGAGACGCAGACATTTCATGCTACGCAAGCACTACTTATATCCACAGAATCCACCTATCCTACCACGCTACTACTCAAGACCTCATCATAGGTACCCAGATCATATTCTCACTCATCACACAATCTCCCCAGGATCAAGCTCTGGATCACATACTCATTGCCCACGACTCTCGTCTTCTTGCTGCCCTCACCAACAGCACCTCTCTTCCTCGTCCTCGCACTCCCGCCCCCAAAAATCATTTTCTCCGCCTGCTTCTCCTTCCCATGCGTATACACCCAATCCCACGGCTTACCCATCAGCTGCGCTTCCGCCACGCTCTTCGCTGCCGCTTCCACACTAGTGGCTCTAGCAATGCGGGTTGCACCAAGAGCGTGCGTGAGGAAATTGTGATGCTTCATTGCACCCTCCTCGTGCTTTTGCATGATCAGGAGGATGGAGGTGTCAGTCAGCATGATCGGGCGCTTGGAGAAGAGGTCGGAGAGGGTTGCGGTTGCTGGGTCGGGGAGAGGGTCGAGCACACGAGACCGGATTGCGCCGGAGAGGAAGGAGGATTCGCCTGCGGGAAGAAGGTAGGGCGCGATTGGGAGGAGAGCTTGTTTGCTCACGCAGTCGGTGACCCAGCGGGTGGCGACGCAGGGGATCCCGAGAGCGAGAGCTTGGATGTATTTTGCACGTCGGCAGTGCCCGTCGGCGATGAGGCAGGTGAAGCCGAGGCTCTCAGCCGCGGAAGTGAGATGGAAAGTTTTGTCTCGATTCTTAGATGGACTAGTCGTACGTGAGAGATCGGGGATGTGGAAGAGATCGTCAAAGCCGTCATCTAGGATGCGTCCACCGCTATTTCGAATGACTTTCTTGACTTTCTCGAGATCCGCTCCAAAGGCGACGTTCGTCAAAGCAAACACCATGTTGTTGAATAGACCCTCATTTGCGCCGGCCGAGATGTCGCCAGGACGAGCTGCTGCAAGTCCAGATGATCTGATCCGGCGAGCTCGTGAGGACGGCGTTGACGGTGTTGATGGACGCTCAGATGGCGTCTGGAGGCCCGTCAATCCTGGCAGCTTAGTCTGAATACAACTGAAGTCGCGGTCTTTGATTGCACCCCACATTGTTTGGGTGAAATAGATACGTCCCAGTGAGACGGTCAATTCCTGATCGTCTTCTTGCAACTCGTCCACTGATTGTCGATGCTTTGGGCGGACCACCACATGCGTGTGGCCAAAGATGTCAGTCTCTGATTGTTTTGAGGAATTATTGGTACTAGCAGCAGCCGTGTTGGAGGACTGATGCCCACGCGTGCCTACAACAATGAAACTCCTGCCACCAGGAAGATTTGCAACCACTGAATCACGTAGGTCCACCTTGCACACATCACCAGCCCGCAGCTCCAAGCGTTTGATACCATAGCCACTAATTGTATCTTTTTCACCGTCATCGAACGTGACCTCGTATCGCGGCTCGTCTCCAGGGATAAGACCTGTACATGTGGCGGGGTAGAATCTCGACCTGATGCCATTGAAGTGCGCAAGAACCCTGTCAGGAGCAACAATACCCGGAGCATCATCATTGTGATCCGTTGATTGAACATGAGGGCTAATGTCATCGGGATGCTTCATAAGCGCTACTAATGGAATATCTTTGGCCAAAGGAGGTGGACGAATCTGCGATTTCCGAGCTGCTGGACCAGCCTCTTTCTCTACCCGGGATTCTTTGACGGGAAGAGCTTGCTGAGCCTTTGGACTAGTATTAGCGGAGGTTTCTCTGAAGGAGCGAGCATCGACGGTTGTCGTAGACTCAATACTTTGGGACGACGATTGTGGCGCCGTACACCAAGAATATGCAGAGGACGATGGACTTTTTGGAGTCCCTCGGAGCTTGAATGGCGAACGGCTGATAGGCTCCAGTTGAGATGAGACCTGCAATGTGCGTACCGCCTTGATCTTGCGCCGCCTTGGAGTTGGGAGCTGAGGGCCTGGACCTTGCATAGCGCGATTAAACTCAACGTCTTCATTGTCTAGGAAGCTCATGTCTAGTTCATCTCCAATAGACATTTCGGGAGGAGAAGGATCAGCCATGATGTCCGCGATCAGGCGAGCCGGCTGTGATTGAGACTTCGCTGGCGAGGACTTGGTGCCTTTTGCAGTAGTCTGCAGCGTCCTGATTCTATTCTTTGATGGAGTACCTACCTGTTGCTCAAGTGCTGTTTCAAATACTGTTGATGGACCGGAAGGATTAGCTGCTTCGGTGCCTGTGCCACTCTTTGAAGCTGACACAGATGCGGAGAAATGGGATGGAAGAAAATTCGCTGGAGTCTTTTTAGCGATGTCGTGGGTCGAAGTGCCGCCATTAGGATGATGTGTCTCAATTGGGGCTCTGGTGTTGTTTCTCGCACTTTCTATCATGCTGAAGAGACTCGTCGGGCTTCTGCCATGTAAACCTCTCATCTCATGCTGGACTGTGTCCTGATCGCGACCAGTATTCGAAGAGGAGCCTTGATGTCGTCTACTGCTGGTACTAGCTTCCTCCAACTGTTTCTGGCGCGAACTTCCCTCACTAGAGTCATTTTGCAACGTTAGGCTAGCTTTACCCGGATCACTTGAAGTATTAGAAGCGGTCAAATCCTTCCTTTGAGATATTTGTGACTGAGGTATCATCGCTCGAGACTCAAGTGATGATGACGGCCCAGTCTGGTGGCGAGAAAGCTTCGAGGGCTGGGTCACCTGCTTCAGGCGCTGTGATGATTGTGAGTCAGCTACAGCATAAGCCTGTGAGCTCGAAAGAGAAATGTGTTCTCTTTCAGCCCTTTCAGGTGACCTTCTCGATGATGGACTGCTAGACGTAAGACTGATTGGAGGCGCTCGAGATATATGCGCAGTCCCTCGAGAAGGGGCATGAGATGGAGTTGGCTGCGTGAACATAGTTTGAGAGGCTGCTTGGTGTGGTCTTGACCCAGTCATAGGTACCTCAATATTCTCTTTGTTCTCCTCGGTATTTCCCTCTCCGTCGCTCCAGCCTTTCGTACTTTGATCTTCCTCGCGTTCTGTCTCCTCTTCTGTGATATTGCCTTCAAGCTCATCTGGCAGCAGATCATCAGATATCATGATGGCATCTTCCGATTGCTCGACTGATCCTGTGGGCCTCCTTGGTCCTTTGCCCTGCCGACCAGGTCGAAGGGGACTACTTTGGGCCTCGCCCGGACCACGGCCATATGGCTTATGAATAGCAGATTCTGTGCCATGAGGCTGAGATTGTGCCGTCACTCCAGCAAATTGATCCCGTGCCGCCTTTGTGATCTGATCTCTATTGAGCTTCCTTCGTATTTGTGAGCCTATGGTACTGAACTCGTCCTCTGACCCATCTTCAGGTTGGCCATGGTCTTCTAACTCTTGTAACCTCCTCTCCCTCGCCTCTTGGGATTCTTTTACGGACACATAGACTGTTTGAGGTTCTGTCACTGCGCGTACCATTTTTGACCGCGGTAGCTGAACAGGAGAGGGGAGGGCGTCGGCCGTCGATGGTCGCTGTACATGAAGACCTGGAGACGGTCTATCGGAAAACCCCTCAGATTGGGCGTTGAGTGGTGAAGTGAGAGCCTGTGTTGTTTGGAATAGCTGGCTAGGTTGCATCATTCCGTGGTTGCGCTGACGATTCGCAAAAGGGTTCGCAGGTAAGGAAGGAGTCTGCGCCTCTTGAGAGCGACTCTCGCTCCCACGCTTCCGCTTAACGCCATGCGAGGCTGGTGTCTTTGGCATTTGAAACCTTTTGGATTCTGGAAAGGGATCGGCCCGTATGTCCTGTGACAGAGGATCCTCCTCTTCATCGCTTTCTGTCCCATTGTAGCCTTGGCCGATGGGGATAGAGGACTGATCGAATGCGGTGAGGAGGTCAATGCGTTGCGACTGGGCGGGCGAGTCCTCCCCATCTTCGTTAGGAATAGCCTTGTCAACGTCCTCATGAAGGTACGAGTCCGTATCGGCTTCGGCATGGATAGTTGTGCATTTTTCGTACACCCATGGTGAGGCAGGTTGCGTATCTTGAGGTGACTGTGTGTTGGGTTGATTCATCCTAGATCTGACGGAGTCGGGTATCGTGCTGGGAAGGCCGGTCTGAGATGTCTGCCTTAGGCGTTTCCGCTTATGCACATCTTGTCGATTCAATTTGCCTCCGTCCTGGGCAACATGGCCGGCGGCAAGATTAGGTGGCCCACGAGGGGAAGTTTCCTTTCCTTGTGTTATGACCCTCGATGCGGGAACATGGTGTGTTGTGGACGCGTCAGGCAAGACGCTCGGATCGCGGACATGGTGGCGAGACTGCGAGGCAGATATTGCGTCAAAATGACCTGCATATACGCCGGACCGGTGCCGAAGGAGGCTACTTACATCGTCTTCATCAGGTTCCAAGGCATATGCCGCCCATTGAGAGATATCTCCACTCTCATATTGAACGGACATGCTGTGCCTTGTTATAGCTAAGGGAAAGATTCATGCTTCAAGTAGGACGGACATCTTGAACACTTAGATGTCGCGTGCGGCCGACGCGCGAAATGTTAAGGTAAAGCTAGCGTAACGGGAGCGGGGCTTACCGGGGCTAAATTTGCAGACTAGCGAGTAGGGCTAACCCAGAAAAAGGCTTCCCTCTTCACCACATTATTAGCATTTCTGACTACTACTGGCTTCAGTGGAGATATTCGAGAACCCTTTGCATTCTTCATGAACTTTTTCTGCTACTCTTCAACCGCTTCATCCTGCATGCTGTCGGTTTGTCTGCTTCCTGAAGGTGGCGGTCCTGCAAGGATGATTGTATGTTAGTTTCCTCGAATGCTGAAGCAAAGTATGTCACGATCTCATTCCCTATGTCTGTGAAATAGTGTGGCATCAATCAGTGTTTGGCAATGAGACAGAGTTAACACCATGTCTTGAAGTAAGTTTGGCGATATGTACATGGATTTGGAAAGCTCGTGTTCGCTCTTGAAGAAGAGTGGGCTCGAAGTAATGTGATACTCCTATTGTGGAATTCATTCTCATCCACAATACTTAGCGTAAAAGCTGGATAACACCAAGCTTGACACCTTCGTTACGTCGGTGTCTCGCGTGTGATGCTTGTTCACAATACAATCGTACATGACAGAAACTGATGCATTATATTGTCTGCTTTTCCTACCAAATGCCGTCCGTCAAGCATGCCATACCATAATCTTTCATATCTTGAAAATTGAGAGGAAATTATTCAAGATGTGCTACTCACTACATCGAACATGGGAGTGCGGGCATAAACAGCTAACAGGCGAGATTGCACCCTGTCTTTCTACAAAGTGCGATGGGACAGTTGTCGGACCGCATCCACGATCGTGAGTCTACTTTACTTTGTCCATACTCTCACACTATTGCTAATTCTCAGAAAGTTTTCTATTCGTAGGCTCTGGGCAATGCTGTAAGCTCGTACCTCCTCATTTCTGTAGAGGACAGTCAGAAACTAACAGCAAGGCAGTCGACTGCAGGATCGACGCAAAACTCAGCGAGATGCGTGACGCAATCCACGTCCTGACTCTCACCATGGATTTGGAGCACCCTATCAACGGAGCATGGGCTCGGGAAAACATGCCAAACGAACACGCAAAAGTCAGTCGCCTTGTGACAGAACTCTGGCTATTGCGCCATGAGAGGAGTGTGCGTGGGCAGTTCTTTGAAAACGCATAGACATGCACAAGGGCTTGCCTGGTCTTCTCCAGACCGTTTATCCACGAATGGGACTTCAAATAGACGTATATGCAAGAAAAACATGGGACCTATGGCAGGCAACGGATGATCTTTGTCCAGAATAGGGGCTCGGAACAAGGCTAGTGCTAGCGCAGAAAGAGGACTGCCCTTGCGAGCCTCGCTCCAGTAATGAATACTTTACCTCCTTTGTGGTCTAATTCTCAAAACGCAGGATCAAAGCAGAGAAGTGTTTGTAGTATCGGTTACTGTATTTAGGCAGGCAAATTTCTCGGAAGACCCTGGCAGCCAGACGCTGTACCAGCTTCACTTGAAGTCATCATCACGCATTGATGGTTTGTTGGTGTCATTTGGTAGGTTTCACACATGTGGCGATGTTGACGTTCCTGCCTCTCATGTGCGCAGAGCTGCACTGATGTCGAATAAGGATACTTTTTGAGGCGGCCTACTGAAACCTTGGACAGGGTCTCCCTTGAGTTCGAACGAAACTTCAAGACATTTTTCCTGTCCAAAATTCGGTTTCACCTTGCAAGAGACCGGCACATTCACAAGGCCTACCATCTGTACTACCATCCGTACATGAGACCGCCTGTAACGTGACATCTGGAGGGGGAGGGTTGCATTCGAGTCAAAACCTAGAGTTTCTCTTTGTACTAATTCTACGCAAAATTCTCGAGGTCCTACTTTTCGAATCAAAGTTTCCCGACCTCCCTTTGATTCTCTGAAGGTTTTCCCCGCATTTCACGATGTGCATACTACACGTTCAATCCGTCGTTTGTAAATGCATTTACGGGCAACACGAAGGACCCGCAACCTTTCTCGAACGCTGTGCACGCTATGAAATAGACTGTGAGATGGTCCACGCTGGTCCAGAGTAAGTTTTCTCAGAGATCTTGCTCTTCGAAGAAGCCTTCCGGTGGCGCTGACTGATTCTTCAACAGGCGGGAAAAAAGGGAATGTCGTGAGTTCTCGCCGCCAAATTGGCTGGGTTGTTTTTGTTCGCTGATCTTGTAAATTAGTTGTTGCGAATTTAAAGCGCCAAAATCAAAAGGCCAAGGAAAAAAATGCGTGCCGGATAGCAGATTTTGAGAAGCAGGAAAAAAAGGCGAAACCCGCAGATAAGCCCGCTATGTCGGAATGCGAGAAATCAGCCTTGAAGCAACTCCAGGACACTGAGATAGAGGGGGCTAAATTAAAACTGGAAATCGGCTGGCAGAAAGACATATTGAAGAGACTCAAGTAAAGAACTCGCCCATCCTGTGTGATGGCCACAACGGTCATTGAGCCGAGGATTATTAAATGTGTGTGAGGAAGACAAGTGATCTGTAGACAGATCAACAGAAGAACATGCATAGTGCAGCAGATTTTCAAGGATCTTTCAATGCCCTAGTTTTGTCCATCTCCTTATTCTCAGGTAAATCCATTGACCCTCCAACTCCTGGAGTCCTCCGAGCCAGCGGTAGAGCACCTCCGCAATTCATTGGTCTCATACCAACCTGCTAGAGATGGGGCATGCATTTACATGTCGGCCTCTCGTTACTCGCACGTCTTCTATGCTGCCACTTTTCATGTTGGCCACCTGCAAGTATTTGTGGTACTTTTGGCCTCAAATCAAGTCGACCCAACCTTGGATGTCTCCGAAGCCAAGGTAACGGAACCCGTGAATCGACCATCGTACTCAACTCAGCTGTTCTTCTCATCGACCAGTAGCTCCTTCAAGCCGTCATTCCCAAACTTTTGATGGCAACTGATGCGGAACCCGTGATTGCCGTGACCTTGAAGTTATACAGCGTTCTAATCATGTTATCTCGACATCCAGCTTCCCTTATGGCTGCAAAGCTTCGTGATCCACCGGAGTGCTTCAGCGAAATCCCTCTGTTTTTGTCTGCGCTCGCGATATACTAGCTTCAGTCTTCATTCTAAGGCAAGCACGAGGTGGAGCACATGGCTCCTAAAAATGGAAAAAATGGATTCTCTTTCGTGGAGATGCGCCAAAAGTTTTCGCGACAATGCTCTCTTCCTTTCATCCGGGCCTCTCTAATTCGACCAATCCATCCCTAACCCCCATAATGTTCAATCTGGTATTGACCAAATCGGTCTCCCCTGGCGGCAAGACCACGAGCACGTACGTATTGTTCGTCAACCGGCTCAATACGAGATTGAACCTTGGACAACTAATCGTGAACTCCCCAAATGGATGACTGCTATTCTGGCCTGTATAACCCTGCAAGCTATGCTTGAAAGTCTTGATCAAATTACTCAATCTCTCAAATCTATCCGAGTACGGATTCTCCTCGCCCACTTCCGTCGTAATATTGACGACCCGTAAGAATGTTGCTCGTTCGAACAACACAATCTCTTCCGCCCTAGTCGCCTGCGCTAGCTTGCGCAGATAATTTTCCATGAGCTTCAGGTTTGGGGTGAGGCACTGCACGATATCTCCCCATGCAGCATAGAGGGTTTGGTCCCAAATGCTGGTGCCGTAGACCCTCATTCTACCTCTTCCTCGAAATTCCTTGGGAGTGAACTTTTCGATCAGGCCCTCTTTCATATCTTGAAATTCTTGCCTTCGATCTGATGGCACCAGATCCATTTTGTGAATGAGGCAGAACACGTGCGCGGAGGGAGAATAGGAGGCGAGGGCGTCAATTATCTCTTTATAGACGGACATGTCAGCTCCGCCGTCACCGCGGCCGGTGAAGTGCCGCGATTCGGTGTCGAAGACGTAGATCATTACCCCAACGTCGCTGAAGACGTGGGATTTCTGGGATGTCAGGTAGGTTTCTGTGAAGGCATCCTGGCTACCAAAGGACAATAATAATAAGCTTCTGTCTACCGGAAAGGGAAGAGAGGGGAAAGGGGCAGTACGCACCCGCCGCAGTCCCAGAGGTTTAGGATCAGATTTCCGAGAAACTTGAATTGCGCATGCTCCACGTCAATTGTTGCACCTAGACGCCGAACATCTTTGGCAACGACGTTGCTGAAGATTATGCTGCGCATTGAGGATTTCCCGGAGCCGGACTTGCCCATCAGGAGGATCTTCTTTTTTGCGGGCTTGAGTTTCTCCATCTTGAGTTTTGGTGGGGGGGTCCCGGTTTGAGGTCGCCAAATTGTCACTGGATACTCATAGTGAACAGGTCACCTCGACGCAATCAAGACAATGCGAGTCGACTTGATGTACTGTGCATGCACTAGAAGCTTGAGTGTCGTCCACTGAGGAAGCTCAAAGTACCTTGGGCCATGCTTCAGCCCTAAGGGTTATAAGCTCACTAGGTTCGGTGGGCGCTAGCTTTGGCGCCTCTTTAGGGAGCCAATAGCCTGAATACAGGTTGATCTCGGAGTCGCACCTTCATGATCCGAGTCCTCCTTACAATCATCGGTAGCGCCTCTCAGCTCTGGGACAGGAACTATGTTGCGCTGTGTTGATCGAACAGCTGCTTCCTAGCTGCCTTGTGGAGATGCCGAGAAGGCTGGATGGGCGTAATTATTTAGTGTTAGGTTGTATGCGACGGTCAGCTGATTCACACCCAGCTGAAGCCATGTTATGCTACACTGATCACTGCGATACCCACGTTACGCTGGCCATTTGCTTATTGCCATGTCTGTGGTTGGACAGCGTATGCGCCTCTTGTGAGATGTAAGCACGGACAAGCTTCTCACCGATCGTATTCTTTGGAGGCGCTGTCTGCGCTCAGGACCTTTGGTCGCGACCATCATGCAATTCTTTGGCTTGGGTCCATATCTTCGAGAGACTAGGATCCATCGATCGAGGCTACTCCCTTAGCGAATCGTTCGTCACACTGAGCCCCGTCACTTGCATAGCCCGTGCAGCTTGCAATCACATCATGACGCGGCCTGCTTCAATGACTACTAGGCTGAACATTGTGGATATAGCAAGGAAGCTTAGCTTTGTGCTGCTGGCTCTTTGCAAATGTCTCTACTTTGAGTGGCTGTCAAAACTCCTCACCACAGCACCTAGCTTCATGGGGTTGAAGGCGTATTTGGAGTTCACCATACTTGAGAGTCAAGAAGCTTGCCAGAGCTGTATAACATCGATCAGGCGTGTTCCCCCTCTTTCCCAATGTGGTAAACGAGGTAAGCGACGCCACGTCTGGCTGACTGTTGGCATGTTGTGATTGAATCAATAGCTGCATATCCCCTCCTCACATGACTTCCTGATCTGCTTTCAATTCCTCTCGTTCCCAAGGCGCCAGTCACTGAACGTCAGCCCAGCTTGAACCCACATATAAGGAGCCTACTTTTCACATTTCTATCATAGTGCAACATTTTATTCCAATTGAGACCCTCTGACAGTCGTACTGTTCGTAATATACAGAACATATCAAGCACAGGTAGTCCAGAGGTATATCTGCTTGAGCAAAGGGCAATGTCGACCTCAGCGCCTCCACCATTAGATTTGAATAACATCCAAGGCGATATCTTGTAAGTCTTCGTGAACGTTTTCGACTGTCCTGAGCTCACGTCAATGAAGGGTTGGCATAGCCAAGAAGACCGAAACTTACTATTTCTTTCAGATCGATTCGTCTCGCGTCAATGACTTCCGCAAGCAGTTGAGTCAGCTTGTGCCTCTTATTTACACATCTGCGAAGTCGCAGGATGACAAAAAGAAGATTGCCGACAGGAAGCGGACCGATGCTGGACTGTTGAAGATTGGCGGAGTGAATATCGTCTTCAGCAGGAAAGGACTGAACCTGGTAGCGTCTCACTGCTTTTTATTGCCCAATTGTCCCGCTGATGACCGTGTAGCTTGGAATCAAGGACAATACTGGCGACACAGCATTTGAAGCAGGCATGCTTGCAGGAGCCAAGGACCTGCACGATAACGGGACGACGACACCAGACAACAAATTCGATCCAGACTGGATCCCAGCTTTCAAGAAGCAAATTCATGGCTTGGTTCTAGTATCTGCCGATAGTCATCAAACGGTCGATGAGTCCCTCCGTAAGGTTGAACAAATTTTCAAAGTCGGAACACCAAACGCCACAATTTACCAAGTGCTTCGTCTCGTTGGAGATGTTCGGCCAGGAAATGAGGCTGGTCATGAACAGTGAGTGAACCTTTCTCTGCATCAAAACCTATAATGTTTACCTCTATCGCAGCTTTGGCTTCTTGGATGGCGTGTCTCAACCAGCCGTCGATGGTGTTGATAATCATCTCCCCGGCCAGGACGTAGTCCGACAAGGCATCATCCTTGTAGGCCGTCAAGGTGACGTTACGACCACACGTCCAGCATGGGCTCTGGACGGAAGCTTCCTTGCCTTCCGATATCTTCCACAGCTTGTGCCCGAATTCAACGCCTTCCTCAAGGCCAACCCCGTACCCGGTGTACTCCCTCCCGACTTCGCAAGCGATTTAGCTGGGGCTCGCCTTGTTGGACGTTGGAAGAGTGGTAAGTCATTCGAAACGCGTCTTCCCTCAGCTTCTCGACGTTAACGACCGTAGGCGCACCCATCGACATTGCTTTTGCAGCTGACAACCCAACCTTGGGAGCCGACAAACAGAATAACGACCTTTTCCGCTACAACTTCGATTTTGATCAAGACATCCAAAGCCAAGCACGTTGTCCCTTTGCTGCGCACACTCGCAAGACAAACCCGCGTGCCGACCTAGATCAGTTTGGAGGCACCGAGCTAAAGCGCATACTACGTCGTGGGATCCAATTTGGGCCTGAGCTTACAGCAGAGGAGATCAGCCTTGGTCGAACACAAAAAGATAGGGGCCTGCTGTTTGCGGCATATCAGAGTAACATTCCCAACGGATTCCAATTCATCCAGCAAAGTAAGCAATTCCTTTCTCAGGTCTTGTTGTCTAGACGTTCTTGTCCTGCGCCTTACAACGTCTTTATCATGAGCGCTGATGAGTTCAATAGGCTGGGCCAACAACGTCACCTTTCCTCCTGGTAAGAAAGATCAAAAGACTGGCGGCACCATCCAAGCCGGCTTCGACCCAATCATCGGCCAAGCAGGTCCCGGGTTGCCAAGGACAATGAACGGATTCGACCCTAAGGCTCAATCCACCAATCTAAGTCTGACTGCCGAATGGGTTTTGTCTAAAGGAGGCGAGTACTTCTTCAGCCCGTCGCTTCCAACCCTGAAGAATGTATTCGCTTTGCCCGCTGACCAGCGTGAACTGTGAATCGACAAGATTTAGCTGAAGAAACGGTGAGTGACAGAGACCCGCGACAAGGTTTTGCGACATGGCTGCAATTGCAATATACGATTAATGAACCCACCTCGAGGCAGCTTTTCCGGAGCATAAGTTTAAGTATAAAGGTCTAGCGAGCTGACAGAATTGCCTTTAGCGACTTGAGTGTATAAAGAAAGTCGAATAAGCCATCAGTCAATAGCTCAAAATTTTCAGCATCTCCAACTCTCATTTCATTACCCGCCCTGCTCAACCCTTTTCCTAACTTCCAATTCAACCCCCCTGCCCCCCTGCCCTCCCCACCTCATCTAATGCACCACCTTTCTTCCCTCCTCATCCAAAGTCATCACCCTCCGTCCCCCCTGCCACACCTCCAACGGAATCGGCAACCCATGCGGCAAGATCTCCCTCACATTAAGCAGCAGCAAATGCGCCCTCGCGAGATTCAACCCCGGCTCCCCAATTTCACCCTCCAGAAGATCATTGGAGTACGTACTCTCCGGCAATCCAGGAGCAACGCTATCGAGTTCCTCCTCAGTCTCGTTAGCTAGGGTGGGGGGGATGAGTTCGATGTTGAGTTGTTGAATGAGCTTGAGGTTCTTCGTGCCGATGGTGGTGAACCAGGGGAGAGATTGCGGCCATGTAATGGGGACGGGATCGGATACGATGTGAGTGGTTTTGTGCGGGAGAGAGGGTAGGAAGGAGATGAGTATGTGGAACGTGTTGTGGGTGTAGTAGATGCGGCGGATTTCGTGATTGAGTTGGCGGCAGGTTAGGGCGGGCGTGAGTGTTGATGATTTTTGGATCTCTTTGGGGGGTTGGGCGGCTTGGGGAGTGGAGGACCGGTGGCCTTGGTGTGTGATTGTGATTGGGAAGGCTTTGACGACGGTGAAGTGCCAGATTAGGAGGCGGAGCTCTTCTGGGAGGCTGAGGAGCCGGGAGGGATTGCTAGGAGGATTCATTTTTTGGCTGTTTACCGTCTTGAGCGTTGTTCAGGGGAAGACCAGTTGATACGGAAAGCTGGGAAGGTGAAAAGGAAAATAGGCAAAGCGGATCAATTAACAAGGGGTTCAATATACTTGAAATTAAAGGTGTTGTCAATGTCATTGTTCTTGGGTGACAATCGACTGTTGTTGTCGACATGCGATTGTCAACACTTGTCAGGTCGTGCAGTATGCGGAAAGCGCCATCTAACCATTCACGTGTGATTTTAATTAGTTCATTGGTGAAATATGAAGCTTGTTATCAACGCAGATCCAAAAATTGGTGTCTAACGATGACTAACTGGTCACATACTGGAGGCGTATGGACTGAAACTACCAGAGAGCAGTAACAGCTCTTGGGAGCAACGCCATTCTCATGTTTGAGACTAGGCTGAATATACTGACAATCGAAACCCCCGGTTTCTCAAACCTCAGGTATGATGTTCTCATATTAGCTCGCAGGCTACTATGAGTTTTCTCCTTGCTTCTTGCGGGCAATTATCTCCATAGCAATCACCATCATTCTCTCTTTCCAAAAAGCGTTTGAAGAAAATCCTTTATGTGAATGACCTGAAGCAACCAGAGGTGACGAAGCGTCATTGGTGTCTATACAGATTATAAACAGGCCGTGAGATTGGGCGGAGGAGACGCCTCGACGGGAGAAAACGGGATTGACGCTAACGTAAGTTATAAATTTTTAGCGTACTGACTACTGAGTGTAAGGTTTCCTGGGTCCATCGTTTGGCCGACAGGGGTTCCCTTTTAGACAGCTTGGCGTGGTGCTTGAGCTTCGGATCTGAAGATTTGAAGTGAATAACCGACTAACAGCATGGGGACTTACCCGTCATGACGATACGTGTCGTCACTCTCTACCTTTATGGACGATTTATCCGGTCTAAGTTGGGCGCCTTCCAGACCCTCGCCACTGCCTAATGATCAAAAGCAAGCGTCAACCGGAAACTACTATCCGATCTTACGTCCTACCCCTCCCTTGTCCGGACGTTCAACCCCTGCAAATAGTGGACTTAATGGAATTGGACAGAAACCAAACACTCAAAATGCAACCGGAAGTCAAGGCGTAACACCCAACAACGACAGCTTTGCGAATCTCGTCAGTTTCAATGCCTCTCAGCCAAACAAGACTCTGTCATTGCAGGAACAACAGAGGGTCAAACAAGAGCAACGAACAAAAGCTGAGGAGCAGCGAAGGCGACAATTCGACTCTCAATTGAACAGCCTGGGAACATTATCTTTGTCCGCGAACGTATCTGGCAGCTCAACTCCAAATCAAGTCGCTTCTCCAGGAATTCATGGAGGTTCGCGTGGATTGGAGGAGATAGGGAGTTCCTTTAAAAATGGAATTCAAACAGCAAACGGTGGACGAAGAGTACCTACTGAAGATGAGGCCGATATATTGGCTGCATTCAGCGCCTCTGCGCCCGTCGACAAATCAAGCCATATGGCCCCTGTCAGTCAGTCTAGCTCAGCGCATGTGGCTGGAGCTGGCTCAAGAAATGCTATGACAGCTCAAGTCCATGAGGATTCCGTTCAAAGCCCTGACGATGATGATCCCTTTGGTCTTGGCGGCATGACCCCTCACCCTGTAGAGCAAGCACCTAAGCCAGTTATCGAAGATGGGGATGATGTACTTGGAGACCTCAGCAAACCTGTCGCTGAATTCGCTCAGCGCAAGAAGGAGGAAGAGCAAAAGATGGCGTCAGCTGCAGAAAGTCCATCCGGTCCATTGGATGGTGCAATTGCTGAATTGGTAGACATGGGCTTTCCTCCTGCAAAAGCAAAGCTTGCTCTTCAAAGTACCGAATCAGGGTACGATGTCCAAGCTGCCGTAGGCTGGCTGTTGAACCAGGCTCATGAGGACTCTCGCAAAGAGAAACAGCAGCAAAATGGCACTCGTCGCAACTCATTGAACGCCCAGAGCAGTAGACGAACGGCAGGGAGAAGGAAAAGCTCTGGGGGAGGCAGTGCTCAGCCTGCTTGGATGCGGGAACAAGATCGAAGGCCTACTAATTCCCACCGACCTGACAGCAAATCTCCCAACAAAGGCGAGAAAGACCCCGCACAGCTTGCCCAAGAGATCGGTAGCAATCTTTTTAAGACTGCCAACTCTATTTGGAAGACTGGAACAAAAAAGATCAATAAAGCAGTCGCTGATCTCAATTCAGATACTGACCCGAATCAGCCAAAATGGATGAGAGACGCTCAAGTTGGGGCGCAGCCCCGAAAACCAACAATAGACCCGCGGATTGCTAGGGCGTATAATCATGACAGACAAAAGGCGGAAGCATCACAGCGCGCAGCCTCTTCCGCGCAGCAGACCGATGTCACTGATGAGGCGCTTCTACTTGAGTCTGCTGAAGGTCGACCTCAGCGAAACCAGAGTAGTTGTCCAAATGCCGACTCTCGGAGCAACTCCCACGAGATGAGACAAGACTCGATGACCTTGCCAGTAAGGTCCGGGGTTTCACCAGCACCGATTACAAAGTCACCTCAACCTAACCCAATCAACGACCGAAGATCGAAGCTGAGCCGACAAGCCGTAGAAGAGGAAGCAGCGGATGCGTACGTAAGCCCTGCAAGACGACGACGGCCTGCCGCTGCCACAGTGGCCAAGTCGAAAGAGCTAGAACCAGAACCGGATCTTTTAGTCGGTGCTTCCAAAGCAAGTACACAAATATCCCAATCAGCCCAACCTTCACAAACTCTGAGCGCCACGCATCCTCGTCCGTTGCCTAAATCTACACTTCCAACACGCCCATCTCGTCCCAAACGTAATATTCCTCCGATATCTTCTCAGACTCTCGCTCAATCCACCGCCTCTAGACAACGCGGCACTGAGGCGTTTAAGAGGGAGACTATGCGGAAGCTACGACGCACTACACATCATCCCTGACTGTCCTACCATCATCTCATCCTCTCATACTTCCGACCTTGACCAATCGAGCCCTTTCGAACCTGAAGACTGGAGATCCAAAAGCAAGTATTGCTGATGCAAAAGCCACACTCGACTTCATCGGATTATCTAGAGGCCAAGGTGAGACCGTGGACCTAGGCGGCATCGAAGGAACAAAACCGATGGATCTTTACTGGGGCAAAGCAATGACCCGACAAGCTGAAGCCTTCGAGCAATTAGAGAAATGGTCCGACGCAGCATCAGCATGGCGTGCATGTGTAGAAGCAGGAATAGGCGGCGCCACCAGCATCGCCGGACGTAACCGCGCCGAAAATGCAATGAAGCCAAAAGCTACCGCGCCGCTAAAGAAACCTGTATCGCGCCCTCCAGTTCGACCATCAGCTCTTGGTGACCTTGCACCAGCTTCAGCGCAATCCGCGGAGGCTGTGACGCGTCTTCGTGCAGCGAACGCTGCAGCAGATAAACTTGATGATGAGAAATTCAAGCTTGCAGATCTTGTAGACGCAAGGGTCCTGAAATGGCGGGCTGGCAAAGAGGGCAATCTGAGAGCGTTGCTGTCGAGTCTTGAAACGGTGCTTTGGGAGGAAGCCGGTTGGAAGAAGGTCGGTATGGGCGATGTGCTACTGCCCAATAAGGTCAAAATTATTTATATGAAGGGTATTGCTAAGGTGCATCCTGACAAGGTATGTCTTCATATGAAATTGTCTCCTGAAAGATGAGGGAGATTGACTGATGCCGAATCAAGTTGTCAATAAACACGACTACGGAGCAAAAAATGATCAGTGCGGCCGTGTTCGCAACATTGAATGAGGCGTGGGAGAAGTTTAAGCAGGAGAACGGGCTTTGAGGATGGGAACTGCTCCTTACAAGCACTCAAATCCCTTGCTAGCGTGTGTAACACTTGTCTCTTGGACGATTTGCCCGAGGACGAGATGGAACTTAGCGAGGCATAGTTCACCCCGTTAATAAACCCTTGGTGCATACTTATAGAGCATCATACAGAAATACTTATTCCGTTTCTGTGCTTTCTCTACTGACTAGCCGCTCGCACACACCGGAGACTCAAAGCCTCCGGATTTTGGAGTGAACATGCAAGTCACATTGTGTTGTAGCCAAAGCGACCACCCCGAACAACCACAAGCAAAAGAGCATGACTGATTTCTACTCACTCTGCATCCTCATTTCCACCAGACGACTGCTCATTGGAGACTCAATCCTTCTCTATCCGTTCATTGACATGCCGTTGGACATTGACTCCATGCAGTCCCCCCTTCGTATCATGCTCCCCGTGACAGCGGGGTACTCCCGGGACCCACTCGCCCCGAAGCGTGCGGAGAAGTTGACGTCTCCGCACCTGACGGTTGGAACACTGATACTGATACCAATTGAAGTGATCGTTCTCCTCCAACGTCACAATGCCCACCTCCTCTCCTCCCCTCCACGGTCTCCGAGTCATCGAACTCGCAGGCCTGGCACCAGGTCTGTCCCTCCATCCCCTCCCTTCCCCTCCCTGCTTTCCCCCCTCCTACACTCCCCCCCCCCCCCTTCCGTCTCCTAATAAAACCATCCAGCCCCGTTCACAGGCCTCATCCTCGCCGACTACGGCGCCAGCGTCCTCCGCATCGATCGCCCCTCACCATCCTCCTCCTCTCCCCCATCGGCTCTCGACCCACTAACCCGCCACAAAGCCTCCCTCGCCCTAAACCTGCGCTCCCCACGCTCCCTACAAATCCTCCTCTCCCTCCTCTCCCGCGCCGACGTCCTTCTCGACCCCTACCGGCCCGGCACGCTGGAGTCGCTCTCCCCGCTCCTATATCCTGATGCGTTGCTGAAGCGGAATCCGCGGCTGATTGTCGCGAGATTGGGGGGTATAGGCGGGATGCGAAGGATGTCAGAGTCAAGGGAAGAGGCAAGGGGAAAGGCATGGCAGGCCACGACATCAACTATCTCGCCCTGTCGGGCGTACTGTCCATGCTCGGCCGCAAGGGCGAAGTGCCCTACCCCCCGCCAATATTCTGGCCGATTTCGCAGGCGGGGGCTTAATGTGCGCTTTGGGCATCTTACTGGCGCTGCTGCAGCGCGAGAGATCCGGAATGGGGCAAGTCGTAGATGTGAATATGGTGGACGGCTCCGCGTACCTAGGGACGTGGATGCGACTGTTACGGCACACGTCACTCTGGGATCGAGAGAGGGGGAGAACCTCCTGGATGGCGGGGCGCCGTGGTATGGCGTTTATGAATGTAAGGGGGGCGGGTACATGGCTGTCGGGGCGCTGGAGGAGAAGTTTTGGAGGGAGTTGGTGGCGGGGTTGGGGTTGGGGTTGGGGGATGAGTGGGTTGAGAGGAGGAAGGGGAGGGAGAGGTGGGAGGAGTTGAGGGGTGTGATGGAGAGGAAGTTTTTGGAAAAGACGAGGGGGGAGTGGGAGGCGGTTTTCGAGGGGACTGATGCGTGTTGTACGCCTGTTAGAGGGACGGGGGAGATGGAGGAGGAGGGTGAGGAGATGAAGTTACCGGTGGAGTTGGGGGAGAGTCCGGGGCTGGAGATTCCGAAGGAGGAGGCATGGGTGGGGAGGGGCCTGGAGGTTGGGGAGGGAGGAGAGGAGGTGTTGAGGAAGTGGATGGGGTGGAAAAGGGGGAAGGATTATGATATTGGGATTGAAGGAGTTGTGGCGATAGATGCTGCAAAGCTGTGAGATTGACGATAATCAGCACCTACTTTGAAGGCCATTAAGAAAGAATGAGCGAGATAAGTGCATGGCTCTTGACGAAGTTGAAGTAGGAGCCGATGGCCGCTAAGAATGGTTGCTGTGGTCACAGAAGAATGTGACTCGTTTGTTCGGATTCGGAGCTTGCGAGTCTCTCTTGGGTGCAAGCTGCAATTCAGCTGGCAAATGGCATAACAGTGACACAACTGCGGCTTTTCAAGGGCACATCTGCTATGGCTGATTTGAAGCAGTGCCTTGTGACTAGGCAAAGATGGAATCAGTAAGGGGCGAGCTGGTGTCAAAGCCAGCCTTGCAGAATTGAACACAACAATAGGCTAGAAGAGTTGGCATGTCTTGCCTCAAGGAACATGAAGCGAGGGAATTCGCATTGCTCCAAGTCAACCACAAAAACCCTGACGCCTGGGCTTCCTTACAGATATCGCTACCATCGCAACATCATTATCGTACACAAATCGTACAAACACATCCAAAACCCCCAATTACCAGGGCTACCATTCACGAATGAGGCTGTCTCTTCTTCGTCACCTTCCTCCTCTCCCCACTCAAGCTCCTTCTCCTACTCCCAGCAGTAGCATCCGCATTCGCCGCCGCCTCCGCCAGTCTGCGATCCAACTCCGTCCTCCCACCTGACGAAGCCGGGAATTGTACCAGACTCGACTCCTTCCTCAGATGCTCATACGGGCTCTTCGTCGCAATAGGCGGAGATAAAGCTGTATCGATGCTCGCACGTCCAGACTGCTGGTTGGGCGGCTGTTTCGCGGAAGCAGGATCGATGGAGAGGAAGGGGTAGTCGGGAGGAGAGTGTTTAATCTGAGGGGGTTGGGAGGGTAAGGAGGATGAGCGGCGGCGGTATTCGGTGCTGAGGGGGCTGCCGATGGAAGGGAGAGGGTGCCGCTCGTAGTAACTCTGCTGGTTCTGGACGTATGCTTGTAGCTCCGAGAGAGGCATTCCTGGTCCAGAGGTTGAGCGAGATGTCTTTGTTGCGCCGCGGGACCTGGGGAGCTCTTGTGATTGCGGGTGCAGGACGCGTTCGAAGGTGAAGGCGCTGGCTGTTGCTAGGTCGCCTTCTGAGCTTGTGGAGTTGCCGTCGATGGAGCCGTCGTATTCGTCTGAAGATTGGCTGTATACGGATGATGCTACAGTTGCTGCGGCCATGGTGGCTGGTAGATTGGGGCGACGGATGCTCAATCGCCGGGGTACCAGCGACTTTGAATGCCTAGGATTGGGCGCTGATCGATTTCTCGATAGCGGTGAAGGTGCCTTAGCAGTCTCAAGACCTGGACGGTCAAGCAGAAATGGAGTTTTGAGATTGAGAGGAGACGGAAGAAATTCGGATGCAGAGTCATTGGCTTTGTTTGCAGGGTGCTCGTTTCGATCCTGCTCGAACAACAACGGCCCTATACCTTGATATCGCGGCTTTTGTATGGTGTTGTACACCGTGCTTGGTCTGGAGGACGATGGCCGGTGCACTTCGCATGACTGTGACTTCACTCCAGAGAAAGGCGCACTTCCGGCAAGCGTCCAGCTGCCGTCGTCTGACATCTGAAAGTGCCCGCTATTGGATAGATTCTGACGACTGCTATCTGCCACGGTGTCTAGACTCTCATCTTTGCGTCGAGGTTCACTCGACGGTATTAGAAGGCAGAGGAAGCTGGCTTGAATTAGCGCATAATTCTGCTCAAGCGAACGCACTTACGCCATAAGAATGGCCACTGCTACATCTGCTTTGAGAATGCTACACTTCGCAGTGTTGATGATAGCCATTCGACTTGTCTCCGCCAGGTTGCAAGTAGGGAACTTGAACGCTCGGTCGAAACCCAAGGTTGCTGATGCGGTCCAGAGTGATACCAGCAATCTAGGAGCAATGACCGCAATGACCTTGGAAATGGCCTTTCTATCGCGGACTTCGGCGCCCGTTCGTCTTCGTACTCGCATTGCGGTGGATTGGAAGAAGATGTATAGCAGTGTTACGATACACTACATGACCTTTGTCAGCCATGTCTCAACGCTCTGGAAGTCTGCATGTATGCTACTCACTGTCGTACAAGCGAAGACAATACCACGATCTACCGCCCCTTGTTTCTTGTCTAAAGTAAGTACATACAGAGTTCCAGCGACTTCGTACAGCACAGGCATAAGGAGTAGGCATTGCAGCGCGCAAGAAATTTGATATGAGGAGAGTCGCTGTCGCTTGCGTTTCTCGATGACTTCTGTCAGACCACCCATACTTTTGCGCTGGCGGAAAGAAAGCAAGATGCGCATGAGTAGTTTCCTGAAGACAGATTGCCTTCATATGGGCGTATGTGGCGGGTGGAGCAAGGCACGCGAGCTTGGAATGTATTTTGAAACGAGCTCACTTTCGACGTCCCATCCCCTTGGACTGTCTTTTAGCGTTACGAACTGGCGGATCCTGCTGCTTTCGTTTTCTGGTGGTAGGTTCCTTCTGCGTGCGATCATCTTTCGTACGCTCGTTGTCAGACTTTCCGGATGACCAGCCACTCCACCGCACTTCTCCTTCCTCAGCATTCCATGAAAGACGCCCTTCAGTCGTTTTCTCGTCTAGATGATCTAGCCACTTGGCAACGATCTCCCCGGTCTTACTCACGATGCTTGCAGAGGCAGATTTGGGTTTCACGCTCATGCTGTGATCAGCACCCTCGACTAGACATAACCAAGACTTGGCTTTCATCTTGTCTCGGATTTCTTGCAATCTGTCTATATCACACATGCTATCACGATCTCCGCTGACGAAAATGGTTTTCTTGTCTGCTGATAGATCAAGTAGTATCTGGTCTCGCACGTCCTTGTCGGTATGAAGCGGATAGCTTACGAGCACTAAATGAGTAGTCCGCTCAATAGAAGCGAGAACGGCCGCACGTGCGCCCATGCTTCGTCCACCAAAGCATTTGAAGAAGTTCTGATCTTCACTGACCGCAGTAAAGGCAGTAGTGCGGGCTTTGAGATTCATAGTCCCTTGGAAGGTTAATATGGGTGATAGAGTAGCGAAACCCTTTGCAAAGTTGACGACGGCGTCAGCTTTAATTGTCCCCCCAGCACCGTGAGTAAAGATGAGCGCCGGAGATTCATTCAGTCTCTCGCCATCCTTTGCGTACTGTGCACAAATTATAGGTTTCTTTGCGGACGCTATCTCAACGGCTTTCTCTGCGACGGAACTCGTTTGGAGGGCCATAGAGGTACTGGCACCTCTTGTGCTCCAACTTTACTATTTCGTATATCAAATGCAAACAATTGTCGATAGTGCTGCAGTCGCAAGAGGATTTGAATACTGTGGAGAGAAGGTTGAATCAAGGGTGGAGGACCGTAAAAGGGGCTGGGGAAAAGCTCTATTACTAAGCAGGTGTCTAGCAAATCAAAGCCCGATGCTCTGGCGAGGCGGCTGCGTCTCCTGATACTGAAGAGCATTGTCACATTAGAGGCTTGATACGCTCTATTTAAGGCAGCTATGTCTGATACGTATAAATGTTTCTGTCACTCCCCCTTTGCACGCATTGAGTCTGGATTTCCCAACCTCTTGACCCTTCGCTAGAGCCTCATACAAACAGTGAGGATTTTTGATAAGCCTTGAATTTTATTACACTCAAGAATTTCTATCATTTCTCACAGACTGTAAATATGTATTCGGACTCTCTTATTACAGCACTGTAGTCTTTGACTATCTCATTCGTACATCAAGATATCTTGTGTCTGCAAAACCACCGTCATTCACTCCGTTGTTGGAATTTGGATCGCTTGCTTCACTTCATCCCGCGTCGACTTGCTGCGATCAACATCGCCCTTGTCTAGAATCATATTCTCACCCATAGTCCAGTCCACCAGATTATCCGACACCTTCGCAGAAGCCACCCATTTCGTGATTGTCGGCGGAACATCCTTGAAATCGTTCGCATGGTGGAAAATCCGGTCATCTATGATGGCCCTATCCGCTGTGAGACTAGCACGTGATGTCTTACAATCATTGTAGATGGTCTTCGCACGTTGCGGGTACATCTCGGCGTCGTCAACGATTCTGGTCTCGTCTTCAAACTCGGGAATGAGCCCACGCCTGGTGAATTCGACTTTTGCATTTACAAGTGGCATTAATTTGTTTATCACTGCTAAGGCATCTGCTAGGGTCACCACCGACGAACCCTAGATCATGACAAATCCTATCTATGCCGTCCATGTATTGAGTCGCATCATATCGAAAAATATCAAAAGACAGAAGACACAAGACAATGGGAGATTATGCGAAGGAGCGAAAACTCGCGTCGAGAGAGGATTTAGACCCACATTTTACCAAACGGGAAATCTAACACATACACGTGATTGCCTTCATTTAAGCGAGTTTTGAAAACAGGAAATGAAAAGAGAAAAGGACCAGAAGTAGACTAGCTTGCTCCCAGCCTTTATCTAACCACTTAAGCGAGTGTGAATGAGATTGTCCAAGCATTTGCCACAAGCAAAGCTCTTTTTGGTATGTTCTGAAACAGTACTGAAGTAGAGAGGCGAGGATTACTATCATCAGCTGTACTGACTTACAAAAAATGGAAATGTACAGAGCTGACCTCGCTTACCCGTTAAACGAGAACCCATGTTGACAACAACTTTTACCAAAACGGAAATTTCATCAAGCGAGCGTAAGCGAACGAATCGACCAAGCAAGTCGCCACAGGTAAACGCAGTCTCATAGCACATGACCTACGTATTCATTTCCCGCTGGAATAGGTATCTTCACATGACTCGGGTCAACAACGCCACCTGTCTTGTTCACAATGCTACATCGCGAGGACGAAAGGAAGAACGCCTGCACCTAACGTTTTCGTCATGACCAACGTGGTATTCGCTGCCGAGATCGCCCCTCATGCACCATTCACCACATTGCTCCCCAGCTTCGGGACGGGCGGGGGCTCCTCGTCATCGTCCTCATCCATGAGCTCGTCGGGCGTAGATCTGTGACAATCACGTCAGCACAACCCCTCTAACCCCCCTTCACCACGATATACTGTACAACTAGATTCAAAAATCAAAAAATAACTCACCCCAACATGCCCTTGACACCACTCATCTCATAATGTTTTTTCCTCATTTCCTCAAAACCCTTATGTCTCTGCTCACCATCATGTTTCCCCTCCTCTGCCCTCGCCTCATCAACCTGCACGATCTTCTCCCCCTTCCCCACACTCTCACTCCTTCTCCCCTCTCCCTCTCCCTCCCCATCCCCTTCCCCTTCCCCCGAGCCAAGCACGACCCTCCCCTCATCACTCCGTCCCCCAATCCCCTCACTCGCCGAATACGGATTCAAATCCTCAGGCTCCCCAATATCCAAGCCCGGAATGTCCTTCTCCCTACTCTGCCTCCCCCGCCCCTGCCGCGCCTGATCCAGCTCATCAACCACCAAATCCTGCGCATCCAACGCTCTCCCCTCGTCCTCCTCCTCGTCATCCTCAGGCTCATACCGCTTCGCGTACGGCGTCTTCGGCTCATCAATCTTCATCTTGGGAGTCTTCTCCTGCTCATAAAGATAAATGTTCTTCTCGTCCCACTTGAGGCGCATTTCGTTCTCGTGCCCAATCCCAGCCCCAAGCCCGGGGTTGGAGGAGGCGCGGCGGGAGACGCTTCCGCGGGCGGTCTGGGAGGAGGTGCGGCGGGGCTGGCCGGCATTTTGGGCGGTGTTTTGGCTGGTGAGGTCGGGCGAGGTAGAGATTGCTGAGGGGGAGGTGGAGATGGCTGGGTCGGGGTCGGTGGTAGGGATGACGGTGTGGGAGGGGTTTTTGAGGATGCCTAGGGTTGTTAACTATAGATGACGTAGTAGGGAGTTGAGGAGCGTATACCCCGAGGGCGACCTTGCGAGGAGGTTGACATGGTGTATGTTGAGTAGAGGAAAGGAAAGAGCACTTGGTCGTCGGAGGTCCAAGATAATGCTGGTGAGATGACGGATGATTGAGAATAGGCGGCGCTGGATAAGATCCAAGTCTAGTCCCAGCTGACGATCTTCATGCGGACTGACGTGGTGTATTTTCTATTGGATGATTACTCCGGGCGTCGGTGTGGAGAGCTGAGTTGGTGAGGTTGTCTGGTTGTCTGGTCAAGAGCACTCTAGGCAGGGATTATGATGCATTTCGTCCAACGATGATGCTGCGGGAGTGCGGCATGTGCGTCATCGGTGTAGCTGCCGCACTAGGCCCGCCTCACTATCAAGTAACCTTCTTCACTGCTGTCAGTCACCTCCACCACCCCATAGGCCCACCATTAAGCAAGGAACGCAACAGCGCCTGGGGAGGATGACTGAACGACCCGAAGCAGGTGAACAGCCATGAAATGAAGCACGTACAACTCTACACGAATCCGTAACAAATCACATGAAGTCACCATATGGCATTTATCCCTATCCAACCGCTTGCCAGATATATCCAGCAAAGTCGGCGTACAACGAACCCTCTCTCTTTACAGGTACCTAACCTATCAACCTTGCCAAACACACTTGTGCACACATGAATACTGACAAAAAGTCTCAGGAAGCCATCTCGTTGAACCTTCTCACCCTTTCTTATTTTAGGTAGAACCCTCGGCTACTTTCCCTCCATTTCCCTGATCCTGCTTCTTCTTCCGCATAGTATTCATAATAGCTTTCTTGAGCAGCATTCCCTCTTTCCGCGTCTCCTGCAGCTCCTTGTGCAACTCCTCATAGTTCATCTCCTCCAGATCGATCTTGACTTTCGTCGCGTCCGGCTTATTTTCTTTCCAATAAGGGACAGCAAAATTGTTCTTGAACTTCCTCTCCTCCATGCCCTCTTCTAGGAATGCTCCGGACCGTCTGTCCGCCATACTGTTTATGACTTTCGAATTGACATCTATCGCGACAGAGCAAGCATAGTCCAGAGCCTCTTGGGTCCTGGCAAAGAGAGGCCCACAATCTGGACGTAGGACATGATTCCAGGAAATGTCATTGACTTGCTGCAGACGCCAGCCCTTTCTTCTCGCTAGGTCGACTCTGGCTGCTAGGACCTTAGCGCATACCTCTTTTGAGACTGGCAAGGGGGGATACGCCTCGTTATCCTGTTCTCCTGCTTTAGGCACCTCTGTCACGGAACCATCGTCCGTACTAAGTGCAGGTAGCGTTGTATCTTCGTGAGGTCCCGTGGGGTTCAATAGACCGCCGTCTCCTCCAAATAAGGTACGTTGGGCTTCCAGAGATGACGACGAAAGCACCGGCTCAGATGCGCAAAATTTGAATGCAGGTCGAACGTGCTGGGTCACTTGAAGTATTCGAGCAATCATTGGATTCGGGTGGCTTGTGTATGACCTGTTTCTCAATATCAATCTAGGAGTTCTACGGACAGTCTCACCATACTTACTGATCTAGCCGAAGCTCAGGGATGAATGGCGCGGAGAGCTTGAAGAACCTCAGATCGGCCAACCTCTCACAGTACTGATCGAGATGCTCCTTGCTCGCTTTCTGTAACACAATATTTTCTCTCCAAAAGTTGGAGATTTCTTTTTCGGCCGTGTCCATCAGATTATCCAAGGCTTCTCCGTGGTACGTCTCGTCCGGAGTTTCTGTAGCGAGAGGATTATTCTCGGAGATGAAGGACTTCGCTGCCATTAAAGTTGCGGAAGCATCTGTCAATGTCGTCTTATGCTTGCCATCATACGCTGCTTTGCTTTCCAAATTGTCGAGATCTTGATCTAAACGTTCCAATTGCATCCTCTTCTCCTGCAGCTTGTCTTCGACTTTGAGTATAGCGTCCAGCCATGACATGCTGGGATTCTGCTTCCTCAGTTCATCAATTTGATACTTCAAAAGCTTTGTCTCCTCCTTTTTATAATCTAAAGATTGTATTAGCAGTTTTCCCTCCTCAAGCTTCTCCATTATTTTCGTTGCCGTTCCTGACGCTTCTATCTGCCCCGTATCCGAAGTTTGGGTTGGCTTCCCGAGTCTACTTTTGGGCACAAGCTTTGGTCTGAAAGGCATGCTACCTTCTTCCTCTTTCATCATGTTCCAGTCAAATTGATCGACCAAAGTCTTATGCCATTCCTCTCTTGAGGCTTTGTCCTGCTGAGGCTCTTCATCCAACTCATCCAACTCATCCACGCTATTCCTGACGATTGCCGCAAGCTCTGCCCTCAGACTTATATCCCTTTCTGCCTCTTTCTTAGTGCAGGGTCTCTTACCCTCACGCACTTCAAGAAAAGTTAGGCATTCAGCCACATTACTGCAGTCACCTCTTAATTCTTTGATCAAAGTTTGAGCTTTCGCAGTAAGACCTGCGTCTAGGGCTGTATCGAACAGAGTCATAGCCTCCTTACTTCCGGCTATCAATTCTCTGACACGCACCGCTTTGAAGCTCTGACCTAGGTTCCTTTTGAGTTTGTGTACAACTCTATCACTGACAGCAAGAAGTTCTTGGGACATGCAAAGGATCCGCAGCATTTCCCAATCACTGTAGTACGGCGGTGATAATGGATGGCGTCTCATAAAATCCCTCAGATCCTTCGCACTACGACAGGCGTGACCCATCTCAGCAGTCGACTTAGTGGTCTTTGTATGGACTTTGAGGTCGAGTAGAGCTTGATCGATTTCGGTCATGAGTCTCTGATCTGAGATTTGTTTACATGATAGAACGCCCTTCTCGTCCAGAATAACCATACTCCCATTGGAGAGCCGAGGATCTGAATTTGCAGCAACGGGTAAGTTCTTGAGTTGGTCTGGCGTCATCTTCGACACGGTTTGATAGATTTTTCGGCCTGCTTGGACTAGGAGTCTATTAGCCTCCTCAAACAGGAAAGCTTCGTCATTGCCCTCCTTGAATCCCCCAGCATTAATCCACGGCCTTGCGACATCATAAAGATCTTTCAGACTTTCACTAGACTTTCCATGTGTTGCCAGTATCTGCTGAGCATTCCGCGAAATCTTCATGGATTTCATGCATTTTACAATCATGGTGTTGAAAGCTGCTCCTCCGAGCTCTATGGACAATTTTGCCTTAGATGTCATATCCTGCCTCCTGCCCTGCTTTTCGTCGTGAATGGTCTCAGGCTCTACAGTGTAGCGTGTAGGATCGTCAATGAAGGTAGGTCGTGAAATAAAATTGCCCAAAACAAGAGGCTGCCCACTTTCGATGCAGTATTTGACCTCAATCCAGCTTATCTTTCCACCGAGTCCTTGAACATTCAGTATTTTCCGCTTCAACTGCTTCAGGACCATGATCTCCGCCATTGTCGCGTTGTAGCTACCTGGCTTTCTGCGAATGTTTTGTTTGAGCCATTTGAGTAGATCATCCACACTTGAAGATCCCAGGCCCATTCTACACAAGGCTTCAGACTCACGAGGGAGAATCTCATGTGGAGGTTCCTCAAAGAGTTGAGACTTAAGTTCTTCCACCTGGGCCATCGTGTATGATTCTGCAGCTTTCTGCAATACCCAAAAATGAGCATCGAATTCTATAGGATCTTCAAGATCCGGAACCTCGATGGGAAAAGCACTGGAAAGCTGAATGTCCTTGTTCGTGGACATACTATTGGCGACTTTATTTGCACCAGTCTGTTCCCTTCCCGTGTCCTTTTTAGCTCTCTGTTTTGCATGTTTTTCTCGACGCCGTATCGCCCTATTAGTCCTGGTGGGTGGTGCATTGGCATTCTGGGCCTCGGAGCTCTTGCTCGCAACCTCCGCGTGAGTCTCTGGCTGACAGGCCTCTTGAAGGTCTTTCGATACGTATGTCTTGTGCTTCGCGCCTTGTCTTTTCTTTGCGATCTTTGCAAGCTGCGGATGGAGCCATTCACTCAACGCTTTTTGAAACTTAGCTGGACTTCCAAGGTCTTGAGATACCCCCCGGCCAGTCGTAAATTCTACCATCAATTCACCAAATTGCGACTCGTTCAAGTAGACACCTTGAAATATTGTGGGCTTATCGCCTGCCCCTTTCAAGGTCGGGACATCAGGGGTATTGCAAGGAAAATATCTCAACTCGCCCCGAAGCGCTGCAGCGGCTGCTTCATCCTCAGAGGCACTTACCTTGCCATGTTCCATCATCCCTCGAATCAAGTTACACAAAGCAGGCGTACTAAGATCCGGCCCTTCCGATATGCTGATCTTAGGGTTGAAACCCATTTGTACGAAATGATTTCGAAGGCGGTCTCCGAATTCTTGTACGCGCTCGTCTGCAATCATGAAGTTGATTTCGAATTTCTTCCATGCTTTGTTCGCCTCAACTCTCGCCGGGAAGTCGTCCAGTGATTGTAGTACAGCCTCGATTGGTGGGCATTCACTATCTTCGGGAGCGCGGTGAATAACGAGATGAGGATATTGTTCAGGAGAAGGGGAAACTGAAGCGGCGTTTGCGCCTTGACGTGCAGCAGATCTGGGTCGTCGCTTCCTCCGCTTTTTGGTTTTGCCAATCTCACTTCCATTTTCCGAAGCCATGGAGATGCTGGATTTATCACTTGACTTCTGCACGCGCGGCTCCGGAGAGCTTGCTTCGACTGGCGGTTTGTCGCTATTGGAAGGTACCATTTTTGATGAGACCTCAGCTGCTGGGGTCGAGGGCGAGCACGGTTGCGTGGTCTGAGATGGTGCACCTGCCAGGCGCGAGAGTGATGACTTCACGAGGTTCAACATTGCTGTCGCATACTGCGTGCAAGGTGTAGAAAGGTAGACGAAGCGTTCTCGAAGATGAAATGGAAATAACACGTAAGCTGTCACGCGCCATCATCCAGTGTTGATGACACTTGACCGAGTGTGTTACTTTTTCTGGCGCGGGAGTGAGTGGCTCAAAATCAACGGCGAAGTAAATGCTGAGAACGGACGTGATAATACTGAAGGTTTATCAGACTGACTGCATAGACGGCTTGGACGTGGGCATCACATCTGGCGAGTCCGTTCAAACGAAATTAGAATTTAATTATTCAAATAGGGTATCTTCGCCACAACAAGCACTCGACTTCAAGAAGCATTCACCTATCCATCACTTCTGCTCAAGAAGTGTCGCCCAAGGCAAGACTTACTGCTGCTGGAACTTACTTTCGTCACTCCGTCATCATTTGATTAGAAAGGCAACTTCAATCTTGGCCCTCCAAGCCTGCTAGCTCTACGCAACTTTCCAGGCTGTCTCGCCCCTGCCTCACTTAAAGGGCTCGATGGAGACTTGACCGGAGACTCAGCTGGAGGTGCCTTTATCCAACCCTTGCTCTCCCCATGTATATCCTCCCCTTCAACAGGAGAAGTGATTTCCGGCTCAGAAGGACTGCGTCCATTCCTCAAAGCAGGATGCATGTCTACAGGCGCGGCTTTTGCAGCTTCTGCCATGGCTTTGTTCTGCAGAGAATTCGCTCTTTGGCGTGCTTCTTCTACCCCTTCCCGCTGTTTCACCTTTCGCAGTTGTTCAAGTCGTTGAGCTGCTTCTTTGCTGATCGACTTTCGAGTCTCCCTACGAGCCTTTGCTAATTTGATGGCTTCCTCGTCCAATTTGACAGTAGGACGGCGAGTGGTATTGTCGCGTGCAGGAGTTTGGCCTCGAGTCGGTAGACAATATATGCTCTCGCTGCCTGCTTGAATTAGCCCCCCATCCGGAAGAGCGTGATTCAGCATAGGATTAATTGTCGGCTTTGGGACTGTGTTTCGGTTCTTCAGCTTTGGCAAAGTCTCTGCATTAGTTGCTGATTCCCCCATCTTAGACATTATGCGCTCTATGCGGGACATCTCAATCGAAGATTGAGACGGGCGACGCACTCTTGAGTGAGCCACTGGCTTATTAAAATTGAACTCTTGATGCAATGGACTGATTTTTTTGACACTGATGTTTTCATGGCTTGACTTTCGACTGCACGATTCCCAAAGCCCGGGTTCATAGGACGACGATGCCCTTTTCGGATGGAGTGGTTCGACAGCCATAGCTGCTCTTGCCCGTGAGACTGAGCCTTGGCTTCCTGCATTCTGTGGTGTCGAGGGTTTAGAAGATTCGAGACAAGCTTGCGTGATAACCTCTTCGGCTGTCGTGGACTTGTAAGAGGCTCCAACATTCGGATCCTTGAAGATGATTTCCGATAGTTCATTGACATCAACGAAGAGCCCCAATAGGTTTGCAGTGCGTTGATCAATTTCCGTAGCATCAAGGCTTTGTAAGCAGATGTTGAGACATCTCCGTTCGTGACTTAGCAATCGAGTCAGTTGTAATGATTGTTTTGTCAAAGGTGTATTCAAAGCAGTTGTAGGGCTTTTGAGATTTCCAGTCGACGCGAGACTGCTTGGTGCGGAAGAATGACTAGAGATGGCGGAAACGGGGGAGAAATCTCCCTCACTATCCCACGAGGCCGAAGACGAGGCCGAGGATACTGAAGGGCTCTGTCTTTCATCTATGCTAGAGGCCGAGAATCCTGACTTTATTGGGGTGGTGCTTTGTTGGATGTCATTGAGAGATTGGTCTGTAGCACTGTTCGACATGAAGCTGATTGTAGAAAGATGGCGACACATTGCTGTTGTCAGATACTGTTGTTCGGCAGTGGGCAAAAAGTATGACCCCTGCGGGCTATTTTGGTCCTTGCGAGATGGGCCAGTAAGACAGGAGAGATAGGCAAAAGCGTAAGTATGAGGGGTACGATCGGTCTGCGTTTCAAGCTCCGAGGAGTCCACCATTGTTGGCTGTCCAGGATTGTTCGAAAGTAAATTGATACGAGCATGCATGAAAGCAAGAAGCTTTGATCGAAGTTGATCCTGGTCTAGGTAATCAGCCATGAGAACTCGGGGGTGACCAATGAAGTTGGAAACGAAGCGGCGAAAGACCGACTTGACACCATCTAATGTAGTCGTTGCGGATGTAGACATCGATGCTCTCTGGGTATGATAGCTCCGGACACTCGTCTCATAATCATCGAGGAGTGATGCGCAGTCACCTTCATCGAATAGAGTCTCCAAGACATCTTCAACCTCGAAAATGCAGCCCGCAAAGGCCTCAGCAATGTAGTCTTCGATATAATCATCTAATTGCCGATTCAAGAGCCAGGCGATCATCATTTCGGACAAAAGCTCAGCGCCTACATATCGTCGATCAAGAATGCTGGGAGCTAGCCAGATGAATGGGATCGTCTCGAAATACCGATCATCTTGCAAGTGACTCTGTGGGAAGATTCGAAATTGCATGTCTCTTAAGCGAGGAAGAAATAGCCGGCTCTCGACGAGACATGCCTGAATTTCCCATTCCGGAACGTTTGCAAACCAGGACTTGCGAGCATAGTACTTAGTTTGAATGGCGATTTTCGCCAAAGACGTCTGGTAGCGGCTTTCCACAGAAGCTGTGTGCTTGACAAGCGGGGCTTGGAGTGCTGCCAAAACATAAGCCTGAAACAGAACACTAGACCCAAAGGCTGTCTTTCCGATCCAAATATGGTCAGGCTCCGCAAGAGGCTTAAAATTATCGATCAGATATCTTCGAGCTTTCTCAATGGCTTGAATGGCTTGAGCTTTGACTCGAGGAGCAGATGAGAAGGTGGCAAGCTTCGTCAGAATGAGGACCCCGTACGCTGTTGATTCACATCTTTCATGACGGCCCCAAGATCCATCAGAATTTTGGTCTTGCATTGTCCTCGTTAGGGCCTGATAAAGACAGATGAAGACTTTGTCTCTCCACTGAAAGTCGTCAAAAATTGGTGCAAAGCCTTTTGCCCAGAGCTCTATCAAACGGGCGAGAGCATCAACCATCAACATTGTCGGATAATTCGATGAGAGGTTAGAGTTGTCATGAAGTCTTCCGTTGCTTGACCACCAGAAATCCGTAATCCATCTAACAGTCTTCTCAATCTGAGCACCTTGCTCAGAGTTACTCGGAATCAGATCTAGGAGTGCCTTGAGAGTGAGGCAATTGGTACGGAAATTTGTAGCTCGATCTCCAGTGTATGTCTTGAAGTAGTCGCGCGTCTCGAACCTCACAATAAGGCTTTGTGGGCTTGGCAATCGGCCTAATTGACAAAGTGCTGAGATCGTTTTTGCGGTACTGTCTGCCTCAGATTCCATGTATGGGGCAGTGCCTATTACACCAGAGTCAATTGCCAAGCATGACTCCAGGAAATCTGCAGCGCTTTCCAATTGTGACAAGCCCAATTCTTCTGCTTTGAAACCATTTGCGAGTAGTATCGTTAATGGTTGAGTGATCTCCGAGATGGTAGTGGGATACTGAGATGGGACGGCGCCTGTTGGACGTTCGCTTCCCATATTCAGAATATGAGCGAGGTACTGCTCAGCCTCTTGATCCCAAGTCGAGCTATTCATGAGATAGGCAGCAGTCGCAGCGGGTGATGCCATTATTGACCCTGATATCCTATGTTGGCTCACCCTGTCGAAATCAACGTCTCCCACAAATCCCTCGAGGAATTGCGCTGCCGCAGACCTGACGGTGCTATGAAACAAGGACGAGTCGAATTTGGCCCGTGAAATTCTGTCGAGCTCGTACAATGTTTCTTGCTCCGAGAAACGAAATTCAATGCCTTCTGCGGCTAAAAGCTGGAGTAGCTTCACTACTATTATCTCACTTCTATTAGACGAAGCTGATGGAGCCTCCCACTGTGATAGTCTCGTTTCCAAGTAGTAGATCGCTCGAATCTGGCGGTGCTTAAGGTCGTCGATGGCGGGCTGTCGCAATTGGAATGGTGCCGCAATATGTTTGGCAAGGGCCAAGGTAGCCGCTAGGGTGTTGAAAATGCTATCAGTGTCATATGACGACGTGTGCCATCCTCCATCGTTATGCTGGTTCTGCAACAGATGCTCGAAAGCGGATGGGAATAGCCACTGAGTTTTGCCGTCTACCGACTTTGCAACCATTGAGACCCACGCTGTATCATAAGGGGACCAAGTCATTGAGCCCACACCGTACTTCGGATCATGTTCATCCACCAGTTGGCGTACGAGCATTTGCGCTCGAGTACAATGGTCTACACCACCGTGGATATACATACTGCCGGCGATGGTCTTCAACGCGGAAAGCGCAAGGACTTATTTGACGTGTCTACATGTAGAGAAGGGCGTGCGAAGCGCTGCAAAGGCAGCCATGGCAGTCTTATGAAAGAGCAAGGGACATACCCTCGGCTCCAGAGAGACAAGCAGCTGGTCATCATTGCAGAAAATGTTTCGCCGTGCGTGAAAAAATAGGCTACGGATAGGCTGATAGGGCAAAAAGGTCTCGGAAAGGTTGGACCAGTCGCGATCGAGTTTGCGCATCGGCGCAATGCATGTCAAAAGGGTAGGCGACAGCATCGCTTCCTGCTGAATAAGGCCAAGGCGCACCCGACTCCAAGGGTCCTAAGTGGAACAACATTTGGGGAGGCGAGGGACAATGTTGGTTGGTGAGGATAGTGTGTAAGCGATCGCCAAGGAGCTGCCGTATGAGGATCATTGCCGATGAGAAAATGGTCCGTCTAACATCTGATTAGCCACACGCCCACTCCCACCCCCGAGCGCAGCACTAGGCTTGCACCGAGGCACAACTGGCAGATGAAAATGAATGCTGCAGTTACTGCTCCGAAAGCTCTTAAGAAGCCAAGGCCTCTCTCCAACTTCCAAGGCCGGGTCAGGGCGTGGGGAAGCGGCGATAAGACTGAGACAAACATATTTTATATCATTAAATTATTGTGCAAGGGAACCAAGATTGTGTGACCAAAATTGACCGTTCTCGCTCAAGACACAATTCCGCTCCTCCTTGCATATTCAAAATTGCTGGCACGGGTTTTCGTAGCTCTGAGTCGCAGCAGAGTGATTGGGCTTTCACAGCGCCTCTTCGATTGAAGCTTAATGGTAAGAGTTCAAAAGAATCGTCGTGGACTGTCGGGTTGGAGGACTTTTGTCTGAGCCGGTCTCTGGGAAGTCGCTGATATGCTGCAGCTCACCTTTCGTTTATTATCATACTCGAGCAAGGTCCTCTCTTTCATCCATCTGCACAACTTCCTTGTTCCACACGTAAAATACTTCTCAAATCATTCTCTACGCCGGTTGGCTCTGTTGAGGCCTTCGAGCCCCGTAGCCATCCCAGGACTTGAGCTATCAGACCCTTGTTTGTCTCGTCATTGATATCATGCTTCTGCTCTTTTCTTTGCGCAACGTTAATTCGCTCCTCTAAGACCGTACTTTCCGCTCTTTCTCGTTCGAGCCGTCTGGCTACAGATCGAGTCTGCACTCCACTGTCCCCAATCTCTTCAGGTTCATGGTGTACATGATGCAGGATAGTGTCGCCTCCGAGAGGAGGCAAGTGAGCGTCATGTGAGTTGGCCAAGCTCATCTTGCTGTTCCCACAAATCTCTGCCATCTTATCGAGGGCTTCGTCGGCTTCGGGGCCAAGAGAGGAAAGGAGAGCATGGAAGGCAAATTCGTTCGGGTCTGGTGGAGCAGTCGTGGCTGCGGACTTGGTGGCGATGCCACCTTTCCCTCGCATCGTATCTAGAGTGTCTCGGGGCTTTGGAGCAGGATTGACGGTCACAAGTCCTGTCGGATGAGGTTTTGCATTGGCACGGCGAAGGGATGATTGAGGTAGTAAACCGTCGGGTAGGCTACTGTGTAGACTACTTTTTTCCGGGCCTCTATTAACTTTTGAAGTTCGCTGTGAAATTGTCCGAGCCACTTCGTCAACGTGGACGTCCTCCTTTGGTCTGTGCTTAGCAGGAGTTGCAGCGGAACGCAGTGGCATGGGCGACGCCATTGGAAAGATCAGACTATCAATTGGCCAATAGGAAATTTTTCGAGCCAGTAGCGTGCAGATACTGAGCTGTGGAGCCAGTGTAGAATGTGTTCGGGTCACTCAAGCGCAAGGTGGTTCAAGCATGCTAAACGAGCGGGTATGCGTTGGCAGGAGGGGCCTGCATAAAGGACTTTGTCCGGATCTTCATAGATCAAAAATTACATAAGCGCTGTGACGTGTGCAGAATCACGACTAGGAAGACCACACTGGTGGGCTCACACGGTGGTTGATGGTAAATGGGACAAAGCAAAGCTCTGTAGCAGGATATAGTTCTAGAGCTGGGAAGTTTCAATACAGTCTAGCGTCTTGTTACCAAACCATCAGCACGGCCAAGGCAGCCTGCCAAGACTTAATCTTACGCGTAATAAAACGGTACCCTCACTTTTCTTCCAATGCGATTGGACTTGCAATAACGATGAAGTCTTCCATTATGGCTCCCCCCAGGTTACTTCACCTCGAGCGCACCGCCTACAGGGCTTCTTGCACGCTCAACGCTACCCTCCCATCAAGACGGCCACAACTCCCCTTTCTCTACCCATACCTAAAAGAACAGACCCGGCAAGCCTCCCATGCATCTCAAGGTCAAGCCAACAGATCATCCCGAAGTGCTGGGAAAAGACTCGGACTCAAGCGCGCTGCAACAGAACTCGTTGTACCTGGCAACATCATATTCAGACAACGTGGCACTCATTGGTTTCCTGGCGAAAATTGTGGTATGGGACGTGATCATTCGATATTTGCCAAGGAAAAGGGATACGTAGTTTTTTACAAGGCTCCATGGAATGGTGTTGGCTATGGAGGGAGTGGAAGGGTCAAGGGAGAGGTTCCAGGGAAGGACTATAAGAAATACATTGGGGTGGTGTTCAAGCGAGGAGACACATTGCCCCGGCCACCTGGCGCGCAGAGGCAGAGGAGACTTGGCTTTCAGACACGAACGAGGCGGGACTTCACGACTGGAACTGCTGACCCTTCTGCTCCTCTTTCGCAACGACCGACCGTCCCTGGGGTTTCCCAAGTTCAGGGAACTGTGAGACAGCAGGACAAGGAAACTATAGCAGAGGCCTCGCAATTGCGAATGACCGAAGGTTATCAGTTCAGGGAGAGCAATCGAAGCATCGGTCGCACAGTGGACAGGATGGCCGTTCCGGAAAAAGCTGTGCGAGTGAAGGCACTAGCGAAAAAGAGCAGAATGATGTGGCTGGTTTCGAACAGAAGTAGTCCCAGATCTAGGAGGGCGATGAAGAAAAGAAAGGAGGCTGCTAAACTCAAGAAGAAAACCAATCAGTGAATACCTTTGGAACGAGATAAAGCTGAGAGTCGCACTGGGGAAATGATGTGATCATTATCAGGTATTAATAGGGTTCAGGTCGTGTCCCACAGAAATATCCTATTGCAGAGTTAATCGAGAAGGGAAGCTTTAACATGATGCGGTCATTTGATACATCTCTACGGTGTAAACGGGAAATGAGCATATTCAATATCGCAGGTGAAAGACCAAGACGACCTTCACCATCAATCACTGTACAGTAAGGACAGCTCGCGTATGAAACGTCCAAGAGCGTTTCTCATCCTATCAATCATGACGCTTGACGACATCGCGAGCCCTCCTCGCTAGGGCGGTGACAATCCTGACAGCTAACATAATTAGCTTTGTCCTTCAGCTTTTATCCTCAAAAACCACTCTCGTCTTCCTTTGTCTTCGACAAGAATAGCGCGCTCGCTTTGTGCTACTTCTTGTTCGGTTCATGCATGCTCCTTGTTGTTGAAGCTTCCAAGCACCGTTGGAGAAGAGATTACTTGTGTGACATGGAGGCTTAAGCCCCAATACCTTCCTTGAACATTAACATTTTGAGTTCAAAAGTCTCCTGCCTCTGTTTCATCGAATTTGACTGTTGTCAGTATGGCACTACCTCTATTCATGTCAATTGAACGCCTCCCAAAGGCTGTTTTCCCTTATAAGAAGACGAATCTTTTTTGCAGTGTCTGAAACCATTCCATGCTTAGACACTTACCCGATTCATTCAAGTCCACATCCAATTCATTCGCATCGTCGTCCAAACCAATTACATTCGTTCTTCCAGACATGGCCTCCTTGATAAGCATTCAGTCACTCCTCAACGGATCCATCAATGATACAAATTCGGACTACGCTGTTCCAATCGGCTTTGAGACGCAGCAAAAGCGTTCGAGAGACGGTGTGATGCAACGAGCAAATGCCGCTGCTACTAAAGCAAACCAAACGGAAGATTTGTCCACACTCAGGCAAGCTCTTGAAGCTGCTTTAATATCGTTGCACGCGGGGAACAACCCCGCGTGGCTCGACCAATCTTGCTGCAATTACCACGCCATCTTCACGCCAGCCAGACTCGAAAGAAATAGACTTCATCTGTCGATGGCAAAGGCGCTCAACACTCTCATCAACGACCTTGAAGACTTCGAAATTCCCAATCTTCAAGTCCTTCAAAAAGCGCGACAAAACTTCCTCCGGCAGCATTTCGAAGAGCTTGTGGAGGAGCAACGAGTCGCGAATGAGAACACCTGGAGAGTGGCCGGCAAATACGGCCTCGAAGTTGCAGAACAGCAGAATCAATGCTGTGAGGTCGTCAGAGACCGCGAAGTGCAGATCGAGCTGGAGATCCACGGGGTCTTGGATGAGTTTTGGGAGATCATGGAGGATCTTTATTAGGAGCTTGTCCACAGTGCGGGAGGGAGATCGGTGACTGTTCTGTCAGCTATTGATGACGTTAAAGGAATTCCTTTATCCTCACGATCAAGGACGGTTCTGGATATGGGGCATCGTAAGCCCATCAACGCAACAAAGCTTGATCAATTTGCGACGTTTTCGCTGTTGGATCAGTCACTTACGGTGATTTGAAGAAATGCTGTGCGAGAAACGTGGAAGACGTGGGATATTTGAAGTAGAATCAATGGGATAAGCGGGAGTTTGATGAAGGTACGATTGGACATGCCGGTTCGTGACAGATGTGAATTTCTGGTCAGCATGGAGGCTGGGATTTCGTTTTGAAGCAAAGCGAGCATTAAGGGGCCATAAGCTGGCCACATTGTGAATGATTGAATGATGAAAGTTGAGAGGTCACACGATCTAGTCAAGTAATTGAGTCGTCCTTACAGCGTCAATGACGCCGGTTCAATGCAACATTTGATTCTGAAATTCATATATGTCAATGTCATGGCGAGTGCTATTAGGGCTGGAAAAGGGCTGGCGTATTCGATGCCAGAACCCTCGAATTTCTCAAAGAAGCTAGAGGTTCTGGTTGTGACCCGCTCGACTCCACCAGCCGCATCCCCTTGGTTTTGTTTTGCGGCTGTCAACTGCAACTTGTCGACTCCAGACTCCAGATAATCCTGAGAATGGCTTAGTCCGGATGCAAAAGGATCCTTCTTAATCTCAGACATTGCAAAAGGATGTCAGACCACTTTGAATACAGATCCTGGGCTATCATAGGAACACGTTATGTATAATTTCCTGCTCAACTCCAAAGATATCCAGTATTTCTGAGATCAAAATCCCTTCAAGCCATTCTGTGTGGCATCTTATCAGTCAACCCGAATTTTCTTGAGTAGCATCACTGTAATCCAAGAACTTTTTGATTGCAAAGCCATTGGATTGGTCGCTTATAGCACCACCATCCTCTGGATACACTGAAACCCCCAAACTAAGCGCACCCACGCGATCCTTCCGGTAAGATCAAGCGCCTGCAAAACACCTTCAAAATAGCGACCACTCACACGAGACTTTCGTTCCGATTTTCGTCATTTCTGCCTTACGATCATCTCCTGTGTCTCTGCTTCTAACGTGATCATGATTTTGGGCGATTTTTGCTGCAGTCAACATGGACTTGGCTCTCTTTGACGAGCTTGTTGCAAACTCATTGTAAAGCAGAGAGCGACGATTGCACATTCCGAATAGCGACCCGCCTTGTGCCCTTTTCTTTTTATCTTCTCCGTACAAGCTGGTAAGCGGAAGCTATTAGGCCTTCAAAGGATTAACGGGCTGTACTGGCGCATCAACGAACACCAAAGAGGAACAGAACGCATGTGACTTACGAATCTGTCTCATCCCCAGATCGAAACCCAGAGTTCCCTTTTCTTCTCATTCTTTCTCTTCTTCACAAGCACACTCTACGCTGCATTTCGACTCCATCTCGCCAAAAATGTTATCCTTGCTAGCAGCCTCGCTCCTCCCCCTTCTCCGCGCCCCTCTCTCCCTCGCACAAACCGAACAACAACCCATAGCCCAGACTTACCAATGCAACAATGGCGGCATGCCGACCAACGACTGCTACCTCCGCATAAATCGGGACAACCCCAACGTCGCCTCCGCATGGGGCGCCAAACTAGACGTGAACGCCGACCCCTCCGCCGTTCTGGATCCCTCTGTCCTTCCCAACCTCCCCGACACATGCACCTTCCCCATGAATCAGCTCTGCGCCTTCATATCTAAACTACCTGAGAGTTCGTACAACCATTGGATATGGGCCCTCAGCCCGGGCCCAGGCTGTTTAGCCGCGATGTTCGTGCCAAGTTTGAATGGGATTAGGGTGCCTACCTATGCAGAGTGTCACGCGTACATTGACATTCCATTGCGGGAGGCGCTGATTATCGGGACGGGGAACGGGCAGAATAGGGTTAGTGTGAATGTGGGAGGGTATCCGGATTTGCCGACGCTGGAGCAGTTGATGCCAACGGTGTATGGGGGTGCACCACTGCAGATTGATGTGCCGAATCAGGGGATTGGGGTTAATGGGAGCTTGAGTTCTTGGTTTATGACTTCGTGAGTTGACCTGATGTCTCTATTTGTGTTTAAAGATGGGTACTGATGGATATGGGAATAGGTATACTTATATCCCTATTGGTACATTACCGCAACAGCCTGCCAACTCCGGCGGCTAGGGAGACAAATCAAAGGCCAAGACATGGGCACGAATAGATTTCTCGAGGGCATAGCATGCGGCTTGGGTATTGATTTACTAGGTTTCATGTAAATACTCAACAGTTTGTTTTGAGATCGACAGATAACATCTGAAGCTGCCAACTAAATGCACTGGACAAAATCCCACAGCTATATGGTTATCACGAGCAGTGAGTTTAGTCGAGGCACGCCCAAATTTGTCAATCGTTCGACAAGCTCTGTGAAGCACACGTGCCCAATTGAGATTAAGAATCGTCGTACTGTGTGGGTTTTTTGCGTCTGCCGTTAGGCATAAGGAGAATAGCCTGCTTAGATAATGCAGCTGGCTAGCCAAGCCGCCTGATGCCTCGTCAAGGGTGATTTGCAAGAGGAATCAGCACACTTAGACAAGATCTATCTTGCCTCTTTGGAAGGAACACCAATGGACAGATGATTGATAGACCAATAGCAATGCCTGCTTGGTAAGCGAGTTTTCATTGGCTGAATCTATGACGCTAAGATGGGGAGGGACATTTAGGGTATAGCGCCTGACCTCAGTAAAGCTAAGCAGGTCATGAAATAATCGAATATTTTGATAGCTAGTCAGTCGCTACTTGACTGATTGATATGTTGACTAGTAAAGCTTGACATTCTACGTGACCTGACAATATCTGACAGTCTGGACTGTTGCTATTGCCGGGCGTCTCCCATCTCCATCTCAGCCGAAAATGTAGGTCGGGAAGTAATGCCCTACGAGATTCTCGTACAACAGGTCTCCGATCCTCGAGATCTACCCGTTCATCGGATCATCTAGATATCGTTCCCGACGATACACGGACGCCTTTGACGAATCACAGCTCTCGAAAACTCACTTCACATACTGATGACTGGACTTGACGGCCCATTGTCATACATCGACCCGAAATCATGCACCTGATCGAGCCACTCGGCGTCTAGACCATCTCACTACGAAAACGTTCATCGGACCAGAACCGAGCAAATCCGTATAGCATGCTGTTTGAACCTTCGCTGGTTAAAAGGATCATTCATCGCTAGCTGCCGCAGATGATTTGACATTTGGCTTTGTCTTGAGTTGGTGACACTCACCTGAGATGACGCACATTCCTGAGCAATGTACGGTGTTGGTTGTGGGTGGTGGGCCCGGCGGGAGTTACACCGCAAGTGCTCTTGCTCGGGAGGGAATTGATGTTGTTCTCATTGAAGCAGACAGCTTTCCCCGGTGAGCGAATGTTTCTCGAATCGGTTCTTTCTTTTGAGCAACCTGTGTTAGGAGGGAAAATTTTCGATCTACTAAGGCGCTTGTCAAGATTCTGCATTCTTCAGCCTTTCTTTGTCTACGTTTAAGTGTTTTTTTTGCGTGTTATCTCCAGCTTCGGTGGGATTCTGCCGTACATCATTTGTTCAAGAGGCCACAATGTCAAACCATGCATGCACCGTCCAACTACGGACTGACCATGTGCGTTCTCAAGATACCATGTCGGCGAGTCGATGTTGCCCAGCATTCGCCACTATCTCAGATTCATCGATCTGGACTCTGCCTTTGATAAGCATGGCTTCAATAGAAAGGTTGGCTAGACAGCGAAAGTATCACGAAGATATGCTTATACCTCTTCCACGTCAAGAATGGTGGTGCTCTGAAACTAAGCGTCAACCACCAAGAAGGGTGTAAGTCTACGATTAGTCAAGGAGCTGAACACACTCGCTAAGGCTGCTAAATCAGACGCCGACTTCATAGGAACAGGCGGTTCTCAAAATTACTCCTGGAATGTTATACGATCAGAAGCCGACGAAATCATGTACAAGCATGCCGGGGAAAGTGGCGCGAAGACTTTCGATGGCATTAAAGTAAACACAATCAGTTTTCAGATGGCAGACTCGAGTGCAGAGCACACTGTGGCTGAACTTGGACGCCCAGTATCCGCTTCGTGGACTAGGAAGAACGACAAGGCCACTGGCATCATCAAATTTGATTATATCGTTGACGCCAGTGGGCGCGCTGGTCTACTAAGCACAAGATACTTAAAAGCCCGCAAGTACAATCAGTCCCTTAAGAACGTCGCAATGTTGGCATATTTCAAGGACGCTGCGACATATGGGAAAGGAACCGTACGAGAGGGTGCGCCCTTCTTCGAAGCTTTGCATGGTATATTCATAATTCTCGATGAACAGTGTAATTGAAATGACTTCAAGCTAGATGAATCGGGATGGGCTTGGACGATTCCCCTTCATGATGGCACCATGTCTGTCGGCGTGGTAATGTCACAAGAAATTGCAGCCAAAGCAAAAGCGATAGCGGCCGACAATCAAGAGTATTATAACAATGCTCTCAAGCAGACACCCAAGGTCCTTGAACTACTCTCTAGAGCCAAACAGGTCTCGGAGTTGAAGTCTGCATCAGATTACTCCTATCATTCTCACATCTATGCTGTTCCTTTCGCTAGGATCGTAGGTGACGCCGGCTGCTTCATCGACCCGTTCTTCGCTTCCGGTGTTCACCTCGCCATTACGGCTGGCTTGTCCGCTGCGACAACAATTGCGTCTAGCATCAGAGGGGACTGCGATGAGGCCATTGCGGCTGATTGGCATTCTGTTAAAGTTCGTCAAAGCTACAAGAGGTTCTTGCTTATCGTTTTATGCGCCTACAAACAAATGAGGAACCAGAGCCAGGCTGTATTGAGCGACTTCGGAGAAGACAATATAGATAAAGCTCTCAACTTTTTCAAGCCGGGTATGTTAGGTGTCTGATACCCCAACGAGCGTGTATAATGACTCACATCCTTTCTTTCAGTGATTCAAGGCGCAGCTGACGCAACAAACGAGTTCAAATCAAACGATCTTGAAAAATCAATGGATTTTGTTTACCAGTCTCTGCTCCAGAACCCAGGTAAAGGAACACATGACCTCTCCACCGAAGAAGAAGCATTGGGAGATCCCTACTCATTTGCAAGTGGCTACTTACCCTATGATGCCGCTATCCATTCGCCAAAATCACAACACTTCAACGAAAAGTCAGGGGACTCTGAGACTATCTATGACCTGGCCTCAAAATCAACGCCATACGCAGCCGTTACGTCTCCCCAGGCTTCAGCACGTCAGCCGGAAAAGAAAAATGAATCATCGCCCTGTGCATCCTCCGCACCGTACGATGTGATTGTAGGAGCCCCAACTAATGGCTCAACGCCAAACGTAGCCGTCATGCCCTACAAAGCTGTATTGAGCAAGCCAGCTAAAGCATCAAATCCATATGCTGCTAGCACGCCCTACGAACTTCTCGAGGGCAAGTCGTATCAGAATGAAAACGCAAACGCAAACGCAGCTGGCAATAAAGCCTCGTACTATCAAGATGCGCCAGATTTCGACGGTTTCACCACCAATGTCGTTGATGGACGAGTCCCAAGAGTTGAAAAGGGAAATTTGGGATTAGTCGCGGTGAAGGTCTGAAATTGTGCTTTCATTCGTTCTCTTATGATTTCTGGCTTGTTTATCTCAGAATACCAGACTGTTGATCCGAGGACTAATCATTCACATTCGGATGTGCACGCTTCAATATAATAAATCCTGCTGATATGCTGATAATGTTTCCGATAGACTGCAATCTGAAAGGCCACATGCTCCATCCCCACCTTCGAGGACCGCCTTTTCCCATCTCTTTCCTGAGCTAGCCCACTGCAGCATCACCCAACCCTGTGGCTTGCCCTATAATAAACTAACCATAGCTCCTATGCACAACTCAAAGCTTAACTGTATTTCTCCCACCCACCTCGCCCTAAGCACTTCAAATCCATTTGGAGCGAGCATCTCCGCCAACTCAGTTTCTGCTAGGTAGGAGATACACTTCAGCCCCTTCGGTAAAGAGCTAACTAAGTGTCACAAACTGTTTATGTGCGACGATTAGTTTGCATGGAGTGGTGGGCGAGAGGGCCACGTACCAGGGTACCAACAAGCTAGCTAAACCTACGCGAGAACGTCGCCTGACGTACAAACCAATAAAGCATAAACATAGTCCTTGATACAAAAACGTCCGCTTCCTCACAAGCATCTTCACACTGTACATCCCCATCAACCATGGCCCGCAAATTCGACCGCATGCCCGACCTCCCCCAAACCGTCGACGATCCTAAAGTCGAGGGGCTGATGGAACATTACTACTCCCTGTCCAACGCGCCCAACGACGAGGAAGACGGGCACGACAGCTTTACGGACATGTTCACCGAAGACGCTGAGTACTCTTTTAATGATAAGGTTTCTAAAGGTCATGCTGGTCAGTATACCTCCCTTCCCTCATCCCTTCCCTTTGCCTTTCCCCCTTTCTCCCCACACCGATCTCTTCCTCCACAGCAATGAAGCGTAAGTTGAAAATTCCGTTGGGGTCCTGACGTTGGTGGTGAGCGCAGAAATCTCAGCAATGCGCAAAGCCATGTTCGCCCACGTCCCCCAACGGGACCATTACCCTACCCAGATCTTCACGCACGGCCATGATCAGATGCAGTTGATGGCTAGGGGCAAGGCTAAGCATGAGCACCATTCTGGCAATGAGAAGGACGTTGAGTTCGCTGCGTACTATCAACTCGTTGATGTGGAGGGCCAGCTTAAGTTTAAGACGATTCATATTATTGCTGTAAGTTTTCTTTTGCTGATTGCTTATGTGGACTTGTTGGAGACACGGGGGAGGTCGCTTTGCTGACTGCTTGTGTGTGTGTACAGAACGGGCCCGCTCATGAGTAAGCTGGAAAAGGTTGAGGAAAGCTCAGAATGGTATTTCATTTTTTGGAGGGGTTTCTGAAGGGTTTCGACCTTGTGAAGAGGATAATGCGCGTTAAGCTCGTTTGGAGAAGTCAAACCTATTCGATCCAATTGTGCCTTCGCTTCTTGACAAGGGTGTCCTGTGCATGGAACGTTGCTTGTACCAGCTGCCTCAACTCTCTCCTTTTGCAAGAGTAGTTCGTAATCACTCATTCTCACCAGTCATGGTCGGGCATAAACGTCAACGAATTCTAATTCTTCGTCGAAAGATCTCATTGAGCTAGTTAAGAATGCGAGATCGATCGATGTCAGTGAAATAGAGTTGGACTTTCCAGTGCCTGGGAAGATCATATTCAGAGTTGTCGCGCGAGAGTGCGATCCATAGACAGCGAAGTCTTTCTCCTATATGTACCGAGCACCGAGCCCCATGTCCGATTAATCGCTCAGAAACGAGTTCTTCAGAGCCTTCTGTAAGTTTGATGTCGATTTCAAAAGTTTTGATGTGGTCAGAGAATTTGGAAGTAGGTCGGGACCAAAGACCACGCGCCCGCCATGCAAGACCCAGCTCAAAATTTTCTAATCGAGTCAGGAATTTAACAACGGTAACGGGCTCCTCCTGTTCACCACAAAATCTTGAGCTACTTTGTGCCTTGTAGACATTCTCCACCTTTTTCAACGGAATTTCTAGATTACACGAGCTAATTACGGTCCATTCATATCCAGATTCTGCAGGTGTTCTTCCTTGGGACCCGATTTCGATCACCAAGGAAGCCTTTTCGTCGCCTTGTTTTCGTACCAGTGCCGGTCTATTTAGCGGATATTCCTGAAAATTGAAACTGACGACTCTCGGAGTTTGCAATTTTATATGGAACATTCGGCGGTGAAAATCGGAAACACGCGATATAGTTTTGCGGTCGAAAGCCTCCAAAAAGAGACTCCCACACCGAAAAATGTGCGTAGAATGGACAGATAATAGCAACTTGATTGGTGCTCTTAGGTCTCGTCGACGCGCGCAAGCCAAAGGGGCTTCATAATAGTGCTTGCAGGCTCCTTCAGGCACATAATCCAGCTGACGAGGATAGTCCAGCTGACGAGGGTCGACAAGCTTGCAATAGAGGTGCATGGCTAGTCCCTGATTATTCAAGGAATAAGGTTCCCGCGCCATTTGGGGGATGTCAATCTTGACGATATCCCCTGAGCGATCGAATTCTTTCGGGGAGACAGCTAGCATACCACACGTCGCTCCCTTGTCACAACGATCATTGGGGCCTGGTCGAAAAAGCGTGGATCTGTCTGATGATTGGATACTAAATTCTTCCCAGGCGAAGATCGACTCATCTGGGTCTGACCTTATGATCTCCTCTTGTAATCTCTTGAATGCTTTCTGACCCTCGCCGTAAATCAACGGCATATTGACATTGAATAGACCAAGAAGACAGTAGGCTTCATCCTTCACCCTGGTTGTCGTCCTTGCAGCCGCCCAAGACATTTTCGCAGCCACACTTGCGTCATCAAGGCCTCCGCCAGATGTAAGGAGGTACCGCTTCTCTATCGTGGTGATCTTACTGATGTTTTCAGCAAGACTCCGCTTATTCCCAATCTCTATCCAGTTTCGGTCATAGAAGGTTACGTTGTCAGGTGCAAGGAGCTCTTGTAACGTCCATCCTCTCTCAAACCATCTACTGGAAGCAAATCTTTTAGGAAAGTCCGAATGAAGGTCAATATCCGCTAGGTAAACGAAGCAGACTCGAGCGTTTCTGTACCAATGAAACATTGAGTTGATTGCCTCAGAGAGCTCGGCACTGCTGGTTTTGTCGATGCAGCATGTATCAGCCCAGCAGTAGGGCAATCCTTCGGAGTTCGCCAAATTGCAACATTCGCGAACTTTTCTATATCCTGAAAGTAACAGAGACTCAGGCTTTGTAAAGTCTTGGAAGGAGACTTCTTCCCCTTCCAGCCATGTATGAGAAAGAATAGCATACTTTGGCTTCATTCGACCAACAACGTCATAGAATTCGAGAGTAGATGTGTTGAGGAGGCGCATCTTGCAGCATGATCTGAAGACCAGTAAACGCTTCCTCTTGCAAAGTCTCAGATTGAAGTCAAGCTTTAAAGAGTGCACCTCTTCGGCGTGTGTGATGTCAATTCCTCTAGGTCCTGAATACCTGTCTGGCAATTTTCATAAGTCTCGCAATGGAACCTTCCCCAAAAACGAGAATCAGGTCGAGAGGGCGCCCCAAAGCAACCACCCTTACGCTAGCCAAAAGGATAGAGAAGCTTCTAGAGATATTTGATCAAGTACACCTCATAAAAGGCTCTGACGTTGCGTAACCTACGCTTTACTACAACACACGCGACACTTGACTTATTTAGAGACACCTTCTAGTTTCGACCGGGATCATGGCTTTGCGCTGCAGGCTGACCAATTCTGGACCATAAAGCATGACAATTATCGGTGTTCGCAAGAGCCGCCTTTACCTCATGGACGGGCAAGTCAATGTAGACCCTATCATGCTAGGGTTATAGCAGTACATAATGTTCTCACAGAGGTCTCGAACTGTACATTGGACGCTGCTTAGAGATAGGAAGCAAGAAGTCTATTGAGACATTCCCAACAGACAAGGCTATCGAAGATGCCAAGGATCTTAGGGCTGAGCCTGGCTTTGGACTATCTTACGTCTGCTCTACCCATACATCATTTCCGTCCCAATATCTAAAGATGACGAAGTGGAAGAGCAACGATGATCGCCTCCGGGCGGCAAATCTTGAAACGTTAAGCGATGCACTCGGGGTCATCAATGTAAACGGGGAAGCACAGGTGAAGCAATTGCGACATGATATTCGAAAAAAGATTCTCAGCGGCCATTCAAAACGTCTGGGAGAGGAGGCAAACCAGCGAGAAGAGGACGCCCACGAAAATGACCCGGCATCCTATGCCCAGCCTTTTATAGACTTCATCAACAAGAACCCCACCGTCTACCATGCAGTCGAAGCTGCTGCTAAACAGCTCCGATCGAAAGGATTCACAGAACTCTCAGAACGCGACGCTTGGGACTCCAAGCTAGAAAAAGGAGGCAAATATTTCGTCGAGCGCAACGGAAGCAGCATTGTTGCATTTACAATTGGCAGCGATTACAAGCCCGGAAACGGGGCCAGCATAATCGCCACGCATATCGATGCCTTGACTGTTCGCTTGAAGCCCATCTCCTCCCTCCCTACCAAGGGGGTTACGTACAATTAGGTGTCGCCCCATACGCAGGGGGCCTAAATGGAACGTGGTGGGACCGCGACTTGGGCGTCGCTGGCCGCGTCCTCGTTCGCGATGCCAAAACCGGCAAAATCTCCACAAAGCTCGTAAACCTAGACTGGCCCATCGCTCGCATCCCAACCCTCGCCCCGCACTTCGGACAAGCAGCGAACCTGGATCGTGCGAACAAAGAGACGGAAATGGTACCCATAATTGGTCTGGACCATCCCACCGCTGCCAGCTCTGCCCCCTCCACCACTACCAACAGCAGCGGCGGCGGACCTACCACATTCACCTCCACCCAGCCGCAGCGCCTCGTCTCCCACATAACGAACGCCCTTTCCCTCTCCCCTTCCCAAATCCTAAATTGGGATCTCGAGCTCTACGACACGCAGCCCGCAACGCTCGGCGGGCTCGACCGCGACCTAATCTTCGCCGGCCGCATAGACGACAAGCTATGCTCCTTCAGCGCGCTCGCCGCTCTCCTCGCCTCCTCCCCCTCCAGCTCGCCCAATAGCCTCCGCGTAGTCGCCTGCTTCGACAACGAAGAAATCGGCTCCCTAACCCGACAGGGTGCGCACTCCAACCTGCTCCCCGACGTTCTCTCACGAATCACGTCTTCCCTCGCCGGCACAGCTTACACGCCCGACATCCAATCCCAGCTCTACGCAAATTCCTTCCTCATCTCCGCCGACGTCTCCCACGCTCTAAACCCAAATTTCACTTCCTCCTACCTGCCCTCGCACTCGCCCGCGCTAAACACCGGCGTAGCAATCCAAGCTGATCCGAACGGGCATACAACGACCGATGCCGTATCCACCGCCTTCCTGCAGCGCATAGCTGCGAAGACGAGTCCGCCGTGTGTTTTGCAGACGTTCCAGATCAGGAATGATAGTCGGAGTGGGGGGACGGTGGGGCCGATGTTGAGTAGTGGGATGGGGATGCGCGCGATTGATGCGGGGATGCCGCAGTTGAGTATGCATAGTATTCGCGCAACGACGGGGAGGGATGATCCTGGGTTGGGCGTGAGGTTGTTCAAGGGGTTTTTTGAGGGGTTTGAGGAGGTTGATGGGGAGTTTAAGTGAGAATTTGCGAGAGGAGGGAATTGCACCATAGCATAGCATACGAAGCGGCATTTGCATTCAATAGTCCACTACACATAGTGCGCCGAAAGCATTCCTTACTGCATGAAAAGACCAAATAACATAACCTCATAGCCAAACACCCACTGATAGAGAAATTATATTGTATATTATATGCTCATGGGTATCGCTCACACACCCCAAGTCCATTATGCGACAAATAGCCAGCCAGCCAGACAGATAGACAGACAACAAGGGAGAGCGTCAGCTTTACTGACCCACTCCAACGACCCAAAGCCATATATCCAAACGCCAGATCCTACCCGAGCCCAAACCCAAACCCTAGTATTCACAATAGAAAGAGAGGAAAATGTAAATGTACAAAGGAACCTCCTTCTAAACGTCGCAGAAAATGCGGTAAATGCATTCCTCCTCTCATGGTCATAGCCAGCCGGTCAGTCGATAAGTAACGGAGATCGCTACACCAAGCGCGTGAATGCACCCCGAATGCCCCCACCCCACCCCGCCCCGCCCCTGCCTTCAAGCACACACACACATATATTCACAAAGAAGCTCCCCGTCCTCTACTCCCAAGCGCACCATTATCCCTCAAAAACTCCACCGCCACGCGATCGCCGCCCGAAGCCGCAACATCCATCCAATGCAGCACGACAGCAAAAGTCCTCGGATCGAGAGCGCCACCACCTCCACCGCCACCGCCACCGCCAAACCCGCTGCTCTCAGCAGCCATGGTGCCGAAGACATCTTTGCCTTTACTGAAGGGTCTAGTAACCCTCTTAATGAGGCCCGGGTGCGTGAGGTAGAACAGCGCCAGCTCCCGGGCGGCGGCGGGGTTGCCTTCCTTAGCTGCTGTGAGGTAGAGCTCAGCTGCGTCTTTTAGGCTTGTTTTCGCGAGCCATGGTTCGTCTTGGGTGTCTGTGGATGTGAGGGTTTGGGGCGGGTGTTTGGCGTTTGCGTTGAGATGGTAGTCTGTTATTTTGCTGGCGCGGGCGATGATGGTGTTGTCGAGGATGTCTTCTTTGAGCGCCATGGCGGCGAGGGCGGTGTCCCAGAATGCTTTTCCCCGTGCGGTGTGGTCGAGGATGGAAGAGGGGGTGAAGGCGGCGATGTATTGGAGGTCGAGATAGAGGGTTCGCGGGCGGAGGGTTGGGTCTTGTAGGATCCCGAGGAGGGCTGTGACGATGGTGTCAGCACCGAGGGGTGACTGTTGCGAGGTGGAGAGTAGGAAGGAGGGTGGAAGAGGTGAGCGCTGGTGTTGACGTTTCATGGTGTTCTCGCGGCGTTCTGTGCAATTTGCGATGACTTCTTCGAGGGAAGTGGCCTTGGTGCGGGGAACGGTCTTGTTGAGGCTTGGGGCTGGTTTGTCGATTGTGTGTGAATGATAGGATAATGAAGAAGGCGAAAGATCAAGATTGTTGTATTGGATGGAATTCATGACCATGTCCTCGAGCTCATACAGCATTTGAAGCTTTGTCTCTGGGTTCCTGCTGAGTGACATTTTGCGCAGCAGAGTCGAGTACGCGTTCGTGAAATCGAAGGAGTCTTCATGAACATTGCCTTTTCCAGCCTCTTCCCCAGATTTGCGCAGACTGTCAGTAGGCACCTGATCCCGAAAGACATTGGTCGGCTCTTTTCCATGTTCCGAAAATCGATCATTGGGCTCTACTGCTCGAGGCTTGGGCGTATTAGCATCGGCTTTTTCGCTCTTGGCTGAATCTTGTACTTGTGTTGCCGCTCGATTGATCCATGCGTCAGTTTCGCTGCCGAGTGGCCACAGTAGGTACCCAAGATCGCTGATGAGGAGGGGAAGAACCTTCTTCTTCAGGCCCTCAACAAAATCCACTTTGGACTTTGATACCACTTCAGGCCTACCAGGCGACGTAGCACTAAAGGAGTCACTTATTCTTGGTGACAAAGGCGTGGTTGGTGGAGAAAGGTGGCCGAAAGCTTGACTTGGTGGAAGCGAAGGAGGTAGGTACCTTGGCCCGCCAACAGGAGGCATCTGGAACATTTGCTGCTGTGGGAGACTAGTATTTGCATATTCTCCACTTGGAGCCATCAGACCGTTAATCCGAGAATCCATCGTGCTTCGCGTAGGAGATCGTAGGTTTGAGGGATCATGCGCCCACGGCATCGGGGTCAAAGGAGAAGGGGAGTAGCTAGACAAGCTGGACTGACGAGGTCGTGTGTCCAAGCCAGCTTTCTCACGTCGAAATAGGTGGCTTGACCATAATATAGGACTTTCTAGGAGGTTCATGCCCACAAGCTTATTTAGTGTCTTTTGGACCTCGAAACAGAACCTGTGGAGCCGTTCTTCCCCTTTGCAGAAATTCTCGATACTATTCTTGGTCAGCCATTTTGAGCTCATCTGTATTTGATCATCCCCGAGTTTGATCAATCCACCATGGTCCGTTGGTGCAACCATAGCTTCCAAGGCCTGCCTGTCAGCTCGGTCGTATGGTGCGGTTCCCCGAAGCCGTTGGCGAGCCCAGTGTGCAAGTCCTCCTGCCTGCTTCGGCTTTTTCGGATTGGCCATAGCTCGAAGCGCTTTCGTCACACGTAGCGCATCTTCGTAGGGAGCTGAATTCTTGACGTCTGAAGAATACCACATCTTAGTCCGAAGATCTTTGCGATCCTGCTCGAAGGTTCCCAGAGTGGTATCTTCAGCCCTTTTCCGGGCGGTCAGAAGGCTCATGCTGGACTGCAATTGCTCCCTTTGCTTCGTAAGGACTTGAGTTCGATGTTGCAGGAAATTTGCTAGATTATGAGTAAGATCTCCGTAGAATGACCCGGATTTATCAATCCTCTGCAGATGGTCGTAAGTCTTGAGAGCCCGCCACCATTTGTGGGCCTCCGCAAAATCATGGGTTGCCTTTGCAATTGCAAGTCGCTGTTCCACTAGATATCTAATATTGGCATCATGCTTTGAAGCACCGGAGTGAAAAGCCCAGTTCGGCTGCAACAAGGCCAGTAAAGCCTTCGTCAGATCTTTGATCTGCTGTTCTGATCCGCTGAACGCTCGAGCTTCCTCGGTATCATATAAAGCTTCAGGTAATGCAGGAGGCCCAATCATCACATCAATCTTTTGCGCTAATTGCGAGTTGGCGGACGCAATGTCGAAGAATGTCCAATCTTGAGTCCTAGGATCCGCAATGGAATTCACCCGCCCCTTGGACAAACCTCTCAAATGTTGCGAGATGCTCTCAAGACTCTTGGCAGGAAATGCTCGGCTGTTCATCGCATTCCTTGGAACGTTTTCTGTTTGGCCTAGTGTATAAGACCCGTCACCTTTCTGGTCCAAGATCATTGGAGTCGGTCCATCTCCAATGAGGGTACCATCAGTTGAAGACGATTCAGCATACTTACGATCCGGGAGAAAGTCTCCAGATGCGCTTACGGCTTGTATCTCAGGTTTGAGAGTTGTTGAGCTGGCCTTGGATGACGAATCCTCGGAAAGGGTGACGGCTGATTCGGACCTTGTGACTTCCTCAGGAGGACGGAGGGTCTCGACAAGGGTTATAATGTCCCAATGATTCAGCACCAATTGACCAGGATGTAAAGTACCGGCGTTGGATGTATCTATGGCAGAAGTATAATATGCGGGATCAGGAGGTTCAAAGTAATCCACAATCTGCCAGACTTGATCTTGGACCTCAGGAAGTATGAAACTCAGACTGCTACTACTTTACTGTTAGTGCTAATTCATAAAAGCAAGCTCATGGGTTGTACCTTGGTGCTAGGACCGAGAAAACTTGCGATTGCAAGCGCAGGGCAAGCTCCTTGAGTATTGACATTCGAGCACTTTGACCGATGTGATAATCTAGCAAAGACCCTCGCACCTAGATATTTGCCTCAGTCATGTTATCAAACGTAATCCAAACCAGTTCTTACCTCAGGATACACTATTAAACTTGTCAGAAAGCTTGCGAAGTACCATCTTGAGACGATGAATTTCTTTGCCAGTTCCCTCATTTGCTTGTCATGAATCCGACGCAGGGTCGCGTGAATGAGATCTAGGACACCCTGTGGGACAATTGCAGCAGAATTAGAGGTCTCGGTCAAAAGGCTCAACAGCCTACTGGTATACTTGTCGAAAAATTCTGCGACAGCAATAGCATGGCTCGCTCTGTCAGGTTCAAGGAAATCCGCCTTTTCCGAAAATTCTATGGTGGGAGGATCCAGAAGAAACCAGCCTTCAGCCAAGACCTCCTGGAGATATGATTCTATTTTGGGGAGCAGTATCCAATGTCCGGTATCAACGAAGGAGTCGAGCGTAGCAATGGCAAATTCTTCGCTACCCAACTTGCCACCCATCATCACAGAAGCGCACGTGCTGGCCCAGACCTCCGTCCGTAGGCGATGTTCTCCAGAATTCCATGGTGCGGAAGAATCGAATATGCCATGAAGCAGAATGTAAAAGGGGTCATGGGTATGGAAGAGATCAATGTTGTCCATACGGCGAGATAATTTCATCATCTGGCTGTCACGGCTCCAGGCCTGGGTCCTTCCATGTGAATGGTTGGAAAGCACAGAAAGATCAACACCAGCAGGGTGATAGCAGGAAGTCAGCCTCGCAAGGTCGGGTGGTGGCAAGTTGACAATGAGGCTAGCAAGATAGTCCTCCTCCAAACGTAATCTATTGAGGAAAGCCGTAATGGATGCTTGATCCTCGAAAGACAGCTCATGCAGGGGCCCGACATCATTGCCAGAATCTAGGGGATTCTCCACAGTTGGCTCTCCTGCTGCGGATATTTCTCTCAGAGAGTCACATTTGGATATCAGTCGTTCTGAGGCTTCAAAAAGCCCCGTGAAACCAGCTTGATCGTCGCCCTTATATTGGTCGATCATGTTGCCGTATGCTATTCCCAGTGTATTTTTTAGCCTTCGGTTGATCCCATTTGATAAACTGAGATGCCTTGATTCTGCTTGAAGAAGTCTTGCGTGGTAAATTTCATTTTGTTCCTCCGTCGCCAGCTGCGTCAGTCGATCAAGCGGGATTGGTATTGTCACAGGCGGGGACGTGAGCTTCTCTTCTAGTCTTGGCTTATCATCAGAAATATTTTGGGCAAGTTCTTCGAAGTGCGGATCCGAACGCTTAATATCGGGCGTGGGCGAGCTGGAGGGTTTAGGAGTTTCCTTTTTCCTTTCCTCAATATCGTAAGTGTCTTGTGCCGAGGATGATCTTGAAGGAGGCAAAGGGATTTTGAGCTCGATGGGTATATCGTTTGCATCTTGAGGATCGAGAGGAGAGGCAGTAAGGGAGGTTCTCGTCGATGCATCCGAGGTGATGGGCATAATAGAGGAAGCTAGAGCTACTTGTAGTCAGCACCACCGTTCCTTTCCCGCGCTCAGAAGCCAGAGGGATGAGAGCGGATGTGGTTCTCTTTCGTGAGGGAAGATATTCTCACAAGATAGACTCCTCTGATGTCCATGCGTCGGATAGCTATGGTCCATGCTTTCTATCATTGCCATCTAATGCCCGTACAGATGTGGGCACAGATGATGACCAGGTCAAAGCGCCTTCGTTTAGACATTGAATCTCCTACATTGATCGCCGGCGTAGCGATGGGTATCTGGCAGGAGGGTCTCAGTCGTGGGTGGAAGGGGGCTCCGCAGCGCGAAAGCCGTTCCAAAGTGAGAGGGATTGCGCTACGATCTTGCTCCTGCGTCGCGATGATGGTCTCAGGTGGAGAGGCAGGCAATGGAAGATGATGTGTCGGTGGGCTATGGGAGATGCAGGCGCAATGTAAGTACAAGTCACGCAGAGGGCTGCAGCACCCTCAAGCGAGCGGCGCTGGTGTGGATGGGAAATCTGCAGCTACAGCGCATGGAATGGGTGGCTGTTTAGCGGCAGGCGGCTTGGTGGGGTCAAGAAGAAAATAGGTTGAAGCCGACTGCGCTACTCAGTCATGTGACGAGTATGCTAGAGAAGAAAAGCAATTCAATTAATTCGAGGCAGTCGACAGAGGCTACCAGAAGCAGAGTGCTATATGTAGAGACGAGGGAGCCGCATCTGCCCGCCCAAATGAACTGACCCGACCTTCGGGGTCATGTGGGGAACGTAGATAGTAGGAGAAATGCTGCTGATGTCAGAACGCTATTAATTTCCTGGCTTTATGCTAAACCGATATCATAGTAGTGATGGATATAGTGCTAGATTCGCAATTTCCCTGGGCAAAGGTGTTGGGCTCATCGCACAGAAGGCCCAGGACGTCTTTGACCGTAGATTGAGCCATCATCTGTCTTCCTTGTGTGCAATATCTCAATTGACCTTCACGCGGAAACGGGCACTTGGGATCCCTTAGAGCCTTTACTAGAGGGTCCGTGACAGCGGAATTTTGCAGGCACCAAGGAGAACGGAAAGATGCTGGAACTAATCGGACGATGCGCTGGCTCTGCAGGATTGCTGTGTCTCCCTCTGCTGCTCAACCAACAATGGTCCATCAAACTCTGACGGGTACTCGTCAGCTAGTCATGGTGGTCATGAAGATTGTGGAGAAAGTCGTTGGGGATGTCGTCAAGCGAGTCATTCCGCTGTCGATCTTGCTCTTCCAGAAGCATTCCTAATTCGATGATGATTGATGTGGTCTCGTTCCCTTGGCTGTGGGCCCTGCATTTTCCGCTTATTGCTTGACCTTGCAGCAAGCTCATCGCTTGATAAGGTCAGCATTATGTCATTCTTAGCCGACTTATTCACCATGTTTGGACATGAAACAGCGCGACATCAGACATGCGCTCTGTGCTACCCATCCAGGGCATTCTTGTCATGAGGCGTGAGAAATATATTACCAAATAAGAAGGGACAAGAGGGTGCCTCCCCCTATCCAGGCAGGCCAGGCAGGCCGTTCGGGTAAAGCTTCCGGCCTCGGCACGGCCCCAAAAATGAAAACAAACTCACAAGATTTACTCACCGCACCGCCTCCCACACGACCTGCAAATGACTGCCTTTACAACGCACACGACACACCTCAAACGCGACATGCAACTTCACTGAAAGACTTCACCCATCACCATTGTTTACACAGCAACCATATGACAAATAAGGACCTGCTACGTCTCGTGTCGAAGCCTGCGAAGTCTGTTTTCCCTTGCACCACCTTTCCATCTCGTCACCAAACGAGATCCTTTTATTTAAGAAGCCAGGATGCTGACCATCGTTGTCTCAACCAGGCCACGATAACACGACTCCCTAAAGAACCAAGCTACATATATTCCCCCATTTACCACCATCTACAATATCCTCGTCTCCTTAACCGGCGCGAGGATCCTCACGCTGCCAAAATTCCTTGGTTAAAGGACTTCTTCGTTCCCCTCTCCGCTCGACCTCCATAACGGTCTTCAAATTCAAAGAGATATTCATACTACACACTGCTGCTGGCTTAAGCCAGCCTCCACTACTTCCCACCTTCGTGGGCTCGCTCTCCTCACGCGAACATTGTATTGTTTGTCTGAGCGGAGGAACGTGCTTCTTCTGCCTGGGATCAGAAAGGAACTACAAAGGAATATTTTGGTATGGAGGATCTTTAGTCTCCCAGACTACGTCATTCGTTTGACTCGTGCTGATTGGAGGACGATAGGAACCTGCGGAGAGGGCTCCTTGCCAAAGTCTGCGAAGGAGATGGTCAATACTGAAATCCCGAAGAACTACACATTTAGTCCCTCGTCTTATAGTGGGACGCCTCATTTGACAATCAATCATGATGCAACAGTCGATCTTGATTCCAGCAATGCTTTCGAAGGTTAGTAAGACAGGCTCAGCTCGGATCAGCTCTTGCTCATGAAGTTTGTAGGACCTGAAAAGCTCCTAGAAGTATGGTTCAGTGCCTCTCCAACCGCTCTTCCACCTTCGGCGCCTGCAGGCTTGAAGACTGTGCCGGCTGAGACATGGAAAGAGATGCTCGAGCTTGTCAACTGCAAAGTGCTCTCCGTTGTCGAGTCTGAGCACGTAGATGCCTACCTCTTGTCGGAGTCCAGCATGTTCGTCTTCCCTCATAAGCTGATTCTCAAGACTTGTGGAACCACGACGCTATTGACTGGACTCCCTCGGATTTTGGAAATTGCGGCGACAAGTGCAAGGTTTCCACACAATGTGGCGGATTACAAGTCAGGCATAGCAACTGCAGCATACCCTTATCGTGTGTTCTATAGCCGCAAGAACTTTCTCTTCCCGGATCGACAACTTGGCCCGCACCGAAGCTGGCGTGATGAGGTTAGGTCGCTTGATAGACTTTTTCTTGGTGGAAGCGCCTACGTGATTGGGAAACTCAATGGCGAGCATTGGTACTTGTATTTGACAGAGCCAAACACCATGCTCACTCCGCCTTCTACGCCTGATCGTCGCGACAATGAGACAAGGAACCTCGACCTATCGATTTCAAGGGCGTCGTTGAGCAGCGTTGAAGACGAGGATGATGACGATGAGACTCTGGAGATTTTGATGACTGACTTGGATCCTGAAAATGCTCAGCAATTCTACCTCGACCATGCGAGTGCGGTTGCCGAAGGCCAATTCTATGAGAAAGCGCATGAGGCCCGAGTGGATGCGGAACAGCATTTGGGCAGCCTGTTAGACCTTCCAACTCAAAACAAGCCAGTTGAAGCAAATGGTGTCAAGGATGAGCTTGAGGAGGTCGATATCTTCAGCAACACATCCTCCGATCCTTGTGATCTGACCTCTTCCCACTACGAGCAATTCAGCTACCCCCAAGAGCTCATGACTGAGGGCCACAGTCTTGGCACTGTCGTCTCCGAGTCGTCTGGTCTCTCTGATATCTATCCGATTTCGAAGTATCCAGATGCCCGCGTTGACGCCTACATGTTCAACCCATGCGGCTTCTCCGCAAATGGCGTCATTCCTGCCCCGAACGGACCTGACGCGACCCACTACTTCACTGTCCACGTCACCCCTGAGCCTAACTGTTCCTACGCGTCCTTCGAGACCAATGTGCCGCCAAAACAAACGGGACGCGAGACAGCCGACGTCATCGAGCAAGTCGTAAAGATCTTCAAGCCTGGCCGCTTCACCGTGACACTGTTCGAAGGCAAGAAACACGTCGAGGATGATTACGACGAGACACCAAAGAAGAAGAGGGCTGCCAAGAAAGATAGTCGCTGGGAGACTATTCGAGGCTATCGTCGTATTGACCGCATTGTGCACGATCTGGATGGCTACGACCTTGTCTTCAAGTATTTCGAAAAGGTCGACTGGGAAGGCGGAGGCTTGCGGATTGGGGAGAAGGATTTCTGACTATATGGTCGGAAATCTATTAGCAACATTCAACAAGTCCTTTATCCCCCGGCCTTCGACGGCGCACAAGCCCAGCACCATACTCTCCTTGCGGTATCTTGACACTCGCCTCTTTTACCCTGCAACACACCTATGAATGGCCAGGAACGCCTATTTTTACTCTCATTTGCAGAAACCAGAGTCATGTCAGAGTAGAAAAGTCAGGGTAGCTAGATATCACGTATGCCCAAAAGTGCCTGTCCGTACTCGATCCGCATTCCACCTTCTTCAATCTCATGTAATCCGTTCCATATCTACAGCTGGCTCATCATTGTCATTGCCTCTTGAGCTTGAAGAAACGTGCTATTAATTGACAGTCGAATCTTGTCAAACCCTCTGTATTGTTTTGTCGCAACCATCCGACGATCTAATAGCAATTGTTCTTAGCATTCACTACACCGGAAAATACATGTTCCCAGTTGATCGCTTGCCGGTGTGGGCCGGTTTGGGCATCACCCACCATGGAAGATGGGCTGATATGGCCAAGCAGAGCCCTACGGTCCTACGGCTAGGGCCGTGTGGGCGCCCCCTTCGGCCTCTGATTTATATTAGTAAAATATACTCATACTAAGGCCACATGCCATAACGATATTATTCTACCTGGTCATTGAAAACATACAGCCAGAGAACAGGCATGCAGGACCTGCTTTGATGCAAAGCTTGAAGCTCACTGACAAGTTCTTTGGGGTTTCCAAATTCGGAGGCTGCAGCTATAATAGATTTTTTCGAAGCAATGATTGACACATATAGGTTCCGTATCAAGTGATAACAGAAATGGCAGATTCCAATCACGTGATTTCAGGTGGATACTACATTTGTACGAGCGGCACAAATGGCAGTATGAAGCGTGCAGCAATATTCCTTTGATGGTCTGTTCGAAGCTGCTACCAAATCCCCGAGACATGGATACTTCTCGTAAATCCTTGCCGGCGTTAGCTCTTGACCAACCGAAGTCTTTCATAGCACGTAGTCGGGAGCCAAAGGAGGGCGCCTTTGGGTGATGCTCGTCCAATCGGAGCCCTACAATTTGATTGGCCGTCGATGAAGGCCGCAAAGTACAGCCCCAGCCTTGGGGAATTCAGCCTGATGGAGACGTGCAATAGCCCTTCAACATATATAAGTCATGATGGAAGGATTTAATCTCTCACGTCCTATCTGATTTAAAATGTACTATTATACCTCATGACTACTGGATGGTCACTTACTGAGTCCGGGTGCTGATAGCTCTGTCCGTCCAGAACTAAGTGGCCACCGTTTCCCGCGGTCTGCACGTTGAAGGATTGTATCAAATGATTTTGAAATGTCTAAAGCCACGAAGCACTTTCACAAACAACGCGCAGACTTGACACATTATTCATTTGCGGAACCGGTCGTCCGAACTCTCACAGATAAGGTAAAAGGGAATCCCGAAGTACGCCGTAAAAATACACCCAGCCAACGCGAAGGTACCAAAACTCGTGTCGTTGTTTTCCACAGACGGAAGAATGAAGGGAATGACGCCGATATTCTGGGAGTAAAGGATCTCACCACCTGGAGAAAATCTTCAGGACACAATAAATCTTGGAGAAAATGCAGACGATTCAAGCTGACACAAGCCTACTTGGAACTGCTTACGATTTCGCGTGGACACCCAGTCTCGTTCGGATGGCAGTTCTCTGCAACGAACAGTCCAAGTTCGTTCGTCAGAGGTCAAGGTTTATACGTCAATAAGCAATCGAAACCTAGAAGATCTAAGAAATCATCAAATTTTCCATCCATTGATGAGCTGAATGAGGGAAATAGCCCCCTTGGTCGTTGCTAAGAGACGCTCCTCGCAAACACTGGCGTGTATACCCAGACTTGCAGGCCCAATATACACTTGTGGAACTTCCCAAGAGATTTTTTCGCTTGAGAATTACTCGTGAAGGCGTCAACATCACAACAGAAGTATCCCTTGGGGAGATGAGGCTTTCATTACATAAGTCTCTACCACTCCAAAATGTAGGACACCAGGGAGACATGTTTTACAAAAACTTTGTCGTTCTACGCCTAGTGGGTAACGAGAGCCACGCGGATGTTTATTTAGTTCAAGGCTCCAACAAGTCCGCTAAGTTTTACCATGCTCATGTATTTTTGAGCGAAGGCTTTAGCGGGAATGAGTCGAAATTCGCGCGAAGGAAGATTGATCGACTGCGGAAGAGTCATGATTTCCATGACGAGATCGTTCAATCTGGAAGGAAGATCATTGTGATGAAAATCGACTTTCAAAGGAATAAAACCTTCCACCTTAAGAATACGCAGCAAGAATTTCCCCCTCTGCCAACATCAGGTAAGCGATTTTGCAACATTATAACATTTGACCGGTAGTTATTCCGGTCTCTGACGGTCACTTGCAGTGGTTAAATCTTGCAAAGCTGGCCAAAAGAAGTACAAACGCTCCTATGCCACCATTTTAAGCGAAGAACCACCGTCCAAAAAGACGACGAAGTCAAACCACATTGCATACATAGCCTGGCAAGAGCGACAAGGAACCCTTGGACCGAAAAAAGGAAGCGTAAGAGTAAGACCGAATAAGATGAATAAGCTGGACACGAAGGTGGACAACTCCAGCATCCAGACCATTCAGAAGAGAGTCCCAAATATTCCTCTAATGAACCGATTCACAAATTTGTCATGCAATGAAATACGTGATGATTGATTGCCGTTCAACTAGCAATTACGTTGGAAGTGAGTTTGTTAGACTACAAAAGTGTCTCCATGTCAGTGTGTATGTATCGAATAAAAACGGCCCGAAAAATAGCACATCCAAAAAGGGATAGATGTTTTCGAAAGAACGTCTGTATTGTATTCTAGCTCTATTTAACTTGGTTGTGGCTCCTTGCTTGGCCTTCACGGCGGTCGCGAAGTTACCCATATCAACCAAATTCGTCCTCCCCTATTCCTAAAAGAGCGGCTAAGCCATATCTATGATGCCTTTGAATATATTTTCACAAGCAGAGAGCCTGCCAAGTTGCAAGTTGGGTCCTTCCTTTCCAACTTAGAGTCCGCTTACCTCGGGCGGTTTCCAGGTAATTTTTAGCCTGGAGGGTCTAAGTATCCGCAAGGTTTGCGGGATTTTTTTTGAGTCCGCAAAGTTTGCGGGCTCCATAAAATGCTCATGCAATTTCCGAAGGATACAAACAAGCCAGAGAGTCTGAGACCGCTGCTGAGCCAGTAAGTCGCGTCCGGAATGATGAGCACTATCCATGAGTCGGCATTGTCGCTAGTTGTTTAAGCCAACCTGAGCAGCATGGTATTCGTTTCCTTCCGAGCTCCCCGTCTCATTTTTGATGTGACGTTGGAGATTATCACCTTTCGAGCGTAGCCAGTCCTACATGTGCAAGCATACATTCGTATTGCAGTTGATCCATTCAAACATGATCCTGATTTTTGATGACGTGTGAGGTCCTTTCGAAGAGTGAACCTTTCTTTACAGGCGTCACATACGTTCGGATGCTGAGTACGCACCAGGCATTTCTGAACGTGAAATCTAGAACTATAAGCGAGGAATATGCAGTCTTTACAGCAGAAGCGCATACCTGGATCGTATGTTTGAAAAGTTCTTGCAACAATGTGGACATTGGAAAGAATTAAGCCTCGGAATCTGACTCTTGTGCTTTTTCGGTGATTCGTGGCAGAAGGTTTCAGTAGAAAGGGTCTTGAAATCTCTACCACTCTTCTTGCGGAGATCACTATCAAAGCATGGAGCTAAATATGATGACATGGGATTCCAGTCTGATTGAATTGGTGGTGTGGAATCTTGAATTACCTTGCTGTTGGTACCATCTGGATAGGCTAGTAATCCCTTCAATTGGAGATCAATGTTAGAATTGGCTGGGGCATTGACTCCGAATGATTGTTGACAGAATCCAAATGGCTGATAGGTTGTTTGGAATGCCGCCTGCATGCTGGGAGAACCGGCCTCCTCTGCGCTGAGGGTTTCGAGAGAAACACCAGCAGACGCAATGTGGCGTTCTTGATGGACTTGAGTCGCAACGTCCTCGTCGAAAACGTGCTCAGGATTAATAAAATCGTTCCACCAACTCGGATCTGGTACAGCATTTGAAAGTACGGCGTGGGATTCACCATTCCAAACTCGACCGGACAACTCCAATGATGCCGGCTCATGGTATTGGTCAAGAAGGGACTCAGACTTGCGAACTTGACATGGCCCGCTGAGTCCTAGGCCATGTTCATGATGATTTTGGTTAATAGTGAACTAACGAAGTGCCTCCTCCGAGGGCACTTCGTCAAAGTTCACAGGAATAAAAAAAGGGGACAATCTGAAAACGCTATCGAAGAGATAAGTGATTTCGTTGCTGCAATACAAGGATCACCACTCACCAAACGATTAAATCAACAACAACGTACCCCAAATCAACTACCTGAAACTTCCTCTCCCCCAGCACGCAAACGTATGAGAAAGAAAGAGTCCCCCAAAAGGCGACGAGGCAGGCATATGTACAAAGAATCGACCAGGCTGAATGCCAAGACTCGGCTTTTCGGTGAACGTAAACGCAATCCTATTGGAGGCCTCAGCGCTTTGCCGACCCATCGACCTTGCAGTAGTGTTGCAGGTAAAGCAACTAGGCAGAAAGGACAACGCATTCTAGAAGAGCAAGCTTGACAGTGGGAACACTCGGACGACGCGGTTCATGCGATCCATATTCCTTAGGGTTCAAGTCCACCTACAGCAGTCATTAGTTGGAAGCTAGGGACGCGTTAGAGAATGTCGACCGAGAGAAAGGAGATGCCAGGCCTCATCGTTAATACTGGTCCTCTACCTTCCAGGAGATCAATTCTCTTCACTGTATCATTAGCTAGGAAAGGTATGGTGATTCCAATACGGGCATCCGCTGGTAGGATGGGCTTGAGCATAAGTATTATATAGTAAAATAAACCAATCAACAGGACGTTGAATTTATGACTTTCTAAGCGTTCAGTCTATCTCAACAATCCATCAACCCTAAGCAGAATCAATCAGCGTAAAAGCTTGGCTTCAATAGAGCATATTCTCACATCAAGCAAAGACTGAAACAGCGGTATATAGGTCACCGCGTCTATATAATCTCATGTAGAGGTTGGTGGAAAATGTTGATGAATAACGTTCCTCGCCCAAAGGAACGACAAGTCTTCCCATCGACAGCGGTGTCAAGCGAGTTGCATCTCTGCGGCAAGGAGGAAGAAATATTCTATACCATGACTTCAAAGCAGATCCTTTACAATTCAGCTTGCCACTCCCAGCATTGAGTAGACCTTAATACCCCAGGCCACCTAGGACATTCTCAACGCTTGGGCAAGGCTTGACCCTCTCTATAAACCTTGAAAGATGCAAGCCGTATATTTCGACAGATGGGTCCTCCCGATAGGGTTGCCCCTGAATCTCTTGGCAAAGGGCTGGAGTCGAAAATGGCCATCGCTTATCCGTTTCATCGATCGTACAGCCCGATGACTTGATCTTGGCTCAACTTCATCTCATACTCTTCAAGGAGTGATCGGAGGGGGCAGGCCGTCGGGCTGAGGCCTAGGCCTTCTGTCCAGTTTCTACACAAGCCACAGTACTCACGACGATCATCATCGAGGGAGCGAAGACTCGGAGCATAGGGGATCACCTGAGCCAGCCCCTAGCTTAGCACTTCCTAAAGGAGTGTAATATAGCGTCTTCTCATCCGATCTAGACTTCACTAGAGTCGAAATCTTGGGCACTCACGACGTCCTATCTCGCCAGAAATGGCACGTAAGAGATCCGATAATGTGAAGGCGGAGAGGCGAAGCTGTTGGTCAGCCACAGGTAGATCTAGATCATTGCTTGATAGATACATCGCAGAACAGAGTGTGGGTGGGGATGAACAAGACACTTCCTAATCCATCGCGGACGAATGATAGAGATGAATCAACCCTGTCCCGAAGTCCAGGAGGATCTAAACCCTTCCGGTATTACTTCTATTGGTCTGAAAAGGCTACCCCCATGACGCCAAAAGGCCACAAGGAGCCTTTGAAGATCGTCCAGCTTGCCACATGAGTCATTTCCTAGACATCTGATCATCCAAGCCTGTCTGAAAAGGATGTGTAATGGAAACATCATCGTCAGTCCCTCTCTGAATGCAGATGGACAATGTGTCAATTGGGATTGCACGTCACCTTATTTTGGACATTTCTATCCGCCCATGCATGCGTTCCAGACTCTTTCCCGCAATATCCCATTAAGCATAAGGGCACCATTGGATCTCGGTCCGCGAAACACAACCCAAATTCGTATTTTCACTCTTGTTCTGTAGAACTTCCTGAATCAGTCACGGTAGTGTTGACCAGCATGGGAAAATTTCAACATTACCGAGCTACTTACAATGTCGCTCACCCGGATGGCCAGGGTTCAACTCCTGAGAGTCGAGGCGGATGGCTAGTCCCCAAATACCGTAAACAAGCGCGTTTGATCTCACGCATCGCTATCACCTGCTTATTCTTAGGCTGGGTATTAATTTCAGGTGGACTACTGCTCCGGTATACAAGCATACAATCAGAATCCAATTCATGTTGAGACGTCATTGACAAATGCGTTAGGCGTGCCGACAGCGATTTCTTTAAATCGCAGCAGCGTAGTGGACATGCTTCTTACGATTCTACCCGTCCAGACGGCAATTCCTCTGGATTACAACAGGATAGTGGACCTCTTTCTCAGGGTTCCACACATCCAGAAAGCAATGTTCTTTTTCCACAACAGAATAGTGGAGAACGGTCTTGCGACGATGTTCGCAATGGCTATGACAATAAGACTGCTCCATGCAGTGGTTCCGCACAGCTCTGGGGATCATATTCCCCGTACTTTCGTACAGGCTCCGATGACGCTTTGAAAGCTCCACAAGGCTGTCAAATCACATTTGTGCAATATCTATCGCGCCATGGAGCTCGATCTCCCGCTACGGACCCCCCAGATGATCCGAACAAGCCGTATTACCCGAACCAGAAGACTGGTCATTATAGAGACTTTATCACAAACCTTCAGAGTAAAATTAGGAATCAGCACCTACAAGAGCCTTATGCATTCCTTCAGAAGTATACATTTAATCTGGGAGCTAATAGTTTGACCAATTTTGGTAAAAACGAACTCGTGAATGCCGGAAAACAATTTTATGATCAATATTCCCAGCTAGCAAAGGATAATGATCCATTCGCTCGAGCCTCGGACATGGACCGTGTGATTGATTCGGCTAGGAAATTTGGAAGTGGATTCTACGAGGCCAAACACAATTCGAACAAAGCAGATCCTTACCCTATCATCAATATCAGGGAGGGATCAAAGTTTCAAAATCCGCTCAACCCCAAGACTTGTCCCAAGTTCTCTCACAAAGCCGGCAAAAAATATCAGATCAAATTCGGTGAAAAGTCCATCCTTGCCAATACAACTGTGAAACGTCTGAACCAAGGCTTTCCTGACGCAAATTTAGAAACAAGAGATGTGATTAACTTGATGGATCTCTGCTCATTTGACACGGTGGCATCTGATACAGGTACTGGCTCGAAATTCTGCCTTCTGTTCACAAACCCTGCTGAATGGGAGGCTTACAATTACTACCACACCTTGAAGAAGTATTACGGGTATGGCTATGGAAATCCTTTGGGACCTGCGCAAGGGATTGGCTTCGTCAATGAAGTGATTGCCCGACTAAACAGCAATCCCACCGTTTCCGATAGGACCTCCGTCAACCACGCCATAGATGATAACAACCCAGAACAATTCCCAATCGGCAGGAAACTATATGCAGATTTTACCCACAATGATCCAATGACATCCATCTCAGCTGCTCTGGGTCTATTTGACAAGACTCCGCCATTGAGCCTAAGTGGAATCACCGACATTGATAAGGATGCAGGCTTCACAGCTGCTCGGGTAGTTCCCTTCGCCGCTCGATTTGCGATTGAAAAGATGACGTGCCAACAAGGGGAAATGATACGAGTCCTTGTAAATGAGAGAGTCATGCCACTTGACTCGTTCGAGGGATGCGGCCTCAACAAGGACGGTCTCTGCGCTAAGGTTGCTTTTATGACTCATCTGAGCAAACAATCCACACAGCTTCAAGCGGACTGGATCAAGTTGTGTTAAGATTGATACCAGTCATGGATACAACGACGCTAAGGAAGTCCAGACAAGCTAAGATGGACGGTAATTATGCGCATTTCAGCAGGACATCAGGCATTCTATTCTTCCTCACAGGCGCCTCTAAGAGGACGCTTTTTAGCCTGGGATATATACTCAAAACATGAATAGATCCGAAAGACTTTTGATGGCCCCAGTCATAGCAGTGCTCTCGCGTCTCTGTCCATTCCTTACTATCCAACAACGTCTACGAACTCACAGAAAATACTCTTCCCTGCTCCCACCATTTTCCGCTGTAATCTCGCTTGATCCAATGCCCCTAAGGAATTGTCGGTGGCAAAGCTCCCGTACCCTCAGCATAAAACCATGAATATCGTAGTATCCCAGAATATAAAAGTCATTCCACATTCCACCACCACCATCAGAGCTAACTCTCCAAAAAGTTGCACTTTGTCGAGGTGCCCACCTGCGTCAATGCAAGGCATCACCCATTCCCTCCCCGCAATGTAATGGCGCTTTGCATGCTTGACGGATAAAGACAGCAGGAACATACGCCTGGCCCACTCTAGCTAGTACCAACGCAAAGTGAGCAGGGGATGACACGCCACCCCTACCACCCGTGAGAGGTGAACTAGCACCAGCTTCTAACAATCAAAACCTGCGTGCTCTCCATAGCCGCGTCCAATTCTTCTCATCGGCTAGCAGTCTCAACAACAAGGAAAACAGTGTTTGAATTGGGTTTCTAAATATTTAAGCTGTCGTATTTTATTTTTTCCGCCCCAGAATTTGTTGGATGAAAATCTGGAGGGGGAAACGGGGGGAAAGGGCGCTATTTGTGTGTCCATCTACTGGATAGCTAGAACGGTACCTTAGTGAGGGGAAAGCGAACTAGTACAAGTGTCTTCCGGGGGAAGTGGCTCTAAGAGTAGAGGTTTTTCTTTCCAATCACTCCGGCCATGACTTACTAAAAGCAATGTGCTTTCTTGTGAAGTTTGGATATGGATTTCAGGGGTGCTGGACTTATGAAAGCTATAGCACGTTGGGTTGGGATTTGTGTTGCTGAAAAGCATGCAGTTTGAAAAGTATGGGGGATTGAGAAACTCGTTTGGATGATTTCATTGATGCTTTTACTTTATCAAAGCAAATCCCTGACATTGGTGATTTGCAACATTGCTCCCAAATATCAGGGTTTCCCCCACTTGCCTACATCCTTCGGTCTTCTTTCCGCCGTCCACTACGTGTTCTTTTGCTCCTCGAAGGAGTCCCAACTGTCAGTATGTTTTGCAATATCAGTCTTCCAGTACTGAAACTCGACATTTGGCACCGTGTCCTCGGGGAGGTCATCACCCTTCTCACCAGGCGGAGTCAACAATTTGCCATCACGTGTCTGAATTGCCGCGGAATATGTGACCGTGACATTGCGATCACCGCCATTGAATTTTTTGAGCAAGGCCTCGTCGATTGGCGTGTATGACTTGATATCCAGGAAATTTTGATAGTTCGCACATCCTCCGATGTTATTATGACTCAAGACTGACTCCCGGCCAATCTCGACAGGCTACTTCTGCAAATCACTGTGTGCAAATGTCCTGATTACGAAGGAGCCTTCGGATTTCGCACGGTTGATTTTTGAAAGTTTTGCTAGACCGATGATCTCTGGTTCGGCTGCTGCTTCAAGACCCTTCAGCTCATCCTCTTCATACTTGTAATCAAGCTGATTCACAATGTCTACCATATCATTAGGCGTGTAGTAGCCTCCTTTGCTGTTTTTGAATGGATAGAGCGGTGAGTTCATTGTCAGTAATGTGCCTGGAGGATAGCCAGTGGAGCCTTCCACAACGACTGTCCCTGGGTAAAATTCAATGACGTCGAGACTATCCCAGGCTGTTTTCTTCCATTTCTTCTGCCATTTCCAGAACATCAAATCGATGAAGGCATGATGTAAGAAGAAAATCGGGTCGAAAGCCGTGGTCTCATTGTCGCCCATGTCGCCGTTTGCCCCCAAAATAGGATTGGCGTTGTACGACCCTTCCTGATAGAAGCCTCCAAGAGCAAGATGAATTGCGTTGTGGGGGCTCTCGAGCGATTGGATAAAGTGATCTTTAAGAGGGTCACCGCCAGCATCCTCAATGGCTTGCTTCTGGGACGCCATGTTGGTGAATACTGTATATTTCGGTGCTCGAAGACATGTCTGAAAGCGCTCAACGATTGAATATGTGTCGGCAGGCTGAGTCTCTGGATTGCCATCATCCGCAAGCTTCACAGTACCAAGAAGCCATTCCTTCACATTTGCATTCAATTTCTCAGTAGCAGATGAGGCATATATGCTGTTGTGCTTCAAGGTATCGGCTTTGTCTTTGTCTGTGCCCACGAGTCCTGAAAGAGGATATCGGACAGTTTCATACCCTTCGGGATTTGTGTATCTGTTATCCGCGCCTGTGACCTTTTCCTTAAGCCCTTTCTGCAGCGCATATGAGCATAGGGGATTGCTTGTGTCACCTTTACCGGCAATGGCAAAATGTGGATTTGTCAGGACCAATGGGACAGGGTTGTCTTTCGGGTTTTTGACCGTCCACAGCTCATCCAAAAATGGGATGGTGACATCTTGACAACCAGGGAAGGACCTCAACGCATTCTCAAGGCGTAAGAGGTAGGCCCGATGCCAGGTTGGAAAGAGGACATTGGAATGATTGCAGAAGCCACCTCACCATTTGTCGTCCTTGACCCCGGGGCCATGAAAAGGTTCACCGTGGAAGCCAGCAATGGCAAAGAAAGAATTGGGGTCTTCCGGGGGCAGAGACCGGATGCCGCGCCATGCTGTAATCAAATTTTCCAAAGGCTTTCTGTTTGCGAGGTTGTACTCAGCTTCCAATTTCTGGATAGAGACTCGTATACGAGACATAGTGGAACAATGGTCGTATTTGTACTTTGTGATTGCTACTCTCTAGTCAAGTTCGAATGTGAGTTGGATATTTTGAGGAGTCTGCATTTCACGAGAACAGCTTGCCTTTTCTAAGGGCGGCGTATCTGACTCTTCACCCACATTGTAATATCGTGGGGCAATTCGGCAAAATTGATGCAAGTGCCGTGATGTCGAGCTCCGGCCAAACGCCACACCAATTAGCTCCAGCTGAAGGTCAACCCGGCGTTGTGATAGAGCAGAGCCAGCACATATGCTCATATGCGATCATTCCGAAAATGACATGAATCTATGAGCGTCGGTCTAGACCTGATGGATGGATTGAGGGATTAGCGAATGAGGCTGTTCAGATTAGAGGACCTAGCTGCGAAGCTGCGAAGCAGACCCATCCGGGCTCTCACTCCAGCAGAGAACAGAACGCCCGATGTGATTCAGCTGTCAAGTTTCAAGCCACCTATCGCAGGCATTCATTGTGCCAGAGGCTCCGTTGCTACAGAGCATGCCTTGACAACGAAGCTGATGGAGGCGCTAAGACCACACTCGCATGAATCGAAGATTGGCATGTCTGCATAATATCCTACGCTGATGCATGATCCTTTGGACGAAGCCATCAACACGTTCATTTTAGAAGTCTCATGCGCTGTGATAATGACGATCTACGGCGATTCTGGATAGTCCGGCCCTTGCTGCAGGAAAAATTAACCTTAAGGTAGAACGCTACTACGCTATTATAGTTATCAATAATTAAGATTTTAAGTTAATGAAGTATATACTTGATAAATAGTTCAAGCTGGATATATATAGGGTGGTTAAAGGGTAGTCGTTCCTTTAATATATAAAGAATTATAAGCTGCCCGGATAATAGTTATTCCGCTCCGCTGACAATTGTTGTAACAAAGGGCATGGCGGGGAGCATGCTCAAGATTCATGGCTTTTGTTTGTGCTGCCGACAAGTACCGAAGCCCTTTCTGTAGCTGAGTTGAGTTGTTGGCAAGCGACCTGTGAATTCGTTCCCCCCTTCTACCTTGGCGCAGCTCCGACCTGCTGAACCCAAGTATGTACTCGATATGCCCGCGTCGTGAGCATGCTCAATAATAATGTAAACGTTCTAATAGCGTTTCTGATGCTACGGGTATCTTGCGTCGGCCATTGAGCTTACTTCAACCTCCATTCAGTCAAGCTCCATTAACAAGTCCACTGCTTGAGCATCGTGAGCCGCCCAGCGCTTCCCCGTACCTGCGTCTTCGATCATCTGCACCTTCTTACCGGTCGCTGTAGGTTGCACGAGCAGCTAGTAGAGTACACAGACAAGTCTGCCCCCAAATCCACAACGAAGAGGGGATTCTTCAATGCTTTCTCCCTGCCACTCTGGGGCAAGTCACGGTCCTTCTCGAATTTACCTGACTAGATGCTTCAATGAGCCTCAGATCTGCTCCTTTATCAGTGGAGTTATTCATGACTGCCGTTTCTTAGGCCACGGGTTGTTCACTGGTCCAGGGTTGCCAAATTCCCTTCCTACAGCAGAGTCATTATCAATGAAGGCTGCTGAATTATAGAAGCCACAAATATGCATTGCAATATCTGTCAAAAGGTAGCAAGGGCCTTACATCCTAGCTCCGGCTACCGTATACCAAAATACTACGATGACAGACACAGGAGATTTGTTCGATTCGGTACCTGGAACGACGTTCGTGAGAATCTGGATTGTTCAACGTGCCTGCAAATTGCCGCCTTATTTCGTGATAAGCTGCAAAGAAATGGATGCGATTCCACCTTTGAGGCGTGGGAATTCTGGTTATTCGACACAAATATAGGTCAGTACCTCAGACTACAGTCAGAGGAGCCGCAAGACTTCTGGCCTCATATCTTAATACATCCATTGACAGAAGGTACATCGGAAAAGGTTGGCCACGCCATGGATCGGGACTGGATAGATCTTGAACGCGTCTTGAATTGGGTCCGTAGCTGCGATGCTACCCATGATAAATGCCACCGGCCATTTGTTAGCTTACACGAGCCAACTAATGGTCAAGGGATGTACTTTGTAAGTGTTTCTAAGGGTTGTCTTGTTGAGGCAAAATTCGGAGAGAAATACGTTGCTCTTAGCTACGTATGGGGGACCATTTCGGGCGTTTTCAAATGCACGAAAGCAAACATAAGTTCTCTACGAAGTATTGGCAGTCTTTGCGAGAACAATGCCCATCAATATCTCCCGGCCACAATCCAACGGGCCATGAAGTTCACTTTGCAGCTAGGCTTCGATCTCTTATGGGTAGACTGTCTTTGCATCGTCCAAGATGACCCTGTTCATGCCGCAGCTCAGATCAACAACATGGCCAGCATTTATTCCAATGCTTGCCTTACACTATGTGCGGCCGATGGGCTCGACGCCAACTCAGGCTTACGTGGTGTGCCAGGATGCTCACAGCCACGAAGTATACAACAGGATATCCTAGGCTTTGCTGATGGTCCAGTGACGTCTAATTGGATAGTACCTATGCATAAAATGTCGGTCTACGAAGAAAGAGGGTGGACCTTCCAAGAGAAAATCCTTTCTAGGCGTGTCATTGCTTTTACAGAGCATGGTCTTGAATGGACATGCCAAGAGGCCCTGGCCGAAGAACAGCACCACCACATCGAAAAAGTGTCGAGTACCTATGTTGACCATAATATCGCTCGGGAGACTGCTTCTTGGCCATGTCTGAAAAAGTGGGATAACCTTTTGAGGGCTTATCTTCGCCGCAAGCTTACTTATGAAGAAGACATCCTCCGAGCTTTTGGTGGCATCTCTACTGCGCTCGCGGGCAGCATGTCGGAAGGATTTCTCTTTGGCCTGCCTCAGCAATTTTTTGATGCAGCATTGCTCTGGGTACCAACTGAATATTTGAAACGGCGTAAAGACACCAGGAATGGGGTCCCCAGTGCATTTCCTAGTTGGTCTTGGGCTGGTTGGAATGGCGCAATCGAAAATCAAATAAATGCGTTTGGACTTGGGCACGAGCGATCTAATCCTAAGCGTGCCTACAAAGCACGTCAACGAGACATTTTTCCACAGGTGAGTTGGTACAAGACCAAGTTTGAGATGGGCCAGCCCACGCTGGTCAAGATCCCAAATGATTATGCCAAATACCAGAGCGAGGGATTGCAGGGTAGCCTCGTTCTACCACTTGGCTGGTCCTCGCATCGAAATGAAGACGATAACCCGTTCTACTACAAATATGACAAGGCACCCTCTTCGCAGACTTTCTGGTACCCAATACCTGCGAATCGAAGCCCTCAGCCTGTGAGCACAGCTTGTTGGAGTTCTTCTATATTCTTCAAAAGCTTGCGCAGCTATCTAATCTTGGGTAGTGTCCTTCCTCAAAAGGCGAAAGATGGTGATGGCAAATATCCTCTACACTCGTTAGAAACGAAAGAAGGAGAATGGGCTGGAGTCATATACGTCCATTATGACCCAGGTGGTGCCAAGGCAAAGGAAATCTCGTGTGAGCTAGTGCTTATATCTGGCGGATTTGCTTCTGAGAATGACGAGGAACAGAGTGGTTGGATCCCAGAATGGAACTTCGAAAGAAGACCGCGCTCCAAATATATTTACTACTTCTACCACTGTCTTTGGATCGAGCGGCAAGGCAAACTCTCTTATCGGAGAGGCCTAGCTCGCGTAGCCCGGAAGATGTGGAATACTCTGTCCAAGGACCATGTGAGTATCTTACTTGCCTGATGATATGTTACGATGGTACTCTCCGTTCGCGAGAGTTGAACAGAACTACGATTTGCCCATTCCGCTTCCTCTTCACATATAAATCTTGAGTGACGCTTGATCTCGGTGGACAATCTCAGTGCCTAACTGTCTAGATGACCATCAGACTATTATATAAATGCACATCTCAGCGTTAAGAACACAGAAAGATACAAATGTCCATATGTCCGCTTGCTGGTGTTTAGGAGGACCGAGTCTGACTCTAGGCCTCGAGGAAGGATTGGCCAGTGGAGTACTCTATTCAACAATCTCTAGCTGTTTCCTGCTACCTGTTCGGTGTTCAACATCCGGACCACACTATCAGATTGGGTGAAGTGAATCAACTTGATGCGACTTCCGCACGAGGATTGACGTAAATTAAAAAGGCTTCAAACAAATTGATAGAGGAAAAGATTTACGTCTTTGAGCATTGTAAATTGTTAAGTCTCTTTCCATATCTTTTGGTTCCTGGATGTCAGATACGACTCAGCATCTAGGGAGGTAAGTAGCCGGCTTGAATTTTCTTTAGACTTCGCGAAAGCTATAGCAAGTGCACGCCTCTCTGATGATTTCATATATTTGAAATAATAGTGTCGAAATGTGAGGGATCTAAGCGTGTCGACCAGGTACCATCTAAAAAATTTTCATTGTCTTTCCTACCCTTGATCGAATCTATGCCTTCGAACAAAGTCCCACAGCCCAGCCCATTTCCTTATTTGTCGAAATTCTGTGGCGCAGCATTCTCTTGCCTTACAGTCATTCCAGCGATAGCAAGATGCTGGGCGAGGAGTTGATTTGGGCCTGGAACGAGTTCGATACCGTGACATGCATCACACAGCCGAGCAAGGATGAGGTAAGCCGGTGGAAGAATCACTATAAGCAAGATCTCTGATGTAGCTGGATATATGCCACTGATGGATACATTAATGTCACGGATGAAAGGTGGAATGACAGTAAAGAGCTAGTCTTCCCGCTAAGAGACGTCTGGTGAATGTTGTCCAGAGTTGAGTCTTACTGTAAACAAAATTGATGGCGAGGAGGGGAGGAAGGATCTGTTCTACGATGGTGGGGTTTGAAGTGTCACTGGCGTGGATGTGATCAGGTGGACTTCAGGGAAACCATGTAGAGAAGAAAATGAGGGTTAGAGATAGTTGAAATCGAAGCCGGAACCACTCGCATAAGTCTGGAGCAGAAGATTTATGTTTTTCTTGGGGAGCTATTGAGGAAAAGGAAAGGAGAAACAGGTTAGAATTCATGGTATGGCTTGTTTTAATGTCCCCGTAACGGTCAAACTACGCTTGGGATCTGACTGAAATGATTCGAAAGGGTAGAAGAAGCGCCTGATTTGGCCGATGAAGCTGGGTAATAGGGGGTATTTACTTTGTGGGATATGGTGGAGTCGATAGGATTTAAGTGAATTACGAGTAAACGCATCGTCTCCGTCATTGATCGAATATTCTTCTATAGATCTTAACCATTAATTCGAGACAAACATCGGCGAGCATTAGGAATACAGAGAGCCATTTTGGCCTTATGAAGACTGACAAAGAGACTGAAATAACCCTCCCACGTAGCTTTGGATCTTGGAGAAGGCAACTTTGCTGCGGCGCCCATGAAAGGCATAGAAAACTCGCAATTACTACTCATCTCGAATGCCATCTAAAAGCCAACGGACTCGAACTTTGAGTCAGCAGCAGCCATTTCATTCTTCTTTGGCGGTCTCACCTGGCGCTGAACAGAATTGAGGGTCCCACCACGCAGCGAAGGACCCTATTTGGGATTTTCGGCGTCTTTAGTAATACGACGCTGCGAAGGTCGATGCAAATAAGAATAAGACCAGAGATTATAAGGATACAACCAGCACCGTATGAGAGACGTCTCTCAACAATTTCGGCGATCAACCTTGGACCTTAGTGTAAGTCACAACTTTGATAAAGCCCGACAGTATGGACGTTGTCATTTTAAGGGAGATGCCTGAAGTTCCGAAACAGATTTGATAGCGTTGACGAAGGCGGTAGATCTACTGAATGCTGAGAAACCCTCTCGTCGGGGCACGTTGACTCATAAAGGGCATTGGAGCAAATTAAGGTCTGTGCATCGCCTTCTGCAAGCAGCTGTCATCTATAAATTGTCTTCCCTACAGAAGATCTTTCAAATCTCAACGCTATGGCCATTTTTCTTCGTTATAGGATCTTCGTTACAATCAAGATGTATTTGGCTGCCATGCTAGGACTAGGTGAAATGCGAAAGATGCTTGTCCCAAGTCAATCACATTGTTCAACTTCAACAATAATGCGGACTCTTCATATCAAACATGCAGACGTGCGCCAATATATTCCTACAATCCTACTAGTATCTATATGAGCCAGATGTTCACGAGATCGCAAGGACTAGGATCAAAATGGCCTTCAAGAATCTTCAAGGAAAATTGATGCTAGCCTTTGCCAATGCATTCGAGCATCACTTGCCCATTGAAAGGAACTTGAACAATTAGACAAGCGTTCTTGAGTCTTTGACGTGCACACAGAATTGGGTGAACTTGATGAATCGTACTCTTATCACAAACAAGCGATTGATAAGCGGCTGCGAAAAGCTCGCAGTGGCACTGGAACTCATGCAGCATCATGTCAAGTCTTCTCCTGCGCATGGACAAGGCGGATGAGGCGAGGGAGATGCTCAACCAAACCTGCACGAATGACACATTTCTCAAGATGGTCAACCCTCACCTCTCTGAAAAGAACGCCTGTTCAGCTTTTTCCACCGCTCGTGAAGAAATGGCATAGACCTCTCAGCTCGAACTAAGCAGCGTCAAGGCCATGACCAAGAGCCTCCATCTCACGACCAAAGCCCCACGCTTCCGCCAAAAGCTTTCGAGCGTTTGTCTGACGACGCACAGCCCCTTCCACCAGATTGCTTCCGTGTATGTCATTCCTCACCGCTCATGTGCATCGGCGAGCTTCACAAAGGCTCAGCCTGACTCTTTGCTAGGGACTTTCCTAGCGAGCGAATCGCAAGGCTAGGAAGCTTGTCAGAGTGTGAGGACTGTCAAAGAGCAAGGGTTTTGTACAAGTCATCGTTGGTGCTGGAGGATTGGGGAAGGACTGAGCAGAGCTAGAGGGTTCTGGAAACGGCTTCTATTGAGGACGACGATGGCAGCAGGTGAGAAGGTGATTGAGCTGGAGAGCGGAAGTGTGGCAGAGGTAGGATATGATGGGCTCAGTTTTTGGTCATTGGGGTAAAAGCGACTGGGAATCGTTATTTTGGTTGTGATTCTAGGTCAATGGGTCACATAATTTGAAAGTTGTAGGTCAGCACAAGACATTCCTTCCAGCCTTTCACGTATGTCCATTCAACATTCTCGATTTTGCTACTTATATCTGAGGTCATCCTCAATCATTCGAAAGATTGCTCGTTGCATTGGGTGCAAGGTGAGAGTTGACTGTGGACGGTCCGTCGGCATCCCTCACTCTCGCTTGGATCTCGCGCGCTGAGGGTGGCGATGTAAGGCTCGAGATGCAGAGAAAGCCCAACCTGCTCCTCAGGTTTGGGATCAGCTGGTTGCTGTAGATGAGCCGTTAATGCAATACGACCTTGGCAAGAGATATTTTTGCTGTTTCTGCTCTAGTCATAGTCAAAGGAGCTAGAGTTGCTCCCTGATTACAAACTCTCTGGACAGCTCATTAGATATTTCTGACAGTGAATTCAAGTTGGTCCAGTGTGCTGCCTTCAATATCATCGCAACCGATAATCTTTGCTTAATAGAGATCATGCTTGCCTCCCCGCTGAAAGAGGGCTCCAAAGCATCTCCCTCATATTCATGTATTCTGAATGAGGCCTAGAAGTCCCACTGAGAGAAAAAGAAAGGGGATCACGCCGCGTTTCAAGCGTGAATTCTCTTGTCTGTGTGATCGGTATTCAGCAGACTGATCTTTCGGTTCCTTGTTAGACTCCCATTCTGAAGCCGGGATCTTCTTTCTATGTGATCGAAACATGTCTAAGTCACCTCTAGACTTCCTGTCAGGCCCATTTGTTAGTGGAGATGGTCTATGCTTTTTCTGTTCCCGCTTGCGCTTGCGCGCTGTTATTTCCTTGCGCCATCTCATATGACTCTCCCTGTCAGGCTCGGACGCTGTAGATCGTGATATTGACCTCACTCCTTCGTGCACCTCTGCCTCCTTTTCAAAACCATCAGAGGATTGATCTGCTAGCACTATATCACTAGGATGCTTTTCGAGACTCGAAAGCTGTTCTGCAGAGGTTTCCCTTTGGTCGATTTCAGGGAGGAGACCTTTAGTACCATCTACATCATCGTTCACGAGCCCTGATGAAAGCGCGGATGACAGTGAAGGCTGTGCATTTCTCCCTTCAGAAACGATCGACCGTCCTTCGTTACGATCTTCGTCAAGCGCGTTCCCGTCAAGAACGATCTCGGATTGAAAGATTTTGTTCCCGTCAATAAAAGCCATTTTTTTTGATTGGGGTATGGGTGTCGTTGTTACTTCACCATGAATGGGTGCGGTCATATCTTCTTCCAGCGTTACGACCGGCCCAATGTACTGTCTGAGGAGCTTGACGTTCTTAATCTCGCCTTCTGAGACGGACTCTACGTTGCGGATCGCAGGTGGAGTCCGAACATTGAATGAGCCATCGTCTTCGCGAAGGTCTGCAGCGTCCTCCTCATCATGAACCTTGGTAGCTTTCAACTGTCCGCTTGTGTAGTCCAAGAACTTTTGAAGAAGAGGGTTATCCCTTGTTGCAGCTTCTGCATAATCCGAGGACAGTATACTGGCGGGTTTGATGTCCCTTTCGAGATCGTCCAGTATCCCTCTAGTGCCCAACTCTTTGATATATGCCTGAATCAAAACTTTATGGTCTCTTATTACTGCACTCGGAAACCCATCTCTGATCAGCTCTCTACGAAACTCTTTCCAGACAGCCCTTTCGTCACCTGCATACGACGTCAGGCTAGAGCCTTCGCCACTGGGATCCGCCATAAGGTAGGCCGTGATCTCATTGACCGCTCTTTTGATATCCTTCAAGTCTCCTCCTGCCTCGTCCATCTGCTGCTCTACTCTTCCGATAGAGTCCATATTCACCATGTTGATGTAAAGCCCCAGCGCAGAGGTGTAGTAGATGAGCTTGCCCCGCACCTCAGCGATGTTGACCAGCTCTCCATTGCCGAATTTCACCCTTTTCCACAAATTGGAAGCGCTTTTTTGGTCTGTGCTCAACGCATTGTACTGCTGGAGGACCTTATTCAAATATTCAAGATTACTTCGACAGCCACAGGCAATGGACGTCAATTCTGCCTCGTAGCTCCCCCTCCGATGATCAAGAATCTTGTGTGGGCCCATGGTCGCGTGCTGTAGTCGCTGCAAGACCACATTGAGCGCTTTGACCTCTCGCGTGAGTTCTGCATGTTCTCCGCATGCTTTCCGAGTATTGCTAACAGTCTTCCCTACGAGCTGGACAAGTAACGCGATGTCACTGACAGAACAACCGAACGACATACTTCAGGATCAATGAGCAAGTCGAGTGTGCGAGCAGACGAGGACCATCGATCACTAGCCATCCTGACAGATCAGGCTGGGCCAGGGTTGATTCTGTCGACCGGGCAGCCTAACGAGCTGCGTGATCGCGAGCTTCAACGAATTGGATTGCAGGCCAATAGCTGTGGCTTCCGATGTGAATAATGTACGGAGGCCGCCGTCTTGGTCAGAACTTCTGAGTCAGAAATTCTGACCCTAGAGCCATGGAGAGAAGTGGTCTAAATGCTAAGACTAATTGAGAAGCGAGTCAGAACTTTCGACGGCGTCCTCCGTATCCTACCGTAATATACAAGTTCTTCGCACTGCCTAGGCGCTGGTCCCCTAGACCAGAACCCCCACGGGAGGTCTAATTGGGCACAAGACATGCATAGCTCTAAATACAGCCGTAAATTACAGCCTCCAAACTGATCCGGCCCTCGCTGTCCTCATCACTCACCAACCCATTCGCATCCCCCAACGCCATCAATAACCCTACAATGCACGCCCGCCACACCATCCACCACTTCCACCTCCTCCCCCTCTTACTCACCCTCCTCCTCTCCCTCACCCCCGCACTCGCACAATTCCAATTCTTCGAACAAATGTTCTCCGGCGGCTCCCCCCACCAGCAGCACCAGCAACAGCAGCACCAGCAACCCCAAAACGTCGCCTCCGACTCGAGCTGGTACCAGCAGAACTACGACGCCGCAACCTGCAGCAATTATCTCTGCCCAGGGACGCTGTCGTGCGTGCATTTCCCACATCATTGTCCATGTCCGCATCCGGCGGTCGAGGATAAAATTGAGTTGGGGGAAGGGGCTAAGATTTGTGTGAGTAAGGGGGTTTTAAAGACGGGGAGGCGGGGAGGAAAGTTGAGTTGGCTAGGATGGGGAAGTTGTAGGGCAGGGCAGGCCTGGGGACGCGTGGAAGGGCGGGTGAAGCGAGGTGGAAGGTGGTAGCTGTGAGGGTATAAGGGGGTTATGGGTGGGATTATGTGTACGATTGACTCGTGTAAAATGGGTGGGTATTTGGGCATGGCATACGAGCGAGCCGGTTTAAACCAGAAAAAATGGCTTCTAGATCTTGCTTGGGATAAATCAGCAATTCAAGATCATGTGTGTTGAGGCATCGGCTTGCTCATAAAATATGCTTCTATTTTTCCTTGTATATCTTTCCTTATATCCTCATTTCACATTATTTGCAAGCGTAGCATGAATCTTAGATCATCTCAAATCAACCCTTCCCATCATCAAGCACGATCCTCCCCTCAACCTTCGGTGCAATAGCATTAGTCCAAAACGGCAGCAACCAAGGTTCAACATGCTCGTCCACAAGTCCCTGTGCCGGCCGGCCCACTTTCGCGATCGTCAACCATCGATGGACATACTTCCTCAGCAAGCCCATTTCCCTCTCCCTCTTGAACCCTCCGCCGCTGATTCCAAAAGGCAATGCTGCACCGGTGTGTTGTCGATTTGCCGCCGGGGTTGGGCTGGGGCTTCGATCCATAAATTGGTGCATGGTTTCTGCGTCCTCTTGGACACTATTTGCTCTGCTTGTCCCTGGCTTTCTGATCTTGTTGTCGGCATGGAGACCCTCATGCACCTTCGACCAGTGCGAGCTCATGCTCTCGGACCAGCGTGTCCATTGGCCCATGACTCGCAAGGACATGAAGTACTGTCGTATGATAGTACTGATGAGAACGCCTTCTTCTTCGTTGATGATCTCTTCTGCCTCTCCGCCCTCGGAGCGGGCGAGAAAGGAGGTGTAGCCGTCCTTACCGCGGATCATATAGCCACGAGTCGAAACGGTGTACTTGCGTGTGAGTTCCAAGGGCTCGTGATTGAGTTTTGCCCAAACAACGCGTTTGCCAGGCGGTAGATTGGGGTTGTATCTGAAGTGCATGTTCGAAACCTGAGGAAAGCGGCCTTCGAGTGCGGGCACTTTGCAGACGGCATTTTCTAATGCATCGAGGATGGCTTGACCAGTGACTCTGATGACGACTACGGTGTCCTCAAACGGGAAACAGTTCAAGATATCTTTGATCAAGATAACGCCCGGTGGGTAGACCTGGTCGCCGCGAATGGTCCCCGATGCCATGATTGCACATTCTGCATTGTAGTAGAACCGCATAAGATCGCAGACGAAATTACCAATGTTGCTTTCTCGAGCTCGGATCGTTGAGAATCGGCTGTCAAGAGGTACTGCAGTGTGGCCTACCGGCTGTTCGAGCTTATTCTTGAGGTTGGTGTTGAGCTCGTTGACCAATTTGGCAGCTTCTGGGCTCTCGGCAATAGATCGCTTGATATCATGACGGATAATGTCAAAATCCCAGCCTGACTTACTACCGACCTTTCTTCGTGCTTCGATGTAGCTTAGCTGCTTGAAGTCGCTGCCTGAACATAATATGTGTGTGCCGTTTACATATTCGTGGGTGTAGTGATGATCGTGGCCACCTAGGATGAGATCAATCAAACCCAGCGGGACTCTCTCTGCAAGCTTGATATCATTGGGATCACGCTGATGGGTAAGAGCTACAATAATTTCGGCTCCTGCAGCGCGCATCTCAGGTACTAGCTTTTTGGCAGTTTCTGATGCAGATAAGTAGATGAGATTAGGTGGTAGAGAATTAATGGTCTCTAGCCTAGATGGAGATCAACAAACAATTGATGCTCAGCCCGGGAACAACGAACCACTCTCTCTCCCCTTTTATATATCAGCACAAACTGCTCAGAAATCGGGATATTACTCACCTAAGCCGATCACACCGATTTTTATCTTGTTCGACGACTCGATAATCTTATATTTCGCGCAATTGGCAAGAGACACGTCTTCGCCAAGAGCAGGGTCTAGGACGTTTGCCAAAAGCCAAGGGAAGTTGCATTGCTTGCTCAGATATTCAAATTGTGGTACCCCAAAGTCAAGATCATGATTCTTAGCCGCATTTAGCATTCACGATGTTAGACGCAGAACAAAGCAAGATGGAGTGACAGAAAGTATTTACGCACTCCAACGCAAGCAATGTCCGTGCGTACAGAATTGAGGGCTGAGACCATGTGTTTGCCTTTAGTGACCGTACTCTCAAGACTGGGATTGAAAGCATCGCCAGAGAAGAACGTCAATAGTCGCGGTTCGCTGGAGTATGCAGGAAAGAATCGATAGTGATCGACGACAGCTTGGAAGCGTGCGATGCCTGTGGTGTTCAGCAGTGTCCTCTTGACCGCTCATTGAACTCCAACCTCCAACCGGTTCTGCAGAGCCAGGCCTGGGAATTTTAGCTTCCTTCGAGGTGTACAAGGCTTTACACTACCGTACTCGATATGATATACATCGTTGAAATGCAGCAGACGGAGATCTGGAGGTTTATCCTTTGCGCATTCACTGCTAAATGTTACTGACGTTGTGTTCATAAGGGTTTCTGAAGACATTTTCGTCGTAAATGAGTGACATCAGTGCAGGGAGCATAACAATTCTCAATATACTACAATGATGCGATGTTCCTCGCCATATTTGTCAATAAATTGAAAAGAATCTTGAGAGTTCAAATGGATTTGAAGGAAGCTGATGGTCGACGCTAAGATCGGCAAGCTAGCGGGAGTTTGCAGCTGAAAGCCAAAGGGATCCATCGAGCAGATGTAGACAGCGCCATACAAAGTGAAGTAAATAGATGATCATGTGGTATACAGTTGAATCACGTACATGTCAATTGGATCTTGTGACTAGGCACAATCTCTCACCATCCGGAGCGCCAAACGCTGTGCCCGCTCTATGCAGAAGTCCACCAATTTTTGGAATATGCAGAACCATTTACAACATTTCCAGCTTTTGGCATGTATACCTGAAACCATAGTATCTTAATCTCTTAGCCAAGCTCTTCGTTTCTCTTCTTTGCGTTCTTTTCGCTTTTCTTTGAACGCCTTAAGCTCTTGCTTCGACAGCTTTTTACCTGCTCTTTCCGCCTTCAGGCTCTTTCCTTGGTGGCTATTGGCCGCTTTATCTACGTCAAAGAAAGCTGTCATCTGCCTATTTGATTTCGCTTCATCGTTGTGGTTTTCTGGATTGATATGAGAAGCCTGCCATTTTCCCGTGAAGCGGTTGAAGGTTCCGGTCGCGGCATAGATGGCCCCTGGATCTGGCGCTGCCTCGCTGGCAGGGTCCGAAGGATCGAGAGGAGCATCTGACTGTTTCTGCGCGTAGGGTGCTGTAGGATCATAGTCCCCATGGATAGCTGGATTGTATCCTGTATACTCGGGTGGTTTTTCTCGAGGTGCTTCATGCTCGACGAGAGGAGGATCGGTCCCGGGCGCACGTTCAGGTATTCTGTCATGTTTACCTATGCCTGTTCCTGGGGCTCCCTGGGTAGCGTCCGGCACACGCGGGTTAGTCCATTGTGAGTGTTGTGTAAAACGATTATAGAAGTAGAAAGCTTGTGCATTCTCGTCCCAAACGGGATCCCAACCATCGTCTTCAGCGGGTGGAGCTTGCTTTGGAAGCGGAGGTAGAGCCTCACTAGGCAAAGGAGGAGCGTTGGAATCTTTCACATTTGCAGTCGGGGCGGGTTCCTGATCCACTTGGCCACGTTCTGGCGATGAAGTCGAGGCTCGCGAGTTCTTCCCAGACGATTCAGCACGTACTTCATCGCCATCTGTGCGTGATCTCATTTTAAGGATTGTAATCCAAAATCGCAGGACACCATTGATAAATGAAGGAGAGGCAAGCTTCAACTGCGGCAAGACTTGCCGGCAAACACGCCAAGAGATTTAATCCAGGGCCATTCCAATTGGGTACCTTAGGTTGGCCGACCTTCGCCGTACTGCCGTGACCGCAGTCAATAATGACTTCACAAAGGGCTCCTTTAGGCCTTTTGCAGAATCCCACGCGTCAAAACTTTTGAGAAAGCCAGCAGAACTGCCGGTGGAAAGGGGTACTTCATACGTAAAGATTTCTAACATGGTTTGCTGACCCTTGTGGTTCCTTCTTTGACATCCTGTCTTCCTTTACCCCGCACCTCGGAACATCTTCAGCACATCGACCGTGTTTTGCAAGGACTATCGGCGAATATACAGACAGTAAAGATGTCTTCAATCTCCAACAAGCTCCTGGACAAGAAGACCGAGATCGTCTTCTTCTCTGCGACCGCTATCGCCTTGTATGGCTACGACCAAGGGATGATGTCCCTGATCAATACGAATTATGACTACCTTCGTACCATGGGCATCTCTGGAGAAAGCCCTCTCGTCGGCATCATCGTGTCAGTCTACTATCTAGGCTGTGCTGTGGGCGCTATCATGTTCAGCGTCTTGGCCGATAAGACTGGCCGAAGACCCAGCATTTTTGCCTGCCTAGCAGTCTCCGCCTTGGGCAATCTGCTCATGTTCATTTCCGGCCTTGGATATAGCCGCGGAGCGATGACAATGATGTTCCTCGGCAGAATTGTAATGGGTCTTGGGGTCGGCGGCGTGGACTCTGTCATTCCAACCTATTCGTCCGAATTGACTTCCGATGGCGGAAGAGGGGAGGCAATGGCAAAAGAGTTTCAGTCCAATATCTTTGGTTTGAATATGGCGTTTGGGATCAATTTGGGTGTCACACAAGCCCTTGGAAAGAACAATGAATGGGGTACACATGCTCTGAATCGACATTCTCCCATATGCTGATTTGTGCTTAGCTTGGCGAATTCCTATCATTGCTATGCAGTGTTACCCAGTGCTCCTGCTTTCGATCATCCAGCGGCTTCCGGAGTCTCCACGCTGGCTCATTTTCCACGAACGAAAGGATGACGCCAAAGAGTCCCTGGCGCGGATTTACGGGGAAGAAGAAACTCCCTCCAAATATGAGGAGCTGGAGAAGGCGCACGAAGAAGAGTCAAGCCACGAGATCGGTTGGAACGACATGATATGGCCGGGGAGTGCACAATGGCACCAGACTAGTGTCACCATCATGGGCCAAGTCAATCAGGCTTTGACCGGTTACGGCGCCGTGTCCGTGTACGGGCCACAGATCTTTGAGCTTTTGGGCTTAGGAGTCACTGAGTCGGAGCACCTCACTCAAGGCAACTACATATCCTACTTTTTCCTTATGACTTTCGCGTGGCTTCTCATCGACAGGGTTGGGAGACGTACCACTATGATCGCCGGCGCATTTGGGATTGCAGGGTGCTTCTTGCTCCTGACAATTTTCGGCGGTCTTGCTCAGAATTGCGACAAGCTTGGTATTCCGGACAAGCCCATCGCGATTGTAGGATCAATCTTCTTGTTCATCGCAACAGGGACATTTGGTGTCGGATGGCTGACCCAGCCCTGGCTCATTCCAACCGAGATCTATCCAGTCACATCTCGGGCCCAAGGCGCTGCCATTTCAGTCATCATTTGGGGCATCGCCAACTTTGTGGTTACATTGATTACACCTATTTTGTTCAACACCCTGAGCTTCTGGCTGTTTCTTATCTTTGCTGTAACAAATACCTTTGCTGCTTGGTGGACCTTTGTAAGTCTGACTCCTCTATCCGTGCCCAACAAAACTCATTTCCACAGGTCTATTCTCCAGAAACAGGAGGCAGGTCCTTCGAGGAGAACCAACAATTCTTCGAAGACGCAGCGAAGGAGAAGACTTGGTCTGTTCTCAAAGTCGATGACGCGTCATATAGATACATGCCAAGAGAAAATGAGAAAGGCCAGGATGGCGAGAACCAGCCTCTGCTTGGGGGTTCTTAGATCAACGCAAGGAATTTTGGCATGAGCTTTGTACATGATACACGTGGGGAGAATGGCCATCTAAGCTATAAAGAGATACCCGGGGGAGTGGCTATCTGAGCTGTGAAGCGATACCCGGTTTGTACAAGGCTACCATCTGTATACTTACTGTATGGCTGTATCGCATGGAAAAGTTTACTCGTTCTTCATGAGTCGATTTGCAAGGAAACGTTTCCGTTTGAAAAGAATTGCAGTGTCGCTTCACATATCACTTGCAAGGGCTGGTGTAAATAGTGTGCACGAACGACATAATGGCGCTAACGTTTGAGGCAGGAAAGCTTTGATGATATCCATTCATTCAGCACTCGCCACTACCGAGTTATGTCGTCTGTTCGTCGCTCGCGGCCACTGCTATGTGGCCACCCTTGGGCTGCCGTTTCGCCTTCATCTTCATGAACGACACCCCAGGCCGCTGTGTCGTATTCCTGTCCCCATCCTCATCATCCCTTCCAAATCCACCTGCGATCTGATGACCCACCACATCGTCTCTGCCCTCTCGATCGCCCCTCGCCACCTTTCCCCCAGCCATACTCCCTACCATCCCCTCGCCGTCCACCCCAGATTCTCCTCCGACCACGCTTCAGACCACACACGCGCTAGCCACCTCACGATCTCCACTCCTCGTCACCATCCCATCCAGTTATCATCCAGACCAATCTCACCCGCACCGCCTGTGCTGCCTCTCGTCGAGCGCCCTTCGTTGGCTCCTCTCATCACCCACCTCCCATCAGCCGCCTCCCACGAGCTGTCCCTCGCCGCCTCTCATCAGCCGCCTCTCTTGACCCACCTCTCTTGAGCCGTCCTTATCAGCTACCTCACCTTCTGCTATCCCACTTTCCCCTACCTCTCCTCTTCTCTCATTCCCTTCCCTCACTAGCTACCGCCCATCACCCTAACTACTGCGTGATGCGTCCAAGAGGGCTTGGATCGGTTGGCTGAGGTTCGTCCGATTTGGTCGGGGTCAGTTCACTTGATGGAAAGGAGGTAGGTGGGAGGCTCCATCCCCGCCGCAAGCAGCGAAGATGATGCCCCCCTCGCCATCCTGGTGGTGGATGACGAGGCGGGGGGACGCCCTCTGTGTAGGTCTGTCCCCTTTACAAACCCATCCCTGATCTCCTCCCTGGTGCACCTTTTGGCCGCGTACGCTGGGTCGGGTCGGGTCGGGGTGCTGTTGAGCTGTCAGTGATGTGTGATCAAGTGCGGGATATGGAGAACACACAAGTGTCGTATCTGATGGCACCGTTTTCGCCGTTTTCGAATTTCTCGGTCGGATGTGCTGCGTCGGGTCGTGGTCGCCGTCCGGCTGCCGGTGCTGCGTGCGCGTTGCTGGGTGAGGTGCGTTGCCCGGCGAGGACGTCCTCGCTTATCTGCTGTATGGCGTGCGTGCTGCTGTCCGGGTACTTTCTGTGATGCTGTTGTCCCGGTGTGGCTAGCGCAACCCTAGCTGGCGGCCGGGATACTTAAGCTCGTTTTCTCTCTTCTCTCTTCTTTTCTTTTTCATGCGGCTTGTCGCAGCAGAAGAGACTTCATCGGGACGCTGTCCCGGTGGGAATTTTTGATAACCGCCTCTTGTCTCCTGCTCAAGTCAGGAGACAAGAGGAGCTCTGTGACCCGGGGCGCCCGCTCAAGAGGGCAGGCTTCGGTCGAAAGACCAACGAAGCCACCAATCTTTGGAAACTAAAGGATGTCCCCGGTCTTACACTACCGCCGGGTGACGTCCGACTTTTTTTCATCAATGCATCCAGCTTGCCTGGTGCATTGGAGAAGAATGGAGCGCTTACCTGTAGCATAGCATAGTAGTAATGAGACAGGGTCAGATAAAGGACCGCTACCACAGTGCTTCTTGAGCGCAGCTGTAGAGCTTCATTGCTAGTTGTCTTGCTTGCTTGCTTGTAAATGAATGCTTGTAGTCGTTGCTTGTTGTCTTGACTGGCTGTTGCTGGATGCTCGTCGCCATCGAGGCGTGGTGTAGGCGTAAGCGTAGGCGTAGCGTAGGTGGGCTACACATCATGTCAGCACGAACTCATCATGCCTCATGTAGTGATGAGGATGATCTCTGATGGGAGAGACTGTACTCACGTCAGGTACGTGCTCGTAGGCCGCTGGGCGTGGTTGTACTGATGGCTTGTTAGCTCATATGCATCACCCACACGCTGCTCATCAGCGACCACGAGAGACGTCCCTGAGACGTACCTTGAGATGAATATCGCAGATGATGTATAGGCTGCGTGTCTTGAACTTCACTGGGCTGTGACGGACCTAGGAGGCAGGATGGGCAGAGGCAGGCAGACAAAAAGTAGACAAGATGAAAGACAGACAAAGAGTGAAGAGGGTGAAGGGCAAACGATGAAGGATGAAGAATCAGAAAGGCAGTGAGAGGATATTATATAGGGGGAGGTGGAGACACACGAAAGTTCCAGGTCTACAATTGACTTCGTGGCCGTTCGACAGACCCACCTCCTATGGCTCCACGAACCATGGAAACAAGCACAACTGGAAACACACAGGACCATGTCAAAAGCCCCGGGGGCTTGGAGGCAGAGCATATGGCGTTCCGTGGCTGTCGGAGATGGACAGCATTTGCCTACGAACCGTCCCTGTGGCTCCGCGAACCACGGGGAAAAGCACGACCGGAAACACGCAGGACCATATCAAAAGCCTCGGGTAGTCCTGAGGCAGAGCTCATGGCGCTGGGTGGCTGTCGGAGGCATCGTGACCGCATACCCAATCCTGTCTTTGCCTAGGAACGTCCCTACAGACCACAGGCACAAGCCCGACCGGAAGTACGCAGGACCATGTCATAAGCTCCGGGGGCTTCTGAGGTAGGGGTTATGTCGGTGGGTGGCTGTCGAAGACGTGGAGACGGCACCCTTGAAGGGCTTTTGCCCATACGTACCGCACAGCTGATAGGCCCTACGACTGACCGGCTCTGGAGGGTGGCTCCGCAGGGTGGCTATCTGGGGGACTCTCTCCACCCTACTTGGCAATATGGCAGCTCGGAAACTTCGACAGTGGCGGACGCCACAGAGCATGAGGTGGACAGTGGTGGAAGGAAGGTTGGGCAAGGTTGGTCATGCAAGACGCCAATAAAGCGGCATGGTATGTCTCAGCACTAGCAAGGGAAAGATACATGCTCATTGGTTCATAGAGGGAGAAGTGAATGTGTCTAGACGATTTAGGACTAAATCGTACGGAGTCTGGCAGCCGATACCGCAGCGGCGACGTGGCGCTATGACCCTCTCTCCATCTATCTATCTCGAAGTCTTCTTTCATTCCATCTCCTTCGGGGGCGCGATGCTCTGTGGATGGCTGACCCATGCCCCCGTAGACTCGGAGTCGTCCTGTGGCGGAAATACGGTGGATCGCTCGCATAAACAAAAAGAAATTGTGGCACCTTTTAGGTTTCAAATCATATTCATTTTCTCCGCCCAGGGTATCTTTCTCCGCATTATGTATATTATTCCTACATTCCAAACCGAATCCCGCGTGGACAGTTGGCGCCTCATTTGACTCATCGCTAGATACACCGCTGTTCCTATATGGCTTTTCCTGCAAACGTGTGTGAACCGAGAGGGTTCCATGGTCTCTCGAAGCTGCGCGAAGGAAATTGTGCCAACTGAGGACGTTCCTTCGAGAAGTTTGTACGCTCCCCAAATGTGGGCCCTTCCGGCGTGGCGTTTTCCGACCTATCATCATAGATTTTGGCCCTCTCAAGGTCAGGAATTGCTGCCTGTTCTGAGATTTTGCGCAATCCCTTATTCTTGTTCGAGGACCTGGTTGAAGTCGCACCTGATGTCTGCTGGTTTGTCATCGGCATATCAGAAATGTCCTTCTGTGTGTTGAATCTGCGGTACAATAGACGACCCGCCATCGGCAAGCTGGCGCAAAGTATGCCAAGCGCCTGTTCCACGATTGATAAGATCGCGGTTGGGGTTACAGTCCCTAACGATCGCAATTGCAAAGTCAGTCGGGCAGCAAAACTGCGTGTTAATGCGTTACACGGATCGATCGTGAGGAGGGAAAGTAGTAAAGAGACCAGCATGCTTTTCGAGATCGTTAGAGAGTACTTACATGTAAAATCTGTGCTCGGGTACGTTTCTAGCTTGAGCAAAACCGTTCTCGCAATGATTACAACAACATCCCTTCACATTGAAGCTGTCAGCCAAGAGCTTGTCTCTAGCTAGCGCGCAGAACGAGAACAATGAGATGCAGATGCCGTGAAACCGGGGCGCAACATACCCACACCCAAGAGCAAACAATGCACAGATCCCAATCCGCTTCCCTAATGATAACTGTATCTTCCAGACAACTGGCATAGGCAGGATCAGGATTGCTGTTGTTATTATCACATTGATGATACCGGTGATGAAAAACGCCTGGATTGGATCGATCCACTTGGCACCCGGCGTAAGCTCCCAGACTGCTTTCACCGGTACCGCCTCAAAGACATCCTTGAAGAAGTTTGCTATCGCCCAACTGACGAAAACGAACATGATGATCCAAAAGGATATATCATATGCTCTGTTCGTGACAGTGAAGACTCGCCGGTAGAGTAAGAGCACGGACATCTTGGTCGTGAAACAGACTGCTGGGTAAAGACACTGAAAGACATAGAACGGCTTGCCAACATGCGCAAATTTGTACGCGCCCGCTCGAAGAGTATGTGTGCCTAAGCCGTAATGGATGACTAAGAGTAGAGCATACACTTCAGTCATTGCTCGCAAGGTGACCAGCAGCGATTCAACGCGAACCACTTACCAACGAAGAATGAGGTAACGTAACCGTAGAACAGGATCTACTCCATTGTCGCGCTGATTAGTCTCGATCACGATTATCAGCTCAGCTATCGAGGGAGTTACCAAGCCAGAGATTGCCATGTAGTCATCTGCGCCAAGTTTCGCATGCTTGACGCGTCTTGCCATCAGCCGCATCGCAACAGCGACTGAGCTGGCCACTATCATCACCACAGTCCCAGCTATCAAGTTGCCTACTTTGCTCTCATAATAGTGGGACAGCTGATACTGGATCTGGGCCAAAGTCAGTGGAGCGCCGACTTCTTTTCCATAGGCTGCCACGAATCCAATGGTATAATTCAATGAGGCGGTGAGCGGTGGTGAGGTTGCCATCCTGAGTCCCTTGGCAGCTCGAGCATCAATGCAGGAAAGAATGAATTCGGATTCAATAATAGTTCAAACGAGGCGGACTGCCTCCTATAAAGAAATGCTAATCCTGAAGGAAGACCCCAGGAAGACCCCAGGAGGACCCCGCATGTTGGTCGCACATGGCGAGCCGTGTCTCTGATGATTTCAGTCGCGCTTGTGGCTTCTGTGGCTGGCCTACTGCCAATTATCTAGATCTGATTGGAGCTCGATTGACTTTGTCTCGCACGATCCACGCTTGTGCACGCTGCTCGTCATTAGAGGAAGCACTAGATAAGATCGAAGAGACTAGGAAAGCTTGTGCCGCGCCAGACGTGCAACAAATACTCCGTACCTGCATATATATCTAGAATGCGGAAGAATCCTCGAAGGTACTCCCGTACACTCGTATACATAGCGACCTTTTGTCCCGTCCGTTCTCATAACTGATAGAAATGACAAGTATCATGGTCCTCGAACGTCATTAGTCCTGAGCCAGCCACGCCTAGTCTTACCGCGGGCCCAGCCTAGGCCACCTCAGTGGCCCCCATCGATCTATCCTATACAGCTCCCTTCTCGCCATTTAGCTCAATCGTCTGGCTCACTTCAGCTCGATCCGCCGTCTTCGCGAACACTGTCTCGGCATCCCTTCGTTTCCAGGTGCCTCTGAACACAATTGCAGGATGCACTACCGTCAAGAAGAGAGCAGCGAGCGCAACCATGGCCCCTTCAAGAACCATAAACTTCACCTCGTCATTTGCCAATTTGCCCCCAAACCCGCCTCTTAGCTCTGCAACACGGTAACACGAACGAATGAAAATCAACACGGTTGCCATGATCAGTGCTACCAATCCCATTAGCAATGATAGAGTGAGTCTGTGAAAGGATGGTGGAACGAACAAGCAACAAGTGCACTCCACCATCCAACACCCCTCCCAAGCCTCTGCATCCCCTCATATGTTTTAGCAACGCATGCGCGTCCTTCTGCGTGGTACACACGATATGCAAAATCGAGAACGAGTGTCATGAAGATGATGAGGCTTGCGACTTGAGAGGATAGACCAGCGATCATGATATTGATGCCCGTCTGACCTGAGCCGCCATCAGAGGCGGTGTCGGCGAGGCCACCTAGAGGGATGAAGAATCAGTCTTGAACCTCCAAAGTTGAAGCAACGAGCACTGATGAACAAGACATCGTGAAGACCATACCTCCCGCAGCCTGGAGTGCTAGCGATATGATGTCCCAGGTAATGAAGATAATGGTGTAAGTACGAGGCTTGAGGCGCGCATACTGAACGCCGTGGAGAATGATGAAGCGCGTGAAGGTGAGGTAGATGGCGGCGGAGAAAAAACAAGGGGCGATGGTGAGACAGATGAGATACCTGAGCGATGCGTCAGTGATCACTTCGAGGATCTGCTGAAAGAAAAGAAGAGTCATGAGGGCAAGCGCATGACGCACATCAACCAATTATTGAAGACAAAGACATTGTCATGCAGCAGTATCCTCGCAGAATAGCCAATGACCTCGAGGATGCAACCACCGATCATGGCAGAGAAGAATGTCCAGGTGCGCTTCTGGATGCCGATGACCGTCTGGGCGACGAGCAGAATAGCGAACCAGGCAAGGAAGAAGGCATTGCCGCCTAGGTTCGGGACATATAAGATAGCGGAGTAATTCTCAGGGCAAGTATCAAGGGTGCAGAGCGAAGGGTCATTCCAGGTGGTGATGTTGAAAGTCGTGGGTTTACCCGCAAACGTGAGGTTTTGGTCAAGGCGAGACATGTCGGGAGGTCAACTGAGTCTGTATGGATTCAAGTCGTGAGAGAATATCAGAATCAATGGGGCGTGCCTCTCGAAAACGATGATAACAGAGATCAATTGGGATGAGGTATGGAGGTGTTGGTTTATTTATGTCATCAACTACAGCTGAAGATAGCCTCATCTCCTCCCGCTCCACAGACCCTTTCGTAGCCATTATTACGCGGCTTCAGCCAGGCAACAGCATTTTGTATGGCCAAGGCTATCTGCAATGATACAGGACCCCCAATGTGGGATGGGTAAAAGCAGCTGGATGCCCCAATAAGGGATAGGGACGGGAGCGGCTGCTGGCTAATCAAGCGAGTCACGACCTGGCCAATCACGTCCGAGCAATTGACAGCTGGACTAGCCCCTTTCGGGCATAGCCACCTCACTCACGTTGCATCCAATCACCACCATCTTCGACTCTCGTAAGTACAAGTAGTCCGACTGCCATGGATCCTTCTTGGTTTGCAGAAACACGATCATCGCGAATCAGCGCTCGTAAGACACGCTGGTACATGCAATTCCGACGACTCCGATGGCCCCCGTAACCGACGCTCAGATGACCAAGAAGACCCGAAGATCGCTGAGGGCAGGAGGACTTCATGTGAAGACAGGCTGCAAAACTTGCAAGTATGTCTCACTCTTTCTCCAGACTTCATGTGCCAGTTTCGAGGAGCATAAAGCGTTTATTTTATGCCACATCATTTTGATTATCCAGTAGACAATGCTTGGTTTTGAAGTTGCAGTCTTGTCGTTGTTGCTGCCTTGCCTAACCCGCCGTAGGGTCCGACATATCAAATGTGATGAGGAGAAGCCTGCTTGCGCCAACTGCAAGAAGACGGGCCGTATTTGTGATGGATATGCTCATCAAAAAGGGATAGATCCCACGGCCGTACCGTCTTTACTGTATCAAAAGATCCTTGATCAGGCCTTGGCAGCAATCTCCAACCTACACCCTGACTTCCTACAGAACGCAAAAGAGCGACGCTGTTATGATTACTTCCATTCCAATGCAAGGCCTGTGATCAATTTCGCATTTGGAAGTTCTCTTCGTGTTCAGCAGCTCATCCTACAAGCCAGCCATTCCAATGGAAGCACTAAGCATACGGTACTCGCTTTAGGCTCTATCACTGAATACCTCAACGAGGCCAAGATTTTATCACAAAACGTCTCCCACGATACGGGGCGACTCCGATATGCTCATGGGCAATACATCAAAGCCATCTGCGAGCTGCAGAAGGAATTGTCTGTGACACATAACCCACCAACAGAGCTAGTCCTCACGTCATGCTTGTTGCTCTCGCTCTTTGACTTTCTTGGAGGCGAAGATTCCAACGCAAGAGTACACCTCACGGCTGGTATCGACATCTTACGACGCTGCTATCCTACCGAACTCAACGAGCTGACGTCACCTGGGCTTCAGAAAAACCAGCAGCCCAACCTCATGGTCCAAGACTTTGCTCGTATCTTCAGTGTCATGGACCTACATGCCGCCTTCTGGCTCGGGCTCTCCACCTGCTACACTTTGCCGATGGAACCGTATCCGTTGCTCGACAAGACGCTTCTCATTCCCGGCGCAACCCCAGATCTCGACAAGATCTCACTGATTCTCAACTGCCAGCTCGGTCGAGCAAATGCCTTTTTCCACGACAACACGCCAAGATACCCTTCCCCTTCAGCGTTCAATGTCCCTTTCCACATCCAAGCCGAGAAGCAACGAATACTATACGAGCTCGAGCAATGGCCCTCAATTCTCACAAACTTCCTCTCCAGAACACCTCAACCAACACGACTCGAATCCGATCGAATTGCAATCATGAGAATGCAATATCTCGCTCTCCATATCAGAATCAATACCTTCCTCTCACCGCCACTACCAGCCATCTACCTTCCCTTCACATCCGCCTTCTCCAGCATCCTCGCAGACGCGAAAGCCGTACTCCAGTTCACACCCTCCAAATTGCCAACCCCGCCTCCAGAGACCGCCCAACCTCCACTTATTCGTGAAAATGTCCTTCAAGCGATAGCCGCTAATTGTGGTGAGGAGGACGCTCTGAATATGTCATTCCTTTCCTTCGTGGCGGGACTGATCCAGCCACTCTATTTCACCGCCACAAAATGCCAGGATGCCAGAATGTGCAGAGATGCTATCGCAATGCTGGAGGAGACCCCGTGGAGGGAAGGAGCGTGGGATAGTTCTCTTATGGGGAGGATCGCGCGGCGGGAGTTGGAGGGCAGGGCAAAGGAGAGTGATGTCCAGGAGATTGCTTGACCATCTCACGTAATCCAGACCGCAATTGGTCGGCTAAAGTTGTCATACGAGGATCTACATCTCTTGAGGACAAAGCGAGGCGATCGTTGCACTGCAGATTAGTTACCTTGTGCTTCTTACCTAGTGCTTAACCTTGCTTAGCCTGCGCTCTCTGGTTTGCTGCAATACCGAGACTTCACGTCTATCAAGGCTACTACGATACGCAGACGAAGACACTTAGCATTTCAATCATGGCTCTGGGCAAGTCATACACGAAAGCTTTGGAAGCTGTCACAGTTATACACCAGCAAGTCGCATCATACCTTCCCCTTCCTCAGCTAAGAAAACGGAGGAGATTTATTGAAACGTATGTTGCACTCTGATGTTCCAATTAGCAAGAAATCTCAATTCCATGGAAGGGACGCTTCCACACACATAAAGAAGGTCTAGAGTCACCATATCTATCCGACAAACCCCACACATGATCAAAGCCGTCCCTCTCACCCCTTCTGTACGTACAACACACGCATCCCCCGAAGAGCACTTTTAAGCCCCCCATCCACTCCTAGCATATATTTCCACGGCGCTATTAATCTATCTACAAACTGATCGGCCCCTTCCCCTTACTCAGCCCCGTGTTCTACCCCTCCCTCCCTTTCCCCGATGCCTTCTCACGATGCCGCCGCCCACTGTCGCTCCAAGGGATTAGGGCCAGAATTGGGTTGAATTGGGGGTTGAGGGTGGCAATTAGTCCGTCATCACCGCTTTGTTGCCACAAGGCTAGGGGCTGGGGCTGGGGGTGGGGAGGGATCGATGTTGGTGTAGATCGGTACGGCTGTCCTACGGCGGTGCCGTTTCCTCCTGCCGTCGGAGACTCAGACTTATCAGGCTGCGTTAGCCCAGTCCAGCCCATGGATCGAGTACTCTGTTGCAGAGAGTCGGTGGTGGAATCCTGGCACCGTGAAAGTTTTCTTGAGGGACATTAGTGAGGTCAATGAACACACGTATTTTGCCGTGACGATAGACATGAGTGTCAGGTAGTCATGAGATTTTATTTACAAAAACGTACATACATACATACATACATGCATAGATACCTACTTGCTTACCACATACGCAAGCTTCTGCCTTCCCACTCTCCCACGCCCACAGACAGACTCTTATTATATACCCCCCTTTCTCCTCCCCTTCCGCCCCATACCCTTCATCCCTGACTCCTAAACAAATTAATCGTACTCGGGAAATTATTCCTATTATCCACATTCTTCGCCAGCACGACATTATCCCTATTTACCATACTAACACTCCCGACCGTATTCAAATTATACGCAAACAAACTCATACTCCCCGCATTATCGTACGTGAAAATCGCCGTTTGGCAGTTACTCCCCGCGGATAACGCATTACACGCGGTATTGTAGTTATTGAAGAAACTGTACAGACCCGCCCCGAGGACGAAGATGTTGTTGGAGGCGACGATGCGCAGGCCCCATGCCATGAAGCAGGTGGTGGGCGAGCCAGCGGGGCAGTACGTGGCGAAATTGGGGTCGTTGATGGCGCTGTTAACTGTGTTGAAGGGGGCGGGAGCTGCGGGGTTGGGCTGGTAATACGGGGTTTCGGTCTGGATCTGGCCCATGAAGATGTTCTTCGTGTTGGCGACTTGGTACTGATAGAGCGTGTGATGTTCGACTGCTGTGCCGACGAGCCAGAATGTGCCGGCTGTGCTTTCGATGTAGAGGCCTCGTCCTGCGTAGACGGTGATTTGGCTGAGATTCGGGTCCTCGACGTCGTGGTCGGCTACCCAGAGCCAGACATTCTCCATGTACAGAGCGGCAGCGGATTTGGTGATCCACATTGACATGTAGGCGGCGATGCATTTGGTGTTGATCGCGGTGGAGGAAGGGGTGGTGGGGCAATCGGCCACGTTGAGCCAGGAGTTCTTGAAGCCGCCGATGCGGGTGTGCACGTCCCACATTCCTGAGGGGGAGCTGGATGTGGAGGCAAGGTTCCATTTTATGAGAATGGCGCCGGCTTGGGCAATTTCGTTGTTTCGGGTGGAGACGATCATGTCGCTCCATTCGACTACGCCGGTGTCGCCTGCGTTGCCAACTTGAACGACAGGTTGAGGGGCGTTAATGTCGGAGAAGAATGTACCGGAGGAGAGAATCACGGAATAGCTTTCGCCAACAATCTTGGACCCTGCAGGTATCAGGATGGTTTTTCTGACTACGTAGGTTCCTGCATCAACGAAGAGGACTTTGCCTTGTGTTACCGCTGAGTTGATGGCATTCTGCAGGGCGGTGGTGTCGTCGGTGTTTCCGTCACCTTTGGCTCCAGAAGAGCGAGCGCTGAGGAAAGACGTTACGGGAAGAGTCTCATACTGTGGCTTTGACCTCTCATAGTACTTGCCATTGACCAAAAGGGATGCAGGACGGGTAGGTGGGGTCCAACCGCCTTGCCTCTTCCCTAGAGCTGTTGGGTTGTAGGTGTTTCCCGTCTTCCAACCCGTGATGGTAGTCTGTCCGGTTATTCCTGCCAAGTAAATGGCATTATTTGGACCCAGAACCGCTGTGCCGACGTTGTTCAGAGCTACATTCTCGATTGAGAGCGAGCCTCCCGTATTCGGCGAGGATGTGTCAGTGCGAGCAATGCTGAATGCGACTTTGGTATCTTTGAAGGTACTATCAAGCCATACTACGGAGCCTACGGCTTGATTAGAAGGTCCGCCATTTGTCATGTCTAAGCCGGTGGTGCAATTTTGCACCGTTATCGACTTGTACGTCCAGCCCCAGTTCCAGACCTGCTTGATAGCTGTTACAGAATTGTAAAATGCCATGTTACGCATCGTGAATTGCTGGTTGCCAAATACCGCCGCGTTCAAGCCTCCGTAGAATGTCAAATCGGTCAAAAAGCCGCCAGAGCCTGCATCTCACATGAGCCAAATCACTCCATGGGGAATTGCACCGCTGACGCACCTGCTTCAATGTAGAGACCTTGATGCTGTGTTCCCTTATTTGACGACATCTTGAATACAATGTTTTGCAAACTGGTCGCCTGTGCCGTAGGCCAGTGAATACCTGTTGCACCAGATGCATCCGGAATCGAAGTCATATCAATAACGAAATTTCTGACCTGCCTCCAAAAGACGTTGGTGGCTAGTGAGTCATCAGCATTTGATTTCTTTATTCGATCTCTTCGCTCGAACCTCCAAACTCTAAGACACCTGCTGCATTGCCGGGCTCATACATATCCCCATCGATCAAGCCCAGACCAGAAAAGCCGGCGGTAGCCTTCAATACAGGCACGCCGTTAGGATTACCAATCATCTGAGTGTAGTAGTACATGATGATAGACTTTGAGAGAATGTACGTTCCGGAAGGGAAGTAGACGACAGCCGGAGAGACAGTGGATGATTGACATGAGCCTGGACCACATCTAGTCTGATCGCTCATCGCTGCTTGAATAGCTGCCGTATCATCCGTGATGCCATCGCTACCATCAAATCAGTCGCCGCCCCGAAGGACAGCACATGTGCTCACCCTTTGGCCCCATAATCCTTCACATTACGGTACACCTTGTAGGCTGCGTTGGCATTGTTGGGTGAGATGCCTTGGTGCGTAATTTGCTCATACCAGTACGGTGTCGAAACAGCGACAGCAGCAGCGGACTGTTGCTTGAGTAGCTGCGCGAGGACCTTTGGCGTTGGCTTGGACGCGACAGATTTCGCTATGCCAGTGGGTCCGTCAATGTAATCAGTATAAACCGAGAATTGTTCGTTTTCCTTCGCAACGGCCTGTTCTACAGACGGAATAACCAACTTCTCGCCCAATGCCAAGGGCAATGTCAAAAGGAGTGAATAGAAGCGCATAATGAATGTCTCGTTACAAGTGCAAAGGAGTGACCAAAGGAATTAAAGAGCGACTTTAGCGATGCATGGAAATGAATGACGAGTACCGCACGAAGAGCAATAATCAGACCTCTGGAAGATATGGGACAGGTTAACATAAGTAGTACATATTCCACGGAAGATCTAGAGTATGATAGTGGCTTTCACGCGCGTCATCTCAACAACGTTGGCACGAGGACGAATGAGCGGCCAGAAGAGAGGAGGCAATCCATGCTCCGATCAGCCACGAATCCGGGGAACAGCGTTAGATCAAGTATCAGTCCCCGAATCTGGCTTGGTCTCACTCGACTAATGATTTATTGTCCGAATTTGGAAGAATTGAGATTTGGAGGCAGCGGGAAGATTCAAGCGAAATTAGCAATGGTGCTATGCTGTGGTACGATGTATCGGCACTTGAGTCGGCATCAGATCACAACACGATACAATGCGACAGTGGTGTAGTGTGTCGTTTGGATCTAGAACACAATTCATACGACATAGCTTATCATGCGAATCGCAGTGTTTGCATCATGAGAGAAGTAAAGAAGGAGGTCTAAAGAAAGACGGGATGAAAGGGGCATTAGACTTCCATTCCCGCAACCGGGTGCTGCCAATGTCTGGGCACGCCAAGCATTGGTAGGGCTGAGCAGCTATTGGATATTTCTGTTTTGATAGAGAGGATAGATGACTATCGCCAGCATTATAAGCATCACAGCAAGATTGCAATTACGATGGCACTATCTCAGCTATTAAGGCCATTGGTGCTTCACGCTCGATTGATCAGACCTCAAAGCATATGCTTTCGCTGCCTATTCACTGCTAGAGAACGTTCAACCTCACGACCTCCACCGCCACAACCTCCTTCACTTCCAGCCCCAGATCAACGACTGCGCTCGCCATACCGAATACTTCACGATCCTACATACGAGCGTAGGCATTTTTGAGAGAATTTCCTCGGTATTTCGCTAATGAAGCCATCTGTAGGAAACAAAAAAATACGAACCTACCCACCTCCCCCTTCCGTCGCAAAAGCAAGTCCTTTCCCCGTAGAAGACCACCAAAAGTCTCAGATATCCCTTCTGGACCCAACTGGCAGCCGTACTCGCCTCTTCAATCGGGAGAATCCCGATGCCCCCCGTGTCGGAGATGTCCTGTATACTACCTTCAAGACCGGTGACCCATTCAGCGGAGTCTGCATGAACATACGGCGGCAACATGTTGACACGGCTATATTGCTACGCAATAAGCTTATGGGCGTCAGTGTAGAGATGTGGATCAAAATCTACAGCCCGAACGTGAGGAGCGTGGAGGTGGTGAAGAGGGCGGCCAAACGGGCGCGAAGAGCAAGATTATATTATTTGCGGAACAAGAAACACGATCCGTCTAGTGTGGAACCACTTGTGGCAGAATATTTGAGAAAGAGAAGACTGATAAGAAGTGGGGGAACCGATGCAAAGGATGCGAGAAAGGTGGGCATGAAGCCTGCGGGAAAGAAAAGCGCGAAATGAGTCTTTCCACAAGACTCAGGGATTAGGCAGGATCCAACCGTCCACATGACAGTCTAGCATCTCGTTCAGCGTACGCTGCCAGTCTATAACATGGCCACGCCATGCGGAAAAGCCTCGTCTCAATTCTTGTCTTGTGGTGGAGCGCCAAATCAAATCGTCGTGACGTTTGTGCCGAAGCTGGCACTAGGGTATAATACCTCTCCTGTCCCGTATGCACTCTGAATGACCGAAACCCTGCCTGCTGCCACCACTTTCTGGCCGTACCTGCTATCAACGACCTCGAACGACAAAGCCTGAGCGCCTGATTTAATTGAGCGCTCATAATCGAGTGTTCCCGATGCAATATCAAAAAAATCTTCCCATACCATACTTATCCTAAGGTGATAGGTCAGTAACGTCCGACCAAGTGCGCAGTCTCCGAATAACTTTTCGGCAATGTTCTTGGGATGGTGGGCCAACGCCATGGATCTCCTGACGGCATACTTTTCACATCCCTTATTGCTTCGACCCATCAAAGACCGGCTACTATGCCCTCACGACCCACCTACGCACAGATAATTGAGAATAACTCACCTTTCTGACCTTATATACCATCTGATTGGGTATCCGGCTGGTTGTTGCCTTTCGTCAGGAAAGTAGTATTCACTCTCGGCCAATCCGGCAGGCCCGCCAGGCATTAGTGGAAGTATCTTCTTCACTTCCTAGATGACGATTATCTGTCAGATTTGCTCAACTTCCCAATCAACTAGCTTGCTAGCCGAAGGAGGGCAGGTTTTTGCTCACCTCCAGTGTCCTCTCCACCTCTGTCAAGGAGATATCGCTAATGGGATTCTGCTTGACTATAGTGAAGGTCGTGCCCTTGATTGGGAACGGTTGGAATAAGGGAGATATGAACATAATTGGGAGGGCGAGAATTGAGCTGAAGATAAAGAAAAAGACCAGTACGACACGCATGGTCGATATTCCCCCATGTTGTGTTCTCCGCATGTTTTATTCCTCCTGCTATCACTGATTAGACTTCTTCCATTTTGAGAGAAAGACGAAGATCTCTAGAACAAATCACGGAGTACGTCCCAGCAGAACTCATTCAGCTTCAGGAATTGGCCGGTTATGAATGAGGCCTTTACCCTTAGCTCAAGGCTTTCTTCTACCTATGTCTTACCTACTCCGCAAATCTTCACTATGACCGGCGATTGTTATCAAGACAGTGGTGGCGCCGTCGTGGTCACATGCGTGGGATAGAATTCTTCTAAACACGTCAAGCTCTCATTATGCAAAACATAGCGAATCGGGCGATTCAGCGATATGCGTGGGGTAGAATCCTGATGCGCTGCTCCTTCCGAGGTCTGTCAATTGAGACGCGATGAAACAGCTTGTTCATTACATTTCACTATTCCAATGCTCCAACATCGCAGAAGATGATTGATGAGATATCACAGCCCTTCACATCTTTCCCATCATCACTACTAAAAACACAACAAATCCCTCCACCTCGCCCCATCAACCAGCGCCTCACCCATTATCACCCAGCAGCAACACTCCCCCCATCCCCAGATCCCCCCAAATGCTTGATCCACCCACTCCCCGCCTTCAACTCCGTCCCCTCCCGATCATTTCCCACAATCAGAAACTGCACTTCCCTCCTGAACTCATAAAACTCCTCTTCATAAGCACACAGCCCTTTCAAACAACTCTGCGCCGTGACCCAGACCAGACTCCCCACACCTCTTACCCCCTGCCCATCCTCTTGCCCACCCCCTTGCCCCGCGCCAACCCTGCTACTTCCACCAGCGACACCACTCTCCCCCGCCCCGCCGGGGCCTCCACCGTTTTTCTTCCCGCCCCCCACAGCAGCCTCGTCCCCCACCCCCACCCCCTCAGCATGCACACTCACCCTCCCTGACGGATGCGGCGACCAATCCCACGCCCTAAACGCCCCCTCGACATTAGAGTGCCTAATCGCCTCATCCTGGGCAGCGATCGAATTATTGCGGCAAAGCGTGCCGCTGATTATGGTGGAGGAGAAGGGCATTTGAGGCCAGACATTCGGCGGGGGATGGGGTCGGAGGGGGAGGTGTTGGTGGTGGGGTTGAAGGGCTTGCAGAAGGCATAGGGCGTGGAAGGGGGATGGGGAGGGGGAAGAGCAAGGCGGATATAGCTGCGTGCTTAGTTGTGGGGTGGTGGTGGTGGTGGTTGTGCGGCGGCCTGGAGGAGGATGATGATGATGGGTTGTAGGCAGGTGAATTATCAGGGAGCAAAGATATAGAGAATGGCTTAGGAAATGGTCTGAGGTAAGGCAGGGGGGTCTTTATGGAGAGAGGGTAGGAGATACTTGCTATTCTGGAACGAAACACCATGGGACGCCTCTTTCAGGACTCATCGCTACGGTTGCGGGGGTGTGCACCGTGATCAGGTATTGCATGTTAGTGTGGAGGATAGGAGCTCTATATATTGCTGTAGGATGATCAGGAAGCCGCTTTCGAAATGGGGTTTGACAGGAACCACGCTTCTCGAGAAGGAATGTCTGGGTACTGAGTCTGAATCGACTTGCTATATTTAGGACAGGAAGTATAATCTAATGAACCGTGCATATTCATAGAATTCGGGTCTCAGTGGTCTTTACTAGATCATATATCTCAAAGTGCAGTAGAAACGTAAATTCAGAAGTACATGCAGATGTTGCCTTCTTGAAAAGAGGATTGAAGAAGCAAAATCGTCATTAAAGAAATCAAACGATGGGACTTAGGCAGATAATGTTTATGTAGAGGAAATCAAATTGGTATCTTCTATATTTCTCAGTACTTGTTGCTATGCTATATGGCAAAGCTCAGCATCTCCGACGAATGCTTCAAGAATCGTACATCGTAGCGTTGTGTTGCTTAGCTTGAGCGCTTGCTCTGTATCTCTACGTGTGCTAAATCGACCTTTCGTGTTCCATGCTGCAACATGGCGGCGCAGTCTTCCAAGTGTCGCCAAGATGAAATACTTCATTGCTCAGAAGTCGTTGCAGCTTTGACATGGTTTATTGCGGTAGACAGCCCAGCTTCCTCGCAGAAGGGATACCGCCCACCATTGGTGCCATTGGTGGGTCTTTGGAGTGCTCTTTTGACCACTCTTGGGGTCTGAGAAGTGTCTTGCTGGATAATGAAGGGTCCTGAATCCTTCGAATCGAATAAAGCTGAAGCAAGTCTTGATCAAACTCCGATCTCATCGTCTAGCAACCCACCCCTTCGCAAGCACCACAGCCCTCTCCTCTCCCTTATCCTGCTGTATCTCGAAATCCAGATCACCCTCACTACCCCCCTTTCCATCCTTCAAGATCGATTTCTGAACGCTCTCCACTCCCCTCAGAATATCCTTGACATCCCGCCATAAGAACCTGGGGGCTTCAGACTCGATATGAATCCTAACCTGGTTGTTCTCGTTCGTCGCCGGCCACGTCCACTCCGTGCCAGCGGGTCCATTTTTAGTTTCAGCCTCCTCGGTCGCGGATGCTAAAAGTTTGCTGACCTCTTCAAACGAGATAGACGAGGGCGACGGTGAGGCTGAAGGGACAAAAGCACGGTGGAGAGTCAGAGTTGTACTTCCTGGTATTGGGTATGCTTCTGATATTGGTTGTTGGGGTGGCGGTTGTGACTGTGTGATGATAGATGGTCGAGGAATGGGTCGCGCCAACGTGAGGGAGGTCAGCGAAAGGAGAAGAACGCCGACATGGGTGGGGAATATCATGATGCTCTCTGTTGAGGCATTCAATTTTGTAACGATTAGGGAACTGTGCACTCTTTAAACTGTCTCAGATTTTGCGAGTAAAAGGAATGGATCGGGTATAGTTCTGGTTGGGAGTTGGGCCCAACATGGCACCAACAATAGTGGGGATACGGCTGCTTTTGTAATCGCCAGCAAGGCCTATGACCTTAGACCTGCGCCGTAATTCAGGTCTACTTCGTCTAAATTGAGGTGCGAGTTTTGCAAGTGTTTTGGATCACATGCGAGCCGTGTCTGTGGCGTGGAAATTGGTGCTTGGCTGATGAAATCGCTATATGCGCATAAGGCTCTGTTCCTCTTCACAGCGCGAAGGGTCCGGTATTGAAGTTATATTAAGCTTGAAGCTCTGACAGGGAGCGGCCCGTATGATTTTTTCTCTGTTTCTCTGCCTTGTCTCACTTCTGCGCCTACCTGGGCCTGCCAGATGAGCCGTCGCCAGATTATTATTATACCGTCACCACGCTCTGTGAGGTCTTAGCCCCGTCTCCTGATTCACGAGCTGGTCTTGCCGAGAAGTTGCTGTTTCTTAAGCAATGTGAAGCGCAAGAATACGCCCTGAATGCGCGACACATTGTTGGTTGCAACCAAGCAGGCCCAGAGGCGAAAGTGCCTGGAATATAACAAGCTTCCAAGCAACCACAATCCCTCTTGAAATTCGTTGCACGCACTGCCACCGCTAGCCATAATCGAGAGAGGTGTCGGGGACCTATGAATCGACTTTGATCTTCTCCGGCCACTATAATGTACCAGCATATTCAATGTCATAGGGTCTCAGGATCAGCATCCGTCATCAACATCTCCGTCTCTTTATGCATCTGAGAACCTCGTCCCCGCCCGATGAATTCACCCATTTTAAGACGCTGCAGGCACCTTTTAGTCACAACGTCGATATCTACCTGGGCTTTTTCCAAGAATGCCCTTTTGGACTCGTCACTCGACGATAGTAGATGAGCGGCTCTCTTCAAGCCAAGGCGAAGTGGGCTGTAAGCCAATAGTTGCATATTCCAAGCATGCTTTATCATCTGCAAATCTTCCATGTCTACTAGCTTCTCCACGACATGCCATGTCTTCATCAGCGCTGTTGTGTATCTCTCCGTTTCTTCCTTGTTGCCCTGCATCGCGTGCACGAGCACCATAGCACCCACAATCTCCGGTCGTTTTGTAGCCTTTTCCGTCGGGACCACCATCCACTGATAGTACTTTGCATTTGTTCTTCTCGAAAAGTCGTGAGTAGAATGTCGTTCCTCCCAAAGCATTTCCCAGATCATCTCGGCGTATTTGACTGCAGCTGCCCAGTCTCCTTCCTTGATCCCTTTCTGTATGGCACCTGTCATGGCCTCATGCGCTATGTTCCCCTCGCTCAAATTCACCTCTGTTTTATCCACTCTCCGGAGCATCTCAGTAATTATGCCGAGCTGGCCCTGGTTCCCTAACATTCTCAAAGTCTTCTCCTTGAGACCAAACTTGAATTTCCTCTTCGCCTGCTTGAAGCCTTCTAACAACGCGACAACATTATTCCAATCCCCGATCTCCTCCATTAAAGCCAATGCTTGCACATAGCTAGATCTTGAAGTAGGCTCATCCTTCGTGTGGTTGAGAGGTTTGAGGATGAATTCTTCATTTTGTACAGCGACGGTGGCGGGCTCATCAGCAGTGAGCAACGGATGGTTCTTTTGGCGGTAAACAAGATCACGTTGAGCTTGGGACAGATGGGCAGGGAGGAATATGTTGAGACGGAGGAATTGGAGCAGTGAATCAAGTTTGGGGGAGGACGTTGGATTGAATACCGGAACAGCACCTAGAAGATTTGCGAGTCAGAAGGGTGGAATATCAAGCGGACAGCATCCGCAGCAAGGGGCGTTATGTTTTACCTTCTCTTCGTCTGGAACTGGATGATACGAAGGTTCTGCTGCTATGTTGGACGTAGACGTGTCGCCAGCAAGGCCGGCAAATATATGAAGGAGAGATCCTCAGAGATGCCATTGCTGTGAGATGCGTCGTGATCGCGAAATGAAACCCGCTTTGAGCTATGAATTTTCAAGACCTCCGACGCAATGTGCATAGTGCGGACAGGACAGCTCTTAAGAACAGGACAGCAATGACACCTCAAGATGTCCGAGACCAAAGAAGAATAGAGAGACACTAAAGGACAAGAATAAGTTTTGACAATGGTCAGGTCGTGCTTCATCCACGAATTCAGACACGTTGTCCACTGATTGTATGTATTGCTAAAATCCAATGTGATCCTAGAACCCGCCTCGCCCGATGATATCTTAACGGATAGCTATCACAAAATAAGTTGATTCAATCATCATTTAAATCGTACATGACCTGCGTTGTTGGTGAGACAACATGTCCACATCAATTCTGTCACGTCGCAACTATTCATTGGCCTCGTTAAGTACGTCGGTCGTGCCCAAGGTCTAATTCACGGCTTTTTGACGTTGATTCAGCGATTGCAGACTAATGTCGAACGGCCGCATCCCAGGAATGCCCGATTGTGCTTTTCCCACAACTCTGTTAAAGCATGCGGTCAGCTTTGAGATACCAACAACGAGCTCTATCGGCTGTGCTAATCTTCGAAACGGGACAAGAGTCTACAGGGTCTGCTAGGTGTCGCTCCCTGGACGCGGCCTCGGCGTTGTTTAATGATCCTCGGATAGGTTGAGCATTGAAGGTACCTGCGATTGTGGAGGCCATGAGCCTATAGTTTTGAAGGGCATCAATCCTCGAATGCGAGCTTAGAGGATGTGACGATGAGTACACGTTTGAGTCATCACTTTTGCTTTCGAGGCCAGGAGTTCCATGAAAAGCGGCGGCGGCGACTCGAGGGCGGCTCCATCATCGAGAGCTCATCTCGCAACGCAGAGAGCACATTCTGTGATACTATTTTCTTACCCGACGATGTGTACTTCTGGAGATCACCTTTGTTGGTCTTTGCCCCGCTTTGAACCATAACCTTTGCAATCTCTCTCCAAGGTGAACTCAACTGCCGGCTCTCCCAATGCTCAGCTATATGGAGCAACGTATAACACCATGCTGAAGACATCATCGAATGCTGATTTTCTGTTGGGTGGTAGTTGGGATCGGCTCCTTTCTTCAATAGGCAAGAAATCACGTCTACGTCGGGCTCTGCTTCACGGACTCCGTCGATCTCTGGATACCAGGGACTCACCGCGTCTACTAACAGTGGCCACATGACACCTGATTTGGTCTCTACCAAGCAGCCGGTAGGCGCCTTTGCTTCGAGGTAATCGAGAATGCGGTAGAAAACCACGAGTGATAGGTAGCTGCAGCCGATCGACGGTAGCGTGTAAGGAGCTGTTGCAACCCAGCTCTCTAATGATACACATTTGATGTCGTACGACAACACCTTAGATCTTGAGGGACGCTTGGCAATGGACGTCGCTGTTTTGTCAAGCTCATCAAGCAATGCAATAACATATGAGCGGTTGTTAGGCATTATACGAGCTGTGTGGTAAAGGCAGCGTAGTATACGACTCCAGAAAGGTCCGTCACAAAGTCCATTGTTATCAATATCAATGATTTTTAATAGCGAGAGATAGGCCATAGACAGTCTATAATGCAGATCGAAGGATTGCTCTAGGGAAGCACCAAGTTGTCGCTTCACCTTGGCGCTTTCGATGAAATCCTTGACTGAGCCATGCAAATACTGAACGGTGGCTTCCTTCTTACCATCATTTCCCTTCGAAACAGCAACGACTTCAAGAAACCCTTTACAGCGACTTTTCAACCGGCGAGACATCGTGTCGTTCTTCAAAGCTTCTTCGCCAGCAGACAAGGGTTGAATCGGTCTCTCAATAGCAGTCTTCATGTCGTCTTCGTCAGCAAATGAGAGCAGCAACAATGACGGGGGCTCAGGGCTCTGTTCTACCAATCTAAATAATTGCGCTGCATGTCCTAAGTAAAAGGGATCTAGGCTCTGGAGAATCTTGTCGTACAGCATCTCTAGTTCAGGAGGCAACAGATCGAGCCTCTTTTGAAGGTCAATTACGCGATCCCCGTAGCTCATTCCGGCGAGGAGCGAGTTGACAACGAGATGGACCCATAGAAAGACACCCGAAGATTTGAGAACGACATTCTTGACCAATTCATCCGCATATTGAGGCTCTCTCTTTTGAAGCATAGAGAAATTGGCGTCGTCTTCAAAGTGTTTGGTAACATAAAGGTGAATATCGGCATAAGTAAGATCTTGAAGCATTAGACTTGGCTTATGACTAAATGCGTCCTCAAATACGACCCATGGCCGGCTTGAAACGCACATCTTGACCCCTGGATTGCTGATCAGATCCTTGAAGAGGCTTACGAGTTTGTCATGCGGGCCTTCAAATTCATCCAACCCATCTATGAAAAGGCAAAGCTTTGCACTCGCACCTATAATTTTAGCAGCTTTTCGAAGCATATCTTGCAATTCTTCAATAGTCCATTTCCGTGAGATATCATTGAACAAGCATCGTGCTTCCCATTGCCTAGGCGAGACGATCGGTATTAAGTCTGGAGTAAATTGCAGAATCTGGTAGAGGAGAGAGCGTAGTAAGCCTTCTTGCGACATCTGCAGCTCTGTACCAGAATTCCAAAAATAGAAGGTAGCAGTGATCAATTCTGAACTACCAGCCCAGTTTCTCAAATGCTTCGCGCAACGTGATTCATGCTCGGGCCTAAGGTCTTCATTTTGAACAGCAACTGACGATTTTAGGTCCACCTGGCCCTGCTGCTGGCAAAGATACTTCATCAGTGTAGATTTGCCTGATCCAGCCTTGCCTGTCATCCAATAGAGGCTGGAGTCTGAACCCAGCCACTGTTTGAGGTTAGACCATCGCGTTTGTTGTGAGCTTTCATCCTCGAGTATCCATTGGAAAGTTCTTTCGTATGCTTCAGCAATCCTGTCTTGTCGATCATTCATACCAGCGTAATGTAGTCGAGTCAGGATGTCATCTTGAAGATCAGCTTTTCGGGATGCTGCTATCGACGGAGAAAAACTGCTGCTCTGTCCCTTTTCCTGGAGGATTTTGGTGACAAGTTGAGTCTGCAGATCCCATTCTTCGCCTTGAAAGCTGGAGAATGGAACTTTTGACCCTAGTAACTGTAGGAAAGCAAGCCCAATGGCAATTGTGCCCGGTTCACCTTGATCGTGAGCCGCTTCAAGTCGTTTTGTGCCCGCTTGGATATCTTCCAGCCGGCTGAAAATGCGTTCTTGCTGCTCCACCGATTGACGAGCGTAGCAGCTAATTTCAAGGGTCAGCTAGTAGAGGACTGACATATCACTTGAACGTCAATGGAATCGGGCTACGGCATAGCTTACCGTATCACAGTCAGAAGTTGGACAATCAGAGCTTGTTTGAGGCTATCCAGTCTGGAAACCAGGGACTTTATCTTGTCCTCGTTCCACATCATCTTCACCGCTGCTCTCAATGCATCCCGCCTGCCACAATTCTCAAGCGAAGTCATATCTTGCAATCCGCCCAATAATTCAATAGCAAGCCGTTGGCATTGTGTTGCAAGTTTGCTCAGGCCAACCTCGCCCTCGGACATAGGCCCAACATTCGTCTCTGATGCGTGTAGATGCTCCAAGGTTTCCCGAAGAATCTCGGTGGAAAGTCGAAGGTCAGGGAGCTCCCCGGTCATTCCCTGGCCATAGCTATAGATATCCCTCGCAGTTGACACAAAACGCATCCCGATATCAAGAAACTGTACCACATTTGCGGCGAGTCCAACGCCGACCAAAGCCTCCGCCATTATCCAGCGAGCGTAGGACCTGGAACAAGCAGGCGATATTAAAAAATGCGAAGCACATTGACATTTATACAGGCAGACGAGGCTGAGAAGCTCAGAGCTGCGGCCAGCGTGGCGGTGCGCCGCTAGGCACTGGAGTGCTCTGCAGCAACTAGCAGATCCCTTGCCACGTTCATTGGCGTTGAAGACAGCATGTCCTGGAGGGTATGAATTCGCGAGTCTTGCTCGCATTAGCCATCCAGTATAACAGAACCATCCATCCCTGAATGACAGTGGTGTCTCTAACGAGAACAGCCCCTGGCTAGGACATGACTGCCCAGGCACCTAGGCAGCCATCCAGCAACCTCAGTGAAGGACGATGGACCAGTCGACTCGACCATCTTCTCAATCATGTATTCTCCGTCCTTTTCCTTTCCTAATCTGACTTCACATTGACAATCGATTTGTGCAGTAACATCATTAGATAATCTAATCTTGGGGAGGCCTAAGCAGGATAGCTAAGATTATTTCAGGGGAACTGTCGCCGATTGTCGGTTCGGCATTTGCGAGCCAAGGAGGCGGTTTGGGATCGTAGCCGTTGGTTGGTAAAGGTGATGATTGGGAAGGAAGAGATGGTGGCTTGCAATAGCTAGAATAGCTGCGGCGGGGGATGAAAGCCGTCCGCCCTCTAACTCCTCGGGCCTCTAGTCTTCGGTTCTTTTAGAGGATCTCAGAGAAGTCTCACCAGACGTTCGACCATAATCGAATCTCCGGGTGAAATTACCTGTCGATTTACGGTTGGCGAACCTAATAACGAGTGCAATTCTAGGTAGCACGCCAGGCCAAAGTCAACTGTCCCTGGTGTTACTCCACCTCCTTCCGTGATCGTCGGTGGTCGAGGCCCCTCCCCAAGTCACCATTAATTATTGAATTTCGAAAGTGGCCGACTGCTCCTATCAACTCATTTGGCCTAGGCCACCAAAGTCATTACCTCACCATGCTTAAGACTCTGTGTAGAGCTCCTTTCATCTTCATTCTACCTCCATACTACCAGAAATTCCGCACCAACTGCAGCTCTCCGCCACATTAAATGCAAGCTCTCTTCATCTAGCATAGCACTCAACCCTACGCACCGCACACCTGTCCACCATGGGGCTCTTCAACAAAAAAAGCAAATCCAGTGTCAACGGCAGCACAAATGCTGCCAGCGCCAGAACCAGCCACAGCTCCTTGATGTCGCCTCCACCCACCAAGGTCATCAACGGCGGCAGCTTCAACTCCCCATCCGTACCTGATGTCTCACTCCCCGCGCCCCCCGACCCCACACTTGACCCTGCAGCGTACCTGCGGAGCATATACGCCGTGCGCGCACGCACTCGACTGGTATACCAAAGAGCAAAGCGGAATCAGTTGAACCACTTTATTGTGGACGGGTCCAAGTTCAGAGACACAGCAGACTACGTCGTGTCCATCATAAAGGTAACCTTACCCTACCACCAGCCAATCACCGTACTCTCACCACTGACACCACTCAGCGAGATTTCGCCCCAGACTACACAAGCATCCCTGCACACGGGCGATGGCAACACTTCGAAGCCGGCGGCCGCCCTCGAATAGACCAACTCCTCTCCTCCTGGCCCAGCACAATTGACGCCCAAGAGCGGACGCGCCGCCTCCTGGACCTCTTCCTCGTCTCCGTCCTCCTGGACGCGGGCGCCGGCACGCGCTGGACCTACAAATCAAAAGAATCCGGCAAAACGTACCGGCGCAGCGAAGGGCTGGCCATCGCGTCCCTCGAAATGTTCAAAGCCGGCTACTTCAGCAGCGACAGCGCACAACCGTGCCAAGTCGATTCCGCGGGACTCAAATTGCTGACACTAAGCCAGCTCGCGCGCGGGCTGCAAGCAACGCCGGACACGAATCCTCTCGCTGGCCTAGAGGGGCGCGCGGGGCTGATGACGCGACTGGGTGACGCATTGGCTCAAAATCCGTCATATTTCGGCGCAAAGGGCCGGCCAGGGCATATGCTTGACCACCTCCTCTCACACCCCACAACGACCGCTCATTCGGTCCCCGTCATCACAGTGCCAACACTCTGGTCCGTGCTCATCAACGGCCTCGCAACCGTATGGCCGACCACTGGCCCAGGGCGCACCATAATTGACGGCGTAGGCCTCGGTGACGCCTGGCCATGCAACAGCATGCCCGCCTCCCCGCCAGGCCTACCATGGGAAAACATCGTGCCGCTGCACAAATTAACGCAGTGGCTATGCTACTCCCTCATGACACCCATGCAAAAGGTCATGAAAGTGCATTTCGCGGGGACGGACCTCCTCACTGGCTTACCAGAATACAGAAATGGCGGACTACTGGTCGATACGGGCCTACTCACCTTGAAAGATGGGGATATGGATAGAGGATTGAGGAAATTCCGGGAGCGCGCGGCGACGAAAGGCCAGCCGAGCATGGAAGTCGTGCCGCTGTTTGAGACGAACGACGATGCCGTCGTGGAGTGGCGGGCTGTGACAGTGGGGTTTCTAGACGACCTGCTAGTGGAGGTCAATGGAATATTGGGGCTGAGTGGGGAGAGGAAGCTGAGTTTGGCGCAGATGCTGGAGGCGGGGAGTTGGAAGGTTTGTCAACCCCTTTACCGGCCCCAACCATCCCTTCTCGTTACTCATATCAGGAGTCTGAGATACTGACTCGATCGGTGGTATGACAGGGCGGCAGAGAACTAGCAGAAGTATCACGACCGAACACGAAAGAACCGCCTATTATGATCATTTCTGACGGAACGGTCTTCTGAGCACCCGTTCGCATTATAAACGAGCACGCTGAGAGCATGCATATACAAAAATTTGCTTCACCCCGCGCTCTCCACATATTGTTGAAAGAATACGCATTTGCTGGGATTTTGGCACGGTACCGCTTGTACCTCACAAGCTTGCTTCATGGTGGGATATGTTGTCTAGATTTTGGGCATCTAAAGGGTGGGGTCTATCGTATGATATGGAGGGACTGGGGAGGCTAGCTGCATAACAATATGGGAAGAACAGAGCGAAATGGAGGTCTTGTCAGCATAGCGTGAATGACATCTTTTCAGGCAGCAGAACCTTCTTCCGGGAGCGGAGCAGTATAGATTGAAGAGAGAGCTCAATGATGAGACACGGTGCTTGTTAGCCTCGATGGTGACTGATATTCACACTGCTACTGCGTGATCACACCCCTGTCGATTCTGCAAGGGTGGCAGCATCACGCACCATCTCGTCTACACTCCCCTTACGCACTCATATCTACGAATCCCACCCGCTCCCCCGTCGACTTCCCATCCCCATGCTCAAACCGCTAGGACTCCCCCTCCCCCCATCCCTACCGCGTTCATAAAGCCACTTACTGTTCAACAACCCACTGCCTCCACCCCCGCCGGTGCCTCCCCCAAAAGAGCTCCTCCCACCACTGTCTTTCCTCCCCAAACTCCCACTCCTTCCCCCCGCCCCCACCAACGGACTCCCGCTCCCTCGTCTCTGGACCTCCCTCGTCTTCGCCCACAGCGGAGAATGCACCGGACTATCCCCACGATCCGTGCCTGCATTCCCAGCCCCCTTGCCACTGCCTACTCTCGAAGTTGGCGTCCCAACCCCAACCCCTCCTCCGAAAATACTACCGCTATTACTCCTCTGCCCCGAACCCCCGCGCTGGAAGAGACGCTGCGTGTAGCTGACAGCGGATACCGCGGTGGCGTGATATAGGTACCTCCTGGGGTGAGATCTGGGGTGCCTTTCGCGCTGTTGTTGGGTTTAGGGGAGGGGGATAGACCGAGGAGGGCGCGTTGGGTTGGTGTGAGGGGCAGGTCGGTGAGGTCATCTGGTTTTTTGAGGAGGGGGAGGAGTGCGGTGGTGAGGTTGTAGAGTAGGAGGGTTGAGAGTGCGAGGAGGAGGGGGAGGGTAAGGAGGCGGAGTATAGAGTGTGAGAGGAGGGTGGAGAGGGCGTTAGATCTGTGGGGTGGGGGAGAATTTCAGCTTGGGAGTGCTTTGAAGGGGCAGGAAGGAGAGGAGGAAGGTTGGGGAGCGGAAAGAAGGGAGGGGTAGTAGAGGGCAAGAACGAGAAGGAGGAGGAGGAGGAGGAAGAGGGAAACGAGAGGCTTACAAGAAAGTAAGGTAGAGGAGGAAGGATAAGGCGATACCGTTGTAGATGGATCGACGGAGGTTGTCCTCACTGAATGTGGATGCGCGTTGGCGGCGCGTTATTTCTGCATTGAGAGGGTGGCGCCAGGAACCGGGTGTTGGGGGAGCTGAAGATTCGAAGGCAGGGCGGGGTGGGGTCTGAGCTGGAGCAGGCGTGATGGTGGTTTGTGTCGACATTGTTGTGATATGGAGGATGTTCTCCCAGAGGTTGAACAGTGGTTGTTGTTATGTCTAGATTGCTGGAAGTGAAAGTGACATGTTGCTGTCAAATGTAATATGTCCTGGGCTTACAGAATGTCTTTGGTTCGATGCTTCTCCTGTGGGTTAGTAAGATGTAAGTGAGGAGATGCTTTGTTCCAGATATCAATTGAAAAGGTGACAGCACTAGCGCGTTGTGGCTGGTTTCCTGCAGGAAGTATCATCCACGGGCAGCAAGTGTGAAGAAAAGAACATGCAGGTGTGAAGAATTGTTTTGAGGGCTTTCTTCTCGTAATGTATCATTTAGCACTCATGAAGGCTATGTCTTGTCTTTCATCATCATCTATATCAAGCATATGCAAGAGTGTTGTTGTCCGTCAGAGTCAAAACCTCATTTAGAACAACCTCTCCTCCAACGACTGCAGGGCCAGTCACAACAGGATTCCCCGTAGGCTTGTTATCATTAATATCCTCTTCTCCTTTCTGAGCCTTCATTTTCAATTCTAAACAGCCCAACGGAGGTCCCAAATGACTTGGCGCGTTGGGATGGAGCCCTCGATTGGAATAATCCAAGGGGTTGGTTTGGCAAACTGCTCCTGCAACTTCAGGTGCTGTATGAGCGAAGATGATGCGAGCACGGGTGAAGATCCGTAGGCTGTTGAGCTGCGAAGCACTGAGTGTTGCCTTGTTAGAGCCCGTGGAGTTGTCGTAAGTGTAGACCAGTCTGACGTCTCGAACACCAAGCGTGTTCTTTGGCATAGATCCGTTCTTCAGCGACTGTAATTTTCGATCGTGCATATATTTATGAAAGGACCCTGAAAGGTGCGATTCATTGTCTGCGACCAGCCTGCTCAGCGTATTCGGCAAAGCAATGATGATGGTTGGCGCGACGCCTTTGAACGCAGATGCGTAAGTTGCTTGCGGTCCGCACACTGATGTGAGAGCAAGAGAAGCGTTCGCGTACATTGCTGCGAGAAAGACAGTCAAAGGATAGATGTCAGTCAGCGGCGCGAGCGAAATCACCGTATCCAGTGGTGTCAAATGGTGCTGTAATGTTGCTGCATACGAACGAGGAAGTACGGCAAGCTGGCCGCTCACTGCTGCGACGATGTTCTTCTAAAGCATCAGCTTGATCGTTATAGAGATAGGGCAGATGACAAACCTCTTGTGCGTATTTCACAATCTCAACTCCCTTTTCACCCTTTGTCACGATGAGAACATCCGTGTCCTTGGATCCAGTCTCTTCACCAGGAAGATCGGAATCATCCTTCGCCTCTTCGATGATCTCATGCCACACTGCGACGCCAGCATTGCCACCCTCTCCCTCCGGCACTTCATGCCAATCCATATGCCTACTTGTCCTAGCAACGACCCAGACCACCTGCTTCAACCCGCCATAGAGCTTGACAAGTTCAGTAAGAGGCACAGACCCAGCACCCACAAGAATAGTATCAGCTTCCGCCTTCTTGAGAACAGTAGCCAGATCCTCCACACTATCCTGCGTCGGAACCAAAATAGGCGTAAGGCCATAGAACGCGCAAGCTTCACAGCATCTCATCAGCACACTGCTCTCAATACCACACAAACCATCGAATACAAGGAATAAGCAACTAACTCACCAAAAAGCGCCACCAAAAACTCCACAGAATTACTCAAATGCACCACCACCCTCCCTGCCCCTTTCCCCTTCAAATACCCCCCTATCGCCTTCACCTCCCCACTCAGTCCCTCAAACCCATACTCCACGACCCCCTCCCGTCCCTCAATCACCTTAACAGTCCCCGCCCTAGTCATCGTACTCGCAACACCCTCAGCCTCCGCGCCCCCAGCCCTCTGCCCCGTAGGCTGGCCCCCTCATCCAGCGGATTCGGATTAACCGCCCTCCTCCACACATCCCTCAAATTACCATTTCTCCCGCGTGCCCATTTCGGAGATCCAGCGTCCTTGACATTGAGGCCTGAGCGGAGGGGGTAGGAGTGCGGGACGTCGAGGGCGCGGTAGGTGGCGGAGAAGCCGGGGTGGCGGACGGGAGAGGGGGCAGATTGGCGGGCTAGGAGGAGAGGGTGGATGTCGGGGTCGGGGGTGAAGAAGGCGGGGTAGATGAAGACAGCGGTTAGGAGGATGAGGAGAATGGTGGTTGTGGCGGACCAGGAGGAGAGGCCGGCCGTGAGGTGGGCGTCGAGGGATTGGAGGAGGTTGGGCATTGTGAGGTGTAATTGTAGGTGCGGAAGTCACGCAGCTGACGAGGAGAAGGATGGGGATGTGCGGTTGCAGGTATAAGCTGAGCGTGACGGATATGGATTATGGAGTCTCAGGTTTTGCCGCGCGCGCACTGCGTTTGGATGGTCCAAAACGAGGCGGCATTTTTTTGAACGAGGGGTTTCTATAAGATAAAGTCTAGGAAAGAGAGGTATGTGCGAGGCTTGACGGTCCAAGATGTCTAGATACTCGTTTTGAATTTACATGAGGCTTTTCCTACAAGGTCGCGACTTGGACTAACAAACATCTAGCTCATGATCATCCCCTTCAATCCTGCCATATCTCCTTCTTTCGCAGCGATTTCGAAATACCCGTAGATGATGCTATGACTTCCTGTCAGTATCTTCAAGGGAGAATGGCAGAAGGATAACCTACGTGACAGCCAGCAAGATTCCGGTTCCAGATCCCAAAGCGCCAATCAGATCGCTCGTCACAGACAACGCACCAATGATCGCACCGCCAAATGAAGCAGCGGTAGGAATGACTCGCTTGAGCTCTTTGTACATGCTCTGCTCTCTATGCCCGGCCATGACGAGTCCTTGCTCCTGTAGACAGTGTGAGTATATTGAAGACGAGGACTATGAACTGCTAGAAAGACTCACCTTCAATTGTTTTGCAACATCCCTTGGCGCGCTTCCGGATACTTCGATCCAAGTCTTTGAGAACAAAGCACAGGCAGTCATGATGAAGACAACGTAGATAGCGGCGTGCACTGGATCCAGTAAAGCAGCCTTGAGATCGTTCGGTGGCGACATGTAGTATGCGACTCCACTAGCGGCGAATAGCTGTGAGGATCCTCCCTCTTTAGGTTCCCATACTCCAAGCAATTTGACGAGCAAATTGTCCGAGAATCGAGAGAACAGCATTTGGCTGATGAGGAAGAAGTTGGAGGCTAAAGCAGACTGAAGCATGATGGGCATGTTGGAAGTGTAGAAGAGTCGAATCGGGTAAGATCCGCGCATTCCACGCTGTTTCGAAGATTTGACAGGGATCTCAACTCGGAAACCTTGTAGGTATATGACAGCGGCGAAGATGACCACAGTAGCCAGAAGGTTCATGATATTGGGTAAATTCTGGCGGAAAAATGCTTCTCGTAGTGCGACTTGCTTATTGGGCCAGGTGAGAAGTAGGTGGAAGAGTGCGATGACTGCGCCCTCAAACTCTGGACCACGGCCGGTGTTGATCGTCGTTGGTGAGAAAGCTTTCCATATGATCGATTCACAGATGTTGGTCGCAATGAAGAGAGATATTCCTGAGCCAAGACCATAGCCTTTCTGTAGTAGCTCATCGAGGAGGATGACAATGAGACCGGCGATAATCAATTGCACAATTAAGAGAACGCAGATTCCAGCACCAAGCTCTGACGGTGGGCCGTATAGTCCAGTGAGTACATACACACAAGCTTGGCCAAATGAAAGGATGATGGCAAAAAGCTTTTGCGCCGTCTGGTAGAGCTCTCGGTCGACCTTCAGGTCTAGGTTGACATCGATCAAGTGGGTTCCTGCCAGTAATTGGAAAACCATGCCAGAGGAAATGATTGGTGTAATTCCTAGCTCCATTAAAGTCCCTCTGTTGCTCGCCAACATCATTCTGAGCCAGAACATAGGATCGCTCGAATCGGAGGATACGATGCCATATAAGGGCATCTGGCTCATAACCAAGAAGATGAGGAGAGTGAGGCCTGTCCACATTGCCTTTTGATTGAATCTGCCTTGCAAGTCAACGCTGATCTGACTAATGACCTGATACAATCCTCCTCGGCGCCGCGCATATAGACTCATATTTTTTGAATGGAGTGAACGTACGGTGCTTTCGTCTCCGGCGAGGCGACTTCGGGGAGGAAAGGAGCGAAGGGTTTTATTCTATAGGTTCAGGCCAAGTCAGTAGTGTCCTTTTGACGTATGATCTGTAGACTGCAGTGAAGGCTCGAAAAGGGTAATTCGTCCAAAAGGGAAGCATACAGATCCAGGAAGCGAACTGCAATTATTCAGGTCAGCAAACAGCATCCTTCAGGGGGCTCGTCGATACTCACGACCACTCATGTTGAAGTCGGTGCCGTGCAACGGGCTTCCAAAGGCGGGGACTCAAATGGGGGGGGCGGAGAAGTCTGCGAATTCCACCTTTCAATCAAATCCCCTGGTCAAGCTTTGGGAAAGTTGTTCAGAGCTGACTTCTCCAAACATTCAAACTTTTGGTTCAGGACACATTTCGCTACACGCTAAAACTGCGGCTGCTAACCCGAAATGAATCTCGCTATGTGGATATATCAAATATCCCCTTTTGGAACAATTTTTCAATATCAACGCCTCAATGCCTCGGCATCCCCTTCGTACCACAGAATTTCATTTTACAATCATCATGTGGTCTCAGACCGTTCAATTGCTATCTAAGCCTCGTCCTGCTCACTTCATACCATTCCTACATCTCCCTCCTTGACACCACACCCACCACAACCCGCACCAATCTCACCACCAGAACACAATCCCAACATGCCCTTCAATACAGAGCTCACGCGCCGCCTCGGCATCAAAGTCCCCATAGTCCAAGGCGGCATGCAATGGGTCGGCACCGCGCCCCTCGCCTCCGCCGTCTCCAACGCCGGCGCCCTGGGCATCCTAACCGCGCTTACACAACCCACGCCCTCCGCCCTACGCTCCGAGATCCAAAAAACCCGCTCCTTAACCACTTCCCCCTTCGGCGTAAACCTCACCCTCCTTCCCGCGCTCCAACCTCCGGACTACCCGGCCTACGCCAACGTGATTCTCTCCGAGGGCATCAAGATCGTCGAAACAGCAGGCAACAACCCGGGGTCAATAATCAAGCAATTGAAAGCAGGCGATCCATCGATCATAATCCTGCACAAATGCACGACAATCCGCCACGCCAAAGCGGCGATAAAGCTCGGCGTGGATTTCCTCTCCATCGACGGCTTCGAATGCGCCGGCCACGTCGGCGAAAGCGACATCACGAACTTCATCCTGCTATCCCGCGCGCGACAATCCATCACCGTCCCATTCATTGCTTCGGGAGGGTTTGCGGACGGACAGGGATTAGCGGCTGCGCTGGCATTGGGCGCCGAGGGCATTAATATGGGAACGAGGTTCATGTGTACGATTGAGGCGCCGATTCATGAGAATGTGAAAAGGGCGATTGTGGGTGCGGAAGAGGGGGATACGGAGCTTGTGATGCGGAGATGGAGGAATACGACGAGGTTGTTTTCGAATGGGATGGCGAGGGAGGCGAGGAGGGTAGAGGGGGAGAGCAAGGAGGGGAAGTTTGAGGAGATTGCCGGGTTTGTGAGTGGGAAGAAGGGGAGGGAGGTTTTTGTGGGGGGCGATACCGAGTTTGGGGTGTGGACGGCTGGGCAGGTTGTTGGGCTCATTCATGATGTACCGAGTTGTGGGGAGTTGGTAGGGAGGATTGAGAGGGAGGCGGAGGAGAGGATTGAGCGGTTGGGGAGGTTGAGGGTTGAGACGAAAGGGGAGGGAGTTGTGGAGAGTCACATGAATAATCCAACGGCGGAGGTTTGGGGGTTGGAAAGCCGAAATTATGAATTGCTGTCTATGTATGACATAATGCTGAGATGGACCATAATCATCATCACTAGCTAAAGAAATTGCTTTTGAAAACATTGGAAAATTCTCGACCTCTATGCCAATCCTCTATCCTCCCAAAAGATCCCTCAGGGCCACATATATAAGACCCGTCCTTCTGACCAATGTGCAGACTCTTCTGCGTGATACCTTGCCTGTCTCTCATCCACTCCTCACCGCCTCGGAGGAGGTGGGGTAGTACATGTTTCCCTGATATCAGTGTGAATACAAACCATGAAAGTGTAGCTCGAATCTGTATCAAGCTAGGCCAGCTGGCCGATACAAAATAAGCGGGAAGATGATCGCCTAGACAGCTCGATCTGATTGCCGAAGATCGTTCTGTGTTTAGTCCATCATCTACCGCATTGTATAATTTAGCGATTTCCGTTATCTCGACCTTATTCATATTCGGTAGCGAAATCCAAATCCAGATCGACATCGAAGTCGTAGTCGGATGGCCAACTACCATAATCGTCGTCGTCAGCTTTTGTAGAATGAGCTTCTTCATTGTGTCCCTCCACGTCATCCAATAAAGAATCCATGTCTTCACGTCCTCTTCGGGCGGCAACCACTTTGCCACTCACTTTCAACCCGGACGCAATGTCATTGACGGTAGTGCGATATGTACCGATTCCCTTGGAACGAGCTTTGATCTCCGCAAGCTCAAGGCCTGCTATATGCCAGATCATATTTGTTTGGTGAAATCTCTTGAAAGCGATTAGAGCTTTCAAATAGGGCCAATCTAAGGACTGGCCGCGTGCATGTTCTCTGGCCCAATTTTGAATTGTGGGAGAGAATGAGATGATAGAGTCGGGTGGAATGGGAGCTATGTCACAGAACATTTGTCGGCATGATATCACTGCGGCTCTAAACCTCTCTCCCGTGTCCTCTGCGGGGGCGCCGAGTTTTTGTTTGTCAGAGTCCTTTAGTCTTGTATTTCTTTTCCACGTATCCATGATAAGCTCTAGTTCATTACCCACGTGTCTCAAAGTGTCGGAAAAGCCTGCCTCATCTTTGCTATCCTCGATCCTTTCCTCGTACGCGGCCAAGAGGTCCTGATCGCGTGTATGTGCGTTACTGAACTTTTGGTCGAACGTCTTCAGAGCATCTTCACTTGCCTTTCTCGCTACTGTAAACATTAGGTGGTCTATAAAGTGCTTGTTAGAATTTGCAGGATCGAGACTTTTGTATGCTGGCCTCTTGAGAGTCTTTTTCAGACCTTTGGATTTCAGATACTGTGACCATTTTGCCTCGGAGAAAATGAAACCGCCTTTACCGCTATCAACTAACAAACCAAGCAAGTTGGCAATTTCGATAGCTTCTGGACTATTGATGCATTTTCTTTGATAGCATAGGCTCTGATGGTAGTTGGAGCAAGTCCCCAGTAGACTAGGCTGAAGATTGAATTCGAATCCGTGCGTGATGAAGTTCGTGGTAAATTGCTGTCTATTATCCAAAAAGTCTGCCACCGATTTGGAATCCTTTTCAATACCAAATACCTCTAGCGGGGTGGGTGCCGGAACTTCGGCGTTGTGGAAAGGCTCAACGAGTCTGGAGTCCCAGCAAATCCAGCACTTGTCACCGTCGTAGTCCCCACCCGACAGTTTGCTGGCCAAGGAGGTTTCTCCTTTCGAGGAGAAGACAATGACGTCGCGACAAGATCGCAACTCAGGCTTGAAAACAGCATGTACCTTTTGAACGTCAGATGGCAAGTACGCCGGAGACCGAGAAACCAAGACGTCCAGGTCATCAAGGTCGTTAAGGCCTGATTTTGCGTTGGGGAAAGGGCTTGAAAAACAGAGATGGATCTCGTTCTCCTCTAGTACTGCCAACGGATCGGCTATAATGTATGCATACGTGGATGACGGAACCTCTATTTTCATTCTCTGCTCTAATTGGAGACGGTATCTTCTGATAGCATCGAACAATTGGTCCCTAAGGTAACGGCATTCTTTAGGGTCAAACCCGTGATCGATGAACCAATTGATAATCTCTGAAGGAGAGACCGGCAAGCCACCAAGGAAGGCGAGGGCGTCAGCGGCTGTGTTGTCCACACTTGCGCGACTATGCTGTTGGTTCCAATATTTGACAGAGAGAGGTGAGTCCATAGAGGCTTGAAGCTCGCCGACAGCTGTGGAAAGATCTGCTTCGAGCATATCTTCGAGTATGCGTACAGCAACACCTCGATCTTGAAGTATGAGCATGAGAGAGATGCTTAGACTACTAGGCCGGAGAGGCTTTACGAATTCGTTAATTTCAAAAGTGAACTTAGCCCGTGGTCTGCTGAAAATGTCTTTCGGGTTGATGCCGAATTTCGACTGTGATTCCGTGACTTCGATCCACTTCTCGTCCTTGCGGCTTGGATCGAGATCGACCATCCACATTCCTTTTGCGCTGCCAAACCGACCTTGGAATGCAGCAGGAGTGTAGTCAAGACCAAGATACTCAACAACGTCGCTAGCAGCTCCTTTGGACAGCCTTGCACATCCGTCATTCATTGAAGGAGCGTTACTAAGTGGCGGTGCTTTGGACGTCTTGGAGCGATCATTCGTCAGCCTTCGAGGCTCTGGATTGTCAGCGCGAGTATCGTATTCCGAATAGATTTGATTTGGACTGAGTTCAATTGTTGGGGTGGTCTTGCTCACAGCCAATTGAAGCCGTGAAAATAGCTTCAGCGCTGCATGATCGCGATTCGTTTTAGCGTGCATGAACCAGTCCAGCAATTTCTCCACCGACAACATTTCATGATTAGGCAACCGAGGATCCAGCTCACCATTGAGTGGGCCGGTTCTGAAGCCCTGTCCATCCTCAGCAAACATATATATCTTAAAGCGATCGTCCGAGAAGCTTTGTAGCCCCTTTTTCTTGCTTGCTGCGCCATCTTCTTTTGGGAAGAAAGCGCGCCAGGTTCGCCCAAGAAGCCTATGTTTAGTCTCCACCAACCACTGAATGAGAGCGCTCTTAGAAGTTTCCGCGTCTTTGCTAAGCTCTTCAGGCAGGCTCGCACGCATGAATCCTGGAAAGCTTACAGTACAGAAGCGCCCACTACCAAATTCTCTCACAACTCGACATGAGGGTTCCATCCTAAAGGCATTCAGCTTGAAGGACAGCAGCGGACCCTTGATATCTTTGTTGAATCTCAATTTTCCGCTAAGAGCCAAGCGGTCAGATTGTTGTCCCGCCGCCTCCCACGCAAGGAGACTGGATTTTTCAGGCATACTGGCTCCCTGGGCTTTGACTACCTTGGCCATTAAGGCCCAGAAAATCGGGTAGTCTGAGATCTCTTTCTGTAAATCGGGACCAAATGCATGAAGATCGACTTTACTCCTTTGGCACACTCTGAGTAACTCATAAGTCTGGCGAAATGGAAGGGATGCAAATTTTCTTGGTAATGATTCCCCTTACTGCTGTTAGCCTTGCTATCGACTGAAAGCCATCGTTAAATGACGAAGCCTACCGAACGGAGGATGGTTGTGAAGGCGGGAAAGGATTGTTTCTTTTAGGCCACTGGGTTTAGGAGGCGAAGCAGCTGTATTGGACGAAACGTCCCTTATGTCGACATCTGTGAGACTTGACGTAGCCTCTATTGTATTTAGTTGCCGACTAGATTGTTTTACTGCCTGAATAGTCATGTCACTATCACCCCCAGGCGAAAAGTCGAATGACGATCTTTTCGAGTCGTTAGAGTATACTGTGGAGAAAGAAGTCTGAGGTGAGGTGAATGTCGAGGCCAGGTTGCTGGGTGTTGTCTCCGAGGAAGCAGCTGATATATCGCTTTTAAAGGAAACCAGGGGGCTTTGATCATCGACCGTCTCGACCGCCTCGCTTATGTAGTGCTGATTTCTACTTGTAGAACGGCGCTTGTTTGAGTCTTGAGGGGCATCTTGACTCTTTGGCAGTGGTTCAAAGCGTCTTTTCCTTCCATCCGGCGGGAGCATCGACCCATTATTTCCTGTGTCTGAAGTACTATTGCCGGACCGAATTGCCTTCAACGGAGAAGTAGGAGGAGTCTGGAATGCCTCTGTGTGAGCATTGTCTTCAGATTCGTGCGATATAATTTTGTTGGCTGGACCTGAAGCGACGACTTTAGTAACGTCGAGATTCACGAAATCGGACTCGTCAGCCGGATACTCGTCACTTGATGAGGTAGGCGGATTCGGCGCGCTTTTTGAACGAGACCACAACGTGATGGAAGTCTGGCGTAATCCAGGAGCGGGTTTTCCAGCATTGGCTTAAAATGTCAGCTCAGGTTGCCTGCATTCTCGAGGTCAAACTTACGCTTCGCCTTTTTAATGGGATCCTTGTTCCCACTTTCCTCTATTGATGGCATGATAGTCGGGACTGTTATGTAGGACGCTCCCCTTTTAAGTTTGTCGGCGACTTCGTTCAGCTTCTGTAGCAAGCATTGCTTCAGAGTTTGGTTGTTGTCATCTGTGAGTTCATTTCGTCGTTTCAAAAACTCGCGGTTGACGCTGCTATCTTTCGAGCTTCGAGTAGGGATTACATCAGCCTCTGCTCTTGGCTTGAAGACCCAATCCGCAACAATGGCTGGAGCATGTCGCTCGAATTGAGCCAAGGCATAGTCCAGTGCGGCTGCTTCATTGCCCTTCCTCCAGAAGAGATATTGAATACACCCATGTATCTTATCATCAAGAGATGTAGGATCCCTCTTGGATGGACTCCACGAATTGTCACGGGCCGCAAATCGCATTCCCCATCTTGCAGATAAGGATTGCTTCAATCTCGTGATGCCGTCATCCTCCTTGAGCGGAGTTTTGATTTGCTGCATGTGCGCTCAACATAGGATAACGCAGCTAGTCCTGCAGAGCAAGGGCAGGCTCTTGCCATTCGAAGGCGTCAATGTGATACGTAGAAAAGTGAGAACCAAATGATCGTTTGGGGTTGGGAGGTAGCCTTGCGATATATAGCTTCAAGAAGAATTAACAGTGTTGCAGCACATCTAGGAAAGGACGCTGAGGGCCAATTGACGTCTGACCATATCTCTTGAGCTTCTGCAATGCCCCGATGGGCAAGCAGATAGTCACCAGGCTTGCATAGTGCTGATAAGGAGGTTTGCGACTCGTCACATTTTGGAAGAGCCAAGCAAACAACCCAGCTGTTCTCACCCGCGTCATTTCGGCACGGACCGTTGACTGTCAGTCCCACACGGGCGAGGGGGCCCTGAACCGCTGAGGAGAGCACCCTTCCATCTGATAGCGAGGTTTGCGTACGTGGAGACCAGTCTGATTGTTGGAGTAAGGTCTCATTGAGAATTGTCTGCGTCTCGGCTAGGCTAATGCATGTATGCCTCAGGCAGAATATGTTCAGCGTCTTTTAGAACCCTTTCGCCAATTTCGCCGCGCTAAGAATGCAGATTCAATGATAAAGCGCAAGTAGACTATAGCAAACACGCAGTTCCAAGAGCTGATACCACCGCATCTACCACTTCTTCGCCTCCATTCCATCAGGTGGAGTCGTCTCCACCTTTCCTTTACTCACTTCACCCCAATTCGTGCTCAGGGCAGTCCCATTGCTTTCCTGATAGCTCTTCATCATTGCACGCCTGGTGTCATCACTCGCACCTTTGTATAGAGTCTTGAAAAAGCCATTCACAGGATCACCCTCTTCGTCATCAATTCCACCATCATCGTGTCCATCCTCATCATCCTTCTTTGGCTTTTTTGTGAGGTCACTTGCAACTTTGTCCCAATCCTTTGGCCCGGACTTCGAGGAAGTCGGATACGCAGGCGCTGGCGCTGGTAAATGAGGGTGGCGCGATAGGACAGCTCGTTTGAGGCCATCTTCTACTGGATCTGGCTCTGTCGTCGGCTCGTCTGTATGAATACCCTCGAGGTTGGCCCATTTGCGTCCCGTCTCTTCTTTCATTAGCGTGAATTCAGCTTTAGTTGTCATGATCTTGTGTGTAGATTTCGAAGGGTCGATGGTGGAAAACAAAGGATCGATAGAGAGGTTGTAGTCGGAACCATTTGGTAAGGGAAATGATATATCGAGCGACGAGGACTTGATGTCGACTACAGCTTTATCTTTTGGAATGCCTTTCGCAAAGAGGCTGACGATGACTGCGTCATTCGATTGATACCATTCATGACGGATTTTATTGGGCGGTGTCTGCACTCCACCATTTTGTGAAGTATAAGTGTTTGCGGGCGTGCCAGTAGAAGCTGCGTTGGAATTTGATTGAGAGCTCGATGCCTCATTTGAATTCGTCCCAGGCTTTTGAGACTGCACAGTTGGTATTTCCACATCCGGAAACTCTGTGACAGAAGGTTTTTTTCGGTCATCGTCTTCTGGCAGCCCTTTCAGCTTTCCAGCTACCTTCATTTCCCATATGGCAGCGCTCTTCTCTTTCATATCTAGTTTCCTGACCCACTCCAAGCACTCTCCTGAATCAGCCCATCGCTCCAGCCCAAACAGGGCGATTGCACGCCGGAGCTGTGCTTGAGCAATGAGTTCTCGCTTTGCACGCTTTTTGGCGAGAATAACCGCTAATTCAGCATCCTTAAGTGAGCTTGAGTGATCTGAAGGAGATATGCGGGTGTACGCTATAGATCTTTTTATGTAATAGTCAACGGCAGTCGGATTTTGCTTCAGGGCGTCGGAGTAGTGAGAAACGGCGGCGGTGAAGTCACCGTTTGCCAGTGCATCGGAGCCACGCTTCGCTTGATCCATGATCAGAGATTTGCAGGATCAGAATTGAAGTCTGCGTTGCCCATGTCTTAAATATTTGTGGGACGGTGTCACGGGCATATTGAAAGCTTCTCAGTTGTTGTAGGTCTAGGCTGAAGCTCCACGCTTATCCCCGCTTATCGCCGGGGGGTATGTGTCGAAGTCACGTATTTTTCAAATTGTTTGCTTATGCTTGAGAGCCCCTTCGCGGAATCCCAGAGATGCTTGAGTCTAAGACCAAACAAACAGGCATTTATTGAAGCGTTTTGCTCCGCAATGAGCCCGCTATGGGTAATACCGACTCTAAGCAAGCCCTTAAGCAAGGCATCTTCCGGCTCTCATCTAGCGACCCGATAGCAGCCAATGACCCATATTGGAGAGGTTTCTACGACTTCCCGGTCTCAGCTGATGATATCTTCTCGCTATTCACCATTACCGATATCCGAAGGGCCCGCGATGCCTCCTTGAAGAACGTAGAGACCCTGCTTCTCAGTCTTACCACCCGCCTCTTCTTGCTCAAGCAGCACAGGAACTTTCCCAATTCCGACGTCGCTCCAGAAAAACATGCTCTCAATTGCATTCGAGTCTTGACTAGAATACTGCCTTTCATCTACGAAGATGAGAAACTTGAAGTATGGGAGGATGCTATTTTCTGGGAGAAAAGAAGACGGAGGAAGACGGATAGTCAGAGTGAGGTTTTGTTCCAGGACCCAACCCAAGAGAAGAATGAGGAAACTGAAGTCGAAGACTACGAGGACATTAGACCGCTGGGAGAAGAGTTGATAGATACCTTGATAGATCTTCTCTTCTTTGTTGGTTTCACGGTGCCTACGACCGATCGGTCCAGGAACAAAGTCACGTATGCTATCTGGCAGCCGGGAATAGGATGCACGACCGCCATGAACGCATCAAAGGAAATGGAAAGCAATCGTACCGAAGTCATGAGACTGCTACTCACCTTGACAAGCAAATCTTTATACCAACCTCCACACGTGCTACCCACCAAGGGCGTCAGGGCGCTGACATATCTCGCAGCATGTCCAGACAAGCAGATAGTTCTATCGCTGTTGTGCTCGCAACTCAATACAGTTCTCAACTACAATGCGGCAAGCTGGAGAGTTCCGTATGATCATGTAGTGTACAAAGACCCCAAACAGCTCCTGGTTACTTACTCCCTCGAAATCTTGCTTACAATCATCGTGTATCCGTTGCCCGAGAACAGTAAAGGCATCGTTCCCAAGAATTATTTTCGCCATTTCCTTGGCAGGCTACATAGGTTGCAAGACTTTGAATTCATCGCTGATGGTATAGCAAGGGCCTTAAACCAGCCAGTGAGATTATTGCATATTCTCCGGGCGACAGGCTTTGCTGATACACTGTTAGTTGCAAGTCACCGCGTCCTATCTTCCAGGAAGCCAAAAGCCGTTGAGTTGGGCTCCTGAAATGATTATGCTTTTTTGGGAGACGCTACAATGTAACAAACGATTTCGCTCTTTTATCATCGACGGCAAACGACACGAGTACATGATCTTGATGTTATTTTACGCATTTGAATATAGATTTGATGCAGCGAAGCAAGGCGTTGTGCGTATGTGTGCTTTTGTCCTCCAGACTTTGAGCACCGAAGTCAACTTTGCAAAGCTCCTTAATGAGGAGCTTGAGGGGCAAGATTCATTGCCACCCATCATAAGAGTACCGGACTTTCAAGACTCTTATGCAGACTTTCTCATCATTGTAAGGGATTGGATCGAACTACAATAGCCCGAGGCTGACTTGACAGTCGATACACAACCTAATAACATCAAGTAAAGGAAACTTCGATGCAATATACCCCTCGCTACTTGCGACCATCAACAACGTCGCCCCATACATCGAACGTCTCTCACCTCAGGCGTGCTCGAAGCTGTTACAGCTTTACTCGTCCATGTCCTCGCCAAGCTTTCTGCTCGCTAACGAGACGAATCATACTCTCCTCACATCGTTGCTTGATTCTTTAAATGCCATTCTAGAGCATCAGTATAGTAGTAGGCCAACTTCATATCCTCTTGAATGCGTCGGTAGCTTATGGACTGCCCAGATAATCGTGTATTGACTCAAGGCATCTTCAAGTATAGGAAGAAGTTTGAGGCGTTGCGCACTTTCACGTTGGAGAGCGGGCAGGAAGAAATAGAAAGATTGGAGCAACGAAAGAAGGAAGCAGCTGCCTTGTCACAACCTACAAGCCCTACACGCCACTCGCGAAACAGTTCAGTCGATAGCTTGCGAAGTCCGCCTGCAGCTCGTTCCCCTGCTCTGAGTGACGTCCCAGAAAATGGAGCCTTTGCGATTGGGGACGACGAGGACTCGGACAATGAGACGCATACCACGCCGCCGACGCCACCACAGTCATCACCATCACCTCACACATCTCGGACAACTTCCATTTCTTCAACTGGGGAGCCGCTACCAGCTCAATTGCGCGGCATGTCTGAAAAAGCTCGCGGAAAGATGCCAGCAGGTCAGCCATCCTTCTCTCGTCAGAACAGCTCAACATCCATTTCCTCCTACCAACTGAACCCAACTACCCCGACGACTCCTGGCATATTTGCGCCCACGCCTTCGTGGATCGATACATGGCTGCCAACATTGCCTTTGCACACAATACTTACTCTTCTGTCCTATCCCTCACCTCCTAAAGAATTGCCGTCGACCATCGATCAAATACCACCTCGAACGCACTTCTTCGAATGGACGCCACTCTCTCTAGGCTGGTATGAGAGCCTTCTGTGGGGCTTCATCTTCCAAGCTGAGATGGTTGTGCAAAATGGCACAGTTGGAGTATGGAATGGAAGTGGGATTAGATTATTCAAAGTACAACAAGAGGCTGCCAGAGGGCCTAGTCTGATGAAGCCGATGGGAGCAGTGGACGCGGTGGGTACCCGCCTTGTCAGTGGTATTGGAAACCTGAGGTTGAGGGGAGGAGGGGCAGGCGGCGGGAGTGTCACAGGCAACGCCGAGGAGGATCGGAGACACTCGAGGTCTGGTACCAGGGACGTTTGACGTGTACTTATGGAAAGAAATCCGTGACGAATATGAACGGCTCCTGACATCGATTCCACGCACAAGGACGACCCCCTTCTGCTGCTCACCATGTCTCCCGAAAGACTTGACTGTTGGTTACCTAGCTCTGTGAGAGACCTATTGACACAGCCATAGCATTACTTAGAAATTCACTAAACCTTGGCGAGGCATCCCCCAATCGCTAACTCATTAAACCAGATTCCCGCTTGGGCTCCACTGGCCACGTCCTTCCACATATCTTCCGACTCCTATGCTTAGGTGAGGCTTCTTTTAAGCCATCTTCTACACCACTGATGCCCCTAGTGTTGCAACGGGACGGACCAGCCGTGCAGTAGCGTCAGGGGCTGATTCTCCGATTGTTTTGAAGGGGCTGCAATAGTCCTCGAACCATGACACCCTCACGTTCGACCCCGCACGCTCGAAATGACAGAACGTCAGACCTATCTGCTTGAACCAAGAATCAGAGATGACAGAATGATCATGATAACATAAATAGACAGCAGCCCCCAATGCTCAGGACAACGTCTAGCATAGTTGTCACTGGAGCTGTTTCTACAGGGTCAAGGTGATAAGGTCTAGATCCTAGATCCAATTGTCGGAGCTTTTCAGACTGTGACAGCACGGACGAGATAGGCAAGACGGGAGGCGAACCATCCTTAAATATGCCTGTTGCAGCAGGAAATGCTGGAGGATGTACGAATGCTGGCTGAAGGTGAAACGAAGCATCTGGTAGGCCGGACCCGCACCAATCAGGCCACTGCCAGGCCTCAAAGATCAAGTCGGACCCCACAACCGCACCATGGACTTCTCACAAGATACATCGCAGGTGTGTACCATGTTAAGACCTACCGCTCACAAAGTCTAGATACGAGCATCAGCGCTTCGAGGCTCTTCGGCCATGGAAACTTACGTGCTCCCCTCGGCGGGGGAACCGATGGACCGAGACCATGCAAGCCATACATAATACCGATCCCGCCCTCTTCATTGTACCTTCTGCAAGTCAGGAGGTCGCAAGTGGCTGAGTGCCACTGCTGCTTATGTATATCGCACGTTACGATTGGTGGAGGATGCCAGTCTGTGATCGAAGATGAGCAAATGAGTCTACCACACCAGCCGGAACATCCTGCTTCATCATGCTTCCAGTCATCAGCTTCGACGAAATTGCTTATGAGACGGCGCATTACCATGAGAGTCGCCAGGTCTCCATAGTCGCAGGCATCTCGATCCTCTATGGAGTCACAGTGATTGTTGTACTTCTTCGTATGATTTCGAGAAGAATACAAGGGCTCAAGCTCGGATGGGATGACTATACCATTGCACTCGGCACGGTAGGTGCATAACGGCCAAAGTATCAAGTATGGCAATGACGTGAAGTCTGTAGATCATCACTGGGTCGATGTGTGGAATAATACTCCAAGGTAAGTTGTCCTCATGTTAGCCCGTAAAGCATCGTTCATTCTTTGCAGCTGTCCGTCTTGGGCTAGGGAAGCACATCTTAGCTGCTGGCAAAACCAAGGCCATCAAGGTCGCGAGGCTGCTCTATGTCTTCGAGGTCGTGTACCCGTCTGGCTGCTCCTTGTCAAAACTAGCGATTCTCTTTCTTTACAACACTTTGTTCGGTACTAAAAGTAATCGAAAATTTGTGATAGCTGTACGGACCCTAGCTGGCCTTTGGATCAGCCTTTCCATCGTTGGGCTTCTATGTACCGCTTTTCAGTGCTGGCCTGTCCGACTGGCATGGGAGTCAAATCACGCAACAGGCTGCTTGAATTTGGAGATTCTGGTCTTCACATTGACGACATACAGCGTTATTCTAAATGTTGCAACGCTTGCGCTACCACTACCGCTAGTGTGGAAATTGAAGCTCTCGCCAAAGAAAAAGCTCGGTGTAGCGCTTCTGTTTGTTCTTGGAGGAGGGTGAGTGATCTCACTCAACAATTTTCAGTGTCCGGCTAAATCTTTTCACTAGTGACGTAGCTATCTGCATCGTACGGACTGTTGTGACACGCAATATCACTACTTCGAAAGTGGACTTCACTTGTATGTAGCAGTTGCACGCATATGAACGTGGCATTAATTCAGGACAGGGTTTCAGGTAGAAAACACAGTACTAGCAGTTACGGAGGTCATGATTGGAATCGTTTGCGCTTGTATACCAACGCTTCGTCCGGTCATCTTGCGAGTCCGGAGCTCATTCAGTCGCCCAAGCAAGCCTTCAGAGCCAGGCGAGAGCGAGTGGACAGTCCCGTTTGTAATGCTATTCTCGAAGAAGAGTCGACCCACAAGCAGTTCGGGACAGACTGCCCTCTTGGGTTCAGGTTGGTACGGTGATGAGAAACCAGAGAAGAATCCGTCACTACCGAAAGATGCTAAAGAGAACATTGAAAAGCATCGTGGTCATGCTGAGGGGGAGCAGGCAATCACCACGCAAAGTCCGACATTAAACTTAAGCGGCAATTGGAAAGGTTCACACAGCGTATCGCCAGTGGTACCCTCAGCTTGCCCCTCTCCACTCATAATACAAAGGAGCCATAAGAGCGTACGATCTTCAATCAAGTCGATGATTGGACGAAATCTAGTCCATTCTGGCTATCCTGACGATGCATACTGCCGGCTCATGGAGCCTCGATCTCGACCTTGCCCTCAAGAGCCACTACCATCATTGCCACCACTGGTGTCACCCGTAGCCACAGACAGAAACATGGCCTTCATGACCCGCATGTCCGGCCTAAGTCTCGACACCAGCCCTGCAATGCTCCAACAAGCCGTCTACGGCGCCTCTCATCCCCCAAGCCCCCGAAGTAAGCAAACAAGCCCCACTCTAATCGGCAACCCCACCTCTGCAGAAACGACAAAATACAAGAACAGCACAATACGAACGCCAACCACGAGCCTCGACACTGCAGTAGAGCGGAGTCCCGATATCCCCTGCGGCCTGCGGCGACCAGGGCAGACACTCCCAACAATACCGAGCTCTGACAATCTGCCACGGAGTAGCCAATTGACCACTTCGCCGACGTCAAGACAGGGCTCGAAAGGGAGGAAAGCCCCCAGATATGTGAGGAGCCCGCTTATGGATCCGGAGAATAAAATTAGGCAGGGGAGTCCGAGGATGGTGGCTATCAAGACGCCTACGAGAGGTCAGAGTCTGAAATCGAGTGCGTCGCTCAGGAATGCAGGGTGGGAAGGTGCGAAGCCGCCGATGCCTGGCGGAGGGGTGGCTGAGAAGCAGGTCAGGTATCACGACGATGTCAAGCGGCCTGTGAGAGCGATGACGAAAATGGTGAATGATAAGCCCCTGCCTGAACCACCACCGTGGTGGGAGGAGGGATAGTGCGAGAGATTGTTGCTGGACGATGATCTTTAGCAATGAAACTGATTATCTTGACGTGTGGCCTAACAAGATTTTGGTCCCACTTGCTTCTTGCCCTACATCGCCTAGACGCAGGAACGCCCACGCCTTAAGTTCCCTATCCCAACCCTGCCATCGCACCCTGGACTCTGCTTCTACCAAGTGAGAACGATGACTTTGTGAGGGTGATGAGATTGCTTCAATGCGAGAGAATTAAGATTTCAATGCCACTAGATATGTACCATATGGTGAATCCACACCGACGTGGCCAATCCCTGAATCTTACATCTCGTCACACCTTATTCACCCCGATTTAGTCTATTTCACATCATCTCTCTTTAAAGATTTCTACACGAGCTAACCCCCTCACACGATAATTTTCGCTTTTTCATATTCGTATCTTTGGCAGCGCAACCTATATATGTACATGTCTCAGGTACATTCGGCCAGGGAGGTATCACTAGCAGCTGAAGCTGCGACAGGACGCCCAATGATTGTTCATGGTCTTCAAACCCCAGTTTCAAGATGTACCTGATAGGGCTTAAAGATGTTTATGTAGGCCTAGAGTTAGTGCCTTGCGGGCAATATCTAGAAATCAAGAAGGGGTATCTTATTCATCCCGAGTCATCAACAAATACGAGGACAGGATACATAGCCATTATGCCATACCTAGGTCATGGGGAAGGGGATTACAGTAGCGTCAGTCTGGAATGACTTCTCTGATGCGTGACTCGATAGCTGTCTACAGTTCTTCGATGTATCGTTTGGAGAATGAAATTACGACTTTCTCCAGGCATTTCGCATGATTCGTTACTTTCTCAGATTGAGGAGCACGAGGAAGAATCTAACAAGAGCCAGCCGGAGTATGAATATGGAACAATGATGTTGTGGCCCACGTTAAATTCAATGTCGATCGCGTGAGTGGCTGGGATGATGTCGGCGGCGGGCTTCAGCTTTCCTAGTCTACTACGAGAAGAGAGAATGCCCGCCGAAACTTCACGGTCTGCCGTTTGATGGTACTCATCGCGTTAGCCTATAACGCAGTAGGCGATTAGGTGAACAAGTAGAGGTACTGTTTCAGTCTCGATGCAGCCAAGACGAAGCCTCCTGGGAGCTTTAAGCAGGAATTGTGGTAGATGCGTCGTTTCTAGAGATGTGGGCTCCCGTTGTTCGTTGTCCACCATCTACCATCTCAATGGTGGTGACGTTTCGATACAGACAGACCGAAAGTGGAGGCTGTAAGCGACACCATCACCCCAGCGTATTTGACCAAGATTGCGTTGAGGATAATGCGGCACATCTGTTCATTAGCGTCCTGAAGGGATATATGTTGACAAAGCGGTCACCGTAAGTTGCAGCCAGCATAAATGGGTCGATGTGCCCTGTCACTTCGACGAGTGCCAACTCCTTTTGAAGCTGTGCTACCATTGACTTCATTGCACCAGCGATGTTGGCTGGCTTGGTCATCTTAGAGGCACCAGCAAAGACGGGTATTGCGCGATAGGTCCCACCTAAGCCTGCTGCAGAGACGAAGCCCATGACAGCCAGACAGATAGCATCTATCTCCACGAATCTTGCTGAAAGTGCGGGGAATTGGAGAATGCCGATGGTTGCCTTTCTCAAAAGCAATTCCAGTGATAGTATACGTGGGATTCCTCATTCTTCAGCTCGTGATTGCAATGGACGTGGTCTCGAGTAGTGCAGTCTTCGATCCAAAGTTCATTATCGTCTTTCTGACTTTGCCAACATCATACCATCCACAAGTAGTGGCAAATTCCAGGCCAGTCACAAGCGGATTCAACACAATATAAATTCATCTTATTGTGAGTTTTGGGATCGAAAAGTTCCGGCAGGAAAAATGGGCATTCTTGCAACCCAGAATTTCGTGGAAAATCAGTTGACTTATTAAGGACGTGACACGCAGCTCGCTGTGGAGAACTATTCACCGTTACCATCGTGATTTCCATCGTTGGCCTCAGGAATGATACAAAATCTGGGCCATAGTAACTTCAGCACGTTGCCTATCTTGTCACCCAAATCTATCTCGTGAACCAGTGCTTCCGGAATTTTGATCTCGACGCTTATCAATGACATGTTATACCTGCACCAAATGTCTATGTCGATTGGTTGTAAGTATGAAAGTAAATCTGCTTTTTGATTTCTGAAGTCAGGTAAGAACTAGACGGATTTGAAGCTTGTGGTGATATCTATAGATATGTATAATTGCACTGTGTTTTAGTGATTATTCAAGCGGTATAGAAGAATGAGGAGCTTGATGGGCCTTTGTTGCCCTTTACAAATTGCAGAAAAAGTTGAGATGGTCAAATTGAAGGTAAGAATAAGTTCTAGCAAGACTTGAGGATTTTTTCTGATCTGTACTATGGGAGGCACTGTGTAATACCGATGGCATAGACACTGCGCCATGGTAATAGAAGAAGGGGACGTGACCTGACTGCGAGCTGGTATCATGTTGATCGCTGAAAATTTCAGATGTCGTGGGGGTTCGTAAACTCCAGATTACTAATTAGTACAGCGTCTTTTGGGATGCTCCAATCAGACACGACTCCAGTGCTATTTTGCAGCGTTTCTGATTTGAGGATCTTACTGTCCTTGTGAAAACGCTCTGCTTTCGACATCAGGTTGACCAAATACGCAGTATATTGCAGTATATCGTACGCCTCGTGATGACGACTTTCGAAAGCCTCATGGGCTGACTGAGTGTGCAGTAAGAGCTGTTTTTATTTCTATCCAACGAGATGTCGAGCAAAGCGCTTCACGATGTATTAGCTCAGTGGTGAATACACTCATTCAAAGTACTTTGGTAGTCTTTGGTCGCTTATAGATGCTCTTTCTTTTGGCCTAGCCTGCTCTTTGAGCTCATGTGTAGATAAGGGCACTGAATGCCTTCGTGTATTCACCTTCTCGATAGCTTTCGTAGCATCCACGTTCACTACTCATTGGCTTGGGTTATGCTTGGAGAAGGTGCTATGAAGACTTCGAAGGTGAGTACGGCTTTACTTCCTTGCGTGAGTCACGGGCCTTCCAATTTATCCCGTATGTGCTCCCAAAGTCGTGTCCAGATCTCTTCCTACGAGGAATTTTCCTGCTAGTCCTGCTTCTTCAGGCTGACGGGGGCTCTAAGTCAGATCTGCGTCGATTTAGCTTGTCATCATTCAAGACCATGCTTAGTCGGCTTTGCTCTCCTTTGCAGGCCGACCTAAAATACTTTCGGAACGTAGCCACCTGGAGTTTCTCGGCTGTTATAATCTTCAATCTTTTGCGAAAGTCCTAGAACATAGATATCCGAACACCTCATCTAAACTTGCGGTAGGGCTCAGACAGGTCGCCGTCCCGGACTCCAAGCATGTAGGCTCTCTCCCTTAACGAAATATGGTGATGGCTTTGACGATTTTGTACTCGTCTTTACTCCGCAGGAGCTTTTGTTTATAAGTTTGTAGGGCTCCTCAACAGAGACAAGGTTGAATACCCATTGCTTTTCACAACAGGGTAGAAACGGCTCGATCATAGGCACAATGAATTGGAAATGCGTCCTTCTTCGGCTTTGGTTTATCTTCATAGTAGGAGTCGCCTACGCAATTCCAGATCTTTATCACCTCCGCCATTATGTCCACCTTTGGCTTTTTGATGCTCATCTGAGATATCGGCTGAGTTGAAGAGCCTGCTGGTCATCGAGTGTCCACCGTGAGTCTATATATTTGAGTATCTTTTCTACCCTCAATCCTCAGGCCAGCATTAAAACCTTTCGCTGAGACTTTGCCAGAGTCAAGAGTTATGACCGACAGGCTCGAGCTCTATCAAATCTGGGTTGGGCCTATTCATATTCGTAGATAGACGAACTTTAAAAGTTATTCATACCTCGCCAAACGTGTTCGTATCTGTCGGGCCCACTGGTTGACACAAATTCTGGTATTCACAACTAGATTGAAAGATCCAGGTCTCGGATCTGGATCGAAGATGCAAGCTATGACAGCTTGTATTGTTTTAGGACTTACTGACCGAGAGCAGAAGTCCTGAATTCAAGAGCGTTGGGGTCCAGACACCAACGCATTGTGAATTACTGCAGCAATTTAGGCACAAGGTCGTTCTCTGAACGCCAAAATGTTTGCGTTCTTTTTGAGTAATATCGCCAAATTGAAAATGTATTCAGCACTGTTCAGGAAAGTCCTTCGAAGAGGCGGTATGAAAGCTCATCGGGTATCTTTGGTCGTAATCAAGGCCTTTGTAAATGAAGGCGTGGCGTTTATGTTACTGTGACCGAAATAACAATTGACTTCGGGATCGAGAGGGCCAATGGCCTCAGATTTCGGCCAAGCTTCCTGAGGGACGATTTCCAGAAGACAACAGATCTGTTTTTAGTTCCTTACACCAAGCTGAACGATCTCGGATTTTCTCATGCATAAATCCAGTCTGCTCAAGAGCCTTCGGGCACATCCTAATCAGTATTCTGTCTGATGCTCTCTGATTCTATACCCACGTGCTTAAACAAATGGTATTGAATCATATCGCCCAAGTCATCACAGATAGTGGGAGCTTGACTGAGTCTTTGATAAATGTGAGAAAGATAATGTGCAGTAGCTCTTCAAACGTCAATGAATAGTGTGAATAGATATATACGACGAGAAAGTTCCAAGCATCTGGCAAGAGACTGTCTGCTTCAGAATAATCAGCTTTCAATACTCTCATTTTAAAAACACTCTGAATTTCTTAGTTGACTCGCTATAGCCGTCAGCAGCTCCTGCAGTCAGAAAGACCCTCAACTCTCGTTACCACCTCTAGATCCGTATGCAAATTTGCACCAAAGCAGACAACGAGCACAACATGTAGAAAATTGAAATTTCATCAGGTCCAAGACCTATGAATGGAAGTTATAGAATAGAAAGATCGCTCTCAAATATAAATAGTGATGCAATGGGTGTGTTAAAGAGCGTACTTCACAGTAGGGCATCGAACACGTTGAGAGTCTGACCTCGAATAGGACATAGAACATGATACGCTACATCAAGAAGACCATGTTTCAGGAGATCGTTGTCCAGATACCCTTGGAATCGCATATGAAAGACTTGGCAATAAGTCCCAGGAGCTCCCCTCTGATTTGACAAGCACTTTTCCTGCTATATGCTTAAGAAAAAGCGCAACAGGATTGCCTTCTCAGATGGACCTGGACCCCTTCCGGTAGTAGAATCGGACTCAGTGTGCCACCATACCTTTTATCGCGCAGACCGAAATTATTCCTTGCACATCTTGTAAAATATCCCATTGTCCATGTTGCGCTTGATGTGGGTGAACATCTCCCTTCAGCAGATGTAGATAGGTGCGTCGGTATTGCTTCATTACTTGCCATATTTGTTTCACTCGTTCGACCGGCGGTCTCTTACATCATTCAACACACGCCGTACGGCCTAAAAAGTCCAAACTCCAAACATCAAACGCCATTCCATGCACGCGTTGTTAGGACCAGCCTAACAAGAAGCATATTTCTGACCGCTCTGGTATAGAGTCGAAAGTGGAGGGCCCAAAGCTTAATGTGCCAGCCAATGTCAAGAAGAACATTCGATCTTCCAAGTTGATTTATTATTGCGAGAAATGGTGATCGCGTCGGACGAAACCGCCAGCAGCTGGTAGCGTGAGCTAGAACCCCCTCTACACCCTTTTAAAGTATTTGTGAACACAACGAAAGTTTTTTTGACAATTTGTGTCGAAAGAACATTAGATGGGAATAGCAATTTGAGAAATTGGACCGATCAAGACTTTAATCGCAGCTAGTATCGATCAATGATCTTCACGAGAAAAGAGAGTAGACTTCAGACTTTGTTGTAACGTGCATATGGAAGCTCACCGCTGTCGGAACAGATTGCAGAGGTTACGAGTTGCTTGAGGAATCCACCGATCAAGGTGCTATCCTTGTGCATGGTGCACTGTATGAAAACATGAGCACTCGGGGACTCCCTAAATCAATTCTAGAAGCTCTGAACGCTGACGTAGAATGGTTGATACATATCCGAGTGAGTAAAGACAGCAGGAAATAGGCAAAAGAACTCTTGTTCCAAGAGTCTCTTGGCAGTCGATTCGATGACCGACGTATTGAGCGAGTCCTTTGGCGTCATCAAAGAGTGACAGATGATGTTTTCACTAATTGGTTTGCCAGAATGCTATGTCTTTCCATTATGTTCAGTGCACCCTCATCAGGAACTTTCTGCTAGGCGCATAAAAGTGTTCCAGGGAAACCTTGCAATAGAGCTATCACAGACCATAAATGTAACCTCGAATCGTAGACTCGTCATCCACCTCTCAAGAGCTTCTGACAACGCTAATGGCCACCCACAGGCGCGTGAGTTCAAAGCTGACTAACGGTATTCTGCATCGTCACCGATCTTGTGTGCCTGTAAAAGACGTTATCAAATCTACTTGTGTCAAGATCGTCACGAGCGACTTGGAAACTTCGGTTTGTTGAACCAGTCCACGACTGATAGCTATCTTTTGAACAAACGATCTTGTATGTGGTACGAGCCATTTTCATTGAAGCAGATAGTTATAATGTAGCCACCCGCAATAATCTCGTCTGTGTCCTGAAGAGTAGTACGAGGTACAGAGTGTCTTATCCTTCTCGACCAGAAGAGTGGGCTCGGTCTCTGATTATGCTTGTCGACAGAGATCTTGCACTGGAGCAATTGGAGCCCCCTCCAGGTTCTGATGCTGAAAGACATCTTCTAAAGACGCATTAGAGTGCTGGCCGTCGTAGTATATATTGTTAATTGAGACTTTTGTCGTTGTGAATGGAATGCCTTCCTTCGGAGCGGAGCCCATATGACGAAATTAGATTAGCAGTAATTTGACTCACAATGTGTAGAGGGGAAGGTGGAATTGGAGGCTTGTCCTCTGCAACACCCAACCAGCCAGAGGTATCGTCATCGAGATCTTCTTCAATTAGGACACCCTTGACTTCTGCAGGGTCAGGCGATACCTTGTTAAGGGGCGCTCTAGATGCGAAGGCTAGACGCATGTTGAGGTTAGAGGCTGGATCAACGTGGGCTGCGAACTGCCTCTTCCATTCGCTGAGTAACCCTGGTGGAGCGATGACCAATGTAGGGATATCCCTGACTTTCATTTGTCTAGTTTGTCCAGTCCTAACACAGAAGCATTGGATATGTAGGTCGTTCTCGCGTAAGCATGCGCCTGTGCTATCCTGTTGACGATGTATAGGTGTTTGCTCTGCGCTCAACTTAGCGCTCGATTGCTCGAAACATTCTCGCTAGAGAAGGAGGATCTGACGACGGAGACAGATAATAGCATAATCAATAATAGTCTAACATGTAATTAGCTAATGCGAAGCTATAGCAAATCAACCGTACCTTGCCTAGGCCCATGAGATAGCCTACGATCAGCCCAAGTATTTCCTAACCGACCCCTTCCACGATCCATTGAACAGGTATTTCTCAGAAGAGAGCATTAGTATGCTAATAATGAATGGGGCAATTGTCTCAGGTCAAATTCGGGCAGCCCTTTCTGAAAGCCTCTCGGCCGCTCCTCCCGCTTCCACGGCCCAATCGGGGGGTTGATGGTGGTGATGGTGGTTGATTGATACTGGAGTCACCCAGCACCACGCGGATCGTACACTGACAGCAAGACTATGTTACTATTGGCCTTTTTGTAATGCAGGAAATGGTCTATAGACCCTTGTTCTTGCCATATTTGTCGGGGGAGTACGGTTGTTGATGCACTGAGACTTCGTGTGATGAAACCCACCTCTCTGAGGGGATCAGGCTGCAAGGGCTGCCGATCACAACCTTCGGTGTCGCAGCGAAGACCTTCCAAGACTGGAGATCATGCAGTGGTTTATCCAGCATATTCGTCCATCGTCTTCAGTAAAAGCAAAATATTTCGAAGCATGCCGATATTGGACGATTCAAAGTGGCATCCTTGGCTTTTGCTCTTTGGCTCGACATCGTCAGTGACGTAGAGTAGAGCTTCAACTTTACTCACTCTGTCAACTCCAAAGCCTGAATCATGCATAAAGACAGCGACCACTGCCTTTCTCTCCTCCGAAGATTGTCGCCCACCTGGATTGGTCTCACTTAGGCATGGGTTCTTCGTGTTCGCTATGCCTATCAATGATGGCTTTGAGTTCGATTCTCGTTCCTGGATCGTCTGGCCGTTCGTCCGCCTCCGAAAGGGTGAGTGATGGTAACATTAATGTTTCATCCTTGACAGCGAAAGAGTCTATGATTTAGACCCTTTTATCATACTAGATAAAATATACTGTTTGCGTTCCTTTCTCGTAAAGGACTCGCTAGATTTGACGTGCTCCGCTTTGAATAACGACAACAGCCGCCATGATACGTAGTGCATCACCTCATGGCCCTGCAAAGACGGCCTCGTCAACTGCTCCAGTGCTGCTAGATTGAATCAAACTCTCATCTATAGTAATGTGGTCTAGATCGAACGGGTGGAGGCAACCATTCATGATACGATTGCGGAGAAGCAGTCGAGTCATTCTCAGCCGACGTTCTGCGTCGTAAAGCAAACGGTGGGATCCTTCTTAGCTGGCCTTGGGATTTCATCTCACGCTCGAGCATCCGAAAATCAGCCCTGGCGAAGGCCACATGAGGCCACATTTCCATACTTGAGTCGGAGGAATTGGTCTCCTTTGTATATAGTGTCGTGAGTGACCGGAGATCTTGGTATGTAGGTGGGCTCTTGGAGATCAGGAACGTAATTGAGCTGAGTAGTCAAGAAGGGGATGATTTCTTGAAGATGCCCCCGCGTTGTCATGATCAGCTGTGAGAGGGTGGTAACGCGGGAATGCCGAACATTCTTGTCTTTATGCAGGAATTCTGTGCTGTTTTGAGTCATCTGGCGAGGTTCTGCTTTTGTTGATTCCATTTCATTGAAAGCCAGACAAAGTTCGTCAATCCATGCAAAATGTGCGGGTCAATAAAAAAACCAATATTTCCCAAGGGTACTAGGGGAGACAGCGAGAAAACGCCCCAAAAACCCTTCAACCAAATAGAGAAGTGGAGAGAGGCAGATCAAATGACTGCAACGAAAACTTGTGGTGGTGTGGAAAACTCTTGAGCCAAATGCAGACCGCCTCTCTCTCGCTTGGCGTTCGCCCACAAGCCACGTACGGCTGTTTCTGGAATCCTCTCGTTGCCAGGACGTAACTTTGGAAATGAGAGAGTTTGTAGGAGAAAAGTGTGAGGACACCTTTCCTTTCCCTTCGAGACAGGAGAGAAGACGGTTAGAAGATGCCGAAGGTACTCCATTCTTCTCCCTTAAATCGTCGTCGAAAATACGTAAGAATGTCACAAGATCACCTCATAGGTAATAAGACCCCTGGCCTATTGTTCCTTGTGTCATGTTTGGTTGTTTGAGCAAATCTTCCTCTGAGTCTTCACTACTGTCGCCCAAGAGGTGATCGATAAATTCTTCGGGATCTTGTCCTTGGAACCAAGTGTCGCGGCAATCTGGGTCGCTCGGATCTTCATGAAACGTCGGTATAACATCAATGTGCTGTATCATGAGATATCTAATTCAATAGCTTTCGAGTGACAACGCCACAAGGCTCTCACACACAAAGCATTAGAGTCTTCCACTGAAGTCTATCCATCACAGTAGGGTTCGGTGGCATTTTCCAAGACTCCTAGGTCTCTCAGCTTGTCACGACGCTGACTTTCGCTATAAAGACGTGCCACTGCACATGTAGACGCAGAAACTTAACTCAGCCAATATTGCCCAAGATCCAAGAGTTGTCCTCTTCACATCCTCAAGAGAACATAATTGAGAATGGACGTAATTTTCATCGCTGGTTGTTGAGTATCAGTGCTCTCAACAGACGACTCGAGATCATCTGACCTTGTTCTCAGGGTCTGCAAGTGTACTATGTTTGTGTGTTGCTGTCATCGTCCTGCGGGGGTAACACGATCATAACCCAGCACCAAAAAGTTTTACATACGTTCATAGATTTGGCTCATGTTCGAGCCACAAAAGTCTCCTCCGTTGCAACGGAAGAAGGGGCAGTACTTAAGTTGTGCGAGAGCGGCAACGAATCTCTCAAACACCCTGTAGTGTCGGCTGACCTTTAGCAGAACACAAACATGACGATGATGTCCAAGTTTGTTGGTTGCATACTATTAGGAGATTTTCATGATCAGATCTTCTCTGTGCGCTTGATCTATGACTTTGAACAGCCCGACCACCACCAGTAATCTAGTGTTTGATTTTGCCATTGCAGCAAAGCAGGCGACAATGCAATCGATATCGTGAAGACCCATCCCAGGCGCCATAGTATCTTCTACTGCACGCAGATACAACTGCTGAATATGCTCCTCTGTCATCCATGTTCGAAGAACTAAAGGTGTAAGTATTGAAAGTCTTGCGAGCTCCTGCATTTGATAGCTTCCGAGATGGTGAAGAGCTTGGAGACGAGCCCATCCTGGTGGAAAAGGAAAGTGACGAAGTGCAGCTGAGTAGAGATCAACGGCTTGAAAGCTGACAGATACAACGGAGATGTTTTTTGGCTTGCAGGATCATGAGGGTCAGTAAATCCTCGCTTCGCACCCCAAAAAAGTTGGTAAGATTCGTTACAGATCGCACGATCATTACCGCGAGCCAGATGATTAGTATGCTATGAGGGTTCAATATGGTCGGAGCTTGTGAGATGGTCAGGATCACACACTTCATGGCTAACCTGAACCCGATCAACTATGTCGATCTTTGTTGGTAGATGGTCTGGGGATATTTGGAATTTGGCGCAATTTCTGATCCGTGAATCTATCAAGATATTACTCAGCGAGTCTCATGTTTTCAAAGGTTATAAGACTGTCTTTTCAGCCCGTCCTCATTCTTGCTCCTTGGCTTTTATTGGCCATTGAGGAATTCAGTAGGTCATGAGGCAGGATGTCTATGGGGATTTCACCGACCGAGCGAGGCGGCGAGACATAGCACCCTTTTATATCATTGACGGATTCGTTGAAGAGTGCTCTTCAATCCACCGAGCATAGACTTGCTTCCTCATTCATTGAAAATGACTCCAGGCGTCGGTCCTGAAATTCCTTCATTTGACGTAGGATACGCGTACAGAGTATAACTAAACGCCATCTTCAAGCCTAATAGAGTGGCGTAAGCCATGGGAAGGTACCATGTTCGTGACAAGGTTCGGCTTGGTGTCCGGTATGAATGGATCAAGTGTCGTCCTGTGGATGTCGAATCCGAAAAGGGCCTGAAATCAAAGGAGCTGATCGGCATGTCGTGATATACTTTCTGTAAGGAAATCGGCTAAGTCTAGGAAACTCTTCGATGTTTCTTGTGAAGGTACACTAGTACCCGCAATGTTGGCTGCAGAAAATGTCCAGATGCTTCCATGTCCATCGTATCCTGATGCTGCAGGAAAGGATCAGTTCTACCTCACAGCCTTGGTGGTTCGGCTTGTGAGGTTGGTCAGAACCCATCGCACAAGTCTTCCATTGTGGGACTCATGGCGACTCCGCCATAGTCTAAGCAAAAGCTTGCGGGGCTGACTGATCGTTCAGTTGTGCTTTTTCTTGGAAAGAAAGAATCGAAAGTGTTCCCTCCGACTGGGACGTGGACCCTACCCACAAGCTGGTAGGCTGTTGGGCAATAACACGGTTTTAAAGTAGGAGAAAACTTATGGAGTATACTAAACAAGAGTAACAGGCACGCACGAACATTCGACCTGAAGAACATTATGCTGTCAACATACCAGACCAGACATGAAACAGATACAGCATGACCGTTGAGCTGTAACTGTGCTGGTTGTATTGTGCACAATTTCATCGTAATTGTGACCGCCTCTTTTGAGGAAAAGTATGTCAGTGAAGTGCATCCAACGCACCACAACAACAACAATCTTGCCGAGCATTCCCAAGGAGAAAGTTTTATGGGGAATGAAAGAGATTTAACGGTGATGACTAAAGCCAACAGCAGAGGCAATGCCCCAAGAATTAAGTCCAGCGTATCACCCAGAGACTCACTCCAAAAGCCACAACGATCGTAAACTTGTCGACTCTTCCCGAGAGAAAGAAAGTGTCCTAAACAAAAAGAAGAAAGTCGGGTTGCTTGATGAACCATCAACAGAGAAAGCACCACAATGGCGTAGCAACGCCGTCTGATCGATAGGGGAGTTGTTGGGAGGGAGGATCTTATCTAGAAAAGACATGACTCACTTACTATCCGTCAATTCCAATGGTCGAGGCCTCGATTCAAGCCTTAATGTGGCGGGAACAATGGTCCGAGTCATTTTCATTAACAGAGGATCTCCCATACAAGATCTGTTGGCAGCCCAAGCGGTGAGGCGCGGCATAATCTTGAGAAAGATCCAATTTACGCCAGGAGGGATCATATGATTCTTCATGTCAATGTACTGTTGGAGTGGCAGCGAAGCTCTCCGTTGTTCATGAGGAGGGAGAGAGGGAGGGGAGAAAACACACTAGTACGATTCTCCAGAAATTGTCGTATTCTTCAAGTATGAAACAGAGAAGCATATACATGAACAAGAAGGATGATAGGAGTAGAGCGTACATATATATTTACCGCTTCCAGTAAGTAGCAATGGGGAGAAGAAGGAATTGAGGGTAGAAGCTGGCTGAGTATAGGAGTAAGAGGGGCAAGGAGGCTGGCAAGAAGACAAGAGAAGGAAGAAAGAAAGAAGAAGGAAAAGGCAAGGCACACGAACTCTTAAATAACCCCCAAGCCCCGCCGCTAACGACGATGAATCAATGCTAAACCTAGCGTATAGTACAAGCCCGCTCGCGTGAAGAGGGTAGTGATGGAGGATCTTTGCCACCGCTGTGTGAATGTTTCCTGGATTTGGCTGCCTGACGTGGAGAAGGGGACCGGGGGGGGGGTGAGACATTTGTGATGATGGTGGCGGGACGTGGGGAGTGAAGGCGGCGGAGGAGGAGGTTGGGATTTGGTGACGGGGGTAGGTGGAAGCTGGAGATGTCTCAGATGAGCTGCTGGTTGATGAAGTGGCCAAGTCCTGGTATCTGTTCTGGAGATTTGCTGACTCTCGGTTGATGGACCATAATGTGCTCAGGCCACCTCGGGAATGTACTCTGCGGTGCATATCGAAGAGGTGGTGTAGCCACTGTGACATCGACCACGTTGCGTCATTTGAGATCATGAGCGGCCATCTTGTCATTCAACTTTCGCCCCCTCCGCGCCTTCACTCCTAATTTGCCTCCACAACCACGCTGTCTCAGGACCCCCTCACCGTGAATGATCTTGATTTCTCACAATTTTCACCCCCTCAAGGCTCCACATCCCTCAAACCCCCATCCACCCCATCACGATCCAGCATATACCCAAACTTCCCCCTCCCCTCCTCCGTCAACAACACCTCCGGCAAATCCCTATTCCCCTCGACGCGATCATAAACCTCCCTAGTCCTATTAAAAAGATCCCGTCCAAACCTCACACAATCCACCAACCAGCCAGTCTCGCGAAACTTCTCCAAATTATACTCGACATGCGAAAAGCTCGTAATCTTCGTCCTCAAATCCTTCAGCGTAGCAAAACACGACGAACACGACCACGCCGCGTTATAGAACTCGAAATACGGCTTACTCCAGATACCCCCGCGCAGCTCATGCGGGCCAATGGTGTCGTTCATGCCTTTGAAGAATGTGGCTTGAGGGTGCTCCCATAGTTTGCCCCGGTGCTTCCACTGGAAACTGTAGTAGTAGAAATCACTCCGTAACGTCGTTCGTGCTGGGAACGCGCAGTTTCGGAGCACGGGAATAGTGCTACGTCGTGGGACCTCGTCCACGTCCGACACGATCAGTACGTCGCCGAGCTGGGGGGCTTTGTTGCCGATCTGGGAGAGGAGAGCCTGGTCGTACATGGCCTGGCGCATGAAGTTCTCTTGCTCCCAGGTGTCGTTTTTCTGCATGGTGAGCGGGGAGAAGTCGACGACGTGGTGGATCATTTTGGAGTGGTAGCGGCGGAATTTGGACCAGGCGTTTTTCACGTGGAGCGGCTTTGGGGTCTTGGTGAAGGTCGTGACGGCTTCGACGATGATGAAGTAGTCGACTTCGTGATAGAGCTCGTGGAGGCGGATTTCGAGCCAGTCGAGCTCTGTGCTGATCATGGACATGTCGTACACTTTGCGGGGTCGGTCGCGAGGTGAGTACGGGGTTAATCTTCGTCGAGCACAGAAGTCTTTGGCGGCTTGGGGGGTACGAAGCCATGTTTATCAAGTTTGAATCCTCCAGCGCTTCCGCTGTGGTCGCTGCTGGAAGAGTGGAAACTTGGCGTCATTTGTCCTGAGGTTGGTCGTAGGCTGTAGATGAGGATTAGAAAGACTGCTGCCGCTACGAGCCATCTTGAAGCTCGGTTAGGCAGTTGATAAAAGCGCATTGAAGACTGAGGAGAGCCCCCAAAGTGCTGATCATGCATGAGAGTTTAACATTTCTTCGTTGGGCCCATGAGCAGACAACGTGAGCAGAGTTCGCAGAGACGACTACAACGCTCGCTTGCAAGCAGTGCAACAGCAGCAGACCTGAAGTTGAAGATGGAAAGAACAGATGATATCAATGAGATTTGGAAGCAATCGGAACACGTCCATGTGAGCTGATGCGTTGCAACATTGGGGGGCCAATCGCCAGTCTCAGGCGTGCGGCACGACCCCGAATGGTCTGTGGCGGCAACGGCTGGAAATAGATTCAAGAATCTTCATTGTAAGACACATACGACATGGCAAAGAAGCGCTGTGTAACAAGGTCACCCTCTTCAGAGATTCCTGAGAAAGAATTCGACTCGAGTACTCGGATGGGTTATTCGAGCGCGCCAAAGTCTAGATATCGAATGAGGCATGACGAGCTGATGAAAGTAAGGACCGTTGAGAAGATAGTCTACGAGTATGATTCGAATGTGCATGAGCTCTTTATTAGAGGAGCAGTGTCTCCCATATTGCCGTCATCACATTCCTCGCGTAAAGCTCCTATCCGAAATCATCCCTACACATGTGCCCAACCATTTCCCCTCAAAACCTGCATCTCGTTGATCAGACACACCTCTCCCTTTTCCTTCTCTCCACTCTCCTTGCCATGCGCATCAACCCTCCTTCTCACCACTCCCTCCTTGATCCTCGGACTAGTCGCCCATCTCATGACCCTATTCCTCCATGCGCCAGCGATTGTACCCCAAGAGCCTGGCCACTGTCCATCCTTGGGATGCATAGCCTCATATGCTTCAAGCGAATACCCAACTCTTACGTTCGGATTCACCCACACCCCTCTCGTCGAAGATAACGGATTGTCCACGTGCACGAGACAGCACTCGCTTCCCTCCAAGTGCTTCATTGACAGCGCGTCAGATATGCCCCTGAATCTAAGGCCCGGTGTAGATGTCTGTTCATTCTCTTGGGATGAGTGGGTGGAGTAGAACGGCGCGGCGTCAAAGGCGACGATGCCATTCCAACAGCTGCGTACCGGGATGGGCTCGTGAGCTAGGATTGCCTTTCGGGAGGCACGAGAGCGGAAGAAGGGAAAGGTGGAGCTGGCGGCTTCGTGACCTTGGGTGTCTCGGAGGGCGAAGGTGTCGTAGTAGTAGGGTGGCTTGGCGAAGTCGAGGGAACAGGCTGCCGCGTAGTCGCCGTCGCGAGTGGCGAGGAGGGAGGCCACGTCAGCGGTCTATCATGCACTGATCAGCAGTCATCCAATGGCTTCCGGCTTAGCCAATGGCAGCCAGAGGAAAGGCCGACATACTGTGAAAGCGACATCATTGAGGAAGAGGGTTTTGTCGAATCTTGTACTGTTCTCTTTGTCTAGATCGGTAAGTGGCTGCAATGCTAGATTCCTCAGTCTTGACAGATATGGTATCCGTCGCAGCTCCTTCTTTCCGGCCTTCGTATCAATCCATCCCTCAGCATCCGGGCCCTTCTCTAATATCTGAGCGTGGGTTGTCTCATCCAATATAACTGACCGAGGAACGTTAAGCGTTGCAAGTTCCTCATCCAATTGTCTCAGCGCGCCTTTCGTGTCATCCCAGCTCCCTGATTCGTAGATCGAGATGTAGACATTCGAGGGGCCGAAGTATTGCACCAGACTTATGACGGCGGCATTCCACGAGCTGCGCAGTATTTTCTCATTGTTCCAATGAATGCTGGTTATGAAGACGCGGTGAGATTGCACATTAGGGGAGTCTTCGTCGTCCGGTGAGCATTGCGATAGGTAGTGATAAGGGATAGGAGGTCGATGAAGAGGGCGGCGCATATGATGAGGAGGGCTACTCGAAGCAGGCGAAATTGGGAAGAGCGACGGAAGGAGGCCCGCGGCATGCCGTGTATGGATATTGTTGCATCGTTACAAGTGGGCAAGGCACTGAGGCGTGGAATGAAATCTGAGGTGAGAAATTGCGATAGCTGACGGCAAACCTGCGGAGCGTGAGTGCCGGGCAGCTGCTGTGGGGGACTGGGTCTCCAACACAGAATCCAGGGCAGATTAGATGGAAACATGCCCACTCTCTTAAATTCAACGCTGGAGGTAATGGTCTGAATATGGTGTTGAGACTCGCCATTGTATTCTCTCAAAGTATCTGAGAATAAGTCCTTCTCTATGGCAGGGTCCACACCATATGCCGCCCGTCACCTAGAGCCCTTTTCCACTCCCCAGGGATCACAACTTCGACCTCAGCACCCTCATAGCCCCCCTCTCCTTCTGATCAGCCCGATCCCACTCCCCAATATCAAAGTCTTTCCAAGCCAATCTCCCATACTCAAGCTCCTTCAGTATCTTCCCTCCCTCCCCCCAGAAGATCGTCGTATTCACCACCATGGTAACCGTATCCCCCTTCTTTGCTCCCACAGGCAATTTCTCTTCCGACCCCGGCGGTGCATCAATCGCAAGCTCGAAAGTAGTGATGACCTCCATAACGGAAATGTGGCCGGGGTCACTGGAACCTGCAAGGGAGAGCGCGGTGACCACCTCCGATGCGCCGACTTTGGAGAAGGCCTTGTTTAAGGCGTACCAGGCGTCACGGTCGAGGCGGACTGCGCAGAGGGCTGTAATGGTGTGGTTAGTGGGTGGAAGCGGGTGGGAATGGGTGGGAATAGGGGAGGGATTTGGATGGCTTGAAAGGGGTGGAGAAGGTGACTGTGGTGGAGACGTACGGATGTCCGTCATCGTGTAGCCTGGGGCTTGCATTGCTCGAGTGGTGTCGGCATCGTGGGTCACGAAGGCTTTGTAGTACTTGCGCGTGAGCTCTAAAAGCTTCTTGTCGGGATGATGGGCGATGCGGCGGTCGTCAAAAGACATGATGACAGGGTATGTTGTACTGCGAGGAATACTAACTCTGATTGATGAAGCATGAGCGACCGAATATGAAGAACGGGAGATTCTATTTTGTTTTATCGCTACATAGCAGCCGATTAAATCCTTGACAAGCTCGCGTGCATATCGGTTTTGCTCGGATTGAGGGGCAATCTCAACACCATCGTACAATGCACCGTGTCTACCCCGCATAATTTGCATGTTGATCGGACCTTTCGCTAATTTGTTGCCTATCGGGAAACATCGGTGGAGTAGGAACAGACTTGATGTGTGCTAAGGCGCATGGTAGTGTACTAGTGGACCTGACTAACAATCTCCATGGATGCAATTTTTGAAGCCGGTAAAGCCAAACGAACATGGACTAAAGATCAGCCAGAGTCTCCCACTTGCTGCAATCCTGTTGAAGTCATTGTAAGTCTCAGTTGATCCGGGTGTCCCACAGCAAAAATCCCGCATCCTAATCATGCAATTTTTGAGCCTTCTCTTTTCTTGAAGACTAGCATCAAGGGTCCAGGCATAACGGTGAAAATATCTTGCATATCGTCGGTGATAGCGTGACCAGTCTCACCGGGTGCCAGGCTCACATCGAAACTTTGGACGATGATGGAGGTTGCAAGTCGGAGTTCCTTCAAGGCAAGTCGACTTCCAACGCAATTGTAAGGGCCTGTCAGCCCGCATCAGTCACACGTCTGGTTGTACCAATCTCCAGCTTGACAACAAGAGGGATCAGAGATGTATCATACCTAAGGAGAAGGGCGCAAAAGCCGTCTTGTCTTTGATCATCTCCGGGGCGGTACTCCACCGCTCGGGTACAAATGAAATGGCGTTTGTGAAGCAGCTTTCCACTGGTACGATTCAGCATTAGGTCCCATTACTTCCACTGTCCCCGGCTCACTTCTAGCAATGGTATAATTTGGCGCTACACATGTGACACCACCAGGTATGTACTGATCGTCAATCACAATACCTTCGGGTGGCGTCGACCTTGGCATTCCACCTGGCACGGGTGGATGAAGTCGTAATGTCTCGTTGATTATGCCATTTAGATATGGTAGGCCTTGTAGTGCGTGGTCGTCACGGATGTCGTTGGCTTGCTCAAGCTCTTGACGGAGAGTTTCGGCTATTGAAGGCTCGAGAGCGAGGTGATAGAATAGAAAGGTCAACGCGGAAGCTGTGGTGTCACTGATTTCCAAAACGAGTCAGCACAGAGCATCTTGACCCTCAGAGCTCTGACAGCTGCTATCGCCTGTGGAGAATCCTCATACCTGCCAGCTATGATAGCCAGTACAACATCACCTTCTAAGCTTGGCATCTGTTCGTCTTTTTTGATTTCAGTCCTATAAGCCTCGATAAGCCATGCCAATATCTAGAGACCAAAAGTCAGTCTCGTTGTGTAAGAGTGTTCGGACTGGCGGCGTACATCTGGATTCTCAGGCTCTGACTATAGGGAGTTAGCAGATCCTGAAAGGGTCAAATAGATTGGTAGCTGCATATCACTAAACATACTTTGAGTCGTTTCTCAAGAATGATATGTGCCTGTTGGAAAAGACGACGCCACTTCCATGCGGCGCCAGGAATGGCCTTTATCAATTCGAACAGCCATGGTACTGGCGTTAGGAGCGCTCGAGCTCCAGCTCCAGCTTGAAATGTTTCTATGATCTCTTCAACATCTGCTCCTTGGAGCATGTTGAACTTGGTATCAAACGACACATCGCCCATGACGTCGAAAGTATATCGATAGAACAGCTTTGTCGCTTCGACGGGTTGACCAGCGCCTCTCGCAAGTGTCTTTTCGAGAAGGTTTGTCAATTTGAGGACGCGTGGCTCATATTGATCCAGTGCTATGTAATGGTTAGGGTGTTCTAGAATACAAGCTCGATAGAATGCTCACCTTTCATGCTGAACGCATGGTCCCATACTCGCCGCTTGTGATCATGGAACGATCGATCGCGCGTCGTGACCAATGAAACATTCGGGGTAGAAAAATCGTACCAAGGAGCCTTGATACACCGCGAGCGCGAACCTAAAAGTATTGGTAGAGCGGCCGCTCTGAATATCGTGAGCTCATTGGGACCAGTCCGGACGAAGTCGCCGTAGGTAGAATGAATCTCATCAAGCTGGCGGTAATTATCGAACTTGCGGCTTCGGAAGACATGTTCCAGCTTCGTCAAACCCATCAATTTCGGGCCATGAAAGTGTCGCAATGGATGGAAATATTGTCGATAAATCAATACGCTCGACAACAGTGCACTCAAGTAGGCTATTGCCATCAAACTCGTGTTACCCAGGGCATCTCGCATCGCGAATTTGTACAGCATGACTTGGAACGTAGTCACTGCGATGAAAGATAGAATACTATATGTGACAAGACGAGGTGTTTGCATGTGGTGTTCGCCTTTGATGAAGTAGCCCAAGTGTGAGGTAATGCCGGCCAAAGCGCAGAGTCCCAGGGCATACGTCAGGTTGGGGAAAGGCACGATCATTATGGTATAGGGCGTGGGCTTGCAAGAGTAAGGACACAGGGAGACTCCTTATACAGGCTCGTTGTTCGAAGGAAAGGCTGTGGAGTCCTTCCAAGCCTCGGACTTGGGGGCTTGTGAGAACGTAAGGACTTCTCGTGAATGCTTTCTCTCTCGCCAGAGAAGGGCAGAATAGAGGTACCTTGGTTGGCGTGAAGAATATTTTGATGGTCTGTGAAGAAGTCTCAAGGCTAGTAATGCGGAGGTGATAACTTTGAATTCGGGGGTTTTGACCTCGTGGCAAGGGCCCCACCCTTTTGTATGTGCGAGAGAGGTGGCCAACCCCTATATCCCTCACACAAAGCAACCGTTCCACTGGCTCGCCTCATGGGACCAGATAGAGAATGGTGCGATAACAAGCCAAGCGGCTTGATATTTGTCAAGCGGGGTTCCCCACAGAAGGGGAAGCGGGGGCTGTCAGCGCAAAGAACGACTGGCTACAGGGAAAACGAGCTGCAAGAGATAGCGGTCTTATCGTGCATGCAATGAAAACAGCGATGTAGCGACTGGGTTGAAGGGAGGAGAACCAGGGAATCCATCCGCACAGGAAAGCATGTCAGGAAGCGTACTCTGTCTTACCGTCATGCGGTAGAGGGTTGAGCAATTCCATGGTGGAATGATAGCAGCGCTTAGATTCTGCATATCCATGCTCGCCATGCCACCACATCACTGCATGAGTGCATAGATGCATATGATGTGTCAACAAGCGGAAGGAGAACGCTCCGAAATGACAACCTAAATTTTGAGCTTTACGCACTAACGCTTTACCGTTGCCAAGCCGCAAATGTTGGACCAATGGTGCCTGCTCACTTACCTCTCTGTACCAATGCTTTGCGTGCTTACTGTGCCGTAGATCCTGCCTGAGTACATGGCAAGGACGTCACGAATTTCACTCAACGGCACGCCAAATGGCCTCAACGGTCATGCCCATGAAGTCAAAGAGCATGGTGGGCATCCCAATGGCGCTGCCAATGGAACCTTCGAGTCAAGCTACACTGGAAGTACAGATCTCGAGCGCTGGCGGCTGCTGGATGAGCGAGGCCGTCAGACTTGGCATTACTTGCACTCTGCTGAAGACGTAAAAAGATGGCCTCAGACCGTGGCTGATAGATACCACCTGGGTTTGCCATTGGTTCGTGACCTTGCGAAAATCTCGAAGCTTCAGTAAACGCTGATGCCGGCATTCTTAGCATCTACCCACACTTCCCCGAGCTACGACCCCCCACACGTCGGCGCAAAATGGACTCTCCTTCTTTTCCAAACTGCAGCTAGGACCTGGCAATTGGGCCTGTGAATATGGAGGGCCAATGTTCCTGTTACCGGGCCTTGTGATTGCCTGGCACGTCACTGAGACTCCAATACCCTTACCAGTAAGAATCGAAATAAAGAGATACCTTTTCGCACGACAGAATGCGGAAGATGGGGGCTGGGGCTTGCATATCGAGGGAGAGAGCACTGCGTATGGCACATCGATGACCTATGTCATACTGCGGCTATTAGGTGCCACTGAAGAAGATCCAAAAATGATCAAAGCAAGAGCAATGCTACACAAGCTGGGCGGTGCAATCTATGCGCCACACTGGGCAAAGTTTTGGTTGAGCGTCCTGGGCGTGATGGAGTGGGAAGCTGTCAATCCCATTCCCCCCGAGCTCTGGTAGGTCTGCAATGCGGAACACCGAACATCGAAGGGCTGAATTTTGACCATAGGCTACTGCCGGACTGGGCTCCAATCGCTCCATGGAGATGGTGGATACACATGCGTCAAGTCTTTCTACCTATGTCCTTTGTCTACTCAAAGCGCTTCGTCTACCCCCAGTCACCATTGATACTCCAGCTCCGCAAAGAGCTGTACACACAGTCATACCAGACCATCGATTTTCCCTCTCACCGTAACTCGATATCACCTCGGGACGATTACCATCCCAAATCGTTATTATTGCGAATCCTTTTCTGGGTCCTGGCCACGATCTGGTTCCCCTTATTACGGCCTAATTGGCTCAAACGCAGAGCTGAGGCTTGGACGCGAGACCTCATACGACGAGAAGATGAAAATACAGACTACGCGGACTTGGCCCCGGTCAGTGCACCTATGAACACTTTGGCTTGCTTCATACAAGACGGCCCCAATAGCGATACGTTTGAAAAACATATAGACCGGCTGCGCAATTATTTGTGGATGAAGAATGAGGGCATGTTATGTAACGGCACAGACGGCGTCCAAAGCTGGGACACTTCCTTTGCGATTCAGGCCGTGTATGAAGCTGGCCTAGCTGAAGACCCTAAGTGGATCCGGATGCTGCAAAAGGCGCTGGAGTTCCTGGATGATCAGCAGATCCGACACAATTGCTTGGACGAAGACGTCCGCTACAGACAAAGGCGAAAGGGTGCTTGGGCATTCAGCACAAGGAAGCAAGGGTACACAGTCAGTGATACGACAAGTGAAGCTTTGAAAGCGGTCATGATGTTGCAAAACCTCCCGTCTTATCCTACCTTAATATCAGAAGATCGCCTCAAAGACGCTATCGACACGCTCCTTACTATGCAAAATCCTTCCGGCGGCTTCGCCTCTTACGAGCCACAGCGTGCGTCTGAGCTTACCGAATGCTTGAACGCAGCTGAGGTGTTTGGTCGCATCATGGTTGAGTACGATTATCCAGAATGCAGTACCGCAGTGGTGACAGCACTCCGCTTGTTCTCCGAACATCACCCTACTTACCGCCGGCATGAGATCGACAGTGCCCTTCAAGGTGCTGTACGGTATATTCGGAAAGCTCAGCGTGCAGATGGATCTTGGTATGGAAGCTGGGGCATCTGCTTCACATACGCTGGTATGTTTGCACTAGAGTCGCTAGCGTCGCTAGGGGAGACCTACGAAAACAGCATCAACGCCAAAAAAGGATGCGATTTTCTTCTCAGCAAGCAGCAAGAAGACGGCGGCTGGGGCGAGAGCTACAGAAGCTGTGAGACTGGTGTTTATACGCACCGAGAAAGTCAAGTCGTCATGACGAGCTGGGCTGCCATTGGTCTAATGAACGCGGAATATCCTGACCGAGAGCCTATCAAGAAAGCAATCCAGTTGATCATGACCAGGCAGCAAGCAAACGGAGAGTGGTTGCAGGAGGGTATCGAAGGAGTGTTCAATAAGAGCGTGTAAGTCTAGCTAGGGTCGAATGTGAGCGCTCTCTCTGACAGCTGTAGTATGATCTCGTACCCGAACTACAAGTTTACGTTCACGATCAAAGCACTTGGAATGTTTGGCCGACGATTCGGTAACGAAGCTTTGCTGTGATAGCATTGACGGGGCCTGACAACGCAGTGAACAAAGCCATTAATTTCCGTTTCTGAGGTGAATGAGAATTTCAGCGTGACTGGAGACCGGAGAAAGCCGTCTCATGTCACGCAGAAAGCTGGACGCTCCAAGCCAACGTCCTCATCAAGGCCAAGACCTGGAGCCAGACGAGTGAGCAAGGTTACGTAAGGACGGTACGGCCGATCTGGTACCTAATCCTTAGGAGGGTAACCTGATGCGATCCCTACAGATCCGGGTACTACTGCAACCCACCCAGGCACCCACCCTCTTTGGCTTATTCACGAGAACGCGTCGGAGTATTCTTGGCTTCTTCGTCACGCCCTCCAACTGGGAAGTCACGAATTGTAAACGAGGGAACGAGCAAAGTCATATGGCCAAAATTCTGTTCAAATGCCTCAACTCAGGAGGTGACGAATGGTAATTTGAAGGATGACTGTCATGGGCAACACTTTTTGACCGTGTGGCAAATGCATAAAGCCTCAAATTAAACAGATTTCAGGGTCGATTGAGAGCAAAATAGAACCCAAGATACGTCTTGATCACTTCAGATCGTTGAGTTTGACCTACATGCTCAACCACAGGATTATCGTTTCTATTTCAAGAGTCTATGTGGTGAGAAAATGCCGGACTAACCGGGGAAGGCCTATTCTCTTTCGCGTGTGGCTGTCAAGAGCGGCCTGAAGATGCTGTGGCTGGCTTTCTCATACACTTTGTTTAACATGATCCACACACCACGAGGTAAGCGGTGTGACTTCTGAAAACCACTCAGCCGTGTGGACAGCGTCATAGTCATCTCAAATAGTGGCATTCTCGTGCGTTAGGCTTACCAAGAAGCCTTACTGACATAGCGATGGGACTTGATCGATTGCCCTCAGAATTTTCACCGAGGTGGGCACGACACTGACAAACCGAGAGTCAATTGATCTGTAAAGGTTAAGCAGCTCGCACAAAGCATGCAAGGTCTATGACAAAGTCTCCTACGGGGACTTGATGGAGGGTACATCCAACAAGATAAATAGGTTCTTAGAGCCCCGTGGAGGTTGCACTATCAACAGGTTGTGACACCGAAGATTTTATTTGAGTCGCCAAAACGCCAATAGCCTCCAGAAGTCGAAGTACGATGCTTATTCCCTACGGCCTACTGATCCCTCTTTGGGCATGTATTCAATTGTCGAGCTCACTACCCCTCACCCAAACCTTCACGAATGATACGACATCGAGGCATGTTGCATCCTTGCTAAACGCAAAACCCTTCTTCAGCAGCTCTCTTGGCTCTTTGCAAGCCATCACCGCCAAAGAGCTCCCAATACTTGACACGTTATCAGTGCAACGTATCGTCCTCGAACCTGGCGCGATCCGCGAGCCGCACTGGTACACAAACTGCAACGAGGTAGCCTACGCCATCACTGGCAAACTCCTTGTCACCATCTTCGGCAACGTCGACACCTTCTCCAGCTTCACAATTGACGCCGGCCAAATGTTCTACACGGAGTCAGGCTACCTCCAGGCCATCGAAAACGTCGGCGACGAGACCGCCGTCATCATCACCAGCCCCCGCAGCAGCCTCCCCGTCGACATCTCCCTCTCCGCTACCTTCGGCTCCCAAACCGACGCCGTCCTCGGCAACACCTACAACGACACCTCATCCTTTTGGTCCCCCATCGCCCGCACTTCCGCCCCAAATTGGATCGTCAAGCGTAACGGGCCCCCGTCAATCCCCTCCACCGCCGGTCTTCCCGACCCACGCAAATTCGACATCGAAGCACAACGCGCACCAATCGACTTCCCCTACGGCACCGCAAAACTAGCACGCTCCCAATACTGGCCCGCGCTCGAAGATCTGGCCTTCTACTCCCTCCGCGTCACGGACGAAGGTATGCGCGAAGTCCACTGGCATCCTACGACTGTGGAACTCGGCTATGTCATCAAAGGCAGCGCGCGTATGTCCATCATGGATCCCGACGGCTCCGTCGATACTTATGTCTTGAAGCCTGGGGATATGTATGCTGTGCCGGTCGGGTATCCGCACCAGATTGAGGATCTTGGCGGGGAGGAAATCCATTTTGGGATTTTCTTTAGTCAGAGCACGGTGGGTGATGTTGGGCTCAAGGCTGTGGGGACGGCGTTGTCGAGGGAGATGCTGGCGAGCACGTTGGGGGTTGAGGGGGGTGTGTTGCCGGATCTGCCGTTTACGCCCGCGGATCCGCTGATTGTGCAGAGGGTTAATCCGGTGGATCCGGTTAGGGTTGCGAAGTAGGAGGTGGATATGGGAGATTGAAGTTTGCCAGGTCGAGAGACTTTTTAGACGTGATTGATTTCAGATAGATTGAGAGTTGTAATTTTGAGTGAGATGTGGACGCAGAGCAACTTCCAAAGTGCACTTATCAAAAGACCAGAATCACCAACTTCCCTTCCTCTGATCCACTGCACTTCAAACCCCTTCCCACAGGTCTCGCATTGCCTGTCTGTTCATCAAAAGTCATGCCACCACGCCCCCACCCCGCTGACTCTCTTGACAACCCCCTTCCCCAACGTCGAGTTCGAGGAGCTTGCCGCCGTGCTTTTCGAGAGTGGAGAGCGAGCGCATGGCCGAGGCCGGAGCAGACGTCTGTTACGAACCAGACTGCTGCTACTATTGTTCTAAGATTGGAAGAGTGGAAGCTGGTTTGGGCATAGGGCATGGTAATGAGTGCTTAGAGCTGTCGAGGCGGCTGTGTGGTAACGATGTGTTCGATATCCGTGTTAGCGTGGTTCATGCTGGGAAGTTTTGTGCATTTCAGATTTGGTTGTAGGGATCTTTGTTTTGGGACGAAGATAGATTGGATTGTGCGTGTACGGGGACGCGATCAGTCGGCTTTGATGAAGCTATGGCTAGTCTGAGGCGAGCGAGCTCGTGGATTGTAAGGGTCACTTAACACGCACCGCCGCATTAGTTTGTTAGCTTCCACATGTAGGCTCCGATTTCGTTTTTTTGTGTTAGGAAAGCAGAACAATACCCATTGGGTGATGGACAAACGATGTCGATGTCATATCAGCTACTGTATTCAATTATAGGAGAGGTTCTGGAGAGAATGAAATAGTCCCATTCGGTACTATGCTCCGACAGGAACGGCGAGAAGGAAGCTAAACGCTTCTCGATTTTTGGCAAGAAGAAAGTATGACTTGAGCATCGATCTCTGGAAAGGATCATTACCCATCCACATCCGGCCATGCTATGAAGTAGCTAAAGTTCCTACTCCGCTAGCTACTTGCAACGTGTCGCTAGGAGGCGGCGTACGACCCTTAAACATCCTCATCTTCCCAAGCGGGTGATCCGCGAAGATGATGACCGCCTGGTATCCTCGGTACCTGTCTGGGATCCTGACAGCGTTTGTGACACGTCCGAGGATTGTGAGTGCTTGAAGTACCATCCCTACCCTGAATATCTCTGGCACCCCGCCCCTGGACTCACTGATCGGCTGTATGTCGATTGTGAAATCGAGAGATCCGTCGTAGTAGGTGTCGCCTGTGAATATACTGAATGCGTCTAGCTCGGAGAAGACGATGATGCGGTCCATGATAGTGAAATACCACTGGAAAGGTTTCATTAGTATTGGACCTGATGGGACGAACGGCCCCATAGCGAGCATTATCGCTGGGTCGTCGGTAAAGTTATATTTGATGTTGGATACCATGGTGATGTTGTATGAACTGTCTGACTGTTGGATATTCAGCGTGTTGTTGTCCAATGCACTAAGGTTTGACGTTGGCATCGCATTCAAATTGTCGAGAGTAGTATCATCGATAGCGTTCAGATCCTTCGAGAGAGCTGACACTGGAAAAGAAGTTTGAACCCCCGTCACAGTGCTTGTAGGCGGGCTTGGGGGAAGACGGCTCCGATGGAACAAGCTACCACCACCTAATAAACTCGCTCCTATCTTAATTCTGAAGTTCGTTTCCCCGTACTGGAGTCGTCCAACTTGATTGTCTTCCGACCAGGCTGCCATAGACACCATCGACCACATCATGTGTTTAGTCATCATGTACGGAGGGGCGGGTGTGTCCTGCCCTAATACGTTGATGCCAACATTTGGTGTCGTGTCCCGAGGACACTGCATGAGAGCTTGGCGACCATTCCAGTCCGCAAAGCCGAGAGTGCCTATGCAGTTTATGACTGCTACCCAGGTCTCCAGTCTACCTAGATATCTGAAGTTCTCCCTGCGACGAGGTTCGAGAAAAAAGTTTTCGGGGGGAACTTCTTCGTTGAGAGATAGCGAATTATTGCTGATCGATAGTCTGAAACCAGGTCAACAAATCAACCTTGAATTCCTTGACAGTCACTCACAGCTCGGCTGATACATTCAATGACGATGTGATCGGATCTCCAATGAGTGCAGCACCGCCGATGCTCACAAGCAGTGATAAGAAAGCAAGCGCAGTATAGCGCCACCATCCTGCCTTACTTTGGGCCATACTTCTAAGATAGGAAACAAAAACCCCGGTATAGCTTCCTCCTCTCCGTGGGGAACATCCCACTTTAAAAATGGGTCATCCCCTCGGGGACAAAACCCGAGAATTTGAGACCAACAAACATCTCGTAAGGCTTTCTCTGTCTCCTTTACCGTCCTAGACATTCAATCTCAATATTTTGGCGGCGCTACAAGACCTATGCAGGATCGATAAGCGGTGCCAGAGCCGATGTCGTAGATTATTGTTTTATTTAGATTGCGCTTGTACTGGAACCTCAACGTCTGGCGGAAATATGTCGCACAGTCTCATAGACAGTGCTCTTGTCCAGTAAGTCTTCAGTCAATACTTCGTGTTGTTGTAAGGGTGTCAGCTAAGTCGTATGGGCAATCTGGGAGGCTGACGATCTCAGTATCACCAGGGTCCTCCACGATATTCAATGCGCTCAACCTATCCTCGAAAATTTTAGCACGCTCCGAGCTTCCGAAGGCCGCGAGTATTTTCAATCTTTGCTGCGTGTTCTTGATGGAGGAGGTAGGTGGTGCTGAGGTTGCTGCGATATACACCCACGCTCGGAATATCGAGAAGATTTTCCTATCTTCGTCTTCTACACCCCACTCCAACAACCTGCTTTTACCCCATACACCCTCCTTGTCGATCCGACAAAATCGACAGGTGTGCCCATCGGATGCTGCTCCGAAAACGCAGGATTCTGCATGCCATGGTCTTCTTTGTACTCGTGGACAGCCCCCATGTACGCTGTCAATTGACCGATGCATGTATCAGTATATCCGGACTGTTTGGCCAACACAATGATAAGATTTGTGGCAGTGTTGGTCTTTGCTCGTGTATCGTGCCGTACAGTGTAGTCAGCTAATCCACTTAGCAGTCGGGCTTCGCCTTCGTACGTTACCTCTCGCTGTGTGGGGGTCTTTTGTTACACATTAAAAACGACTGGCCCTTTTGCCTTTGGTGGGTCTGAGTCTTGGAATTTTGCAATAAGACGCTCTTCATATATTGCGGAAATGAGTATTTGGTCAATGATAGTTCGCGACTAGGCCTTATTTCCTTGCAGAAACGGTACCGCGATAGCTTGGACTCTGGCTATATGATCGGCGAGGTAGTTGAGGACTGGAAGCAGGGGGACCTTGTTCCAGAGAATCTCAGTCGAGATGCTTAAATTGAAGATCCAGTGTGTAGCTGCAAGTCCCAACGATGACGGCGCCAGTTGTTCCCGGAAGTCATCTTTATTTACACCTCTCCGTCACTTTTGTGAGTTTCAGGAGCCATTGTGTCGAGGTGAAAGCGGTAGCTATCTGTATCTTTAGTGTAGAATCACAGCAGATATGTTGGCATGCCTCCGAGCTCATATCGCCCAATTAGGCCTAGCTCAGCCCTACACTGCTTGGCATCCGACTCTGCTCCCACATCATGTGCTTAGATAGCTTGTTAGACAATCAACCAATCAAAATATTATAAACCCCACTCTACATGAGCTTGCTTTCAAGATAATTGCAAAAATGTGCGAGTCAGAGATTGGGTGTTGGGCTGACTTAGGTGGGACGCGGCTACGACAAGCCCTGTAAACGGGAAAGGGGTTGGACAATTGGGGCACCACAATTCTTAAAACATAAGCGTATGGGGCAGGCTCTGGGGAATACCCCCTTTTAGCGAGCCCCGAGATTACCTCCCAGGACTTTGGCGTAGGCACGTTCCGATGGGATTCACGACAGACACTTCTTATCCCCAAAGCCCTTAAGGCGAACGGCTACGCTTATTATGCGTTTCTCTTTGATGACACGGCGAATCGCAAGCCCGAAGATTGTTCACCAGTGGCAAATGAGGTGGCCAGCAGCTGCTGGTATCTCGACTGTTCAGTTAAAATGGTCAAGCAACTGGAGATTTGCAAAAGTATTACGACGAATCCCTTCGCTACGAAGCCTTTGTTTCTTCCAAGTCTGCTCATTACTAAGACAGCAGGCAGTCCTGAATCAAAGTGGGAGTTTGCTACCTTAGAATCAATGCTATGGCTGTAAAGCATTGAATTTACCTTCAAAGCTTTTTGTACTCGGCCTTGAGATATAACAGGGGTGCAGCGGGTCTGTCAGTGCCAATGAATATGTCCGAAACTGATGTACTCAATACTCTTTTCTTCAACGATTCGGTACAAGCTTACAATACCGCCGCGTGCGATCCGGATGCCGAAGAGAAACAAGAGAAACAAGGGCTTTGTCTTGAAGGAATAAACAGTAATTCCGATCATGAATAAAAGGCACGCAAATTGTCAGATCGCTCAACTCAACACGATTCACAAGTTAAGATGTATGCTGTAGCCAAGTCAGAAGAACAAAAAACTGCCTGAACACAAATGTGGACATGTTGGCCAGACTTGTTCGCGTGTACGCTCACCACTATATTAGGTTCTTAGAGTCAAACAACACTTACAAGAGACAATACTTCAACTTGAACTTTGAATATCGCTCTCATTGCCACTCTAACAAACCGAAGTGGCTTTTCGGCAACATAGTTCTCGGTGCTGGATGCCTCAAACTAGCTGCGCTCCCTCGTATCGGAATCCACGGCAGCTAAGTCTAGCATTCTCATGAAATGTTGACACGCTCACTCACAGAGCGTCTTTGATATTGTCCAAGGTTCCAATACCTCGAGTAAGAATGACGGTGACAGAATCAGCCTTTTCTCCTAATCAATAATCATTCCGAATATCCTGCGCGGCGGTGAACTCCACAGGTACAAACACAGAGATCGCTACCGTCTGAATTTGGGAAAGGAGGTGATATCATTTCGGTTCAGGCGTGCCAGGGGTACAACGGTCTCAAGACCACCCAATCTACATCTCCTCATCTGGCACAGCCCTGCGCCATAAGGACCTATGCCCCTGACTAGATAAAGCCTTCAATCATACAAACTTTCTCTCGCCAAGACGCCGGAGACTCTTCCGAACGTATTGATTGGCTGTTTCGATGAGCTATAATCTCCGCCGCATTGAGATCTTCGGATCTGGTGCGCGACAGGAGCGGGTAAAGGGGCTAGTTCAAGGAAACAACTTAAGGCGTCCGACTACTATGTGGAAGAGACGTCACTTCTTTGACGTGCCGCAGCGATTCTCGCTTCTTGGTGCGTGAGGGCTGCGGTGCGGCTGTTTTTGGAATTTGGGGCTCTTTTTTTTGACGCAATATCATCATAATTGGAAGAATTCGGTTGGTGGCATGCTGGAAGACCATCCTATGCTATGTGAACTACAAAGAAGAATTCTTTCCTTTCTGATGGGCGTGATACTCAGAGTTGAAGACATGCTTATGGGCTCTTCAAGCCTTTCAGAGGCCTTGATATCTCGAAATTATGAAGCGCGCCTGAGGTTTCGATATGGCCCCATGCTTTAAAATAAACGCAAGCCGTCATCTCATCTTGAGGCGGTGCCGGTAGCCTCAACGATGTGGACTTGGTTGTATCATCCCGTTCGAGCGATATATCGGCTTTAGGTTTGTTTCATATGTCTGCAGTCAGCATTGGCAAGATGCTCAACTCAGTCCGGATGGTCTGCCTTACAATTATAGAGTGAGATCATAGATATATATTGTGCCTTCTTGTCCCTGGTCTTGTGAGCACCCATCGCCGTTGTCACCGATTAAGGACAAGACTGACATACTCCGATTTCTTTTCTCAGATCATAACACAAGTTCAGCTTCCTCACTTAAACCCCTATACGAGATGCATTCATTCGGACCCATCGCAATTGCAGCCCTTGCATATTGCTCTGCCGTCACGATGGCAAATCCTATGGCAAACCCCATCGGCCCTGGGACAGCAGAATGCAGATATCCTCCCTACACAGTCCACATCGACAGCCAAGACACCGAGCCAGGAAACCCAACCCAGACAGCCGGCTATTGCTTCACCAAAGGTAAGTGCAATCCCATCTCCTCCAAATCTCTACACATCTTACTCACAATAATTCTCAAGATTGCGTCAACACTCGAGAGAACAGCTACACAATCGGCACAAGCTGGAGCGTCGGCGGCGACCTAGGCATCAACATCCTCGACATCATCAGCGCAGGCGTCAACACCGAGTTCTCCCACACCGAGGAGACCGGGACAGCAGAAGGTGGCCAGGCGCCATGTGACGGGCCATGGTACTGCGCGCTCAAGATCGTCCCGACCGTGATCCGCGTCAAGGGAACGATGCAAGGACGAGATGCGTATTGCAGGAATGTGGGGGGCGTGAAACCTTATGAAGTGCAGATCCCGCTGAAGAAGGATGGGCAGATTTCAAGAGAGGGCGTTGGGGCGTGTGCTTGCCCGGATTTTGAGCACTGGGCTGATCCGGGCGCGCCGGGGGTTTGTCCTGCTCCTTGTGGTCATTGAGTTGATTTGAGGCTTTTGGCGATCACTATGAAGGATTTTAGCTGTGTTTATTTGGATCGATTCATGTCCGTTGTGATACTCCTGGGTGAGTGGATACATATCGAAGGCGCTCAGCCAAGTCTCGTACAACCTGTCAGATTAATTACTTTGTAACATACAACGCACACTGTCTCAAGCTTGCAGATCAAGGATTTGCTCTGCTATGGCGATTGAGGGATAGTGGAGAATCATGATTAGATTGAATAAAGTTGGGCCAGACTTTACCAAACAAGCTCTGGCACTGTTCTCTCACTTGCCTTACAATCCATGAGGCAATTTCGTATATTTCACAGCATACGATAGTAGTATCACAGCTTTAATATCGTTTGATTTGGACCTTCTCGGCAAACGAAAAAAATCGTCCGCAAAAATCAAAGGAGTCATTTGTTCGGCTATCTCTCCCTGGCCGGGCAGTACAAATTTACTTCCACAATGAACTACTGCTTCTAATGATGCATCTTAGTAGAAATACCATACTGTAATTTTCCCATTCATTGGATACCAGACAGCGTTCCAAGGGAAAGAAAAGGCCATTCGCCTTCAGCTCTGATTTCCGGGACTCAAAACAGCATTGGGAAAGGAAAGTCAAGACCATAGACGAGATTCCTTCGTATTTGATCGTAAAAGGTTAGCCCGATTTCAACAGACACCGAAATATTCTCTCATGAGCCACCGACAGTCACTCCCATCTGACTCTCTCCCCACGCCCGCACTGAGCTTCAGTCCCCAAGCAAGGTCCACAACCTTCTTCACCCCCTCCCCTCCCCTCGCTCCAGCGCACGCATCCATCTAAGTAGCGGTACTGCACCCGCCCCTCTTCGGACTAAAGCACCCGCCACCAACAACATCCACACGATCCCAGCCCGCCAGCGTCGTATCACCACCCCTCCCAATTTTAATCTGACTCTCATAGTACGAGCCCGAGGGCGCATTCGCCGGGTCCGTCACGAAATCCGCCAAAGTCTTCGTAATGTCCAGCATGCCGCTCCACGTGAATGGTTGCCCGTTCGTATTGTTGTACTGGGCCCACGTCTGGCCGAAGTGCACGTCGGCGCCGATGTCGACGGGGTCGGTGGGACTCTGCACGAAGGTGCCCGAGAGTGAGAGCCCTTCGCCTGGGTGGTAGGGCGCGTTGGGCTGGTCCTGCAGGGCTTGTGTGAGGGCTTGCGTGAGCTCGATGAGGGCGCTGTAGAGGGCGGCATTGTTGATTGGGGTGGATGAGGAGGGTCTGATGTAGATGTTGAGGGAAGAGTCTTTTTGGAGGGGGGTCTGGGAGAGGGGGAGTTGGGGGTCGTAGTTGGGGTTGGGGATATGGTTGCCAATGGTATTGTTAGAGCTGCTGGGTGCGGCGTTTGAGCTGCTGAAGGTGAGGAAGAGGGGGGCGAGTGCGAGGAGCGTGTTGGAGAAGTACATGGTGGCTGATGTGGGTGTAGATGCTTAGACAAGAAGGAAGGATTTGATATATGATTTGTTTGTGGAGGAGTTGGGAAGGAAGATTCTATGATCAAGAGTAGTCGAGAGCTTTGTGTCGAAGTGATGGCTTGGGACTATATAGAAAGCGCGGGCTTGTCTTCTCGGCGTGATAGTGTTGGCCGTGTCTTAAGGCAGCCTAATTTATTGTCCCTCAACTGTATGCTATTATTATCCAGAAGGTTCGATGTGATGTCCAATTCGCCATTGAGCTGCCATTTGGACTGGCGTATGTTGGTATCAGGAACATTTGGCTACGCGATACTCGGATCGTGAGCCCGAGGCGGCTCCTGTTTCGCCTTAATTTCACAGCCTCATCGCACGGTCGTCATTTGCCCTGTTTCCCCCTGTTTCGTAGTATATAAACCTTTGGCATCGTTTATGCGACCACGATCAACCTTAATTGAATGTGTCAAGCTCAGACATCGACCAAGCTACTTGCATGGGCCCCTGCTCTCTTGCTATTTCGAGCAGAAACGGGATGTTTTCAGACTTAACGGCATACTTCCAAACATCGCAGCAGGCAATTGCTTGATCAAGGCCTCCTTCAATATCATATTGTCGCGTATAGTTCTCGGCCCCTTTTCATACCACCAATCTGAATATAGCCACAAGCAACACATTGAACCTGCTCGTCCTCGCGTGAAAAAACGTTTGATCTTGCAGAATACCAAGTCCCACGTCTAAAATTCTGTCCAGCAGAGACCATGACAAAGACGTAAGACATATTTCACGGAATATTTTCGCCTTAAAATTTAAATCTTACAAATGCTCGTCAGATTGGTAACGAATATTCAATTTAGTAGCATCCTATGTCGATGCATAGCGATTATCAAGCCACTTCGGAACCTTTCGCCCCGAAAATTCTAGTCCATCTCTGTAAACAGGTAGAGCAACAAGCCAATTCCGTTTGAAGGATCCAGGCAGCTCTATCGAACTGGATCTTGCCCAAATCGAGCTTTGCTCCTCGCCTCGATCGCTTTAAGCGGTGCATCCATTTTCGCGGGCACTGAAACATCCATGCCCAATGACTACACCTTGTGCTGTGACAGAAATAACACTCTCATGGAGAGATGCTCCTCCTCCATTAGCCCATCCCCCCTGAAGTGTCTGGCAAATATCTTGCAAACCCTGTATGGTAAATTTTTGCAAGGTATTGTACTGGTCTTGAGTCTGCCAGACACTATACTGTACACCCTGAAGAGACGTTGGGTTGCCGCTGGGGGGGATAGCCGAAGGCTCCGAAGGATGAGGAACGGAAGTCGGTCCGGCGGGCTCAGGGGCGAAGGCACCCTCAAGGTTGGGAGTGCCAGGGACATAGACGGCGGAAGCGTTCTCGCTCAGGGCTGCCGTGAGCTGGCTAGAGACCATGTTGAGGGCGAGAATGACGGAGTCTGGAAGCAATTGTCCACCAATGGGTGTAGGGTTTATCGTGAGCTGTATCGAGGTATCACTTATGAGAGTGAGTGTCTGACCTGGGAGGGTAGCAGAATGGCTCCATGGAATGCTTTGGACTGTATCTAAGAGGAGGGGAGTGATGGTGAAAACGAGGGAGGCGGTCAAGAAATGCATAATGCTGGTTGTTTTTGACTGACGATGTGCTTAGTCTGAGGGGTATTGTATTGAGTAGGTCGATTGGTTGAGATGAAGATGTAGAAAGACATCATGAATATATAGTGTCGCTGAGGATCCAAATACTCGGCTGGCATGAATCTAGTCAGGGGATGTTTCGTCGCTTAGTGAACAAAGACGGCTCATTCAAGTAGCCGTGTTACAGCCTCCACATGGGTCACCAAGACTTTGTCAAGCTCGATGTTTCGTATGACTTACGCGACGATCGATTAACCTTATTTCAAGATATTTCTCCAGCCTCATGGAATAATGACAAGCATTAATGATGTTTTGTAGTTACGTCCAGGGCGACGTATTACGCGCTCCTTGTCAGAACCAACAGGCGGGGAGAAATCAATTGACCTTCGACATAGGACCGTAATTATCAGGGCTACAGATGGACGGGAGTTTCGTGTCTTTCCCGATATAATTGTTTCGTCAGTGGTCATAGAATACCCAGTACTTTCCGAGTCCCGTTCACCCTGATGATGTCAAAGGAAGGAAGCAAATTGCGGTTAGAGGTGACCATTCTCATCAAGGGTCATTACGTCAAGGCAAGTCGACTGTAGGAGACGGTCTTGAAGTATGTGCTGTTGGGCCAATGATCAATCCAGTTGAATCGTTTTCTTTAACCAGTTTCATTATGAGACCCCATATCCCGGTAGATCCAGAATTGCGCAAAGATAATCAGGTCCAGCACCAGCGTACCAGCACTGCCAATGAGCCAGCTCGCGTTGACAGCAATGTAGTTCCCATACTGCTCCGCCCACTCATGAGGTAGACATCCGCCCCCTTCATCGTTCTTGGGCCCTTGGCCAAGATCTCCACCCCCGTAGCCATGCAATCCCGACAACCCCGCACACGCCGGCTCGTAAGCAAAAATGCTCATCACATATGTAGCATTGCCCACGCATGCGAAAATGAAGAACAGCATGCTGACACCTTCTGTACTCTTTCTCCGCTGATTGAGAAGAATTTGCGGGATCCTGCTACCCAGATACAGCACTGCACAGAGGTAGCCGAAGATTTGACCCCATAGGTCGAACCTGAGTTCTTCGTCCGATGTCGCGACCGTAACAATGCCATCTGTATTGCTTCCATGAAGATAGCCGATATGTGTGGAGCGAGTGGATAGCCACCAGCCCAACACGCCTACACCACAGACAACGATCAAAATGCTGGTATTGAAAGTAAAAGTCTTAAGGGAGGGGGTAGGCTTGAGAGTCTCAGCTGCGGCAGGCGTAGATGTTGCGGTCTTTGGAGGGATGAAAGGCGTTGCTGGCGAAAGATAGGTTGCGTCTACGTTGCTGGCGCTGGCCGCAGAAATGTAGGAATGAATTGAAGAGAAGGAGCTGCGTTTGCCCCGATCGGCGTCGCTGATGCGCGGGCGTGGTGGTGTACGCGAATCGGGCATAGGAGATGGCAGTAGGGATGTACGCTCGTTTGCATCTTGTGATCTCTCTTCATCAGGTGCAATGGCTTCCTCTTCTGCAATTTCATCCTTCAGTGTAAATCCCTTGTAGTAGAAACATTGACCGAGGAGGACAAGGTCAGCAACGGTGTAGTAAATAGCGAGGATGATCATGGTGGGCAAAACACCCTGCAAGACCGCTCCAAGAATATTGAAAACATCTCCCGCAAGCCATATTACAATGAAGGATAGCGAAAGGCCTTCTGCCGATGATCGGCGGAAGTTCTCTATGATCTGAGGAGAGAAGACGACGACCCAGCAGGCAATTGAGATGGAGCCACAGATGCCGCTGAGGGCTTCGATGTCGATTGAAGAGCCTCTTGAGGGAGACATTATTGTGGGTGTGATGTGGCAGAGAAGATGCGAGGTGGGGAGAAGAATTCTTTACCTAATGACAATAATTGTGCGCTTTATGCATGCTCTAATGCATGACCGTTGCCAAGACATAAGAATTGTACCCACGGGTGATCCTGGTGAGCAGCTGCCCGATCCTTCCTACGTTAGGTTCACCATACTAGAGCGATTCCATTAGGCTGCTTGACTGACCGACCCTCGGGAGCAATTGCTCTTCTTCAAATCGCCAATCATATGGACATGGAGGAGCGAGCACAGTGTAGATAGGGTCTCATCCCGATGACCTCAGCTCAAAGGTCTTGATTAGATCTATGATCTTTCTTCTCGGCCAGTATGGCGAATGAAGAAGTATATCAATACACACCGATCAATGCTGAAACCATTCGCCTCTTTACGATTGTTACCACAGCCACGAGCATCTCATGCCAAGTGCATCACCATGCAGTCAATGACGTTCCTTCATACTGTGCTCTATCATACGTCTGGGGCGATGAAGAAGCGTCCGAATGTGTGAAATGTGATGGCAGAACAATCAGAATCTCGCAAAATCTATGCCTTGGTCTTCAAATGCTTCACAAACAAGTAGGCTCCCAGCTGCTCTGGGTGGACGCAATCTGCATCAATCAAAGTAATGACCAGGAGAAGGCGGCGCAAGTGCCGCTGATGAGCCAAATCTATGCTCTTGCTCAGAAGGTCTACATCTGGCTTGGACCGGTCTCCGACAATAGTGATCTCGCGATGAGCTGTCTTGCTTCTCTTAATGAGACTTTCAGTGTGGTTGATAATCTTGAGGCAGTAGATCGTTCCTCTCTGGCATCATACGATCTACCAACCTTTGATGATCCGATCTGGCCAGCAATCACCCGACTGTATTTCAGAAAGTGGTTCACACGGCTCTGGGTTATGCAGGAAGTTTTGCTGGCAAAGGACATCTACGTCTTGTGTGGAGAACAAGCGGTCACGTGGCAACAGATGGTCAAATTCGCAAATAACTATCGGATCACGAGAATGGTTGACGATGTACTACAACATCATAAAATCCCCTACAACAACCCAGAATTGCCTGACCACGGTTTCTCTGCCGTACCAATACTCGACATTCTGAGAGACATGATCGAAGATGGTAGAATTATCAACTGTATGAGTCTGCTAGAAATGGCTCGTCGCAAGCTTTCGAAGGAGCCGGTCGACAGGGTGTATGGTGTTTTGGCAATACTGCCCTCTGAGATGCGAAATAAAATTCGTGTAGACTATTCACCAACTAACCGCGAGCAATACTGGCACACATTTATTCAACTTTTCACGGCGCTGATTGAGAGCGAAGGCCCAAGGGCTCTGTCGATGGTCCCATCTCGCGGTCGATGCCTTGAATTGCCCTCATGGTGCCCCGACTTTCAGTTTGAGAATTCAATGAACTCTTTGGGAAAACATTACGCAGCTGGCGTCATGCCTAGCCACAGCGATAAAGCGGGTCCATCCTCCATCAAGATTGGTCCTGGACCCGGCTCTTTGCAAATGCGTGGCGTGCTGATGGATGGTGTCAAATCCACCTTTCCGCTAGCATGGAAATACATTGACGCGGCTCAATACGACCCAAGGAGCGCCGCCAAAGTGGTAGAGTGTGAAGAAGCCTGTCTTCGATTGTCAAGGCAAATTTATGGCGCTCAAGAAGAAGTCCCAGTTCAACATGTGACAACTCTCGTGGCCGGCATGACCGTTACGCGGTCCCATTACTCCATGGACCAAATCCGTGCAGACTACAAGCTCGCTACACAACGCTTTCGTGATTTCTGCAAACAGCCTTCGGATCAACAGGGGACTCAAAGTAATGCCAATCAGATAGCTTTTGACAGATATAAGAGCGCGATGAAGATTACCTGGCGGCACACGAACTTCTTTACCACGACGAATGGTACTATCGGCGTTGGCTTGGAAACCATTGAGCCAGGGGATGACATCTGCATTGTCTCGGCTGCGCATACACCGTTCATTTTTAGGAAGAATGTAGGCTGTGAGACGTATGCTTTTCATGGTGAGGCGTATGTCCACGGACTTATGGACGGGCAGGCTTTCGCTGCTAAAGATCCTGTGAGCAATGTACAAGACTTTATAGTTCAGTAGAAGCTAGATTAGCCAGATCTCCTTGTCTTGCAGACCTACCTCCGACCATCTCGACAAATCGGTGGATACGATCATGCGTCCAAGTAAGCAGAGTATATTGATCGCTTGATACCTCAATACGCCAAGCAGATGGAATTGTGCCCCGATCTCACTGCTCCCCAGGCCTCGGATGAGAAGCCTCCTTATGGTCGCGCGATGGTGGGTGATCGCCTGTACCCTCCGCTCACCTCGACGCTACATAGAACGGCAACACCTGCGCGACATCCAGATGAGCGGGTGTTACATTTTCGTTGTCTTGGAAAGCCAAGTCTGCATATTCTTGCCTCCACAGATTCTATACCTTATTGGACCTCGGACACCACCAGAGTCTCTTCACTCGCTATCCACGGCTCAGACATTGACATCCAATGAAAGGCAACCTTTGATCAAAGTGAAGTCACACCCCCGTCCAAGGATGCGAGTGTCCAAACCAATTAGCTTTGACTGTGCAGAGGGAAAGCGAGGGCAGGAGGGGAAAGAGTGATGAGAGCATGTCACCATAGCTGCGTTTGGAGAGAAGTGGCTCCTGGTGACTCCGACAAGGTAAAATTGAATTTCACATGGTGGAGGACGCGTAAAGCGCCCCCATGCAGTGGTATTAGCCCCGGTAAGACTCGCGGTGCGCTTAACGTACTACCATGTGTCGGAAGCAGGAACATATCCCACTCAACATCCCTCGTACCTCTGTATCGGAAGACGAAGTCGGCTATTTCCCATGTGTTCTATTTTCCGAAAGACACGTTCACAACCCCACGGCCAATCCCACCCACGCACCTTCACGGCCCCTTCGGGACCGCCAAATTCTCTATCACAAGCCCTCCGTTCTCATCAGCATAACGCCATTTCTTCCCAGCATCCTGCGCAGCACTCGAATTCAGCGGCTTGAACTGCTCAAAGTTCTCCCTGCCCGTCGTATCCCTACCGTCTCATCAGCATTTCCCCTCCCAAACCCCCCGTCCCTTTCAAAAAAAACCAAGAAGGAAAACTCACTTATACCCCAACAGAAAATTAGGCCCACACAACAACGGATTGCGCCCACAATCCGGATCCGTCGACTGCTGCACTCTCACATTCCAATCCGTACCATCCGTACCACCCCCACCAGAAGAAGAACAATTCAAAGCCTGTTCGCCCGGCCGATCTGCGCCCAGTGCCGCACTGCAGAGTATACCAGCCTGCCTATCATCGCCAGGAGCGACTAGGAGCCAGTAATACGCTATAGCAGCGGCGCGATTGAAGGCGACTTCGGCGCTTAGGTAGAAGCCTGGTGCGGGAGGGATGTAGGGGCGCCGCTGGCGGGGAGAGCTGCTGCGAACGTGGTTGCGATAATGGTGGAGAGGAGGAGGGGGATTGTGGATGTGCGCATTTTCTTTCGTGTTTTCGTTCGAGATGGAAGACTGTGACAAGAATGGGATGGGATGGTTTGGTATTGGATTGGATTGGATTGGTGAAGCTTTATAGAGATTTTCGATGGTGAAAAGGAAGGCTAAATGGGGCTCTTGTCCAAACCAACAGGCGTTGATAGCCGCAGATTAGGTAGGTATTGAGGTGAGACTTGACATCCGCTTGGCGCAGCCGCATGAGGAACATTTTTTCATGAAGATACATCCCTAGGTTTCGTGGGCTGTGTTTCGCGGGGGGAAAGACCCGGATATTTGCCCTATTGCTTCAGGGTTTGCCGCAAATAGCATACTTTGTAGATGTGCGAGATAAGGAATTGCAGACTTCATCCGCTGATTATTGTCGGAGACGACTGGAAAAACCAGACGATTGCAGTGGATTGCGAAACCCCTAACTTGAGAATCTGGGGCCCACCATCCAAGGATGAAAAGCTCACCCCAAGAAACATGTCACGGTCAGGATGTAGCGTTATAAAACTTCACGTATCTCAGTACCATGCAGAGTTTGCTCCCAACGCTGTACAACCGACGAGATTTTTCCAGAGAGAAACGACGAATGACTTTGAAAAAAGTAATTTGATAACAAGGGTATCTTTCGCTAAATGCATCGTCGTAGCACTTTTCTCTTCATGCGCTCACATCAATGCAACATCATACATACCTATACACCCCTGACTCATGTCCCTTGCTCTTTCAACCATGCAGCATGCTTTTTTGTTTGCGCCTCCCATTCCTTCTTGAGCTTCTTTGTTCTACTCTTCGCCAGCTCGTTGCCTTCCTTATCTTTGGTCGGGAGTCCGGCGGCGTCCCACTCTCTGAATTGATCCAGGTAGGCACCGACCTTGAACATATCCGAAGGCTTCAGTCTCCCCTGGTCCTTCCTCTGAGCAGCTTCAGCTTCTCGTTGCCGCTTCGCTTTCGCCTTCTGCAGCTCTCGCTCCTCCTTCGCTTTCCGCTCTTCGCGTTTTTCCTTTGTCAGGGGCTTGATTAGGGCCGGCTTATTGCCGTCTTGGTCCTCCAGGTCAATGTCTCGATCAAAAAGAGCTTTGTCTCGAATTTCGTCAGCGATTCGTAATACACGAAGTTGAAGGCCAGCTTCATCGACAATTGACTCAAGAGATGTCTGGAAGAATTCCATGACGTCCGCGAAAGGTTGGTCGGGGCGAAGCACACTTGACTGCTGCTTGCTAGTCGCAACGGCGTCATGAATATCAGCCAGGGTAAGGTCACCCTCGTTCTTAGCCTTTCCTCGAATCTCGTCTCGAAGACTTGAAATGGCTACCAGAGCAGGTCGTGCATTCTCCGATACGTCCAGGCCAGACCATCCAAGCGATACGTCGGTCGGTCTCGCTGTACCATTGAGTCCAAACATGTTGACAATTGCAGTGATCCATCGTGCGATACGGTGTGACACAAGCGGCTGCACATTAGAACCAGCAGAATACCACTTCGTAATTAGTTCTAGGATACTACTCATCACAATACGGGTGTGGAAAGAGTCAGCAAGAGCATTGTGCACCTTTTCTTTCGCTTGCTGAAAAGAAACTTCGAGAGGATCTGGGTACTTCTCTTTTTGTGGGCTTAGTGAGTGGGCGTCTGTAGACATAATAGCGAGTGCCAGAGGATCCTTGTTCCATTGCTCGTCAAGATCCAGATGCACTTTTGCGCTTTCTAATGAGTTCCTGACTTTAATGAAGAATTCGTTTACTCTTCCCTCCCACGCGACACTTTCCTGCTTCAGCTCGTCTGTGATCTCAACACTATCTTTCCATGACCCGAGGAGTAGTACTATGCGAAGCTGTCGCGACGTCCAAACGCCACGGGTTAGGGCATCACGTATCGTAGTAAAATTCTTCAGTGATTTTGACATTTTTGCTCCCGATATCGATAGATGACCCATATGAAGAAAGTAGTTGACCCATTGGTGTTGCTGTTTGTGCGCTTTGTCTACCCAGTAAGCTTCACTTTGCGCTAATTCATTGTCGTGATGAGGAAAGGCTAGATCGACACCTCCAGAATGTATATCAATCTTGTTTCCTAGCTTTTCAGAGGCCATCGCTGAGCACTCAATATGCCATCCTGGTCTTCCCTCGCCCCAAGGACTTGGCCAGCTTGGCTCCCCCGGCTTCGACAGCTTCCACAACGCGAAGTCGGCTTGCGACCGCTTCTCAGGATCTCCTTTGGACTCTTTCCCTGTTATTGCACCTTCACCATCAGCTTGAAGAGCAGCGTCATTTCGATTCCAAGGCTCAAGACGTGCATAGTAGTTGTCGGCCTTCTCAAATGCCTCCACGTCAAAATATACGCCTTTGGATGTCTGATAAGCGAAACCATTGCGTTCAATTCCTTCAACAAATTCTACTATTTGAGGCACGGACTCGCTGACTCGTATAAGCTGATCAGGATCAAGGACATTCAGATCTCGCATGTCCTTCGTGAACCTCTCTTCATATCGTTGCGTCAGACCCGTGAATATACTGTGATCTTTAGCATCGACAGATTTTCCCTCCTCATGATCAAGATAAGGCATCAGAATTTCATCCAATGCAATATCGTCCACATTTGTTGGTTTCCCGCCCGCTCCTACATTCTTCAATGCGCCAGCTGCAGCCAGAGCCGTCTTGATATGCATTTTCGTCTTTGCTTCTGTGTCTGATTGTGAATCCCGGCTCAAAATGTCATGATACGTCTTAGGTAGGGTAGATACGAGCTTGACAGGGGCTGCGTTTGGATCGGAGTATTGGAGGTTTTTCGAGAGGTGATATGAGAGTGCTTGAAGAGTGGTAGACAGGTCACTGGGTCTAGTTGATTTGTATCTTTGGAGCAGGTATTGTTGGCGGCCTCTGAGGATAATCTAGAGAGTATTAGTGGCAGGTTCTAGAAGATGTGAGGTTATACAGCTGGTAGACCCGTTGGCCCCTGTGTACCTTGTCGTCAACATCCGTAATGTTCATCACATACTGTACCCTGAAGCCAAAGTAATCCGCCATGATGCGGCGCAGGATGTCCGAAGTGACGTACGTTCTGGCATGTCCCAGATGCGCGTCATCATACACCGTTGGACCGCATGCATACCAGGAGATGTGCAGGTTTTTGCTGGATGGCATGAAACGGTCTTTATTCCGTGTCAGGGAGTTGTAGATACGAATAGAGGGTGTCAGGGCATCCGTAGAAGCTTGAGGTGCCTCCCAGGGGGCTGTGTCTGGTTTGTGGACGCCATAGCATTGTAGCTATGGAAAGACCGTTGTGGAAGATGGCATGCGTCTCGTTGCTGTAGGAAAGGGTTCACGGTAGATGTTGACTTTAAGCAGCGACGCCAAGGTGACAGCAGACTCATGTAACCGTACAATGGGTTGGATAGCGGAGCCTGGCGTGCAGACTAAGTAGGAAATACCACTGGTGAATCTTATGGTGACTCCCGTCCGATGCTCCACCTGCCAAGTGTTGGATGACTAAGCCTATCCGCAACCAACGACAGGGGTGATGACTCATCATTACATACCCAGAAAAGTCCCGGGACTTTTGTGGGTAATATTTTACTAGTCAGCTAATAAGCAAATATCAAATTAATATAAGTGACTATACTCTCTACAAAAGTAGCACTAAGTCTCTCTTATAATGAAGCTACGTTCAATCTTCAAGCTCTCGCCGTCTTCCTTATGCTCCTATAGATGAGCACTACTAGCTTTCAGAAAGCCGCTTTTGATCTTAGGAAGGAGGGTTTTAAACCTAGGGGTTCAACTTGAATCATAGTGATGTATATATGGTCATTATTTTCCCTCGGATAAGCCCATCTACTCAATCCCGTAGTTTGTCTCAACACAGAATTGGGCATAACACCTATCTACGCATTTATGATGTAAACAATTCTTCCTTGGAGATAGAGGCTATCACCGTATTACTCCGGACGTACGGTGTAGAAAAGTTAACCGACCATGCTCTGACATTTACGTTCCTTGATATCCAACCGTAGTCGATCACAATGGCCCAGCACTTGTCCACCGCAATGACGCATGGCTCATGCCGTAAGCTATTCACCTCTCTGCTCCTTGAACGCCAATAACTAGAAAACCAGTATGCGGTAAATGCACGCTCATCTTCCACGGAACGCCCCAATTCAAAGTACTGTTCTCAAATCCCGTCTCCTCCTTTCCCCCCCTCCCCCCTCCGCCCGATCCCCCATTGCTCCCATCCGCGGCTCTGCTATGACATAAAGCTCACCGGCTGCTACCTTCAAATAGTCCATCTGCCACTGCATCGACTGTCGTCGAGTATCCGGGAGCGTAATCAGCACCAACCTCTTTGTCGAATCCTCCGCCCTACAGCTCCAGACCGGGGAGCCGAAGCAGTTCAGTAAATTGACGGATGCTGGTAACACGATCACATCTTTCTTTTGCGGGGACTGCGGGACTACGCTCTGGAGGGAGAGTAATGGGATTTTGGTGAGTGAAAGGTCATCGCGAATTGGCCGTCGGTTGGAGCGGGACTGGGCAAGATATGCTAATGCCGTAACGTTGCCGTGGATCAGGGAGTCAAGGTTTTGAAAGTAAGTGGCCGAGAAGAATCGATCCGGTCATTTTTGATGAGTTGTGAGCTGAAGATAGTCTAGGAAGGAATTCTAGATACGTTGTCGAGCGAGAAGCCGAGTGTGGAAGCATATGCTGATCGAAGGGTTGAGTGGTTCTCCAAAGTGAAATGGGCGGAACAGCAACTGTCGGGCACTTAAGATGAATTGAACATGGAAACAAGGGCCGTGATTCAGCAGCTAAACATTCCCGTTGTATTTCCATAGAATATCGTTGTTGTAGGTAAGTTGAAAGGCCGGACTGGCATTCACATTGCTCGAGATATCAGCCGTTGCGGTGTAAAGATCGAAACACCGGCAATGCCTTGGGTCAAGCAAGCAAATGTCCGGGCAAGGCGAATGCGAGTTCAAACGTCCCAGTCCCGCCTTAGCTGCTCCACCCATTTGCTGACCTCCATCTCTTCGCCTCGGTACACAACAGTGTCTTCACGTAGCCTTTCCTTGAAGTGAGGCACATCGAAGTAATCGTGCTTCGGATTGCACAGCAAAAAGGGCCTTCGATCTTCTTTCACCAATATAAGGCAACTGTCACAGATCTCTATCCCATCGCAGATTCTACACTGGTGTCTAGTGCCTCGAGTGCTCTCTCGGTCGTTGCAGAAGCCATTGCAACCCCAATGTCCAGGAACCTTCCATTCATCGTACTCCATTTCTGGTAGCTCACCGAAACCTTCTTCAATCCGCGTGGGCGTTGCGGTATTGCTTTCGATGTTCGATGCCACTGGTAATTCGGCCTTCGATAGTGCTAACTCATTTTCAGGACTGGGATTTTCGCCTTGATTTTCCCGCCTAGAATCTGACTTATTTTTACGTACAGGCCATCTCGTTGTGAAGGCGGCGGCAGCATGGTCATCATGACCTGCCGCTAGTAATGTTGCTATAAGCTTATCAAAGGCATCCCAGTCGTTAGCAGGATCGTCGTCGGTCAACAGGTCAATGCCCAGCTTGATATGCGGTTTGAAACAAGCCGTAGCTAAGACTTCTTGTTTCATGAGTAAATACAGGCTCCCAAGAGTTATAGTTGTGTCGTTGGTTGAGAAGAGGAAAATGGGTTTCTCGGTGCTGTCACCATCATCCTCCAGAACCCTTCGCTGCGATAATCTTTCTATCTTTCGGACAGTTTTATCGTATTCTGAGGAGCTCTGATCGGACAATAATGCTAAATTGTAGTACAGGACCGCGAGTTGAATCGAGGCTTGAGCTACAGCGTAAGTGAGGTGAGAAGTCGATTTTGAGGTTTTGGAAGACTTGATCATGGCTTCCCATGTTCTCACAGCAACCACTTCGTCCTTGAACTCCCTAAGAATATAATGTCCGAGCCAGTAGTGTATCCAAGCTGCATCACTTATTCTCAATTTTGCTCTGGCCACTTTCATCGTCGACTCAAGATTCTTTCTGATGAATTCTCTTTGGTCCGTCTCACGAGCTGTTCTGGCAATAAGGAAGTAGAGATAACTAAGGGGACATGTCAAATGGTCTTGCAACAGCAATTGAAAGGTGGAGAACCCTGGTTTTGACGAAACTTTGTCATCCAATTCTTTCAGGATACCAAGGACGGCTTCATAATTCTTCTGTCTGTCCAGTACCTGGAGCATGCCACCTATGATACCCGGCTCATCTGGGACTACTTGCAAAGCCTTTTTGTAACTGTCAAGTGCGAGCTTGGAGTTGCCATTTTCTTCCGCCCAGGAGGCAATCTGGTGGCATGTATGCCAAAGATAGTCCCGTAAGCTTGTCTCACGTCTTGAATCGTCCAAAATTAGCTCCTGAGCTTTGAGCATATGCTTGATTGCGTTATCTCCCCGTTCGTTTCGGTGCTCATAGTTCGCAATGCCAGAATGCGCAAGCCAAAGATTCTCGTCAAGCTGCAATGCTTTGCAATACTCTTTAAATGCATCTTCTTCATTTGTGAATTCTTCTAGGGCTTCGGCGAGACGGGCATGCCATAGAGCCGTTTTTGGACGTTTGGCCCATTCTGCGATTTCGCGTACCATCGTACTTCCGACATCTTTCCTCGCCAAGAATGCTGGCAAATCCATCTTATGCGTCAATTGGTTTGTCTGTAGAAATAGACATACAACAATTAGCCTGAAGTTCCGCCAGGATACAGACAACCACGTTAGAGCCTCACCAAGTCCATATATCTCCAGATCAATAGGACACAGCGCGAAGAAGCCCACAAAGTATCCTCCAGCCATGCAGTGGCTGCAACTTCGGTCACCTGTCTGAAAACCTCCGTATCTGACGGTGTTATTGTCGCGCTGTTGCTTTGATCAGCGTCAGAAGCGAAATGGATATCCTCATCTTTGAACCATTTCTTGATGACCGAACTAGATGCATCTGAGTAGTACCATTCCTTGAATCTCTCGATCAGAAGCCCGAGCCACCGTCTAATATATTTGTCTTCGCGTAATGTCTTCTTTAGGAGGACCTGGATCTCATACTTTGATTCTAATTCAATGGCAGACAAATCAATGTCTTCAACATATTGCATCCAGTCCTCGGCAAAAGATGTTATAAACTTGTTTTCCTGCAGGGCATCCCAGACATCATCATTGCACCACATGTTTAGGCAAGCTCTGGTTACTTTCAGGCGAGCGTCGTGAATTTCTAGACCAACCCCTGCAACGATGCCTCCACTGTTCTGTCGGAAGAACTCGCCGATACTGGCGTGTGCAAAATTGACTACTGTCGTGTGAGGATCTGACTGAAACTCAGTCTTTGTGTCTTCCCCATCATTTGAATCTGAATTGATTAAGGTAGAAGTAGAACAGACAACGCCGTCATCAGGAACCAGAGACTCTAGGTCAGTGGGTTCTTTATGATAGCTTTGCAAGTCCTCTGTAGTAAGCCCGTCGACTCGAGTTATGGTGAAAAATGATGCATAACGAGTTCGGAGGTCTCCTTTCCGTACGTCAACTTGTAACCCAGGTCAAAGCTAGGCAAGTCAGAAACAAACCTTCCATGTCAATCAGGCCCTCGCCATCTGCTGATTGGATCTTGAAGAAAGTGTCGAGTTCCCCCAATGTCAGGTGGCGTTTCGTACACGCAACCCAAGCTAGGATTTCATTCAGGTCTGCAATTGTGTCCTCCGTTGATGTGTCGGCGAAGCGCTTCAGAACATGGCGTATTGTGTCTGGTAATCCTCTGGGAAGTCGTGCAAGCGTTTGGCGAATTTGATCGATCCTTCGTTTCTCCGAGATCTCCTTGATCATCAGGTCTACCCACAAAAACATTCCGTCGGCTCCTGCCATTAGATTCTTCTCAACCTCTTGCCTGAAGCTTTGGGAAACACGTTTGAGAATTTTTACCTTGCCAACGCTTTGCTTCACATACTCATTCATATCCTTCGATGTCTTATTTGCTGAGACGAAGATGCTAGCAACATTGTCGCCGAGAATACTGTCAATAGCCTGATTTAATAAAGGACGACCCACCAGTGCGATCTGAATGCGAGGTCTTATTTTACCGTCCACCTCTTCGTGCAGATCGACGAGAAGTTCAAGAAGCTCTGGGACTTCATTTTCATATGCCTCGTCAAGCCCATCTATCAATATAATAGCCTTGTTCCCAAGCCCTTCCTTTTGAAAGAATTCAATGAACAGGGTACGCCAGATGCCTTCGGTGGTATGGATCCTCCCAATGGAATTGAATACGCTGAGGCAATACTTAGCATAGACCGGGTCATTCTGGCATATCTGAAACGAAAGACTCCTCAGGATCTGTTCGACTGATCTTAGCTCCTGAGAGTAGTCTTTGCAAAAGAAATATGCCACCGACGTCCATCGAGTATCACCAACACCTTGAGGAAATGAAGCTGTCATATGTTGCACGATGTTGGAAGAGGTGAACGATTTGCCTGCTCCGGGTCCACCGTACAACCATATTGTGGAAATTTCATCCCGAACCCACGCTTGAAAGACCGGTTCTTCACGCACCCAATTGCCAGAATTTGGCATGCGCTTTCGCGATATGCTCTCAAAGATTTCTTGAGGCATGTGGCTTGAATTGAGGGAAGCCTCCAGTAGCTTCCGATCTCGTTCTTCTTTCAATTCTCCTTTCAGATCTGGAACCCATGACGCGATCGAGTCAGCTCATTATGGTTTCAAAGAATGCATTGGGTTTGAACTGAAGATAGCAATTGATACTCACCATGGATACCCACATTCATGTTTGCAAGCTGGGATCTCATCTCGCCCACGTTGTTATTGATGCCATCTAAAGTTCGAGAGCTCTGTGTCACGGTTGAGAATGTCAAAGCACCAACTATTCGCTCCTCACTCTGCGTCAGTCTTTCTAAATTCTTCAGCTCAGCCTCTACTTTCTCGTCCTTGCCAAGGACAAGGCCTGTCAAATACTTCTTCACTCTTCCACGCTTAATAGCTTTCGCAGAAAGATCGAAGATACGAAGCAAAGACAGGATAATATTCACGATAACCTCGCGAAGTTCGGCTGGAATAGTATGCGTTGTGTGGATTTTCAGGCGCATGGTAAAATCCTTTAACTCGGCAAAAAGTGTAGTAATTGCATCATAGCAAGCACTTACACCTTTACCTGTCTTTGCGTAGATTCTGTCAGTCAGGAATCCATTACGACGCGAGGAGAAAAGACTCAAAGGCTTACTTCAATCAAATACATTACCGCGCTGAACACCAGTGCACTCGGAGGAAAAGCTATTTGGGCTCCCCCACCGGCCAGACTGCAAAGGAATTCGACTGGTTTCAGTAAATTATTGAGAACTTTGAACAGCGTGTGCCTTTTTTCTCTGAACTCCGTAAATCTTGACTGTTGGTTATCAATTTGGTGAAGTAAGGCGTCCACTGAATCCAAGTCCCTGCCCTGGGCGGCTGGACGCTGGCCGAGTGTATCGGCGTAGGTAGCTGTGCAGGCGCAATGAATAAGTCTGGAGAATGTTAGGATAGCAAGTAGTACATACCAGCAGCATGAGCCCAGATGTCAGCAATTTGAGTCTCATTCCCCTCGCTCGGTGACAGAGTTGCCATGATATCGACAATAGAATACTTCGACTACTATATAGAGCTTTCCGATGTCGGCATCATGACACCTGTTCGGCAACAGCGACGTCGAGTGTCGTATCTCGGACAAGCGCCAAGGTGATAATTATCCCCATCTTTATCAATTGTGTAAAGTGTATAAGCCGAAGTGATAATTCTTTGATGACATAGATATCAAGATAAATCTGGAAGGCAGTCATGCCAGGGTGTATCCGTGCTGCTGATAGGGCAGCCTAAGTCGCGCCAGAAGTGAAGCATGAAGAATGCTTACTGTCAATTGCCAGTAATTCAGCCTTGTGGCCTCGCTAGTTCTTCTCATGACCCCGCTCTCGATCGTCCCTCGGCTGAGATGGCCGACTTCATGCATGACTAGTATGCACCGGCAAGAGACTCGTACTTGTAAGAATCATTCCGCCAGCGGCCCCCCCCCCAGCGTCTTCCTTATCGTATCCACTGATCAATGGCATCTTGAGCAATACTTGGTCTAAGAAAGTCGCGGATGAAACCCGCCAAGGCGATAGAGCATAGTTAGCATACTAACTTTGCACAAATACCTCCACCGTTTAGACAACGAGGTGAAGAAGTTTTAGCGATCCCAGTCAAACCCATGGCGACGATGGACGGGAAGGTCATGACAAAGCTCTTCAAATACCACACGCTGTAGATTCATTCGCTATGCTGCTACGCTATGCTATGTAACTCCAACAAGAGCGCCAACGCTACGAATTCTAATCTATCGGTCAAGAAATCTTCTCCATTCCAATCCTCCCCACAGATATAGTGATACAAAGCCCACCCAAGCAGCCATGCAGAGTGGTTCAGAAGCCTGGCATGACTGCATACCCTGTAATTGACATGCCACCATTGCCATCACTTTCCCAATCCCCACCGGCTCCAAGAGGCTGTCCCTGGAAGATAGCCCGGCCCGTCACATTCCTGTAATTCAGTCAGCCACCATCACCACCACTCGAAGATTCCGGGTCTCAACTCACTGATACTGAATCAAGAAATTAGGCCCACACTCCAACGGACTGCCCCCACAGCTAGCATCCGTAGGCTGCTGGACGCGAATATTCCACTTATCCTGATCACTGCAATCGAGTCTTTGCTGCCCAGGCCTATCCGGACCGAGTTGCGACGCGCAGCTCACAGTGGCGGGCGAGTCCGCGCAACGCCAGATTTTGGCCGAGTAGGAGGAGGTGCCGTTGCTGAAGCCGACGTTGCTGGCGAAGTAGAAGGCTGGTTCCTGCGGTGCGGTGGAAGGGCCTACTTCGGTGGTGTCGGCGGTGAGTCTGTAGGAGGTGGGGAGGGCGGTCGTGAGGGTCGATGCCATGAGGATTGTCTGGGAAAGTGAAGGGCGGCGCATTTTTGGTGGGTGATGTGAGTGTGACGTCCTGAGATGAACAGGAAACATGCTGAGATGGGTACTTGGTACTTGTATATTTATACTGTTCTGTGAGTGTGAGGTCGAAGAAGGCCTAGCTTTTGGTATAGGCGCATGTTGGTGTAAGAGCGTCGTCATGCGCTTGCCGCCAGCACGGGATGGCGTGGGAATCACATGCATACCATTTAGGTTCAACCATCGGTTTCCGATCGAAAAGACGTCATGGTGATCATGATCATCGCAGGGAATTCCCACCTGTTGCGTGGGGAGGGGGGTCCACAGCTGCTCCACCGAAAGCCAGAGGATTGATGGACATGTTATACGCTTGCCGCTTGAAACGCTGCGGCTCAATATGCCCTTCTAGGTATTGGACTCGCTTCGCTGCTGCTTAAGCTACCCTAAGAATGATGACGATCTTGAGGCAGCGCTCGCTGCGCCAAAGCCATCGTGATCGTGGCATGTAATAGACAAGCCTGGAAGGTTTGGTATGCTTCCCGCCGAGCAGAAAGAACGAGTAGATAGATGTGAGTGGAAATTCGAAAACCCTCGTGAGCCTATGAAAGCATATGGCGTCCATCTCGCCACAAGCTGCTGACTTCGCATCCTTATATTGAGATTTTCCAACCCGGAATCCACAAACAGCGGCTGTGCTTGTTACATCATCGCGTAACGTACTCATCATTCTAGGCCACTGACCGTATGAGAGCATAGACCCATCGAAGAGCATGCCTCTTGAAAGAATGATTCGGTGATCCCTTGTGACCATGCCAAGGGTGGAGACGTATTTTGTAACTCGTTGATACAATGTTTATGCGACAAGGAGTGAATCACGAACTCGACCGGAAAAGCTGTACTGTTATGAAAATTTCCGACGCTACCCAATCGTCATCTCGTAGCATCAAGATGTATTTTTGGTCTGTATAGACGTTCTACCGGAGGCTAGATTCTCACCTGGGTACGGGGTCTTGCTCCCTACCAAGTTCAAAGTGCTTCGACTTCACGATCGCAGGACTTTTCTTGTTGGAAAACGGAAATCACCCGTGGAGGTATTCGCTCAACTTGCTTCGGTTATACAATCACACGATCGCTGATGCCCAGGTTCACCTACGTATATCGTCGGCGTCGAGAACCTTCACCTCGAGAGGAATCTCATTCCTAATCCCCAAATGGCTTTACGTAAGCAATAAAGTTTCTTAATCACGTAGTGTTGGTCGAAAGTCAACGATTTTTGACCTTGAATTCGCGATTTGCCAAGTATCAGATTCTTTAAATTCCTCCAGTAAATCATCTAGCCATTGGTCAAGGGCCTCGGTCTGATCAGGGCGGAGCTTTGCCTCAGAAGGCACAACCTTCATGAATGAATGATCACGGCAGAGATTCACAAAGGGAGGCTTGCGATCTTCCTCGACGCATTTACAGCAAAGATTGCACAGGGGACACACTTTGCACACATTGAACCAATCAACCTCGCTCAAGTCTTCCTCGCAGCATTCACAAAGAGGTAACCCAGTCAAAGCTGCCTGCTGGTAGACAAGTCTAGCACGATCTTCCATGTCGAGAATCAAGAAACAACGAGCCAAATTGTATAATCGTGCGTTTGCTAGCCTGTCATGTTCTCTGATTGCTGAAATGAGACCACCTATGCTGCGGCATATGAGGGTAATATCCGGGCCAATTGGTGTGCTGTTAGACTCTTGCGTGCTTTGTTGGGCTATTTCGAGGTTCGGCCGCAGTCTTCGCAGCCAATCTAGGCAGCTCATTCCGTACATATCAACAACAAACAAGCTCGCACCTGCTTTGACTAGATACTCCGTAATTTCGTTTGACGCCCGCCTAATTGCTATGTTCAGTGGGGTCTCTCCAAAGATTGATTTCATATTAAGATTGCAGCCTTTGGAGACGAGAATTGAAATGATGGCCAGTTCACCCTTGTAGGCTGCTGCATGGAGCGCGCTTATGCCATGTATTCCCGTGGCATTGATATCGGCTCCGTGGTCAAGAAATAGACTAACTATATCGTCAAAGCCCTTCCTGGCCGCCATCATGAGCAGTGTTACTCCGTCGACATTTGCATGGAATTTGGCTCCTTTTTCAATGAGTAATCTCGCTACCTCGAGACGGCGCTGTTTATTATTCATCCAAAGTGCGTACCATAACGCCGTCAATCCTTCGTCATCCTGCGTGTTCACATCTGCCCCACCTTGTAGCAATTGACTCACGACGTCTGTGTGACCATTGTGTACTGCATGGAAAAGAGGCGTGTCACCGTCGCTATCTCCCGTGTTGACGTTTGCACCGTGTTCCATTAATATCTCTACAACGTCTCTGTGACCCTTGCGTACTGCATAGGAAAGAGGCGTGCCACCGTTGCTATCTCCCGTGTTGACATTTGCACCATGTTCCATTAATATCTCTACAACGTCTTTGCGGCCTTGCCTAGCCGCTTCGTGTAGTGCGGTCATGGAATCATCGTCCAGGGCCTCCACATCGGCTCCATTGGAGATAAGCTCAACTGCTAAGTCCAGGTGACCATTATATGTAGCAAAGTGAAGTGGTGTGCCAAGCGATGTTGAAAGATTGATATTTGCCCCTTCCTGAAGTAACAGCTTTACAACCCCAAGGTGGTTTTCTCTTGCCGCTAAGCTCATTGCACAAACGTTCTTCTCATCGACAACATTTGGATCTGCGCTGTGGTCCAAAAGCAACCTTACCGTGTTCACATAACCTTTCTCAGCAGCCAAACGAAGGGCAGCAGCGAGAGAAACAGATGTTTTTGCTTGCTCTTCGGGACTTTCAGATACTTTGAGCGGGGCTCTTGTGACTTGATCAAGAAGCAGAAGCAAAATTTTCCCATGACCTCGACGTGCGGCCGCCTCTATTGCTGTCTGTATTTCACTATCCGAAAATTTTCTCTCTCTGCCGCGTTTAAGGAGTGTCTTGACGATCGTGCTCTGACCGCCCCGAGCAGCAGCATCCAAGACGCTATGGTAAGGACCTCCTTCGACACTCATATCAGCTTTCCACTTCATGAGACGTTTAAAAGCCTCTCTATAGCCGCGACGGCAGACTATCTGTAAAGGGGTCCCGTATTGAACACTCAAGGTATCTATATTGGTGTTCTCATTTTCGTACAGATACTCGATTGTGGGGACTAGTCCAAACCAGCAGGCATAGTGCATCGAAGAAGTATCAGTCCCGCCGATAGCACCATCGCATTTTGCAGGCTCTTCGACCTCAAAGGCTTGCTTCCACCTCTCGAAATGGTCGTTGTATGGGTTCATAAAGTCATGTACCAGACCACTTATGGCATCATACGAGGTTTTAATGAGCTGTAGATGCACGAACCAATAACGTGTGGCGTAGGCCGTGAACGATGGACCGTCAGTAGCGTTGCCAGAAGCCCAGGCTGCTTCACAATTCAAGAAGCGGATACAGTGGGCAGCTAGTTTGAGATGCTGAGCAGCGTCTGTTGATAACCTACCGAGGGATGAAATGCCAAGGTAGGGCATAGGTAATCTTTCCATAAGATAGTCTTTTACTGAGGCATGCACTAAGTGTAGCGTTTTATTGGCCGAGGACGAGTCTGAATTTTCACGTCTAAGCTCGACAAGAGATCCACAAAGACCTTTGATCTCGCCGTTTATGAAATCGTCATCAAAAGCGTCGGGTAAATCATCTTTACAGAAGGCCTCCTTTTTGTCATCAAGTTGCACCACAAGGGCTTCAGCTATCTCCTCAACTGTCAGTGGTCTGCGGGCAAATGTCAACCATCGAAGGATATCAATTGCACGATCTCGTTCTTCAAGATCCTGAATATACTCCCAATTACGATCGTAGACACGATAGAGCCCTTGAGGCATAGCTTGCACAATATCATGAAGGGCCTTTCTGCTTTTGCCGCCACGTATTCGGTCTTGTTGCAGCTTGATCCATAGAAACATGCCCTCACATCTGTCAGAAATTTGTAGAGCAAGTGTTTCGCGAAATGTAGGATCCTGTCGAGGCAACTTTTCAGCCACTACAGCTTGCGCGAATAGAGAGACGTCGCTTCGCACGTCTTCCTCATCGACTCTCCACTCCAAAATTTGGCACCCTGGCGACGCACTCGAGCTCAGCTCTGTTTCAATATCAACGGTGACACGGCTAGTTATCAGGACTCTAACTTGAGTAGAGGTAACAGCATCTTTCAGCTTAGCTAGAAAGCGCGGTCTTTCATCATTGATGTTATCGAATTCATCAAGTCCGTCCAGGACGAATGTACACGGTTCGTGCGTCTGTTTTGATATTTGTTTGAGCAGAGTCCAAATATTTTCACTTGATGCTCTTCGATCATTTTGCTCCTGGCGCAATTGATCGACCAAATTGAGAACATCACCCCCCGCCCGGCTTATTTGGGTGATCCATGTTCGTACAGTGCTGATGAGATGGTCTGCTCTATTCTTATGGTTTGGAGCAAAGCAGTAGCCGAGAGGGCTCTTCAGGTTTGTTCGGAAGTACTCAATCAAATATGCAGAGATGATGGTCTTGCCAAAACCAGCAGGTCCACAAACCCATAAGAATTTTGCACCAGTGCTGGAGAAGTCTTCGGAAATCCATTTCGCGAAGACTGAGGTATTTCGAATCCAGCTACAAGTCCCATCCAGGCGTAAAGAGACATTCTTTTCGTATTCATCATCGTCCTTGGGAGCATCAAGCCAGATTTCGACACTGTTATGCTTAATCGTATTAGCAGCTTCCAACAATTCTCCAAGACTGCTCGATATAGTATGTGACACTAAAAGAGGTCAGAGTCAATGTTGCGTTGTGGCATCGGGTCCGTACAATCTTTCAAAGCTTCGGCCGTACCCTCTCGCGGGGTCACTATGCCATAGAGTACATCCACCAGCGCTTCGAAGGTGTTTACGTCGTCACTCAGCTTCAGTTTCCCACCAGTAGCCCACGCTAGTCGACTGCTTTTCGAGCTCGTTCGACTGGGCTCAACTTCGTTTCTAATTTTACCAAGATTGATGACCCAATCATCGTTGCGAGCTGAGCGTTGCCTCACAGGCAATTTGAGTGACGTGCTTCTATACTCCACTTTATCAAAGGCTTTCTCTAGGCTACGCAAGACGTTTGTTATGACCAGAGCCGTTTGCGGATCGTCCAGGCGAGTGTCGTGAGGATCCGCAAGGCCACCATCATGTATACCAAGCGAGTTCGCCCAATTCTGTAACTTGAGCTTCGAAGCATTGAAGCGAGCTATTGTTGTCTGTGACCCTGTCGCAAAGTCTTTGTAACTGTCGACTCGGTCTATGATGTCGATTGTGGCATTGTACAGAGAGACGATACCAACTGCAAGGCCGGCGACCTCCATCGGATTAGAAGGACCTCCTATACCATTCTTGATGTTTTCCAGAGACGTATACTGGTATAAGAAATGTCTGGCAGCTAACTCCGAGAATACGGGAGGATGGTGGCTGTCATGGAAAAGAAATCGTGCGCAGCGCTAATTTCAGCCTGGCATCCATGCCAAGGCAGAATTGCTTAGGCTACAGCCAATGCTTTGCAGCCCCAGCTGGCTGATTCAGCTTTGGAATGAGATAGCGTTGTATCTTAATACATTGTTGTCGTCTAGCCCGATGTGATCTCGTAGCTCCAAGCCTCCTTCCCATCTACGAACAGTCTGAACCTACAGAGTCCCTGACCTGTCTCCTCGATATCTTCCATTTCAATGGCAGCCACCTTGCTATTGCCGTCTGGTATATACTTAACCATGTTATCTCGTCCCCACTCTTGCCAATCCATGCCACCTCCATCTTTGTCCTCCCAGTATGTACGTAAAGGCAGGTAGAACATGCTTAGTGGACTCGTACTGAACTCAAAGACGTCTTTACTTCCTTCTTCTTCACCTTGGCCCTGGAAATCTGGCGGTGGCGGAAAGCGAGTTGCAGCAAACTCATGCCGATCACCGCTCAGCACAATAACCCTCACCTTATTTCCTTGCTTTTGCTTGTTGATATTTACCTCCCACATCGCCCGCAGGACTTTTTGGCGCTCGACTAAGTAGCCACCCCATGTGTCTTGCGCATTAATCCTCCAATTGCGCGTGAACGGGATAGACGAGACGACGACTTTGAACTTTACGCCTACCGGCTCGGGGCGAGCAAGCCATGCCAGTAGATCATCCAATTGCTCTTTGCCCAGCATCGTCTTTGCCGCATCGGTTGCAGGCGCCGCCGTTGAAGGGGAACGATACCTCCGCGTATCAAGCATGAAGAATGTTGCGGGACCGTTGCGGAAAGTGTAGTATGTCCGGTTACTCTTCACAGAAGGCGGATTCGCGGCGTGGTGGTAATGCATCCACGGATCAATGGCTGCAGGATAGGGTGCAGATAGACCTTGGTCCCAATCATTTGCGATTTCATGGTCGTCGATCACATGTATCCAGGGCAGAGAATAGGACACGGCTTGATAAAAGGGAGAGGAGTAGACGCGACGATATTCTGCGCGGTAGGTTGAGGGATCGCTGTCATGTCGATGCGGAACATCAATGTAGATGAAATCGCCGAGGAAGAGCATGAAAGATTGTCTGGCAAGGATGTCAAGGACGTTCGAGAGGTGGGAGAGACCAGGAATGTGGAGCGGGTGAGAGAGCGGGTTGTATGGGAAGTTCGGCTTGATGCAGGATGTTGTGAGGAAGGTGACCTTATTGCCTCGAGCAGCAAGAGGTGGGGCGGTAGTGAAAGAGCCGGTATGATTATTTGTGAGCTTGTATTCGTATGTGGTGGCCGGCTCAAGCTCAGCAACCTCGACAACAGAAGTGTAATCTGTATGTGCTGTCGTTTCGTGAATCGTGCCGCCCGGTTTCCAAGGGTCTGCTAGACCTGGCTCTGAGAGTATGGCGTGGTAAGAGACATGTAGAGGGAACCGAGAGGGATCGGGCTCGCGGATCAATATCTTTGCCGTTGTTCCAGATACGTGACCAACGCGTGCGAAAGAGAGATCGTGACTCGGATAGAGTACGGGGCCTCTATAGACAACGTCTAGTGTTCCCAAAACTAGGAACGCATTGACAGCTAATATCACTGTGTTCCATATTTTCCATGATGGCGACGGCAGTCCGAACGCGCCGCCCCTCACAATATTCCAATAGGTGTTCGAACCTTCTCTTTCTGCTTCCTTCGAGGAAGAATGCTTTGCAGCAATGTCATTGTCAACCGACTGTCCTGCATTGGCTATTTTTGGCTTGAGGAGAATCGAGGCATAGTAGGTAAGCGCAAAGGCATATATCAGCGGAGGAAAAGGATGGCCGGGAATCTATCGTAAAATAAGCATCTGTGCTCGACTTTATACGCCACTACTTACCCACCTGAAGAAGACGTAGGAGAGCAAACGGACGGCTGCCGAGCTCAGTCCAGCCAAAGCATCGAATTAAGATACCATGCTGCGGGTCGTGAAAAGCACCTTGTATCAATAGGTATGAGACATATCCTCCACCAGGAGAGACTCTAGAGCCTGTTTTGGGGGAATGTTAACCTTGTGTGGACATTCGAATTTGATGTGTTCTATGAAGCATTTGTCCTGCGCGTATCTACGGGCCCGGGAAGCGTCGTGTCCCTAACAGACGCTAGTGAGATACGCGAGATAAGATAGATAGCCCCTTTTTCTTCTCACAACCATACCATCCTCTTCAACTTCACGCATCCTAATGTATATGATCTAGAAAGCAGATGTCATCTTCGTACGCTGCATTGCCTGTTCGCTCGCAACCATATCATATACACTGATCACCGCTCTCCCCTCACCACCTTCAACCTCAACCTGAGTCAAGCCAACAACCAGGAACGCGTTTCACACCCTCAATACTCCGTCCAATATTCTGAAACGCTTTGCTTGCCGTCTTCAACACAAGCGAGATTGCTTTCCAGTTCTTGAACAGTATTAGCGTCCGAATACCCGTCCTATTTTTGCAATATCAAGGCAGACTTGGCGGACAAGCACACCACTAGTGCAGGAACAGCCGTTGCCATCCTTGCTGAGATATCATCGAAGGCAGATTCGGACCACAAAACCAGTGCAAATACCGCTGCTATCATCCTTGACGAGGCAGACAAGCAAACCGCTCGTGAAATCAGAGAGTGAGACAGGTGTAAAGTCACCCAGCTAAATGTGCCCTAATTGACCCTCCAATGTCCCATGCATCCTCTGATCATTACTTTATAATGCCTGAGATGCTGTCATTCCTCATTTGCGTTCTCAGTCAACCCTCCATTCACCATTTGTTCCAGGAGGCTGGTCCTCTTGTTCTAATCTCTTCTGCAATATATAATCTGTTACCCATCATTACGGTTTCCTGCTCCATAAGCCCATCTTCCTCGCATCTACTACCATGAAATCTCTCATCCACTCATCCCTTCTTGTACTTCCCCTGTCTCTCGCCGGCGTGATTCAAGAAAGGCAAGATGTACTGCAACAGATCCCCGCCACAGGCAAGGCACCAAACACCTTCAACGCGCCGAATGTGGATTGGGAGAGAGGCCAGCCACCACAGACAAACGCTCCTCTTCCTGAGCAGTATCGCGCCAAAGACATCGACCTCCCCTTCGGACGCCTTATCAAGGGCAATGTCAAGTACTTCCAACCTGGAGAGATGAACACACCCACAGGCGTCACCGACGAAGCCGGCGCAATGGGCGTAGCAGACTTCGCAAACCAGAGCGCCTGCGGTATCCCCGACAATGTCTACCGAGACAGCAAGGTGGCCATCCATCCGTACTGGCTAAAATATGCCGGTTTGGACCGTACGTCGCACCCCTCTCTCAACCGCACGCACTCACCATGATCACAGGAATGTGCCTCCAAGACGTCTGCATCGCAATCTTCACCATGACCGACGACATGATTGCCAAAGTGACCGACATCTGCAGCATCGACCCTGGCGACCCTTCCCACTGCGCCTCACCCAACGACATCAAGTTGCCTAAAAAGAAGATCCAGACAATCAACCACTACAAGGGCAAGACGGAAGAAGTGCCAGAGCTGAACGGCGTGAACAAGTACCAGCATCCCCAACCCATCTATTGGAATTTCGCGAAGTGCTTGGGCGAGGTAAGCCGCCTCCTCCCATCCCCCCTTCCCTCTCCCCCTTCCCTCCCCCCCCCACTAACACCCTTCAGGCCATTCCCCAACCCCCCTACAAAGCTCCCGCCCCGGCCCCTCAAAACTGGTTCTCCACGCCCCTGTACCCGGAAAACAACGCCGACACAGTGCAAGTGGGGCTCAAACAAGCAGGCAACAACCAGAAATCGTACCCAGCCAAAAACTGGCCCACGTACACGCAGGCGGTGACGCCCGGGAAGGATAAATTGGAGGGCTTGGTGCTGAATGTGAATGAGAGTGAGTGGAAGAGTGGGGATCCCGTGCCCAAGTGGACGCCGGTGGCGGGGGGAGGGGGTTTGGTGTTGTTGGGGGAGCGGCAGGGGGAGGGGGAGGGGGAGGGGGGAATGATGGTGGTGTAGGTGCGGGCAATGTGACGGGGGCGGGGGTGGCATTGGGACCGGTGAGCGCGGTGGGTGTGCAGCCGGCTACTGGCACACCGAGCGGAGGGGTTGTGATGCCGTTGAATGTCAATTAAATAGACCTGTCGACGGCTGGTCCTCGGGTGTGTTGAGCTTCACTGGAAGAGGAGGGAATGTCATTAGATCGATACTCTACCGATATAGCTTCAAAGTATCGTTGATGATGTGTCAGCATTTAATTTCGAGTGGCCCTTTCGGCCTGAGAATATCGGCTGCTTCCCCGGCTGCTTCGTCGATTCCATCGAGGAGCAAAGCCAAGGATACGGATCGCTCGAGGATTCAGTAATCCATGTTCTCGGAAAACCAAACCAGGAACGCTTATCTTCCAATTTGTCAGGTTGTGCTTTTCCTCCTGTAAAATCTGAGAATCCTCCCCCCCATCCCGACGTTCCTGTAGCAATGACCTTCCTTGGCTTGTTCTCGTCTGAAGAAGACTTCTCTGTACTTTCATAATCCGACCTATCTTCCCGTGCACTTCTCCTCTGTGTTAGGGGGTTCCCCTCTAGAGACTTAGGGCTGGCTTTGTCTTGTTCATCTTTGTTTAATTTGTTTAGATGGGAAGGGGCGCCATAGATTTCTTCGCTCGCAGTATCGCCCTTGTAGTTCGCCCAGAACCGGGCGATAGCTGGCTTGAATAGAGGATGATTACATTTTTGCTCATGATAGTAATTTATCACTCCATACTCGTCTTTGTTCATCACGTACTTCGTCGGCGCACTTTCTAAGGCAGCCCAGATTTCGTCTCTTTTCCGTTCGAAAAATCTAATGACCGTGTATGGAGGGTCCTTGGAGTATCTCAAAATGTCGAGAGCTTTTGATATGGTCAAGGGTGCCGAATTATTTTTCACCATCATGTCGACCTGTGAGCTAATTTTGTGCATCGAGACAATAGCTGACGCCGATAATGCTAGACTCATGCCCTTGAAGGCGATGTCAAGAATGTTGATTTCAGAATACGATTCCGTCTTTGGGGAACTGGTTGCGGCGACATTCTGTCCGTTCACAGCATTGTCCAATTCAAGTAGTGATTCGGCGATCTTATCGTCTGCATTCTCCAGGCTTGTTTCATTTGGTTCATCTTGTCCGTTCGTTGAATCAGCCGGTTGGGGCTCGTCATCGCCAGTTATTTGTGCTTCAGCCTCTCTGTGCTGGGATGGATTCTGAAGATGCTGGGCAACAGCTTCAAGCTGTACCCTGACTTGATCAATCATTTCGACATTAGTAGCTCGATCAGCTTCAGCTATCGTCAAAGACTCTCTGAGATAGAGATGATTAATTGCGATTCCTGATTGGCAGGGTGGTGTAGCACTAACAGGATCTGGCCTAGCAATAGCATATTGATAGTTGAAGCATGACTTGTTAGCGTCGCTCGCAACTCCTTGACATCCTCATCTAAAGTAAGAGAAAATCGAAGCCTAGATTTCACTCCTTTCAACCCAGTGTCTTCCGCATTTTGCACTCCTAAAGCTTTGTCGTAGGTCGAAAGTTTCTTGAGGAAGTCTTCGAGCGGACGCTTGCAAGCGGCGACAGCTGCACGGACTGCATCGAGATGAACCAGGTCATGCTCCGTAGGTTTGAGAGTATTCAGTCTTGTCAAGGCTCTGCTGAGGGTCTCGAGCTCCACCAGGAGATTCTGATATCGAGCTGCGGTCTCACTACTCTATCCCTCGGTCAATACCCTGCGGCTCTTCGTCATCGATGAGTGAGGAACATTACCTTCTTCAATTCACTAATGATAGTGCCAGCTATCCTGCCCACAAGAATAAAATCACCGACACTTATCCCGATCGGAGCTGCCATGGTGAAGTGGAGGAATTGAAAAGCCGTAGTACTAAGTATCGACTCCGTGCGCAGGATCTCAGCCTGATCTCTGGTGGATGGTGGGGTCATTGCATAAGGCAGACTAGCCAGGCCACAAGGCTGACAGATACAGAGAGGGTCCTTCTCCCCATCTCATAACGGGCGGGTAACAAGCGCATAGCCAGCCCTGGAATAGTCCAAGGCGCGCTGCGTACAACTACTCACATCATCAGCATAATGTAAGTTAGTCTCTCTCCTCTCGATCATTGGTGTAGAGACACCCACAAAAGGCGGGTGTGTGGACATATCAAGAGATGAGGTAGGTATATATAGTGCTCCTAAGATGCTGCTCTGCCACTATGTCAGTTTCCCATGGCAATTGAAAACAGCTAGATCATCTCATTAAACTCTCATCAACATCATACATACACCCATAACCATCAATAAGGATACTCATCCGGCCTCTTCGGCCGCGGCGGTCTCGGCGGGACCTGTCGGGGAAACCCCCTTTCCTCATCTTCCACAAACCGCTGCCCCGGCCACGAGCTCTGCTGACTTGCCTCCTCCTCCCCCCTCTCCCTTCCTTCATCCCCATCACGCCGCTGACTCTCCAAACCCCCCTCTCCTCCCTCCTCCTCGGCTCAGGCTCCCACATAGTCTCCAACCCCTCATTCCTGACAAAAGTCCTGACACCCGTGAGCGTCGCGGACGGAATCTCCGGCAAGCGTCTCAACTCCTCGCCATCCCCCTCACCCCTAGTCGTCCTATTCCCCGAGCTCCCCGTCAACGCCTTAATGGGGCTCATATACCACTTATCCCTCTCGCCCTCATACAAATACCTTCTCCTGCGCGCATGCGTGCGTTCCGCCACAAAGAACGCGCGGAAGGCGGTGATGGAGACCATGGAGATGGCGATGCTGACTTCGATCTGCTGCCAGAAATCATTCCAGGTGTGGTCGAGCGTGAAGCGGGATTTTATGCCCGCCATGCGGATGATGGCGACGACGCCTTGGCAGAAGTTGAGGCAGAGGAAGATGCCCATGCCGATTTTTTGGCGGGTGGAGCGCCGGTATTTGGTTAGGATCCAGATGGGGATTATGACGACTGTCAGGGGTGAGAAAAGCTTGGAGGGTGTGGATTTGGTGTCTTTGGAAGAAGGAATGGGGGGACTAACTCATCACTTCGGTCGCAATATCCAGCGTTGTTGCCAGGATCGTGATTGCAGTTGCCCTGATGAGAAGGGGTCGGTGAGCGCACGCGTCTGAACCCAGAGTCAGTATTGCATCAAACCGAACGATTTGGGGATGAATCTACAAGCCTTGATGCCCGTCTCCGGACAAGCGATAAATCCATCAATCGCACAATAAATGAAAGACACGGCAGTCACTCCAGCCGTGATCTTCCAATACATACTGATCCACCCCAGCCGATCCACCAAGCGTCTGAAGAATGCCAGAAAAGCAAACTTGACCGCAAAAATGGCTGCCCACGAAACAATGAAATAGGCATGATATCTCTCCCGAAACCAGTTCGCTTTGGCGCTGAAGGATATAAGAGCGCCTGTCGTGATACCACCCGCTTTGTCCAGCCGAGCGGACAGGTAGATTGTCGGGATCAACTTCGAGAGCAGGCCGAAGGTTGTGATAGAGCAGGCTAGAGCGAAGAAGAGGAGGTAGTCGTCCGCTTGGAATTTGCGGTTTAGGTGCCATCGAATCGCGGTGCGGGCGAGGGCTGTGAGAGTGGCGATGCCGAAGAAGAGGCCGGTTACGAACTGTGTTTTTGGGTGAGTTGGTTGTTGCTGGTGGATGCCAATTGTGCGGGGAGGGAGAGAGGGAGACCTTGAAAACATCTTCTGAGATTACACCCTCCAACGCCCCCATACTGGTGGTGCCTGGTGGCGCGCCAGGATTTTTGGAGCCTTCACGTCTGCCTTCGTTGGTGGTTTCTTCCGATTGATGAGGAGGATCCGACAACGATTAAGTAGCTCCAGTCGAGCTCCGAGAACGCTACTAGTCGCGCTCAGCATCTTCTGCACCGTCCATATTTGTGCATATTGAGGAAATTGCGCCTGTAATGGTGGTAAATTTGTATATTCCAGCGCGACGGATTGAGCATCGAATATGAAAGAATGCAAGAAGCCTCCACACCCTTCAATTGAGGTCGAACACGCAAAAGACGGGATAAATTTAGGATAAATCATGCGATTTGGGTCAAAAAGATGAAACACGATCCTTGCACATTTGCTGCAGCTAGAAGCTGCTTAGAATATCGCGTAATCATTTGCGCGCATATCCCACTGGCCTAGTTCGGTCGTGCAAGAGCCACATTACGATCTTTGTTGCTTCTTTTCGAGGGTGAAAATTGCTCTGGATTCATGCCGTCCTGACCATCGTTTGGTTTCATACGTGGTTTGTAATTCGCCCTGCCACGGATGCTACTCCACGAGACATGTCGCACCCGTGTTTGGAGCTCTAGAGCCAGCTGGGGACGGGAACGGCCCTTCTACCGGCCATGTCTCAGCCATAGTTTGCCTTGAAGTTGACCGACATAGTCCTGGAAATCCGAGATTAAAGCATCTGCTGCTGTGTTGGCAGTAATGCGTGATCGCTCATGGCGTACATGAACCCTGACTTCATCTGGCCTTCCTGATGGAGAACACCAACTTCCCGTGCCTTGTTGCTATCTAGATTATTGAACAGCATGTTCGGCACTCGACCTGGGACTGGGAGAGCTACCCCGGGAAGGCGTCTGCTCCGTGCTTTCCGCCACTGCCGTTCCACGTGTTCTTCGCCCGTTGATACAGCGTGTGGAGTTGTTGAAGTAGGTGTCCACATTCTGTAGAGAAACTTGATTTTCATCTCGCATGCAGATGCACAATCGATGCATGCACATGTGAGATGAAGCGACGCAGCACAACGTATGCAATCATTGTGTGCTCTCTAGATCAAGCTGCTCCCTTCATGGCTTTCGGAAACTCTTCTGTCGTGCAATCTTTCACGAACTCGTAAAGATCTTGAGTACATTGAGGGGCGTGTGCCGCGACGCGCAAGCGCCATGTCGTTTTATGGCACAGCATGCATAACCGAGATGTATCTTGCCGTCTATTTTGAGGCCATTGCTTTTGAAATTCACCCAGTATTCCACAGAGATAGGGGCCTCAAATCCGACAAATGGATGGTGCTGAAGAGAGCGGCAGGACTCCGTGTGTCAAGAGTTCGATGCTACCTCTATTCAAGCACAGAGAAGTCGATATGATCATCAATCAGTACTTGAGTGGAAACCATATCTTGCTCGTCGCCTCCCACATGAACAATGATTATCAAGGGACACCCAGCGGACTTCGGCGACAGCGAACTTTGGCGTTCCTCCCTAGATTTCTGAGGAGATAAGGAGGTTCTCCAGGTTGAAGGTCCCTAGAGAAAAGCTCCTGGGCTGTGGTTGGTGCGCATGTCGGAACTCTTTAGCCGAGAAGCTAGCCTGGAGACTAGGCTGGCTTTGGCATAGACTCTTATGTCTTTGTTTTGGGAGTGTTTCATTAATCTTTTCATAAAGCACAGTTCACACCCTCTGGACTTTGGAGAGCTCGATAGTGCTGACGTACGCAGTAGGATACTCCTAAGCGAAGTCGTAGTTTGCAAATACGGCAAATGTGTTTACTGGTCTGCCGAACGGCGACTCAGGCTGCTGCAAATGATGGCACTTCCTAGCGGCGAATCGCCACAAAAAATGGCTGTACTTACGCTGGCGAGGTAAATGCCTTTGCTTGCACATGTATGAGGTAGGCTGAGTGAATTGACATTTCTCATTCACCGCAGCCGGACCGCAGACCACATTGACTTAGCGCTACTTCCCCTGTGCTCGAAGTCGCATATTCCGTTTTAGGTATTCTGAATCACTACGTCAAGTACGTGATAATGCCAACCTATACCTTGTTCAATGGCTGCTTACTTGATTCCAGCGCGTTCTTGGTGCTGAGTATTGCGCGCTCCCTCCTGATTTGTTGCTTGATGAATGATTGCTTTGAGGTCTAAAGGTCCGCATGATCACTCTCAAGCCCCTTCTGAGCATTGTTGCTGGCACGACGTCGAGCCTCAAATTTGACGTCGAAGGGTGCGAATGTTGACGCAACGACCGATAAGTGTTTCAAGGTTTTTGAGATCAGGGTGGCGGAGTCTATGTCTGAGTTTTCGTATGTTCTCTGCATCTTCCATGTTCGCCTTAAGACTTATGTGATTGAATCACATGAGGAGGACTGTAGCAGTACAGAGAGCCTATTGGGCTGGTCGTGCAAAGATTTCAAGGATGCGTGTATGTGAATGATAGTGGCTGTCACTCATCTGACTGGTCCCCAGACACGCGGAGGGGCTGCCTACCTTAAAGTCGAATTGAGGTGGTGCAAGCGCTTTCCATTATTACCATCAGATTGGTGCTTTCTTCTTCGTTATTTCTTTCCCCAGCATGAAGATTGTGACTATGTCTCCCCATTTCAGCATCAATGACATCCATTTCCTAGCCAAAGACATCCACGACCTGCACGATCCGATTGCTGCCCATGTCACTTTCTTTGAACGTCTGGTTTTGACATTGAATTCAAGTTCGCAAAAGTTCGACTCTTGGGTTTCTACGTGGCTGGGTGACCAAATTAAATATTCGAGTCAACTGAAGGCACTCTGGGGTTCTGACGCTTGGGGCAATATCCAAAGACTGCTAGAGAACATCAAATTGACGTCGCTTCATTTCAAGACTTCGAATCCATCAATTCAGCCGAAAGTTTACTCGAAACTTTGGAGGGAAAGGCGGTCATCCTCAAAGCAGAAAACGAAATCTGGGCAGGATTATCCTTCTCAAATGCTAGAGACCGCGTTGGAACTTGAGAAGCGAATCGATCAGCTATGCGCGTACACTCACTTGATATCTCCTTCGCTGTATCAGGATTTTACTCGCAACGAGCAGGACACATCCCCATCTAGATCTGAAGAGCCGCGGGCCAACAGAAAAGCTGCTGTAAGTCTGTATCATGCAGCCCAAAGATCAGGGACATGCTGTACCTTGTGCGTCGATGTCCCTCCGAAGTCCGTTCAGCCTGACAACACGTCGGGTTCGGAAGCGCCCTCTCCGGGGTCGACTCCATCTACTCAAATGCCTTGTTATAGGCTGCTGGTGGCGGCAGACAAGGTAAATTCGCGTACGGAAGAAATATGCTTGGAGCATGTTCTAACATTCGACAATGACCTAACGAGTCCGACGCCACATAAAGCAAATCTTGCAGCTCTAATGTACGCTGCATCAGGAAGCCACGTTCGTTTGCAGGCACAAGCTCTCGACTCTCTAACTTCCGAAACAGTCTTCAAGGTGTTGCGAAAGGATGTTGTAGACTCAGAACATTTCCACCGAGAGAATCTTGACAGATATTTCTTTGATGAGGCGGAGATAAAGCCTCCGACACGATCAGAAAGGTACGAGCTCGCGTTCAGCTTTGCACAAAGTTGCTTCTTCCTCCTTGGAACACCATGGTTAGCGAACCTGGATAGCAGACAGCTACAAAGGCTCAGGAGGAACGGAAGGGCTGCTGCCTTGGGTTGGACGAACGAGATATTGCCTTTGGAGCGAGTCTCACGCATAGATCAGAGTGCGCTCTCGATGTCGTCTCAACTAATGCGTATTGGTTTCATATTGATAGAGATTGCGATGGGCGATCTTGAAGGCGAAGATTTTGCGAATCTAGAAAACCCCCTCACCTTGGCCACTCTTGTGGCAGGTATTGAGTACTCGAGAGCCTGCGAGTTTTGCATCAATGGTCGTCTCGCAGCGCATCATTTTTGGCCGGAGGTCAAGAATTGTGTCAAGGAACCCATCTGGAATACCGACATCGGCAACTTGCTTAATGAGTTTGATAAGGAGGTTCTCTCAAGGTGAGAAAGGAGCATCATTGAACGATCGCCACTGACAGTCTGTGCAGGCTTAAGGGCGCGATGGAAGCCTCATGTCAGAAAGGCTGGAGAAATTACTGATTTTCGACCAGTTTCCGATTCTGTGTTGGCAATCAGGCTTGGTGTGCAGTCATTGAAGTTCTCAGCTAATGCAATGTCAGAAAGAAAAACTACGGCGAACGATTGACCTTAAACCAGCCGCTTTTGAAGGAAAGATAGTTCTAGTCTGCCGTAGAGCAGCGGCCTTTCACCACGCTCCTTCCTGTTTCTTCCATCGAACAGTCCAACAACGACAAAGATCAATCAAGGCATCGACAAGGTCGGTTCCCGCTCCCAGACACCATGCGACTCCAATAAGCCACCGTTCCCAATCTGCGCAACGCTCAAAGGCCACAGTCGCAGCGGTGGTCTACGGGCTTGTTCCATGGCAACGTCGCATCGTGCTAGACGGCGCCAACAGACCTTTTCCGCAATGCTTGACCAACCAAGACCATGCGCTCAAGCCACACAGGAGTCAAGACTTCCTATCCCAGAACATCTGGACCTTGCATCGCCTGGACGTGGCTTGCTGCATAGCTACCGGGTAATCTTGCTATTGTAGCAGAAAATGCGACACCCGGAGACCTGCAGGTAGAAGATAAAATGTGCAAGCTTTCTCGTTCGTGCTATTTGTTTGTGATTTTTTTTCACATCTACTTGCCATCATCCTCGTCTGCAATCCTCACTTCTCCTCATGAGAAAGAATTTTCAAGTCAACATGGTCCACTTCATCACCGACCAACACACCAAGCGCGGCCCCGATTGGATATGGTACATGCGCCTCGCAACCCTCAGCGCCGTCGTCGCCGACGTGATCGTGACAGTCTTGCCCGTGAAAGATCTCCTAACCGTGCAATGCAAAATCCCCATCACCGCAGACTTCAACCTGGGCGTAGTGCGTCTCCTTTCTCCTCCATCGCCCCCCTCCCTCCCTCCCTCCCTCTCCCCCATTCCCTCCATTCCCTCCATTCCCTCCATCCCCTACTCTTCCACTAATCTCTCACATCTCAGTGCGCACTCATCACATTCTCCTTCCTCTCCACACTCCTATCCACAGGCCCGAAACCCTGGCTGCGCATCCTGCCCTTCCCACCCATCCAATGGCACATCGCCATCGTGACCGACGCTATCATCATGGGTCTCTGCCTCGCTGCCGCGATGACCACCGATCCGACCTGCAAGGACGCCTGCAATATGTGCGTCGCGCATCACTACACGTCCATTAAGCTGGTGAAGCAGACTTGCCATTGTACGTGGGAGAAGGATAAGTTGGCGCATTGGTCTCGGGGTTTAAGCGCTGGTGGGGCTGGTGGGGATGGAGCGGTGCTGGAGAAGAGGTATGGGACTGTGGGCAAGGATGGGAAGACGAAGGAGTGAGTGTTTACCTTTACATAGTATTTCTCCCATTGGTTTCGCTCCCCGGCGTAGGAAGAAATGTAGACAATGAATGCTGATGCGAGTTTGCAAAAGTGGCCACGCGAACAATTTCTCCGCCCAAGCAGGCATGGTGACGAATATATTTCTCTTGTAAGCTCCTTATCCCCTTCCCTGCCCTTTCCCATCCCTTCTCCCTCCCCCTAACCCACCAAACGCTAACCACCCACCCCCGCACAGAATCGCCCTCTTCATCATCTGGATCCTGTACATCTGCTACATGCCCCAACGCGGCGATCCCAACATCTACGCTGAGACCGCTTCTGAGGACCACCCTGATGCCACGACTACCGAACCACATTCTAAGGCCGATGAAGAAGCTAAGATCGATACTGCTGGGGATGTATCGTTTACTTAGTTACCGCGGGGAGGGGGTGGGGGCGGGGGCGGGGTGGATATGATGCGTCAAAAGGGGAATCTGAGGAGGAGGGGGAGGGGGAGGGGGAGGGGGGAGGGGGAGGCAGTGAGTCCGTGCGAGACGAATGTGGAAGTCGTGGTGATTGCGGGGTAGGATGCTACCTACTGAGGAGGATAGGTGCTTGACTTTGAAAAGTTGGGGTGAGGATATTGAGGGGTGGGTGATGTGGGAGAGAGAGAGAGAGCGAGAGAGAGAGAGAGAGAGAGAGAGAGAGAGAGATTGCGCATCATGGCAACGACGTGGTTACGTTGCGCTTGCCGGCGTGAAACTTTCATGAGAAGGCGCTGTGGAACGGGCAAGTGTATATAGCGATGCCGTCTTGTTACCAGATGCTCTAGATATCCCAACCCAACCTCCAATATGCTTACAATTGCAAACAATGACAGTCTATGTATGCAAGGCAAAATGTACAGACCTACAGGATCATACACCGCGAAAGTAATACTCATCCAACACCTCATGCACCTCATTCGCATCCACCTCTCTCCGCGCATAGCACCTCAGGATATGATGCAGAATCGCCCCGCGCTCGATATCGAGCGACATGGTGCTATCCCCATCACGTTGCGTCTCGACTTCACTTATCGTCGTCCTAGCCGGTAGCTGTGGGAGGGGCTTTCCCCTCAATTGTGTGACTCTCAGACATTGCGGTGGAAGAGGCACTTCAGATGTTAAGTCTGACGCTCTCACGTGGGTACTGGGTCGACTTCCCATCATGGGCATTGGCAGGGAGAAGTCTCCGAAAGAAGGGGTTTCCAGTCTCCTGAATTTGATGTCTGCCTGACTGGCTTGGCTTGGTGGTCTAGGTGGAGCGTTGTGGTTGGTATTGATGGTTTTCCATCCACGAAGACCCCATGCACCGACGAGAGTCGAGAGCACCATCATGGCGAAGCAGGCCCAGAAGACAGCCCTGTAACCCTTCAATAGCGCGTCTGGGGACTCTTTGTCTGGTAAAGGGGATGAGTCAGTGACTGAGTTTGAGATTACGGCGAGGATGGCAATGCCGATCGAGATGCCGAGTTGGGACATCACTTGGTACACGGCTCCTGCGAGCGCTTGGGTTTCGCGAGGGAAGATGGAGGTTATGAGGAGATTGGCTACCGTGTAGTTGACTGTTCACATAGGATTAGTAGGAGTGGTAAGAAAGGAGGGAGGGGTGCTGTACCATCTACGGATATCGGAAGCAGGAGATTGACCCAGAAGCCGGCGTACCACCAGGACCACTCGACGTGGATGATTGCCATGAGGAGAGGAGAGATGGCGCAGAGAGCGGACGTGATGACGACGTAGTAGTTTACTGAAATACGGTGGATGATCAGACCGGTTATGATATTGAGGGCGCCTCCGGCGATAATGTTGGGCATGAATCGCACAGCCGTTTCGATGGGAGAGAGGTGCTGGACTCTTTGATAGCTTTGGGGAGTGTTAGTGTGAGTGTGGTGAGGATATGAAGACGCACAATAAGCTGAGAAACCATTCCATGCCTTGTAGAGTTGCCCACGTGAGCAGGACCATGATGCAGATTGCGGAGAAGGTTGGGTCCTTCCACAAAGTTTTGGGGATGAGAGCTGGCTTGCCCCTTTTTTCTTGAACGTGCATCCAGAGAATGAAGAGGGGAATCGTAGCAAGTCCTATTATAAGGAGTAAGATCTTCGCTGGCTCGCGTAGGTTCATAATGTTGTCGGACATCTGACTATTCTCGTTCAGCGATTTAATTTAGACGCATCTGAAGGCAGAAACTTACGAGAGAGAGTATGAGAGTAAACCCATCGAGATGCTTGAGAGCAAAATGCCAACCCAGTCCACATCTGTCTTCAGCCTGTCCCAAATTACGCCTTCTTTCCGACGCTCGTGAGGCAGACACCAGCAGTTGATAGCGAAGAGCATCATGGCAACACCAGCAGTCCAGTAAAGTCCAGCTCGCCATCTGATCGATGTCGATTCAACCCATCCACCCACTAATATGCCCATGGCAAAACCTAGCGGTGTTCCGAGACCAAGGCATCCGAAAGCGATGTTTCTGATCTTACCTTCGGGAAATGCTGCGCTCAGTATGCTAACTGCGGTGGGAAAGCACATAGAGCTGGCTATCCCTTGGAGACCACGGAAGATGACCAATTGGAGGCCTGATCTGGCAAGACCAGCTGCGAGGATGAAGATGCTCAAGCTGAATGTGCCAACCAGATTGATGATTCTGTTGCCCACTACATCAGCAATGGCGCCGGACAGAAGGAGCGTGCATCCGCATGTGAGTCTATGTCGTTGCATGTTAGCAATCTACGCAATGAAGAAAGCGGGATTCTGCGTAGAAAACTTACGAGTAAATCAAGGCGGGCCTGTACACAGACGTGTTAATCTGGAGCCTGAATAGCAATACTGAAGAGCAGACTCACCACAGGAGTAGCCCGCGCGACATATGCAAATCATCCCCAATATCAGGAAGTAACACCGTTAGCATGCCAGTGTTAATGGCTCCAATTGTGACCGTAGCATTCAAAGCGGCGATTAAGATGACCCTTCGACCCTTCGACATGACCGGCAATGCTGCTACATCTGAGAGTAGCTTTTGCTTCATGAAAGACGACGTTCTCGTCAAGCGGCTTGAGATGGCCATCTTTTCCATCGTTCACTGTCCGTTTCCTCGAAAGTCTGGGGAATGCAAGCATAAGATAGAACTGGCGAAAAGCCCACGAGGCACACATAGAGCCGTGTTGGCGGTATGGCTGCCATGCTTTGCAAGTGGGTAGCATCGTGGCCTTGCTGTCGGGAAGTTTCATGATAGGCAGCGGAGAATAGGAAGATAAACGAGTCCATCAGCACGGATCTGAGTAAAGTCGATGATTCAAAAGATGGAGCCGAGTGATTGGAAATACTTGAACGTCCAGTCCCGAGAGGCTTCTCTGCCTGCTGATAGCTAAGCCTAAGTCGTCGGATAGGCAAGCTGGAGTCATCCTTCGAGGCACGGTGTCTTATGCAATGCTCGCTTGGAGAAGTCAAAAGTCAGGCCATGAGACTGCGGTCTCTTGACGAGGTTGTGGTCAAACACATAATCTTGACGGCGAAGCCTCAGGGACATTCTCACCTCCGGATGGGTAACATTCCGGTCCCCACACGGTCGAGTACGGAAGCTTATCCGTCATAGCGGCATCATATATACCTTTGTACTTTGACATAAGCGAAGGAAGAAGGCCAGCCGACGAATCCTGCGGAGGCTATCCGTCCCACCTGGCGAGGCCCGTAAACTCCGAGTCAGCGTCGCCGCGCTGGGCTTCCTATGGAGCAGACGTGGTATATCTTCGAGATGCTCCTAGATATGTTTGTCGACGTGTCCTGCCAATCAAATAGCCTACAACCGGGCTGAGTATTGGTACGGGTCGGCGTAGGCGGCTAGGTACGTTTCCATAGCTTCAATCTAGTCACACGCGACAGACTTATTGCGAAAGACTAGAATAGTCTGGCGCGATCTAATGTTGGAATGAAGTCATAGTGTATATAGATGGGTTATGCATGTCATCTTCAAGTTACAGCCACTCAGATCTTGGTAAAAGCCAACAATTGAGCCGATTGGTGGATAGACGAGACGCTAAGCACAAAGGCGAGAAGATGACATAAGCATCCTGAACGCCTATCATCTGAAGACGGCCGCATGTCAACTCAAGAGTTGTGATGCTTAACGTAGTCATTATACTTCGGTCTTCAGCTATGCTTCTCTCATGTCTTGCTGAATGGGGAGATCTATTTGTTCATGATTCTGGCCCAACAATAACAGCATTGCCGTCTCCACCATGCAGACTTGAGTACTCGATCTTTAAAACCGATGATAGTAGTCATCAGGACCACAATCAAAGTTGTAGATCCACAGGTAGCCCAGAAGAAGCCCTGTGACCTATTTGTATCCCTGATATCTGGTAGATTCATACCGAAGTATGACGTAAAGAACGACATTGGAAGAAAAATGATTGTCACGATCGTGAATACGAGGATTGCCTTATTGTTGAGATTGGCCTTCAAAGCGAGATCATTTTGCTCCAGAGTTCGTTTTTTGAATAGCTCGTATGTTCGTTAGTACTCTGAGGCAGGATTTGTCTATGCTACTCACAAGGTCTAGCCCTCGACCAACGTCTTTCTCAAGTGTCGGTAAAGATTTGAACTGATTCTGATTCAAAAGCTTAGACTCCTCAAGTCTTTTAATGATGTCTTCATAGATGTTCATTCTCTCGATCAAGCGATTGGTGTTGGGATAACAGCCCCGAGGTTTCGATCGCTCAATGATGGACTTGCAATCAGCTATGGATCTATCAAAGAAATCGGCTCTTTGTTTGGCAAACTTCTGCATGTAATAGATCTCATTCAGATAATTTAGTGTTTCATCCACCAAAGATTTGGAGAAGTTATCCCCATCTGAATGCGAGAGCTTTGTGAACCAATTAGAAATCAGCTAGCCATATGGATAAATCAACCATCTTACGAGGTTTCTTTCTACACTTGCATAAGCAAGTTGCATTCGGGCCCCAGAGTTGTGAGGGTAAAATTCACATGGTGTACGAGTCAGGTTTGTAAGGATCTGTGCGACGAAATCGTCAAGGCAATAATTGTTTAGGACTGCGATGACTGTTAGAGTGTCAGCTTATTGTAATGAGGGAGATCTTACTAAATGGAGCACAGCGTGCAGTCGCAGGCGTCTGCACGTCGACACGTGGGAACTGGATGTGACCGGCTTCCATCTCCTCTCCAGTGGGGGTAGCACCCGCGAACGATGACATGGTGAGCAGATAACCTAGCAGTCTCAGTCTTGTTGCCGCCTGGAGGACACAGAATTGCTACCATCTTTTCTGGACCAGCTACTGTACGTGTCGCACACAAGGAACCTACCAAAATATGCATGAGAGGTTACTCGTCCTGGGGAATGCATCACCGGGGAGGACGGTAATGCATCAAAGTCATTGCTTGGAAATATGTCCGCAAGTTGGGCCGGAATGTCAGTCCAGACACTCTGCCAGTATGTAGCCTTGAATCTGCCTGGAAACGAATCCTTACTGTCAGGCGAGAGAACAAGGTGATCTAGATCATTGAGATAAGGATGTAATCCGACACACCCGATTAGGATATTGTACACGTCAAGCTGATCCTTTATATAGTCCATTCTTCGGACACTTAGAACATTTAGACTGTTGGTAACGAAGGCGTGTTTTGTGTCCTGAGACTTGACGATGCCTGATTCGCACTCCAAGAAGCTCGCCTTGATGGTCTAGGTATTAATTTGAGCAGAAAATTCCGAATATTTAAAATGCGTAACATAAACTCACATCAGTGTATGCGTTCCAAGCTGACGGCACGTGACTGGCGAGCGTTAGCACGGAGTCTGTGGGTAAGCCCCATCGCCCTCTTACATCCAACGACATTTCACCGAATCTGGTTTCCCCGAAAAGTCGGTAGAATAATGTTAATCCTGGAATGCTTTCATTCATCAGACATCACCAACTCACATTCCCGAATGTCTTTTAAAAAGACTTCATATCGCTGGCAATCGTTTTCACCAAAGTCGCAGATTGATGCTCGAAGGTGTGGCCTTCGAGGGAAGAAAAAGCATGCTAATTCAATCACTTCCTTGATCGAGGGTGGGATAGGACGTCTCCGAATTCCAAGACTGATTAAGAGGGCCTTGTAAAGAGATGGCTCATCGTGTTTAGACCAATTACGGCAGACTTTTAGGCGCCCCAAGACATCCACATGGCGTGGGTAGGCTTCTCGAACTTCCTTCCTGCGAATTCGTTGAATGTTCTCACGGTCAAACTCCGAGTGCTCTGGCTGGACGAGGCCCCCACCGGCCCCCGGAGTTGTCATATCAGATAATGTCTCCTCGGCAGTATGATGCTTGCTACTCTCCAGATCGTCGCATCTGGTGTTGAAAAAGCCAGTCCGGGAATGCCATCTTTCAAGCCAAGCACGCAAGTTTAGGAGCTTGAAAAGCTTCAACGGCTCAGCAATGGCGGTCAAACCAGGCTTCTCGACATAGACCTTCTCCTGACGAGATTCCACGGGTATCGTGTCGGTTGTAGGGGCTGTACTCTCCATAGGCGGTGAAATTTACAAGAAGTCTAACAGAAGGGTCATCTAAAGAATCGTTGAACAGCTAGAGTCGAAACGTACTAATACACCCAGACAACTTTCGAGACCTCGGAAAGAAGTGCAGCTCTGCTCTTGTTATATTGAGTGCGCGAACATGAGCTCCACGAGAAATTCATGCACGAGGACGCATGACATCAACCGGGGGCTAATCATATCGGGGGTAACATAAGTAGCGCCCAGAAGCTAGAAAACACATCACACAGACTCAGGGACGCTCATCCGCCTATTGGATCTCTTTGTATTCCTCGAATGATGTGACGAGTCTCGTTCCGGGAGGGTCTGCTTTCTGTTGTCTATGGTGCCTGGAAGCAGGGCCAATGCCATTCCGAGAACTGAATGGCGTTTCCCAAAATATTATTCATGTGAGAAAGCCTTCTCTCTCTTTAAGCATGGCATAGAGTTTCAAGCTCGGAGCGTATAAAAACAAGGCTAGAAAGAAGCAATTTGGCTTGAGTGCAGGCAACAGCATAGCTTGCATGTAAAACGTGCAAATAGCAACACCGTGAGGTCAGAAATCGGTCCCGAAAACCATGCAATCAGGAAGGACATGCAGCAATAGCGGGCGATCAAGACGAGAGAAGCGCATATTAAAGCTTGAGAGCCACGAAAATCGCTGAGAAGAACTGTCCTTTGGACTCGGCCGTGCCTTCGAGGCGCAGAGATGCTTGAGTTGTTTCTCGAAGGTCACAGCCAGTCAACGTGCCTCTTGGTTGATCATGTAGGCTACAGCTATCCAGAAAAGCCATTCTCTCGCAGATTAGCCCAGTTACCAAAGCCATAAGATGAAGGAGAAATGGTGCGACAGAGCAAGGGTGATACACAGCAAACATAGTTTCATTGAGCAATCAGGAGTGGCCTTTCTGCACCCTCTGAAGATGCCCTTTGCAGCCACATGGCAGTTTAAGGGTATATCAAAACAGGAAATGCAATGGCTTATTTCGGCCGAGTCCTTCAACACATGTATTCACCAGCCATGGGCGGGCTATTTATGAGCCTGTCATCGGGGAACAACTCTTGCTCTAGGCCCGAAAGACACGCAATCAAGGAGGGTGGTGACGTGCTTGAAAATGGGATTGCTGCCATCTTTATCTCGCCAGAGTAGCCCAAGATGAGGCCGGAGAATGTCGGAGAGACTGGACTGTCAGCGGGCATGACTGCCGATGGACTCCCCAGGCTCGCAATTGAGATGGCAAGATAGCCTTACGGCATTCCCCATCCCGCATTGAAAGAGAACGCTCAATACATCTCTTTCGAGACGTGTCAGCTCACCCGACGAGCGCCACGTTGTGTAATGTCCCCCTCCTCTTGGTCTAGATTGCCTATACCGCCTTGGACTGCCCACTAATTCTCCGCTGAGTGATAAGGCAGTGTTCAAGCGTGCGAATAGCTCCGCCATCAGGCTTTTCGGATGGCATCCGCGTTGCTGGATCCAACATTGTGGTTGGTGGTCTGAGGAGGGTTGGGCGGTAGCTGCATTAGTTGGACTTAAAGCTTGGGCGATGGCGGCGGGGTAGCTTGCATGAGCTCTAGATCATTCCCACTGCAGCAGTAGTGGATGCATGTGTTTCTCAGATAGGAGGAATATATGTGCAGCTCATGGGTTGAATGAAGATTTGGAAGTCGATGGTACAAATACCATCCCAGTGGCGTGAACAAGATCTCGATGAGGACCCTGAACCTCTTGCCTTCTTTCTATACAAATCCTTCGAGATCCTTCTCTTCTGTCAGCTCGACACATAACGCACTAACAACATGTTAGTCAGGCTCTGTTGACCAACACAGAATATATTATTGTTTAGGCGTCGAGAGAGGAAATTGCGTTGGTATTTGCAGATCATACAGAAGGCCTGGGTGGATCTCCAGGTGGTCTGAGCTCCCAAAAGTGACGAAATTTAGGGGCACTTTAGGGTTCAGTCGGAGATTCGCTGGATGAGCACGTCAGCACAAAGAATTCTACTGAGATCAGCTCGTATTCATCGTCCACGACCTCCTACAGGCAGGTAGCACGGTCAGGACCATCATCACACACCCAATCAACATCTCAATGCTCCATTAGACACTCAATCAGCCTCGTTGGGATCCAGAAACACCTGTACCACGCCCCTATTCACTCCCTCACTCCACCATCCCCTTCCACACCACCAAACATTCCTCCCACCCTCCCAAATGACAATGGTCGACTTCAGAGGCCCGTCGGCCGCCCCCTTCCCCCACCGCAAACCTGTCGCTGGTCCCAGCATCACCAGCCGCACGGACCTCCGACCCCTAACAAAAATACACCAAGACACAAGCTACACCACACCCCCTCATACCACCACAACCACATCGACAAACACAAGCTACTCCCCCTTCCCACCCCGTTCCTCTTCTCACAATCCCTCCTCCTCACCCGGCTCCGCCCAACAGCCACCCTCCCACACCAACAACCCCATGTTCACAACCCGCCGCACACCCTCTCAATCTACCACCTCCTCCACCACACACACCCACACATTCACGCCCTCCCGCACGCCATCCAATGTCTCCTCAAAAATCAGCCGCACTTCCTCCACCCGTTCGGGCGCCTCAGTCGCTCCAACCTCCTACGTCGCGCTCATGCGTAAGCAAAAAGCGACAGTCTGGTGCGATCGAGCACAGCCCGAAGACCCGCGTGTTATCGCCCAGCAAAAGGCCGCCAAGATCCGTGCCGGACGTGAAATCTCCGGAATTCAGGGGAAGATTGCGGATGGGCGGACAAGCACGAGCGGGAGCATGGGTAGCGGCAGTCTTGGAGTGAGGAGTAAGATCAGGCATCATGGCGTGCCAAAGGCGAGCGGGTACCATAGCGCGAACGCGAATATGGTGGGCGGAGGAGTGCCGATGCGGTTGAGTGCAAATGAGGTGGGAGATGAGGGAACGTATAATGGAAGCGTGACGGGCTCGTCACCGCCAGGGCCAGGCCGGATTTTGCACCAGCGCACGAATAGTGGGCAGAGCAGTGTCCGTGACTCGCGGTTTTTGACGGTCGATACGCAGCAAGGAAGACGGTTTAGTCAGGGCAGCACGCCGATTAGTGCGCAGAGTGGGAGTGGGCATGGGGAGGGGATACCAGAGCTCGAAGAGAAGGAGAAGGGGGAGGAGGCTGTGGTGTCGGCGGGACCGAAGAGCGCGACGTCGAGTGAGAGGGAGAATAGCTTTGGGAAGGTGGGGGAGATGGCACCGCCAGTACCGAGGAAGGATGATGTGCTCGGGAAGAAGAAGGATGGAGATTTGGAGAGGAGGGGGAGTGTGGAGGTTAGGAAGAACCCGTTTACGCTGTTTATTGCGAACCCGGATGTGGATAGCGATTCGGACTGAGAGAATAAATTATACGTTGGGGGATGATGGAGCAAAGGGGTTGACTGGGAGGGAGAGGGAAAAGCAACAGCAGGACGAGGGGAACGAAGACGAAGAGGTAAGAGTATACAGAAGGACATGTTTAAGGCAAAGGAAAACACGGCGGTGGTTGTGTGTCCTTTGCCGTGCAGACAGGCATCATATTTGGTCATTTCTAGCTCATATGTTTACGGGGACGGTGTACATGAGATATCTGATAGAGGGTTTGAAGGAAGACAGAATTTACCGGCAGGAGTGGACTTTCTATATAAATTGGCTCAATTGCATTTCAGAGCATCGTTGAGCTTTCCAATTTTATTTCCAAGCTTTTATCGTGAGTTTCCAATGCTGACGCTGGGGCTCGCCCGCAGGATGCGATATGTATCTCGTAGGGATATGTACCATGACTCTAGGAGTCATGTATTTGTTTAGTCTTTCTCTGGCTTCCATATGCTTCACCAAGCTCAACGGTACCCTAAGAGCCTTCTCGGCTCCTCGACATGATACTCCAACACGCCTGACCTACCAACTCAATCTTTACATTCCCTCCTTCGCATTCCATGTCCCCCAGCGTCTACACTAATGTGTAGCCGCCATCAACGACGATATCTACAACCCCTGCAGTCAGTATTTTGCTTCTGACATGATATTTCAGAAAGGTTCACTAACCAGTCCCCGTCGAGTAACTCCCCAGCTCACTTGCTAAATACACGAACGCGCCTTTAAGCTCATGAGGCTCGCCTTCGCGCCTACGGCTTGTTAGCCTTCCCTACTCTCTTCCCAGCATTCCCACTCAAGAAGAGATGAAACATGGGCCAATGAATGGCGAACTCACCCCATAGGCGTCTTTCCCCTCCAGATCTTCTTCGTCTCCTCTGGTACATAGTCCGAGATCTCTGTAAGTATATACCCCGGACTCACGGTATTGGCTCTCGCGAATTGCACCATTTCAACAGCGACACTCTTCACTACGTCCGCCCATTATGTCAGCATTCACCCCTTGACAGCGATTCAATTCTTCCTTCCAGAAACGTAGCCAACTCACCTAACTGTATAACCCCAGCCTTAGCAGCATTGTACGCCGCCTGCAACTGCGGCACATTCACAATATGCGCACTCATCGACGTCGTGGCGATGAAGCTTCCCGCTTTAAACTCCACACCCCCTGCCCCTCCAAAAAAGCGTCCAAAACAATCACTGCCCTCTTCCTTCTGACGCCTCCAAATCCTTCCCGCTGCTCGGGCGCAGTAGAACACGCTGTCGAGATCGGTGGCCATAACATTGCGATAGTGCTCGACGGAGCCGTCGAGGAAGGTGCCTTCTTTCCAGGGAATGCCGGCGTTTGCGACGAAGATGTCGAGGCGGCCGTTGAAGTCGTCGAGGACGGTGTCGATGAGTCTTTCTACGGGGGCGTACTGGCGGATGTCCGAGACGTATGCTTTGCCTATTGGAACAAGGTATCAGTTTAGTGGTAATGCGCTACGGAAGAGGATGAGCTCTTCGAATGATTTATTTCTACCAGTCTTGGAAACCCGGGAAAGGATGGAGAAGGAGGAAAGAAGGCATAGCAATTAGAATGAGACTTGAGGTGGAAAAAGAAATTCACAAAGCACAATCCCCCTACCCTCCTAAGAACGAAAAGCTCGACTTCGGGAGTAAGAAAAAACAGCACATACACTTAACCCCATACTTCACCTCAATCTCCCTCGCCCGCTGAATTGCCTTCCTGTTCCCATGATACCAAATCGCGACATTGGCACCACTTTCCGCCAACGCTTCCGCGACAGCAAGGCCGATTCCAGCACCCGCGCCCGTGACGATGGCTGTCTTTCCATGATTGGAAAGGAGGGCTGAGATAGATTTCGAGGATGGTGGGGTCGTGTTATTGTGTTTGAAGTCGCCGCCCTCTAAGGGGCTAGAGCTTGTGTTAGCGGTGGATAGTGGGGCTGATGAGGGCACTAGATGGGCTCTGTGAGATGGTATTTTTGTTGATGGCGGTGCGAACCGGGAATTGGCGGGACGAGGACAGCGGTAGCCGCCACCCATTGTATTTTGGGTAATTTAGTAGGAGGTGGAGGGGAAGCGGTTTAATTGGAAAGACGACGTGGTCACTTGGGATACGAAAGTCGAAAGCGGAGTCGGATGGTGATGACGGGGGATGACTGTAAGAGTCGTCTGATTGGATCGGAGGATAGCCACTAAGACAGAAGGGGGACAATGCTTTTCAATTCATACGAACGCGACGTCTCCCTCTCTGACGACGGCGAGCTCTAGAATTTTTCTTGGCTCGACAAGACGACAATATGGTCTATCTGCCGATGTGTGGAACTTGAAGGAGGATTTTGATCCTCTCAAGAAGTCCATGGTAGGTTCAAGAGCCCTTGATGAGCGGTCTCAAGCGTCTCCTTGCTTTCAATTTACTTCTATGATTTTATGGAAGAATCTACGTCGAGCGGCTTGCAGGTTCAGTGTGCAAATGCCTTCGTGACTACTTGGCTCTAAAGAAACATGGACTTTCAAGAATTAGCTGTTTGTGTGTTATGGTTGTCTGTGCTACCCTCTGTTTGTTTGGTATTGAGAAATGCGTCGTTTGCAATCTTGCATTCCTCAGAATCTCTGCCACTTGGCTTTTCCAGCCTCCAATATGCTTCCCTCAACATTTTCACTTCGTACACCTTCCAAAATTTCACATAACTTTTTATTTTCATGCCCCAAATGCTATTGAACCGCATACTTCCTGGCGATTGAGGCCAGATCCTCCCCTGTGAGGACAATGGACGCTTTCCATAGCGTTGGAGCAGTCGCCGGCATCGCAGCAGGCGCTTCCGTTTTCTTAGCTATTCTATTGACAACCTTGATTGTTTTAGCGCTAAGATGGAGACATCAGCGATTGCTGGCAAAACAGAATGCGAAATGCGATGGGGCTGGCGATAAGCCATGCTTGAGGCATTTCGAGAACACGGAAAAGTCGATGGACATGCACAAAACAGACAATAGCAGAGTGACGTGCAGATGCTCAACTATACCTACTGTACCGTACACCCCACAAAAGTCGCGGTCCTATCAGGAGAGCAAGGTAGCTGAATCGCCGCAAGTCTCCGTCAAGATTCCTTCTCCTGATCTAGAGCTCTCACCAGACAAAGAAGGATGGCCCCTTCCACCTCGCTTGACGCCCTCTCACAAGAGACTGAGATCTACGCCTGCACGTTCCTTCAGGACCAATTCATCAGGTGTTTCCCCATTTACATTGCCGAAACTACCTCCAAGAGCAGGACAATCCCAAACAAATATTCCGGAGACTTCTAACACGGGCTTTCGCCCGTCACCACTGTTCCATGCTCGTGGACCAAGCATCGACCAGGAAAAGAAGAAGACACAACGAGAAAGGGCAGCAAGTACACCAAATCTCCCACGGCCCAAGACTGCAGAATCCACCGCGCCTACAATCAAGTCAGTAGAGCGACCTCGTCCAAGTCGGTCATCTAGCGTCTGGTCTCAGGATCCTGGAATCGTCCCTGACAGACCTGTCCCCCCTTGCCTATTATGAGCACACCAAAGCACGTAGCCCCTGCGAAAGTCCCCAGTGAGGCAGGGTCAAGGACAGTCTCCGACGTGTTTAGCGATCATAGCTCTGTGCTGGGCGGCTCTCGAACCTTCTCCCCTGCGAACACTGATAATACCTCTGTTACAATGTCATCACCACCAACAATAGTAGAGGACACGGAGAGAGCCACTGAGAGCGACCAGAGCAATGGCATGAAGTTCGACATAATTTGCCATTCTCTGAAGTCATTCGGCGACAACAGCCTACAGTCTACCGCTCAGCGTAAGAACTCAGAATCCACACAGCCAACGCCTAGTGAAAATAGGGCTCATCAATGTACCAGCAGCGACGACTCACAATCAAAACGAGCGACAGAGATCTCACACTTTCAAGCATTCGTATCCGGCAATCCCTTCACTACAGACTCCTCCTCCTCCTCATCCAGTAAAGGCAACCCACCAAGTCGAAAGAGCCACAAGAGCCAAAAAAGCGTCTCCTTCACCGATACCCCTCGCCACCATCCCAAAACCCCAATCTCAAGTTCTAAGTCCACCAAAGTATCCGACCAAAAGCCCCCAGTCCCCCTCCATTGTCCCACACCTCACACTACACCAAGGAAAGGCGAACCAATCTACTACCACCTCCCCTCAGCCCGCGAGTTCCAATTCGAGCTCGTCGCCCCACCGGATGGAGCCTCCAACCCATCCACCAAACCAAATGGAACCCAGCCCTCAGTGCCCTCAAGCCCTTCGCCCTCACCCCCTTCAACCCCCTCACGCAAGCCCCACCACCCCCATCGGGAGCGCGACATCCTCTCCTGGGACGGCTCACCCCTTGCCCACCCATTACATCTCCCTAAGAAAAGCTCCACCAGCGTCTTCCGCCTGAGCACGGACCTGCAATCCCAGGCTTCAGCCTCCTCGCGGCGCAGCTCAACCTCCATCTCCAAATTCCCCGATCCGCCAAACTTACCTCACCGTCATCCCTCCCACACGCTGCGCACCGCTGTTCTCAACTCGCATGTGCGGAAATCGAGCCAGTTGAATGATGGTGACAGGGGAGTGGAAGGCGAAAGCGGGGTGGGAAAGGTGAGGGGGCCAAGGGTGCAGCCGCCACGTATCAAGGCCAGGAGTAGTTCGAAGAGACACTCCCGAACGGGCAGCACTTCTCCTACGAAAGACGTGATTGGTATGGGGGTGGGGGTGGGGAGGCATCATAAGCACAGCCGAAGCAAGAACTCTAGTGCGTCGTTGAAAGTGGCGCAGGCGTTGAGGAGGATGAATAGTGAGGTTAGTGAGGGAGATGGGTTTTGTAGAATTGGAGGAGAGGAGGGCGGGAAGGAAGAAGCGGGAAAGGGGTCGCTGAGGGCGGATTTGTTCGAGGGGTTGGGTAAGGGAGAGAATCCTAGTCCTGGAATTGGTAGGGATAGGGAGAGGGGGAGAAGACGCGGTCGAGGTTTGTGGAGGAGTTGGAGGTGAATGGGAAGGTTGATGTGTGGGATGGGTTTACAACGGCGGTGAGGGGTGCTTGAGTACGCCGCCTGTCCGGTTGGGAGAAGAAAAAGCAAGTGGTCGAGTGTTTTTCATAGCCTCACAATCAACGGCAACTAATTTCTGCGATTCCTTCCATTTCTAACATACACCTCTAACAGCTCAACTGCCACGAATCCGTACGTCTCCACTTTGTCTCACCGTCTCCCTCCCTTTCCCTATCCCCATTCTCCTCTCCCATACCCTCACCACCGTCCTCTCTTGTCCGTATTGTCCCCGCACCAGCGCCCAATCCTCCTCCCCCACCCTCGCCTCCTCTAAACTGCCCGCCCTCATCAAACCACTCCCCAACATTCTCAGCCGTGATCCAGCCTCCGCTGCCAGGCATAGGCGGCGGCAGGCCCTCTTGGCCTCCAAGCACTGTATACGGCCTAGGGGCTTCCCCCATCCCTTCCCCATATCCTTCTCCTCCTACAACCCCTCTCCCAACACCATTCCCACCATCAGGTTCATCATCCATCGGGTCCGGATCAGGATGTAACTCCTGACACCTCCCCACAGCCTCAAACAATTCTCTAACCTCACTCTCGTCATCGTCGGTGCTTGTGCCATTCGTTTGACTGTTGTTTCTCTGCCCACCTGTTTCCCGCGTTTGCGTCGGAGGCACAAGTACGAATTCTACAAACTCTTCCTCCCCATCCCCACCCCCACCCATCTCCTCACCGAGTTGGAGCTGGATATACAGCCCCTGCCCCTGCCTCCCTTCACCATCACCAGTCGCCAAACTCTGCAGCGCATGCAACACCACACTCTCATATCGCACCCTCACCCCACTTTCTTTCCTCCTGCTCCAGAATATTAGATTCTCACTCGTCACGTACACTTCTATGTCTTTTATCTCTACGTCTTCACTGCCCACACCACGTATTTCACTATTGCCCCCATTCACCCCACCCAAACTCCCGGCCCCATCCCCATTCCCATTGACACCGGCATCTGCGACCAGTGTAACAAGGATAGGCGCAGCAAGGAGATCACTCCTCAATATCCTGAGGGTGAGGGAAGGGGAGTGATGGTGTAGGATCGGCTGGGAGGGGTGGAATGTAGAGGGGGTGGTGGATTCGTAGGCGGCGAGGGGTGTGAATTCGGTGGGACTAGGAGGCGTGTGGAGGGGTTCCATAGTACTCGGCAGGTGTGGAGGGATGGTAGGTGAGGGGAGAGAAGGTTCTGTAGCTGTGAGGGCGGGGAGGCGGTTTGTGGTAAAGTGAGTTGATGGACCAGGATACTCAGGGCTTTTTTATATAAGTCATATTTCCGATAAATCCGGACATCGAAGAATGGGTTTTGGTCTCAAGGTACAATAGTTTAATATATATAAAATAGACTTAAGTTTTTGCAAGTTATGTATTATATTAAGAATATTATGTGTTCTAAATTTCAAATCAATCAAGCATTGTCTAAGGATTGAAATACTCAAGAATCTATTTCCAGCTTTTCCGAAAAAGGTTAGAAATACGATTCATTTTAAAAAAGCCCTAAGTATCGACAACCCTTGCTAAGATCCCCCTCAGCGTCGTTGCGTGCCTCTTCAGAATTAACGCGAAGGGTCATGATAGTAATACAATCATACGCTCGCAAGTATAAGTCCATCTATACAGCCTCAATAATTGCCGGGAGGGGGGGTCCCAACTATGCGGGTGGGACGTTAGTGAAATGATGCTGCCTAGCTGCTTATCACACCTCACTACTTCTATTGCGTGAAGACTCCATGATTCATTTTTTCATCGTAATCTGTGCTGCATGTCCGAAATAGACAAGCTCGCTATATTGGAGGCTTTTGTTTTTGAAAGCCCCGCTCATCTAATACTTGAAGGGTCTAGGACACCAACTTGATTCGTGATGTCGGCGAAGGACGACTTGACAATTGACCCTTCATGGATGTCCGCCCAGGCCAAGCGAGATGGACTCATCACGACTTCCCAGCTTTGCCCCGAACAGCCTTATCTTTGGCTCCGTGTGCCATCAGAAATTCAAGTCACCCGTAGAATCGTGTTCAAGACACTGTCCAGCGACCAAGGGAAGTTGAAATTCCCTACCTCGCCATGCTCCCGGTTAATGTCATTCAGGATACAGTGGTGAGCCGGATAAGTTTCATGGGACTTACGAAAACTCTTTTAGTTGGTTTGATGCATTGATCACCACTCCGTCCGGTCACGACCGCATTCCACGTCGGCTGTTGCAACATAACAAGCATGCTATTCTCAAGCCATATCTCCATGTCAATGTTTGGGATTTCAGAATGCCGGATGAAGGGCTTCGTGACTGGCTTCAGGCGATCCAAGCGGACGACATAGTCCAAATCATTCCAAAAGCTCGCCATGGCGGATGGCTGAATCGCGTTTTCGAAGCCGAGATTGTGCTGTCCGGTGTTGGAGACCAATCTGCCCATCAACAAATGTCGGCTTCCTCCGATCTCATGAGTCCCGTAATCCAACAAACCGGGCTTCATACCTCATATGGCTCGAGGTCACACATCTACAAGAAGCTCCAAGCCTGGCGAAATGATATTCGTCTTATCACAATACAGCCTGCAACACCTGAGAGCCAGATCTCCTGCTCTTTGAGTCATGCTTCGCTTGACGATGACCTTCACGCCCAGTATGAGTGTCTGTCATACTGCTGGGGAAATTCAAGGGACACAAGGCAGATCCGACTTCATTACAATGTCACAACAGGAAATTCTTCTGCTGAGTCTATGCTGGCTGTCACACCGAATCTATACGCCGCACTTGAGAGGCTTCGTAATGACACTCGTCCCCGAAAAATGTGGATCGATGCTTTGTGTATCAATCAAGACGATTTGCAAGAGCGAACAGAACAGGTATCGATCATGCGAGATATATACGCACATGCATCGACCGTAATTGTCTGGTTGGGCTACGGTAACGACTCTGTCAGAAAGGATATTCAAAATGCGAACGAGGTAATGCAACGTTATCATAATGTTCGTCACAAGGATACCACTGATGTAGACGCCACAAAAATGCACGCTCCGCTTCTTGACGAAGGGTACTATCACGTGGATGCTGAGATCATCTCTTGCGAATGGTTTAGGAGGGTTTGGGTCCTGCAAGAAGTTTTCAATGCCGCCAGTGTATCAGTAATGTGTGGAGACACGATCCTGTCATGGGCCATGATACTCAGAATCAACGAATGCTTGAACCGGTCCATGCTCGTCCCTCAACCTCTCGCCAAGCGTGTCATGCCAAGTCTCTTTGCACAACTCTTTACGCTTGACAGGTTCGGACCAGGTGACAAAGGACTGACCTACTCAACTCTTTCTCAGGAACTTGACATATTAGATATTTTCATACGTGGACTCGACCTCGACGCTACCGATCCAAGAGATAAGGTCTTCGCCCTGCTCAGTTTTGCAAAGGAGACGTCAGATCTCCGTCACATTGACCCAAGTATACGACCTGACTACAACAAAAGCCCAGCCAGGGTGTTTGCCGACTTGACTCGCTGGTGGATATCGACCAACAAATCGCTTCGAGTGTTATCAGCAACACACTTGTCTTTGGGGAGAACGTGGCAAAGACTATCTCCTTACCAAGATTTTAGCCATACAACAGAGGCAAATGGCCGCGCGAGTTGGTCAGTATGGCATGACGGTAAGAGTAGTTGGACAAGAGGTACATTAGGTCTGGCTTCATCATGCCCTTACACTGCTTCCGGAACCCATGGAATGGACCTCGATGCCCTCTGGCAACCCAACGACCCTATGTTGTTGCGTCTTAACGGACGTCCGATCAGCAAGATTAACGAGATTAGCACATTTCCTTATTTCCCATTTGTCAAGCACATAGACAACCCGGACCATAACGCAGACAGCCCTTATCAAGAAATGTATGACGCCTACGTAGCTCTCTTCGACCCTCTGAATTGGAAAGCCACCTGGAGCTCTCCTCTTCAGCGAAACGATTTCCTACAGTATCAGCGACCGGACACAGAGCATGAGACTGCTTCCAAACGTCATGAACATTTCGCTGCCCATGCTCATTGGGATCCGCGTGCTGGAGGCTACGTAGTAAAGGACATGGCCGTCGGCTGCCACAACCCTTGCTTTTTCCGTACGCAAGAAGGGTATCGGGGACTCTGCCCTTCAGCGACGCGGCCTGAGGATATCATTGTCGTTTTAGAGGGCGGGCAAGTGCCATATCTTCTTCGGCCACAACCACAGACTGGAACGGGAGATGGAACCACTACAGCAGGTTCAAGTCAGCAATATGCGTTCATTGGCGAATGCTTCCTGCAGGGCTTCATGCACGGTCGAGCAGTTGATGAGCAGAAAGATGGGCATGACTCTTTTCCACGTCAGCTCTTTGAGCTTGTCTAGGAGATTCTGAGTAGCTCTCCTGACTCCAATACGGGGGCGCTTTGTTTGCAAAAACCCATTCGCATGAGGCCTGCTGCTCTTCGCAGACATTAATGCACGTGAACCGGTCCATTATCAAAGGATGTTACTACATCACCTGGATAAGCTTTCGCACCACCACTCACCCACCTTAACGCTTGCTCAAGCAGCATCACGCGCGAGACTCCTGTGTGGGTGGGAGACAAGGGAGGTACATTTCTAATGTGTTGTGGTGTCAAGACGTCAAAATTATACCCCGAAATCGTCTTTGACTTGGCCTAGGGTGAGGGCCGTATGTCTTTATCAAATTCAGTTGTGATCTGCCTGAAACTTCGTTTTGGTGTTCAACAATACACGTAAGCTTTTCCATTTCTTATATGTTGACACCTATTTCCTAATACCCAAGGTACCCTCGGTAGTTCCAATAGTAACTCTCTCAACGGGCCTTCATAGAATACTCTAGACCCTTCTGTCTCCCTTATAATCGCTTTCCAGCCTGTGTTTTCGCTTGTAGATGTCTCTATAATCAATGCTAATGGCTCTAAAGGCTCTTGAATATCCAATACAACATCGTGTTTTTAGCCACGCCAAGGTTCTCACGCTCAAGTCTAAAAGGACATTAAGAATTGTACAGAAGGCCCGCAAATTTCTATAAGCTTTCAAAATACCAACGCTTCCATTGTTTCCCATGAACGACTCGGCGTGCCTGAGTGCGTCATTCTTTATCTTACACCCCCTGTGCGTTTTCCTTTTTGCCGAAAACAACTTGACCGGAGAGAACCATGTTCAAAAAGAAGCGTAGGATTGTGATAACCACGGATTCCACGGAAGGCGAACTGCCTCCCTTTTCGTCGGGTAAAGCGCCTGCTTTGGTTTTATCAATGTCTTTCTTTCCTTCCTGTCGATGAGCTTTCTTCAAAGACTTTGGCCTCGGCGAACCATACCGCCCAACCTTGCCAAAGTCCGCCATCCACGACGCCGACCTTCGAAGAGATCGATCTGAACGAGACCCTCAGTTATCCTATGAGTATCATCAACCAAACTCCGAAGACGTTTGGCATCGAGTGTCACCAATTTCAATCTCTTCCGGGTACCCAATCCCAAGCTTATGGGACCAATTTGCATGGGTGAAATCCCTCGCATGCCATATCGATCCTTGAGCATATCAACCCCCTGTTGTAAATGATTCAGCTGGGAAAGAGATTGCGTTGCGACATATTTTTGTTGTTGGTTGGCATGCCGCAAGCACCATGTTTCTTTGCTGTCGTAGAACGAAATGGCGTTTTTGGCACCCCAAACCGCAAGCCGCAAGTGATCTTGCTCGAGAATTATGGCCACAGTGGCCAAGTCGGTCTCTAGAGACTCGTCTTTTTCGAGGATCTTGTGTACATCGTGGCAAACGGTGATCAGACTGGCTAGGCCGACACACCCAACGCCCAAGCTGACTAGTTCAACAGCCATTATCTGGGTCAGCGGCGGAAGTGCTAATTAATGTAGAAAATAATGGCAATACTTAGACTTTATGTCAATAAACTCGAAGTCAAAATCTTACTATGAGATTCCAAGGATGAACAGGGACATTTTTTGAGATGAAAAGAATGATTGAGAGGCGGGCGAGGGGCGCTCTAGAGTACGGACTAGAAATTGCCGGTAGCTATAGAACTAACTACACTGCCCTGCTCACGCGGACACTGATTCCTAATCAAATGTGCATTCAAAAGGCAGGGAATAATAAGCAGGCAAAGGCTGGTAGGAGAAGGCCGCATGACCACGTCCCTCGAACAGCAGACACACAACCTTTTATTGCTACCTATATTAACGCATCAAATGATATCTGTTGCTCACCTGAACCCCTGACTAAGTAATACCTCCGGCAGCCCTCAAAGGGCAACTTTGTTGAGCACACCTTAAGCGCTGACAGCAGACGGGGGCAGGTTACCAAGATGGGCGTTCACGATAGGAGCACCAACAGCCGTCATGCGGCCTTATAACAGCAAAATGAGTGGTCGAAGCGCAATATTTGGAAATGCCAGGAAGTCGTGGCCACACACCCTCTCAAGCCCCCAGCATATTCCTGGGTGCCGCCTATTTCTAGGTACAGCCTTGTTCTCGGAACAGCCCTTTTCCGGTGCAGCTCAGGCAACAAAAATTGCCTCACATTTTCTGAGCAGTCGTCGTAAGCTGCCGCCTGGTGATCACTGATCACTGCTCTATGTTCGCCGGGACGAAAGTGGGTCGGAGGAGGGCTGAAAACAGCACTCGAAATTGAAATCCCGCTGACGAATCTACTTTCACTCTCACCTACCTTACCTTAGCTTGTTCCCAATTGCCCTAGCCTCTAGGTTCTTCAGGACATTAGTATTTTGAGAATGCAGAGGATGGAAAAGGCGATTCGATATACCATACTCGCTAGATTGATTGAATGGAATGGCTACATGGTCTTGTGTAACGGCTTGACCAAGAGTCCAAACAGAACGCCGAGGGTTTGATCTTAGCCCTTCTGCCTAATCCTCAAGGCTTTGAGAAGCTGATGAAACCCACCACTCGAAGCACAAGAAGTATCTGCTCTAATCTCACAGGGTGATGCTCCAACTTTCAGCGCCAATACCGTCTGCACACGTGTAATTGCCCACAGCGTACTCCTTACTCGTACCTTCACAAGCTGGATCGCTGAAAAGTGTGAGACTATAAAACAAGGCTGAATAGTCGATTTTGAGGATCGGTTCCGTTGCATTCAGGCAACCACTTGGTCCTCTGTTGGTCTCGTTGAAGAAAGTGTCATCACACCCTTCGTCGGAATAGTATGTGACTGTCCATGGCTGGCTGTTGGGGTATAGCTCCTTTGTAGGGGATGAAGCTGAGACTGATTCCTCGGCTGGATCGACGCGATGGCTCTTGGTTGGAATGTGATTCATGTTTGCGACTGTGAAGCCCAGCACAAAGATGCTGAGGATTCCTAATAGAGTCCTTACGAACGATTTGTGCCGTCCTATCATTGATGGTAGAACAGGTGATACGTTGGAACTGTGGGAGTTCTTTTCCTCCAGTGCTGGAAAAGCTTTGGGTTCATCCTTATAGGTTACGCCATGGTCCGTGTAGGCCGCCATGGCTTCCGAAGACATTCGAGAAGAGAATGAACTCTATTCCCGATATTCTGTAATGCTGTTGGTCCCTAGATGTTGCAGTAAGAGTGTAAGAGATCGAAGAAAGGATACGATACTTAACCTTACACCCTGTACTAAGTCAAGAGGCATTAACGTCAGCGGCTGCGTTGGAAGTGGCTAATGATAGCTCAGCTGCCTTCATGGGAACAATGAAGGGTGATCCCTTGAATGATTGATGCCATCGGATCTCGCTTGACCAACGCTGCGCCAGGATATTTCTACCTGTAACTCAATGAAACCGCCAACATCACAGCAATTCACCGTCGATCACTGACGTACTGTCAATAGCCTTGGATGATATAATTTGCTCCTCCACTCAGAATGGCAGAGGGTTGGTAATCGAGAAGACCCTTGGCGATGAGCTACACGTTTGGCCAGGCTAAAAAGTGTAGGACAGCAGTAGTCTCTTTTAGCTGACAGAAAACGACTGTCACCTGCACCACCTGCGAAGAGGGTCGCCGCATTGGGACGCCGATCACTCAGTCAAACGCTTTAGTGTCTCAGGGATCATAGCTCTCATCTCGTTGGCAGGCACATTATTCTTCCACCTGTGACAGAGTGACGTGGAAAATAGACCTCCTAAGAAAGCCCACCAAAGAATTCAGCGAATTCAGCCTCTCTCCTAGCTCCTCTCCTCCACCTCCCTAAGCTCTTTCCAACATCTCTCCACTGCTCTCTCTGCCCTCTCCCTCTCTTCCACTCCCTCCTCATCAACCAACCCTTGTCCTCCCACTTCGACCACCCTCCTACTCACCCTTTCTAACTCCACAAGCGCCAGTCTCCCCTCCTCTCTCACTAATTCCTCCCACTTCCTCCTCTCACCCTCCCATCTCGTCTGCAGATGTCTCAACGCCCACACACTTCCCACCGCGGCAACAGTCCCAGCCTCATATACCGAAGTCGCAGAAATAGTGACGTAGACCCAAGCCGAGAGACCGGTCGCAGCAAGGATGGTAGACCATGCTTTCAATACCAAGCGCTGCGCCAAGCTGTGCAGAGGCGGAATTGTCATTTGTGCAAGTCGAGCGCGGGTGTGGCGGATGGTCGGGAAGTAGTGCTGAGGAGATAGCGGTTCTGTGCCAGCTGGAGTGTCAAAAGCGGGGACCTTGCGATCAGGCAGTACGACATCGCCGACTGTAAGCCGTCTGGGCCCAGAGGGAAGGGTGCCATAACGCCGGAGCTCGTAAGCTTCGTGCGACTCTATCAATCGGCCTTGCTCATCTCGAAAGTTGCCTTCATCGGCTGGCGAGGAGAGCGGCGCACGGAGGGAAAAGGGCTCAACGAGGCCGGATTGGTAGAGGCGGCCGCTGAGGTATATCATTTGCTTCTCTGCGTCAGGGAGGAAAGCTTTGTCGAGGAGCGAGGTGAGGGAAAGGGTGATGGAGTCGCTGTGGAAGGGGAGGAGGTACCAGGAAAGGCGAGTGTAGGATTTGCTTGCAAAGGCTGCGGAGAGGCGATCGCGGAGCTCACTGTGGGCATTTTCAGCCCATGTGTCGATTGATTGGGATAGTAGTGCGCGGGTGAGTGGAGAGACGGTTTGGGAATCCGCAGTGGCTGTGGCAGCAGTTGTGGCGGCGGCGATAGAGTTGCTGGCCGAGGTAATGATTACATGGATGAGGTTTGAGACATGAGTAGGTACTGTATGCGGTGATTCGATGGTGCGTGCTGAGATCAGCCAGTCAGATATGGCTGTGATGCCGCTGGAAAGCCAATAATTCTCAACGACCATTGATTTGTCGATTTCCGCACGAAGGGTTATAATGCCGTTTGAAGCGGCATGTAAGTTGACGGGCTTGATCAGAGCGGTTCCGGATCGAGCATCCTCCGGAACCATTAAGGAACTATTGACAACGCCTTTGACCAGCTGTGTACGTTGGTCTAGTCCGATATCCGCCAACTTCGTAAGGGGCGTCAAAGCTGCGGTGTCATCAAGGCTCTCTGCGTAGATAATGCTTTTGTGAACAGGGTATGTAAATCTGGACACTCGGCCCGCACTATTCGGCGTTTCGAGATCCAGAACGAGTGGATTTGTAGTGCCTCCTTCAGATTCGCTTGTTGGAATGGCTTGCACGAATATCTCGAGGTTGTGCTCGTGCAGGATTGATGCAGGTATAGAAAACGTCTTGATCAGGGAATGTCGATCGTCCACGTCTAGATGCTCGCCATATCTGCCACTTTGTTAGTTTGATCCCTATGCTTCACAGCTGTAGGCAAATGACCTTAGCAGCAGAGCCTTTTCATCGCTCTCATCTTCATGGAGCCTCTTCTCCCATTCCGACTCATCCAAGAGCGGATCCGCGAGCAGGAGTCTTGCCAATTGGGTTATGCTAGCTCGGCTGTCCCTTCCAAGAACTGTGGAATAGTGTCAATTGACATCGTGGAAGTCCTATGTGATGATTCATAACCCACTTGCTACTCTTGTCACATTATTTTCTTTTTCCAAGCCCCTCAACGCCAGCCGTAATTGGCTGAGGTTGACGTATGTGCCTGCTTCAATCTCCAACGCAGCCAAAGCTTCATAAAGCTTCTCAGCATTGTATGGTATTTCTCTTCTTGCATTGACCGCTGTCACAGAGGCTATAGTAGAGGCTAGTCGTATGCTCGAAGGAGGTAGACGGCGGCCGATGTGCGCGTGGCGCCCAGGAAGTGTTAGGGGCAATCTCTGAAAGGGATCATGAGTACTTCCAGACTCTCGTGACGAGTCTTTCCCTCTTTTGATCGTTGTTAGGGACGCTGCGGTAGAAGCCTGCCGACCACTGATGTTCCGGCCTTGGAGCTTGCCATTCCATAGGCGGCGAAGAGTCTCGGGCGGCCGTTTCCACCCATTCGATATTTTGGAGAGGCAAGATTGACATATGTAGGAGCTTCCAATGACGCCAGGGAGAGTTTGGGTGAATGCCAGTGACTTCAGAGGCATTTGTAGGATGTTAGGAGGTCGCGTCCGAGGGGTCGCGCCCTTTGGTGCATAAACCTCGGCACGATGCACGCTATCTGTTATGGTATGGGAGCAATATACTTACTGAAATTTGCTTTAAGATACAAACGTGGAGGTGAGATATAATTAGGAAGCTGCCACTGCTTGCATGACATTGCTATCTACACTGACATACGTTTTCGCCATTAGATTCATGACCACCGCGCTCATCGGCCACCATTCGCTTGGTATTTTAGCAACGCTGTTGCTATTCCAAAGTCTGCTACATGTCTCCTCCATCATGGATGCATTACTTCCACGTCGCTCGTTTCTAGAGTCCTTGCGTCATGATATGCTCGTTCGAGACCATTACCTCCCCCTACTCTTGCTTCCCGAGGACCTATATATGCATGTCAATTAAATCCAGATTGTCACTAGAAGGTTGAAAGAACTTACACGCTGATCCTACGTGCGACCTGCGCAATATCTGGGTCATTTTCCGCCTCAGTTTTCGCTCTTTCAAGTGCCTCTTTACGGTCCTCAAGACTCTTGCGAGTCACTTCATCGTGTGTTGGTGGCAATTTCTCATTCTGCAAATCCACCTTTCGGGCATCTTCAAAGGAGTGGATGGCCTGTTTGATACCCTCCGCCCCAAGCATGAGTGTTCCAGCAGGTAGTCTACCGCCAGATGCAGTCTTGAGTTCTGTGACTCGTTCAGACTCTTCTCGGAGGACTTGGAACACCCTTGAAAGCCGCCCGATAGCAAGGACTTTATTTTTGATTTGGCGCCGCTTCGCCTCGGCTGACTCCTCGATAGGTGGTGAGGCAGGACCTGTAGAGGATATTGGTGTATCGTCCTCGAGTTCCTCTTTCGAGCAAGTATTCAGGATAGCGATCAGCATGTCAGTGATCTTTTCACCGACGAACGGCAGCGACCAAGTGAAGACGTCCATGAAGTTAGGCAGCCAGTAGGGATGAGGGGTGCAATTGAATTGTCTAATGTTCATCACATTGTTCTCGTACTTCAATACTGCGGCCTTGTTGTTGTAGACATCCAGATAGTTGGGCGCACTGAAGATAGTCATGACACTCGGAAAGCCAGTAGTTCTCGTCTTTCTGTACATGCGGTAGCCTGCATCTTGAGCCTCGTGAGCGCGTATGACAGATAGGAGGTTGTTCTTCTCCAGAAAAGCGCATGCTGATGGGTAAGAGAAGAAGTATGAGCACCCTCGAACGTGATTGTGCACGAAGAATTCCGATGTCTTCTCTTGCCCAAATTCTTCCAGTGGGTCGGCCCACAGAATATCGCACATTAAACCATGGGTGGGGGGCTCCCGAAAGCGGTCAATCTATGCATGTCAGCTTCATGTGGATTGAAAAACAATCTTATTCGTCTCTCACATTCTTGAGATCTTCGAGAGTATGTAGCTCAGGGCTGAGCCCACCATGTATGCAAAGGAATTGTTTGTTCATGATGGCCGCTAACGGTAGGGCGCAGAAAGACGTCATGCATGCTTCGTAGATTTTTTCTGAGTACTTGTGTTTGCATTCGAGCTTGAAGGTAAAGTAGTCGGTCAAATGTCGGCATTCGTGATTGCCACGGAGCAGCCACAAGGTGTTGGGATACCATATCTTCAAGGACCACAGGTACAGAACGCACTTTAATGAATCAGCATCAAATCTCAGTTGAATGCGCAGAACTTGGTAATACCTCGATGCTGAAATAACCTCGATCAACATAATCGCCAAGGAAGAGGTATCGGGTCTCAGCAGGATCACCACCAACTTCGAACAACTTCATCAAATCAAAGTATTGGCCGTGTACGTCGCCGCACACTGTTATTGGCGCATCCATCTCAAGGAGATTGGGCTCCGCCTCCAATACTTTCGTCCCTTGTTCTATGATCCATAATGCTTGCTCTTCTTTCAACCTACCTTCGCGGTAGAAGTGCTGTTTGAGAAATTGTAGATTCGGCTTGTTATGATCTTGAGGTGAGCGAAATTGCTCATCGGTGGGGGGATTGAAAGCTGGCGCTTGCACATCTGGTAGAGATTAGCAGACGAGGCTGGAGGCGGATCATGACACACTTGCCTTTGCAGACTCGCTCTTGGGTGCTGACTTCAGTACCATCTTCCATGGTATGAAGCGAGAAATCTATGTCAGGCACAGGCTTCTTGGTCTGAATGGCCTGGCTGATGTGAGGGGCGCTGTCGATATTCATGGTGAAGTTCGCGGTGCTTGAAAGTTGGAAGGAGCGAGGTGGCGGTGGTGTGCTGAGCAGATTGAAGGCGCAATTGAACTGGAGTCAGGTCTGTTGTTATGCCTACGTTATCATGTCCTGTACCTCTTGCTTCTGGTGCCTAGACGTTGTAGTCGCGTGCTGTTTGCGATGTAGGAGCTACTTCGCTTGGTCGTCTCCGCAGAATAGCACCAAATAGGGCTGGCGTGGTAGGGCGAGTCCAGCTCGTGGCTGTCGAACGGATTGTACGAGTATCGAAGGCAATCTTTGCACGATCTGCTGCTGCTGAGACAATATGCAGGTGAAGGATTGCGGCTGAAGCTGAGAAGAGTTGTTGGTGCGAAGAAGGAAATCCTTCCGAGTTGCCTTCAGCGCTTGTCGTCGTGTGCTGTGGCTAACGCCCTCCCCCTCGTCCCATGGGGTTCTGGCCGGGCACCAGAGGCCGGCTACTCTAGAGCGCGGGGGCCCCAGCCGATAACGGCTTGGCGGCTCCCAATCGTTCAGCCTTATGGCCCGGTCAGCCACTACTGGCGGAGGCATCAATCCGTCACAATCGATCGCCAGATCTTAACCTTTTCTCCACGATTGGAGTCAATCCAGGCATTGGCAATATCCGGATGTGGCTTTTATAAGGACAATAATGCCAGAAGCTTTCCGTGTCGACCTTTAGATCAACCGCACTGGTCTTTCCGTGAGCATTGAAGCGCATTCGAGCCATCCACGTCTCCATATAGCTTGATCCTGCCCATGGAGTACACTAGCGATCGATCAGGTCCTCGCTTACTGCAATGTACAGCAATAGTATGTCTTATAGACTCCCTTTGGCTAGATATGTCTGAGCTGACCACTTCAGAGCCTCATCCTGTCCTTGCCCAGGTCCCCTTGACCGTCTCTCCCTTCATTTCCCTGCCTCGCGCTCCAACTCTACCCTACACTTACAAACCTTTACCATCAACCTTACCACCTTCTTCAACCGCATCAGAAAATGGCACAGAACGTGAAAGATATATTATCGCTCCTTCTGGCCATGCAGCTCATCCAGATGAGATCATTGCCTCGTGTAGTGCTATCGAAGCACACATGAAGAAGGCGCAGGACGATGCCAACAAAGCGATTCAAGCTTGGGAGAACAAGCTGAAGGAACAGGAGCTGGCAGAGAAGCGAAGAGTTGCTCCAGGTTGGCTGGATCGTGATGAGAAAATTCTCGAGCCTGAGAAAGCTCACTCCCACGTCCATGGGTCACAAGAGCATGGAGGCAGCAATGGTCAACATGCGAGTCTCATGGACCAGCAGAATGATGATATATCAGGGCAGGCGAAGCACGAAGCACCCTCTGACGCTGCAGGAGCGGAACTTGATAGAGCCTTTGGAGGCATTGCTATCCAAGGACCGTGACGGAGCAACCGAATTACCCTCAGACAATAAAACATCCTCTACTCCAGCATCTCGATTCCAGCTCCTATGGCTCCCAAGCCTGTGATTTTTTGCTTAGCAAGACTCTTGTAGCTCTTCTGCGACATGGGGACACCAGATGGCACAATAGCACGCACAACCCCCAACAATGAGCCCACAGAATATCCTGTGCAACACGTCGCACGGACAGCACGTAGTACAGTCAAAGACCTAGCATCTTTGTAAATCCGTACATAAGTGGGTAAAGTGCTGAGTGGAGCGCGAGTTTTCAGCCGTCCGCAGCAAGCGTTGCCTCTCTTGCGAGGTGCAGAAATATCTTGACTTTCTTCAGGATGAGACTTTGTCGGGGTTTAACTTTCGAGATCTTGAAGGCGAGTCCTCTTCGCGCTGCACGTTATTCAACCGCCAATCCACCATGACGACGACACCTATGCAGTCGCACATTCAGAAAACAACTCGCTCACGGTTTCCTACTGTCCGGCGACTTGCAAAACAGTATACTCTGTGCCTTACGCAGGGTTGCGGTAAAGGCTGAAGATTAGTGGTTCGCCTAGCACTCTGTGGCGTAGCTGGATATGCTAAATCCATTAATTTGCATGAGGGGACATCCAAGCCGAGCTGGTATTTGCAGATTGAAACAAAAGATCCGAGGGACAGCAGTAAGCACCAAAACTTTACGCGATTTACACGTAATCGACATGGCAATGCGTTGAACTTTCAGCATCCTTCGCGAGCGGACCACTTGGCTGTAAGAAGGATCTTGATCCTTCGAAATTACTCGAACAATGATACGGCCTGCACGATACAGCGCATACGAGTCCGCATAACGAGGTTGCTCCTCGTTACTTAATCTCAACCCCCCAGAGGCTATGAAACATGGCAACAAGGGCGGAGCAGTATTGCTCAGAGGACTAACGAAATGAGAATTCTTACTCCAATTCCTGGGGTTGCGGATGTAATAATAATAGCAGCTGTCATTCTTTAAGCTTGAACTAGACCAAAGCCACACCGTTCCCTCGCGAGAGTCTCGCCAATGAAGGGCTACCTCGATCTGTGGTCGGATTAGTCCTTCCTTCTGTCTTCGCTGACGATTCCACCTCAAACGGGAGACGAAGGATCTGACTGACCCACTGGCTGCTCGTCAGCTGCATGCACCTCCTCTGGACCCGCAGTATCTGGAAGGATGCTCGTGTCAGGAGAACGAATCTGCATGCGGCACGTGCATTTGCTCCACTCGGCTCCAGACCTGTGCCTGACAAGCATTGATCGGTAACTTTCTCGCATTTCCAGAGGTGACGCTGCTCAGAGAGCAAGTACAGCCACGCAAGTTCCAACTCACATAATTGCCGCCACCACCCACCATGCTTGAAGTTCTCCAAACGAAGGAGGATTGCTTACAACTCTGATGAACATTCTGCAGGAACAATCTTCTTCGGCCAAAGACCTGTTATGGCTTCCTCCGACACTCTACCACAGGCAGTTCCAAACTTCTTCCATGCAGAAGCCGGCGCCTGGTACATTCAAATCACGAGTGCAATATGTTTGCCGGTTATTGTCATCTTCGCCGGACTACGCGTATATGCAAAATTGGGACTGGGGAGGAAACTGACATGGGATGACCGTACGATCTTTGACACTTCAATGGCTATTTGAATCGTGACTGACACGTTTCTCAGTAACGTGCACTCTGGGAATTGTGATGCTCACCACCTTTAATCTCTGAAGGTCAATTGCTCATGGTATTAATAGCTTTCCGGAATCATATTCATTATACTATGTCTTGCCGGAGTCGCCCCGGCGAACACGTTCACCCACCAAATTGACATGCGTAAAAGAGGCATTGCAGCTCCACAGCTTCGGGTATGCGCCTACTGATAAGAGTATTTGCCAACCTGAACAAGGAGGCTAACATGACATAAAGTTGACGCTAGTGCTCGAGTCTTTATACGGGCCCTTTGTCTGGTTCATCAAGCTGTCGCTCTTCGTAGTCATAGCGCAGATATTCCACACCCTCCGATGGCTGAGATATCTGGCTATTGGTGGTGTTGTCTTCACGGGCCTTTTCTACATATCTGCCGTGATCGCACTTCCTACTCTATGCGCTCCCACGGTTGGAAGCAACGAGGATGGCTACAGGGACCGCTTAGGCTCAAATCGTTGCAGAGGAAGTTTTCAGCTGGGCATCGCTGTCGGAACGGTGAATGTACTGAGTGATCTATACCTCATCATTCTGCCGTTACCAGCCGTTTGGGCTTTACAGCTTCCTGTGCGACGTCGGGTGGCGATCGCGGCCATGTTCTTGGTTGGCTTGATGTACGCAAACTCTGCAATACCTACAATTGTGCCTTCATCGCGCTCAAGCTGACGATTGAATAGTGCGCTGGCCGCCAGCACAGTCTCATTTTACTATCGCATTAAAGTGGCCCTTAACCCGGACGAAGTCTGCTCCTTCAATATTCTACCCAACTGGCTATTCGCGTAAGTCTTTCCACCCCGGCCCCAAACGTTTCCTACCAGAAACTCTACGGCCTTCCAATTGACACGAGGGATCTAGCATCGTAGAGATGGCCGCCGGCATAGTCGTCTGCTGCATGCCATCCGCCATGCTCGTCTTCAACGGCGCAGTAAAACCAGCCGCCAAATCCCTTTTCAGCTCTTCCAGCCACTACATCCGCTCCAAAACCCCCTCGCGCTTCTCGTCCCAACAAGCTTCTTCGCCACCTTCATCCTCGTCAGGGTCCCGACAGCGCAACTCTGCACCAAGCCTCGGATTCGGAATGAATGAAAAGGAACCGATGGGCTTGGGCAGGAGCGTAGAGAGGACAAGTCGCCAGCCCATCATACCGACTGAGTTGCCATTGGCACATGCGCAGTATCCAGGCGCGGGATCAACTTTCTTGTGGGAGATAGAGAGAGCGGGGTCGAGTGAATCGGTGGAGGGGGATGTGGAGGGTGGGAGAAGAGAAGGGGGGAATGCTCAGTGGCCGTATAGGGGCGAGGGCGGCATTTGGAAGACTTCGCAGATTGTGGTGGAGAACTCGCCTAAGGGTGTACAGCGATGAGACATAGTAGCATTGAAATCGAAAGGAAACTCATTCAACTGAAGGGGGTTCCGACAAGCACAGACTGGTGCAGACACATGTACCGAAAGGCTAGGGGTCAGCGCATGACACGACATAAGAACCAAATCAGCTCGGAGACTACACAAATCAGGAGGACCGGTGGTCGATTCTGGTACTCTCACAGCACTTAAACCCATGTCGACTGAGAGCTCAAAGGTGGGTCAAGGTCGGTCGTGGGCGTAGGTAGACGACGGCATGGACAATCAATCCCGGCTCGCAATCATTGAATGCGTAACTCGATAGCTACTGTCCATGATTGATCTATAGAGGAGCTGCCTCTAAAGAACGGCTCTAAAGCTCCTTATCAGCACCTGTGAATAGTGTGGGGAGACCAAACTCCAGCGCTGGTCGCCAATCGGCGGCCTCCGTATCTCCTGCCCGGCAGGCTCCGATGCTTGGAGGCAGATATAAAGATGCCCACAGCCTCCTGTGATACACTGCAACAACGAACACTTACACGATCAACCTTTGAGACTCCAGAACTATCGTCGCAGTTCCGAATACACGAACAGCAATTCGCTATGACAGCCCCTCAGACCACCCCATCAGTGAAACCAGCGTCCAATGACCTGGATATTGGTGTCGTCATTGACGGCATTGATATCGAGCACTTGAATGGTGAGTAGAAGTGCATAGCATGACCTCGAGTTTGAAAGAAGTTCTCTGGCACATAAAGGAGCATTCCGTGGAACGGTAACCTCCTGGGTAAGTACACGAGTCGGGGTCCCTCAACAGCACCCGAGCTAACACCCTCTCCCCAGACAATGACTTCCAGCTCATCCACGACGCCCTCTACGCCCACCAAGTCGTCGTCTTCAAAAATCAAGCCAACTGCTCCCCGAAAGCCCAGTACGAGCTAACCCACCGCTTCGACCCCACCGCCACCGGCTACGGCCACGGCAAGACCCTCGACGCAAAGAAAAGCATCCTCCACCCAGACCTAAAAACCGTGCCTCACCAGCCCGAAGTCCAGATCATCGGCAACGGCCACCTCACCGAGTACGAAGGCCTGAAGGACTTCAAGCTCGTCCACCCGCACCACCGCAAATTCCACAAGACCCCCATCCCGGAAGCTGACGATCTGACGCACACACGCTTCTACCGCTGGCACATCGACGCCGCGCTCTACGACCTCAACCCGCCCAAAGTGACGACCCTGATGGCCGTCTCAGTCCCAAAAGGGCGCCGGCAGATCCTGCGCTATGACGACGGCACGGGCGAAGAACTCGATGTCCCACTTGGCACTACGGCTTTCGTGAGCGGATACACCATGTACGACATCCTCTCCGACTCCGACAAGGAATTCGTCCGCACGAGCAAAGTCGAGTACGCGGCACACCCGTACATCTGGATGAGCGGGGCGAAATCCCGATCTGACGGCCTGGGGCTCTTCTCTGACGGGCACGAATTGTCGGAGTCTGAATTGCCGCCTATCGAGGCCAGCAAAATCCAGACTTTGCCCATGGTGTGGAAGAATCCGATCACCGGGAAGTTGGCGCTGCAGATGCATCCGTCTGCGGTCAGGAAAATCCACCAGGCGGATGGCACCGTCGTGGAGGATTTGGAGACTGTTAGGGCTATTGTGCATCGTTTGCAACGACCGGGCATTGAGCCAAAGAGGGTGTATGCGCATGATTGGGAAGAGGGCGATTTGGTCTTGTTTAATAATCAGGGGGTGCTGCACTCGGTTGTGGGGGCTTTTGCGCCTGAGGAGGTGAGGCTGTTTAGGCAGTGTAATATTGCTGCTAGTGAGCCGCCGTTGGGGCCGGCTGCTGTGGCTACGGCTGCTTGAGGGGGTTGAGGAGTAGGGATGGAGTTGCCTCTGGCTGGGAAAGGGGAAGGAAGGGGGGGGGAGGGTTCTTGATGCTTTGTGACGGCTGATATCTTTTTACGTGGATCAATGGATAGGGGTTGGGTTTACTCAGTGGTATATAGTCGGCCATGAAATGAACATTTAGCACAAGTCCCGCCGCTAACATTCCTACTTGGTGTTCTATATCATGAATGACCAACAACGTCTGCGCTTGGCTCGACACTCTGGATCTTCACCGTGTCAGCATGCCTTGTCGTGGCTCGCTCTATCTTACAGGACTTTGCTTCTCATTGACTTATCTATTTATCCAGCTATGTCAAAGCCATCGTGCAGCCGGTACAACGCAGCCGGCTTTTCCACACAATCGATTCGATTTCGTACTCCACGAAACTCCCCAATATCTTCGATCACACATCCTTCCATCTACCTACCCACCTAAGACGTCAATGTCGTATCCACCTCCTCCCCCTCCGTCCTCCCCACATAAACCCACATCCCCTCAACGCCATCAACATCCTTCCACCCGCCCGTAACAGGTCCCCATCCACAATTCTGCACCAGCGCCCCCGCCGCGAGCCAGATATCAAAATACCTCGCCCTTACCATCCCCACCATCCCCACCATCCCCACCGTCCCCACACGAGTCGCCCTGGCCTGTATGACGCACGAGCCCTCTTGGCGATGGAAAACCACCGCGTTCATCTCGGCCGCGTGGAAGTCACGTGTTGTTCGGTCCGTGAAGATCGGGAGGTGGAGGAGGTGGTCGCAGTCGGTTTTGAGGGGGCGTTGGGAGGTGGGGAGGGTGTCGGCGCAGCGGACGGGGCCGTTGGGGGGTGGTGAAAGGGAAAGGGGTGGTTGCGGGGGTTGGGGTGGGGGAAGACAATGGGAGAGGAGGGGGAGGAGGGGGAGGGTGATGAGTGCGGCGGCTAGATTTGGGAGGTGGTAGGTGAGCATTGTTGCTTGTTGCAGTTGCAGGGGATGGCGGCTGCGGTAATGAAAGTCGAGCTGCTTGAGGCATGGAGGTGGACAGTCCTGCTGTATATGATGCAGGTTGAGAGGATCAGCGTCGCGTGAGCCTCACTGAGCTTACCAAGGGAACCCCAGACATGTCGTGATGCATGGCATTTTTGGCGGCTCAGGGGGGGACAATGAGTCGTGATGTCGAGGAAGGGTAGCGCATGGCTGCTGTCTTTCAACAGGTTCATGCATGGTGGCTGAAGCCAAAGTTGTGGTAGCGATCCAATAATGCACGCGCAGACCAATTGGTGCTGTGAGTAAGAATCGTCGTGTTTACCTGGCAGGTCGGACCGTGTTGTGAGACAATCTCAGTGAGCTCAGTACATCAGCATTGCAAGGTCATAGAGGCTCTGGCGTTGTGAACGGCTGTTTCATGACGATGGCTTGTATCTCGATAGCAGCACAACAAAGCCATATCTTTCATAGATGCCGACAGAGGGTTTGAGCATTTTGTAGATGTGGAGGGTATATAAATGCATAATCGTGAACATGATGAGGCTGAATAGGCGCAACGTACGCGTCAATCATTGCGGCAAGCGACGACCAGTGGAGACGGATACAACGTAGATATCGTTGCTTTCCGTGCACTGATCGTAAACCCTCCTTCGAGCGATACGCTTGATCTCAGAGAAGGCACGTTCAGTCAAATCTAGCGTATAGATGACTATTGGCCACAATGCGGCTGCAAGAATCGCCTTCATAGAGAAGCACTATTTCCTGCGAAACTGGTTCCACCCCACATGCCCAACCCTACATTGTACGTCTCCACGCATACGCGACGGTATGGTGCAGGGGTTGTTTCGGGAACGAGTGGCTGTGATCATTCCATTATGACAAGACGAAATGGTTGGTTGATACGAGATGCTTTCGTGACAGGGAGTGACCTGGGATGTTGTTTTGGAATGATGATTGAATAGAGGTAATAGTGTTGGCGGCGAAGGGAGGAAAGGGAAGGTTTTGATGATCCGGGTATGTGTTGAGGTCGGCGGTGGCGGCCAGTAGATACTGTGACTCGGACACTGCATTGACTTCGTGAACCGATGGATGAGACCAAGAGGTGTGATCAGCCAGCCAGGTCATAAAGCAGCGGTGCGCCTATCTTTTTTGCAAAGGGGGCGCCCCATGCATTGCGTAGGTACAGTTCACCTCACGGTCTTTTGCAAGTGTTCATTTCTATCTCCCAACATCATACAGCAGTCCCTATCCTTCCCTGCTCTTTCTCCAGCTCCAGCTCATGCAATTCCAGCTCCGTCGTCACTCTGATCGCATGCTCGACATCATATGGGTGCAGATTCGGGTCGTTCCGATCTATTGCAACGATCTGGGGCTTCGATAGTCCCTCCTGATGTGCAGCATGTATGCGCCCGCCCGTCTCTTGCAAGCGTGTAAACGAGTCGGCCCGGTCTTCGTAACTGTCGGTCTTCCTGAGCCGCTTGCTGCTGCGGCTGCCGAATTGGCTGGGGAGGATGAGAGAGAGGAGGGGCTTCAGGGTCGGGAGGCAGACGCTGATGACGCCGACGCTGCATTCGGCCGCTGTCCAGATTAGGGTGTTGGTTATGACCCCTGAAATCCCATTAGTGGCGGATGAGAGGACAGTGGGTTTGGTACTTACAGGAGAAATCTGGATTGTCTATTTGCAGTATTGCTGAAAGGAGACGGACGATTGCGATGACGCATTCGCTATTGGGGAGGAAGATTGTGAGTTTCGTGCTGTGAGCCAGGGGAAGATGGGAATGGACACTTACAGCCCGCCGAGCAGAAAGACCAAGGTCAACGCGCCTTTTTGAAAGTTTGTGATCTGTAGTCGCCACACCATGTTGACGGGAAGAAGCAGGATGAAGAAGTCGAAAGTGATGTTGATGAGGGCGAAGGCGAGGTCGAAGCTCCTCAGCGACATGCATTTGGCGTCGGTTATGGTTTTGTCCCACCAGCCATTGATTGGCACGCACAGCCAGATGGCTGCGATAGCCTCTGCGAGCCACCATGTAAACACCAGCCCGATCATAATGTTGACTACCAGTTGAAATTTCTGGGTGATGAATATTCTTCGGTACATGAGGAGGGCAGCAATTTTGATGGAGGGAGTGGTGGCTATGTAGATCTCATTGAGGGCGTATATGGATTTGAGGAAGCGAAATAAATCGTGTGGAGAGAGGGTATCGATGTGTTTTCCACCACCATACAACACGCCTGTATTCCTTGTGAGCTGTGTCTCAGGGAGGGATGTGGCTCAACTTACAGAAGTGTAGGCTTGCAATGACGCCCCAAGTCAGTATCTGTGCTCGTCAGCGCAGGCCACATGAAGTATTGAGAATGATCCTGTACCAGACAAAATAACACAGCATAATCATCCAGCGCCCATTGCACTTTCTTCAGCTTCCGTGAAGTGAAGCGGGCCACCACGGCTAGCGTTGCGACTGCCGCACATGGATAGATGGACCTGAGAGTGAGGGGCCCTTTATCGGCGGTGAGGTCAACACCTGGAGATGCCATACCAGACGGCTATGAATGGGACTCGTCGACATGCAATGAAAAGGCAGTGAGTGTCTGGTGTATGGAGACGCGGATGAAGGAGCAAGTTGTCCATCGTGGGGATAGTGGAAGTGATGTATCAAGCCTCAGGCTTGTTGTGTGATTGAAGCGGCCAAGATGCAAGATCAACGTCAAGCCTCCCTGTTCCTGGCGTTGCGAGATCGATTGGTGCTCGGCTGGCAAATTATGCCGGCATCATAGTTCGGATTTAGCTTGATTGCGATGGAGATGCTGGACAAGGCTGTCACGCATTTGGCTGCTTCCAGCGACATGTTTGTGTGTTCTTTCAAGAGCAACGATAGGAGAAGACGGTTGATTGGCAGAGAATAGTACTATTAAGGGATCGAAGCACGCGAGTGGCTTCCTTAGTTGGTTCCAGCAGGAGATAATCAAGTCTTTAGCTCGACATAGCTTGATATAGGTTGAGATGGCGATGCCGGTTGCGGATGTAGTGCAAAAGTAACTGTCAAATTGGGCTTCGGAACGGCGGATTTGTGATCCGGGGGGAGGGGGGAGGCCGGAAGAGACCACACAGACCTTCACCGGCGCCCCGCTAACGAAAGCCGCTTTCATCATCCTTCCAACATCTCCTCAGTCCTCACGCCTTTCGCAATGCCACGCTCGGGATGAATTATGTCGAAATGGGTCTCGACATTACCTCGCAGTCATAGCTTGGTGGTCGACACTTCTCAGAAGTCTTCAGGATCTATGGTGCAGCATCATGCCATTCGAGACTTTGGAATCAGTACCAATTGGCAGCCTGAGAAAACCGGTACAAGTTGGCTTTGCTCGAAGGATCCCTAGCGACTTCCCCCACGCGCCCCCGCCTAGAAATGCAGGGGAAGACATAAGGTAGCTGCAAAGCCGTCGACGTTTAGCTTCTTTCGAATCAGATCGAGGAGAATGCTTGGGGCAGTGATGAGATTCACACGGCATTGGATCGTGCGATATGCGCCATCAACACGAGTCAACAGACTTTTTAGGAACTATCAGAGCTCAAAGGGGTAATCCATTAAGATTGACTATCACTCTTCTCCAAATCTCCGCTCGTTTGAGCATCTGATGGGGGGATCACATTTTCCTCCTTCATGTAATTCGTCGCAGTGACACAAGTACTCGCAATGACTGCCGTCAAAACCAATCCGACAGCCTGGACGGAAAAGTTGTATGCCACAACATTCAACTGAGTCAAGCCTGCGGCTTCTGTACCAAATGCAGCAGCGACGCCTCCTGCGAGAACGCCCTTGACCAGTCCTGCCAAACGCGCAAGCTTTTCAGGATCGTTGGTGAAGCTGGAGATGACCCATTGCACCGTTACTTGGTACTAGAGGATGATGTCAATAATTGGAGAGACATTCAAAGGAACGCTGTAGCGTACAATGACCGAGTTAATCCCAAAGATTAGATTCAGCACGAAGAATCCGCCAAATGGACCATCTGTCCAGTCAAACAATGGTGGATTTAAAGGATCCATCGGATTGTTGTAAAGCCACACGGTGATACCAATCCAGCCAGCAATCACAATGATTGCGACGGCGGCCACGCTAACGACCCCTCGAGTTCGTCGACTCGCGATGTACTTGTTGTCGAGCATGAATCCGATCCAGATGGCACCAACGATTTGCATGATATTGAACATCAGGGAATTGAGTGACCTGGTACGGACGTTGAAGTACAGTGCTTGACGCGGCTATCAGCTACTACCGCCACTCGCACGATGAATACTTACAATTCACACTTGACAAGACGATGATTGGAACCTCGCTTGCCAACATTGGTATGAACATGGCCAGGATCCTCCAATCTTGAAACAGCCTTCGCTGATTTTTGAGCTCTTGCCAAAATCCTTCATGTGGATAATGCGCCAAAGGTGTGCCATCACGTCGGCGAACTGTCGACGGCGCAACGATGCCAAAGAGGGCCACGAAGAAGCCTGAGGTCATCAAGATGATGAATACGATGTAGACTGCTACGGGAACCTGAAGCTTGCTGGCCTTGAAGTTGATGCCGAACGCGACGAGCGATCCCAGCGAGCCTTGATCACTTTCAATCGCAGTCCCAATGACCGTACGGACATCAATCAGGATGACTCACTGAAAACACTGAGCATACCCCATTGCATACTAATAAATGATCCTCTGCTTTGCTCTGTCGAATATGAGAAGGAGATATAGGCTGCGGCAGTCCAGATGAGGTTTGCAGTCAAGCCCAGGAATGCTCCTCCAACAATGGGAAACCATTCATGAGCACTGTTGGTGACTAGCATGTTGTTCAACATTGGTCAACGCTTGATGGACTTGGAACACGACGCACAATACCACAATGAGCCAACATAGATTGGATAGCCCAACGTTCCAAGCATCAACGTGATTTTGGGACCAAGGGTTGTAACGACGGAGCCGCTCAGCCATCCAGTAACGAACCACACACTGGGTAGGACAGCATGAGCTCCACGTCCCTACGACTGCTGCTTTATCGTACTCACGCGTAGAGTATCGAATTCACCAGATTCACCATCTGAGTCTCATTTGCAGGCCCACCCCCAGCACCAAGGAGTGTGATTGCGACACTGTCTTCGTCAGTACTGGAATCTGCTTTTCATCCGCCACCCTTCCGCTTACTATATGCCAGGCCCCAAGCCTACGATTGTGCCAGTAAGTACATTCTGGACGAGAGGGCTGTGACACTGGTCAGTATGAAAGGTACAGGTCAATGGCGAAGAAAGAGTCGGTCTCACTCATTCAATCTCAATGCAGGCATTTTTGCTATGGAGAACGACAAGTTCACCGTCAAGCGCACAGAACGATATGGACGCTGGGGCTGGTGGGGTATTGGAATCCTCCGACCTGCCCATGCGCAAATCCGCTAACAAAATCGCGGGTTTGCTAGTGCACCGCCAACTCATGGCATCATGCAAGGCTAGTGTTAGCTGATGCAAGCCGGGGCTCACGGCTGGGTTGTCAATCATGATCGCTCTGTTGGAGCCAATCAGTGCTGATGGAGAGTCTTACCATTATCCCCGCGCTGTAACCTCGGGCGTAGGTCGTCATCTTGCAGCCGTTCGAGAGACCACATGGTATCAACTCAGTAGTACATACTTAGATTGCCAGCGGTCAAAGCAACAAACATCAAAAGCAATGGATCCTGCTGAGAACATTATTGGTTATGTTGATCCACTGATCTGCTCTCCGGGCGACAAGGCCGAAGTGAAAGTATCCTGTTACCAACCTACATTCGAGAGTGAAGTCTTTCGCCTCGGCGCTGGTTACAAGCATGAAAATGCACCCCCAGTCTCGCATCGACGTGTCGAGTCAATTCCTAAGCAACGTCACGTAGGGAACAGCCAATTGAGCAAGACTGGCTCTTTCTTGCGCATTCCGTCGTGGAATTGGTCCACTACAGCCGGTGTTGATTCAATTTCCATTGAATTTTGGTGTCAACCAACGCTTCCAACAGGAGCTGGCCACCATCAATATCTATTTTCGGTATATCATTCTGTGTCGAATGATTCTGCGTCGTGCGATGGTGTTTATTGCTGTCTGGACAACTCCGGATCTTTGCGTCTTGGGGCTGATTATGCAAATATTGCAAACCCTGCGAAATTTTCTCTGAAATTCGTATCTTATCAATGGTATCATTTACATTTCACTATTGAGCCAAAGAAGAGTCTCGTTACATTGAGATCGAAGATCACAGCAAAGGACATTGGAGAGGAAACTAGCGTCACCAGTGAAGAACACGAATTATGGATGCCCATATTAAAGACATCGGAGAGACCTCTAATCATTGCCGGCTACGAATCTCGTAAAAGGAGAGCTTCGCTCAATGATAATCATGGCAGCTTTAACGGAAAGATCGATGGCTTCAAGCTGGAGACAATGGTAGATGGGAGCACTGATGTGCTACTTGACCTTGACTTTTCAATAGACATATCAACAAATAAGGTCCGAGACAAAAGCAAGTACAAACATGACGGAGAATTGATCAATGCACCATCTCGTGCTGTCACAGGGCATGATTGGGACGCTAGCCAAGTCGACTGGACTAAAGCAAAGTATGGGTATGGTGCTATTCATTTCCACGATGACGACTTGGACGATGCTATGTGGGAGACCAGCTTCACACTTGACATTCCCAACGACATTCCGTCAGGCTGCTACGGGGTTTCTGTTTCGGACGGCAAATCATCTGATATGATACCGTTCTTTGTGCGACCGAATCCCCTGGCAGCACAGAATCCTCCTGTAGCGTTGATAATCCCCACCTTCACTTATGCGGGTAATTACTTGGAATGTCTACGCGTACTCCAGAACTCTGCTCTGACATTGGACTAGCATATGCAAATGAGCATCTCCATGATGAAACTCGAACCGTTCATTTTCCCGGCGACACATCGAAACTCGACAAGTATTCTCGCATCCTCAAAGCCCGCGGGGACCTCGGGATCTCCCTATACGACAGCCACAACGACGGCTCCGGCACCACTTCCTCCTCTCTCAAACGCCCAGTCCTGAACATGCGCCCAGACTACAAAATGTGGCTATTCGACGGCCCCCGTGAATTAGCCGCAGATCTCTGGTTCATCTCGTTCCTCGACCGCGAACTCTCTACCCCTTCTAACCAGAGTCGGCCCCCTTACGACACAATAACCGACCATGATATCTCCGCGCAAGGCTCCTCCCTCCTCAACAAGTACAAAGTCCTCCTCTCCTGTTCTCACCCCGAATACCCCACCTCCAGTATGCTAGACGCGTACGCCACCTTCCTCGCTCATGGTGGGCACTTCATGTACCTCGGCGGAAACGGGTACTACTGGTCCACGACGCACTCGTCCACTTCTTCCCCTCACCGCATCGAAGTCCGCCGCGCCGAAGCCGGCTGTCGCACATTCCAACTTCCACCCGGTGAACACCATCACCCCCTCACCGGCGAACGAGGTGGGCTTTGGCGCAGTCGTGGAAGACCTCCAAATCAACTCTTCGGAATCGGCAGCTGCGCTATGGGCGTGGGGAAAGGGGCGGCTTATGGCATCACGCCCGCAGCACGCAACGACCCTCCACTAGTGCATATACTGAAAGGGATAGAGAAGGATGTCATCGGCGACTACGGACTTGTCAACGGCGCCGCAAGTGGCGACGAGATCGATCGTCTGGACTACGGCCTCGGCACTCCAAAAAACGCGGTTATAGTAGCGACGACGAAATTGGCGGGTGGACACAGCGACGACTACATGCTTTTTAACGAGGAAGTGTTGTATCCGATGGTGAACCTGAAGGGGACGGAGAGTGAGAAGGTGAGGAGCGATGTCGTATTTTTCGATACACCGAGCGGCGGGGCGGTGTTTTCTGTTGGATCGATTAATTGGGTGGGAGCTATGGCTTGGCATGATTATGACAACGACGTCGCGAGGTTGACGGCGAATGTGTTGCATGAGTTTCTCCGCCGGAGTGGGGAGCGTGGGTGAAGGAAGGAAGGAGGGGAGCGATGACCAAGCAAGGGATCAATAGAGATCGGTTTGGAGGGAGCATACCATGCCTTTAGGTACAGCTAAATCGACGCCCTATCTATCGCAAGTCCCCCCTCGGCCCCCCTCCGTCTCCTATATATGTGTGGGTGGGTGCAGTGTTCAAGACAAATCTTAGACCGCACACCATCTTGCACCTTTAGCCCAGTCACCGGCCTCTTCTCCTCCATGAATCAAATCCCGTATCCCATCTGTCCCTAGCCCTATCCCTAGCCCAACCCCCATCCCCCCCCTGCCTCAAGCGTACATTCAAGCAACCCAGTGCTGGGCGAAAGATGAGCGGATATCACCACCACCTCAATTTAGGGTTATAGTCAGTTCGTAGACTCTATGATCTAGAGTAGGGGGGAAAGGAGGAAGGGGAAAGGAGGAAGGGGAAAGGGGAGGTGAGGCAGGTGAGGAGTTTTACAACGCGGTTCCCCGCACGGTGAGGGGATGTGTGTATAGATGTATGTGGAGATAGAGGGCAAGAAATCGCGCCGGCCTGGTATTAATCGGCCGTTACGTGCGCGCACGCATTACCAGGAGAAAAGAAAAGATTGGATAGGCATGGCATAGGTGAGGAAGAAAAAACCGTCATATTCATCCCTTTCCCTTTTCCTTTCGCATCAGAAGACAAAAGACGAAAAACCAACCTCCTCCAAATTGTCTGCCTACCCTACACGATCGACCGCGCGCGTCCTTCCACAGAAACATAATCCGTCGCCGACTTGGAAGCGAGCAGGCCCCCTTCTTTCCCCTCCCCTCCCTTCCGTCAGCCATGCTCGATTGATCGCAAGAAGATGTGCACCTCGACCGCCCACCATAAGTTTCAGAGAATGCTGCGAATGATGAGTGGGGCTTCACGCCTATCAAGGGCACGTTGGAGAGCGAGGAGAGTGTGGATAGGGGGTTGGTGAGGGTGGGGAGGATACGGTCCAAGAAGCCATTGAGAGCGGGGAGGGACGCGACGATGGTGGCGAAGAAGATGTCGATGATGTCCCAGGGGTAGATGGGTGTGTAGTCGTCTGTCAGCCAAGTGAGTGAGTGTGTGTGTTTGTGTCAGCGGGGAAGGGGTGGTGTTGGGTTGACAATGATGGGGAGTCTGGGATTGGATTGGATTGGGAAGGGGAGAGGGAGGGGAAGGGTACGTACAAGTTACATCAACGTTCCTCGCCATCTGCTCCGTCTTCACACTCCTCACGATACTGGCGACCGAGGAGATAATCCCCAGCGCAAACACACCCATCAACCGCATTTTGCGGCCTCGATCCATCTGCAGCCGCCACAGGATTATCACTGGTACGGGGATGAGCAGCCAGTCCGTGATGATGTGCACGTATCGCGTCGCCAGGCTGATGGCGCCTTGGTCGAGACATTTGATATGCCGGGGATCGGGTTGCACGGCGATGGATTGCAGCGTGAAGTACGTGGCGATGGGGGAGCAGGGGAAGATATTGAGGAGCACACAAATGGGGCCGAGGATTGTGAGGAGGACAAGGTAGGTGTTGTGGGCGAGACGCCAGGGCGGGGAGGTCAGGCCTGTGATGCGTCGGTTCGCGAGGACGAGGGAGATTTTGACGGCGAAGACGGTGAGGTAGAAGAGGGGAAGGGAGATATGTGCCAGCTTTTGTTTTGGTTAGTAAGGGGGGTGTGGTGGGGATGGAGTCGCGTTTGGAGAGGACGGGGAGGGGAGGGGTAGGGCGGGGAAGAGGAGGGAGGGACAGACTTCGTAGAACCAGCGGAATTGTTGGTAGGTGCAGTCCCAGAGGTGCTTGCCCATGCAACCTGCTGTGGCCTGAGCGATGCCGAGGGCGAGGTAGGAGAGACAGCCTAGTGCGGCGGGTATGATTATCATGTCGTCTGCACCGAAAGATCGTGAGTGGGTGAGTCGTATCCAGAGACGAGCGCCTGTGATTGTGATGACGAAGATGATTGCGAATGCAGTTCCGAATAGCATGCCGGGTGCTTTGCTGTGGTGAGATACTGTCTGTCGTGGTGGGACTATTGCGAGTAGTTGAGGGTAGACTTCATTGATTGCTTTGTAGATCAACCTGTCGTCCTCCTGGGTTGGTTGAGTGCCCAAAAGCGCTGAATGAGACATCACGATGTATGAGTACCATAGGACAAGAATAGATAGAGTTGATGAAAGTAGCAGGTTGATCAAGGATCTTAAATGATAGAGGTGTGCTTCGGATTTAAGCTGATGCTTGAAAAGGCGATATTCCTCACCGCAAGAGACATCGTCCAATGTGGGCGATCTGACAAATGAAGGGTGGATGGCGTCTCCCGTCTCCTGGAAGATGTGACATGAGTTCCGATAATTGTAGGTACAGGATCTCGGCTCGTTCCATGGCTTAATCTTCAATCCTTCGCCCTATAAGCTTAAGCCATATAAGCTAGGTATGGCTTGCCACTGTGAATTCCTTGTATTATTAATACGTTCGCCCCAGGCGGTGTGCATTGCAGCAACATTGGGCCGCGAAAGACTGTTTGGTGTCTATGCTTTTGGGCTGGATGAATTTGAAGACTGTGACTCGAGCCAAGAGACGAGTGATTTGATTGGCCCGTTCGTACATTGATGAGGCTCTGGCAGACGTGATGCTTATTCAGGCCTCCCACGCGTCAGTCTGCATGCATGTCAGACAGCGGACGGAAACGTCCGCTGTACAATTTCGTCCGATAGAGTGTTTCTTGCCCCAAATTGAGAGGCGGTGTCGAACGGCTTTGTGCTGCTTGCTTAATCTCCGGCCGGACTGGGCACGGCTCACTATCAATCTTCAGAATCGATCCAGGCCTTGGGTCACCACTTCCCCTTAGTCGGAGCGTGGGGGATAGGGTTGATTCGGCAGCGCTGTGGAAGGTCCCTTTTTTAACCACAGTGTATAATTAGTATAGTCTTGATTGCTGACGAATGCCAGGCCTACGTTGTCTCCTGTGCGCTCCGGAGCGTAATGCGGCTTACCCTTATTGGTGTAATGAAGACGGTGGGGCCTTCGTGGGATTAGCAGATTGTGGCGCTTGCGAGAGCCGGTCGGGTAATGGGCATCTCGTATGGAAAGGTCTCTCTTGGCTCTATAGATATCCAAGGTCTCAGTGTGAAAGCATGCTTTTGGTTTCAGCCGCCCAACATGGAAATCTGCGATAAGCATATTTTGGACTCGACTTTGGGGTGGCTTGGTGGATCATTGACGGAAAATAGGATCTTGTAGATATAAAGATCCGGCCACGTGCTGATCATGCATCTTGCTGCGGTAGTGCATCTTCAACTGGGTTTATCGAAATGCACAAGCTTTCTGTTATCGTCATTGCGACAGTGTTGCGCTGTTTGACGGCCATAGGATCACCGTCAAACTTCTCTAACACCACCGTGACGACAAAGGCCAGTACCTGGGACGAGATCGTCAAACAGGGTATCCAGCATATGCAAAGTCAGGCCCCACATGAGGATCCAGAGCTGATTCAGGTTTTCTCTGGATATGTTCAGCCACAGAATGCTGAGGGAGAAGTCGTCCGTCCCACGATCGCGAATCTGTATTTCGACGTCATCTCTGCTCATGGGAGCATCGCCCTTTCCAAATTTAGAACAGGATGGTGGGAGCCCACGGAGTACTACACGAGACAGAAGACGAACCTCCAAGCTGTCCAGCCAATCGAGTGGCCGCCTGCCTTGACGGTCGAGGATGCGCACGAGGTTCTTATCGGGTCTGGATTTAAAACGACCTTTAATCGCTTTCATCTGGATTGGCGGACGAAGGCGTTTGGGGCTTTAAGCAGAGTCGATCAACCGTATTGGACTTTTGAGTGGATGGAGAAGCCGTATCAAGTTGTTCAAATTGGGATGGATCGAAAGGTGTGGAAGCACTTTGCCAACAGTCTTGAGGATTTTGATGATATCGACAACGCAGCGGCGCAGGGGGTAGTGGTGATGTTTCAGAAGTAGCATTAGCCTGATTCCAATCCATAATCAGCATGGCGACTAGATAGGACGATGCCTTGTTGGGGAAGTAGGTATCTCTGTCTATGCCTGGTATCGATGTCAATCGGGCTTTCTCAATAGATTTGGAGTCCAAAGCGACGATATTCTCTAAACGACACTGGGAAGCTTAAGAGAATTATTTCATGAGAGCACTGAAGAGGTCATCGTTAGCGCAGCAGGTCGTCAAGCCCATATTGCTCATCACAGTTTTGGCTTGTCAGCCCTCTTCGTGAGAACATCCATTTTGACGATATCGAGCCAAGTCTTGGAGACCGCAAGCCTATCTCGTTCCGATCTTCGACTGTCAAAGGTTTTCCAGAACTCTTCAGTGGCCTCAAAGTCATGAATTTGTTTCTCAAGCCAAGAAGCGAGTGCCGAGGCACATTCATCAATCTTCTCGAATGGCAGCATGTGTCCGCATTCAAATACCTTCTTCTCTACCCTACCTCTTTGAGTACCACCGTTCCCTCCGACACCGGTACCTGTGCGCGCCACTTTCTCATCTCGCATGGAAGCGTCGTAATTGATTTGACTGGTCTTTCCAAACATCCAGAAAACATTCGGTCGCACATGCGGCAAGTTGTTGTATGTGACGATCATATTTGGGTTGTGAATGAAATACTCTGCATCCTCAGCACTCAGGTTTGGTGCTACCTTTCGCGCTTTGTCTGGATCTAACACGGATATGAAATTCGAATGCACATATGTCCAAGCTTCCTGATGCTTTGTCGTGGTAAGCGTGACAGGTCGCTCTGGTGATTGCGGATTCTCTCCCCCATTGAATACGGGTGCTGGATAAAGTGCTGTAGGTGTTTCTCGTAATCCGTAGGAAACGTATTGGTCAAGTGCTCGCGGGTCCCATATTTTGAAGAACTTGTTCTTCCGGAATGCCGCCTGTGCTACGGCTCGAGAAGGCCATAGGTCCTGACGATAGCTTGTAGGTAGCGTGGCAGAAGGATTTCTAGGAGGATGCGGCTGAATCACTGGTTCAATCAGGGCAAGTCCTTGAAAGAGGCTGGGGTGAAGTATGGATAAGTGTGTTCTAACGTCAATCAGCGATACTTAGGTGAGTTATGCCAAATGAAAAGTCTGCTCTACATACAATTGGGTAGCTCCCATGCTATGACCGATGCCAATTATGGGCCGAGGCATACAAGATTGGAAAGCATTGACCATGCAGAGAAGATCCCGGGAGTGGTCAAACCAGTCAGCTTCATGAACAGTAAATTAGCAATTGAGTCGTCCTCTTGTATCGATTTCGAGAGTGGAGATTCCAGACGACTGGACAGATGCTTACGCTCATCTCCCTGAATGTCTTCGTTCAGGACTCCGCTAGCTCCTTGATGCGAGGCGTCGGCGATCCATATTGACCTGATTCTTCCCCTACTGCTGCGGAGCAGGTCCTCAAAGAGCGGTTCGTAACACTCTTTTGGGAAACCATTTGCGTGTGCAGCAATGATCGTGACAGCATTTGGAGAGAACTTGGCAATGCCGAGAGGCTTATATTCTTTGATGGCAAGCCTCAATTGAGCATTCTTATATTTTATGGCGTTGGGATACTCTCGGACGTACTGACACGGTATCACGTGCTCCAATACCTGAAAAGTATTCTGTGACATGGTTTCACGCTCGTCACAGCTCGCACGGAGCAAAATATAGTGATGAATTGGAATGTGCAATAAGCGGGGATCCGGGATAAGCTCATTTGTGTAGGACTGGAAATGACGCAACCTCGGCAACGGCATCACGTCGCCGCATTAAGGATGCTTAATTTTCATTAGTTTTTTATGCTTTGGGAATTTTCTTCTCCACGACGTTCCAACATCGAGCCGTCTCTAAGTCTTTGATCGATCTCATGCCACTCATGGCTCTCTGGAGAGAGAGAGATGGTTTCCATAGACCCACAAGTTGAGATCCTCTGCGTCCACGTCCACAGTAGCGCACATGTTGTCGTCGATATCATGTATGATGGACACTCCAATGTATGAGGATATGGTACTTGGGTCATGACTCCTAGCAAAGGCCATTCAAACCCGACCTATGTGAAGATGATTACCATGATGTGCACAGCAATCTTCCTATCCTTCCAGGTTCCAGGCCGACCATCTGATGGGCGACGGGAGATGTGACAGTCTCCAGGCCGTTGTCCTCGACTACTAAGGCTTCCTCAGTCAATCTCAAGGCAGCGCGACAAGATGACTTTTTCTTAATGATTCGGAGTGTCCAGTCACTCAACGACTTATAAAAGAAGCTGAAGACAAGCGAAAACCGATGCTCCAGTCACTGATCAAAGGATGAAGCTCAGATCACCCAGGAGAATGATGATGACCAACAATCATGTCGACTTCAAGGTGGTTAATTTTCCAGTGATTTTCGTCCAGGCGACATGCACCACGACTCATCCAACAGCTGCTTGCGCGCTAGAGGACAGAAAAGCCCGCAACGCCCTCGATCAGCGAGATGTCATGCCATGCACAAGTGGCTTACAACGGTTCACTCACTCAAGCAAGGCTTGCTGTAGTACTACTCCGCAAGACGCAATTGCTATGGGTGTTTGCCACGGTGCCTGCTTCTGTAACGTTGCAAGGCTGACCTCGGAGACCTCGAGGCACTCTTCTGGGAGCCTCCTTCGTTCCTGGGCTCCTTGCAATAAGCACAGACGCTTCTGCGGCGTTGCAAAGCAAGCGCGCGTTCTTTACGCACCAGATTGAGCGACTATTTGTGCGGATATCACATCGCATGTTCACCAGGTTGAGGCTACTGCGGGCCGTACTCTGATGTTTCAGCTGTAGCGGTGCAGCCTTGGTGTAGTTAGCACGTTTCGTGTGCCTCAATCGACGGCTGCCAGCCGTCCCGTACTAACATTGTGAGTTTGTCATTGGCTTTCATGGTCATTGATCGCATCACTAGCTTCGAGATATGTCTCGTACATCCGCACCATCTGCCGGGCATGTTCACGTTTGGTAGGGAGAAAGGACTATACGGCCCCAGAAGCGAGCTCGGTGGGACGCAAAATGGGCTCGATGCAGACAACCCTGCTCTCTTTGCCGGACACGAGGGCCTGTGTGTATGTCAAGGATGCAGGTACCGCACGGGATATCTCGCAGGTATCATGTCCGTCACCTTGACCACCTTTTCCCTTCATCTCATACCGCACCACAGTCCTGCATAATTGTTTCAGACTGACATTGTATTCTGTCATCTCCTCTTGAGCTTCTCTTTCAATCCTCTACCTCCTCGATCCCGCCGTACAAGAGAAGTTGCAGAGGCTCTGTCAAAGTCTTCACTGTTCCTGTCTCCTCGTCGCTCCTTTGATAGTCATCCATCATGCAACACTCATATCTCGCATTCTTTCTGCTGCTCAGCATTCCTTTCGCAACAGCTCAGGATCTTTCAGCGCTCGCATCACTCCCCGAATGCGCTGTAAGCCTCATCCACTCCACCTCTTCCGCTGTACCCAAAAGCCCCCTTTCTAACACAGCACACAGCAAGAGCCCATCAAAGACGGCTTTGTAAATTCAGGCTGCTCCCTCACAGACGTCCAATGTCTCTGCAAAGCCAAAGCCTTCCAAGAACAGCTGGAGGCCGAGGTGATCAAGGACTGCGGTCCCGATGACCAACAAAAGATCCTCAAGTTCGCCACAGACTTCTGCGGCAAAGCCGGCGTAAAAATCGACATTCCCACCCCACCCCCATCCTCCTCACCAGCACCCGCACCATCGCCATCACCATCGCCATCTCCTTCTCCGCCTTCATCCCCCGCCCCCGCCCCATCACCATCACCATCCCCCTCCCCCTCCTCCTCCGCAGCAGGACCAGCCTCCCAGCTCACAGACGGCCAAGTCCAAGTCCCCACCTCCCCAGCCGCAGCATCCGCGACCGTAAGTTCCCCCACCACCTCCACCTCCCCTACCACCCCATCATCCTTCTTCATCGCCCCCGCCTTCTCAGGCATCCTAACCGCCCCTCCCCACCCTCCCAACCCAACAAACCCCACAAACCCCCTCCCCTTCCCTCTCCCCCCTCCATCCTCCCCCCATTTCCAATCCCCGTAAGCTTCCCTCCCCTCCTCATAACCGTACTAACTGACGCCCTCTCTAGGTCGCCAACGCCTCCGTCTGCCCACCCCCAGCAACTATCACGTCCTACGTCACCGTTACCGCCAACCCCAACCCAGCCAATCCAGCTTCTCCCAGCGCGGCCATCCCATCCAGTGGCGGCATCGGATCCAACACCACAGCCACAACGCCCAATTCACCCGTCGAAGCCGGCGCTGGACCAGGTGGGGAAAGCGGGAGTGGAGGGAGTGGAGGGAGTGGAGCAGCGGGCGCGGTACCGCCGAGCCCGACGACGAGTGCGCCGGCAGCGACTTTTACGGGGGGTGCGGGGAGAGTGGGCGGGGGCGGGGTGGGGCTGGGAATGGGCGTTGCGGTTGGGGTTTTGGGGTGGGCTGTTTTGGTGTTGTAGGGGGTTGATAGGGGGAGAATCGAGGGGAAGGGGAAGGGGAAAGGGGGGTGGAGGAGAGGGGAGGGAAGGGACGGAGATGTAATGAGGTGCATGAACTGTGTGGGGACGGGGAATGGGCGGGTAAGGGCTAGTGAAGGGGGGGATATGGTATTGGAAAAACGAGGGGAGTAATGTTTAGCTGGCTAGACGCTCGAAGAGAGAAAGGAAGGTGTAAGATCTTGGTGAGAAATGTTCTTGTATTCAACAAGCTAAGCTACGCAACGTTATAATATGAAAGCTTGACCTTCATGCGAGCGAGCGCTTTGATCCAGCGATACTGCTTCTATTCCCTCCTCAGCCATTACGATGATGTTTCTGCAGCGGCTCTATACTTGTAATGGTCTGTGCTTTAAATGAGGTAATTACCGCGGCCACCAGGGCGATGTATCGCTATCTGGAAAGTATTGCTTAGCTAGTAGTACATCAAGGGGAGAGCTGGGTGGCGTACAGGTGTACTTGTACCCGTCGTATCACGACATAGCGTATTTTCCACGCAAATCACGAGAAATGCGCTGTGGGGGGATAGGCTCTGGGGAGCGTGGGCGTCGATTCTAGGGTTGCCAGCCGGCTTCATAAATCTCTCTACCGAATACTTGGTCCACCGGTCCGAAGCTCGGCTGCTGATTCAAGCTCACTGCTGCCACTGAATCCGCTGCCCTCTCAACATACTGATAAGTCCGATGGGCAACAAGCGTATATCACCAAGTGCCAGCCCACCAAACTCTTTGATGATGTCCCCGCCGTACAACTGCACGATCCACTGCATGTACGCATCGCGCTGCCAGGTACGACTTTCCGCCGGTAACGACTCGATCGCTTTTTCCATCACTGGAGTCGTCATGTCTCGCTGTTCGTTGGGTTCTTCGAGGAGTGACTGATACGCTTGGAGTATCTCAGCACCGTGGGATTCGATGGTTGCCATGTAGTCTTCAAAGCTGATGAACTCGTTATACTCACCCATGAGGCTTTTGACTACGCGGTGGGTACGGTTGCCTTCGTCGTACTTTTTGCGCACATTGTTGTAGAGTATTTTCTCTTTCTCTAGGGCTTCGCGGATGCGCTCGGCTGGGGCGGAGGGGGCATTGGCGCGCCGGAGGAGGAGAGGGATCAGTGGATTCTGTAGTCCGAGACCACCTAGTTCGATGGGGAAGAAGAGGAGGCCGTCAGGGATGTTGGCCAGTGAGAATCGTTTTTGGAGTTCAGATTTGAGGTACTCCGTCACGCTTTTGTGGTTTCCGTGACTGGAGAAGACTTCGTTCTGGAGCTTGGTGAATGCGGCGATTACCATATCGATGTGCGCCCTACCGAGACAGCGTGATGGTGGGCCGAGATTGGTGGCAAAGAAGCGAGCTGCATAGACGTTCCAGGCTTGGATCCAGGCGAAGATGGATTTGCAAGCTTTCAATTGTAACTGGAGCTCTGCTGTGTGCTCTTTGATCTTGTCGTTATCGATCTGCCAGGTACCACGCGAGCCAAGTTGCAGAAAGCCCCATGTGACAGGGCCTCTTGGGAGCCAGGCTGACGTAGAATTTTGTCTGCCATCAGCGTTGATCTGAACCGAGCCAGTCTTTTTGTCGTTAAATCGCATCTTCATCACGCGATTGAAACTGCCCATCGCCTTCCATGCTGCAACGGCGGAGCTGTTCGAGCCCCAAAACCAAAGGTCATCGTGGATTCGGTAAAGATTGCCTCCAGATTCATGATTGACCGTAAAGTCCAGACAGAAGAGGACAGCTTCGCTCATGAAATCGCTCAAGGTGTGTGAAATAGGGACGCCACTCTTTCGTACCACGATCTCGGCATTTGGGCCGTCTTGAACGAAACGCATGGGAGTCTGCAGGAACTTTTCCAGAAATTCGAGCCAAAAGCTGGGTACCTCAAAGAACTTCAAGACTGTGAGCATCGTGGTGTGAGGCAGAGATGGGCCAAACCACTCGAAGTCCGACTGGAGGACCGTGAATGATTCATGGTGAGTCGATGTCATGAGAGCCTCCGTCGAGACCAAATGGAAAAGTCCCTGCTTGCGAGCTGAAGGTGGTTGTTCTCGTCCATTCTCAATATCTGAGTCTGCGTCGTGATCATACTTCGAGAGCGTCGAGCCAAGAGAAGAAGGCAATTGCTGCATAAAATACTCTTTATATTTTTCGTGACGTGTCGTTTGTACAGTATCAGGAAATCCATTGGTTTGCACAATTCTAGAAGATCCCGGTCTTGAAAGTGTTCTCCAAGCACCTGACTCCATGAAGGCTATCAGAGCCTCTTTCAAATGCGCAGCCCACATGATGCCAATGTATTGAAGTAGAACGGCCTGTAGAATGTCTCCGTCCATGAAGACTCGGTACTTGCCATTAAGTGCTCGACGAACATCGAGAGCAGGAGGTTCGCCCCAGGACCATGAGGGAAGATTGTCGATCTGCATATTCAGTACATCTGCCATCTCCGAAATGACCAAGGCATTGTCTCGGAGATCTCTCAGTCCAGCTTGTTTGTCAAGACTGAGGAGGTTGGAGGCAAGCAGATGTTTGATCGTCTTTCTGAGAGATACAGTGTCGAATGGCGGAAGCACAAAGTTCTTCATTTTTTGTCGAATCGTTTTGAGACCTAGTTGTGATTCTGTAGACACTGCGAAAACTTTGGCTAGATATGTAGTAATCTCCATTGCGTCTGGTATGGTCTTTGGATTCAGAACAAGGTTTTCCCATTCCTTGCGTTGTTCGTGCATTTCTTTTCGACCCACTGCCTCGAACGAATCGTTCTTGTCATCACTCGTAGCTTGCTGTGCACTCGATTCCAACCATTCCATTGCCAAACGACCAAAAAGCAAAGCGTGCTGATACTTGCGTGATGGTGTATCCAGGCAGTCTCTTAACTCAACTTCCCATGATTGTAGCAGACTTGCTGAGACAGAAGGATCGTGTTTCGACTGCTCTAGGAAAGCTCGAATCGTTGTGGTTGAGATATTTACAGGAGTGGTAATCTTGTTGTTTATCAGACCATCAAGCAGAATACGGATATGCTCGGCAGCAGCATCTTCGTATCCAAGGGCATTGAGAATCTTTGCTTTGCTTTCCTCGAACGATGCCTGTTGTCTCGAGACTGCGTCCAGCTTTGTTGCTGTAATACGTCGCATGGACTGAGTAACAGCGGAGGAAGCCATACTGGATGACAACAAAGTTAATTGGTGTTTACAGGTTGCTACACTTCTATGAGGATGGGTCGAATGAGGTGGTAGCAAGTGACGGACTTCAAGAGAACCTCATGTAGACCAAAATATTAATCTCAAACGAAAATGTGATGGGCTGTAGATTGTGTAGCAGAGGACTCACATGCAGGCAGCCAGGTGGTGACTCAAAGATCCACAACCCTTCAAGTCCGCTCCACTTCAGTCAACTCTACTGGTTCAGACGCTGGTCAATCGGCATTTGTTCGCTTTCAGCACCACCTGAATCTCTCACTGTGACGCACAAGCTGGGCAGTCATGCGTGCAGCGAAGGGTAAGGTACCAGTGAAAGTCTTGGTGTTGAAGAAATGAAGTGTAGACACAACAATGGTATGCCCATGACGTAGGTCTTGGCGTGAGGCCCCGGGAGGTGGCCGCCTAGAATGAAAGCCCCTTTACTGCCGTCCACATATATGAGTTCACAATACTTGTTACATATTGTTTTGATGAGAACCTTTACCTTCATCTTGTGGTTATTGACTGTGTCAACAAGCAAGAATATCTTCCACTTGATCATCGATCGCAACGTTGTGACCCATCTCCCACCACACGCGCATCTCATCGTACTCTTGTCGATCTCCTTCTCTTGCCGTCTCTCTAATGTCACATCTCCTGAAGACCGCCCAGAATACTAATCCAACAACGCCCGCAAAGCCCGCGTAAGTCGCATACACCACGACGAGCCAAGGATCCTCGCACAGAGGACTAAGCGCAATCGCCAACGAAGCGCCCAGGGCTCCAGTGAGTTGGCAAAAGGATTGCAGAACGACTTTGATGTCGGCTGGTGCTTCAGCGTAAGCGTGCTCGCCTAATGACCCCAGACCGAAGATCTCGCCGATGCTGAGTAGAATGTGTGATGGAAGTTGGATCCAGACGTTGATGTCGTTCGGTCGATGCTGGTTATTGGATATTTTCCCAGCGGGACAGGTAAGCGGGTGACTGTAGCATGGTCCATGGGTGTAGATGATATGCTGTGTGATTGCGGTGTACGCCATTGCAAAGGCGACGAAGAGGAAGCCGACGGACATACGGGTGATGGGACCGAAGTGTATATGTCGTTGATTGAGGAACGGGTAGAGGATCTTTTGGAAAGTAGGGATGAATATCACGCAAAAGATGGGATTCAGGCATGAAAATGTGTCGGTGGGAATACCGTGAGTTTCCATTTGGCCAGCCTGGGAAATGATGTTGCTTAAAATCTGGAAGTAGCAAAGGTAGTAGATCGCGAAGCAGAGGATCACGCGGCAAGTTTTGAGGCTACGCTGAACCTCAGTCAAAGACTCTGCAGTCCAGGGAGGCATTTGGCTGTAGTGCATTTGCTGATAAGATGGGTTTGCAGCCTTGAATCGGTGTCGTGAGCGAATTGCGAGGGAAATTATTTGAGCGGCTTGGAGAAGCACACTACCTTGAGGAGGGCGTTTGACTTGAAAGGTGAGCGCTAAAGTCTGTTTGCGTATGATTGTAAGCGTACCTAAATGTTTATTCCACACGATAAGGTGAAGAAAAGCAATGCAGAGCACGCATGTTGGTAAAAGATAGGCTGCCCAAAAGCCCACATATTTTTCCAAATACGTTGTTGCAAATGAGAAAAAAGCGGCGATGTTGATCATCCTAGAAAAGTTAGTGGATTGTAGTCCTGCATTACATATGTCGAACAGACCAGTAGTTAACATTAAAGGCGTACTGCAGGGTAAGTTCTCGGTCCGTCACAAGCAGCTCCCCCTGTTTGGAACAAATGAGTTGCGGAGGTCTTTCGTTAATCTGATCGCCTGTATACAAGATCAGTCTCGGAATATGAAGCAGTCATTCGTTGTACCAATCAATGGATTCATTACAACTTGTACCCCGCCCTGACCGAGTCCAATCAGCACCATTGCAATTCCAAGACCACTAGCACAGACTCCTTTAATGTATGAAAAGGTTGGAAGCGAGGTAGTTAGCAGAACGGCATTCCCCACCAGAAACGCACTGTTTCCCCTCAGTGCTATGTCTTTGGAGCGGAAATAGAAGCTCGTACACAAGGCTCACAACTAGGGTTCCATACTTGCCCATCCAAGTATCAGATACGACTGAAAGTGGAAAGGGAGTCAGAAATCCAAAGATCCAGAAAGCATAGTCGATCATCGTAGCTTTTGACTGGCCCAAACCCAAAGCCCCAGGAATGCTAGGATTCCCAGGTGGATTTTGGATGTAGTTCTCTGCTTTAATTGAGACACATCAAATGACTGCGTTCGGACTTACGCCAGGGAATGGTTATGCCATAGAATGCGAATCGTTCTGCCGCGCCAGTGAAAGCCAGAATCCACACCGTGAATGGGAGTTCGTCGACCACATGTGTCAACTGCTGTATCTCCTCTCTTGTAGCATTGCGACGTCGATGACCATGTTCCATCCCAGCAAACACTTAAATGATTGAGTTGTGTAGCTGAACTACCAACTTATATTTTCTTGGTCGAATTTTGTAATTCCGAGGCACTTCCAGGAGCAGTTGAAGCATCGTAAGGCTTTGTCTGGTTTATGTAGTAGTGCTCCTGTTCAAAAGATCATGCGGGGCGCATTCCTGTGTGTGACAAAGTCTGCAGCCCCGCCGCACTGTTGAGGACAAATCCTTCTGATCTTGAAATTCTGCATCGCGCAGTCTATTCCATGTAATACCGCCGCAGACTCTTGCTTCATAGTCTTGGATTCAGGTCCAACCCAAGCCGATCCAAATGCTTCACACTCCGTCTCATCGAGTACAGATATCAACGAAGGGACTGTCACTTGTGGTGCCATGAGTAATCATTTTCTTTCGCCCAAGGCCTGCGGAAAGTATGCCGAAGAATGTCTCCTTCAGCCTGCTGTCGACCCTGCATTTGCATGCTGGCGAATGAATACACAATGGTGCTGCATACGGCGATGTTTCTGACCTACTTGAAATACATGATGGGTGCTCTGCTGCGATAGCAGCAAATCCATGAACGTGCATTCTCCAAAGTACATGCTGGCTGTATGCACACTGGTAGTCTAGCAAATGAGAATGAATTCTTGATAAAAGAATGCGTATGGCTTGGGACAAGCACGAAAATGAGCTGCCGCCATCTGTTCTTGTTCTGCTAACGCTGTAGTAGAGCTGTTGTGGTCTTGTTTTCTTTTGCTCATCGCTGGAGGATTGCAGTCTCGGACTCCAAGAGAATGGGGCGCAAGCCTCGTCTTTGGGGTGCATGATTGATCAGAGTGAATCGGCAAGAACATGGACAACGACCTGTATTACGCGTACAACGTGTCTTGGACTTGACAATCTCCCGTGAGTTCGTGTAACAGTGATTGACTCCAGGCGCAGCTGGTAATTGCGCGTAAATAGCCCCCGGAGGCTAAGACATTTAGGGTCGATGAGGTAGGCCAGGGGAGAAAACCTGTTTGTTGCTGGTGGGGCTTGGGGCCAACGTACCCCATCTACCATCATCGTGCGAACGCCCACCTTCACTTCTGAAGCATCTATTGAGTCCAAAGAGCGAGGGAGAAATCATCTGTTTGCGATATTATTATAGCCTGCATATTATTAGAAGAGGCTATCTTCGCAACATCACGTGCTTGCGGCTGGGACCATCAAGCATGTGAAAACTCTAACGTCAGACCACCACCAGGCCAAAGACTTTACTTGAGTACGAAGCATGGACGAAGCGGATCTGAGAAGTGCGACACGGAATCCGAACATCGATGATATTACGATAGGACGCGTAGGACCACCTTCCCAGATCCTGCATGACCATGAGATTTCTATGAATAGGTGGGTTGATAGTAACCAGGCTGACGGGCGGTGCCCAACTTGGAGACCGAGATTGCAGCACCTTGGGGCTGATATGCACTTAGCCGTTAGTGGAGTGATTGTCACTCGTCAGATCAGGCTTTGGCTGGAGGCACTGCCCGTGCCCATGAGGCTGAAGATCCTTCGGTTCATATATGAAACAACGTGGCGGAGTAATTTCAAGAAACGAATCCTCATTGCGTGTGCATATGAACGACCTGCTCTCTGCCTCTTTCACTGCATGTCTTTGCTGCTCTCGTCTTTCATACCATCTGTCAAGAATACAGGCGAACTTGGACTGCAGTGATTCTTAAGTAACCATGCCGACCAGGACCAAAGAATCGACTCCAACTACTACCGACGATGCAGATTCCACCACCATCACTGACGATTCGTCTTCAACTACTGCTACAGATTCTTCAACGTCCACGAGCACTACCACGTCAGACTCATCATCCAGCACATCAACATCAACATCATCTTCAAGCAGCACATCGCAATGGGCCGCCCAAGTAACCGTCTACGACGACACGGGCAATTACAAAGTCGTCACCATGAATGGAATGACCTTCTTTGATCCCACAGACAATACTACGAAGCCCATGGCCTTCCCTAGCGGGACAGGCAAATTAGGAACCGGCAGAGCACAGAAACACTGGAATAATCTTGAGAATGAAAGTATCGCCGCCATATTCCTCGGTCTGATATTCGTTGGTATACTACTCATGGCCTTGGCCGGAATTGGTCAAAGGTGGGATCGGAGGAAGCAGAAGAAATTGATTGAGGAGCAGAAACGGCTGGAGCAGATTGAGTCGTACGAGAGAGTGAAGGAAAACAGCGGTCGTAAGTAAACCGCGGAGTACGTTGTCGATGATTGGACGTAGCTAACTGAGAGTGACAGATATCCATTACTCGGACACTCATCAAGCTGTCGCGTAGGATGAAGGAGAGTGGACAGATTCTCTTGCGGGGGATCTGACTGTATCCAAGCCTCCTTCGAGAATTCCATCAACATGGCAGACTGGAGGCCTAATCAGCTTATTGATGACGCAAATCCGACGCACTCCGCTTTGATTGAGCCAGCGGAGGCCAGAATTTCATTACTTGGGGCGTAGTATCGCCCTGATGCCAATAAAAGAGCCACCACCCTTCAAATACGCCTCCACGGGCGACAACCGGCAGGGTCTCGTCTCCAGCCTACCGGCAAGGGTTCGACACGGACGTCTCGCGTATAGTCTGGCTGCGATGACCATGGCTCAAGTAATGGGCTTCGTTTGACGAATCCATTGATAGTTTCTTAATCCTTCGCGATTGTTGTCGACGCTGGGTCAGCACAGCTGTTGCACACCGATGCCTTAGAAGAGACTCGACGAAAAGCTTTCGGCTGAAGAAGACGGCTCTTCCTTCTGCACGCTCCATTGAAGCCACTTGCGCGATTTGAATGATCTGCAAAAGGTGTTTGTGAATCAGGAGGTACCTACGGCGCGGAGGCTGGAAACAGAATTAGGACGACACTTGACTTGAATCCTCAGATAGGAAATACCAAAACATCCCGCCTACTTGATTTTTTGAAACAAGTGACGATAGGACAGCTTTTAATTTTAATCCGAAATGCTGTTGTTCTCACCGCCTCTGCAAGCTTCCAGCGACAAGTGTATTTGCTCTCCAAGATTATTTCTGTCTTCTCTGTCTTCCATCTTCATTTTGAACTCTCGCCTGCAATATTCTCACTTATCCTTTCTCAATTGATGTTTCCAGACCCACGTGAGCGCGCCTTGTTTGTTCATCACCTTCAATAACTGCTAATCACCCCCCAATCCAATACAATTCACTCCTGAAGCAGGACTTCAGCCATGACCCCCTTCGAGATCGTTGAATTCATCCTTGGCGCCTGGGTCGCCCAGGTCGTTGTGCACGAAACATAACTCTATCGAGGCGGTCTCACGCTGTACGATAGTATCAACTGGTTTGCGGCAACAATCAGCGTCATGATATACTTTATTTGGTTCCTGTGGCAGGATGAGAGATGACGACATCGAGCCACCCTCGACTATCTCCATGCAGCAATTGTAGACAACTCTGTGCTCGGTGATGCAGAAGACTCAAGCAAATTTGATTGGCGAGACTTCTAGTCAGACGCTAGCTCACTAAAGCCTAGCGCGTGACGTATCTAACAATTCTCACACTGTGCGAAACCGACAACTCATTATGACAAGAGCTGCCAATGGCCCTTCTCCATTCTTCCAATGTAGTCAAGTGGCTTCTCCTGACCAGCTCGCAATCCTACACCTCAGTCGCGATAACTTGATCCCCCAGATCCTCCGCGTGAACGACGACGAAAATGAAGGCTACGACGAGGGCAAAGTCACCAACACCCGCTTCGGCTCCTTTCCTCACAGCACCTTGATTGGCACGCCATGGGGTACGCAAGTACGCGCGTCAGCAGTCGACACTGGCTCAAGAGGACGGAAAGCAGGAGGACGGGGCAAGAACAAGAAACGGAAGAGGGATCATAGCGATACACATGAGCAAGGCCATAGCGAGATCAAAGAGGATGGCCAGAACGATGTAGGAGACAGCAAAGAATCTACAATTGAAGCTATTACCTCCATACCAAAAGAGCAACAAGCCGCGACTGAAGCCCAGAGCGGTTTCGTCCACCTTCTGGCGCCCACGCCAGAGAATTGGACTTCCTCTCTTCCCCACCGCACCCAAGTCGTCTACACCCCGGACTACAGCTACGTCCTGCACAGAGTCAAAGCACGCCCTGGCACACGAATAATCGAAGCCGGCGCCGGCAGCGGCTCCTTCACGCACGCTGCTGCTCGTGCAGTCTTCAGTAGCCATCCTACTTCCGCCTCTTCCGACACAGATGGCAAAGTGTTCAGCTACGAATTCCACCATCCGCGCTTCATCGCGCTGCAAAACGAAGTTTCATCCCATGGTCTCACGGACACCGTCGAGCTCACCTCACGTGACGTCTGTGCCGACGGCTTCGTCCCCACCTCCACGCCCCCCTCCTCCCTCAAAGCCACCGCTATCTTCCTCGACCTCCCTGCGCCGTGGCTGGCGCTCAAACACCTCACGCGGGACTCTCCCAGCAGTGTTCTCGACCCTGAGGCCGCCTGCCACATCTGCACCTTCTCTCCCTGCATAGAACAAGTCCAGCGCACGATCAGCACCATGCGCAGTCTGGGCTGGCTCGATATCGAAATGATCGATCTCTCTTCACGCAAGATCGAAGTTCGCAGGGAGAGGGTCGGGATGCAAGAACTCGGCCTACGCAAAGGGCTCGCACATCCGGCGTCTGTGGAAGAATCTCTGAACGTGCTGCGAGAAGTCGAAACACAAACAAGGAAATACCATCTAGTGGCGAAAGCGGCGATGGACGAGGGACATCCTACCCCCGCGAAGGTGAGCTCGAAAGCAGCGAGGGTGGACCAGAATCGAGAAGATGTGGCAAAGAGGAAGCTGTGGGTGGAGGGAAGGGTGGTTACGAGAAGCGAGCCGGAGCTGAAAACGCACACGAGTTATCTGGTTTTTGCAGTGCTGCCAAGGGGTTGGGGAGAGGAGGATGAGAGGAGGGCGAGAGAGCAGTGGGCTACTGCTAGTGTGGATGAGGGCGTGAAGGGGTGGAAGCCGGGGGTGAGTAAGAAGGCGAAGAAGAAGGCTGAGAAAGCTGCGAGAAGGGCGGATGCTACTGCTGGTGGGCAGAGCATCGATGATGGTGGTGGATCTCTGGAGGCAGATATGGCGGCGGTGAAGGGCGAAGAGGATGTTTAGGCAGATATCTACACATGAAGTTTCACGCGTATGATGAGAATCATACTTACTACCAAGTGACATACATCTCCAGCATGTTATGAAATCGTCTCTGCTCTCATTTCCGCCCCCGGGTGGTTGCTCCCTGTAGGACATCCTTATCAGCCCCCATTTATCCATTTATCGGGATGCTCTAGGGGAGTACCTGGGGGTTCTCCCCGCTAACTCTACACATTTCTCGCCGTCGCATTTCATTTCTTTCCTGTCTACTCACCTTCCGCCTCACCTTCTCCACCTCACCCACTCTCTCAATGCCCCCCTCCCATCCTCCCACAACAACCGACTTCCCCCCCCCTAACTCTAACAATCACTCCCCCCCCCCCTTCCCCTTCCCCTCCCCACACTACCTCAACCAACTCAACCACCTCATCCCCTCCAAGAACACCACCCAACATCCTCCTCCTCCTCCACGGCCTAGGCGACACCCACATCCCCCTCACCTCCCTCGCCACCCAACTCCGTCTCCCGGAAACGACATGTATATCCCTCCGGGCGCCTACACCGCTGCCCTTCGACCTGGGCGGCTTTCACTGGGGTGATGATATTGTTTTTTCCTCCCTCCCACCTGAGGGAATGGATGAAGGCCTGGGAGGGATGGAGTACGATACCGGGTTCACAAAAGCCGTGAAGATGGTGCTGGGGGAGGTGGTGGAAAATGTGTTGGTGAAGAAATGCGGGTATAAGTATGGAGAGGTGCTGGTTTTGGGGCTCGGGCAGGGGGGATGGTTGGGTTGGCTTGTGCTTCGTCTTTGGAGAAGGGGAAAGGGGGGGAGGGGAAGGATTTTGGGGGTGTTATTTCCGTGGGCGGGCCTTTGCCGGGGGAATGTAGGACTGTCGCCAGCAGGAGAGAAGGGAAGGAAAGGGGTGGAGGGAGGGAAGGGACACCGGTTCTTGTGTGTGGCGGTAATAAAAGGACGATGATCACGAAGAGCAGAGTACAGGAATTGAAAGAGGTGTTTGAGACGGTGGAGTATGTGAGGTGGGAACGCGAGGGGGATGGGATGGCGAGGTCTAGGGAGGAGATGATGCCTGTGATGAGGTTTTTGGGGAGGAGGTTGAGGAGTTGGGCGGGTGTGCCTGGGGGAGGGGTGGAGGTGGTGTGAGGAGGAGGAATGAAGAATGAGAGTGGTCTGGCGAGAGCTGCTTAGGCATGCAGGTCTTTCACGGGGTGAGCTCTGGAGGTTGGAATTATGGATGATGCAGGGGAAATGATGATGCAGAACGGATGCTATGGTTTGAAGGACCTGACTGCTCGGATTGGATCGTCTTGCTCATTCTACGCACATTCATGTCGTTTCGGATGGCTTGACCGCTCTCCAGCGCGTCTATGATACCATTCGGCCCGATTCAAATATAGCCAAGTGTTCAGAAAGATCGTTGGCCCCTTCCTCGTGGGTCTTATTCACGCTCGGCTTCCTAAGGTCTATGATATGACGGGGTATGATTTAAGGAAGGCAATCAAAAGGCGTTAAAGGCATCTAGCCAAGCTACCACGATTGATGACGACGGAGATGAGAGTGGCAAGACTGTTCTACCGTACAGTAATTCGAATCTCGTGTGTCCTTGCTCTTCACCTGGTTTAGAGCTTGAAGGTAGCCAAGAGCTCTATCGACGGCTTGCTGCTTTGATCGTCTAATCGGATGGGTCGAGACGATCTGGACCTCTGAGGAATGATTGGGATGATTATACTTCAGCTGAACGCATCAAGGGGATCTAGATCATACGATTGACGAGAACATCACGGATGTTGAGATGTGGTTATCGTGGATTCACACATATTCGGAACCAGCAGCTTGATGAACTCGATTGTGGGTCAAAGATAAAGAATGGCGGTGTAGGTTGACGGTGGGCTAATGATTCATAATGCAATACTGATTGAAGCTGTATGCATGATGCATATTGTACTGCTCATTCACAACGTACCAATGATCGAAATTGTACCTTAATCCATGTTGTACCAACACCTCTAGCAAGATATATCCTACCTCATTCCCAAGCAGAACAACTCTTCCACCAGCACGTACCGTCACAATCGAGGAACAGCCTCCACTAACTCATCTAACCTTCGCCAGAACAAATCCTCCCACTACCACCCTCACCCCACCGACAACCTTCAAGATGCTCGGCAGCGTCCTCCCCTTCTCCCCCGAGCTCGCAGACCGCGTGTCAGAGTACTGCGAGAAGCATTCTGAACGTAAGCGATACCTTCCCCTTTCTCTCATCAGCATATCTTCCACCTCTATCACAACCACCCAGCTAACCCACCCACAGCCCTCCCCGAAACTCTCAAAAAACACTGGTCATGGACCCTCGAACACCGTTTCGACGGCGACATGATGTCCTCGCAGCTTCAAGGCCAGTGGATGATCTGGCTTAGCCAGTTGCGTGCTCCGAAGCGTAGTAAGTCGGCCCCTCTCCCCTTCCCCTTCCCCTTCCCAACCCTCCTCTTTCAGCACCACGGCTAACTCATAGACGAATCCGCAGTCCTCGAAGTCGGCACCTTCACAGGCTTCTCAGCGCTAGCCTGGTACGAAGGCACGAAAGCCACGCAGGCCGAGATCGTCACGCTCGATCTGCCAGGCGATATGATGGACAAAACACGCGAGTTCTTCAAAGAGGTCGGCGTGGATGATCGTGTTAAGAGTGTTGTGGGGCCGGCTGTGGAGACATTGAAGGAGGTCGAAAGCGAATTCGATATCATCTTCCTGGATGCTGATAAGCAGAATAATGGCACTTACTTGGAAATTTGTCTGGAGAAGAGGCTGTTGGCTGGGGATGGGGTTGTGATTTTGGATAATAGTGAGACCCTTCATCCCCTTCCCCTTTCCCCTTTCCCTTCAAGTATCTCCCTCTGACGCTCACCTCCGTAGTGTTCGCTCGCGGCCTGACCATGGGTCCTGAATTCAACCCTCACGCCGACAAGTCGCGTCGTCCCTTCTGGGAGGCTATGGGCGTCACGATCCGTAAGCTGAATGTTAGCTTCCTCGAGGATCCACGTATCGATGTCCTCTTGTTGCCTTTGTTCGATGGGGTTACGATGATTAAGTGGAAAGAAGGGTATGTTGAAGGCAAGGTGAATGGTGAGGGGAAGAAGGCGGTGGATGGAAAGAGTAAGGTGGATGGCAAGCAGGATGGGAGCGGGAAGAAATAGTTTTTGCCTGAGGGGGGTATATCGAACATATTGGGTATTGGGAGCCCCTGCGATAGATGGATGGGCGAGGACCTGAGCTAGACATGGCATATGGATCAATGGTAGACTTGTGTGAAAGTCTAGATTGATAGATTTGCGTGCAGAGACATCTTTGATAGAGGGCTAGAGAAAGAAACCACTCCTTTGCTCTTAGCTGTGGTATTGGTCTATTTTGCATGCGTTGTCAATCTCGCTGTTGATTCTAGGAGGTGTGCGCGGTGCATCAGGCCGCCCTTTGGAAGAAAGAGATTGTACTCTCGCTGCTCCCTCAGCTGTCGTGCGAGGGGTGGTTGTGTATATTCCGACCGACTTCTAGAACACCATAGGCAGAGACAAGCTTTTCTTGGCAATGCTTGACCAGCGGGATGATCAGGTACGGATCCCTTATCAGATCCATCAGGCGTCCAGTCTACATATATGTGCGAGACGATGGTCACTCACCAGCACCTCCGAGCCCTACCTTACCACACGGCGTCAAGTCAGACAGAACAAAGTCGTCTCACTGCCAACTTCCCACAATCAATCGATACGAGGTGGATCAGTGACGTAAGTTCGGGTGACAGAGGGTTACGCAAGCGCTGGCACGTTGCTCTGTGGCTTGCCGTCTTCTCGACTTCATTGGTAGAGACGGACCTTGCCGTACTTCCCCACCACTCACTTCGGCATGGCGTCAAGGTGGGGTAGTTCAACATGGAGGGGCAATGGGATTTCCAGCATTGAAAAGGCCATCTTTCCCATCATCGACAATCATCTGCAGAAGCATCTTCAAGCATTGATATAAAATTCACCTTGACATACACGTCTCCAAGGAAGTACTCTTGCAACCCTTCAACATGTTTGGCTTCGGTAAGCACTCCTCCTCAGATCCATTGTCCTAGGCGCGATGTGTACGACTTGGACAGCAATGCTGATTGAGTTCCAGACGACGCACAAGATGCCCATCAACAGGTGTACCAGCAAGATGGCGGCTGGGAGAACCCCAAGCACGAAGCCAAGTTTAGCCATGAAATGATCGCCGGAGCGGCCTCCTTCGAAGGATTCAAGTTGTACGAGGACCATCAACGCAAAGAAGGTGTGCTTGCCCACACCCCACCCCACCCATATACTGTTGCATGCAGCACTGATGGCGATCCCCTAGGCAACACCGTCAATCATGCCTTTGCCAAAGAACTCCTCGCCGGCTTCGTCGGTGGTGAGGTTGACAAGCTCGCCGAGACTAGAGGTACGTCGTTGACCGTGACGTGTGCATTCGTTTGCTAATCGTGGCAGGCATGAATGCTTACGATCGCGAGCGAGCTCATCATCACGCGAAGGAAGGGTCTAAGGAAATGTATGATCAGCATTATGGTGGTCAGGACCAATATGACCCTTCGTATGGCCCTCCACAGCAGATCCAGAACTATGGGGGGGATGGCAATGATAGATATTGAAGCCCAAACCGATCAAAGCTCCATGTTGCTGGGAGCTATGGTCCTTCCGGCTTTGCGACAAGAAAGCCATTGGAGACGGAATGAATGAATGGAGCATCTAGCCAGACATGGTTGAGCTGAGCTCGAGAAGGCTTTCATAACATGCAGAATGGAATCTGTATCATAGAAAATAGAGCACCTTACATATCACTGTTTGCGGTACTAAAAACACTGGCGTCGTTGCGAAGCGGCAAACATCGTCGCCGTCCCGATTCATGCCTTGAGTTGAAGCCCAGGGAAAAGCTTTGCTTGGCATTTATACATACGATAAGGTAGATGAAATTTGATGCCTAGTCCCACGCGCTCTCAAGCGGTAATTGTGAGAATCGAAGAAAACCTCTACAAGAGTGCTTGAACCAACGTCTATGTAGGGGAAACGAAATATGTAATGATTGAGGAGAAGAGAACGGTTCTCATTCTCATTCAGAAACAAAAGTATATAATAACAATAAATGACGGGTTGCTATGAGTCTGCCTCTATGGCTTAATGGTAAAGCGCATCACTAGTAATGATGAGATTCTCAGTTCGATTCTGAGTGGAGGCAACAGATCATGTATTCTATTGTGTATGTTTTTTGGCATTAGCGATATATCGAATAAGGTCAGAGCATGAGGGTAGAGTAGAGCATGGACAGATTCTGGTGGATTCTCATTGCTGCTTGTTTACGGAGAGTACGTTTTGGCAACAAAGCCGAATGCCAAGTCAGGTAGGGCCGAGCTAAGGCCAATCGGGCGATCCGGTGCTCTTTCTTGGCGTGGGATTCACTGCTAACAAGGAGCTTGCGAACTAAAAGAGGGCAAGGCCAGGCAGATGGAAGGGAATGGAAGCAGCTGAAGTGTCGTTCAAAAGCAAGAGCAAGGGTCATAATGGGAACCAATCCTGTCTACGCGGGCTGCGAGTATCTTTGCGACATTCGTCCCTCGACTCAATTGATCGTTAGCACACGCCGTGTCTCTCGACAATGGCTCTCTCAATCCCACTCTTGGTGCTCTCAATTGCCCTCCTTGCAACAGCGCAGACACCAACGGACTTCAGTCCCTACACCGCTTCGCCTCTGATTGTCCAGTATCCGGGCTCTGCGCCATTCAAGTCAGGCGTAGAATTGCAACCCAAAGGTACAGCTTGAGAGCCCTACTTTCTGACCTACCGGCTTACATCGAAGCCAGGAACACAAGTCGTGCCCTCCCTCTTCCTTCCCTCCTCCTCACAGGCTTCTACAGCGAAGTACTACACCATCATAGCCATAGACCCCGATGCGCCTTCCCGCACCAACACATCACTTGCGAATGTCCTCCACTGGCTCCAGCCATCCTTCCACATCTCCACTTCGAGCAATGTCACCTACCCTGCCAACACCACACTCCTTCCCCTTGTATCCTCCGCCAAGCCCTTCTCGACCTACATTGGTCCCGCCCCTGGGGCTGGCAGCGGTCCCCACCGCTACATCTTCTTCCTGTACGAACAATCAAGCGCGAGCTATGATCTGCCAGCGATATACGAGGGATTAGGTCAAGGGGAAGGAAGGACTAAGAACATTACAAAATTTGATCTGGAGGCGTACGTGCAGAGGGTGGGCTTGAATGGGCCTGTGGCTGGGACGTACTTTACCGTGGAGAACAAGACTGGGACAGCTAATGGTACGGGCAGCACAATCGGCGGAGCAAATGCAACAAACACAGGGGCCATTGGCGGGAGTGGAGGGGCATCGGGGAATGCCTCGCCAATTGCTACTGTCACTGCTGGCGAAGGGGCCACAGGATCTACCGGCAGCGTACTTCCTAGTGCCGCCGGCGGAGGAGAATCTGTGGCGACTTCAGCAAATAGTCCTTTGTCTGCATCGGCAGGAACGGCAGAGACCACTGGGGTCAGCGTGGGAGGCCAAGCATCCGCGACTTCAACTGCGCAAGGTACAGAAACCGTGACGCCGGCTACTAGCAACGCTGGCGAACTGCGACTGGGATTGGCGATCGTCGCCGGATTATTGGGTTGTCTGGTCGCAGTGGTAATTTGAGGCTATGGATGTGATATGATTGAATTTGAAAAAAGCGATGAGGTGATGACGAATATTGATATGGCTTTTCGCAAAAACCGGTTATGAAAATGGTCCATGTGGATCATGATTGAATGATCGGATCCCGTCAACGTCGGGTGATTGATGAGGATAAGGAGGCAGTCAAAGACATTGAACTGAGTGGTGGATTCGGACCCCAATCCGGATACATACAGAGTGCTTTTCGTAGCAATAAATAGAAGAATCAATGAGAATGAGAATGAGAATGAATGAGGAGCAATTAGGACAGTCAGTGCTTGCACGTGGATGCGGGTCAAAGTGTCGGTTCCTCAGACTTTTCGGCTCTTCTAGATGCTTTCTGATGTTTTGCATAGTTTGTAGGCACATCAAGGTTTTTTGTATGGATAAATTATATGCGACGTTATTCTAATTGGAATCATTCAGGATTTCAGTCTCCATTCGGACACGGCAGGAGAATAATTGCTCTTACGTACACCTAAATAATCAGAAAAGTTTCATCATCTTTGGTCTGTGAAAATAACAGCCCAGTGTCGTCAGTCCCGGCCGACGCTTCTTTCTTTGTTCCTGCGTCCATCGTTCGCCTTCGCGATGCGACTCGCAGCTCCAAGCAACCACGAACGCTGCACCAGACATGAAGTTCGCAAAGTAAGCTAAACCTCCCCCAAAGACTCATCCGCACAGACCGCCCGCTTACGCAGCTGTCAATGCAGAGAGATCGAACAAGATCTGGTGCCAGAATGGCGGGCCAAGTACTTCGACTACAAGGTCGGATCCTGCTGCCCTCCTCATCCCTCTACCTCAATTGACCACCATCTAGACCGGCAAGAAGAAGGTCAAAGCTGTCGTAAGAGCATTGAAAGGCGTCAACACCACTCCAAAGACTCCGGGACGCCAATTGCCCGCCAACCTACTCAATAATACCTTCACATCACCTGCGGGCCCTCCACCGCACCCCTCCACGCGTCCTACGCCTCAAGTTTCTACCAACATAGGCTCCATTGCAGCTGGTGATGCCACTGCTGAGCAGATTGAAGGAGAACAATTCGAGAGTACACAGAAAAAGGGCAACGCAAGTGAAGAGACGTCACCTATTACAATACCAGGAACGGCATCGAGACTGGGTACGGGTGATCCTCTGGTACAAGACGAGCGCTGGGATAGTGGAGAGGTCACGACCTATGGCAGCTTCATACCTTCCCCATCCAGTCGGACGGGGCCAATTGGCCCTCCGTCGCTCGAGCTGCCAGGCCCAGCTCTACCACCCGAAGAAGATGCTTTCGCAAAGCACAACAGAGCCTGGCGCAAAGGCCACTTTCCCCAAAACCCTCATACAACACCACTTTCGCAGCAACTAGCAGCAAATACTGGCGACGCCTACCATGTTGGTAAAACGCAATCAACCGGCAAATTAGAATCATCTCAATTACTCCCGAAGCACAAAAGATTCCTCAGACCACATCGATCTGTTTCAACACCGCATCATGGCTCGTCGGGTCTGCGGCCTCGGTTGCTGCGACGAATGTTTTCGGCCAGCAATCCCAACACACCTAACGGTGACGTGCCGCTGGAAGCATACAAAATCTACGATGAAAAGATGGCGGACTTCTACAGTTTTCTCGACTCGGAGCTCCTGAAAGTGGACGAATTTTACAAGATGAAGGAAGCTCACTCGAATAAGAGGCTGCAGTCTCTGCGAGATCAGTTACACGAAATGCGGGATCGGCGAATTCAAGAGATTCGGCATGAACAAGAAGTCAAGAGGCAGGCAAGAGAACATCAAGATCGGGTGGATAGAGGTCTATCTGAGGCTGGACAAGATCCGAGCAAGGCAAACCAATCGGCAATGTCAACTGTTGCAAGATATTTCCAGCCCATCGAACGGGCGTTAGGATTGGGCCCTGCGAGAATTGGAAAGACTAGCAGAGCATTACAGAAGCTTGGTTCTCCCTCTGAGCCCCACCCAAGCTACCCACCAGGCTCAAACCGTCCAGAGTCATGGCGAGATTTCTCCAGGCGGCCCGAGCGAGACGATATACCACACCGAGCAGCAAAGAGAAAGCTCAAGCTGGCCCTCCAAGAGTTCTATCGAGGTCTTGAACTTCTCAAATCTTTCGCTCTCCTTAATCGCACTGCGTTCCGCAAAATTAACAAGAAATATGACAAAGCCGTCAAGGCTCGCCCAACTCAGCGCTACATGACGGAGAAAGTAAACAAGTCGTGGTTCGTACAGAGTGAGGTACTGGATCATCAGCTTGTGGCTGTTGAAGACTTGTATGCAAGATATTTCGAACGTGGCAACCACAAAGTTGCTGTCGGCAAGCTTCGTAGCAAGACCTCCAAGAATGCAGATTACACCGGCAGCGTTTTCAGAAATGGCATGCTACTTGCAGGTGCGGCGGTGTTTGGCATACAAGGCATTGTATACGCTGGAGAGCATCTCAACGATCCTAACTCTAAGATACGAATCGATACAGGCTATCTCCTCCAGGTACGTCCATCCACCGAATTCTCTCTATCGAGCTTACATTAGCGCAGATATATGGAGGCTACTTCTTGATGCTATTTCTCTTCCTTCTATTCTGCATAGACTGCAAAGTGTGGACCCTCGCCAAAATTAATTATTCTTTCATCTTCGAATTTGATGCTCGCCACAACCTCGACTGGCGGCAATTGTCCGAAGTAGGCATGATCTGTTGTTGGTCGACTTCGCAGGCTAACCTCGAGACAGCTACCATGTCTTCTACTTTTCATCCTTGGGCTTTGCATATGGCTCAACTTTTTCATGAGTGGAGCGAATGCGATGTTTCTTTACTGGCCCGTGATCCTTATTGGACTTTCAGCCATCATACTCTTCTTACCGGCCCCAATACTTTATCACAGAAGTCGGGAGTGGTGGGCATACTCTAACGTATGCGACAATGATTGTCTCTGCAGTTGCTCCTTGCTAACGCTAACCAGTTCCGTCTACTGCTTGCGGGGCTGTATCCGGTCGAGTTTCGAGACTTCTTCCTTGGCGATATGTACTGCTCGCAAACCTACAGCATGGGAGTAGGTATCTCAGTAGGGCAATCGCGTTGTGGATGTGCTGACACGTGTAGAATCTCGAGCTCTTCTTCTGTCTCTACGCACATGAATGGTCCAATCCAGTACAATGCAACTCCAATCATTCTCGACTTCTCGGCTTTTTCTCGACTTTACCTGGCATCTGGCGGGCATTACAGTGTTTAAGACGTTATTATGATACCCACAATGCGTTTCCTCATTTAGTCAATTGCGGCAAATACACTTTCACAATTCTATCATACATGACTTTGAGTCTTTACCGATTGAATCCTAGCATGCACTTGAAAGCTTTGTTCATTGCTTGCTCTACCATAAATTCCATTTATTGTTGTAAGTGCAGCTTCTGCCTGACCTACCAGACGATATGCTAACTCAACGCATAGCTGTGTGGGATCTAGCTATGGACTGGAGTATGCTCACATCGCATTTAAGATATAATGTCGCCATACTAACTATTCCCAGGTCTCTGCAACCCCTACGCTGAATACCCCTTTCTCCGCGACGTCCTCGGCTACAAACGCCCCCAAGTCTACTACCTCGCCATGATCATCGACCCCATCCTCCGCTTCAACTGGATCTTCTACGCCATATTCGCCAACAACTTCCAACACTCAGCCGTCCTCTCCTTCCTCGTCGCCCTCTCTGAAGTCTGTCGCCGCGGTATCTGGTCTCTCTTCCGTGTCGAGAACGAACACTGCACGAACGTCGGCCGCTTCCGCGCCTCTCGCGATGTGCCCCTCCCCTACGAGCTTCCCTCACCTCGCAGCTCCATCTCGCCTACGGAAGGAGCCAATAGAACGCCTGAGCAAGAACCAACACCTATCCAGCGCCGACACACCTACGCCGACATCGACGGAGCGGGATCCACGGCGTTAGAAGCTCAGCCTAGCCCGGGGACGGGGACGCCAAGACTGCGACGCCGCGCCACGCTCGCAGAGAGCGATACCCCAATTATTCGCGGTATTGCAAGAATAGGCACAGCGATGAACCAAGCTCATGCGCAGGATTTTGAGAAGAAGAGGACGAATGTGATGACTACGCCGGGAGGAGTTGAGGGGTTGGAACGAAGCCCGCATTATGGCGGGCAGACTGTGGGTGGGGATGAAAGTAGTGATGAGGAAGAGGATGAAGATGAATTCGCGAGGAGGGAGGCGGAGGAGATTGTGGAGGAGGAGAGTGGGAGAGTTGAGAATGGGGAGGACGATAGTGGGGCTATTGAGCACCCCAGAAGAAGTGAGCGGAGGGAGGAGAGGGAGGAACGGCAGCGGGAGGAGGAGGCAAATGAGCGGGATATGTTGGGTGTGCAGGACGTGCTTGAGAGGAGGAGAAGTGCTGTTGACTAACTATTGAAGTCGTTGCTCAGAGGGTAACAAAAAGTCAATTTAGCGATTCCATTTTAGAGCGCTGTTCTAAAGCCATTGAGAATCATTGAGGTCCAACGGTTCATCTGGAACGCCACAGTCGCTGACGGACATTAATGAAAGGTGCAAGAGAGATTTGCAAGCACACCCGAGCAGACGATCTCGACCAATCCTTCGGTCATGGTGGCTTATGTCGTTACTCACTGCCTACGACGAAAGAGGATCCGAACTTGTATTATTACCACTACTAACCCTCCAGCTTTTCCGCTAACATGCTGACAGGGCATTGCTAACATGGATCAGTCAAAACGATGATGCTTCATGGAGCACGTTGCACCCTGACTGTTCTTTGGCTTTCCAATTCGGCACCCAGCGAATTCCACGCGATCAATAGAGCAGCACACGATCAGTCGACACGTCAACAAGCAAGCATTTTCTATCAGGACTACTTTCGAAGCTAGCAAGACCTACGATTGGACCGAGATTGCTTTGGCTTGGAATGAGGTGGGAGGAGTAGACGGATATTACCCTTGCTTGACATTGGGTGCTCTCTTTCAGTGAAGATCGGAATGTCCAACTAAATCAATAACACAAGGAGCGTTTCGGCTGTTGCGTTTTCCAGCCTCTCTACGCTGTATCCATGACTGTCTGTCTTGGATAAGTTACGACTGTCCTGGGGTAGGTGAGACCTTACTGTGGCTTGTCACTCACTTCATGAAAGGAGCATTCCGAAGCAATACTTGCGCTCGATGTCTAGACTCTGATGCGAAGCAAGGGACTAGTATTGCTATCTATCTAGATGCTCAGACGCCTCGCAAAATGTTCTTCATTAGAAGAGATGTTCAGTCCGTGAGCGGCAAAAGGGTCTGCTCCAGTCTGCGCTTGATGCGGCTTTTTTTCTACGCATAATCGGCTACTGCAGCCATCCACTCATGGGCCACCTCGCAGTGAGACATGTTTCCAATATTCAATCCAACGGGGACCTATCATTGGAACACCTCTGCTATCTTCAGCCAGTCGCGCACAACCCCAATTGACCTCAGACCCTACAACCCGCTAGCCTCGCAACAACCCACGAGTGTCCCACTTTCGCCTTTTCAAGCCTTACGCTATGCTTTGGACGCCCAAGCACATGCCTCCGATCGCAATGATCGTCGGGACTCGACGGACGTGCGGCTGCTGAGACGAAGCGCCAGCCAACCGGCACCCATCCTCACCGGTTCCGGAGAATTACAGTCTTCAATATGCAGGTTCAACGGCCGGATGTTTTCGCCAGCAGCTCACGGCTTCAGCCTTTCAAAATCTGGGTTCTGATGTCAGACGGGTATGATGGAAAGTAGGAGAATAAGAAGTCTTCCTATATCTATCCACTCGATAGCACCAAAGATCCCCTCATCTTGGTGCTGTAGCGTACGAAGCCAATGATCACAACACTGGATACTCAATCCTCGATACACCAGCAGTACTCAAGAGACCTCTGAAACCTCTCCTCACTGCCCATCAAGCACATCGCAGCCATGCGTCTATCCAAATGGCGAACACTTCTCCTCACCCTACCAATCACCTTTGCCCTCCCAACCCCCACAATACTAGACGCCCGCAACGACCACCTCGCCTGTGACCGTGACGGTTACAATTGCCACAACATCCACGGCTGCGACAACATTCCCGACACGCCCGCCGGAACGTTCGTCTTCCTCTCCTTCCCTTCTACCCTTTCCCCCATCATTCCCCTCGCACTTCACCTATCCACTAACAAACCCCTCAGCGGCCCCTCTCCATCCCCCTCAGTCGCAAGCGCCCGCCGCCGCGCTCTCCCCAACACGCTCTTCCAATCCCCCGTCCTCCCCTTCCCCGCCGCGCTTCAAACCCACGCCAAACGCCAACAAACCTCCACCTTCAACCTCCCCCACCCAGACACCTACTGCGCGCCCGCGTCCGCCATCTACGTCGACATAACCTCCACCGACGGCGCCTCCTCAACCTCCAAATCCCACATCTCCCAACTCATGGACGAAGCCATCTCGGAACTGACCACCTACATCGCCCTCAACATCGCCAACGTCTCCGCCGCAACAGTCCCGCAACCCAACGGCACCCTCCCCCTCCCTGTCGCAGCAGTGCCCGGCGTGATCGTCCCCGCCACCACCCCCGCCACCGCTGACCCGAACACCGTGCCCGTCACCAGCATCCAGAGTCAACTACCCGCCGGCATTTTAGCCGCCAGCACCAACGTGGGCAGCGGGACGAGCACGGGCTCGCTGTTTCATCTGCAGCCCGCGGGGTTTAGCGACAGGCTGGATGTTTTTGAGGGCACGGCTGGAGGCTTGACGTTCGGGGTTTTGAGCACGGCGTTGGGGTTGGTGAAGGAGTGGGCGGCGGATCAGGGGCATGCGTGGGCGTATTTGAGTGTGCAGATTTATGAGGGGGTGGGGGTGCAGAGGGGACGGGTGGTGTTGAATTAGTGGTGGAGAGGGGTGGGGGGGGAGGGACGAAGGAGATGGGAAGAGGGGGAAAGGAGGGGGAAAGGAGGGAAGAAGGGGGACAGGGGGGGGCAAAGGAGGACATGGTGGGTTGAGTCATCACCCACTTACTCACTCAATCAACCCAAACCACAAACCGGAACGGAAGGACAAAACGAGCTTTTCCCTCTCAGACGGGGCGTTTGGGGTGGGGGCGTTTGGGGTGGGGGCGTTTGGGGTGGTGGGGAATCACACTGGGAATCACACTGGTGTCAATGGGAGTTTTCTGCGGGCACGCGGGCGGGCGAGCAAAACAGCCCCGCGGACACGAGATTTCTTTTTTTGATTCTTTTCCTTCTTTATGATGTTCATGTTCATGTTTTCTATTCCTGTTGCGTACGTACGTACGTACAAATGAAATGATCGATTACAGTCATTGATGATGATGATTTGGGAGCGCGCGAACGATTGGTGTGTGCAAGATATGCCACCTAGTAGATTTTTTGGCTATCTCGTGGTGGTGGAAGACGAAGGGGGGTGGGGGGGCTGGGGGAGGTGTAGCTAACAACAGAGCACGCACGCACGCACGTAAAATATTGTATGGTGGAGTACGTTTGCTTTGCTCACTACTTGGGGGAAAGGAAGGAATTTGAATATTCTTATACGCACGAAAAGCGACGGCGCTGGCTAGGCGGCGTGTGGGAGGTTTGTTGTGTGTTGTGTTGTCGAACTATATCCCCCCCCCTTTCCCTACCTCGCGGGCAGTGGTCACTCTCAGTCTCAGCCCTAGGTTCCCCCTATTCATATATTCATCCAAGCCAACCCCCAAACAAAGCAATATGATTAATTGGGCTCGACCCTAAACCGTGCTTTCCGTGTCAACCTGTTGATTAAGCTTCTTTCACTGCCTTACTTTACCGTCTCCCAAGGAGAGGAGGTAAAACTCAAGATAGACCTCGCAAAACCCCGGTTGTGGGCCGGTGATGTGGCACAGGTTGGTCGGTGAAGATTTGGGGGTTTTTTCGCCAAGCACTGCCCCTCCAAGGTACCTTATTCTTGAGGGTAATACGTTGCGTTGCGTCGTGTACACTTTCACCTTCATTAATAGCATACTGCAGGACGTAAGCCAAAGTTTCCTGTTGGCATGGTTGGGATGGAGATGTGTGGTGCGCAAACGGGCTTTCGTGAGGCAGTTTCACGAGAATTAAAGACGGCGGGGCGAATTGCGTGGTCGGTCGCTCGGGGTTGGTGGGGGGGCTACGCCGCCCTCATCTGTGCCTTAAGGCTACTTTTGCATAATGCAGAGGGGACAAAAACGCGTTGCGACTTGCGAAGTCTGCTGTGCAGGAGTGTTGTTGCTTTAAAGGGCCGAGGGGGTGTCGCGTGTGCTTTCTTCCCCTTGCTGAAGATTCGAAAGCTGGGCGTACGGTCGATATCGATATATTGAACAGGGCAAGAATAATCATCTGATCGTGTATATGTGCCGAGTCGCGGGAGTGCTGCCTGCTGGAACGATTTTTGTGCGTGTTGGAAGTGATAGCGACTTAAAGAGCTGGCTGGACTGGTTGTCTTCGCTGCTGACCCAAGATGCCCGCTTTACTCCTACCCCGCGCCACGGGCGACGAGAATCGAGGACCTGGACAGATTGCTTGCATGTCCGTGACTGCGATTGCGGCGCTGGTGGTGGTGTGTCTTCGAGTATATGTGAGAAGGAGTTTCGTGCAGCGTCTTGGGCTGGACGACCGGACCATCATTCTTGCCATGGTGAGTTATTCAGATCGTGGAGACTCGAGCCCAGCTGGCTGGCTGACATCATGTTGACAGATCTTCGGCCTTATCACCTTGGCTACGGATAGCGTCAAAGTCGCAAATGGCTTTGGCAGACATGTGGATACTCTTGACCAGCGACAGCAATGGACGATTATTAGGTTTTCCATTATCGGAACACCGACCCTCATCATCAGCCAGGGATTGGCGAAAGTGTCGATATGCTTCCTGCTATTACGGTTGTTGCGGGATGCGAAGGCACCAAGAAGAAAGATTGCGTTGCATGCGTTGATCGCCTTTTTGGCAATATACACATTTATGACCGTTGTCGTTCTTTTGGCGCAGTGTAATCCGATCTCGAAAAATTGGGATAAATCGAAGCCAGGGAGCTGCTGGAATCCGGCCGTGCTTTCGAATGTTGGGATCGTGCATGGAGGTACGTGTTCACGGTCAGTTGAAGGGGTGTAAGCTCACGAGATAGTGTGCTCGGCATTGACGGCCTTCATTCTATCCGGCATGCCGATTCTTATACTGGGAAATCTGAACCTCAACCGACGGACTCGAATCGCAGTCTGTATTCTGCTTGGCTTTGGAGTCTTGTAGGCGACATACACCAGGTTTAGAACCATGAGCTGACATTCGACTAGTGACGGTATTTGTTCCATAATGAGAACAGTGCACACTCCAGGTTTCAACACAAGCAAAGACTTTGCTTGTAAGACACTCCGCACGAGTGATCATGTCTCCAATGTTGTGCTAACCGCGACATTAGATACTCAAATTCCTCTCTATCTCTGGGCGGAGTAAGTACCTTCGAGACCACAATCTCCATCTCGAGCTAATTCGGGGTTTAGTCTCGAGCAAAATCTAGCGATCATAGCAGCATGCATTCCCACACTCCGGCCCCTCTTCCGCTTTTTCGACCACAGCAAAGTCCAGAACTCAATAGGCTGGACGAGCAAAGGGTATGCCAGGCGGAGTGGAATTGGCCATCAGCGCATCCCGTCACGTGGTCCGTTCGGCCAGAGAGAGGATGACTGGGGGTATCCCTTGGCTAGACCACCTTCTTCGCACATCTCAGCAAAGGAGGAAGGGGAGGGAGATGATAGTGGGAGGAGCTCGTCATTGGGGAAAGGGACGAAAGGGAAACAGGGAGAGATGATTTTGAAGACGACGGAGATTACGATTAGGAGTTGATGTTGTGGAGCTGGGGATGATGCTGTTTCTTGAGGCGTTGTGGTAGGGAATAGATGCTTTTGATCGAGAGGATACAACTCTGACGTTCGCTCTGGTGAATAGGATCTTATTCAAGTGCTCATGGTTCAATTGAGAAAGAGGAATTGAGGGGGAGGCCAGAAGCCGATGGGCTACCTAGTTGGGACTCGGAAAAATGATTGACCGCTGCCAAGACGCATGATGTCATCTGACATCTTGTCAATGTTTTCCTGCAAAAGGTGGTGCCAACTTCCTCGAACAAGGCCATGGGCTTCTCATACTACTAGGTGTCTGTGCCTGTGTCTGTGTCAAGCGCGAAATACTTCCGAAAACTATCGACAGAAGAAAGGCCATCAGACCAACCTTTTACTCTTTCGCCTGGGCTTATTTCATCAGCTGCTTCGTACAGCGAGCTTACAATGGCTGAGCCGCAAGAGCCACAATCGTCAGAAGAGATTACGACAGGTTCCAACCAGACCGACCAAGAGATCAAGCCGTTCAACGCCTCCAAAGTGCAGAGCGATATTCCAATCGAGCACTGGGAGAGGCTGTTGCTCGGCAAGAAAATGGTCGGCCCAGATGCACCAGAGGACCCAGCTGTGAGGTCGCCCCCCGATGCTTCCCAAGGACTCCTTGCTGACTATGTAGTAGACTTTCAAGCGTTCAGAGTTGCCCGAGAAACATCAATTCCATCCAGGCCCTTCAAATAATCGGAGGCTCGATAGGTACCTACTTCTCTGTTGTGTCTGAGCGTGACCGTTGCGCGGCTGCTGACGTGCAGATACCAGGCTGAATGTTTGTTTTGATAAGACCAACACCTGTTTCAAGGTCTACTACGGCTAGCCTGATCACAGCTCTGTTTCTGCGCGGAGATGTGTGTGGAGCATTAGGGATGCAGAATGGACATCCCGCACACGGGTCGCAGAATGAGACCAATAGTCGGAATTTTGTGCCATTATCACGAGATGAAGATGACACCAACAACGGTTTCTGAAACCAACTAAACTCGTCGATTATAGCACGCGCATTAATGTCTCAATGTGTTCTGCTTGATTGCCACATACAATTCTCCGAAGTCGTCTGAATTGCTGGGGTCTCCATACTGCTGGTCCCCTTTGCGCCGCACTAGCATAGTCCACACCGTTTTTTGCACGGGTGTGCCTTGTAAGACCAACCCGCTCAACGTCAGCAGGGCCCTGTGATGTTTCAATCAGAGCTGCTGAAGATTCAGGCGCTCTTTTGCAAGTCTTCATGGACGTTCCTCTAGGAAAGTGTATGGGAGGGTCTGTAGGACAATCTTGACTTTACGTTTTTGATGCAAGCATCTTTCTTTTGCAGATCTTAGCGACTTCGCTCTAAAATGAAAAGGCGGCTCGAGAACACTCGGACAATATCCGGGGCCTCTTAGGGGGCAGCTTCAAGGTGTGTTTGCGGATTAAAATTAAGGGTAGAAAACTAGGGGTCTGCAGACAGCCGTGCCCGATGACTGCGTCCTAAGGCTACAACCCAAGTAAGAAAACCAATTTCCTACACTATACAGATTGACAAGGCGTCCAGGCAGTGCATTGGACGCCTAGCCGCTCGGATTGACGTAACAGTATCCAACACGTCAATGAGGCAGAATACTCCTGTCCTTCATGATATGATAATCTATAATCACGAGATCACAAGATAAGCAAGGAGGGCTCATGAGGCACGGTGCTCTTGTACTTCATTATCTGCAATCATGAAAGTGTATAAAGGGTGTAGGAAGTGCGGATTCTCACAACACGAAACCAAAAACCCTGCTGCAATCACAAAGAACTTTCTCTGCGTCTTCAGTACCAATTATGAAGCTATCCATATATACCTTTCTGATATCTACGCTCTGTGCTGTCAGCGTTCTGGGCGATACTTACTATACCATATTCCCCAAGGACAATGGTGACGCAAACACAAACCTGGCAATCACTAACGATCTTTACGGAAGGGTCGACAAGAACAAATGCTTTCATTCTAAGAGTGAAACCTTAGGGACGTGGTACTGGTTTGCCCCCTTGAGCGATGATGATCTTGCTCACTTCAAAACTGCCGCTGGCGTATGTATTGCTGTCCCGAATAAGTCTTCAATACAACTTGCTCATCGACTATAGGTCCGATCAATTGGAAAAACCGGCTCTTACGACGCTCCCACGAAAGTGAGAAGAACTAGAACCAGATCGAGTCGCATCAAACGAAGTACGACATCGCAAAAGCCTGCACCCTCCTCACTGAGAATGATCACGCAAGCGAAAGGACAGACCGACTTTCCGGACGGGTACTATTATGATGATACGGCAGGTGCAAACACTAGGATATACATTATCGACAGTGGACTGGACAAGACTCATAGCGTACGTTTCCCCAGACCACACTCATGAGTAACGGCTGACCGTAGGCTGTAGGATTTCAAAGGTGTGGACATCACATACAAGTATACAGGCCCCTTTGGACCTACCACCGAAGATGATAATGGTTCAGACGACGGTCACGGAACGGCCATGTGCTCGGCAGCCCTTGGGGTGGTGGACGGCGTTGCCAAAAAGGCCAAATTGACCATCGTCAGGGCTCCTAGAGATCAATACAACGGCGTGCAAGTCGAGATCGAGCGATGGATTGACGCTCTATCGCAAAGCTATGACCTGATCAAAAATGCTGGCAATGAGAAATCCGTGGTCAGCATGTCCTGGGGGTTCGACCCTCCGGGAGACGCGGCCTACGCCGACCCCGCTCACGATACGTTTGTCACATTACTCAAGGCCATCAATGGCCTTGGTGCGGTGACAGTTGCTTCGGCAGGCAATAACGCTCAGTTCAGTCAAGAGGTCAACGTAATACCAGCTATCTTGGGAAAGTCGGATGTGACGGATCTCATGGTCATTGGAGCTGTCGATTATTCTGGCGCTTACCTGGACTACACCCAGAGATCATCCTGGATGAGTTTGTATGCTCCAGGCGAGGACGTCGAGTGCGCCAAGGTAGGCGGAGGGACACAAAACGAAGATGGCACGTCCGCTTGTAAGCCGAACCACGATCATCCCTTTTGCCTGGTATAGTTGTGCTAATAGCTACACTGCAGCTGCCGCCCTGACAGCAGGTCTAGTGGCGTACTTCATGGGCACAGGAAAATCCGGCTCTGACGCGCGCTCTCAAGCCTACAGCCTCTCATACGCCCGTGGAAAGCAACCAGGCAAAGTAATCTGGAACGGCGTCGACACCACGAAGTTAACCAGTACCGGGCCGGGACCAGTCCCCGCACCCTATGCCACAGGGACCTGCTCCTTCCACCTGACGGAAACCGAAGACTGCGACCCCGACTACGGAAAGACCCTATACGGCCACGTGAAAATGTACGACAACGACAAGAACGTCATTGGCGAGACAGTTCAGGACAACGATCACCCCATCGGCTACTCCATGAATGACGGGAGCTCGTATAGCTTTACAAGCAAGCTCAAAGATCCCCTGGTCATCACTGGCGAGCACGAAAACGATTATGTGCAATTCACCATCGGGACCCTGAGCTGGCAGAGCAAGACGCCAAACGGAGGCGCTTCTTGCACCGTTGGGGGCTGGGATCCTAGGGACGGCCCTGTCTGTCATCTCATAAGGGGTCCGCAGCAGAATGCTGTAAGTCCTACCATGCAAATTGAATGATCAGAGCTCGACTGACTTTGTGATGCAGGTGAATAATATGGATTGCAGCTTCCCCTGCTGAAATCGCCCGCGGCTTTGATCAGATTGTACCCTTGGGTGGTGAGAGGCGTCCCGGTTTCCTTCGAGAGGTCAGGAGTTGGTTTATGTGCTGCGGACCGGGCGAAAGTATTTTGAACTACCGTCGGTGAGACACACGTGAGGTCATTTGTCATCTTTTTGTCAATATGTCCTGCAGAGCATGGCGTTCCTCCATAAACAGACAATGATGTAGCGAGAGTGAAAGTATCCATCAAACAAATCAAAAAACAACTGTGCTGATAAGACGTCCAAGGGTCATGGTGAGTCTGAACATTGCCGCGTTAAATCGATTTTCTAGGGGTTCCGAGGCTTAAAGGCCGCCTATGACTTGGCTAATAGGCTGTCCTCCAGGCTGCACCTCTTTAAAACTCCCCCTCGTCCACCAAACTCCAACAGTTTTACAACACCGTCAATATTGCTCGCATTGGCTTGAAACTCTCGACACTTGATTGTAAAGATCTATTTATTAAGCTTGCAGGTCGACTCGCATATCAATGCGACTGTTCATTGCAGAGCAATAAAGGGGACATTTTTTTAGTGGCCTGCAGCAGAGGGCCGAATTAACGCCGCTGTTAATGATTACTCCTACTTTTACTCCTACGCAAGTAAGCCTACCAAATCAAATACAGCTACTGACAGGTTCAAATAGCCCTCTAGCCAATCAGAAAAGAGCTTGGATATAGAGAAAATGGCCCTGCAAACGGCTTGCAGGAGGGCTGCAAAATGCGCCTTTTTCCAGTGGTTTTTGGGCCCGATCTGAGGCTGATTGGTTTGAGAGACTGTTTTGCAAACAACTTGCATGGCCATCTGGCTGCACGGCTCCCTCCCCACCGTTTTGAAGCCTGGTTTGAGCCTGATTGGCCTGGGGAAACAGCTTTGTAGTCCTGTATGGTTGCATACCGCGTTCCCCCGATCCCCCGTTGTTTCACCACTTTTCTTAAATTGTTTTTGCTTGGGATCTTTTTTCAAGCTTCTTTTCCATTCGCTGCCTGGCTTTCACGATATCTCTTTTGAAAATGAAAGGCTTTTACGCTTTATATAGCGTGGCGATTTTCTAGTATATATTTATCGATGAAATTTCCCTCATCCACACCCATGCCTCTCCCTCAAATGCCTTTTCAAATTGTCCGCCCTCGAGAATCCCCTCCCCCTTCTGGCGTACTCGCAATCTAAGCGCGGACAGGTATATGGCTTGCTTCCGCGATGTGAGCCGGCCGTGTGCCGATCGAGGTCTCGCTGCCGGTAGAAGCCCTGAGATGCGCAGGCTGGGAAGGGGCATTTGTAGGCGCGGGAGTGGATTTGGGTGTGTTTGCTGCGTGGGTTGGTATGATGCTTTGATGAGTGGAGAGGATGGGGAGGGGGTGGGGAAAAGGGGGGAAGGGGGAGGGGGGGACTCACTCAAGCAGTCTTTTTCGTGGGTACAGCTTCGAGCATGTTGGGCATTGGAATGAGCTCTGTCTTGCTGGGGGTGGGGTTTGGGAAATGCTTGGGGTTTGGTGGGGAGGTTCAGAGGGGCTGTTGTTGGTGGTGCTGGTGCTGGTGGTGGAGCATGAGGGACTTGAGGTAGGCGGTGATATGGAGGGGGGTGGTGATGGGATTGTCGAAGGTGTGGTGGCTGGATGGCTTCGTTTGGTGTGTGGAGGGAGAATTGAAGGAGCGCGATTCGAGGTTCTTGGCCGTGGGCTTGCTTCTGTGGATGTTGATTTGGCGGAGTCGCTGAATGGGAATAGAAGTCCGTCCTTTGTCAGTGCAGTCGGCGTAGGATGTTCCACCATGTCATTCGATGGTAGGTCTAGTTCGCGGAATGAACAGCTACTGTCTTGGGATGTAGGCTGCCACAGGGGTTGCAAAGAGTCTTGAGAGGCCTCAGTTGTAGGTCCTACTCTTCTCAGAATTTCATCTATATCGTCGGATTTATCTACGTTTGATTGAGCCTGTGGGTCTGAGGTTACTGATGTGTTTTGAGGAACCATGTCGAAAGTGTTATCGTCATTTGAGGCCAGTGGATTCAAAGGTAGTACTGGGGTTGGAAGAGATTGATTGGACAAGGTGAAAGGTTGCGCTGAATGCGAAGAACAAAAGGGGTCATGCGCCAAGCTAGATGCAGTTGCTGTATGCTGATCAAAATTCGCAGCTTGAATTGGTGCTCCTGAAGATGCGGACTCAAACGTCGCTGAGGCGGGCTCGTTAGACTCTCGAGCGAGCTTCAATGCTTCGTCGAAAGCAGCAGAATCGAATGGGATATCGCTGAGGTTGAACACTGCTTTGTGTGTTGGACGCCCTGCCGACACCGATTGTATTTTCTCACGAGGGTTGTCCGGATGACGGCTACTGTTGAGGTGCAAAAATCCGACTCGAAGAGTGAATCTGGAAGGTCCGGTGGAATGTCATGAGTCCATCGCCGATCATTTGATGTTGGTCCACTGAGGTTGTTGCTTTTCGACTGAGCTTGAACTATAGGAAAGGATAATCTCAAACACCACGACCACGACGAACGATGTGAACCATCTGGAAAATATCCTAGGTGATCATAATCGCATAATGCTCGACTAAACTTCCTTTTGACGGCCGCTATGAGCTCCGGGATCTCCATGTGAGGCATTGCGTTAGCAATGTAGGTGGCCATGTCAAGGTGTCGGGAATCTTCATTGCCAAAGGTATACAATGGGTGGAACCAAGCGTACCCAGGTGCGAAAAAGTCGACATACTCTCGCCCAGAAACCGCTGGAGTCCAGAATATGCTACTGGAATGACCAAAATCTCTCTGTTGATTGATTGCCTCAGGTTTGACATGAAGACTTTTCGCTATGGTGGAGTGCAAGCGAGACAGAAAATCTTCTCTGACGAATATCAATTCATGAGGCATAGTGGACGTTTCAAGCATTGTGACTCTGGCAACATGCCGCATTTGTATGCCGTCAACGACAGGTTGCCGAGGCCATCCATTAAGAAAGTCCGGAAGGCTCAGAGGGGTTTCGAGGTCAAAACGCTCCTTGATAGTCATTGTCACTGAGTGAGGCCTGAACAAGTCACAGCTGAAGAAGAACTTGGGGTTTACAAGTATTAAACCATTCACCAGGCTCGAGCCAAGCTCTTTAGTCATTGCACTCATTGGCTTGAGACTGCAGGCAGTAAGAAAGACCGGGCCTCATTAGTTGGGGGTGGCCTCCGAGCGCCAACTCATCTCGAAAGGCCTCCTCAGCCACAACGTCCCCCACGAGCGAGGCTTGGCTGCAGGCCTCACGAATGATCACGAATCAGCAGTAACCATTTAGGGCTCGGTGGAAAAGTCATTTGATCTGAGGAGGTTGTTATACGACCTATCGCGTCTCAGGAAGCAGGATTTTCATCATCCAAAAAGTCATCGGAAATGTAAAGAAGCTTTCAACACTCGCGTCCTGATGGTGTAAGGCTGGACATGTCTCAGAAAGACCAGGAGACAGCTGAAGCTCAAGACTACAGTATTGGCTAGAGAATTGAGTCTGAGCGAGCCCCTCATCTTCCACCAGCATCTATCGTCACCTGCTCTCGACGAGACGTTGCGTTCCAAAACCTCCCGTCTTCATCTCGGAGTACAGTCTTCGATAGATGCCCAAGCTGTAAGCCCGTTCTTGCAAGAAAAGCATCCAAGACATCTTCTGCTAACAAAGCCTCACCCACCTCCTCAATGCCTCTATCCTCCAACTCTTCAACGCCGTCAGCGAATCTCTTGCGACTCCCCTGAGCTACCCCACCCCTCTTCCTAGCCTTCGAGCCTCCACCAAGACTCAAGCTCCCCACAGAGACACACATCGCCCCACTATTAATATCCGTCACTCCGGACGGCAGCGTACAAGCACACTGCCCATCCCCAATCCCCGGCCTACAATTCCCATACCCACAATTACCATCACAGCTCCCAATAGGATTGAAATCAAACGTTTGCACCGGACTCTGAGCGCCGGTCGTACTCGACGTTGCCACCCCTGCAGCCGCCGACGAAGTCGACGTACCAGCAATCGTCATACTCGTGGCACTATCACTACCACTATACGCCCCCGCCGCAATAGCAGGCGTACAATCCCTCAACACCCCACGATTACTCCCGGCCGGCTCATGCACGATGCCATTTTTGGCCGCACAGCACGCCCAGGAGACGTACGAGCAATTGCATGCGCAGAAGAAATACGACGATAGATCCGGGGCCAGATCTTTGGCGTAGATGGTCTCGTTGTTGAACCAGATGGAGCCGTTGAAGGGCGCTTCGGTGAAGTTCGCGACGGCGGGGGTGGAAGTGTTGTTGGCGGCGGCGGCGGCGATGTCGAGGTTGCTGCCGTTGATGGACCAGATGGGTGAGGTTGTGTTGAGGTTTGTGAGGTTGGAGGGAGCGGAAGCGAGGGGTTCGGGGGCGTCGGAGAGGGTGTCGGCGTCGATGTCCGCGAAGTCGTCTAAGTCGTCGTTGGAGGTGGAGGTGGTGTTGGTGCTGGCTCTTCTTGCAAGACGTGCGTGCTGATCGTGAAGGACTGATAGACCTGCTGGCGACGAGCGACTACGAAGGTATGCTCTGCTACCTGCTGGTTCACTGGCACAAATGATCGGCAAGATGCAGAGGAGTATGAGAGAAGTGAGCATGATCGTTGATGGCACGGTGAGACACTTTCAGGGCGGATCACGGGGCTCTCTCTCCTTCAAAAAGTGAGAGAAATTCAAAAAGCTGGATGTCGTTTAAGTGATATGAGTTGTTTTGATGGGGGAAGTAAGCGACTTCTACGGGGTACAACATGTTGGCATCATCGCGTATACGTCCCGATTCGGTTTGTCACGATGCTTTGGCGATCTTCGCGTGCATTCATCCTATTTGCAAATGCGATGTTTTTACTCATATCATCCACTGATTTACTCCAGATGAGAACAACTTGGTGGTTACTTGACTTCTTGGCATTGTATGAGAATTGCATGCGCCGACGAGCGAGCTACATAATTGGACTACACGGGGCACTAAACTGCCTGAATGAGCTTTTCACCGCTCTTTCATACCCTTATATTTAGCAAACAACATCACTTTCCGTGGCTATGCAAAACGTGGGGAGCGGGACATACTGGTGTAGGTTCAAGAGCATACCTCAAACGCACAACAGCCAAGCGGATTTCACAGGAATATGCGGTGCGTTGGATCCAAGTCCTACAATCTCGCACATCAGAAGAATCTGCATTTGAAAGCGGGATTTGGGAGTGGGATGGTCGGTCATAGGCGACCCGAGCAAGTAATTTTGTGAAGCTTTCGACCACCCGCATAATCCGAAACATGTTGGCCTGTCATCGTGAAGATTGACGTGCGTCTCCGCAGAGCCTTCCCGGGCCGCAATGTTGAGAGTATAACGCGATCGAACCGTGTGGTGTGGGGGAGTCGATCGCCATGCATGAGATGAGAGCGCGTTCTATATTAGACTGGCTCCGATGTTAAAGCGATCATTCTTGGGGTTCGGCCAGTACAGAGGCAGTTCATCGTCATGAACTTGAGCATACGACGGCTTGTCAGGCTTTCCTATCTTATTGCCACCATTCGCGAGGTCGCAGCAGTCTTCGACCCGGACCAGCCTGGGGTGGAGGAGAATTTCTATCCTGGAGAAGCCGACCCAAAAGGCAAAATAACATGCCAAGGGCCACCACCTTCCTTCAGAATACCGCGAACTTTCGGTTTGCAAAGCGACCCCAATACGTGGACTTTGCAAGAGCTTTGCGCAAAGCCACAGTACGGTGGCAGAGGAATCCATCAGCATGGAGGAGCTTACTGTTACCATTACGATACACCTAACGAAGCTCCTCGTGTGGTATTCGATAGCTCACCAATCGCCCAGGCCTCACCAGTGCTGCAGAACGCAAGAATGCTCGCGTACTGCTTGCTCCGGTGTTTCTGTACTTATGGCATAACGAGAGAGGATGCTTATCATCAGATAAAACCAGTCAGAGACATGGAATTCGGCAACAGGATCCTCACCCCTGACGAAGATTCCTTGGGCGGCATGGAGCTTGGGGATAGATTTTGGGACGTCGTGACGTATGAGCTACCGGGAGCCTCACAGTTAGAGGCCCAGCAGTGGCAGGCCAACCACAACATGGAACCCTACAACATGATATCGTATGTTGGGGTAAGCATCAATCCGGCAAACACGATAGAGTGTGATGGCAACGTACCTCCGATGGCCTTGACACTGTACGACCCGCGCGGTCCATCGTACGGGACATTGAACTGGAGGTGGCAGCCAGGTCAAGCGATTCATAAACTGTGCGCGAATGCGCTTGACGGCGGTACATAGTGAGTTACAAATGTCCCACCAGGAGGCATTTGATTCCACCTGTGACATTCTTCTTTCAGACGCTGACACTATCCAATAGCACGTTGAATGTGGGTGCATATTGCCATCGCGTTGGCCACGAAAGAAAAGTCTTCTTTAGCGACGACATCACACCCAACATCGGCATGACTTGGCAGAACTGGGCCCAATCGCATACCCTGCGGGCACACTGCTTCTCAATGTGCCATTGCGGTCCAGACGACGAAGACTCCGACGAAGATCTCGACGACAAGATCACAATCCCAGGTGTATTTGAATTCGTGAGGGATAGAGCAATCGGTATTGGAGGCAAAGGCAACGTTGACATCTTCGTGAAGAATCCGAATGGTGCTACGCTCAAGTATTCCCTCATGCAACCCGCAGATGGAGGGTCCAAGGTCGCGGTTGGAGCATGCGAGGACGATGCGAAACGATTCTGTCCCGTGGAGGACTGGCCGGAGGATATTCTGGGACCCTTGAAGCCGACGGCGCCGGTGCCACCTCCTCCTGATGAAGATCTGGTGCAATTGAGCCAGTGTGGTACGGAGTGCAATGATCAGAGCGACTGCGGGTCTTTTGAAAAAGGCTGTCGGTGTATCGCTCCTAAGTCCTTGCCTCAGTATGTGCCCTTGGACCCGATCTTTCCGAAATTGCCGGAGTTGCCGAAGGGGAGATGCTTGTCGCTGACGCCGGATTTGATGCATGCGATTGCGTTGGATCAAGTTGCTCTGAGGAAGAGGGAGAGCGAGGTTTCGAGAAATGAAAGCCTTGGTAGGGATTGATGTACTTGATCAATACCCATCTTGGGTTGCATCATAGTTACTGAATCCTCTACTTCTGAAAATGCTCGCGATTCTCCATCGTATACCATCCCTTGTCCTCGTTCTTGACAAAATCTAGCCGCGAAATCTGCAATATCATTCACTCTTTACTCTTGACGTAGTCGCGTGTACCTTCCTTTCATAATTTCATTCACTTCCATGGCGATTATGAAACTCAAAGTAGTACAAGAGCTTTCCGGCCTGAATTCTTCCTTCCTTGCAACTCAAAGGTCAAGATGCGTTCGGAGAGCAAAGATATGGTATCTTTGGCGATCTTTGGATTCTTATTCTTTGGGGGTAAGCATCGATCACGTGGAAACAGTATCGCGATTGCAGAGACACTGACCAAAAGGCATAAAGGCGTCCAGTGTGATAGAGAACAGCGCGATTTCGTAGCTCTGAATGCGCGAAAGGTGCTCAGTAATTCCTCAACAGCATGGAACACCGTAAGACTTGATCAATCCAATGAAAACGACAAATGGGGCTAATGAGTAGATGCAGTCCGACTTTCTACAAGACCCAAAATCAAGCCCCGCGCCGAGCGTGCAGAACAGCAACCAGTCAAACGGCAGCCTCGCTTTCGGCCCACCGTCCTCACAACACTGCGTAGTCCGTCGAGCAGGGATGCCCCCTTCAATCAAGGCAAGAGCCTGTAGGGCTCCGCGGCCTCTTCTGCCTGAGCCAGTGCTGCTGACTACGCCCAAGTCTATTAATTCCACGACACCGTCTACTACCGTAGGTCCTAGTTTGTCTGCACGGAACAATGACGAGACTGATGAGCAGGCGAAGTCTGCAGCTCTGCAAACTCTCGAGGCAAGCTCTGTTCCACAGTCAAACGATAGCCTCGACTTTGGTTCGGTTCTTCCATCGTCCTGCAATGACCAGCGATCTTTGTATAGGTCGAGAGCTTGTAAAGGCCCCCAAGCCCCTCGCCCGCTCATGCCCGAGTCGAGTCTGGTACCTCCAACCAATGATCCCACAGCGATGTCAGAGGTTGCAACCACATCATCAGCACGGCCACATCCCGAACCTGCGACGATGATTATGTCGCAGGAGACCACTCAACAGAGTTTGACAATGACAAGACCGCCTGAGTCGGTGTTGGTGACCCCAAACGGGGGTCCATCAGCAGTGTTAGACATCGCACCCACGTCATCAACACGGCCAGAACCTGAACCTGTGATGAAGACTATCTCACAGGAGATCACTCAACAAAGCTTGGCAATGACCAGGTTGCCTGACCAAAACAGAGAACCATTGACTGTCCATACCCAAATGGAACCTTCTGTGGCCCAATTCTCAAGCCTTACGCATTTAAAAGTCACGCCTGTACCTCAGCTGAAACCCCAATCACAAACAGCCCAGAGCCCGCAAACAGAGCAAAGCGATTGGCAATCTGCATCCATAAAAGCACCCACTTCAGAGCCTCAGACAAATCAAGCCATTACGCGAGCATCAACGACACAGCAACGACCAGCTGTAGCGATTGCGCAGCCTGTGAGCCCCACGACACAGAGTCCTGTTCTTCTGAAGAGTGACACTGTGCCCAGCAATACTTCCGTGATCGGAGACGGCTCATATCAAAAAGCTGGCTCCACCAATATCAGTGACGAAACCGTCCCCACCCCACGAAATGTCAACAACCACAGCTTCTACCAGCCAAAAGTCCACAGAGAGCCCCGCTCTTCTAAAGAGCAACTTTGTGCCCAGCACTATGTCCACGATCGCAAACGGTACACGTCGAGCGCCTGACTCCACCGGCATCATTGACAAACCCTTGCCCACCCTCCGAATGTCAACAGCCGCTAGCGAAAAGTCCACACAAAACCCTGTTCCGCTGAAGGGTGACACTGTGCCCAGCAAGGTTTCCACAGTCACAAACGATACACATCGAGCACCTTGCTCCACCAAAACCAGCAACAAAGCCTTCCCCACCCTACGGATGTCAACAGTCACGTCTTCTACCAGCCACAACTCCAACCTGACCAGATTCGCCAAAGGAACAACCATTGCCACAGTTACACTACTGCCTGAGCCCCTATCAATTGCTCTGGCCGCCCCCACCACCCCAACAGCGAACTTTAGCTCAACTTATTCACCAAAAGCATCTCACACCCAAGCTCCAACCGCACAAGCTCAATCCCCTTCAACCAGCCCGCCGAGCACTCAGTCCGTGATCGTAGCCGAAAAAGTCCTCGCACCAGCCCTCCCCCAACCCCAACCCCTAGCGCGACTCCCCCACCGCCCCTGTTCGAAAGTTCAGAGACGGGCAGGTTGGTTGATACGCTCATCTCAGACCTCTCACCAAGACTGGCACTCCCCACCCCATCCACCCCCACCGTCCCAACCGTCTCTGAGTCGCCCATCCCCAACCAGAAATTCGCAGGCCTCACTCTCTCCGCGACCGAATACCCATTCGAAGGCGTCGACGCGTCTGTAGCGGGGATGGGGGTGGGGGTGGTGACGAGCACGCTGCGGGGTCATACGGTTACTATGTCTGTCGTCGCGGCTTATCGTGTAGGAACCACTTCGATTGGTGGGGCGGGTCCGACGCTTTCGAGCAGCGAGGTCGGCGGGGTTGCTGCTATGCGAGGAAATACGGGGGTGGTGGGGGTGGTGGGGGTGACGACGACGTCGTCGGTGGTTGGTGCGGCGGTTGGTGCCTCTGGTATCACGAGTTTGGTGGGGACGAGTACGGTGGGGGGTAATTCAACGGTGATCAGCCCGAGTCCGTCGAAGGGCGGGGGCGCGGTTGCTTCAGTTGCTGATCACGTGGTCGTCAGCTTGGCCGCGGTGGGTGTGGGGTTGGGCTTGGGAATGGGGTGTGTATTGGTGGTGGTACTGTGAGGAGATGGTCTTGGATGTAGGAGGGGTGTTCGAGCGGGTTTCGACACGGAAATTGTTGATGGGTAATGGGCGGGAAAATAGTGTGGTAATGGGTCGGCGACCGGGGTAATGCTTGGTGTACATATTGACACTGGATAGATATGCAAGAGCAACGGGGATAATGATCGAGAATCGAAGAGATGACAAAGCTCGATCCCAGACAAGGGAGGTGCTGAGTCTGCGCAGCAATCTCCCGTTCTCATATACCGCGTGATAGGGATATTCATTCATGGCTGCGACACTGTGTGTGCCAGCCAGCATCAATGATTCAGCTCAGCCAGATGCAGAGCTCAACTGGTGAGACCCTGCAGAAACGCGAGGGTGGCTGGTCGTTCTCTGTAAAGCAGTAGCCAATTCCATGCAACCCACCTACATATCATGCCCCCTCTATAGCTTCTCGTCTCCACGTCCGGCTGAGATAGAAACATAGAGCTCTACCCGGAGTACCATCCCTTTAATCGCCAGGGACCGGGCCACGAGCCGCTCAGACAGCCCGATGGGAACTAATCAAACCCAGCATCCTATCCCACAAACCCATCACACATGCAGCGCACGAAATCACCGATAGGACCTTAATAAGCCATGAGAAATCTTTTGCTGACGTCAATTTGCAGCAGTATTGGCTGCATGAGATACGATCGGGATGCATGTCTTACTTGGCAAGGGAGAGATGAGGGGGGATTTGGGGGGGGCGGCCATTGGTTGGGTAGATGCTGCATGGCTAGCAGCTCGCTCTGCCACGCTTGTGCAGCTTTGTCATGCAGCAATAGGTGCAGCCCAGCTCATCGTTGATCGCCAAGGCCCGTTGGTTCCGCCTCAGGCCCTCGCATTTGATGGCAAGCTGACCTCTCGCGGCAATGCTTTGAACGTCTGAAACACCCCATTTGAGTCGAATCTCCCTCCTCAACCTTCACGGCCCGGACCCAGCTTGCTTTTCATCCTATGAGGGGAAGACAGCGGGGGCTTCGTCATGGAGAAACCATACCCACCGCCCGCAGAGGGCAATGTGAATCTAGGGCCGGCTATGCTGGCCACGACGGCGGTGATCGTCGGGCTTACGACTATTGTTGTGGCGCTCAGGTTGGCGGTGAGGATATGGATCACGAAGATTTTCTGGTGGGATGATTGGACGATTTTGTTTGCTATTGTACGCCCCGCACAGCTTCGGATATTCGATAGATGGTGTCTAATTCGAGGTTGAAGCTGGGCAACATTATCGGCGCCGGCCTCGATTTTGTGGAAATTCACTACGGATTCGGAAGGCCGCAGTACTACCTTACGGAATGGCAACTCATCGAGTTCAAGAAATATACGTATGGAGAGTGGATCCAGACGTTTTTTACTTTGATGTGGACGAAGGTCTCCATATGTCTCTTCCTCCTTCGAATCCCGGTCACTAAACGACTCATTCGCCCGTTGCAAGCATCGGTTGTGTTCTTGTTGGTGTCGAATGTTGTCTTGACTATCATTTGGATCGCTCAGTGCAAACCCGTGGATAGAGCGTGGAATGAACATAAGAAAGGGTCGTGCTTGAGTAAGGGAGAGCTGCAAAGAGTCATTATGGCACAGGCCAGTGAGTCGCAAGTCTTGAGTCGAAGACTTTGGGCATGGTGCTGAAGAATGCGTAGTCATCTCTATTGTTTCGGACTTCGCTTTTGCTTGCTATCCGGTCTTAATTCTGTGGACTATACAAATGAAAGTGCAGACGAAAATTGCTCTGTGTTGTTTGATGGGAGTTGGTATATTGTGAGTTGTGACGATGAACTTCCGACACACTTCTATGAGAATTATGCTCACTGTAGGCGCAGTACTGGAGCCTGCTGCATCGTGCGAACGGTACTGAACTATCAGTCTATCCCAACAGATTTCACATGTACGGCCTCCGCCAACAAAGTTTACATAATGCTGACATGTATATAGACGGTGGTACAACGAATTGGTTCTGGAGAACGTAGGTGATCCTGTTCTAGTGCCCTGCTCTACTAATGTTGTGTAGTTTCGAGGTACAGATCGGGATCATCGCTGCCTGCACACCAGCACTCCGCCCTGGATACAAATGGCTCCGACACAAGATCACCGGGGAGAAATTCAGCCAGGAAGACACGAGGCTTACAGAACAGGTTCATCTGCAGCCTGTCCGGACGCCAAAGCCATTATACAAGTCCAAACATATATCATCGGATGATGAATCAACTAACCCTAGTGATGCGCCTTATGCATCTGTTTGAGAAGGGGCTCTATGGCTGTGTGAGAGGGTCTTGCGGGAGCTCTGTTCGATAAAACATCGATAAACAGGCCGTTCAGAATACCAGATCTATTGCTCATTCGCCCGTATCCACAAGACGCACGGAAGAAGCTTTCGACGATGAAAAACACGCCGTGATGGCGTGCATGAACAAATGGAATGCTGGAGGGGCAGAAAATGCGCCAATTGGTGGGCCATGCAGCAAAGGCGCCCGGCGTTCCTCCGTAAATGGCACAGATCATCTGCAAGCACTGCGCCACGCCCCAGTCCCCCACAAAGTCGTGCATGAACTTGGAACAGCGCATTTTGAGGTGCTGTAGACGGAGATCGCGCTATATTTAGGCATACCCAACTGTATCCTGCATGCGAAAAGGGTTGTTTGGAGGACCTTGGCCGTTTCACATGGTAGCATACAGCAGTACTCAACAGCTGCGTCATCGGGGTATTCAATCGGGCAGCCACTAGAAAGGAAGTCGCAACGACTGGACCCTGGAGTCACGCCTGAGACTCAATAGTCCAAAATTAATCTCCGTGAAGTGTGACAGCCTCAACAGTCTTCGATCATTCTCCGCCAGATAACGACACGTCATTGGCTGTAAGCATGGCGACTTCACACATGGAGCCGTCCGCATATACCCTTAAAGACAAGGTGGCCGTTGTCACAGGCGCCTCTTCTGGCTTAGGTCGGGCCATTGCTGTTCTTTTTGCTGCGCATGGAACGCGGCTCGTCGTCTGCGCAGATCTCAAACCAGAAGCCCAGGCCGGCGGTGTGGACCAGGAACCCGGGAAGCGGACAGATGAATTGATTAATAGTAGACATGGAGACGGGAGAGCTCTGTACGTGGAAACAAATGTGGCAATCGGTGAAGATGTCTCGAGGTGTGTGGAGGAAGCTGTCAGGCTTGGAGGGAGACTGGATGTGTAAGTCCTGTCTGGCTGCTTGTGTCATGATCCAGGGCCATGGCGAAGAAGACACTCATTGATGACAATTCATAGAATGGTGAATAACGCTGGTCTTGGTGTAGAGAAGATCAAAATTCATGAATTGCCAGAGGAGGTTTGGGACAAGATGATGTCAGTCGTGATGCTTCTTGATGCTTATAAGCTCTGCCAGCAACTGATTTCCATGAGACCCTCAGCGCGGTCAATCTTCGCAGTGTGTTTCTTGGCTGCAAGTATGCCTGTGCACAATTCCTCAAGCAGAAGCCCTGGCCCTCGGGCGATCGAGGATGGATTGTCAACACTGCAAGCATTCTCGGTGCCGTTGGTATCATTGACGGAGCAGGTATGCCGATCTAGCAATTGGGTCATCATTTTCAAATGAGACCTATGTCAAATCTCTGTCTGATAAAGAATTGCTGTACAGCGGGGTATTGCGGTTCCAAAGGTGGTGTTATTAACCTGACGAAGCAAGTTGCTATCGATTACGCTATGGACAAGATTCACTGCAATGCCATTTTGCCAGGATGTATGTGTCCGTATCATATATCGACATGTTGGATAAGATTACCGACTAATGGCGTGCCTATGTAGTCTCTCGAACAGCCATGACAAAGATGAATTACGAGGACCAGGCGCTGAGCGATCGATTGATGGCCAGGACGCCATGGCGAACGTGGGGCGAGGCGCAGGATATTGCTAAAGCTGCGTTGTTCCTAGCTAGCGATGGAGCTGCGTGGATCACAGGAGCCGCGCTACCAGTCGACGGAGGCTTTTTGGCAGCGTGAGGTGTTGGGAGAGGGATGGGGTGGGAGATTAGTGGACAAAGCCATCTCTGGTGAAAGGACCTCTACGGCAGTCTGGGAGTATACTTTCCTCTAAACCAGGATAGCCACTTGAGAGTAGTCGTCTGCCGTAGTCTGTCAGCTTGGCAGCCACCAACATGCTCATATTGTTATTCTCGTACATCACAACCATCAAACCGTGATGCCCGTCGAGAATCGGCTCCATCTCCCGTAAACGGACAAGTAGCTTCTGTTTCCGACATCAGCTCCGCCCTCGCTGCCATGGGCGACTGCGAAGACCTGACCCCTAGGGATACTTCTAGAAACAATTCAAATCCTTACAGTTGACCTTACCCTGATCTCGCGGTGGAGCAATCTTGCAATGTGTTCACCTGGATCCCTCACGTCTTCGATACCCTCTAGCCTTGCAAAATGTCCTCCCGTCGACAATATAGGCGCAGTGCCCTGCAATGGCAATGGTGTTGAGTTGGAAGCGTTGAGTGGCAGTCAACAGCGACGGCCGTGATCGGCTCTGAATATATATCCTACCAGCGAGAGAGTAAAAATATCTCTATCGAACACTCAATGGGCACGTCGGCCTCTTCTTCAAGGTTAAAAATGCTAGGATGGTTCATATACATGGAAAGGTCAAAGCGCCGCAGAGAAGTGGGGAACATTTAGTACCATCGGTCAAGTGTTAAGAGCTGCTAGGTTCCTGAGTCGCGAGCTACGATGCCTGATGGGACAATGGAAAAATACACGTCGATGAGCTATACTTCTTACGAGTCGTCAAACGGATGAGAGGCAATGGCACAGGCCGGCATCGTATGAGAAGAGGAGCTACACGAAGGTTGTTGGTATAATGAGGCTTAGGGCTCTCAACTTTGGTCGTTGCGACTCAAGACGCCGAGTCTAAAGAAGCTATAAAAAAGGTTCTATGCTCATGAGAAATGAGAGTTCTTCAGGCCGTTCTCACGGTGCCTGGACGTGCTCGTTAGACGGCGTAAGAAGGCTCACATGGACATGCCAGCCTGCTTTGTCTTCTGACATGTTGCGAGCGCAAGAGTCTCTCTTCGTATGATACACGCACAATCGTTGTCGAGAGGCTTATGGATGCCACGCGCGCTGTGGTAGCACTGCGGCCGAGGGACTGAGAAGCGTTCCGAAATCATCTGGATGATGATGCAGCCGCTATTTCATTGATCCACTCTGCTCTTGGAACATTTCAAGTCAAATGTATTAAGTTCGATGCGCGCTTATCGCCACGACTATATTTGTGGTCGAAGTGTGAGACATCAGATTCACAATGCTTTGATACTTCTGAGGGCTTGATACAATGCGACCATGGCAAGCCGTCTTGTTCTTCTTCAAATTGAAGCTGATATCCCACTATGATGCTTGCAGTGTGGCTCTTTGCAAGCCTCCTTCTTGCGACGGCTTGCCCGTTTGCCATTGCTCAAAATTACGACCCGCCGACCGCAGATGCCGTCTCTATCCTGAATACTACAGTTGAAAATCAAGAGTACGATTCGCCTTTAGATTGTCATACTGATATCAAATTCGACTGACCTTTTCCAGCATCCTGCACACCCAGGTCACTGTTCTGACAGCCGACGGCCATACTATCGTTCACAACGTCTCAGAGCAACAGCCGGCGGACTTTGTGGTTCAGCCGCGCTTTAAACGTAGTGGCATAGACATCTACAGCATCAAATTGCTCATCGTGCTCGTCGACAGTATTGGCCTCCTTGCAAGACAATCCTTCAACGCGACTTTCTCAAGATGGGAGTGGCCGGGCACTGACCGAGTCTCGGTTCATATGACAAGCAGCAAGTCTCTGACCAGCGCAGGCTTTCAGACGAAAACTATGATGTGGTCACTTCGCTCTCTCGTGCAATTCTTTGAGATCCAGCACCGTTACGCCGAGGTGTCCTTTATCAGTGGCTACGCGAACCAGCCATCCCTTGGTGGAGGCCATTTGACCTATACACCTCCAGGGCCGCAGAATATTAGCTCATCGACAGACGTCAGTGACGATTCCACGGCCAACGACGACTTCATCACTGCAGATGACTTTAAGAACATAGCAATGGAGCCTGTCTACAAGCCTGCAGATCTCTTAGAACTTATCATGAGTTTGCTCATAGATGTAGCTGAGCAAGGCCCTGATGTTCTCTTGGGCGCTATATCAGTGTACAATAATCGCGCCGACCTTTCGCTAATTGTTGGCGCAACAAGTCGGCCTGCAGATCCTATGCCTTACAAATCCCTCGTCATTGCGCTTCTCGACTTGGCTTCGAAGCTGCCCCTATTGGATCCTACATACCAGTGGCGACAAACTCATTTCTTGATTCGAAATAACAGAGTTATTGTTGGGAAAGGCGTCTTCGTGAAAGGAGGACCTCCTGGTCTTGAATCATTCCTTAAAGAAGCAGATGTTACTGCCGCACCTGTGTCAAAGTTTTGATACTATGGAGTATGGAGTATAACAAAGGGGCTCAATTTTTATCACTTGACGAAATCCAGTACAGGTGTACATTGCAACGCTTTGTGTACTACGCACTTCGCATGTGTTACATGGAAATTCTTCTGCTTCGTAAGTCCAAAATGTGGTACGTGATGCATTGTTGACTACATTTGGCCGAACATGGCGTTACCCCCACTAAGCTCTCCATCAACGACGCCGCTACTACTTACACAACACTCGTTCTATATCTACTTCACAATTACAACTGACATCTCTGCTTTTTGAGCCATGTCGACGACATCACTCTCCGCTCCTGTACTGGAGGACTGGCTTGAGTATCCAGCACTCTTCAAGACTGCACGTTGCCCTGAAATCAGGCGCAAGGGTTGTCCAATCTTGCCTTTCACGAGGTTCCTCCATCTTGCTATTCTTTTCGCTCTTTTGACGAGAATCGTGACACGTGTCATCGTGGGAACAAGTTGCTCTATGATATCATGATTGTCGTTTTTGATGCTTAATGGTCCTTCGTTAGACTTGAGGTGTGTGGAAGCTTTGTTACTGAATCTCCAGTCGCGAGTAGCTATCTTGAAAAATCTTGCAGCTCGACATTCTTCTTGGTTGGGATCTTGCACCTGTCTGCATATTAGCGCCATTTGTCGGTCAAGAAAGCTCACTTTGGGAGACTTGCGAATTCGAAGGGTGGTATCATCTTGCGGATTTTCGGTGATACTCCCGCAGTAACCCTGGCAATCAGCTCATCAAAAGTAAGAAGCCCGTAGCTCTCAGCGCTAGCGTGGATGACGCCTCGTTTGTTATCGACGGTGTGCAAGAGAACCAGATTCGCGACCCAGTCAACGGGCACAATATCAAGAATATTTGTGCCTGATATCCTCCCACTGTCACGCCGAACGTACCAGGTAGCGTTCCCGGGTTCATACATGTAGAAGCCGAGGAACGTGGTGATAGGGCAAGAGCCCAATGGGCCATAGAATTCATATGGCTGGTGAACTGCTTCACCTGTGCCACAGGTTTAGCAAACATGACCAGACCCCTCACACATCACATGAATGCTTACCGATGATACTGGGACGCACAAGAAGAACAGGCAAATCGGGGTGCCTTGTCGTCAGGAGCCGTTCCATAAGATGCTGTAGCCCCGATGCCACATCAACACCCCTTCTCGACGCAACAACACATGTTCTACAGCACACATACCTTTGAGTAATAATAACCGCCAGGAAACCTCGAAGCCTGCGCGTTTGTTCCCGTCCGCTGAAAAGTCTCCAGCTCCTTCTCAGGATCGTCAAGAGGATAGATTCTCTCCTCCACGATGCCATCAGGCAAATGAGCATTGCAATAAGCCGTCGAGATCTGCACAAATAGCTTCAGGCGCCTAAATCGCGTCGCCATCCGCGCCAACTCCAACGGCGGCATGCAATTTTTGGGAATCGCGCTCTCCAGCGAAGCGCGTAGCGAAATATCAGCGGCACTGTTGATGACGATATTCACTTCTTCCTCCATCCGCGCAAGATCTTTTCCGCAAATTCCAAAGTTGGGCTTCATGACATCGCCAACGACGAAGACCACGCTCTTGCGTGCCAATATACTTTTGAGCTGTTTCGGCATATTCTTCTTCAACTTCGATCGAGCTTCAGCCGCCGAGCCTCGACATAGGATGTATATTTTAGAAACCTGCAGCACGACTGTTAATTTGAATAGTAAGCAGCCACCTAGATTGCCTGTCGCCCCCGTAAGGAACACGGTTTTATCCTTAAAGAAATGAAGCTCGCTGCCATTGCAGTCATTTTGCGTGGAGTCCGCCATGTCAGCGAGGTCGCATGATCTGGTAGAGGATTAAGTCACCTCTTAAGCAGAAAAGCAACTCCTTGGCATTGCCGCCCTCACGTACATGTGAAGGCGGACTACATTCTCCGAATGCCAATCTTTCCCCTCCAGTGAAATCCCTCACCTTTCGGATCGAATCCTCTCCGTCCACAGTATGCATAGGCGCATGCTGCACATGTCCACGGACTAGCTCGGCGCTAGGCAGGGACTCACCACTGTGGAGCTCACCGTGCAGATCCTGCTGCATTGTGAGCATTTGTGGTAATTTGTGGACGCCACTTACTCAACCTCGCTCCTCTGACTTATGAATATCGATCAATTGGGGTGAATGTCGCCTCTTAGGTCCGTAATCCTTGCTCTTGTGGTATGCAATCTTGTGAGGGGGGCCAGAGCGCTTTTACCGCCTTCAGACTTTATTACGATGGAATTCAAGCTCCATGACGACTTCTTCGTGTAAATTGCGGCTGAGTGACGGATAAAGCGATGAAATTACAATTGGTGTGCCAGGTGGGTGTTGGAACTCGACTGAGAATACGAAAGACGATCGTTTGCCGTACAGGTAGTAGCCTCAGCACATACTTGGTGATCGAAACCTGAATCACTATGACACAGTGCTCTCTACAACCTTGCAGACATAGGTGTGCAGAGTTCTTCGATCTAGCTTTGGCACCATGAAAACTCGATGATTCTGAGCAAGCGTCTCAAGCAAGATCATTCTATACGAAGTTCCATGCAAACAACATCCATGATAGGACGAGGGCTCTGGTACGCATGTCTCGTCGACCAAGAAAACTCTCGTCAAACAAGAGCTCCTTCGCTCCCCCCTACTTCCTATCAAAACTCCACCCCTCTACCATACGACTGCCTCAGCCTCTGCAGCCTGGGCCAAGTCCCCTCATCCAAAGTCCCCTGAACCCAAAACCCCTCCTCGCTCTTCCAAGTCCCCACCCCATCATCAAACGTCACACCCATCAGCCTCAGCGCCGGACACACCTTGACACAGCACTGAACATACACGGGCTTATTACTCCCCCCTTCCCCCCTTCCTACTCGAAGGAAACTCGAATCCATACAATGGCAAATGCGTCCACGAACCCACAACGACGTTAGCCTCCCGAGATCCCCAGTGAACCGGTCGCAGGGGCTGACGTCTTACTTTGTCATGCTGCGTAATGATTTGTTGGACGACTCGTGCTCGGCGCGCGTCTATGATGGATTCTCTGATGTGGTTCGCGTTATGCACGGCTAGAGGGACGTCTGGGTTCTGCGGTGCGTCGAATGGCGCGATGGGGACCGTGAGCCAGGGATTGTGCAGCAGGGATTGGTGCCGTAGCTGTTTCGAGATGTTTAGGATGAGTGAGAATTGTGGTGGCGCTGGTGTTTCTGAGGAAGCTGGCATGGTGGCCTGCATCGTCCCCGCTTAGCTACCTCTCACCTCTCACCTGAAGAAAATACGGTATTACCTCGTGAATAAGCCCCATAAGCAAATCATGCTTCGTAACGCTTATTCCAGCGCGCTCCGCCGACTTGGCCAGGTCGTCGATCACAGCGTTGGGAACAAGCAGCGTCATCTCTTTCCGCACCGGCCCTTTTCGTCTTTGCATACGCTGTCTGAAGACACCGGTGCCGAGAGCCGTCCAGCCCTGGGTGAAATATCTCTCGTGTCGTAACGCAGCGTCTTCTTGCCCCGTCCCATGGGCGGCGAGTGCGTCGTCCTCTTTCGATGGGTAAAGCTCCAGGGGCATCCGATCGCCGAGCGCAGGAGGAGGCTCACGGTCTGTTAAGAGAGCGCAGTATGCCTGCACGATTTGGTGCACGCCGCTGGCGTCGCATAGTGGATGCTGCACGGTGAAATGCAGTAGACATGCGTCTTTCATCAGCGCGGCGCGGATCTTGAAAGTACGCGGGAAGATCTGTTCGTGGAGGGTTTCGTCTGAGGGGATGAGCTTGTGGAGGACGGAGGAGTCGATTGTCTGGTTCGCTGCTGGGGTCTTCAGTAGTGGGAAATTCTGGTTCAGAGTTCCGAAGAGGCGGGTCGAGCGCCAGAGGCCGGTGGTGTTGTTGTCTTTGATGGGGTGGAATTTGGTACGCTGTTGAAGTCTGTGTCAATTTTATCCCCGGATCCGAGAGAGGGTGCCCACGGCAAGGTTCATTCGCGTATTCAGTATTGGCCATTTTTTGACTAACACTTCCGCTCTCGACTCGAATAGCTCTTGATGGATTGGCTGGCTGAGCACCAGAGACAATTGTAGCTCCAGGAAACGAGGCGAGCCAAGGTCAAGGTTGTGTAACTCGGACTCCATGATGGCATGTCTCTTCATATATGGGTGTTGTGTATCAACAATCGGTGCACGAGCCCGCGCGGACAGAATGTCAAAGCTATGACTGGGAGCCCAGTTTCTGATTGTGCTACCATGGCGTACAATAGCGCCTCAATGCATCAGTAGTCATACTTGAGGAATTCGTCTTCCAATTGACGAAAGTCCCGAGATGTGGAGACCTTACACTGAGGCCACTGGCATGGATTTGTTCGGGATGTTTTGCGCAAGCGATCTACTCGTATGGGACATGACGCCAAGCAGTCTTTGGGCTTGAAGTACTCCCAGGAAGAAATCGTCCTTTCCTTGTGCTTCGCTGGTGAAATCTGGTCGCATGAAGTCGGACGCCTGGCGCGAATCGGCCATCCTCGGCTTCCCGTCCTTCTGTATGTGTGTCCTGCTACTCTTTCACCGAAGTCGAGAGCATTCGACCTTGTAGGCGTGTGTGACAGAGCTGTCGAGTCTTGGTCGCTCATGTGGCCTCTTCGCTAGCGAGTTGTTGCAAGAAATGGCACTACCGGTGTGCGAGATAAGCGATGTGCTTCTTCCAGCCGCAAAAGTCCCCATGCGGATCGAATTTGCATGAGGTTCATGCAGGATAAGTCCCCTGCATTGGCAGATGCTGTGAGCGTATGCACTCCACTAGCTACTTGAAGTTGGTACAGTCTGCGTGTAAATTCGCTTAGTGGGTTGAGGAAGCTCTCGCTCTCGTTAGCGATGCCTTGAGTTCCGCGAGTGCATGCAGTCCTTTAGTGGTTAGGTTATGGTCATCATCAGATCCCATATCACCTCGTTCGTTGCCTTGCACTCGATCCTTGTAGTATTCGCGCTCCGCTTTCAACAGCTCGAGCTCTAGTTGTAATGATTCATTTTCACCTACTAAATCCTCCAGCTGCTCGGACCGTTTCTGTCTGGATTTCCTTGCTGCTATTGTGTTGCGTGCTCGCTTTACGGGGATCGATCCGTAAGGTTCTTTGATGGATAGCGAAGTCTTGTTTGTGTACCACGTACCGCTATCCGGACCTCGGAAAGGGGGGCAGAGAGGAGGGACCCTTCACCATCGTCGAGTGAGCTTTCGTCGAGTGAGCTTTCGTCGAGTGAGCTTCCGTCAAGTGAGTTTTCGTCCGATGATTTTCGGGGGATATCGGATGGTACATGTTGAATTCGGGCTATGCTGGATCGTGAATCTGCCGTTGATGGAAGCTGAGATATATCCAGAGGCTTTGATGAGCTACCTTCTACTGTAGATACATCTAAATGTTTCGAATATGGGGTATGATCGACGTGGCACCCGTGCAAGTCTTGCAAAACTTCTCGCGCACAAGGTCGCAATCTCGGCTCTTCCATCAACATGTCTTCACAAATGTTCAAGATGTTGTGTGTCCTTCCGTTGAGATTGATCGTTGAACGTAGACGGGAACACCAAATTGTTGGCCATTCTAAATATTTCAATCCAATCTGAACGCCTTCTTTTTGAAGTATACGAAGCTCCTCCAGATGAATCCCTCCTAGAACAGTCAGAATTTCAAGGAATATACAGCCCAGGGAGAAAATGTCAGAAGCTTCTGTATAAGTTCCCACCCGCGTCTCTGGTGCGTCATATAGTCCATCTCCTCGACCACAGCTGGCAGTCACATTGTTCCCTGTTGGCTCAAGTCCTGGTTCTGCGATATAGACTGATCCCTTCTCTAGGAGAACATTACTTGGTTTGATGTTATGATGTATGACTCGATGTTCGTGTAGGTGAGTCAAGGCATTTGCTAAGCAGCTGAGCCAGGAGCACAGCTCTGGTGACGCATGTGATCCCTCGCAGCATGAGTAAAGATACTGTGAGAGGTTGAAATTTGCTGCTGGATGCATCACAACTGACATCGATTGCCAGGCTTCGTGGCAGGCTATTACCTTGGCTACGTGCGGGTGGTCTTCCATTATCATGTCTAACCCCTGTGTAAAGTACTGGGGCTGCTGGGCAGGTATTGGAACAGCCAGTGTCTTGCAAGCCATAGTATTATCGAAGCCAGCTACTTCTACCTCAAATACTGTGGAGTGGTCACTTGAGCCTAATATCCCAACACAGCGCACTTTCGTCTCTTTTGGCGTCATAGGAGTGGAGATCTGAGTAGCAGACAATGTGTCATTTTGAGGAGACGAGTGCCGTGTAAGCCAGCTTAAATTAAGATCGAATTTGTGATTACAACAGTGTTGGCAAGAAGAAGACTCGGTGGTGTTGGAAGCTGAATAATGGTCACTATACTGGTCGTCTGACCCAGCTTTGTGATGGGACTGAAAATATTCTGGCACAACATGGCTTGTCAGCAGGTTGCATTACTGTGTCAAGGCTGCTGATGCTTCGCCTGAGAGAATAATCATTTGGTTGTACTTACTGCCGTTGTTCTCAAAGGCGAAGTTCCGTTCCCTGTTGTTTTCCGAAGGGTTCGAGCTGCTGCCAGCATCATTTCCTCCCTGCTGCTGTGTGTCTGCATCATTATTGCTCGTACCGTTACCACTACCACTACCATTTCCACTTGCACTGTGATTGCCGCTATTATTACCATTACCATTGCCACTGCCATCGAATTCGTCTCCTCTAGCTTCAAAATAACTGTTGCCCTCGCGGCGAGAGCGATACATGCTGCTAGAATCTTGCCACTCGGAGGGCTCCCAGGGGTCTTCAAAATGCTTTGAAATATGTTCGAGCCATAGGTTCCACGAGGAGCACCACTGTCGACAGTTGTGAAATATGCATCTCTCTTCGAAACAATCGCCGAGCTTGAGTTTTTGTGCGTCCATCTCAGCATTGCTCAGCGTAATGTTGTGGATTCCGCGCAAGTGCGACCTGTAATTGTCTCTGCGAAGGCACACACGCCGATGTGGGGCTTTATATTTGCAGTCTTGTAGCCCACAGAAAAAGAGATCCTTTCGACGATTTCTGATTTCGTGACGTATCCAATCCGTTTTTTCTTTTACCGAGAACCTTTCACCGCAGCGACATGTACACATAATTGGTCGGGTAGGATCTCGGCTCAGATTGATAGGGGGGCTATCCGAATCTGATTTCTGGAGGCAAAATCGCGAGTGATGTCTAAAGTATGTTGCTACAAGGGGTCTTGCTTTTGCATCTGGATTATTGCCTGACTCAAGCGAAGGGCTCCTCGTTGAAGAGCAATTGCGTATGAACCAATCATTCAGGAGATGTTTTGGACAGTCGAACGCGTGGCTCATACACGCAACAATGAAGTCATCCGGAATTATGGCTCCATTTTGGTGTTGCCATTGTATACATGCTGTCATTGTGATGAAATCCGGAGTCTTTTGGCTTACAAGCGATGGCGGAACCTGACTGCAGTCAATTGCATGTAAATTTGCTTGGCGATTGAAGAAATCTTGGAGACCATATGGGGAGTCGTTAAATATATAGCTCAAGCATGAACTCTGATGATATGTTGGCTTTCGCCCTGGGTGCTTCGCTATCCATAGGTGAGAAACCGTAATCGTGGTAGAATTGAGCTCCTTGGACAAAGAAGTCTTCGCCAATGGCTCGACTCCTTGAGCGGGCGCCTTCAGGCTGATGTTGCGGCCAACTGTATTCTGAGATTCCTGATACTTTCGCTTTTGGCCAGCTGTCTCTATGATCTCTGGAGCTCTCGGTAATAGTTTAGGGTCTGAGTCCTGGGAATACATGTCAGGTAAAGAACCAGTGATCAGCGAGTCTTCACCGAGGAATTGAGAGGAACCAATGTCTTGCACATTGCGATGAAAAGCTGGCAAGGAAGACATTGGACTTGATATCAAAGAGCCCAGCCTGTTGAAAGATATTCCATCATCTCGAGCGTTTGTCGTCACAGGTTCAGAAATTGAGGGGAAATAATCGCCTTCCGTGGACCCCCCAAGTGCGGCGTTAGGGTTGTTCAAAGAGAAGTCCACCTGGCCTTCTACGCCTGAGAAAGGATCTGGCCAATCGAGCATGTCGTTCAAGGCGCTGTTGCCGGCTTGGTGAAAGGGTAAGGGCTCCGACGGTATACCGTGGGCATGTTGATGAGTCTGGTCGTCTTGCATGTATGCCGTCGCTGCCATAATAGCTTACTGGTTGTGAAAGTTTTCTGGAGCGTCTGGCCTTTCAGCACCCGAGTCGGCTGCTGGGTAAGGATTTGCGATCTAAAGACGTGGGATGGCGCTTCCACGAGCTTTGTGTTATGAAAGAATCAACAGTGAGCGTTGGAAACAAATGAGTATTAGGGAAGATTCTGGCATTTCCGAGGGGAGGAAATAATGATTCCCTAGGGTAAGGCTGAATGGCTTATCTTCGAGGGTGTGGTGGATAACGTTCTCATTCGCTGCCAACTCTTTAGTGAAAACAGACCCTGCAATGTGCCTCGATAAGGCATAGCTTCGCAGGCAAAATGCCTAGCACGCTAGGGTTTGCGAGCGTAAGCCTGGCTATATACAGCCTGATCTAGAAATTGTAGGCTTTCTGTCAAGATTGCATCCTTCTGAGCATACACAGTAGAATGTCCCAATGAATCAAGCAAATGCTCAACAGGATAGTGTCAGGCTACTCTGGCCTTGAATTGCGCTTGAAGAGAGATGGAGAACCTTACTGTACTAGATGACTAGGGTTACAAGGAGAAATTTACTTGTCCGCCAGGGGACTCTCCTTCTACGCGTAGGCACTCACTGAGCAATTGACATGAGCTTCGAGGCTTTACTCGACTTTCCCTGTCTAGGGCGTGGAAATGAACTACAGCTTCGCATCACGCAGGCTAGAAAGTCCCAAAGGCCTGATGACAGAGGGTATATATGTATCCGATCAAAGGCTCTGTTCTTTCAACAGATCACAACAACTATCGAGTGATCAGCATTCCGGAATAATACTCACGTCCACGCCCCAGCTGCCACGCTGAGAACAATTGCTTTCCTCAAAACATCAACCGTTTTAAGAGGTAGTTGCCATGCCTGGATACGACAACCGCGAAGTGGGTCCACACTGTAACAAACCTGATGTCGATTTTGCTGATAGCGAAATAGAATGAAGGGGTCAAGAAATCAGACCAAAAAAAGGCTCCGCCTTTACCTTGCCCAGCCGAGCCCAAGAACCCCGCTCCTATGCTCGAACGATTCCTGAACGAAACACCAGAGGAGGCCCCATTCGACGCGCTGACAGCGAGGGAAACCGCAGGCAGCCGCAAGATCACGGGCTCAGGCAGCAAGAAGCCTCATCTTTGAGGGGTTTGAAATTTCCGGTGGGCACAGCAGTATTGGAGGGGTTAGTACTGGAGAATGATGTTTACATCAGAAGAAAGGATATTGGGGAAAGGACACTCCTTATAAATCGACAACTAGGCTGACATAGTAATCCAAGCGTTTATGCTGCCACTGTCACCATAGCAACATGCCGAATTTCCAGCATTAATATCGACGACCAGCCTGGCTTGGTCATGAAGAGCGTTCCACTTGGTCATGAAGCGACAACTTCATTCTCAGGATGCACCTCAAATGCTTAGGGACTGCCAAATTCTTATCCCGATAACTTCATAGTCAACTGCTCCACCATGTAATCGCAACTAAACCCCATTCCTTGTCTCTGGCTTCCCATTCATCCAGGAAAGCCACCCAAGTGGAGATGTCGAGGATTGCTCCCCCTCTCCTGGCCTGACTTGTTCCCCGTTTATACGTCGGCAAAATCGGCGCTTGTTTCGGCCTGAAGCATCGGCCATGGTGAATGTGAAGCTCGTGATCACGATGAGCGGCCAAATTTAGGGTAGGAGGAATCCTGATACCATATATGGTTATAACTTTGTATCCAACCTTCATATCATTCCATATAGAATCTCAGTCCGGTAAACTATTGCTCCAAATCAAGACCTTGACTCCAGTTCCATGTGAAGAAGCGCATTTGACGGCACAAGCGAAACAGCAGTCCTTGTCGCTGGCAACGACGGCACTCAGTCCAATCTCGGCGCACCACGCTCGTGCAAAAATCTCGCCGCCTTTGCACTGTGCATTGATTATAACGGCGTCCTCACTCGAAGGACGGAATGTCTTAAGTCTGAAGGGCTCAATGACCGACTCGTACATTTGCCGCTGGCTGTCGTGGACTTTCTGCGGATCACATCGACAACTTGGCAGTGTGATGAAATGTAGATCAGTATAGAGAATGAATTCATGACTGCTCCCATCGAGTATGAACTCTACAGTGGCCCCGTTGGGAGCCTCCAGGGGGTCATAAAGCAGCTTGATCTCTATAGAGCAAATGCGACATTGGACAAACCAACGAGACGAGTTCCTTAGCTCGTTTAGATCTTCAAGACAACATCTGCGGGCTGATCTTGCGGCTTACGCGGAGAAAACTAATCGTGCAGGGTACGTCGATCATAAGACATGGTCCAAACCAGCCCATCGCCGATCGTGTGCCACCAGAAAGCTCATCTTCGCCGGTTAGCAACACACTACCTGGAAAAAGGAGGCTTCACTAGAAGGACAATACATATACCGCATCCAACAAAAAGCCTGGGGGGAAGTAGAGCCTGATAAACCGTTGATGATTTCCGTGGGTCAACAGCATTGGGACTTCTGCAATCAGCCGAGAAAGACAGAGTACAAGGCAAGCCACTTGCATCTAATATTTTTGGCACCCTAATTGCGCCTCACGCGTAGTCCAAGACCCCCTCATTTCTGCCTGCCGGGCTGTTCGATCTCTTACCTACCAAGATAGTCGGTAACGACCGATTCGGTGAGACTCAGTACAGTATCATGTTCTATGCATGGGGAGACGCGGTCGATAAATGGTCGCGAATCTAATATTGAGTGGAAAATTTCAGTCTCCACACTCCCTTGTTCGTTTTAAAATCGGATTAAATCTCCAATATATCTTGTGACTCGGTTCAGCTATTTCAGCTCTATCTCCTTCAAGCGTTTTCAACATATCGGCCCTCGATTACGGCATTTTTCATCGCAAATTACCTTCATAGAGCCGCTGTTACCCAAAGCATATGTGTCTGTACTTTTATCCATTATCTAGCTAGCTTAAACGCTTCTTCCTCTCTTTCCAGCCATCTAGTGCAGCTACAGCATATTAGACAAGTGCGAAAAATCGAGATGAAATTTTACAACTGGGACAACTTACTGCCTTCGTCCCGGAACGCCTCGTACGGCCCATCCACAAAATCGACCGTACCCTCGAAATCTTCCCCGCTGATACCCTTCTCTAGGCTGTGTCTGCCACAGAAGGTTCTCTCGAACTTGTCGCAGAAAATCAAGTCGAAGTAGTTGTACCCAATCATTCCCTTCGCATGGTGATCCACCCATCGCTTTTCTGTCATGACCACCGTCATTGTGGACTGCGCTGTCTTTTCTCTCAGAGGGGCTGTTCCTGGTAGGCAAGTCTATAAGTCGTGTGCGTTCCTCCGCGTAATCAGGTAGCCTTTCGCGCTTGACAAGTGCAGGAGGCGGCTCTGCAATTTGTGTTGGCGCAGTGGTTACTGTGCGAAATAATAGTGGTAACAAAATACACAGTACTTGAAGGTTCAGACTGAAGTGCATGTTGTTTCTCGAGGATAAGGAAATAGATATTAGCTCGAGAATTCCTGGTCCATTTTTGTCGTTGAACGAAAACCAAGTAATTTTGGTAGAATCAAATCGTTTGAGATACACGATGAGTTTTATGTGATCACGCAGATCATACTAGCAACTATGAGACCATGCCTTCGAAGCCACTCGCAAGTCTGCCTTACTATTTCTCTGAGGTGTGCCTCACTGAGGCTGCTACCGTCTAAAAGTTGATCTTTGCCTCTGACGCAGGGGCCTCAGAGGCTGTCTTGGCGGCCATACTCTAAGTAATGGCATTTGGCGGTGCTATGATCGTTGGAACGCGCGTTGAGGGTATGGCTCGCGTGGTACAAGATGTGAGGCAATGAATTTGGTGGGACGTACCCGTGAGGCAAAGCAGACGCTACTTCCTCACCTTCGCTTGCGAGCATCACATGCCAAGAAATATGAAACCTGTCTGTCACAGTCGATGATTCTGCTACAGCTCCACAGGGTGAGGCACAGCATATTCAGTTGACGCAACCTTCAGTCAACATCATCCGTAAGGCAGAGCGACGCATCGTACCACGAACCTTTGACAAAGGATAGCATGATACATTAGACGTAATACCGACTACGCTAGATTGAGCCTGGGTCTTGTAGCTGCATAATCAGAGTAGATCTTTCAGTAAAGATAAGGGAGGGAGCGCTATGGGCGCAGAGTGGTCAGGGAAGACGCAGAGATGTCACGCAGAGAAGTTCTTCGTCTTGCACTCGTTACACTTGAAGACGACGGTCTCCGAGTCTCAAATGTAGGCTAGCAAGGTGAACCATCAGTATCAGTGCTAACGTGAGCTACAGTGGCAATGGTTTTGTCTTGCGAGATATATGCAACTTGCGATCTTGGCAACGCGCGGCCTCAGACGACCTGGATGGACGATTGACGCGAGAGGTCCCTGGAGTCTATTCTCATGGAAAATGCAAGAAATGGCGCCCGATTATGACCTCCATGTAGGCTCACCGAGAGATCGTTGTACCAGCTAGCGAGGATCATGTTGAACTGCATTGTGTATCGTACCCGTCAACTCAGTACGAAATGTCCTGCCTTTTGATGGTGGACTTCATCACAATCCGCCAGGTTATGAACAATTTGAGCCACCCAGACCTGCCCCTTGAGGCTTTCATTCCTATACGCACCATACGCAGATTAGACTATCCATATCGTTCTGCTTGAACGAAGTGTTCGAAGACGTCCGTTCGAGCCTCCTCCGTATCTGCCGCAAGTCTGCAGGGGTATCCCAGGATTATATTGTGTACATGGGAAAGGTTTTCGAGGCTACCCTAGTAGCGCTCACAGGCTTCTTATTCCTGGGCGCTTTCGGGCCTAAGGCTAGACACCACGGCAGACTGTGGCATAGTGCTGCAATGTGTGACAGTTTGCGAGCTGTTCCAAAACAGAATTGTCAGGCCAGACATCACCTTCAACATGATCTATCATGAATGTTTGTGAGTCTTGCACAGATTGAAATGAAAAGCACGCCGTCAGCGGGGAAGAAACGCCGACATCGGAGAAACTCGGTGGACCGTGGGCCAGACTTCTCGCTTAACGGCGGTGAGCTGCAGGCCAAGAAGCAAAGATTCATGGCGTGCATTAGCCTCTTTGTCACCCCACATCTAGAGGTAAAATAGCTCGCAAAGCGTTGATTCATCTCTTCATTCTGAATCCGATAGCAGCTGATGGTACAACATGATCTCGATACTCAATTCTCTAGCCTACGGGGCTATCGGCCTGTTGGTATACAGTTCTCTCCTTGTTATATACAGGCTCTGCTTTAGCCCAATCGCGCAGATTCCAGGCTCGAAACTTGCTGCCGCGACTTCGTGGGTGGAGCTTTACTACGACATCATCCAAGACGGCCAATTCTCTGAACAGATAAAGCGATGGCACGAGGAATATGGTCCGCCTTTGAAAACACTGTGAAGATGTACTGAACTGACGATCGTGCCTTGACAGGCCCCATTATCCGCATCTCGCCTTCCGAGGTCCATATTTCAGATCCTTTCTTCTTTGATACCCTCTACTCTCCAAGCGCACCGTACAACAAGCTTACCAAATGGAATGATCGTTTCGGAATCCCGCTGTCAACTCACGGTACTGCCCAACATGAGCTCCATCACAAACGCCGCATGGCTATCAACCCATATTTCTCAAAGAAATCCATCAATGAGCTAGTCCCACAGATTCAAGATCGCATGACGACACTATTGAACCATTTGCGAAAGGACTATGAAGATAAAGACAAGGTGCTGTCCCTAACGGACATGTGGGCCTCATTTGCTGCCGAGAACATCTTCGCTTATACGTTTGCGTGGAGCTACAACTTCTTGGACTCGCTGGATGAGAAGAATCCCTTTCTCGAATCAAACCGGGAGTTGGCGCAAACTGTCCATGTTACCGGACACTATCCTCAATTCCTCAAGTTCATGCAATCGATTCCGGAGTCGTGGGTCGCAGTTTTGAATCCAAGTATGAAGGCAATATTCGACTTTCAGAACGTATGATTCAAAGAGATGACTGTTTCCTAAAGTTCATCAAATTTGCTGATGCTCAATAGGGGATAGTCGCTCAGATTGTCAGGATGAAAAAAGGCAAGAACGAGACTCTCAAGTACGTCATACCTAACTCTGCCGACTGGAGAATCAGTATCCATCGCTCTTTCAAGAACTCTACTCCATTACAGGTGCGCACTGTGCTGACGCTAAGGACCAACACAGTAAGTCAGAGAACCGCACAGTCTTCCATGATATCCTGGAATCCGATCTTCTACCACCAGAAGAGAAATCGATCACGCGGATGCAGCAAGAAGCCACCGCTATCTGCGTTGCTGCCATTGGCACTATATCCACTTCACTGTCTCACGCATGCTTCGAGATTTTACGAAACCCCACGATCAAATCGCGACTAGAAAAGGAACTCCAAGATTCGTTTCCAGATCACTCAAGGGCCCCTACTCTGAGTGAACTCGAAAGACTTCCGTATTTGACCGCGGTGATACAAGAAAGTAGGTCCCTCGGATTACCGAGTCGTTCTAGTATTTAGATGATATCTCAGCTGACACCACCATGATAGCTCTTCGCGCTTCAATAGGCGTAGCACAGCGACTCTCCCACGTTCAACCAACACCCATAACCTACGGCATCTACACCATCCCAGCGAACACTCCCATCGGCATGAACATCTACAACCAGCACTACGACCCCCGCATCTTCCCTGACCCCAACAATTTCCAACCCGACCGCTGGTTGGGCGATCCCAAAGTCCCAGTGCCCAAGGACTCTTCCGCTCAAGCCGAGAAAGGAGGAGAACAGGAGGAGAAGACCCGCCAATCACCGCTCTCTCGCTTCCTCGTACCGTTCTCCAAAGGCCCCCGGAACTGTCTGGGCCAATTTCTCGCGCATGCAGAATTATACATCGGCCTTGCGAGTCTGTTCCGGAGTAGTGCCGGTAAAGTAATGAGATTGTATGAGACGGAAGAGAAGGATATTTTCATGGCCAGAGAATATTTCGTTCCGCTGCCTGTTAGGGGGGCTAATGGCGTGAGGGTGAAGATTGGGGAAAAGCATGGCGAGGAGGAGATATCGTAGTATGACGGCAAATTTTCTCGGTTTCAGTCTTACCATGTGCTGTAGTTATGAGCAGCGACTTGTTGATGGAATGCCGAGACGGCTGCGGCTTCCATCAATGTCTTGTCGTATCTGTAGCGGGACACTCTTAATACTGTGCTCAGAAGTAGCCGTAGTTCATCGTCAATGCTGGTCTCTACTAGGCAAGGCTCCCCCTTTTTCTTCGTAGAAGGCTTAAAGTCCTCGCCAAATGCCTGTTCTACTCGTCGCCATTACCCTAATCGTGATTTCAGACGTCACCACAGAGGTCTTAGAATGTTGTGCGAACTCGGATGGAGGACATTGTCCAATCTGGCTGTGTGCTACGCGCAGGATTGTAACAGAACTATACGTGGCAGCGCATTAAGATGAATCTGGACAATATTGAGGGTGGCGGGTATGGGTAATGATGCATGCCCATGGAAGGTCCAGGCAGTTGGGGAAATTCACTTATGCTGCCCGCCTTTCAGCCTTGTTGCCTTTACTTCTGTCTTCGTTTTCCCTCCTTCCTTCTCAATCAACAACTTCAATTATCTTGTATTAGACTACTGCGATCTTACTCTTCTATGACGACGCATATTCGTCAATGTATGAGACAGCAAACAGTGACGATGTTCTGCAAGCGCTGCGATGATATTCTTCGTCACATAGTGGAGCCGCTGACATCTGTTGATGACGGGTCTACAGCCTTCTATATGCATCATGAGACTATTGATAGTCTGGACTCAGCCTTGAAGGATGAATGTCGAGGCTGTTGCGCTCTTGTGGGTCACATGACTGAAGATGAGAGAAACGACCTACGGCGTCAGGCACCCAGAGATTACGTGACACATGCGATATTTCAGAAAGCCGAATCACTATCAAAGTCGGTGGCCGAGTCCCTGGGGATGTTGGAATGTTATATTCTCTACGTCGACTTTGACTCGAATATGTTGACGCAGGCTATGAAAGATAAGGGTAGATCTTTCCTCCAATGGATGATCTTCCAACCACTCAGGGGTGAGTCATTGTTTCTTTACATAGGTATCGTGCAGCTTGCACAATGATATTACCTGGCAACATCGTACTGACTATGCATTGATATACGATTTCAGATGCTGGAAAAATCGTCTCCAAACGGCCAATCGCTGCTACGACTGATTCCGAAGAGTCATGGGACCTCGCGAAACAGTGACTCGCTCGTTGCGACAATGAACATGAGCACTGCAAGAATATACGTCGATCAAGATACCTTCCTACAAGACTCGTGGATCTACAACCCAATTCAGGTGCTTTAGAGTCCGTCAGGCTGATCGAGACCGCTTCAGGATTATCAGAAGTATCAGGCACGGAGTATGTAACATTGAGCCATCGCTGGGGGCACGCGAACATATTTCGACTTACAAATGATAACCTTCCTCAGCTAAAAAATGGGTTTGAAATCTCAGCTTTGCCAAAGACCTTCGTCAATGTCATTGACGCCATTCGGAAGCATCTCCCCGTTCGCTACCTTTGGATTGATTCGCTTTGCAAAATACAAGATGAGGAAGACCTATCTGACTGGATCAGGGAGGCAGCGCAGATGGAAAAGGTCTATGAGAATGCCTTCTGCAACATCTCCGCAACTGGCGCAGAAGACAGTTCTCAAGGCCTCTATCACCATCATAGGCCTGACCTTCTCACCCATTTCTGTGTGGATCTGTGCTTCGGCTGGCTAGATTCTTCATCAGATTCCACCGTAACATATGCGGTATGGGATTTTCATTACTGGGAGAACCAGCTGTCTTTGTCACCCCTTCACTACAGAGGTTGGGTAGTTCAAGAACGACTGCTGGCACGAAGAGTCCTGCATTTCTGTCGTGACCAAGTCATCTGGGAGTGCGCCGAGTTGGCCGCTGCAGAAGCATATCCCAATGGTCTTCCACCAATACTTCAAAAACAGGCAAAAGTCGGACTCAAGTGCTTGGACCCAGCAACCGAAGGACGACGCCTACGGGAACTTGGGCCAGGCTAGATTCTTTGCGCACCAACTTTGGCCCCGTATCGTAGAGATCTACAGTAATTGTCAGCTCACGATGGAGAAGGACAAACTGGTTGCAATCTCCGGAATCGCAAAGCGGATGCGAGTGATACTGCAAGATGAGTACGTGGTTGGAATGTGGCGGCGCTTCCTGTGAAGCGAGCTTCTATGGAATCTGGATCATCACCGTCAAGCCAATTTTCAACTGTCTTGTCGACCTGCGCGATATCGAGCTCCCAGCTTTTCCTGGGCCTCTGTTTGATGGAGTCATCAATGTTGGCACGCCCGAGGATAGAGGTATCCTTTTCTCGGTCGAGGATGTCTCGATTCAATACGCATCCGCTGACACAACAGGGCTTGTTTCTGGCGGTCATATTGTGCTGAAAGGGTCACTGAAAGCACTCAGACTCAGACGCAATGATGTTCTGAAGAAGACATGGATCGTGATGGTCGATGGCAAGGATATGGTACCTGAAGGGAAGGACCCACAAGACCGACTGGGGCCCCTTGTACATCTAGATGTCGACCAGCCAGATTTCGAGGTTGAAAATGAAACTACGAGTTTGTATTGCATGCTAGCTAGAGCACCGTATGGAGATCATTGGACCTTCCTTAAGTGCCTCCTGTTGGAACATCTGCGCGATGGGGATTACAGAAGAATTGGTGTATCTATGACCGATAAGCGCGAGTTGATAGACGCGATTGCTTGAAGGAAGTGCGAATGAAGGCGACATACCTTGTAAATCATATGATGCCAGCAGTGGTAGACACGTTTTCAAAGTACTTTAATGTTGGAAGAAGGCTCATCGATGATGTTTGAATCTTGCTTATCTATAGGGCAGGTGGATTGCTAAACGACGCTTTGAGATTTAGCATTTCCTTCATTATGATAACTTTACTACGCGAGAAGTGATTTATCCATAATTCTAGGGAGCACCTCTTAAAGAAAATACCATAATGCATATATTTAAGCCAACTATATTAAGCCTGCTAGGGGATGAAGGCTCCCAACATTATTGATAGACCTACTTTGAACACTTTCGCTTTAACCACTATAATTAGAATATCCAGGTTGCTAAAACTTAGAAACTTCTTTGAAGAATGCGAGCAATTCGTCCTTGTGGGCAACTATCGATTGACTAGGTGAATAGGGGACGCGAAGTTATAGGGAGAAGCAGCCTTGTGGCGTTCTTTCCTCTAAGGGGGCGGAAGTGGGGGCTGCTTACGTAATGCAATATCTTGGCACTGTGTTCTTGCCTCACCTTTCGACACTTCATCCTACTATCGACGTGTAGGATTGCGACACTTCATTCATCTTCAGTGTCTATTAGTATATGATATACCATCCTTCTAGTGTCGTGAATAATGTCTTGACACATCTGGCTCTGGAGAGCTTTCGCCTTGTGAATCCTTCCTTCTCCACTCTTTCAATCATCTTCATCGACCCTTAAATCAACTCATCTCGCATGATGGTATCTTCTCAACAGCCCATCCGCGCATCAAAGCGTAAGCGAGAGCATGTCAAATACTACGAGAGTAGCGATGAACTAGAGCACGGAGATAACGATTATTTCGTCGAGTCGGAAGACGAAGGTTACACGTCACGAAAGAAGCCCAAAGTGGACCATGCAGGAGTCAAGGACCGTCTAGTGTCGAAATCTCAGATTTTCCCGTTTGCCAAACTACCACCAGAGCTTCGTAATCGCATCTACCAGTTGACGTTGACCGATCCAGACGGAATTGGTCTCATTTCTACCGACAAGGCGTATCGACGAACGGTCAAGCGGGCCGTAATTGGACGAGACGAGAGTGGAAACGGCATAAGACGCGCAAAAGGTGGTAGGACTTGGTTTTGGGGTAGAACCAGGCCTGAACCAGCCCGTTACGCTGCACCAGAGAATCATATCCTACCTAACATGCTACTTCTGAACAAAGCCACTTATGAGGAAGCCCGAGCAATACTGTATGGTGGAAACGTATTTTCTGTGGAAGACACCATGGCCTTACATGGCTTCCTTGCCATTGTCGGAGCAGAGAATCGAGCTCTCATCTCCGAGGTGGAAATCTGCGGCTGGGGCTGGAGCGCTGCCACCAAGGCAATGAATCATCCCGCCTTCACCATCCTAAGCCAGGCGACCAACTTACGACGACTGCGAATTTCCTGTATGGTAAGAGAAAATGGGAAGTACTACAGTGCAAAAGACGTAGCTAGGAGTGTAAGTGATCACAATCCCTCTTCTCCATGACGGGCGCACTTTAGCCCCCCCAAGATTCAACCAGGAACTGAACTAATAATATGTCGTGCCTTATCTAGATCTATCGTGATGCCTTCCTCTGGATTGAAGCTGTAGGCAGGGCTCAGGGACAGAAAGATGCGGCCCTCAAACTTATAGACATCGACGACGTCAATCATGGCAGTTCGCCCCTTGACCAATGGCGCAAAGACTTCGAGAATTCTTTGAGGAATTATCTATAATAAGCTGTGATGGAGAACAATGAACGTAACAACCCTAAGGTTGTTTCGGGCAAGTTCGGCACTGAGAGGGCTGATTGAAAGAGGATGATTTCATAGACGGACGTTTTTTAAATGCATTTTCAAGTTTGCTTGAAGCATGTTCACACATGGCCCGTGCAAGAACGATCGCTCATTCTACCTGAAACAAAGAAGGAAATGGCTTTGCTTACTTAGACTATTCGAGCTGGAGCCTGGAAGGCTTGAAGATAGCATATCAAAACCGAGTGATGCTTCAGAGCATCAGCAATCAGGAGGCCGGTTTACTGCTTTTGACGATTTTGACGAACCACGATAAATTATTTGGCTAAAGTCAGAATATCGTGCAAAATCGAGGTCATTTTCAATGTTTCTGTCCACTACGTCATCCATTTCGACTACATGACATCATGAGTAAAAACCCTTTCCGCCCCTTCGTACAACTCTTGACCACCCACTCACCTAATTCCACGCACCGACGCTTGCCAAATTAGCATATCATCTTCCTGACGACAATCCAACCCTTTACACCATGCCTCGCATCATGGCCCCACCGCCTTCTGGCGAGTTCTCCATCGTTCTGACCCAGCCTTTCGGTACCCCCATCATCCCCCCATCCTTTCTGCCCATAGCTGAATTCTGTCAGGCGAGACCTCAACGACTCAGAAGATCGAATTTATCGGCGAGCCCAATCGTCCCTCCAACGTCAAAGTCACGCGCCACCTGGGCAAAGACTTGCAGAACATCGAGGTTAAGACTGGCTCAATCCAAGCGTAAACCCGCCCTGCCTCGTCATCACTTCCCCATCCTCTCGCTACCCCCCTTCTCCGCTAATTTTCCTCCCCCAGCGACGACACAACCGAGCTCCTCGACCTGACAACCCAACTCTCCGGGTTCCCTAGCAACCCTGACAAAGACGTGTATGGCTTGGATACGCGCCTTACCTTAACGACCTTCAAGGTGCAGTGGGATAATGCGGAGGAAACTGAGGGAGTTGAGGGTGAAGTGATGCCGACGGAGGAGAATAAGCAGAATTTTAAGGATGTGGTGGATAGTGTGAGATCTTTGGCGAGACAGAGCGCTAAGTGAGGTATAGCTGGGTAGGCATTCTCGTCAGGGACGAGTAGAAAGGGTCAAAAGGCTAAGCAGCCAGGGTGCGGTATGGCTGGAGAGAAAAACTACTGACCACGTTTAGTCAGTGAGTCAGCTGTGTGTAAGAAGGTGATAATCTTGCCTGCTCGCTGATCGAGATGATATGGTGAAGCTGTATTTTACTTCTCTCTCTAGCAGGACAGCCTTTGATGCTGCGTTCCCGAAATTCTTTGTTTGCAGCGTATCTGCTCTTCGGGATCACTTGAGGCGATGGCATGTCATGGCAACAGTGTTACTTAGGAGGATTGGCCCAGACCACCTTCTTTTGAGCGTACTTCTCCTCTATTCCTCAGCCTTGGATCTCAAACCTAGCGTTGCAGCCTTTTGTAGGCCAAAAGATCGGATGTTGTCGTGAAGGGTGCGGTGCTATTCAGATTTCCAAAACGTGAGCAATATCTGAGTTCCATACTGGGTGTCCTAGGTAAGCACTTCGCTTCTGCATTGCCATCATAAGTACCAAAGCAATCCAGAAAAGCATAAATATAATTTTGAACGGCTCGGAGGTAAGTACGATGGGTCTCGGATTGCCCCAACCAACAATCTCAGCAGAAAGTCCAGATATTGGACTAGCGAGTGTGACAGAGCTTTTTGTTCGATTACTACCAAGATTAAGCGCTAGCATAGAGTTGATCTATGAGATGGCCCAAGCCATGCTATATGAATGATCGTGAAATCTTCCAATTTCTATTCAACAGATCGACTTAACGCAGTCTTCTGACAGCCCAGCGGTGGGATCAACATCGCATGTACCGCATTGACTCATTCACCGAGCCACGTCTCCTACTTGGCCCGCAAACACGCCCCTCAACATCTAGCAGAGCAAAGACGTATCTAGAAAGAAAAGGTTGGGAGCGCTGTGGGGAGCGAGAATGGAAGACCTGTCGGGAGGGCAGTCGGAATGAAGGTCGGCAGGGCGGTCGGAATCGCGGTCGGAATCGCAGTTGGTATCCCTTGAGGGTCGGCGTCGGCCTCGCGCTTGGCATGATTCTGGGAGGAAGCGCATCAGTATCAAGGTCTCTAGGCGTCTTTGGTATCATACCCAAGGAAAAGCCATCGCGGCACTGAGCATGCAAAGGACAATAGAGGCTGAGGAGAATTTCATTGTTGGTTGGCAATGGTGGAAATGGCGGTACTTGGAAATGACGGTCTGGGCGATGTTGTGAATAGATTGGAGATGAATTTGTTTGACGTTGAAACAAGCCTTTAGATCTAAGATGCCAAGATGATGAGACGCAAGGGCCAGGAACAAACGACTTCTTGTATCGCGCTCGAGTCCAGTCGGGTTTTCGTCGCCGACCGGAACGTTGACATTCCGGACACCCTGCAGGCGGGGTATGCATACATCCATGTCTACTTTCGGACAACGCAATGACTTTGCTGTGATTGATAGGAGCATGTCGGTAGGAACATAGCTTGGATCTCGCAATCCGTTCATTGAGTGGAGTAAAAAGCGACGTCGCTTGATCATTGTGCATAGAGGCTACGCAATCGCTTCTCCACAACACCCGTTCTGGGACGAATTTTGAATGGCCGCTGCGTGTCCTGCATATCGGTCTTGAAAAGATGCATCTGACCACACAGGTGGCTTTTCAACAGCACTGGGAGTCGCGCAGGACGGCGCCAAGTTGGCACCGAGCCTAGGTACGAGCACAGATGTCGGGTTCATGGCAGCGCGAGTAGGTTAACACCGAACTTGGTGATCACTCGCTTTAGGTGCTCTCGACATGACGTACCTGCATTTTCTCAAACTCTCATTCACAGTATTTGGAGGAGGGAAAAGAGTTGACACACTGTGGAAACACCCTGAATTTTCCGCACTTTCGTTAGCATTCTCGAGCAATGTTTTGAAGAAAGCAAGCGCGACGGTACCATGTCAGTAGACGAAAACTTATGCACGAATCGTATTTAGCCACTACTAACGTACATACCCAGACTTGAAAGGAGCAGGATGATGTGAATGTCGTATGCGTCCTTCAGGCTCTCATTTTACTTGCCAGAATAGAAACTCGCGACGACAAAGACCTCTATCCCTTTTTCTCTTTTCAAAGGGTCGGCCAAAAGCTGGGGGAATATGGTCTGATCAAATTTGTCACTAGACTTCAGATATAAGACTGTTTTACAGAGGGTCTCAATCCAGGATCTGTATATATCATTTCCGGTCAACCATTTGACCGATGGGATAGTTCTGCCTTTGTGCCCGCAATGAAAAATCAATCCAAAGCGCCCACTATATGGAGGTATTCATCGCAAGTTGGCGAGTGGACAGTCCAAAAAAGTCAAGCGAAGTGATTTCTGCCGCTAGGAACCCCAACTGATCGGCTTCGCCCGTGTAGTAGAACATCCTAAAGTAATCTCCTCGTTGGGTAATGGATCTACGGTGTTGTGGTCTAGAGCTTATAGGAGACCCTTCAATGGTGATAAAAGGATATTTCGCATGGAACCTCGCAAGCAGGAGGGCAGGTCTACCAGCAGGACTTCTAACATACGACTCTCAAAGCCTAAGCTCCTGAATAAAATAACTCTCCCGAAGCTGTGGGCAAGGAAGACAATGTTGCGGAACAAGCCATCTTGCTGAACCAGACATTGAGTTCTATACTTTCCGAGTCACATGCATGTTTACTCTGAATGCACTCCAACAACTCCAACGCGACACTTCTAGCATTAGGGTCGACTTTAAAGCACTTTCCAATGTTATATTGAAAGTCCAAGTTCTCAAGTTCTGCCTCTTCTGGAGAGGAGTAAATAGCGGGTGGGAAATAATACAATTAGGGAGCGCTGTCTACAAGAGTACGTAGGAAGGAGCAGCGTCTATCTCGTAAAGGAAGCAGGAACGGGTCCCTACATAGAAAAACCTATACTAAGGCATACGTTATTTCTTTTGCAGTATTAATTTTGCCTCTCCTATCGAGTCGTCATTTTCGCCTAACGCTTGCAGCGAAATTACACTCCTCCTTCATTGCTAGTACTCAGAGGTATTGGGGTCATAAAAAAATAACAGCTCGTCAATACGCGACTGGTTTCGCCGCGAGCAAAGATTAAGGCAGACTACGGCAATTTTGGCGCAGCATAAATCATTATACTCAAGGAGAAACATCTACCACCAAAAGACATATCGAACAAGCGTCTTAGAACACAAACCTACGAGGACGCACCGACTTCCAGAATAGACGCTACCTGCCCCCCTCAACCAAACACTCTCAAAGCGAGATCGCCTTCCTAGCAATCCTCCGATAAAGATCTGCCGGCGTCTCAAAAGGCGCCCACTCAATCGTGAACGGCCCAACACTGCCTCCGCCAACTTTCCCCTCAATCTCGAACTTCATAGGTTTCCCGTCCGCGAGGTCTCGCGCATTGACTTGCACAGCAATCCTAGTGATGCGGAAGGCGGCATTCTTGATCTTCTCCACCACATCTTTCATGTCTTTCATGGCGCCTTTGAAGTCTTTGTGCAATAGAGTCAGGTTGGCGCGGAGCTGCTCGACTTCTTGCTTGACTCTTGCTTCGTTGGCTACTTTGTTATCGTATTGGACTTGGCGAGCTGAAAGCTCCTGGTCTTCTTTCGTGCGCAAGATGGCTTCGTCAGCACGAGCGATGATAGATTCCAGATCTGGACGTCGACTGTCGAGCAGGCTCTGCGCTTGTTTGATCGCGTCGATGTGTTTTTGCAGGCCGTTCTCGTGGACACGAAGCTCCCTTAATCTGTCTGCCACCTTCTGGTCTTCGTCTTGTTGTATTGCGCGAATGAATCCGGAGATACCTTGTGTTTGCAGATTTTGGAGACCAGTGTTGATATTTCCTAGAGTACCAGCTCCGCGAACGAGTGCTTCATCAAGCGACTTGAACCCTGCATCGTTCAGCTTTGAGTTGGTGAAATTCCATGCGTTTCCAAGCTGCTCTAGGAGGAAGTTAGCTCCTTCAAGTTGCGTCTTCTTAATGCCGAGGGGAAAGACCTGTCATTCGTCTGTTAGGAATAATGCCCTCATAGATTGGAGGACATGTCTTACCAATGCTGCTTTCTTGAAGACATTAGCTCTGTTGAATTCATTTTCAAGCTGATCGAACTCTCGTCTTATCTGATTCACGATGACTGAGTACACCTGGCATTAGCGACGTACAGAAAAGGCAAAATGTCGAAAAGACCCACCTTGCTGAACCGTCAATTTACTCACTTGCCCGTCTCGATTGACTTGCATAATGCGAATAGGGCCATATTTATCCCGCATTTGCTGTTCCAGCGCTCCATGCTCCCGTTGTACTCTTGATTGCTCGTTCTGGGCGTTGCGTAGCTTATCATCATACTCAACCCTCTTGTTCTGGACCATCGTTTCTCGATGCGTTTCTGCTTGCCTTAATTTCTCCTTCGCTGCTACGAAATCCGCAGCTTGCTTGTCTTTTGCTTCTGTCACGTTGTCCTTTAGAGTTTGAAGTTCCTTCTGAGCATTCTGTCGCTTCAACTCCTCGGTTTTGAATAGTCGATCGCGACGAGCGCGCTCAGTGTTGGTGTTGATCCTGGCCTCCTCAACCTCTTGCGCCATTCCTTCCAATTGCTGATTCATTTGGCCGATCTCAGATTGCAATTGCTGGTCGACAGCTTGAAACCCTTCGTCTCCAAGTTCTTCGATCTTTCCAAGAACACCAATGACGGCGTCACATATCGCGCCGAAAACATCACCCGATAATTCCGCTCGGAGATCGAGATCAGCTTTAGACAGGTCCTTAAGGTCCGAATTTTGAGCCTTGGCTTTCAAAATGAACTTGAAAACCTCTGCAAAGCGTATATCAATGTCGATGTCGAAGGCGACCGATGGCTGAAGTGAAATGTTAAGATATATCTTCGCCTCGAATGCTAAAAGCTTGATCATGCCATCTACAAAGAACTTCTGCTCATCAGATGTCATCACAATTTCCATGGAAGCGTCTGGTGCACCTTTTGCTGACTTCACTTCCAGAGGCCCAATTTTGAAGGCATTGACCTTACCAAGAAAGCGCACACCACTTTTGCCCAAGGTCGCTGCGAAGCTGGCAGTCTTACCGAAAAGGACCATTCGTGGATGGAGAATTTGGAAGACCTCGTTGCTTTTGCGCTTGGCGTACCTTGAGAGCTGGATGCAACGAAGATATCGAGACCAGCTTCTTTGATATGTATATCTGCGTCGGGGATGATGAAGTCCTTGATACCACCACTGATTTGGAGCCCGTTGGTATCGAGCGAGATGAAAGCATATGCACTACTATGCCCATTGAAAGTAACGCTACCGCCAAGGCCGATTCCCTTATTAGAGATACGCAGATACAAGTTTTCGAAATGAAGGTCATTGCCCCCAGTATCCGCCGGGACAGATTGCCCTGTCAGTTCCGCGTATAATTCACGAACTTCGGCCCATGAAAAATTGCCGATTTCTGCCTGTAGAAAGCTCTCCGCTGTACAAATCAGTCAGACGTATTTTCAAGTAATATGGAAGGTTTACCTTTTGAGTATTGTCCGGTAAGAAACACTTGTGCCTTCCTAAGCGTCATGAAAGCCGAAATCCGGATGCTCAGTGATTCTTTGAAAGCTTTGCTTGAGAAAGAGGTTTCAAATTGAACTTGACGAACCTGCAGCACGTCAGTTTCATACCAGCTCCAATTCCGTCATTGGAGTCGACATGGACTAGAGTATGGCTTACTGTCAGAGCTTCAATACCGAAGACACTCTGCCATTCGTCGCTGGAAAGCCGCATTGACATTCGATAGAGATCCCCAGTCTTCCTCAAACGGTAGTCAACGAGAGTTGGCAAGTCGCCCCCATTCAATCCGCGTATCTGGAGGGAACCAAAGAAGCCATACCCGAATCGCCAGCGATTCTCAGAGCCAATAGTTGACACTTTAGTAGCAGAGACCTCAACGCCGATTGACGTGAATTTCAAGATTTCACCAATTCTAAAGGAAATATTCTGAAAAGAGCCCTGCAGGCAAAGTGTGGTGACTACTGGCATGACCGACCAATTGCGCTCCGAAGCTAGGTGAGCAGTCACGTGAAGACTCTTAGGTGCAACATTCTTCTCACCGAATAGATACTGCAGAGAATCCGCAACGGGCTGCAGAGCGCCCTCAAACAGAATATCCGCCTGTATCCTCAAACCTGGAGCATGCAAGAAATCGTGTCGATCTTCGGAGTAAATAAGCTCAAAGTTCTGAATTGGGATTACCGTCATCACCTTGTCTTGCATGTAAGGAAAGAGGGCAATGATGGGGTTCAAAGGTGGTTGGGTGATATTAGGCTTGACTCTCTCGAAGACGGGCAGAGTGGGATCGCTGGACTGCAGGGTATACAGCTGCGCTGAAAGCCCGTTAATGCCAAACAATTGTTTGACGTCGACGGACAACTCATACGTCGACAAAGCTGCAGTGCCGACCCGTGATGAAGTCTGGATCGCTGAGGCTTTGATCTCATCAAGACTGGTCGAAGAATGTCCAGGAACCTGGACGTCTGATCTTTCCACCGCTGACAACAAGAGCGTGGGTGGCTCAAAGGGCTTCGCTCCTTCCAGGGTATCTGTCAGAGGCGCAAGTAGTAAGGCTTCGCTGGTTGCAGGAATAGCGACTGATTGGATCAAGGCAGGTATATCAGCGAACGTGCCAGTATCCGTTGCTGTGACCAATTTTGGATTTTCAACAATCACGCCGCCGATAATCAAGACTGGGTCATTAAGTCCCGTACCATTCAGCTCTGTACTTTGTTCATTCTGGAACTCGCTTGAGCTGACAGGCTGAGGTTCGGTTTGACGTGATTGCGAGCCCGGAGCCTTTGGCTCATGAATCGTCTTTGCCTCATTGTCCATGACTTCCAAATTTTGTTCTCTATTCATCATAGGGAGACCGCTCTCATTCGTTGCCTGGTCCGTTTCATTATCAGTGTTCCCTGAGCTGGTCAATGTGTTACGAAGGCCGAATGCCTTGGGGTCAAAGACGTCATCGAGAGCTTGAACACGGTTGAATTCATCTGATTTGATGAGATTGACCTCAAGATCTTCAAGGGTCGCATTCGCTAGATTGTTGAGGTCCAGAAAAGTAGACCCATTGGCTTGTGGAGGTTGAGTCCCCAGAAGAGAAGTCTCAGCGGAGGGTTTTGGCCCTGATGTATCACCATTGACCTCTTCGACTTCAGGAAAAGCAGGCTGTTCATCTTCAAGCTTGGAGTCAACCATTGGTGAGCGCAATACAAAGGGAGCATCTTCAATGGCCTCGGTGTGCAGTCTGGAATCAAAGTTGACTTCGAGTGGTCCGGAAGGCTCTTCTTGCATAGCCGCCTCATTTTCTTCCAGAATGCCATCCTGCCACTGATCATGACCATTCTGAAGAATGTTCGGATTCTCGTCAATAACTTCCATGCTGATGGACTGTGATACAAACAGAGGTGCATCCGACACAGGGGCATTTGGTGGCTCTTGTTGGTGCAGCGATAGATGTTGTTCGAGCTCTTTCTTCTTATCCTCAAAGACGTCTTTCAAAAGCTTCAGGTCAACCTGACTCTCGCCTTTCGTGAAGAAGAGGCGGGTAAATGGGTAGAAATCTACGTCGAAGATAGGCTTTTCCCAACCCAAGAGTCCCGACTTCGAATATAATCCAATTATATACCCCATGGTAAAACAGAGGCAAGGACATTTTTCGAAACACCATTCGAGATGCTCGTTCCCATTGAAAGGGGTGCTTTTCTAGGTCCAGGCTCCATTGTCTTCGTGAAAGCTCAAGATCTCAAGATCACGATTTATCAGCACAAGCAACTCACCTGTCACAGGTGAAAATGACGCATCTTTGTCAGCAGCTCTGTAGAGTGCCCGCAATTCATGCTCGAATTTGTAGAACTCCTGCCAGGCTTTCTCGACTCTAGGTGTCTCAAGTAAGTAACATGTAGCCACTTCAACACGGGGATATAAGGAACGCTTAATTTACCTCAACATAACGGAATTGGTTTCAGAGGAGCCAAACACCATGTTCAATTGGATTTGGCTTGAGTTCCAGGCCTCTGTCTCTTCTTCGCTCACGACTCCACCATACGCGAAGGCAGACAAACGAAGCCACTGCGCGGACAGAAACCTGTAAGATTGGTGCATATGAATTGGGATCGCGTGTGAACGTACCTCTGCAATATGTGGAGCCCCCATGCGTTTCGCGGGATCCCACTTGAATACTTCTTTCGCAAGCTGCAATCATTCATTCAGTACTGAGACGAAATGGATTTAATCGAAAGGAGATAGCTCACCTTCGGGGCAGAGATCTTATTCATGACTGAAGTCTGGCTGACGGTACCCTTTCTCTTTCCAACAGCTGCGATCATCTTCTCGGCTTGGAGTGGAATGAAACAGCAATGTTGATCGTAAGTGAGTTTGGCTTCTTGAGACGGATTTAAGTTACCTTTGGAACTGTTAGGTAAGGTAGTACCGGCCATCCCGTGCTCCCTATAGACTAGTCGGTCTTGATAAAGCTCAGCATTCTCTGAAGGCTGTAGCTGTTCGCTGAGCTCTTGAATGAGCCCTTCAGTCTGCTAATCTTCAACGGGATAGTCCCAGTCCCTATGTTTACCAAGATATTGTTTCAGATGTTCTGCGGAAATCCATGTTGAATAGTGATGAAAGGGATTGTCAGCGAGCTTGATGTCGTTTAGTTAGCAAATATCGAGGCTTCAAACAAAGATAGAGCTTGAACTTCCAAAGCTTACATACATGGTAGTATTCAGTGTCTTCTACGGAGAAGTCGAATACATACTTGACGGCCGAGCTATCTTGAATCTGCTCAAAAGCAGCCCGAACTCGGTCAAATGGTACTCCATTCCTTGTCCACAAAGAGACATCCTCTTTCACAGTGGGCCCAGCGCCATATGGACGAATGATTAGAGTCATCTCACCAGGAGCAGGGTAATAAGCGCGCATTGCAGTAATGTCGTTATCGCCTTTCCAGATGGATGTCGAAGCTTCGAAAAGGTCCGACCAGGTTTTAGAGTGCAAGAATGTGGTGAGATTTGTTGGAAGCTCATACAGTTTACATGCACCGCCAAGAGCCCTGCCAGGCATGATATAACCACCTTTCAGCACTCCCTTGTTCGAACCGTTGTATCTTATGTCGTGTATGAATAGCTCCTTAAAGTCTCCCCCATTCCAAAGTCGAAACTTCAGGCTGAGTGACGTGCTTGTACTCACCCTTCAAGCGATAATCATTGTAAGGTCGATTCCTGTGCTTGTGCCATTCGTAGCTTCCGTTCGCAGCAACCGCTTGGTGTATGAAAACGCTGGAAATGTACGTTGGATAGGGTACCCCAAGCAGCTGAGACTGCTTAGGGGCAATTTTGTAATAGTCATCGTCACCTCTGCAGTAATTGTTGAAGAATTGGTGTATAGCAGTCGAATCCAGTCCATCAGTAGCAGGAAGAGCAATATCGCCAGGGTTCAAGAGCTTGTACAACACATGATATGTACCTTCCACGGACTTCAGTTGATCCTTCCATGCTGAAGAGCTGGCCATTGTCTTGCGGAAGCTGTTGGGTTATTCAAGTATTTACGGGGGTTGGGGGGTAGAGAGCCCCTGAGTAGGAATGCTATTAACGATAGTGACTTCAATGAAAGGAGTGTAATGCTGTGTGCTGCAATTGCGTCAACTCCCCACGAGGGCGTTCGTTGTTTAAATAGACAATGTTTTTGCCGCCATCTCTACAGGTTTACCTCTTTTATCCCATAGTAGCCCACACGCCTAACCCTCTCGACGTTCAAAGCCCGACAATCAACAGGTCTGCTTCCAAATCATCAGTCTAAGTGCGCCTCGTCATTTCTCAAGCGAGCTGATTTCCGTTTTGGTTATGTTAAATGTCTAGAGTTTGGCCATATGATAGTTCAAGTCGATCATAATTGCTTGCGGGCGGCCAAAACATCCAGATTTTCCAATCTAGTCGACTTCCACACGCAGGCTTGCCTTGATGCGAAGCTGGAAGCAATAGTGGTTGCAGAAAACGCCATGGCTCCCGTACAATTCCATTTCAGGAATGTAACAATAGCACAGATCATCATGGGTTACCATGTGGCTGGTGATTAAAGTATCTAGGGTAAACTTCTGTTCAAGATGGGATAGCCTCCGGGAGATTAGCAAACATATGATCGACTCTGACGACGCTCGCGAGTCGCCCTATCGGGAAATTAACCCTCGGACCCGCTAGAACCGAAAGGGTTGAGAGAATTGATAGTAGATTTCTAGACAAACGTGGAGGGTGATACCAGTGGTGGGGGGCCGGACAGTAGCTCCAAAGACTTGCGTTAGTGTGCTTCAAGCAGTCTCAGCGCCTTGTTTAGCAGTCCATCTGAAGGGTCCTGACACTGCCGTCTCGCGCGAGGCAATAATGGGAACAAGCTTGTTTGGAGATGACGGCAGGATCTTTGTACATCTGCCGACTTTGCGAAAGGTGTTATGGTGGCGCTCATGCTTTCCTGAAGGAGAATCAGCTAGTTCTACCAGGGAAAGGCTCGCTTACCTTAGTTCAAATTTTGGCTGGATTTGGCAACTATTTAAGATTAATGTCTGGTGGCGTACGATGAGAGAGCTGGTAACTCAAGCCAGGCATTGCAAGGGCCGACGCGATCCATGTCGAGCGGTCTGGGCCGCGTCCGTTCGTTCCGAGCGACAAAGCCAGAAGCGTTGGGCCGTCAGTGGGGTTGAAGGGATAACTTTGGACGGCGGCCCGGATTCGAGATGCAATAGCTGCATCACGCGCGGTGTTGGTAGGCAGGGAAACGGGGAGAGGTATTCTGCTTTCTTCTCTGTGCTCGCGAGTGGGGTGGGACTGGAGATGAATTGAAGGCGCGAGGGGCGGAGGTATGGGTATAGGTTTGATGAAGATGTTGCAATTTTCGAGGCTGGTGTTTCTTCTTCCTGATCGGTACTCTTGACTATCCGGACATCTCCTCTAATGCGCAGGATCGCAGGTGTGGAGCGTGGTGTTAGCTGATAATTAGGGGGCCTGGAATTCTTTGGAGGTTAGTGTGGAGGTTGACTAGGTATGTGAGCGGGGGTGGTTAAGAAGGAGGAGTAACTATTATATTATAATGAGATTGTTATAATTTATTATTATTATTTCTCCGTATTAGATAACCTGGGTGTAGGTGATTTTTTATATATTGAGATAGAAAAGCAAGAAGTATATAGTAGAGGAGGCAAGGACTTGTTGAGGCGGTTGGAGGTCAGCAAAGTAGAGTTTTGTTTGGTGAGGACTTGTATCTATACTATGCATCGTGTTAGTGAGAGGAGCCGTCTCGCATCGATGTTTGCACTACACTTATTGTGACAGGGATACAGTGCTGTCACCCGTGGGCTGATCATATCGTCCTCTGTCCCGTAGAGAGACGATTGATACTGACACTTTTGTTTAACAATATCCCAACTATTATCCTGTCTATCGATTTTGATATAGCCCTTGAACGCTGTGGTTAGCAACCCCAACACTTATCCGATGACCACGGCCTAATACTAAAGCTGGACATAGCGCAGAAAATAACCCATACCATGGTATGAGTTACTTTATGCAGCTACCCGTCTCTACTCCATTCACTGCTATTGCAAACATCAGGCCCCCAGCTCCAATATCCTTCCATTAGTATCCTAGAGGATGGGATGAAGCGAAGGCAGCGATGTGCTTACATCCACAAAAAAGCAAGACTTGAGCATTCTCCCCAATAGTCTGCTCACCATCCATTCTAGAGGTAGAAAGCGCCGAGAATGCTGGCCTGACCTCGATTCGAGCGCCCTTCACTCGAGCGAGAGAAGAGAGCTGAGGCTAGATGTTGAGAATATGAATGATTTGCATAAGGATCCGTTGCCCCATTGGGAAAACTTCGAAGGCTGAGGGGTGCAGACCTTACTTTTAAAGGCTTTAGATACTCAAGGCTGGAGAACCTATCCTGTATACGCGGATTGACAGGGGATCCCGTCGATCCAATATCAAGAACACTCGAATGGCCGATAAATGCTGTTTAACGGAGCTCATACCGCCCAAGTCTACCATTTTTATCTCATCAAACTTTCATATCAGTGGAGGAGGAGAACACTATCGGGCTGATGGTACTTTTTTCCTTTTCAGTGTTCCTGGGTGCGTTACTTACGCTCAGGTAGAATATTTTCGATCCGATTTGTGGAGAAACCAATACTTAGCTCGTCCCCGGCGTAGGGGCATATTAATGGCAATATCTCTGGATGCTGCTCGGTTCTAAGAAAATGAGGAGCGTTGGTCGAGAGAAGCGGGAAGAGAATATCGACTTGGGCTGCTAATGTCGGAGATTCCAGGCGGCAGGAGTTCTTCTGTTATATCTTTGTTGGTATAGCCGCTTTACAAGATGCTGCGGAAAGCTGCAAATCATCAATTGTCCTGGTCGTAATGATGTGGCCGACTCGTACGGATGTAGGTTATATGCGAGTGGGTTAGGTGGGAGTCCTGTGTGGGGGGTCGTATGCTGTCTGAGAGTTCGCCAGCAGGGTGTTGGGTTGAGAGGGTATCTGTAGGTTGGAGTAGGGAGAAACGAAAGGTTGATGGATGTGGGTGGAAATGGGCATGGCGAGGGAAGAACGGGCTGGCCAGCAAAAACGCACAACAACCACCCCCACCCTCCCAACAACAGCCCTCCTCTTTGACCAGCAGACGCGGCTTTGGAGGGCATTAAGCGCATCGTGCCTAGCATGGTCAGTATCTGCTATTCAAAGCGTCATAAAGTAGGGAAGTGCTCTTTCTTGTACGATGGGGTCATGGCCGGGGTATACTTTCGTTGGCTCCCGCCACCGCTGTCCAACATCTCCTAGGACTTGAGCTCTAAGACACTCGATTGAATACGCGCGATGGTAAAACAATATGAGGGATAGGTTTAGCCTTAAGATCTGTATTCAGAATGTGGCTATCAAATTAATGTCAGACTCCTTCCATTTCGTACACGCTCCTCTTTGATGGTGTCAATCAATGGATGCCATCGTGCATGCTTGTACATAAGAAATTTGCATAAAAGAATGTTAGGCTCCATCTTTGTCGACCACGCTATTCCACCACCATGAGTATGATCAGTCATTTCATGGCTCGCACATCAGTCTCTCTCTCAGGTTTCAACATCCGGTACCACCGTGCTGATAACAGTACTCGTTGACAGTGTATCTATGACGGAGTCAGCCCTAATATCAGAGTTCTCTTGTGGATGGAACTTGCTCGTTGACGCGGTAGAAGTGCCATCCACGACAACCTTGCCTTGCTCGATGATTGGCACAGATGTTGGCGTGGAAGTACTCGCAGCCGCATTTCAGATATTTAGTGTTTGCGGGTTGACACATGGTGACTTTGGTTGCAAAATTTCCGTAGCTTGTGTGTGGTGAGGATTCAGGTCTTGTAGTGTTGAATCGGGCTTCTGCAGAACTTTCAGCTTCAAGAAATTGAAAGACAGAGGCACAACAGAGGTGGAGAGTTGGCAGATATGTGTTTTGAAGCAGATAGTGGCTTACCTACCTTGAGTGATTGCAAGCGTGCTTTGAGGGCTTGGTTGATCTTGAAATGATTTTTGTTTGTGAAGAAAGATAAAAGACGAAAGAGACGTAGAGGCTTTTATAGCATCTGTAAATGTTGTACAAGATGGCTTAGAATGCGGTACAAGCTTTGTTTTGAGTAGCACTGTCCATGCGATACTCTTCGATGTTGTACAGGAGCTGTAGCACGTTATATGCAAGCTACTGTTGAAGAAGCGACCACCAATGCTGAAATGTCACATGGAACCTTATGTAACCTCCAGCTACTCCTTACCGTAACCGAGGCGTCCATAGGCTTTGATGACTTTTGACATCTGTGACTGCGGAGAATATTGCGTCGTATAGCATTGATGTTCGACTTTGCACAACTTTGCGGACGAAGAGTCAGGTCTTATGTTCGCCTGTACATTGATGGGGTGCCACGTACTCGTTGCCGATAGTTGGATCTAATAGCCTGACATTGACATTAATTGAAATTATGGTATGGGTACCACATGAGAATGGCAACATCTAGTTTGTCCGACATTCCAAGGTGGAGACTGCCCTAGTCTATGTTTATAAGGTCAATCTTTCAAGTCGTACAGATATCCTGCGTAACATATCGGCCTTGTACTACGGGAGTCTCCATCGCTCTATGTCTATGTTAGTGAATTCATCGCGTTAGAGGCTTACCAACTGGTGATACAGCATATCCAGGCGCTAGTGGTCCGTGGACTAAGCTTGGCGATGGTGAATGCTCTATCAAAATGATGAATCCTACGCGGTCCAACTGGAAACGACATCGGATTTGCCAAACTAGCCAAAGCATGCTTAGTCAAACCTGCAGGCCCCCTTAGGTCAGACTGTCAAACCCAAATAAGCGAGACTTTGGCTGAGATTGAAAGCGATAAATTTTTGAAGTATTTGTTCAAGATCTGGAACAGCGCTTTTGAGAAGATGAAGAGGGATTATCGCTACCATTTATATAAGCTCACGTATTCAAG